CACTTGTTGGACACTCTCTTTCCGTATGTGGGATATCAGAGCTGCAAGGTCCTGCTCTATTCCCAGGGTTGACAGAGTGTCATCTCCAGGGTGACTTCTGGAGAAGATGTTGTCGTATAGAACAGGGCAAGCACCTTGGTATCAAAGTGCAGCTGTGACAAAGTTGTCATTACAATTCCCTCTTTACCTATCTCGGTCCACTCTTTTGGAGACAAAGATTCCTCAATTCCCGGTGGTTTAGCCTCGGTGTCTATACCAAAACTCCAAGACGATACAGTGGGGACATTCAACACTTTATGGACAGTGAGTTGCAGAAGAAGGAGCAACACCTTTGGGGTTGTCAGAGGCTGTGAGTCAGGTCAGGCCAACATCTTTACTATCACTCCTGTGGCTGTTGGAAGCAACTAAAGACAACCTTTTATGCTCTAGCCAAACCAAGGCCATATCCTACGTATAGTCTGCCAGGAAAGACCTGCTTGTCAGCAGTGTACTTCATAGTTGCAGTCAAGTCACCATACAGCATGCTTGTATCAAGAAGAGGTGGGAATATGCCAACTCTCCTCTCAAAGAGTTGGCTGCTATCACATCAAAGTGGCCCCACAGGTGCTGGACGGATCTTGCTGGCACAAACCTTGTCTTCATGTTGGATATCACCCAGCCAGAGTCTGCTCATATTGATCAGATACAGAAAGGCTCAGACTCTCCTAATGGCAACTTCTTGCTAAGGGCCTGGTGGTAGGAGAGTTTCATTTGTTGAATATAAATTCAGGATGCTGGGAACATTGATGATGAGTTTGCCATAGAAACAGGTTCGTCAACAGCCAAGCTGCCTTAGCTTTCCCCTACAGCACCTAGGCTGATCTCACAGCATCATGTCGACAAAGTTGATCCCACAAGATCATATCAATAGAGACTGATCTCACAACACCACATTTACTATCACTATCTCCATAATAGGCATGGTTCACGACGACATGGGGGACAGGGTTACATAAAAGAGCAGGCTACTGTAGATTTTTCTTTCTTCTCGACTTCCTTCCTTCCTTCCACCCTCGCCCCTTTATCCTCCTCTCGAACCAAGCTGAGGTTTCGTTCTCCTCGCCGTCAAGCTCACGGTAACCTTCAACGAACGTTCGATCATCGCAACACCCGACTATCATCAAGAATCCGGCTCTCTCAAGGTACGTATCACCTGTGTCTCCTGTCACGCGCTGTCCTCTTTGCCCCTTGCGATCGGTCGCTGAGTAACGAGGGGAGGGAGCTGGTGCAAACATTCACTCCTCGAAACGCGTCACACAACATCTCCCGTCTGCCCAACCTTCTCGCCCGTCCCATCCAGTCATCTTCATGCTTGAATTTCACCAGTCACTCCATCCCCTGAGTCTCCTACGACCATGACTGTCGCTTCCTACTTCTGTCCCTCTGTCCTTTTGCCCTTCTCGCCCGTTCCGTTCTTCCCATTGCACCCCAACGCTATTCACAATCCAACGTTCGTTTCATTCCTTTCGCGAAGATACCCATACTGTACACACCCCCAAGCCGGCTTTTCAACAGCTCGCGATCATTGAACACGCCACAGAGGGAAGACGCGACCTTGTTTGATTTCTTCACTACTTCTCGTACCTGCTTTTGGGGAGTCCTACGCCGGCTTTTTCCAACAGTGCAGCACAGCTCGGGGCTGATCTTCACCGCTAAAACCTTCATTCCAACTAGGACCAATTCGACCTGACAAGATGTCCAACGCTTCCACTCAGCAGAGCGAGGGCATTGAGCTCAAGGCCATGAAGCCCAGCAAGGACGACTTGGCCGGCAGCGGCCATACTGACAACCCCATGACCATCTCTCACGAGCCCCTTATCGATGTCGAGGATATCACCGACGTCGAGAAGGGTGTCTATCCCCCCCTGAACTCTCCTGCCGTCCCTGAGCAGGAGCATGTGGAGTCTGCTCCAGCCCCTAAGGTCTCTGCTGGTGGTGCGGCCCAAAAGGGCTCCTTCCTGTCTCGCATCAAGGCTGTTGACCGCAAGGACAAGATCCTGACCGCCGTCAGTGTTCTCGCCGTCCTGTGCATGTTTATCATCATCGGCCTCGCGGTCGTTGTCGGTTTCGGTAAGTCCTTGCCCTCTTTAGGTGGCCACCAGCCATTGCTCTAGGTCGAACGAGGATTCTCTAACACGCTTTTCTGTCTTTGTAGATTCTATGGACATCAAGGCACTCAGTGCCCAGGTCCACACCACGCCCGCTGGTCAGGTGGTTGCCGCTGCCGCTGCCACCAACGGCGCCGTGATGCGTGATTCTGGCTACATGGACGGTTTCTCTGCCTTCCTGGATGGTCACATTTACGATCGTGTTGTCCACGATGCTGTCACCACGCAGTCCATGTCAGACGCCTGCGATGACGACGAGATGTCTGCTCCCACCTCGGTTCAGCCGACTCTGACTGCCATCATGTATGTCGTCCAGCCATCAAACAATCCATCGTGTGTGTGGCTTGGTGAGGGTGTTTGACTGACCACATTTCTCTTTAGTCCTGTCTTGACCGACTTCGTCAACCTGACTGTCACCACCACTGTGACCAGCACTACCACCAACCACAGCACCTCCGTCCTGGCCATCTCCACTAATGCTGTTACTACGTCTATGATCGCTTCGATCGCAGGCGATTCCTCGGCCTCCTCCATGTCTTCCTCCGTCTCGACCTCGACCACTACAACGTCCTCGACCGAGACCTGCGGTGAGTGGGGAGACGGCGCCGGACCGTGTGCGCGACCTTATGGAGCTCCTAACACGACGCCTGCATCGGCATTCTCGTCCATATCCGCCGCCTCAGCCATGGCCATGTCTCCGGCCACCCTCACAGACACGCTGCTGACCCCGAGCGCCTCGGTCGCTTCGACCCCCTCTTCGGTCGCCTTCACCTCGTCTTTCACCGACGCGTCCATTCTCAACGCGTCCGCTGCTACTGTGACCGTGACCGTGACCGAGATCAGCACCGTCCGTGGTAGTTGCAATGGCTCCGTTGCCGGCTTGGGTGGTGGCACCACCTTCTACGGCACGAGCACCCTCGTGTCTCTGCGCACGTCCACCGTGAGCGGCAGCAACGGCGGCCCCCTCACCACCTCCACCGAGACCGTGCTGTGGGGCAACACCAGCTTTGCCACCTCGGCCAACTTCACGCTGACCCTCAAGTCAACCCTGGCGCCCACCACCGCCACCGGCTCGGGCTTCAACGGCGGCGCTGGCCCAACCGGCATCGTGCCCCTGACCAGCCGTGGAAAGCAGTCTGTGCCCAAGCCCATGATGGGCATGATGAGCGATGGCGCTACCGGCAGCGGTGTCTACTGCACCGTCATGCTGGTCGTCATCATCGCCCTGCTCTCCTAAAGAGGCTGGCGCGGCGGTCCTCTTTCATCCTCCTCCATCCATCATCTGTTCATTCCCATCATCAGCTCTCTTGTTCAATCGCCTGCATCTAAATGATACTGATTTCCCTACACCATCATGGCACCACGTCGGCCTCGACTTCAGAAAAGAGAGAGAGAGAGAGAGAGAGAGAAACACATTCCTCACCTCCCAAGCTCTTTCAATCACAGCACAGTGCCTTTGTTGCAGCATCTCGACACGGACTTTCCTTTTTCGGCAAATTTTCGATTTGTGAGGAAGGGGCCAATCGAGGGTCTGTCTCTTTGGGGGCTAAGCGATGTGTGCGGTTCTTCTTTCTCACTCTCTTGAGGCGACGGTGATTGTTTCCAAGTTGGGAACGGTAGTTGGCGGGGCTTGCAAGAGGATAGCCAATTGTTTCCTTTTTTGATGAATTGCGGTTTGGGTGAGGAGCATATGGACACGTCTTTTCTTTTCGTGAATGCGCAACAGTTGGTTCTTGCGATTCTTGTACATGACGGTTTGGCACACGGCACAAAGGAGGTAATGGACGAACGGCCTGGCCCTCAAGGGAAGGGGGGAAGAGCCATTACTTGAGGTTTCTTTTTGCTTCGTCGACCTAGTTGATGAGCATGAATCCAAATGACGATTTTCAATATCTTTTTCTCTCTCTTGCCTGACACTCCTGACATCATGATTGGTCGCTGGAAGAGATTTCCCAACCTCGCCATGCTCTCTCCCCAGCCCAAGTTATCTACCTCGTGTACCAAACGAACAAATCGTGAGGACATCATGGAGGCTCTTCATATCATTGTAAACTTGTGTCAACTTGATCTTCGAGTATAGTAGGAAAGAAAAGCAGATGAAGGGGCACAAGAAGAAACCCCCCCCCCCGGGGGGAGCCGCTATCTAGTGGGTGTGAAAATTCATTGTGATCAATAAAATACTGTAAAAATTTAATCAACCGTAATATGCGAGCCTGAGTAGAGCTGAGCCATGGCTGTACGCCCATAGCTCCTTGTCCGCTTTCCATAACGCCCACCGTAGTTAAGAACGCACAAAGAAAGAAGAAGAAAACAGAAGGGGAAATCAGGAGGGGGGGGGGCACCCAAACAAACTGTCCATCCGTGTGACTCAAAAGGCTGTGCCGCCGGCCGCTGCCGCTATCATTCCGTCCTGTCCTGCGCCGAATCTCCACGGGGGAGACCAAAATTATTCAAGCTATTGATAAATAATAATCGACTTGCCTAGGTTTGCGGCATGTAACGCCCCCGCCGCCGCTGGTGGAACTGAGCGCAAAGTACCTTTTTGCCAGGTCCTCTCACGGCTGCGAGGAATCCCTCCCTGTTCGACAGCCCAGCTCCTAGGTTATTTTCTTGCGTCGGTCACCCATCTTTTCAGTCCAGCCCAGGGAATACCATACTTTCAATGGCACCACACAAACTTAGTTTCCTGAATGAATCCTTTCCAGCCTCATCCCCTACCGTTTCGGTATATATATCGTTCCACTCGTTCACCTTAAAAGAAGAAACGGGCCAAGGTATCTATGACCTGTTGATCTCGCTTGATGGCGCGCATGCATGGTGCAGCCGGTTCAGACTTTCTTGCATAGCAGTATTCTATGCCTTGTCGCCGCCGAGTCTGGCTCTGGCCTTCCACTTATCGCGAATGGCTGCGCCGTAGTCTTCCAGCATCTGCTGCGTGACGGGGTTTTGGATGCTCTCGATGACCTTCTCGACGACGCTAATGTGATTGGCATGGAGTTTGTCGTCACGGAACCGGCTCATGCGCCATCTGCCGCCGTCGTCCACATAGCACTCGACAATCCTACCGATCAGCGGATCACCCAGACTCTTGAGTGTCTCCCATTCATCCTCCGTGATGTAGAGATTGCCGTATTCACGGTAGGGATTCGCGTTGGCTGGGACCTCGCCCTGCGCAAAGATGAGCAGCTTGGCCAGCGGGACGCTCTCGTAGTCGACGTAGGGTTCCCGGTAGCCCTCGGCGATGTCCTGCTCGTCTGGCTCGACCATGGGAAATTCCAAGTGCAGCTTGAAGTCGACAGTATTCTCGTCGGCGGGCTTCCACTTGAGAATGTGCTCATCGGTGCCGCACTTGTAAGGCGTCTCGCGGCAGGTAAAGATGAGCCCGTCGTTGCCGTGTGTCAGGTTGGGCAGGACCTCGTGAAAAATCTTCCCAAGGCCGTAGGCGAGTTGCATGTCCTTCATCACGAGCTGGAAGGCCTGGAACTTGGATTCGTGCGGGTACTTTTTGAACAGGTTCTTGTAGGGCACGTAGATGTTGTGTTGGAAGTAGGCCAGGCGCTTGTCAAGCTGCCGCTCCATGAGAAGCTTGCTATCAAGGACAAGGCAGTCGAATACGAGGAACGATGGCTTCTCGGTGCCGTCGGGCTGGCGATCCATGACCAACTCGCCGTCGATGACGGTATCCGTATGGTAGGCACCTTCGCTCTCCTTTGTTGGAAAATGTAGATTACGGTTCTGCATGAACCAGAAGTCGTTCTTGCGGTCGATCAGGTACACGGCCTCCGAGCCGTGCTCATCCTGGGTCAGGTAGAGGAGATAGCGAATGCCGTCGGTTTTCTCGCAGACGTAGTAGCTACATCGAGCCAGAGGGTCAGCACAGGGGCACGGCACCGGGGGAGGCTATATCCTTCTCGCCAGCTCTTTTTTTTATATTTATTATCCAGCCATTTCATTTGTGTGAGGAAACGTACTCTTTCTGCAGCAGGTCCTGCAGATGTCTTCTCGCAAAACTGACAGGTTGTGCTCCGGGAAATCCAGGCTGAGCCCTCTGCAACAGCTGCGAGACCTCCCTGCGCAGATCCATGAGCAGCTGGCCCTCAGCCTTGATGCCAGGGTTGTCTATCCTGTCGATAGGCTTTGCGTTCTGTGCCATAGTCGCCATGGTGCTGCTCTGGTGCTGGTGCTGTTCCACCGCGGGCGTGTGGCGTTTGCTTCGTTTGATCGCTTTCGAATAGCTGCTACTTCAATGACATGTACCCAGTAGGTGATGGTCGGCGCAACAGCAATGGCATAACTGGGGATGGATAGTCTTTTGTAATATAAAAAGATGATAAAGTGGGAGGGGCAGGCTTTGGGCAAATTGTATCCTCTTCAATCAAAAGTTCCTGATGCGAAGGTGAGCCAACTACTGGTAGTTTGTTCAACCAACAAATAGCTGAATACCTACTTAAGTAACCAAAGGCACATTGCGCTGCCTGCCGTGGCTCACTACTGTACATACTAGACGCGAACAGCCAGGGGAAAGCCAGGCACGCCAGGGTGCTAGTGGGCGGGGTGGGGGCACTGCACGCAGGGGTCTCCCACTGACAGCATTCTGAGAATTGGACCAGTTATCTGACATGGTCCCAACATTGGGCATACGCGCTTTCAAGCCCATTCCTTGACGTCTTCTATAGTCGATCCTTGAGAATGCTGAATACCCCCTGAATCATGGATGAATACCAGAATCAAGCAGTTTTGTAAATATCGGTGGTCATTATACAATTACAACAGCCCTTCTTCAGTGAGCCAAAAGCCCTGTAAAGTAAATAAAATAACGGGCATATCCTTCAGAGTCAATCATGATGTCGTTTCGTCCCTCAAGAGGCCGCCCCATCTTGTGAGTAACAGTCTCACGCACAGGCTGCATCATCTTTCTAGGACTCATCAATCTTGTTGACCTCTGCTCGCGCGTCCTCCCACGTCTCCTTGTTCTTCTTGGCCCACTCGATCTGACTCTTTGCATAGGCAAGCTGCAGATAATGTTAGCTGCGGACCGAGAGACCTCCCCTTGAGAGTAGGAGTAGGGCAGTCTTACCATGTATTTCCTCAGATCATCTTCCTTCTCCCTCTGGAACCTCTTCATGTCTTTCAGAACGCTAGCGCTTGCATCCTTGACATCCTGTGCGACTGCGACCTGTGCCTGTTCGAGCTGAGCGATTGACTCCCGCGTCCTGCCTATGGTGTCGCGGCGAGTCTTTTCCGGGTCAACGTCGGCAACACCCTGGATAGCATGCCGGATGGGACCAAAGATCTTGTTCGTGATTGAATTTCCACTTGCTGCCTTCTTGTGGCTGGCACCATTATTGGCTCTCTCGGGAGTACCAATCGTAGCCGATGGTGCTGAAGATATGTCACCGTGTGTAGGCGGAAAGTCAGAGTCGATGGAAGCAGTATCCTCCTGGCTGCCGTCCCTGCGATGACTATTTGGCGGCTCTTGAGAATTTGTAGATCTTCTGGGTGGCTGGATCTGTTGACTCCCGCTGAGGTATTGGTCAATTCTCCGGGCTTCCGCTTCGCTCCTCTCCAGCTGGTCCAGCAGCAGCCGCTTCTTATTGAGTTCGTCGTTTGTCATCTCCTGCTGCACGCGCTTGAGCACTCGGTACTTCAGCACGCTTCGGACAACACCGGCGAACTGAGCGTTCTCTCTCATAGGCTCAGCAAAACTCGCGCCGAGAGAGGTGGACAGCTCTTCTGTCGCCACATATGACATATCTACCGCCTGCCCCACCCGCTCGATCACGGGGCCCAGCGTCGGGTCCTGCTCGGACAACGCGAATGCGTTGTACTTGGCGCCAAGCTCCGACAGGTCGGAAGACAGCGTGGAGAGGTGACTGAGGGTGCGCCGGTTGACTTTCTCCATGGGTCCCATGAGCAACTGCTCCAGCTCTTTGATCGACGTCTCAAAAGACGTGAAGTAGGGATCGAGCTCTTGCTCGCTGAGGTTGGCATTGTCAGGTGGAAATCTGGCCAGCCCTGGATCACTGCTCGTTCCGAAAGCGGCCTCCGCACTTGGGCCTATTCCTTGCGACTTCAACCTTGCCGAAGTTGCTGGTACTGGGAGGTAGCTGTGGGCGGGCGTCGGGTTCGCGGGGTCCAGGGGTGGGGCTTTGTAGACAGACTTTGGTATGGACGCAACAGGGTGGGAATGTAGGACCTCGTTCTGTAGACTTCGAGATTAGCAAATCATCTCACTAAATGTGTGCGGCTACAATGCTTACCCAACTCGCATTTGGATCAAGAAAACGCCACCAGACCCCGTCGGTGCGAACTTGCTCCATCTTGCGACAACGGTTCAAGAAGACGGCAAGCATGCGCTTGCGCAGATCGATAATCTGTTGGTCCTGCTTCGCATTGGTAGGATTGGCGGCGTAGTCGGCCATGGTGTGTTTCTCAGGGATGGGCGGAATGATGAGGGTAGGGTGAAGTCGGCAGAGGGCATCGCGAAGGGAGGCGAACTCAGAATACCGCCTGCGAACCTCGAGGTCCTGATGGGTTCGTCAGCAAAGAAGATAAGACACCGCACGGGTAGCCACATTTCCTTACGCCTGTCCTAATAGTGTAGACGATATATCTGCCGCCACTTTCCAAACTTTTCCCGGCGTCGGTGATCAATATTGGTAGCTGTGGGTTCTCGTACAGGATCTGCTCGATGCGGCTATCATAGCCACCAGGCTTCCTCCGCGGGACCACCTGCGCTTGAACTTCATCATCCTCATCGCTTTCCGTCAGCCTCGCTGGGGGATGGTATTCGGAGTGGTGAGAATCCTCTGAAGCCTGTGGCACATCATACTGTGGATCTATAGGCTCCCATTCAGAGTCAGTATCCTCTGAGGATGAATCGAGGGGCACATCCTCAAACATGGTGATCAGATTTTGGGAAAAGTGAGTATGTAACTTGGAGAAGGTACGCACACTGGCCAGGTGAGGATGGATTGTCGATGGAGGAGGTGAAGGAGTCTCTCCTGTCAAAGTCATCCCCATAGGGATTGTTGTCTTCGTCGTTCCACATGATAGATAGCAGCACCTCAAAAGAGCGAATTTCAGAGGTAGATGCTAGGGAGACGCGTGGTCCTGTCGAAGCTCAAGACTTTCTCTGATTGACAAAGAATCAGAAGAACAGTCAGCCCACCCACCTCTTGAGCAGCTTGTTGACTCGTCGCAGGGTTGCAGGGCAAGACAAGGCCAGACAGGGCGGGGGAGGGGGCATATGACCACAGGGTCTTCTCCAGTTGTCACGGAGCAGCAGGGAGTGCCGGAACTATGACGATGAGGTCAGGCCCAGTTGTGTTCTAGATATCTGAGAGAAAGACGTCTCGATACGGTGAATGAAGGGGGGGGGGGGTTGTTGTCGACAATGCCTGGTGAGATGGAGGAGGAAGCTTGTGAGGTTCAAGATGCTGTACTCGGCTCCACAAGCTTGTCTGCGACTGCAGAGAGGCTTGGAACATGGGAGCACTTAGCAATGACGAATGTCAGTGGAGCACGGACCATCCTTGTCATTCAACCACATCCCTGCCATCTCCCATAACTAAACCCTGAAGACATCAGCTCTTGTCATCCTGCCCTTCAATCAGATACCAAGATAAACGCTCTGATGTTCCAAGTCAAGCAAGTATTCTACAATACTGTATGTGTATACATGGGCCCTATAATCTGTCTGCGGGCCTCTCAGGATCAATATTGCCGGGTGTGGCTGATCCGGATACTCCAGTGCCACTGCCAGGGTGGTACTCTCTTCATGTGTCTAGGAGAAAACGAAGTTTCACATAATCTTGTTCCAGGATCCAGTGCAATACTTTATACTAGAAACCATCCACTGTGCTGCAGAAGAACGTAGATGAGGGCAGACCCCGACAGAGAAGGTCGCATGCACAGAAAGGAGCAAGAGAGGAGGGGCACCCGTTATATCATCAGGAAAATATTCACATGAGATTCACTATTTATCCTATAGAAAACAGTCCATTCCAGAGAAGCACGGGTGGCCCTATAGGGGGCTATTGCTAGCCAGTCTCACACACCGGTTTAACCCACCAGAAGACACCAGATATCCTACTGTCCGATCAGCCCCACCGCGAACGCCCCATTTACCCCAGACACCGGGTATCACACAGCAGGCCCTACAAGGAGGTGGGCACCGTATCCTTCCCGACTCGCTTGTTGACCTTCTCGCGGTGCTGTTTGTTTCTTAGATGCACAGCAAAGTTATCGGCAGACTCCCCTGGGCCTGGAGTGTACAGCTTGCCGGGGCAGTCCGTGCAGCGTATCCTGGGCAGGAACATCCATTTGACGTTTGGCGGCGGTGCTGAGCCTGGTGGGATCTGCAGAGCTGGGATGATGATGATCTCGCTATCGGCGTGGACGGCGCAGTGCCGCATGGTCCCCTCGAAGGCGTCAAACTTCCAAATTTGACGGAGCCCGTCCAAGGCTGCATTGAGCCAGTCAGGAGGAGGAGGCTGTGTGGATCTTTGTGTTAGACATACAATGAGCACGGTACACAGAGTGCAGAGGGACTTACAGCAGAAAGAGGAGGCTCTCCTTGAGCCGGAGGGGGAGGTGCGGGCACGCGACCGAGTTGAGGCTGTGGAGGCTGCGGGGTTGCGCTGGATGCATTGCTCGGAGCCTTTACAAGGCTTGGTTTTGACGCTGAGGGCGTCGGTGGAGGGGGCGCCATGCGGCTCTGTGGTGTGGATGCACTTGCTGCCCGTGTCTGAGCTGGCGTCTGGGAGCCTGATGGGAGTGGCTTTCCGGTCTTCAAGCTCCAGAGCAGATGTCGAACCTTCTCATAGCTCTTGGGTATCCTGATGGTGACTAGGTGGTTTCGTGGCTCGTCCGGAGTTTCCTGGACTTCGCGGCCATATCGCCTAGTCGAAGATACTCGGGTTTCGTGATGATGTGACGTGATGACTTCGGGGGTCTCTGAGCGACCCAGGTGGGCCATCTTTTGTTGCGCCGCAGTTGCAGCACCGCGCATATTTCTCGTGCGAGCTGTGCCGGTCGGAACGTGCGACGGTGCTGGAGAGTCTGGGCCAGACTCATCGCTGTCGTCCGTATCTGAGAAGGCGCCGTCGTGACCGCCAGCTCCTCTCCTGCCTCTTCCACCACCAGTGCCTCCCACTCGTTTGTAGAGTCCGCTCTTGTCCGGGGATGTAGCCGCGCCAGGCAGGGTCTCCGATACGACCATAGTCCGTATCGTTCTCTGTCGCTCCTTGAGATCGGGAAGCTGGGGACCACCACGCCGATTCACCGACCGCTTCTGCTTCCGCTGCTCTCTCAGGAATGCGCCCTCGTTCTTCTCCATGAGGGCCTCATCCATCTCGTAAAGATATGGCGCATACTCCTTCGCTTGCTGCTGCGGTCGGAACACGGTCGGGAGCGGCGAGGGAAGAAAGGCAGCCACGAGATCTGGCTCTTCTACCGGCCTGCCATCGAATGGGTGGCCTATGCTGTATAAGCTGCGGGTGAAAAGCTGCGTCTGCTCTCGGATGCAGTGCGCTATCGCTGTGGTGAACTCTCCCGATAGCGACAGATCACGCGCCATAACGCGAGCAAATTCTTCGGGTGAGTTTATGGGATTATTGATCTCCCATTCGAACTGATCGACAAGGGTGACGGCGCCAATTGTGATGTTGAGCTTGATCAATATTCTCATTTCGTCGTTCTTGTATGCCGAGTAGGGCAGCTCAGGGTCGAGGGCGTCTTCTTCAGAATAGACCATAGGATAGAAATCCTGAAGTTGATCCCGCAGCTGCTGGTGGACTTGCTCACAGACGGGGCGGTCGAGCGGCATCTTGATACCCATATCCTCCACAAGCTGCGCAGAGAACACATCGATCGGTATAAGTCTGTCGTGGAGATTCCACGTGAAGGTGTCGCGCAGCCTAACCTTGTCATAGTCGATTTCCACCCGTATCGGTACCAGCTCCTCGTACTGCTCGGCCTGCTCCTTCATGTCCTTGCGGCTAGGCTTGGGTAGCGCTGGCGTTGTCCGGTTGCCAGGCCGGGGCTTGTCCTTGGGGTAGATGAGGCGAGGCTGTGTCGAGGTCTCGGTGTGGCCGTTGCCAAAGCCATTATACCCTACGCCATATAACCTCCGGTGAGGAAATGCCTGAGCGTAGTCGGTTTGAATAGCGCGGTAGTCGGTCATCTCCATGCGCCGCCTCTTGGAGAACTGCTCAATCTGGTCTTGCGCCTGCTTCAGGGCTGCCGTGGCAAGCTTGTCTCTATCCATGATCCTCTCCAGGTTGTACCTCTCAAAGGATTCCCTGTCGCGCACAGGAACAGTAACTTCTGGGGTTGAATTCTTGGACTTTGGGTCCCTCGACGCTGCTGCCTCACCTGTGTTGTTCTCGCGCGCGGGTGTGGATGAAGAGGGACCTGCAGTCGCGCTCTCAGATGCGCCAGCTGAAGATGGCTCGCTGACAGTGGCGGGGGGAACAGGTGCAGCGACCGAGGCCGTCGCCTCAGCGACAGACGACGAGGCATCAGAAGACGATGCCATGATGAACGACTATGCAATTGTCGGATTGGGGAGCCAAGAGGTCAGGGTCGATGTTGAGGTCGAGGTGCGTGGGTGTGAGGGTCGCTGTCGCGACGAGGGGACGCGCTGTTGATGGTGCAAAAGCAAGGCGTCTCAGAAGAGGAGGCAAGGCGTAATTAATCCTATGATGTTGAGTGACATGTGCAATCAATGACATCCAAAACCTAAATGATGAGGCTCGAGATCAGCACGGGCTTGGGGCCGTCGCGTTGTCGCGCTCCCATTTGCAGCAGGGTATCGCGGTGGGAAGATGGCAAGATGCTGAGCAGCCGGTCTCCGCTGCAGACCGAGTGCAAGTTGGGGTGGCTTAACAGCTGCGGCAGAAGGCCAAGACCCGTGTGCCTGGGAAAATACTTTCAGCTTGGGGGTTTCTGGGTGAGGAGAAAAGTTACGGAGGCCAGTGCAGTTTTCCTAGTTGCACGGACGGTGCTGTGGCTGGTGCGAGGAAGAGCGGGCCACACCTGTGTGCAGGGATCTAACTGCTAACTTATGGGTCCCTTCAGCAGCAGAGCTTGGGCAAGGTGGAGCTCCCAATACTAAAACCCAAGCACCAGCACCAGCAAGGCAATGCTGTCATTGTGCCTGTTGCAGAAGCAAATCGGTACCCAATTGCCTTTCGTCACCGGATCCCACAGAAATCAGGGCTCCCCTCCCCCGCTTTGAAAACGCTTCTAGAGGGGTCGAAAATACCTGCTCCCCTCCCTCCCTCACCTGCAAGCAAAGCCGAGCTTCTGCATTCGTTCTCCCTTCTCCATCTCGTCACAACTTCGAGTACCTAACCTAACCCTTCCCCCCTTCCCTCCCTTTCCCTCACCTGGGACCTCCCATCAACAAGCGAAAAAAAACCAACACAGACTCTCGTTGATACTAGCATCGACTTTCGAGGTCGACGCATAACAGCAAAAATGGCGACTGAAGAGAAGGAAATCGGTCAGCTCACTCCTCCTCACCCCCTCCCAAATACCCCTCGATATCGTACTTCCTGCCCTCGTGCCCTATTTCCTGTTCCAATTGGACTGGGAATAGGGTATCAGAGATGGCTCCGAGTGGTTTGGTGGCAGCCCGGAGTCTCTTCAGGCTCATCACATCAATAAGGAGACATGAAAGCTGGGACCTTACCACGTGCATAAACGCTGACCCAGCGCGGCAGATTATACCCTTAATAACCCCGATACCCTTACCAAGTACAAGACTGCTGCTGAGATCTCCGAGAAGGTCCTGGCTGCCGTCAAGGACCTCTGCGTCGCCGGCGAGAAGATTGTCGAGATCTGTGAGCAGGGTGACAAGCTCCTTGAGGAGGAGATATCCAAGGTCTACCGTGGAAAGAAGGTCTCGAAAGGTACTGCAGCAGCATGTCCTCGTGCTTGAAAGGTTTTTTTGCTGACAAGATGCTGAGCATAGGCTTTGCTCACCCGACGACCGTTTCCCCTAGCTCCTATGTTACCCCTTACACCCCGTTGAAGTCGGACGAGAAGGAGGCTGCTGTCGAGCTCCAGGAGGGCGAGCCCGTCAAGATCCAGCTCGGTGCCCAGATCGACGGATTCGCCTCGATCGTCTGCGACACCATCATTGTGGCCACCAAGGACAAGCCTCAGGATGTGATCGAGGGCCGGGCTGCCGATTTGATGCTGGCCACCTACTACGCCAACGAGCTGCTCCTGAGGCTGATGCTTCCCTCTGGCGTGCTTGCCTCGGGCACTGACGAGGAGAAGGCGAAGGCTGCGGCCGCCAAGCCCAAGACACAGGGTCAGATCAACGCCCTGATCGAGAAGATTGCCAAGAGCTACGAGGTCAACACTGTCGAGAGCACCACCACCTGGCTCTTCGGCCGCAACGAGATCGAGGACAAGAAGAAGATTGTGCTCGCCCCCGGTGATGGCTCCAAGGGCGATGGCACCCCCGAAGTTGGCGAGGTCTGGGGTGTCGAGATAGGCATGAGCTTGGGATCGGGCAAGGTCAAGCAGCTCGAGCAGAGGGCCACCCTGCACCGCCGCACCGCCCTGCAGCAGCCTCTGAAGCGGCCTACATCCAGGAAGATCCTCAGCGAGGTGCAGAAGAAGTTCAACATGTTCCCCTTCAGTCTGCGACAGCTGGAGGATGAGAAGGATGCCAAGGTCGGCGTGGTAGAGTGTGTTCGGTCGGGTATCTTCCGTCAGTACGAGCTTGTCGGTGAGAAGGATAACTCCCCTGTTGCCAGGACTTGGACGACTATCGGTAAGATCTGATTTCCTCCCGTGCTCAGAGTGTGTGAGTGAGTGAGTGAGAGAGATGACTGACCTAGAAATAGCCATCACCAAGAACGGCATCACCAAGGTTGGTGCGCCACCTGCTTGGGACTTGACCAAGTTCAAGACCGACAAGAAGATCACCGATGAGGAGATCCTCAAGATTCTCGAGCAGCCTTTGTCCAAGAACAAGGGCAAGAAGAAGAAGAAGCCAGCCAGCAGTGAGGCCTAGATGCATCTGTGAGTCTGCCAATACTCGCAACCGAAGAACATTGCCGCCGGGCAATCTACATCAGCGAGGCACTCGATGCAATGCGGCCAATGAGATCGCCCCCGGGGTGTTCTGGGCGAGAAGACGGTAAATGTGATGAATTTACCGGAGTCAAAAGGAGAAAGGAAAACAAGCATTTAAAAAACATTCATGTCATTTGGGGATGTCAAAAGCAAAAGATGGCACGAGATGATGGGAAAAGAGTGGGTTGTAGGAAATGAGTCTTAAGGGAGCAGGCCTAGTCTTCCCCCCTCGGAATGAACGGCTTCTGTTCTTGGTGGAATGACTATTCTGCCTTCTCGGCGATTCTGTTCGTGTCATGTTCTCTAAGTTCATGGGTGTCCTCCATTGGATCGCTGCGACGCCTGCATGTTGGGCGACGGATCACAATCTCGAGATGAGAAGCCCGCCCACATATGACGGAGGAGCCAGGCTGAGCGGTCAAGCGGATATCCCCTGTATAGAAAAAAAAATCACAGCCGAATACACCCCTCCCCAGATACGAACAACGTACAGCAAAATGAGTCTTGTGGTGATGCTAAAGGTACTACTAACTTGACCAAACTTGGCGAGGACAGCTCAGACGTGGGCCAGGACAACATGATATCACAGGATTGCCCAAATGGACTCTGCAAATCTTCTCCTCAGGACTTACTTGTCGACCTGCTATATGTTTTCGTATGACAACTCGCAGGAACCTCCTCCAATCTCTTCTGATGGTCCATTGTAATGTCACGCGTCGTGCAGAGTCAACCGCGTTTTCTGATATTTCCGCTCACACCCTCCCCCACGCACTTCTCTCTCGCATGAGTTGCATAAAAACGTGTATCTTTTATTCCGATGTTGTTCCACCCTACAGTATATGTATGAACAAGGAAAAGCACTCCCTCGACCAGGAGGATGGGCTAAGCTGCTGTAGATCTTGAATCGACCTGCCCTCCTCTGCAGACGTTTATTGCTGCTGCTGCCCACTTAAAATCCTAAAGAGAGGGAGAGAGCAACACAAGAACAAAACAAGAAATTGGATTTAAGACTCACATGACATTCGTATCAGAAGCCTGGGGGGGCTCCAGAAGATCTTCAAACAGGATCACCTGAGGTGCAGGCCGAGGAATGTTCCCAGTCCCAGTAGTTATAGTATAGCCCTGTCGTGGCGGCGGCCTGGATTACTCAGTCCAGCCCTTGAACACTGGATCAGCGGCAGGTACCGTTGCCCCCTAAGACCTTCTGGACCACCTGAGCACTCCTGGGGCCTGACCCCCTGAACATTCTTGGAGAAGCACCGAGCTCCCGTCCCCTGAGAGTTTTGAACATCCTCCCCAAAACACCAAAATCCCAGCCCGGGACGCAGAGAGGTGCGCTCCCGGAAACCCAAGATAAAAGAACACCCGGCGCACAGCCATCTGTCCTGACTGGACAGAGATCCTTGAAGACGTAAGACTTTTTTTCCACCTTTTTTTGCCGCAGATATCCCAAGCCAAAGAACAAAGCAACCAAAAAAAAAAAAAAAAAAAAAAAAAAAAAAAAAATCTTAAAAAAAAAATGCAGCTGCTAATGCCTAATACAAGTGTCTTTCCCGTCTAGTACGCGTAGTGCAAGAAAAAAAAGTACCGATTGTCGCGTGCGTGTCTTGTCGCGGGCCACGAGGGCCACGCTCCCGGCGACGGCGACGATGAGCGCACCTCCCACGACGCGAGCATCGCGCTCGCGATTCTCGAGCCCTGCGGTGGTGGGAGCAGGAGGAGGAAGAGCCGGGGCAGCGTGCTCGCAGAACTCCACTGGAGGGAGTATGGACCGAGGCCAGGACAAAGACAAAGATAAGGGAGAGAATAATGCTGGGCCTGGTGCTTTTGGTGCAAATGTGCCCTCCAGCCGGTCGTCGTCCATGGAAAGGTCTAGGCGCTTCATGGAGAGCTGGATCGAGCCGGAGCGCGCGAGGATGCCCAGCTTCCAGGAGGACGGACTGGTGCGGCAGGGAGTGCTGGAGACGATGGAGCCACTGGGGACGAGGCCCAAGCCCGCCATGATCAAGAAGCTGGCGGGAATAGGTCGCGAAGGGTCACCAACGGCGTCGTCGCGTGGTGGAAAGTCGGGTGGCAAGAAGATCGTGTTGAAGAGGAAGAATGGGAACTCGATAGGGATCGATAGCACGCTAGGTGGTGCTGGTGCTGCTGGTGAGGTAAATGGGTCCGCGATGGCCGCGTCGGATCTTCTGCTGCTGTCTGGCGTGCAGTCGACAACTCCCTCGACTGCTATGGCAACCCCCCAGCCAGTCACCTCGCCCACACCGACGCCAGCTCCTGCAGCGCTGTCTGCACAATCACCTCTGCCACGGCAGTCACTGTCGGTCCCGCAGAACGCTTCGCCCATCCCAACGCCAAAAGTCGAACAACTTGACACGCCTCTAATCCAGCCTCTTTTCTCAGACGCCAGCTCAGACCAACCAGAACCGATCCCGTACCAACGAGGTCGATTGTCTGGCAGCACACCTGAGCCCCGCGTCATCTCTCAGTCTCAACTGAACTCACGCAACTCGCAGTCTCTTCCCCAGCAGCACCAACAATCACCCTCAGCAAACCCTCTTCTCCTACCACCTGTCGCCTCGTTCTCATCTTCTGCCAACTCCTTTCTTCCTGATCCCATCAAGCCATCCATCGAAGAACTCCCTTCCCTTGCACACCTGCCCACGACACCGCGGTCTGTTCAATCGACCGCGTCTTCGTATGACTCGGACGACTACTTCAAACGCGAGTCTTCGATACAGTCGACGTCACAGCTCAGTATGCCGCCCAAACGCGCCGCGGGCATCGCAGAGCCCCGGCGCCTGCGATCTGCCTCGGTCATACCCGACCCAGAAGAAGACCAGGCTACTTCTGGCCCGTCTGGCCGTCCAGCAGCCGAGCCTCAGCTTGGCCCCCACTACAGCGAGGCAGAGCTCACCCGCATCATGCAGGAGCACGAAAGGATGGTCGTGAGGGCCATCGTCGAGCATGGCGTGGCCGAGGCCCTCAAGCACCAGCAGTACGTGGAGGCTTACGCGCTTCGTCTCGCCTACAATCATAACCAGACAAACGCGCGTTTTCTGCTGCAGACGGAAGCTATGGCCAAGCAGCTCATCACCAAGGAAGCCGCTGGCGAGTGGGCCCTCAAGTTACAGCCATACAAAGACGAGGGCACCAAAGACCACACTGCGCTGAAGTACTTCAGGCCAGAGGCCGAGACTGACAGCTCCATCATCGAGGCGCACCAGCCGCAGCAGGCACCTTATGCGCACCTCCTGTCCATGGACCTGAGCGAGGTGCGAAACCCCAAGCGCAAGCGAAACCAGCAGACTGTCTGGGGGGTGGATGATCGCGTCACGTCAAAGAAGCAGTGTACAGGTCGAGATGCCAATCAGGACGAGGAGGAGCCAGCTACGCTGCTGCAGGAGCACGTGGACGAGGGCGAATCACTGGCAATACGAGGCGAGCCTGACGAGGCAGCGGCGGAGCGGGTCGCCACACCGCCCCGCAAGAGGCAGAAAACCCAGCGCGAGTCAACTGCTCGCAAGGCTACCACAGCAGCTTCCACTGCCCGCCCTACGACCACCAACGGTGCCAGATCCGCCGCCCCGTCGCAGCGAAGAAGGGATCGCGCAGGCTCTAATGTTAGTAACGCTTCCTCCACGCTCAGCTCCATCCCTAGCGACATTGAGGAGGCGTCAGGCGACGAGGCCACAGAGGCTGCACAGCCTGCAGAGCCGCCCAACAAGAAGGTCCGAGCCTCGACAAAGCAGGTGCAAAAGACAAAGAAGAAGACAGGAAACGCACAAATCCAAATGCAGGATGGTGGTGGTGGTGGTGCAGCCGAAATGAGGCGCGCAAAGGGTATGGACAATGCTACCACTGCTGCAGCAGCACCAGCGGCGCGGCCAATTACCGATGAGGGCCCCAGGCGGCTTCCCGCCAGGCGTGCCAGGGGAACAGTAAATCCTGAAGGCTATTATCCGCGCGACCCGTTCTCCAATTCACACAACCCTCATTCCACCACTTCTCAATCGCCCAACAACAACAACAACACCAACAACAACAACACCAGCGCTGGCGGCAGTTCACAATTTGCACCTGTCGCCACCCAACCCGACCACAACAATCTCACAACCACTACAACTACTACTACTAATACCAACGACACTGCTGCTGCTGCCGCCGCTGCACAACAGATCAAGCAGCCCACCAAGAAGAGCAGGAGAGGCATGCCCGACTTTACGCCTCAGTACCGCCTTGACGACGAGGACGCGACCGACAAGCTGCGCGCTCACGCTCGTGCCAACACGCACAAACTCACCACCGGCGTGCGATCGGCCTCGTTCGCTAGAGGTGAGGAGCTGGACGCCCCGTCGCCTCCCGAGCGCCCTGGGTCGGCGGCGTCATCATTGCTTTCTTCTGTCCCCGAGGCTGAGGTTCTGGAGGAGACGGAGCGAGAGCTGGAGACGGAGCCCGAGACGCAGGCTGCTGCGCCCAAGGGCCGCGCAGCGCCTGGTGGTGGTGGTGGTGCTGCTGCGAGGGCTACTCGTGCCAGCAAGCGCACCATCGACGACGTCGAGGACGATGCAACGCCCTTCTCGCAGGATTTTGGCCCAGAAGTAGGTCCCAGCACAGGAGCGGGCTCACGCGCCGAGACCCCACGCCCGGCGAAGCGACAAAAGGGAACACGACGCGTCAAGCAATCGTAAGTTTATCATCAATCCTCGTTCTCGCTTCCATTTCATCTCGTTACCCAGGCGTCATCAAGCGGTAGATGGGAGCTCTCCCCATCCATACCAAGACGGCTCGGGTATTTTGCAGCCTGACTGCGCTGTATGCTGCGCTCAGGTCACGCTGCCAGCCGAGAGACTCTGCGTGGTGTCGCGCACACAGCTGCATCGGAATCCGAATGTCTCTTCCAGCAGATGCTAATCTTCCTTTCCTTTTCCTTGCAGGCCCATGAAGAACAAAGCTGGACCCTCTGCCGGTGCTGCACCCCCTCAGGGTGGAAGACGCGCAAGCCCAGGTGTGAACGGCGCTTCTAACAATCAGGTACGTCTGCGAGATGCGTGACCTTTCTTCTTTTTCCCTTCTCACTTTCTCCAACTTTTCGTTTTTCTGTCCTCGCTTGTCTGCCACATTTCGCATCATTGTCTGGCGGTCCTCCCGTGTTCGCGCGGCTGGTGGCGAGTTTCTTCTCTACATGGGTGCTGGAGTCAGCCAAGTTTCTGTGTGTTTTACCCTTCCAGGCGAAGGGCCCATTTCCGACACACCCGCGTCTTACTACAAATTTGGGCGACTCAAACCCTGTCTTATGACTGGTTGGGCACATGGCACGCAACGCCCTCCTCTCTCCCCTGTTGTGACGTCCCACAAGAGCATCTGATCGTCTTTGCTTCTTTGACGGAACCAGCTGACCTGACTTGCCCGCTTCTAGGAGGAGAACGACGATTTTTGCTCTTTCTGCGGCGGAAACGGCAACCTCGTCTGCTGTGATGGCTGCAACAAGTCCTTCCACTACATGTGCCATACGCCAACCGTCGATCCCGACGAGGACGCGGCCTGGTTCTGCTGGGATTGTATGGTGAAGCGTGATCCCAGCCTGGTGGGTGAACACAATGGCCCATTTGGCAGCCTCATGGCGAACCTCGAGAAGAAGCATTCCAAGGCCTTCGTCTTGCCCAAGAAGGTCCGTGACTATTTCGAGGGCGTTCGCACCGGTCCTGATGGAGAGTACGAGGAGTTCGTTACCCCGGTCAAGGGAAAGTAAGTACCTATCATGCGCACGTGCCGTTGCCTACGTCGAGTCCCGCAGAAGCTGATCTATGGTGTGGAAATAGGAAGAAGGAGAAGAGCGAGGACAGAGAGTTTGACTTCTACCAGCTCGTGGACAAGAACGAGAAGCCCGTCCTGTGCCACTCTTGCTCCAAATCCGCGTCCAGCAATCGAGCCATCATCCCATGCAGCCTCTGCGGACTGTGGTGGCACCCGGAGTGCCTGGACCCGCCCAGGACTCTTCCCCCCAACCACCGCACCTTCGTCTGCCCGTGCCATGTCGACGATCTGCTCAGCCAGGTCCCTTGCCAGCTTGGTCCAGCACACAAGCACCGAAAGATCAAGGGCTCCTCTGACATTACCTATGCTTATCGGCGCGGGAATGTAAACAACGGCTACATCGAGATCGAGGACGATGGCGGCGAGACAGATGGCACTTCGATGGTTGTGCATACCGGCCTGCGGGATCCCACAAACTTCGGCAGAACCCACCGAGTACGCTTCACCGGGATCAGGGATGATTTCATCTCCAAGTAAGTCGACTCTGTATCTTGTACATGACGTGCGCAAATGTGCTGACAAAAGTACTGTAGGGTCAGCCGCCGCCGCAAGCACTCTCGCAAGCACTCTCGCAAACCTGAGCCTATGATCATGGGGCCAGGCAACGCGCAGTTGCCAGATGTAGACTACGAAGAGGACGCAGAAGACCGCTACCAAGCCGCACTCACCATGATGGCCTTTGCCCGCAAGGCTCGTGACGAACGCGGTGGGGGCCCAGTCGACTTTTCTTCCATCTCCATGGGAGTGGTGAAGGATCGAAACAGCTTGTGGATCTCGCCCAAGAACATCAAGGGCGCGACCGCATATGAGCTCACCAACATAGAGAGAAAGTTGATCGACATGTACAGGGTGGTCAGAAAGGAACGCTCCAAGCGCAACGGAGACCACCCGGAACGGGAGCGTCGTCGATCGACTGGGCGCCAAACACCTCACCCGGGCCGCGGTCGCAAAAGCCGGGGAGCTGATGCTGTGAACCTTAACGAGCAGCAGCAGCAGCAGCAGGAGGAGGAGCAGGAGGAGGCGGCGGAGTCTGGTGACAATCCCGATTCTCCTATCGTGATCGACGACGACAACAGCGACTATGACTCAGAGCTTGATGATCTGGGCTTCGCAATCACTGCAGACGCTGCAGAACCCACAGAGAGGCTAAATACAGCCGGAGCAGCTCTCGAGGTAGCTGCTGAGGTGCCCACTAACGAGTCAACGGGTAATGATACCGAGACTGCTGCTGCTGGGCCTGCTCAGACCATCTACAACAGGCTGTTGCAAGTTGAGGCCGAGTCTCCTCCAGCCAGCGCGAAAGAGACCGAGTCTGACATGGAGGCCATCACAACAAGCGTGGTTGAGAGCATTGTCGACCAAGCCGTTGCTGCAGCTCTCACCCCAATCTCGGACACACTCAAGGACGGCGGTGACGTCTCTGCGTAAGTGTCGAGTGCGAACCACACGCTCGACAAAATCGAGACACCTAAGACTGCGGTGGCGGACTAGGCGCCCGCCCCTGCTGCGACTATTAGTCGTTCTGCAGGTTGAAGGGAATCCCTATCAGCCTACTGATTCGATGTATCTGAGATTCATGTCTTCTCTCAGATCAGATCAAACCAAATTGTTGTTATTGTTGTGTTGGGTGCTGGCTTTCATGACGTCTAGTCTGAAGGTTTTGTGCAGCCATTTTCTTTACCGCTACACAGGGCATTGTCGCACATTCATCTGCCCAAGACCCGGAGGAAGCATTTGTGCCTTTCCACTTCTCCAAAAGAACAGAGAAGCATTTTGTGATGACGCCCACTTGATTACAAGTACACTTGAAAATCACAACATGGATGAGCAGCATGCCTGTTTTACTTTGATTGCAGTCCTGCAAAATATCTTATCTCTTGTCTTTATGCCTCCCCACCCCCCCCCCTTTTTTTTCTTCTTTTTTTATTAGCATTCAGAGAGAGTTTGCACCACATTCAAGTGTTACCAACGGGTGACACCATTCGGCATAGGAGTTCAGGCTTTGACATTTCAGGCAAGGGCGAGGAAAAGTGCCACCAGTCCAGTTTGTTGGGCATCTTGAGGCTTGGGGCCTGAGTCTGTCCGGTTGTGTGAGTGAGTGAGAGTGAGAGAGAGAGAGAGAGAAAAAGAGAGAGAGACAGAGGAGAGTCTTTCGAGGCACCTGTGGATGTGCGAATGAGATAACCAAGATATTGATGAACAATACATCATGGCACGACCTCGTCCATTGTGCAACCCTCCTGAATAGCTTCAAGCAGTCCCCATGGACCTCAATGACCCTTTCCTTTCTCGTACTTTGAGGGGGGTTGTATATTTATAAACTATCTATGTGATTTGTTCCCTCGTTTCTCTTATCTACCTAGAGGTGTGTGTGTGCGCGCACTTCCTGAGCTACTTGTCACGTACAGTACATGTCGTGTACGTCCTTTGGTTTGTTATTGCTCTATTCATTAGGTAGCTCATTTCCTGAGCAAGAGTCTCAGGTACATCGAGATCCTGTCTGATTAGATATGCACAAATATCAACAAACACTTGGCTCAGAGCTGGGCTTGAACTGGGTATAGTATATCTATGGTGTCATCTATAACAATTTCCACCTTTAAAACAATAGAAGCTCGTCCCCTCTGGGCGCCTTTTCTTTATGCTTTCAGCATCTCACCGTCCCCATTTCATCGGGTCCCTCAATGGGTGAGTGGTCTTAGGCCTTGGGCTCCTGAGCCCTCAGCAAGCAACTGCTCTAGACTGTCCCTCCTCTTCATATTGCCCAGTCACTCAGATTATCATCTGTCTTGATAAATGGCTCATCAATCCTCTTAATGGCATAATCACTACAAAGGATGCTATACCACCAGATCAACAGTCAGCACATCATATTAGAGATGGCAGTCAGATGGCCATAAGGGAGAACAAAAAAAAAAAGGGGGGGGGGGAGTGGGGTATAACCAACCAGGCACTAGCAATCAACCCATCCAGCTCCCTGACAACTACCTCTCTTCTCTCCCCCTGCACAACACCCCGAGTGATCATGATCTGCAGCTCCCGGATCCTCTTTCCCCTCCCCACACCTGCCTGCTTGAGTACTTCTTTTCCGAGGCAGTCAGAGTGGAAAGCATGCTGGCAAGGGAACACAAAGAACTGCCTGCTCAGTAAAGGCAGCGCACAAACATAGCACTTCTCCCCAGGCTCGACAATCGCATATCGGTGGTCCAGCCCTGCAATGTCGAGCTTGATATTCGCGGCAGTCTGTGAGGACTCGTCCATTTCCTTCTTGAGGGAGTCGATGTTCCGGGAGTAGTCCTCGAGCGCGGTGCAGATTTCTTCTTTGAAGTCGTCGATCACCACAAAGTCCGGAAAGAAGGGGATTAGGTCTTCTATCCGCAGCAGGTCGCTGCACTTCTTCAGGAAGTCGATCGCGGTCTTGATGCCGTTCGTCTGACTGATGACCTTCTTCGCAACCGCAAGCCAGAGCCTCTTCCGAAGCTGAGGGTTGTCTATCGGCCTGTCTGCTATCAAAGATGCAAGGTCGATCTCGTCGTGCGACAGCGCGAGGTCCACGGCCTGCACGTACTGGCCCATGTTGGTATAAATATGAACACACGAGAGCACACGCTTGTGCTGGATGCACAGCCGCAGCGCGAAATCGCGGTCGAAATGCGGCTCGTCACCCTGTGACTCTAAATATGCCAACAGAGCCGACTCGTCACGGGACGGGTGGCTTGCGTACATCGACACGAGGGTGTTGTGGACCGCTGCATCGATTGAGTTGAGCTGGTTGACCACGTACAGAAGATACCGGACGGCCTGGTTCTGCGCCAGTGGGCCCTTGTAGGTGCGGTCATACTCAAGGAGGGCGGGGATCAGATTCCGCGGGTCGAGGTTCGACTGTCGCATGAGGATCTCGACAAGGTCCGCCGCAGCGTTGGTCATTAGCACGCTGCTGAACCTGTAGAAGACGGCGGGGTCCCTCTGCTTTTTGAGCACATTCAACGTCTCAGGCCATCTTTCCCGTTGAACCCAATACGACAGGACGTAGCCGTAGTCGTCTACCGCATTTGCAAAGAACAACAGCTCATCCTCGCGGCCGTGGCTGCTGATGATGTCGTAGACCGTCTTCTTGTCCAGGTCGCCCTTGTGCCTGGTGACAAAATCCTGGTACTCACTCCGGACGGTAGAAAGTTGCTCTTGCGTCTGTGTGGGGCTCAAGTTCTCCGTCAGCTCCGCCTTTGTCACGATCGTGTCGTCCAGGGTATTCAGCTTTGCCATGAAGATCTCGATCAGCCAAGTCGCGATCATGATGCGCTGCATCACCGCCATCTTCTTGAATGTGCCCAACTTGGTGAGCAGGTATTTTCTCAGCGCTTCGTGCTGCCCGTTATCCAGGAAGGTCAAGGCAACTTCCTCAAAGGGCTTGCTGCTCTTGCCGTACACGCCTGCGGCATCGGCATACAGCCCTTTGCTGATCAAATAATCACCACTCGCCTTCGCCACGGTGTCCTTCTGAGCAGGCGTATGTGCATACTGCAGCGCCGCGTCGAACTGTTGCTGCTCGAGCATGATCTTCCAGATATCCCGATCCTCGTCCCTTACTACGATCTCGAAGATCTCCTGCGCCGTGAAGAGCCAGAACGTGTTCTTCTGCAGGTCAACACACAATCCGACCGCCCGCTGTCCCTGGTCAAGGATCAGCTGATCGTACACCTGCGTGCCCGTGAGCCTGTTTGCGGCCACGACGCGTCCGCCAAGCAGCGCAATGACATGCCATTGCGTCAGAGCGATCGCCTCGATGTTGTCCACCGTAGACCGCCTCCTGGTGGCTGGGTCTGTCGAAGCAGCGAGTTGCGCCCTCGACAGCAGCTTAGACTCGCCGAATACTTTCGCACCGAGATCCGTGCCCTGCTGAGGGCTGAGCAGGAGCCTCCCGCAGAACACGCCTTGGGAGTTCAGCCAGGCAAAGGTCCGGTCTGGCGCAGCAGCCTCATACAAGGGGCCCGTCTCGCCAGCCGGGTCGGGCGAGACGACCAGCCCAGACCCTGTCGCGCCCGCCGTCCGCGAGAGCTCGTGGGCGACAGGCTGCTCCGCCTCAAACAGGCGCGTGTAGATGGACCCGGAGCCCTCGCCACGCCCAACCTTGCCGGTCAGGTGGTACAGCCGCGTCTGCGTCGCGACCATGACCCTCCGGACCTCGGCACGACCAGGCAAGACATCCACCCAGAGACCCGTGACAGGGCCGTCAGGGATCTTCTGCAGGACTTTGAGGAACTTCTCTTCTTTCCGGTAGAACTCGGTGGTCGTCTCAATGTAGGCTTCGTAGACATTACCGTCGCTGGCGCCGAGCAGGATCTCACGCGTCGAGGCGGTGGGCAGGGCCGGGTTCCAGGCTACGCACTCGAGCGAGACGCCACGGAGGCGGGCGAGAGGCCGTGGGGTGCGAGATTGCGAGTGGAGGTAGTAGTTCTCGCCGAGGGAGGTGCAGATTATGAGGTGCGAGGCGGTGGGATCGAGGAACATGCGGCGGATGACGCCCGCCTCGGAAGGTCTCTTTGGGAGGTCTATGTCTATAGATTTGGGGACAGATCGTCAGCACTCAGGGTATAATATACAAAAAAAGAAAGAAAAAAAAGAAAAAAAAAACCAAAGCGTGGCACATGCACAGTGTCCTTCTGAAGTTATCTGCCCGTCCATCCTCAGCTTTAAGCGCACGCAAGTGGACATACCGTCGATATCCTCGGGTCTCTCCAGATCGATCCGTAAGATCCTCCCCGTCGATAACGCCAATATCAAGACATTATTTGCGACCTGCGCAGCCACGAAGTCTGCTGAGATCGAGAAGGCCAACTGCACAGGCTCGACATTGAAAATGGGCAGTTGGCCCAGCCCGTTGCTCTCAGCTAAGTCAGCGGCAACGAACCCGCCGCCGTTGGATATCGGTAGAGCCATCTTCTTGAAATGTACGTCATGAGCGGTGAGACCTCATAGTCGCGAGAGAACCGTGGTGGTGGTGCCAGAACTGGCAGGTTCGTCGTCTGTGGGAGGAAGAAAATGAGTGGGTGAGGGGTACAAGTGAGCTGGCCTGGGTAAGTACTAAAAGAGCTCTCAAGGTGAGGAAGGAGCTCTGGTGGTGGTGGTGTTGACTGTCAATGCCATGAGAACCAACAGATGGGCGGGCCAGCTGCCTGCCGGCATGGTTTGGGGGGGCGGGGGTGGTGTTAGGCTCCTTCAGGGGACGACGTCAGTGGTCATTAGCTCCTCGAGCCCCTGTGGTATGTTGCACATGGGCTCAGGAGCTTGCTTCTACAGCTAACAATACAGCAACATCACGTACCTCATAGCCTGCTATGTCCACTATTGCTTGCCCAGGCACAGCAAAGCACAGCACATCACAGATGTCACATAGCTGAGACTGACTGAGATGACTAGCACCAAAGGCAGATAGATGTTCAATCAAATTAATTACCGTGGTCATGTTTCGACTCCATATTCATGGAGTCCTGATAGTCTAGGTTCAACCCCTCCATTCTTTCTTGTGCGTCAGTCCTTCTTTCCTACTCGTGTCCTTCGGCTGTCTGCTCTGCCCGTCGTTACTATCCATTCTCCCAAGGCGATGTTCATGACTGGGTGTATAAAGATGGTTTGTGCATCCCTTTCGTCATGATCCATCTGATGTTCTCCTTGTCAGAGACCATCTCGTCACCCATGAACCTAGGCTCATCGAAGCGTCTGCAGGACTTTTCGCCCCAAAAGGGGAACAAACAGTGCCTCAGAGGCCCGCGAATGCACACCGGTCGACTGTTCCTCCCGTAGGGGATGAAACGTGCCAGACGGGCAGTTCTCCAGCACCCGTAGCGATACTAAAACCATGCCTCATGAGGCGTGTCGCGCGAGAGATTTTTGTCCTTGTCTCCAGGCGAGCCTCAACGGCCTCAGTCTACCTCGAAGTCGAATGTAGCTGCGACATCCCAGTTACTGACTTGCTCGTCCCCTTCTCCCCTCCCTCCCCCGCATCCGTGGGACAGATTATTTTGAGTGCTTCTTGAAGGCCAACAGCTCGGCCAGACTGGGGACCGGACATCCGTGTTTCAGGAAGTCATGCTCCAGCAGTTCCCGAGCCGACGCTCGGGACTTGACATCCACACAGAGACACACCGACAGGAAGGCCTTCAACTCCTTGCTCAACTTCTCGGGCTTCTTGAGCCGCGGGGTTCCGTTCGTAGCGATGAGATACAGCGCCTTCAGAGGCTCTTCGTTCAGGTATGGAGGCTCCGACTCGATCATCTCGATCGCCATGATACCAAGCGACCAGATGTCCACCTTAGGGCCATACTCCTTCTGCTTGACCACCTCAGGAGCCATCCAGTAGGGCGTGCCAACCATGGTAGCACGCTTTGACTTGCTTTCGGTAAGCTTGGCGCAGAATCCAAAATCGGCTACAAGAAAAATAGGTGTTAGCAGTCTTCCAGGAGGACGCAAGGAGACGAGAGACGGAGACGCACTGATCTTGACGTGGCCTTGAGCATCCAAGAGCACGTTGTCACTCTTGATATCACGGTGGATAATGTTCTGAGCATGGAGGTGCTCCAGGCCCTTGCAGGTCTATAGAGACGCGTTAGCTGTGCACAAGTTGCGTTGGATCGTGGGTGACTCACTTCGAGAGAAATAGTCGAGATCTGCTCTTCCGTGATGACGGGGTTGTTGTCGATCACGTCGGTCAACGCTCCGCCCTCCATGTACTCCATGACGACCCACAGCTCCTGGTCGCCGTTACGCAGGAACGCGTCCAGGAAGTTGACAATGTTCTCGTGCGTGCTGTCCTTCATGACCATGATCTCGTTCACGATGAGTTCCTTTCTTGGCTGGTGCGCGAGATCCATCTGCTTGATGGCCACAGAACTGGTGATGCCCTTCACGTTGGGCAGCCTCGAGGGGTCTCTGACCTTAGCAACGTAGACGGAGCCCGAGGCGCCCTGGCCGATCTTCTTCTGCTTCGCATAGATTGAAGTCGGGTCATCCTTCGAAACAATCTCTCTGAGCTTCTTCATCACATCGGCCTCCGACATGGTCGACATGCGCACCTCCTGCTTCTTCTCTTGAGTCGGAGGCTTCGCCGTGAGCGCGGCTTCGGCAGCCTTGACGGCATCGGTCTGCGCATTGTTCTTGTTCCCAACGTTCAGGGGCTTAACAGCAGGAGCGGGAAGGCGTGATGGCTGCTGGGCCTGCGCGCCGTTTGTCCTCGGCTGGGATGAGGAACCGATGCCATTGGGATAACGGTTGGCTGGGGACTGGGGGGTCTGGTCCTGGCGCGGTCGCTGCTGATCGCGTACAGATGATGAACTCTGCTGGGTCTGTATTGGGGGTCGCTGCGCGCTCGAGGATGGTGGTGCGGGGGCTGGTCTCTGGGCACGCAGATCTGCAGGGTTGGTGACTTTCTTTGGTGCTGATGGCGCTGGCCGGACGGGGTTGTAGCGATCTTGCTGAGAAGAGCTGGATCCGCCGTACCCGCCCAGCTCCTGCTGCGCGATCGGAACTTTCTTCTGAGGGATGGAAGCATTGTAAGCCTCCATGTCCAACCGATTCTGTTCCTCTTCTCGCCGCCGCGCCTCTTCCTGCTGCTGCCGATACCTGTCCTCAGCACCGTAGTTGGACGGGGTGCTCTGCATAGGCGGTCGCTGGTCCGGAGGTGAGGGCCTGGGGGGTTGGCCGGAGCTCATGCTGCTCTGGGAGGGGGTCGACGTGTAAGCAGGGCGCGGCTGTGGCGGCTGTGGCGCCTGGCGGGGAGGGGCGATGGAAGAGCCTGCGTAGCCCAGCTGCTTGTTCTGCATACTGCTCGGGGGGGGAGTTGGTGTGAGGCTGGGGTACTGGGCAGGGTTCTCGGCACGCTTCGTCAGGTCCGAGTAGAAGTCGAGGACCTCAAAGACTGCCTGCGGGTTCCGCTCGTAGTCTTCCTTGGTAATAGCAGACGAGTTCAACAGCTTGGACCATTCTGGCGGCAGGCCAACAAACTCGCCCGTCTGAGGGTCGAAGCCGACGTGGACAGCATGGGAGAAGTTGGTCGGGTTGCTGACACCACCCATGCCAGGGCACCTGGCATAGATGAAATCTATCCACTCGTAGAGATCGTCGTCACTCTTGACGCGGATCTGCAGGGACTTGGTCGTTCCATCATCGTCTCCTGGACTCGTCGAGGTCCCATTAGAGTGTCGCTTGACCTCGAATATCGTTCCCGCGGCCTCGACCCGCCCCACATTGATAACGTCCTTCAGGAAGAGAGTGTATGAGACCTTGCCGCCTTCTTGTTTGTGGAAATCCAGTGCCTCTTTGCGCAGGACCAAAAATTTCTGTTTCCACGGCTGGATGAAGTTCTTACTCTCCTTGACCTGCGCCCAGCCCTCCTTGATGACCGCCACACCACCCATGCCGTCGTTCCGGTTAGGGTTGTTCACGGGCAGGGCTATCGTCGAGCCGCTGTACTGGGTCGGAGTGCGTGAGATAGGGTTTAAAGACAACTGGCCCATGCTGTTGGGTAGAGTTGGAGTCTGAGGAGTGTAGTTAAGGCGGGGTTGGGCGTTCACGGGTGGACGAGGCGCAGGGCCTGGGTTCATGAACTGGCCCGAGGTGTACATGCTATCAGATGCAACACTTGGTCAGCGAAAGTGTCCGTGCTGGAATGCTACTCAGGGATGGGGGGAGAAGATATCAAAGAGGACGCTCAATACGCGACACTGCCTCTAAGCCGAGCGCCATGTATGAATGAGGTGTCAAGGATAGAGTAGTGGCCGCTCATGCAACGGACATGAATGGGAGATGTACTGAGGAGGGGGTGGAGTTGACACGTACTTGGGAGCCGCCATCGTGATTCACCTGACAACGCAAGGCCGATTCGATCTGTTTACAGTTCGATAATGGAGGTCGAGACAGAAGCCGCGAGAAACAGCTGGCAAGGCCAAACAAAGGATGTGTTCGTCGGGACGGTTCCTCAGCCTCCTGAGGTGGGTCGTCTTCCAAGATCCCGCCCAGGAGACAAAGCAAGGCTGAGTGTAAGCCGACGGGAAGGAGTCGGCAGTGGTGGTACTTTTCAATTCTGGTGCGAAAAGGTCACCATCGGGGGATACAGACAATCCGCAGTCTCAAGATGGGCGTCCCTGGAACTGATGCCCCAAATTGCAGAGACGACAGCCAGACGAGGGAGAGGGCGTGGTGCAGTCGCCCAGGGTCAGGGAGGGCCAGGCCAGGCTGGTTGAGCTTGAGTCTTTGATGAGGTGAGGCTAGAGAGACAACAAGGCAAGACAAGACAAGCGAGTGCCAATGATATGCTGCGTGCTGAAGAGACTCAGATGCAGGTGCAGTGGCGGTAGATTGTGTCGCGGAGGAAGCGGGCAGGAGGCATGCAATGCCGCCCGATTGAGTTCAACAAAAACGCCTTCAGCTCGATATGCAAATCAAGGCGAGACCAGTCGATAGGAGATGCAATATGAGGCAGAGCAGGGCGAGGTCAGAACAAATTGTGGTCAACAGCAGTGCTGTGGCTCGCGCGATGTCGTTCTTCCTTGTGAAAGGGCAAAGATGGAAGACAGGCGACCGATGGATTGGTCTGGTCCCTACTTGATGGGTGTTTGGCTCGGGTCCGGTCCAAGGTCGGGTATAGTCAGGGGCTGTTTCGCCTTTCTCTTGGGCCACAATATTCAAGACCCAAGATGCAGGGGTCAAAGGAGCAGAGGCAGGACGAGACGAGACAAGGCGGTGACTGAGCGGCGGTGACTGAGCGGCGGGCGGGGATGAAAGGGGGGGTGTGGTTTGGAGGAGGGACTGTGACTGTTGCCCAGGTGCCGCGGATGACGAGCCCGAGGTGTTTTGGGGGCTTTGGTGCTGGTGCTGGTGCTGGTGCTGGTGCTGGTGCTAGTCAGTGGCCACCCATCAGCAGCAGTCAGTATTTTGGCAGCAAAAGCTTCCACAAGGCTGCATTCAATGTAGAACGAACTGGACAAGTAGTAGAAGAAAAGAATGAGACAAAATAAATAATAAAGCACAACTCAAAAGCCCCAGAGTCTCTTGAGATTTAGATGGTTGCAGGAAGACAAGCAAGCCTGGCTGGTGAGGAGGTGTCTGTTAAGGAGGGGATGTGAGAATGTCCTACAGCAGGAGCCCAAAGTAAGGTGAAAAAGGTAGGCTCCCAAGGTGGAGATCTGGAGGGGGGCACAAGAAACGGGAGGCCCCATCGATAGCGTATCGAGCCCTCTGATATGGTGCGTTGGCTGGTGGGCATAGGTCGGCTACTGTGCTGGTGCGTTTCTGGATCGGTTGACGGCGGGTGTCGGGAAGGGGGACAAAAATGGCATCTCAGATTGTTAGGGGATGGCAGGGACAGCTTACTCACCCCTTGGTGTATATTTGTTAGCCTCTGCTGGGCCTCTGATCGGCGCTAGACACCTAGACCCAAAAGCAACCAATCCCCCACACTTGTTGATCCAATCTTTGGTGCGCAAATCCGATTCGACCATCAACAAGCTTTTCCTAAACATGTGACCCTCAACCACCAATGCCTTTATCCAGCCTGGTTGGCTTGGTCAGGCCAACCAAGCGATTGCAAGGCTATAGAGCAGCTCTGGCCATATCAACAAAACAAACAGTTACTATACAAACACTAAAAAGATGGCCATTACTAAATAATACAAGCTAGAAGTGGACATGGTCTATATAAGACATCTGGACCGCACAGTTAGACATAAAGACCACAGCCTCAAACCTCGAGTACATGCATCACATATAGCCAGACTTCAATGCTGGTTCAGACAGCATCCTACTGCACAATCCTGAGCCAGAGCTATCGCTAGTAAACTGGTCTTGAACACCTCACAACTTGCCTACTTGGGTACTTACCTACCTCGCCTGCTGATGTGAACACAAACACATCAGCCACTCGAAACTCGGCATTGCCATCACGAGCACATCATAAGGGCTGTCACAAAGATAACGCGTGCCTGCCTCGATGTCACGAAGCCTGGGTAGCCTGTGTTCCCTGGCAGCTTCTCTACAACACCTCCATCCCTGCATCTGCAGTACGGAAACAAAGAAACAAACAAACACTTACACCACTTGTGCTTGAATACGACTGCACCATCCAGTCACCCCCCCCCCTTTTTGTCTAGCAGTACTCCCCATCGCAACTGGATCAGCCTACTCCTTACCATCAATTCTCATTGCCTGAGCAAACATCATCACCATGGCATCAAACTATCCTCAAGTTCCGCTACTCCCAGGTTTGAATTCACAAGCGTCAGTTTCACTAACAACATCAACAGCGCAATCTGAGACATCTGCAACCTCTCCGCCTGTTTTTACGCCGGAGAATTCACCAACATCATCCCCAGGTTCTTCTGAATGGATGCCTTTACGAATACCATTCACAACCCCTGATGACATTTTCAAGCAACTCAACTGCATTCAAGGGAATTTCGTTGTAGTTACGAGCATGTTGATCCATCAAGATCTCATGAGGCTTTGCTGAAATTTCTTTTCAGATGTTTCTTCCCAAGCCTATGTTGCACTTGATAAAGAAAGAGTTGCCTGTCGCCGCAAATTACGATTCCGATGATACTACTCTAGAACAGAGACTCTCATCATCGTTGTTCCTACCAGAGAACATGAATTGCTTCATGCTGGAATCTACGATCGAATTGTTCGCCAGTTGGACCGAATGGGTTCCTTGGACAGCTGGGTACCAATTCATAGTACAACACTTCGAGAAAGAGGCCATCCTGATGGCGATGGCGGTGAAGGCGATTCTGCGGGTGGTCCACACCCAGCTCGAAACATAGCCGGGGCGTGGCCAACATTGGTCATCGAGGCAGGAGTAACGGAATCGATGGCGCAACTACGACTAGATATGCAGTGGTGGTTCCGAGCCTCCGATCATCAAGTCAAAATTGTTATCATCATCAAATTGAATCGCGATAACAACCAAATCATTCTTGAGAAATATCAAGAGACTCCTACATCTGCTCGACTAGGAGCGACGACGACCCGAGCTTCAATAGTGCAAACGAACGGTGTGTTGCCAGAACCGCAACAAAGGATTAACATCACTCGAAATGTCGGAACGCCCCCATCGTATCATGTCGCTAGGGGCGCGTTAATTCTCAGCTTCCGGCTTCTATTCTTAAGAGATCCGGGCCCGGACGAGGGAGATATCGTGTTGGGTGTTCCGGAACTACAAATATACGCAGCAAGGGTCTGGGCAATACTCGGAGAATAAAGGCATGTTGGGAGCGCGTATTTGGTGATCGTCTCGGGCTCGGTGGTACTGATTTCAAGACAAGCGAGATGTATTTTATTGCTCGATACTGTGCTCTGCATACTTACTGAAGAGGCATACTACAAGCAATCCAAAACATGAGGATTTGCCCCATCCCTCCGTACCCCCTCTGACTCTACCCTGAGAACGCCGTGAAAATCCCAATAAAAAAAAATCCTTACGTTGTCCTGTCCCTTATCTCCACCCCCAAACCAAAATCATTTAAATCCCCGTTCACCCCAAACCCTGTACTCATCCATGATCGAAAACAACAAGAAAAACTAAATTTCTTTTTTTCCCCTCAAGAGACCTGGAAGGTCTTACCGTTGGACCCATTCAGGTCGCTGACCTTGCGCTTCTTGGGCTGTGGCACGTCGGTTACAGGCTCCTTGTCGGATATGACATCGGTGCCGGAGACAACGGGGAAAGGCGACAGGACCTTGGAGATGTCACCCCACCAGGCTTCGCCGAAACGGCGGTACCATTGGACGGTGATACGCAGGCCGTCGGCGAAGGAGGTCTTCTGGTCCCAGCCGAGCTGGCGCAGCTTGGTGCCGTCGACAGCATAGCGGTGGTCGTTGAAGGGGCGGTCGTGGGTGTACTTGACCCACTTCTGGAGCTCGTCCTGGGTCTCGTGGGGGATGCCCATCTCGGCGAGCAGCTTGCTGCACAGGGTCAGGTTGGAGATCTCGTCGTAGGAGCCGACGTTGTAGACCTGGCCCATTTGACCCTTGTGCAGGATGGTGTCGAAGGCGTCGGCAGCATCACCGGCGAAGAGGTAGCGGCGGGTGGGGCTGCCATCACCGTGTAGTACGACGGGTTGGCCGCGGTTCAGCAGACAGCTGAACTTGGGGATGATCTTCTCTGGGTACTGGTGCGGCCCGTAGACGTTGTTGCTGCGCACGATGATGACGGGGAGCTTGAAGCTCTTCTGGTACGAGTGCACGAGCATCTCGGCGGCGGCCTTGGAGGCGGCGTAGGGGTTGGTCGGGGCGAGGATGCTGCTCTCGAGGAGGTCGTCGTCGTCATCCTTGACCTCGCCGTACACCTCGTCCGTCGAGATGTGGATGAAGCGCTTGATGCCCACCTTCTTGGCGCTCTCGAGGAGCACGTGTGTGCCGTACACGTTGGTGTGGGTGAAGCCGTACGAGTTGCCGAAGCTGAGATCCACATGCGACTGTGCTGCGAAATGGAAAATGGTGTCGATGTTGTGCCGCTCGAGGCAGCCCACCACTTCGTCTGGGTTGGTAATGTCACCCTGGTAGAAGGTGAAGTTGCGCTTGTCGTTGAGCATGCGCGTGTTGTTGAGCGACGAGCAGTAGTCCAGCTTGTCGAACGAGACGATGTTGTACGCATGGGGGTACGTCAGCGTCAAATGGCGGACGAGCCAGCAAGCACTTTGTCCTCACTGTCAGCACGCTTTCTCTCCTCTTTTCTCCTCTCCTCAAAAAACAACCATTATCACGCCCTCCAACGTGAGATGTGTGAATGTGACTTTGAGTGGAGAGAAAGATTATAAGTGAGTTGAAGGAGTAAGACATCCACATACATGAAGCCAGCTCCTCCAGTGATCATGATATTCTTCACATCCGGGAGAGGCTCAAACTTGGTGCTCCCCGTCAGGACAGGTGCTTCCTTCCACAGGCCATAATCTTCAAAGAAACTAGGCCGTCGGCCGTTCGCCCCTAGTAAGTCCTCTGCGCATCAGCATGTTGTGCTCGGCACGAGTGTGGCATCACTGTTATCTTCATCAGACTGGGAGGGTGACTACGAACCATTCAAGCCATTGGAGTGACCATTGGCCCCAATTCCAGGACGGGTGCCGTTTGATGAGGTCGCCATGGTTCTGATTTTCTCAATTCAGATCAAAGAAATGGAAGGGAAAACAAGATTGTTGATTGTGGTAGTGGTAGTACACAGAGAGAAGGGGCAAGAGAGAGCAAAGAGAGAACGTGTGTGTCTTTTGCAAAGAGACAGGCTATTTTCCGGCGAGGCGTCGTTGGGGGGGCGGAGACTCAAATCAAGTACGAGCTGGTGAGACTAGATCCAGAGCAAAACAGCTCAGCTGATGGACCTGATTCACAATGTGAGAATAAGAAGGCAAAAGAAGGAAGGGGAAAAGGAAGAAAAAGACAAAAAGGGCTGTCTCGTTTCGTCGTTTGTTTTCCCTCCCTGAGTTCAACGATCGACCTGAGATTGGCGTGTCTTCCTTGTCTTTTAATTCATCCGCAAGGGAGACAGACAAGACTTTGTTTTTTTGTCGGTTCCAAATCAAGTCAATCAGTCCAGCGGACTCTTGTGGTGCCGGGCAGGTAAAAGCAGTAAGAGGCAAAGCTTCGAGGCCGTGATCCAGCAAGGGAGACTGCAACAACCAGTGGGTATCCAAGAGATTAATTATGTTTCTGGCTGAGAAAAAATGTTTCTGGCTGAAAACTAGATTCCCTTTGCTCTTTTATGTATGTACTGTATACTGTTCGCTTCCAAGGGCGAGAACACGCTGGCATGGTTGTGTCTCGAAAGCAGACTCGAGAAAGAGGGTCCGGGGAAGTCTAAAAAAGCTGCGCCGGCTTGTTAGTGGCATCATTTTCCTTCTATTTTCCAGTACATGCCCGCTATCGTAGTTGCACTATGGCAAGAATCTACCGCTTACAGGGGAACCCCCCATCCTTCTTCTAGTGGAGCCTACAGAGGTCCAAGTGCTTCCCTGCCGAGGCCATGTACCGGTACTTCTTGTTTTTTTTTGGGTAGCTTTTCTTGGGGGGGGGGGGGGGTTTGAACCACCACCAGCCAGTGCGCAGTTTGCTCCAATGGCAGGAGAACTAAGTACTTGGAGAATGCAACAAGCTATTCTGTCTTTTTCCTACGGTCGGACAAATCGTTCCTTTCCATGCAGATGTGGCCCTTGAGAGGCACGGACTCTATGGCAGAGCTCAGCTCGGCCCATCCCACAGCTCAGCTCATTGCCATGGCACGCGCACGCGCAACTATTCCCAGAGCCTCTAGAGTCTGGATCAACGCCACATGGTGCGAGTAGACCAGCCTCTAGAAGGTCGCCCCGCCGTACTATGATGGCGAGAGTCGATCGAGAGAGAACCTAGGGCCATAGGCATGCTATGAGAGAATAAGAATTGACAGCTGAGGGCGGAAGGACCAGACCTTGACATCGGCCGGCCCGCGCGGTCCACATCCCTTTCATCGCCGCCCACAATCAATCAATTACTGATGCAAACGTAAGGGACAGACAAACATCCCCACGGCTGGATCAGCCCAGTCTTTTGCCAGCCAGAACAACCTGCTACCCAAAACTTCAGACCCCCAATTTCTATTGCATATTGGGCCCCTCCCACAAGCCGACGGCCCCCTCCAAGAATGACGAGGGTCAACGCAAGCAAACGGCGTCCGAACGAATATTCCCTGGAATGCGCCGATCACAGGCAGCTCTCTCGCTTCTCTCATCTCCTCCAGTCACGGTGAATAATCTTGAAACGTGCCAGAGGGGGGAGGGCCCCAGAAATGGCCCGCCCCCCTGTTCATTCGGCCCTTGACACACCACCAGTACATACCTAGCAGTAGTATACGCGCCACAGCGGTGAAAGAGGAAGGGAAGGAAAAGAGAGGAAAAAGAAGAAAAAACGAGTCAATAGGTTAGACAAGATTGTCTCTGTTTTTTAAATTCTGTTTCTTGTCATCAAAGCCCCGCGTCAGGAATAGAGACAGATAAGGCACGAGGGAGAAAAAGAAGACGGCGTTGACAGCCCCGTCAAGCCCTCCCTTTCTCTCGCGTGTGCCTTCTGGTGCCTCGAGACACATGCCATCCCTCATGGCCAGAGTCTCAGCCGTCGGGCCCGTCCTTAGCTGTGCCCGTACCACGGCGTCGTCGCCGGCGGCGGCAGAAACGATTTTCGGTGTTTCGGTCGCAGTTGCACAAGAACATACGCACAAACACACACACAAAAGAAACGACAGTTCACCCATGATATTGCGCAAACATCACTCTGGGCGGTGATACTCGCTCAATGAAGCAGTCCTGCACGGATCTACGACAGATGCGTCGTCAACCTACCCCACACACATGACGCACACTGGCTCTTCCAGGGTGCCATCACGGCACACCTGGGGCCGATCAACGTGCGGTAGGTGGCACATGGTGGTACTGTATAATAGATACCAAAAAAGGGTGGGCAGTGTGTGTGTGTGTGGTGTGGGCCTTGTCGGCGAAGGGGCCCCTGATGTCTGAGGAGGTTTCGTGGTCCATCCACGGGCAATGATATTACTATGATGAGACTCTACGTACACACTGGCCCAGATGTGTGACGACTTAAGTTAGAATTTAAGCTCTCGTGAGGTCATAGGTATTGCCATGATACACAGTACCAAACTCGACATTATGGCACGACAGACAGCCGGTTCGAGCTGTCAGTCATCTGCAGGCCAAGCCAAATCCTACGTTGCCAGGATGAAATACTATTAGATCATAGTACATAACCCACAACAAGTGCTGCTGGGTGCGTGTGCATGTGTGTGCCATGCCACGGCAGATCGATCAGGAACATGGAGACAGAGGGCCCACTCGTACCAGCGCTTCCTCCCCCTTTCCCTTTTCTTTCGGAGGAGTAAATAGTACTTTGCTGTCCCCTTGGCTGCATCTGACGAACGTGCATACATAAGTACTATCGGAACTAATAGTGTATGAGCCGCTGGGTCGGTACTGGGCTGGAGACGACAAGAGCCATGTACAAGTATTGATGAGGGGCCAAGAAATGCAAGACTGCGCGGGCCGTCCCACGGGGGGCTGACGAGGGCCCAGATTTTGACACCTCATCTATGGCAATAGTATACGTAGATACGCACATCCTCGAGGCGAGATTGGCAGGCTGAGGAGCTCGCTTGACTGGCAGGTTCCCGCTTGGCAGGTCTCGTCGAGGTGGCTGCGTGCATGGGCGACGACTTACGTGGTGGAACATATTCTCAGTTGTGCCATCGAGAAACCTTGACCCCACACCCACTGGCAAGGCAGTTCTTGGGTAACAGTTTGTTTACATGACGACCCAACAAAACCCCGCCCCCTGGCTTCAAGACATGGTATGCGTAAGTATGTGCCATGTCACAGTGGCTGGCTGTGCTACGCTATGGCCTGAGGATCCAGGGCCATGTGGTCACGGACAAGGAACGCAGCTCTGTCCAAGGGAAACAAAGTAAAAAAAAAAAAAAAAAAAAGAACAGAAAAAAGGGTCTCGAGAGCATAGACGAAGAAAGGGACGCACGCGTCTCTTCGTGGCTGGCGCTCTCGTATAACGCCAGTTATGCGATTTCCCTGGCCGTGCTCGAGGGGGCGCGCGGCTGAAGAGGCACGGACCCAGCAGGACGTAGTAGCTTTGCGCCTTCTGGGCGGGGTGGCCGGTGGGCGCTGCAACATTGGCTGCTGGTTTAGCTCGGAGGGAGAGCTCGGAGGAAGGAGGAAGCGAGGGAGGGGGAAAGAGAACAGGACGAAAAGAAAAAAAGGCTTCAACACGAGCACGAGCCAGACACCAAGAGGTACCACTTCTTTCTCTGCGTCAAATGCGTCTAGACTATCGATAGGTTAGAGTTCTGGTCTCTGTCTGCGGAGTCTGGCGTCGCCTTGGCAGCGCTATCCGGTCGCTGCCTTACTTACCTGGGCGCGACAAGGCTGTATGTGGCTTTTGTTTTATTTTACTTTATTTCTTTCCCTTACTCTCCTCCTTTCTCTTTTTGTTTACACACTATGCACTATGGGAAAAGCTGAATGGGAATAGGGCCAGGGGACGGGGGACGGAGGGGGAGGGGACAATGTGCGCTTCCTCGATCGGACACGACACATGTTCTCTTAGTCGCTAGTTTCAGGCTGAAAAATAAAAGAACAGGGCAAATCATCAGGGTTGATCCTCGGCGACCCGAGAGACTGGTCTCAACCTTTTCTGCCCTCTCACACCACACACACACACACACTCTCTCTCTCTCTCTCTCTCTCCCTCTCATCCTTTCTTTGTCCGCAAACAGGAGAAAATTGGATGAATGGATAATAATTATTTATCACTACAAATAGCCTGTAGTAGTATGTACGGACGGCGGTTCTGGTTTCGTGTATCGGACGAGGCTAGCCTTGTGAGACGAGGGTGGTTACGCCCTGTCACGTCTGTACCACCTAAGCTTCGAGGTCGGTCTCGAGGTACCTAGGTCCTTTAAAAAAGGGGCCCACTGTGTAGGCTTGTCGTCCCACTGCAGGTACGAAAGCACTTTAGTAGCTTTAGCACCATAGTAACATGGTCCATCTCCAAAGGCCAGACTTAACATGTGAATCAGTACTTTTTTTCTCTCTCTCCCACACACACACACATGACCAAAAAAAAAGGAAACGGGAAAAAGGCGGAATGCCCCACCATGAGATAGCCCTCGGCAAGAACAGAGGGAAAAGAGATAGAAGAAAAAAGTCTAGATCAAATATGAGCGCGTCTGAACTCGCGCTGGTATGAGAGACAAATTGTTCAATTGACATGGGGGATGGGTAATTGACCATCTCGTTCCAGAGGGCTTAGAGGACAGAGATGTATCGATACGTCTGGGCACCCCTGCTGCTAAGGGTCCTGCCCCTTCCCCCTACTGATCACTCTGCCTCTTTCCTTCCATCCCCCCCCCCCCGGGTCGTCTCCTTCCCCACCAGCTTCAGGGCTATTCTAAACGCTATCGGCTGCAGGGCGTCCCGTCATTGCCCCTGCGCAAGGGAATAAATAAAAAGGGAATGAACGCAGGCCATCGATCCCGGATCGAGTGCCGACCACGTAAACCGTATTGCGCAGTGTGCATCTGTGCTATCAAAAAGGTGGTCACAAAACCAAGGAGCTTCTCTTCTCAGGTGAAGATCGTCATCCTAGCCCAGGCCACCCCCTCCTCCTCCTCCTGTTTCCCCATCTTGATCCGCGTCACCTTTCCCCGTTTGCACACTCTCCACACCTTGGTTTTTTTATGCACATGTCGGCGACAAGAAGCCACCTCGGTGACTATTGCACATGCATGCGGCAGTGGCAGCAGCATCGACAGCAGCAGCGATCTAGATATTAGCTTAGTTTCTGGGGCCATAATAGTCTGGACAGCCCGCCCCAAGCCACCCGATCCATTCCTCACCACCACCCGTCTCGCCCGCCCTCCCCACCGTTCGCATTTAGCTTTCTGGTTTCCGCATTCGGTACGAGTCGATCGCGCAGGCCACTGTTTCATTCCCACCCAGGCGTGGTCACTCCTGCTTCAAGACTTGTGTTCTTGTCCTCCCTTTTTCTCTCTTTTCTTTAAACACTCCGTCTGGTCCGCCTTGACTGGAGTCGCTCTGTCTATTCATACTCATCGGAGCATATCTTCTCTCTCTCGTCCCGTCTTTATTACATCCCATCTCCCTCCCTAACTCCACTCCTATCTGGGCTTACGTCGTTCACCCTTTCGCTCCTCTGGCCGGTCTCTACCTCCTTCACGGCCTGCGACATTCTTCACATTCACCACCACCACCACCACCACCACCACTACTACTTCAGACCTACTCAGCAGCCATGTCTTCAGAAGACGGTCGGTCCGAAAGGGCAGGCTCCATCGCCTCGTCTCACACCGAGGCAGGCAGTCATGAGGAGTTTAACGAGAAGTCGGTCTACATCCGCGATGACGAGAGCCTCTCAAACCTCAAGTCCCCTACCGTGTACCAGGACAGCCACCACGATGATGAGATCCAGGAGGAGGACGAGGAGCTGCTCGCTCACCAGTCGGAGAAGCCAGAACCAGCAAAACCCTCGGCAGCATCTGGTATAATATGGATCGCCGTGAACACACTGGCCACTGTTGGCATTGTAAGACTCTCCACCGTTCTGACAGCAACCGTTGGTACTTAATTTAGAGGGCAACGTTGGACGGCCAGGCTAGGGCTTGGTTGCGTTGTGTCGCGTTGCGCAAGATCTCGGCTAACACCGCATCACGCCCACTAGGTCTTCACCAACAAGGCCATCTTCTCGGACCCGTCCCTGAAGCTCGCCCAGCTCACTTTCGCAGCCTTCCACTTTTGCATCACATGGCTCACCCTCTTGATCCTCTCCCGCCAGAGGTTCGGCTATTTTGAACCCCGGAGGACGTCTATCCGCGCCATCTTCCCGCTCTCTGTCGCCATGTCTCTCAACGTCATCCTGCCCAACCTGTCACTGGCCTTCTCCAGCGTCACCTTTTACCAGGTCGCCCGCATTCTCCTGACGCCTTGCGTGGCCCTGATGAACTTTGTTCTTTACAAGGCCACCCTGCCGCGCAATGCCCTCTTGGCCCTGGTTCCGGCCTGCTTTGGCGTCGGCATGGTTAGCTACTATGACAGCCTCCCCGCCGCCGACGCCAGCGTCAAGACTACGAGCGGCCTGGGCGTCATTTTTGCCTTCTCCGGCATCTTCGCCTCTTCTCTCTACACCGTCTGGATCGGCGCCTACCATCGAAAGCTCCAAATGAGCTCCATGCAGCTGCTGTTCAACCAGGCCCCCGTCTCGGCCTTTATGCTACTCTACGTGATCCCCTTCGTGGACACGTTTCCCGTGTGGAGCGAGGTGCCGCTCAATCGATGGGTTATGATTATGATTGTAAGTTCCCTGCAAAACAAATCCCTGTGGAGGATTAAAAAAAAAAAAAAAGGGGGGGCCGGGGTCAAGAACTCCCAAATTTAGTGTTGCATGTGGCATAGTGACTGACTCGGTGTTGTGCTTGGGAAATTTAGTCTGGTGGCTTCGCCGCGCTCATCAACATCTCCCAATTCTTCATCATCGCACAGACCGGCCCCGTGTCAAGCACCGTCGTCGGCCACGTCAAGACGTGTACCATTGTCGCTCTGGGGTGGATGACCTCGGGCCGGGCGATCGGGGACAAATCTGTAATGGGTGTCTTTGTTGCTATCGGGGGCATCATCGCGTGAGTGGATCTCTTTTGATTGAATCACCGTCGCGATTTTCATCATGCTAATCAAGTGTGTCTACAGTTACTCGATAGTCATGCTAAAAGAGAACCAGAAGAAGTTGGGCCAGGGCGTCAAATGAGTCCTGTTGCCCTGCCCTGGCTTGGTTTTTCTTCTTTTCTGCATTATAAAAATATATATATATATATATATATATATATACATATTTCAAAAATATTTAGCGCAATGATTCATGATCTTTTCCCTCCATCTGCTGGACCCGATATCTCTTCCTTTTTCTCTCCTTATATGTGTCCTAAAAGTATGAGGTCGGTGTTGTTTACAATGGGACAAGTAAAACTACCCTAAAGGCTAGGAAAACCGTGAATCTTACCTGGGGACAGATAAGGTGGGGAAACACAGCTTCACAAGAGAAGGCAGCTGGGCCGAGAGAACCATCTCATCGCCTTCTTCTTTCCCCCCTGCCGTTTCTTTCTCATGCCTGGATCTCGAACTGAAAACGAAGTGGCTCCGTACCGTGCATTCTTCTTCCCCTCCCTCAGTGGTGGTGTGCGCTCTACGCTATGGCCTATCACCACCACTGTACTCTGGTCTGCTACTGCTACTGCTACTGCTCTACTAGTGACTACTACTAGTATTCATCCCTGCGTGGCGTGCAAGACTAGAAAGGGGCCCATATACTTAGGTAGGGCCCGGGCTATGGGGGGGCCCCCGACTATTTAGTAGCTGCTGTACGCCGCCGCCAAGACCTCTCTTCAGCTGAAGTAAGGCATACCCACCCACCTACCCGCACAGGGCTGGCCTAGGCGGCCGTCCCGGGATGTAGCCCATGATGTTTTCTTTCCTTCCCTTTCCTCCTCGCCTTAGGAGTATTTTAGAACTTTGTTCAGGCAGCCACAGCGGGGCTATGAACGCCACACCATGCGAGCATGCTGCTTACTAGCCAGGGATAACACAAATTTCGATATACACATTCAGACGAGGGAGGAAGAAGATCTTCCATAGGAGAGGAGGGTCCATCGGGCAAAGGGAATAAGGGGTCCCAGGGAGATGGGAAGCACTAAGGTGAGTTGGACGGACGGCACCAGGACGACACGGCACGGCACACAAGATAGACTTTGAAGGACGGACGGGAACATGTTCCTACCCTAAGTTTACTTTTCACCCATCCCACCATCCCCGCCGCTGCTGGCCGAAAGCAGAAAGACTTGTGTTCCCATTTCGGGACGAGGAAAGCCGAAGAGGGAACCAATATGTCTGAACGCGTTTCTAAGAGAAGCCCCCCCTTCCCCCTTTCTCGTGGCGTCGGGTGGATCGAGCCTACCTCCCGGCTGTACCATGTAGCTGGACTCGCGGGTGGAGATCCCGTCCAGCCAGGTCAAGAGGGTCTAGAGTGCACCAATGCTGCCTCGGTAAGGTGGTGGGAAGGGCTATTGGCCAGGTACCAATGTACACACGCTTTGGGTCAATTGGGTATCGGCACCGGGGGGGGGGGGGGTCGAAAGGAAGGCAGATGGTGGCCTCGCCCTAGAAATTTTGGCCCCTCCTGACGTGGAGTAATAGGCATTGGTTTGTACAGTATTGACGGACTGGTGGTTCGCTGGCTGATTGACCGTATCTCTCATACGCGCTCCTTTTCTATGACATAGCGGCAGAGTACTACCTACAGGTTGAACCGCGTCCGCGACTTCTCCATCTTGGCCTTCCATTCCCACGACAGCGCATCCTCGCCTTCGCTGCCTGCTCGTCCGATGCCCTTGTCCACACGGCGAAGTTTGAGGGTGCATCGGGGCTGTACGAGGTCCGTCAGTGAATGAGCTGCGGGAAAACCAAGAGGAGCGATTCCCTCCCGAGAGAGAGAAAGAATGAAAGAAGAAAAAGAAAAAGAAAAAAATATGAACAACTGGGAAGACAGAGTTAGGAGGTGGCGGCGGGTATATTAGTATAAACTTACACCCAGCTCCTGAAGACCAACTCTGATGCTCTCGACACCTTTCAGCTCCTTGCCGTCGGCAGCCTGGACGCTCTTCTCCGTCTCTCTCTTGTCACGAAAGATGTATCTGTGACGCCGGAGGAAGATATAGTCGCCTGCAGGTTAGGTAAAGGGGGAGGATGTTAACACAAAAATGCTTTAGTGATGCGGCGGTCTCGGGAAAGGGGAAGGGGGCGGGCACGTACGCTGATTGTGCAATGTCACCACCTGCCTCGCCTGGACGTCCGGCTGCGGGGGGAACAGCGTCTGGAAGCTCTTGGCCGCAAGCAGGCCAAGGCTGCTCTTGAAGTTGTTGAGGAGCAGCTCCGGGTAGAACTCGTCCTGCGCGTTGCCGTGGCCGGGCAGTTTCGAAGCCGGTATCCAGTTGTTGACAGAGTACGTCAGGGTCGGGCCGTGGGGGAGATGGACGACGGTGAGTCTGTTGGGCTTCTTCTGGTCCTCGTTGAGCACCAACACGGTCGTGTAGTCCCGGTTCGAGGCAAAGCGGCAAATCTCCCTGACGCTGTACTTGTGCCCGTATCGATGCGCCGACCTTCGTATATACTCGGAGTTGGGGAAGAGCGACATGAGGATCTCGGCCTCCTTGTGCAGGGTCGAGTTGAGGGATGTGGTGATCAGGACCTTGGGGACCCTTGGGGGCTCGTCGTTGAACAGGCTCGGGAACTTGGCAGAGAGAACGGCGGGCGTCATGTCGAAGTTGGTGCTCGTCGTGGAGGGGGCGACACTCGACTGCCTCTGTGATCGCTTGGCGTGCATCTTCTCCATGAGCTTCTCCGCTGCCTCTCCGTCTGGGCCCTCCTCGTCTTCAACGTCGGATCCAAGCATGCTGTCCGCCTCATCGTCGTCTTCGTCGTTGTCCTTCTCATCCTGCTCCCCATCCATCTCGGCGGCGGCCTGCGCCTCCTCTTCCTCCTCTATCTTCCGCCTCTTGACCGCCACGACGTCGGCGCTGGTGTATAGACTATCCTCGTCGCCATCGTCCCACACCCGCTTCTGGTCGATAGTCTTGGTCTGGTTGCGAGCGAGCCGTTCTCTCTTGAGCTCCGGGTCCCTGGCCTCCTCCTTCCTCCGGCGCATGCGCTCCTCGCGCCTTGCCTTGCCGGACGTCCTCTTGTTCTGCACATGGAGATCTTTGCGCCGTAATTTGTTGCCTGGTATGTTGTTGGTGGAGGGCATATCTTATGGTGTTCTCACAAAAATATAGAGAGGGAGAGAGACAGGGTGTGGGCGTGTGTGAAAGAGACGGATTGAAGGAATTGTGTGGCTGAGATTTGATCAACTGCGATTGGAAAAATGGTTTGCATGTGAGCAGTTCTCGAAATTTTGGCGGGCCCAGAATGGTTTATCGAGATAAGTATCCTTTTTTTTTCTTTTTGGGGCTTGCCTGCCGGATGGGCCTGGACCTGCTACAGGGGTTTGTGGTTTTGGGTTTTGGTTGCTGCCCCTCACTAAGACACAGCACTGCGGGGGAGAAGCACAGCAGCAGGCCCTGGTCTGTTCCTGAAATTTGGTGATCACTTTTGGAAATCTGAGTCAACGATAGCCTTCCTCCCACCTTGAAGCTTTCAACACCACTACTCGTCCCCTCTTTTGATCTCTCCGCCCCCCTACCCACGACGCATGACTCACAACCCCTCTGTCATTACAATTGTCAATTGATGAGAACATTGAGGATATTCAGACCACTTGTTGGTACGCGTCCTGTCCTCCCAACAGCAGCATTCAAGACAAGCTCGACCCGACTGTTTGCCTGCTCTCAACCCCCAGAACCTATACACGGAGGAGAAGTTCCCAAGCAGCCCAAGATGGCAACCCTGACCACCCGCACCGGTCAGACTATGGACCGTCAAGGCATGGAGTCCATGCTGCGTCGACGCATGTTCTACACGCCCGCCTTCGAGATCTACGGCGGTGTCGCTGGTCTCTACGACTACGGCCCTCCGGGCTGCGCCCTTCAGGCCAACCTGATCGAGACCTGGCGCAAGCACTTTGTCCTCGAGGAGGACATGCTCGAGGTCGACTGCAGTGTCGTGACCCCCCATGACGTCTTCAAGACCAGCGGCCACGTCGACAAGTTTGCCGACTGGATGTGCAAGGACCCAAAGAACGGCGAAAACCTGAGAGCCGACCATCTTGTCGAGGCCGTCCTGGAGGCAAGACTGGAGGGCGACAAGAAGGCGCGCGGCGAGGAGGTCCAGGACAAGGAGGTCGACCCCAAGAAGAAGAAGAAGAAGGTCTCTGCTGAGGTCAAGAAGCTGGACGACGCCCTTGTCAAGGAGTACGAGGAGGTCCTGGCTCAGATCGACAACTACGATGGTGACGCCCTCGGCGGCCTGATCAAGAAGTACGACATCAGAAACCCCGCCACTGGTGCCGAGCCCTCGCCCCCGAGGCCCTTCAACCTCATGTTCCAGACCACAATCGGCCCCTCTGGCAAAGACCATGGATACCTCCGACCCGAGACGGCCCAGGGACAGTTCCTGAACTTTGCCAAGCTGCTCGAATTCAACATGCAGAACATGCCCTTTGCCAGCGCCTCCATTGGCAAATCCTACCGGAACGAGATCTCCCCGCGTGCTGGTCTGCTCCGTGTTCGCGAGTTTCTGATGGCGGAGATCGAGCACTTTGTGGACCCCGAGGGCGGAAAGAAGCATCCTAGATTCCCAGAGGTCGAGAACCTCGAGTTGACGCTGCTGGACAAGCACACTCAGCTGTCCGGCCAGACGACGACGCGGAAGATTACCATCGGCCAGGCGGTCAAGGACAAGGTCGTGGACAACGAGACCCTGGGCTACTTCATGGCTCGAATCCACCTGTACCTGGAGAGGGTCGGTGCGGATATGAGCAAGGTCCGCTTCCGACAGCATATGGCCAACGAGATGGCCCACTATGCCTGCGACTGCTGGGACGCCGAGATGCAGACCTCGTACGGCTGGATCGAGTGTGTTGGCTGTGCTGATCGATCCGCCTACGATCTGACGGTCCACCAGAAGAAGACTGGCGCACCCTTGATCGTGCGCCAGGTCCTGACCACTCCCATCGTCGAGCAGCTATGGGTTGTGGACATTGACAGGAAGAAGTTCGGACCCCACTTCAAGAAAGACGGCAAACTGGTGGCCGAGGCTATAGAAGCCCTCGACGAGCCACAGCTGGCAAAGTTCGCAAAGGATCTGGAGGATCAGGGTAGCTTCACCATCGATGTCCCTGGCATCGCAGCTGGAAATGCCACGGTTGGCAAGGACCTCGTCAAGATTGAGTACAAGAGCATAACAAAACACAGTAGGGAGTACACGCCCAACGTCATCGAGCCTTCGTTCGGGATCGGCCGCATTCTGTACTCGTTGATTGAGCACAGCTTCTGGACTCGCGGCACGGAGGGCGGTGATGAAGCTCGCGGTGTAAGCATTCCCTCAAGCCTTCCTCCACCCCTCCACCCCAATTTTCACACGACAGGTTGCTAATCCCACATCTTTGCAGGTCCTTTCCTTCCCTCCAGCAATGGCCCCGACCAAGGTCCTCATCGTTCCTCTCTCCAAGAACGAGGAGTTCTCGCCCATCGCACGCAAGATGGGCCACAAGCTCCGCCAGATGGGCATCTCCAGCCGTGTAGATGACTCCGGCGCCAGCATCGGCAAGAGATACAGCCGAAACGACGAGCTGGGCACGGCCTTTGGCATCACTATCGACTTCCAGACCGTCAAGGATGGCTCGGTCACCCTGCGGGAGCGCGACTCCACGAGGCAGGTGCGGGCGGATGAGTCTCGCATTCTGGAGGCCGTGCAGAGCATGGTGAACGGCAGCAAGTCGTGGAAGGACGTCGAGGGCGAGCTGCCCAAGTTTGAGACACAGGAGCTGGAGATTAGAGAAGCTTAGGTGCGAAACTGAAGGAGGAAGAGGAGGAAGAAGAAGAAGAAGCCACTGAAGCTAATTGAAGAACAAGTAAAAATGTCCCTTTGCGGAACAGCATCAGATTAGATGTTGAATCTTGCGCAGTATTCATCCATCATAGATGAGCAATGAATGAATGGCTTTGGGGAAGTAGATGGGTCAATGTGATATAGAAGAAAAGGAAAAGTACATTGTCTCGGCCCATACCTGATAGACAGGAAGCATGATCTCACAATCATGATTGTGATTTGGCTCCTGTTGGCGTGCTTCACCTGTGTTGGCTATTTGTTATCTTTGTATCTTTTCATCCCATGGCTTCATATTTGTAGACTTCTCTAGTCTCAGTCTCTTGGGGGGTTTTGACTACGCCACACACGAAGCTTCTCGACGAGTGACTTTCACACCTCTGGCTCGCATTAATACAAGGCACTCTCACTCACTGACCACACCACTAGTCTTCACAACGAGCGAAAGGAGGGCTGGAGTGCAGCACTTTTGACCAGACATGGACGGACAGGGCGAAGAAGACATACATTGCGGGCGCCCGCGAACAAGCACCGCATCCGTTGACAAAGCAAGAAGAATGAATGAATAAAACAGTAATCTCTACAAAGAAGTATTGCGAAATAAAAAGGAGAGAAACCATCTCTGGCGTTTCCGTATTTTTGTTTTTGTCATCTCCCCATTCGCGCCATGGGTCGGGCCCTTCGGTCGTCCAGCGGTTGGGTCATGCAATCGTCCTCATGATCAAATCTTTCTTTTTTGTTTCCCCTCAATACAATACGCCGCCGTGTTTCTCTTCGATCCCATCTGCTCCGCCCTGCAGCCCAGCAATTCTCTATGTACCAATCGTGGTGTGTTCCGACAAATAAGAAGAGCAATGGCCCCGCTGAATGCTGCTGTATGCAAAGCGACCGTGGTGGCGAGGCCCATCAGTGTGAGTACAGGTCTGCCAATGACTGCCGAGGACAATTCAGGAATGTCATCGCATCGCTCCTTCAATCCAAGTATGTTGGCGTCCTCCAAACATGTTGCAACAACAGAAAAATAGAAAACAAAACAAGAAAAAGGACCGCGGACTACCAGTACAACTAGTAAGGCCTTGGGCTGGCCGAATTGTTGCGACCTCCATTTCGACCAACACGGCCTCCGCGGCGCCCAGACGAGCCCCCATTCATACCGCCGTCAGCCATATTGTATCCAGGAGGTGGCATCCCGTAGCCAAAGCCACCCATACCCATGGGCATCGGCATAGGGTACGCTGGTGCAGCATAGGGGCTTTGGTTCCCAGCTGGTGGGATCGAGTTGCTGCGGTATTGATCCATCGGCAGGCTGGCACTCGGAAAGGGCATTCCAGCCTGCATGGGATAGTAGCCGTTCATTGGTGGGGTGCCTCGCAACATGTTCTGTTGATATGGCATGCTCATCGGTGGCATCCCGCCCTGCGCAAAGCCAGCAAACTGCTGCTGAGTATTCGGGTCGGCACTATCGCTCCGAGGGACAGCAAGGCTAGCATCAAAGCCACCAGGACTGATTCCGCTCGCAGCTGCGTTAAGCGGGTTGTAGAATGGACCGGTGTTAGCAGCCGCGTTGTACTGAGCAGCTGCAGCCTGCTGTGCTTGCTGTTGCGCTTGTTGTTGCTGCTGTTGCTGCTGCTGCTGCTGCTGCGCTTGTTGCTGCTCTCTTTGCTGCTGTTGATGGTTGTTGTTGCCGCCCCTCTGAGCTGACCTGCTTCGCTCGTTGTGGTTATCATTCCGGGAACCACCAGTGTTGCCACTGCGCGTCGACAGACCGACCTCGTCCATCAGCCGCTTGTATCCCTTGTCGGATTGAGCCTTGATACGGAGCAGGACAGTCTTGACATTCTCAATCACCTGGGAGCGAACAGCCTCGTCAAAGAAGGGCGTGGTGATGACCTTGAAGATCAGGGTTGCTCCACATTGCGAATCCCGCAGGATTGACTCGAGCGTCTGCTCGTTCTTGCTAAAGAACATGGCCTGCACAATCTTGTCACGTGCCTCGGGCTCCGTCTTCTGATTGATCACCTTCAGAACGGTCAAGTATGCGACCTTCTGGGTGCACAGCGTCACGAGGCAGGGAACCAGCTGCGGCGCCAGGACCGTCCGTCGTTGCGGGAACGTGCATGTGTCCAGGAACCATGTCAGAAGCAGAGCCGCGTTGTGGTTTGTAGCCAGCTGCACACTGTGGAGTGCGATGGCCGCAGCCAGTAGCCTCTGCTGGTCCTTGGTGGCGTGGTGGCTTTCCAGACAAGCACGCATGCCACGAGAGCCGAAGCGGCCCTGAGAAATCTGCCACATCTCGCTCATCATAGTCTCGAAGATGAAGTCGGTATACGGGGCCCCGAATTTCAGGCAGCCCTGCAAGACATAATTGCCATACTGGTCCAGGAACAGTGGGATCGTGTATGGCCGAAGGTGGGTTGTGATCACCTTCATCTGGCTATCCGTCTTGCAGACGCTGATGATCTTCTGGGCAGCCCAGGTACCGTTCTTGTGAACTCCTATCTCGGCAAGGTGCGGCGCGATCTTCTCTAGCATTACGTCCCTGGTCGGATCAGAGCATTGCTCAAAAAGCTTCTGCACCACCGTGTTGCCCAGGTAGTCCGAGGACAACTCGGCAATCTCTGGCAGCATGTCGTGAGCAATGTTCTCGATCTCGGCCTGGGGCAAGCTCTGGTTGTCGATTCTCTTGCGGATATCGCGAAGCCTGGGGGCATCATACATTCTGGTGCTGGTAGGCTCGCCAATTGGGGGAATCTCGTCGACCAGAGCACTGTACGTGATGGCATCCTGGAGGTTCTTGCTAATGCGAACGGCATCTTCCTCGGTTGCACCAAACTGCTTGACGATCTCAAGAATGTCTCCTGTCATATCCGCCAGTGGCGGGACAGAGGGCGTGACCATACCAGAAGCTGTGTCAGCCTCACCGAGCGCAGCCGTGGCCGGAACCTGAGATCCGTTTTGTCCCTGGGTGAAGGGAACCGGGCTGGGAGATGGCTGAGTACCATCGTGGCCTGGCGTTGGGGAAGCCGAGGGTGGCTTTGCGAAGTTTATGCGGACAGGCCCAGCGCCTGGAAAGATCTCTTTCCCGTTCAGCTCATTCTTGGCGCTGATAGCGCTCTCGATCCTCTCAAAGTTCACAAAGCCGCAGTTCTTGTGTGTCAAGACTCTTGTGAAGTGAATTGGACCGTATCGCTTGAACATCTCGTTGAGCGTGGTCGTGGTGGTGGATGTCGGGATGCTGCCGAGCCAGAGAGCGCTTGTTGGGCCCAGTTCTGGCTCGTCAGCATTCAAAAGGCCATTGTTCCGGCTGTTTGAGCGGCCTAGGTTCATGGCAGCAACAGCCGGTGCGAGTTCATCGATGACTGATCGGTCCTCTGCCGAAGCGAGGTCTGCAGCCGTGATTGAGCTGTCCAGGCGCGAAGGCGTTGGGTAGTAGTTGGTACGCATGAGCCGCGAAGCTGGACTGTCCAACACGGTCCCGACAGTCCTGGCACGGGGCCGGCCGATTGCAGCCTGGCTGTGGAGAGCCTGGACAGCGGCGTTGTGCTCGTCGATCGCCGCCTGGGTTGCGGCGAGCTGATGCTGGATAAACTCGTACTGGCTCTGGATGCTGTCTTGCTCATAGCCCACCTCGTTTTCGTTCTCGTACTCGTCGTCCTGATACTTGTCTTTGTGGTTGACCGAGTACGACCTGAAGCGGCTGGATTGTGCAAAGTCTGGCATCCGGTAACGCGCTTCCATCAGTGGCTGCGGTTGCGGTTGTGGCTGTGGGGTGCCCACAAGACCAAGATAATCAAGAGTCCTCGCTGGCACGTCGTTCTCGGCGCCACCTTCCCTGGAGAGCTGTGACTGTGTCGGGGAGCTGGGCCCGTTGCTCGAGACACTGGCAATGCTTGCCAGTGTCGAGCCGCGCTCGCGACCGACGGTGCTCCAGCTGCTGCTGAAGATGTTAGGGCCAAACGGTGAGCTTGTGCCCGACACATGCGGTGGGAAGGGGCTTCGCTGAGGTAAGGACCCGGCACGAAGGCGTGAGAGTAGGGCGGAAGGGTTGTTGGACGTCTCAGAAGGCTCAAGACCAGGCGAGGGTGACTTGAACGGGCTGTGCGAAGGAGATGGCCTGGAGGTCTTGAATGCCAGAGAGGGGAGGCTTAGCAGGCCATTGCTAGGCGGACCACCGGTAGTGAGACGGGACGGAAGCGTGCCCGCCCGAGCTCGACGTGTGGACGGCAGGGTGTCTTGGCCTGCGAGCTGAGGGAACTCGGGAAAGCCGTCTGTGGGCGACTCTGGGATGTTCTCGCGGAGAGGGGTAGAGTTGCCGCTGGTGGGCGGCCCGCCCCAAGGATTCACAGGTATACTAGACACACCTTCCTGTGCTTGAATCTCTCTGGCCCTAGATGTTGACGTCTGGTTAGCTTCTGCAAGCCTCGGACAGGAGAAGAGCTCAACATACCTCTTGCTTGGGAGAAACCTAGCACTGCCCGGAGCAGCAAGGGGATCATGAGAGGGAGACCCGGCGCCGGAGCGCGAGGCAGCAGCCATCTTGACCGAGGGGTTCAAGGCTGAGGTGGTTGGGATGCCAAAGGGAGAGCGGAGGCTGGTGCTGCCCCCTGACAAAGGCTCGTTGGGCGAGGTACTGGCACTGGCAGGGTTCGACAGCGACTGGCCGAGGCCGCCTGGCTGTGCGAACTTGCCAATGGTCAAGTGCTCTGGTCTAGAAGTTGACATTATCGATTAAGCTGTCCGACCCTCATCAGACGTGCCTGTCTCTGTGTGTGTTTGGCAATGTAGTAATAGCACTTCACGAGGGGCGAAGTGGGTATTAGAAGGCTGTATGTAGTATGTATGCCCTGTGGAGGGATGCAAAAGATCTTGTCGAGATGAGTCGGAGGTGCGTTGATGCTGGGTCGAAGGGGTTTGTGAGGGGATTCGAGAGGTGTGGAGTATCGACGGGGGGGATCCGCAGATGGGTCGCCAGGGACTTGATCCCGATCGAGGTCACTGGCGACAATGGACGAAGATGTTGTCGATGGTCGGTCGCAGCTATGGGAGACGGCGTGCTGCAATGTTGGACCTCGACAAGAATGGGCCGAAAAAGGTGACTGCGACCAAGCGCGATGTCAAGAGATGATGAAGGTCACAGCACCAAAGGCGGTGGCCTCTGCAGCACTAGACCCACTTCACACAAGTGTGAGGGACGTGCTCTTGAGAGTAACGGTGGTGTCGAAAGGCCTCTCTGGAGGGGCGATCGATCACCAGGGCGAGTGAGACAGGATTATTGTGGTGGAAGCGGTGTGGCGTATACCAGCAACGGCTGATAACGGTCAATTGGGGATTGGACGAAGGCAACAACGAGTAGGTCGGTGTGCTGTGGTAGGAAAGAGAGAGTATGGTCGAGGAGGAACGTCGAAGGACAAAGAGCCAGGACAAATCAATGTGGAACAGGGAAATGGGTTCGTCGGCAAAGGTGTCGTCAGTGTGGACGTGCTGTGGTAGGCGAAGAGTATTTTTTTTCCTCCCTTCTTTTCTTTCTGCTCGAGTCTCGACTCTCTATTTGCCGACCGTACCGTACCGTACTGTGCAGGATGTAGTTGGTGGGTCAATAGAAACTTGGCAGCGAAGAAAGCTGTGCTGCAGGGGATAGGAGGGTCGTCTGCTCTACTCTTGACCCCTCGTCTCTCTTTCTCTCTCTATGATTATGGCCCAAGCTGGTCTCGTGGCCCCATACGTTCCTGTACTGGTGGATGTGTCCCGTAATCCTGCCTGCTGTGGATGAAGTTTGCAGAGCAGCTCAGGTCGTAATCCTTAAAAAATAAATAAGTGCGGTTGCGGGTGCGTGGCAAGCTTCCCGGAGCTGATCAGATCAGATCAGATCAGGTCACGTCAAGGTCGAGACGATATCGCCATGCGAAGGAGCGGACGAAGCAAGAAACTAAAAAGATGAATAGAAAGAAGAAAAAGGAGAAGAGGTAAACAGGTCAATATACAGGCTTCATTAGACGCTCTCAGGTGAGGCCTGGAGAAAAGGATGAGAAGAGGGGAGGAAAATGCTCTTGTTTAGGGATGGGCGGGAGCTGATTACTTGGATGATGTTGACGTTGGCCTAAAAGTCGAGGGTGGGCGCAGGCGGGTGGTGGACGAGGGTGCAAGAAGTCGAAACAAGACCAGCTTCTTTTTTTGGGGCTGCTGGACCCGATGAGAGATGTGGGGGGGGGAGGGATAGTTTCTTGGGTGAAGCCCAGGGAACAAGCACAGCAGGCTGTATGTTTGCCAGAGAGGTGGCGGTAAAGAGACTTTACAGTAAGGGCCGGTGCTGATGGAGCTGATGGTGCTACTAAACGACTAGTGGGTACTGGTGGTAGTTGGTGGTGGTGTTGTGCCACTGTACTACCGTGCTGTGCTGCGCTGGGCAGCCTATCACTGGCCCCGTAAGAGGATGAGGTCGAGGGGCAGGCATGGCATGCGAGCGAACAAGGGGCGAGGATGCGTGAAAAGGGGGGCTAGCTTGTCCCAGGTACTTCAAGGGTCTAGGGTGTTGCGACTGCGAGTCCCTTCTGGGCAGGACCGCGCGGACGGATGAAACACCTCTCTCCTCTTTTTGTCATCTGTATACGGTACCAAGGGCTGCGATGCGGGTGGAAGGATGACTTGTCAAAACTTTGGTGTCTGATACTGATTGGCAGTTCTGTAGCTACTATAGTAGACGCTGGAAGTCCTTCAATCTATCTCCAACAGTGGGTCTTCAAGCCGATGGCATATACTATGGAAGTACGTTGCTGCTGCTATGTACCACGGTACCTGGTAGCAGTACGTACTTACACAGTAGCTAAACGAACAAAGTATGGTACTACTACTACGGCTCACACTAGTATCTCCATTGTAAGGCTGGCTAGCTACCCGTTCGAGTCGCAAAGAACAAGTCATGTTTTCTACGTTTGTTTTCAATAAGAAAAAGAAAAACAATAATAGGAGACCTGGCATTGAGATGGCTCTACTGTGTATTTTTCATGACTCTGTTGTAACCCGAGGTGTGGGGAGTTCCCCACAGGATGTGATCTCGAGGAGGAGGTACTGTGTTTTACGTTTTGAAGCTTCACTTACCTTTCCTTAAAAGGCTTACACCTGCATCGTATCCAGGTGCAGAAGGACCGACTAGTAGGTTTGACGCTCTTCAGAGTGCATTCATACATAAAGTCGTATTCCGTCAAATTCTTTGCTCACCTCTTTGCACCATTCCCCCTTTTCTCTTAGAGTTCAAGGAGATAATCCTCTGCTGGTTCTATTCGATGCTTCCGTTCTGGTCTGCACTGGATCTGCAGAAGACCCTTGGCAGACTTGGCTCAAGTCACTACTACATAGCACGCATTGTTATGCAAAACTTGTTCTCCACACTTCTGAAGGACCCACGACTCTAATTCTGAACTGTCGAAGCGACGCTTCATGTACGAACGACACAGGAGGGGGGGGGAAGGTGATCGTCTGATCGCATGAGCTCGGCGAGCTGTCTGGGCTCAGGGGCCGCTCGAGGTACGCCGACCGAGCGGGAGAGCTCTCTTTTCTGCTCAGCCCTGCACTGTCTCGACTACTACACCTTTTAGTCTTACTACTCGGTGTGTACCTCGGGCTGTCGAGCCTGTTTACCATTGTTATGCCTTGAGGATGGCGTAACCTCGCCGCGCAACCATCCGCACGAGTCACGACTGTGCATTTCGATCCCTTTCGGAGTCGGGGCCGGTCCAAAGGTCAGTTTTGTATCTCCGGGTACATGTGCTTACAAGCGTTGTAATATGATCACAATAAAGAGTAAATAGTAAAAATGAAGGGAAGGACGATCTATACGGAAAGGCCGACGATAATAAGGAAATCCAGAGGTTGTACCAGTACCCCGACACATATATTAATCAGACCATTGATGGAGGTCTTCCCCTCCTGTGATTTCCTCCCTCCACTGCCAGTGTCCAGCACATATTATGTAGTAGTTCCACGGATGATGAACTCGTGGCGTAGACAGCGGACAACGCTGGCTTCTTGCTGGAGGGAACGTGAAATCACCAAGAATTGCACACCACACTGCGAAGAGCATGTACAATTACGGAGGGAAAAGAAGGAAAAAGGGCACCTGGATCCTTCCAATACGACCTCATGCAGGGACAAGCTGCAGGCACTCTGCGACGGGGGCCAATCAACCCTCCCAGAGCCACGTTGGAGCTGATCTGAAACGACGGCCTTGCACCTCACCAACTGACAACCACCACACACTTCTTCCACCCCCCCACTCCTAAAACAAAGCGCCCCCTTTCAGTCCTGGTGGGGAGACTCGCGACCACTCGCCCGAACGTTGTCGTGCTCTGGTGATCACTTTATGTCGGGGCCAACCCTAGGATGAACACCTAATGTCCAACACCATCCAGTCGGAAGCGTCACTCCGACTTTGCTATTTCGTGCCACTACTATATGCCGTGTCTGTAATTACATTGCATGTCCAATTACATTGGACTGGACACTTTTGTCTTGCTGTTTTTCTTTCTTTTTTTTCTTCTTCTTCTCCCGGATCATGCGATGACGTCCGCGCGAACTGATCACAGCCACATCGGCGATTTCCCTCCTCACTTTTTGAGTTCACTGGTGCTTTGCCACGACGAAGGGCTGTGCACTCACCATTGCAGTACCATGTGGTACAGTCTTTGGCTGGCGGGGTCATGTAGCATGAATGGGCAGTCAAGAAGGCTTCTTCAGATCAATACGAGACAGGCCAGGGCAACTCTCTTCGCCCAATTTGACGAGCTTTCCAGGGCCAACCCTTCACGGCCCGCGCCGTGCATGATCCTTTCCCTTCCGCCTATCTTCGTCGTATCGTCTGTTGAATGCGGCCTGTGTTTGCAGTATCTTCGAGCGACTTTGACCTATACAAGGGCTCAAAACCCACAGTCCGATATATGCTAGACAATCCATGCGAATGCTTTTTGAAGCTTCTATTTTTATCACTGCCCCTATTTGGAGCCCCCCCCCTTCGGGATGTGTGTTGCATGCCACTCCTACTAGCCGATCCTTAGCAGATTCAGCAGAAGATTGAAAAATGTCGGCAATGTTGAAAACTTGTCCGAAAAGGAAAGAATAAGAGAAAAATAAGAATATATGAGTCCACAGGGATAGATGAAAAGTATAGAACTTCCATATGTTTCCTATACCAAAGTCTGAGCATGCCACATACTGGCACTATCGTAGCCTTTACAGATTTAGAACAAATAAGGACAATTCGAAAGATCAAATAAAAAAAATAAAAAAAATATGGCGCGTATGTCAGATTTACGTTGAACCGGATACGTCGGTTGAATCAAGCTTACTGGGCACAGGCGTTTATACTCAGCGGGCCCCCACGAGGATTATGTTTTCCTTCCTGGTGCTGCAGAGTATTGGCTGGGCATTTTCTATAAAGGGCATGCCTAAGTAAACCAGCTCGTAGTTGAATTGATAGCTTGGGGTCGTGAAGTTAGACACGCCTTGGAAAACAAACATTCTTGTGTGTACTTGACATGTCAATAGAGGACTGGTCATGGGAGCCTGGTCGTGTGAACATCCGATAATTGTGTCTCCTGCCCTCAGTAATCTCATCAGTCGTATCTTTGAAGAAACATATAACTGCGCCAACCGTGCATGAAGGTCAAGATGACTGCTGTCTGATCTTGTATCTTGGGAACAGTATGTTGCAAATTGGGTTACAAGATTCGTAGTGTCCGATTCACATCAATAATAAGAATTAGGATCCAGGAAGAAAAGAAAAAGAGAAAAAAGAAAGAAGAAGAAAGGAGGAAGCGTCTCCCCCCCCCCCCCCCCCAACGACGATGACGATGGTGCTGACTGCTTATTCGGGAGCGACAGGGGCTTACCTCCAAAATTAAGCGTGGCTCCACCACCAGACCACGACCCGGTACCTGGGGACTTTCCAGATCTTCAACCTCGGGCTTCTGACGGCTTGTTCGATCACTCAACTTTCTGGGTAAGGTGATCCGATATCCTAGATTTGTTTCAGCACTCGAAAGGAGAGCTACTTTGGTCTGCGGGCTGAGGAGACGTGTGTGTCTCGCGAGGCGTCCTGCACATCCATTGCCACTCTGTTCCCCCTTGACGGCTGCCCTGCAAGGCTGACGACGACTTCACCACCTGTCGACTAGTGGCGCGCATCCGTTCCACTACCGGCCCCTGGATTGGAAGCCTCAGCCCTACAGCGAGCCACCACCCACCCGCCCATCTTGCATGGCCTGGCACAGCGCGCCCTCACCTCGATTCACCACTATAGTACTCACAGTACTGTCGAGCCTCTGCAACGACTGCTTACGTACGCGAAATTCTGCCCACGAGGACTGGTCATCGACTGCGCCGCCAGCCTTGCTTGCCACTTGACGATTTGCTGCTGTTCCTCTGCCTCCTATTCCTCCTCCTCCTGTTACTGATTGGCGTCGCATTCCTCGACACTCCTCCCGGTGGACTCCTCGAGGATGCCATGGCTCTAGGCGCAAAAGCCCCGGCCAGGCAAACGGTCATCATTGCCGCCGTGCTGGTGACGCTCGTCTGGTTCCTCGCCCTATACACGAGGACCGACTCCCTTACTACTACTCCTGTGAGTTGATATCTCTGTTGGCACTTGTCTTTGTGCTTGCCCAGCGTCAGAATTCTTGCAAGACCACCAAGCTCATCATTCTTCTCTTCTCCCCTTTTCAGACACATGCGACGGCGGCGGGCGAGGATGCCCAGGACGTATTAGAGCTCGACCCGGCCGTTGTACCACCAGCACACACGGTGAAACCCACGAAACCAGCCAACCCATACATCACCGAGGGCCAGCTCAACCCCTCTGGCCGCGCCCTCGATGGCCCCCTCTCTCCGCCCGCCGACGATCCATGGCGCACCCTCATCCTCTACGCCTACTCCGACACGCCCGAATCCCGCGAGAACCTGCGATATTTCCTCCGCCACGGCCTACACTCGGCGGCCGACTTCATCTTCATCATGAACGGCATCGACAATGAGACCGTCGCTTCCTTCCAGATCCCTGAGGGCGCCTCCAACATCCGCACGGTGCTGCGCCCGGCTACATGCTTCGACCTGGGCGCCTATGGCGAAGTGCTGCGCAGCAAAGAGCAATGGACGCAGGCGGGCTGGGGCGCAGAGCGCATCCCGCTCTGGAGGCGGTACAAGCGCTTCATCATGCTCAACTCGAGCGTCCGGGGGCCCTTCCTCCCACACTGGGGCCAGGGCGCCTGCTGGTCCGACCTCTTTGTCCAGCGCGTCACCATCGACACCAAGCTCGTGGGCCTGACCGCCAACTGCTGGCCCTTCTTCCACGTGCAGGCCGACGTGTGGGCAACAGACTTTGTCGGCATGGAGCTGCTCATCAACCCGCCCTTGCCCGGCCCCAACTCGACCGTCGACGACTTTGCCGACTGGTTCGCCCCCGTGGGGCTCGCCGAATGCTACCCTGACCTGAGCCGCGCCGTGCACGCCGAACTGGGCGCCACGCGCGTGATACTGGAGGCCGGGCACAAGGTCGACCTCATGATGAGCGCCTTCCACGGGATCGCAAACTACAGCGCCGTGTGCAGCCCCCAGGAGCATGCGGATCTCTTGTACAAGGACAAATACTTTGGCACCAACGTGCATCCCTACGAGACGGTGTTTACCAAGACGAACCGCGATCTGGACCGGACCCTGCTTGACAGGTTGACCGAGTGGCACTGGCAGAGCGAGTGGACAAGTTGGGATGCCTGCGGGGCGTTCTCAAGGTGGTGAAAGAGACAGAAAATGCCGCTGGGGGATGTCCATGCGTCTATATATAAATAAATATGCTGCGCGGGCTCATGTATTATATGATCAGGCGGTGCTCTACTATCTGAGCTTTATCAACGCCATTAGACTGTTGTATTAAGGGAATAGCTTCTCTATCACGAGGCCTGCGTCCTAATCGAGAATAACTTGAGGATCTTAAATATATTCTTCTGATAAATTCATATTTTTGGGCTCTTTGAGACAAACACACATGGTTTGAATAAAAGTTGTCCAGGGCCTTACAACTAACTTTACTGTAACAGCAAATGGCATAGGAATATAAATTCTATATTTTTTTTAGCTTTCTGCTTCTAGATGATATAGAGAATCCCGTTTTTGGGCTGGAATTTGCTTGCTGGGTCAAGTCCGGCACCGGGCTTTCTGAAATCGAAAGCGCTCAATGAGAGTGTATAGTCATTCACTTCTCCCCTCCTCTTCACTCTCCGCCCTTCTCTCAATCTTCTCACTGACGAAGAGCCGAGGAAGTTGTTGATGGTCAAATCGGGCAATATGCCACACCCCAGACTGCACCCGGCTCGCAAGGACTCATACAAGGATCGCTGTGCCCTTCACACACAACCCACCTGTAGGCCCAACAATCCAGACATCCCAGTTTTGGCCCTTGCCCTCCCTCACACACACCTTTATCTCTTCGTTGACGTATACAGGCGCCAGGTTCCGGTAGTCAAGGGTCTTGATGCGAAGTGTTTCCTTGGCGTGACATTTGATTGCCTCACGTAGGGCACAAAACATGAGGGTCAGGAGGAGCGGCCCGTGGACGAGCAGGTCTCGGTAGCCTTCGACCTCGCGGCAGTGCTGGCGGTCGAGGTGGATGGCGTGGGCATTGAAGGTGAGCGCGCTGAAGCGGAAGAGCAGCGAGGGTGTAGGAGTAAGCGTGAGGGTATATGTCGGCTCATAGGCGGGTGCTGGGAGGCGTCAGTCTACGTTTCAATGCAGAGAAGGTGGGGCAGTGACGAGATATGGTCTGACAAACTGACCTTTTATCACCCTTCTATGGGGCTCCTCAACATCTCTTCTGGCCTCGTCTGCTGTTTTGGGCGTCATGAAGCACAGCGTCCTCGTCTCCTCGATCGCCGGTTCGGCCATCACACACTCGGCGCCCGAAGCCCCGTCAAGCCGCTGCTGCCTCATCTCGTGCGCAATCTGCCTCCATCCGTACTGCCTCACGATGTCCACGAGGATCTTCTCGCCTGCGCCCGGCGTCTTACCCGTCTCCGCATCCCGGCCAGGCGGAACGCCCTTGATCCTGACATCCTTGATGGTCTCGAGACACCCGGCTACAGCGCCGTCGAGGACGACCTCCTCCTCCCATCCCCTGTGGAAAGTCACACTACCACCGGCCCAGACGCGGCGGGTGAAGGGCGAGCCTGGAGAGTGGTCTGTGTCTGTCCCGTCGGGCAGGAGGGAGGCGGTGGGGTGTGCAGGCGGGAAGTAGACGAGATGGTAGCCCTGGGGCAGCAGAGACGAGAACGGGTGAGGATCTAGGTAGTGGTCGGTGGAGCCTCCAAGGAGGGCGACGGAGAGCAGGTTGGCGTTGGTGGGTGTGAGGTAGTCGGTGTGGATCCTCGGGGGCCGGCTCATGAGCTCGTATTTGATGTTGGCGAAGGTGGCTGGCTTGGTGGTGATTGACCTCTTTCTCTCAGAGGAGGCTACATGTTGGCGCCACGATGGGCTCAGTGTGAGGCGTGGTCTCATCTTAGCATCATGGGTATATGTGTGCAGAAAAGGTTGTTGCTGTTGTTGTTGTTGTTGAGTAAGTGTTGGGTTATACGCCAACGACTTGAGCTAAGTGAGAGAGAAGGAAGTTGTAACATGATGTCAACTTCCTTTCACAGCATCGTGGTTGCCCCAACGGTCCAATACACAACTGTAACCATAAATTCTGTATACTCTAGTCTACTATGTAGATCACATTTGGTCCTTCAGTCCAGACCTCAATTCTTGTTGTTGGTCCTCTATAAACACTTATGAACACAAATACACTCCACGAATTTAGGTGATAGGCAGTCCCAGTCTTCTAGTAACTACTACCAAGTAACCATACTGGAGTGGGTATATAAGAAACCTGCAGTATAATTACAACCATACTGCAGTCCAGATGTATAGGCCAAGATGATCTTGTGCAATTCAGGATGACAATGAGAGGAAGCATTGAAACAATTCCCTCAACATCCTCACTAGAAATGCTCGTACACAAATATAGTGCCAGTGGTCTCCCCCTGTGTACTAAATAGTACCAAGTACTTGGCATATGTCTCGACTTTATCTGGTGTTGCGGGGACCTCTTCAGCGCTGAACTAAGCCCTGAGAGGAGAATGACGAGTGTCGCAGGACCCCCGCCGTACAGGGGCTAAGGGCAGCCGCAGCCAATCAACAAGCTCAATTGGTCTGAGGTCCCCAGGGTCCTCCCAGAGCTCCCCTTCTGCGCCCACTCTATCCGCCCGCTCGCCCACTATCCACGGACAGCTAACGTGCTAACCTCCCACTTTTTTTGCTCAAGCTCCAGAGCGTTCCGGCATGTCTGGCAGCTTGTACTAACTGACACGGCAGGCCGCGCGAAATCCTCCAAGCAGCGGTCAGAGCTCTGCTATCTTTTCCTGCTCCCCCACTCCCCTCCCGTCTGCTCTCCCGACTCTTTTCTCTTCTCACACAACTTGGTCTTCTGATAGCTTCGAGGCAACACACAGTCGCCAAAATGTCGAAGCCTCAGAGCACTAACGGCAGCGAGTCCGAGTTCGAATTCATCGAGACTCCCAAGGCTCCCACCCCTTCCTTCGAGAAGTTCGAGGAGTGTGGCGTGCGAACTACCTCGGTATGATCTGAAACCTGATCTTTATACATCGTCACCGCCTATAGCTCGAGCTTCAGGCAAGCTGTCTCTGACCAGCAGGAACCCTCTGCTAACCTGAACCCCCATCTAGTACCCCGCCATCAAGAATGCCCCTCTGCCAGCTGATGGCCCCGGCAGCGAGAGCTTCTCCCTCATCGCTCTGGGCCTCGCCCTCATAGTTCCCCCCTACTGGCTTGCCTGGAAGGTTGGCGGCGGTACCAAGACCGCCATCTTCTTTGCCCTCTTGACCTCGGCTCCTATTGTCGCAGGCTTCTGGCTCCTCGTCTCCACCGTCAGCCCCCGCAAGAATGAGAAGGCCAGGTTTCCTGGTCGCCCTGTCGAGCACTACCTCACCTTCAAGAAGCCTGAAGACAAGGCCAAGTACCATGGCAAGAACAAGATCCCCATGGAGACCTTCCATGAGATGTACTTTGACGGCGATGTCGACTTCAACGGCGACTGCCTCGAGGTCATGGAGTACAGACATGACTGGGCCAACTTTCGCTTCACCATTGGTCTGATTAAGCACTTCTTCTTCGGCTTCATTCCCGAAGCTATCATGCACACGAGATCCCAAGGCAAGTCGAGGCCCGAATTTTCAACCCTTTAATTACCCTTTTCCTCTCTATTTCGCCGGCGCTGACAGCAAGCCCCCCCCCCCCCCCCTTGACAGACGAGGAGCAGGTTCGTGACCACTACGACCGCGGTGATGACTTTTACGCCTGGTTCCTCGGCCCTCGCATGATCTACACCTCCGGCATTATCGCCGATATCAACAAGGAGGAGACCCTCGAGGAGCTGCAGGACAACAAGCTGGCCATTGTGTGCGAGAAGATTGGCCTCAAGCCCGGCGAGAAGCTCTTGGATATCGGCTGTGGCTGGGGTACGCTCGCCCGCTTCGCCAGCGTCAACTACGGCGCCAAGGCCACCGGTGTCACTCTTGGCCGCAATCAGACTGCCTGGGGTAACAATGCTCTCCGCAAGGTCGGCATCCCTGAGGAGCAGAGCAAGATTCTGTGCATGGACTACAGAGACATCCCCGTCCCCGAGGGCGGCTACAGCAAGATCACCTGTCTCGAGATGGCCGAGCACGTCGGTGTCCGTCACTTCCACAAGTTCCTGACCCAGGTCTACGATATGCTGGACGACGACGGTGTCTTCTTCCTCCAGATCGCTGGTCTGCGCAAGCCTTGGCAGTACGAGGATCTCATCTGGGGTCTGTTCATGAACAAGTACATCTTCCCGGGTGCCGATGCCTCCACTCCTCTGGGCTGGTTTGTCGACAAGCTCGAGGGCGCTGGCTTTGAGGTCAAGCATCTTGACACCATTGGTGTGCACTACTCAGCCACTATCTGGCGGTGGTACAGAAACTGGATGGCCAACCAGGACAAGGTTGTGGCCAAGTATGGCAAGAGGTGGTTCCGCGTATGTTTCCCTTCTTTCTCATGTACTCATCCGTGTGAAGTTTTTTCAACAGCCCACTGACGCCTGGAACAGATCTGGGAATACTTCCTTGCCTACTCTACCATCACCTCCCGCCAGGGTAGCGCGACCTGCTACCAGATCACCCTGGTCAAGAACATCAACTCAACCCACCGCATTGAGGGCATCAATAACCACTTTGGTCTGTCCGGTGCGCTGGCTAGTGCCAAGTTCGACCTGAAGTCCTGGCAGGAGGCCAACACAACTCTGTTCCCCTCTGTCCCTACCCAGTAGACATAGGGCGAGGAGGATTGGGAAGACGCAGCAGCACACTCTGGTCACAGACTAGTCCGGGCTGTTGCATAGCTCCCATAGATACGAAGGAAGAAGAGGGCGCGGATTCTAAGTCGTGTGTGCGATACTACTGGATCGGCAGCATACGATGGGGGGGAGCGCCAGTGGAAGAGGAGTGTGTCTATCAAGGAAGGCTTCGCATATTGGAGTCTCGCTCCATGACGGGCATGTAAAAAAATAAAAATAAAAAAATCACCATCTTTTTGTTTGGATGGCGTTTTGGGAAAGAGACGGGTTGCGAGAGCATCTGGGGCCCTCGACCTCCAATTGGCACGGTTTAGACAAGTATGCAGACCCGTAGATGATGGACGAGCAATGACTCTCATAAGAAAATAACATCTGAGATGTTATGAAGAACAGGAGATCATAGCACAATACGTGAGGCCCTTATCGACGAAACGAACCTCGAACCTCCTGTTTTTCTTTGTGGGGCGAGTCTGAGCCTTGGGCAGCAGCTGTTCCAACTTGGAGTTACAAGGTACAGACGAGAGTCAGTGCTAGGCCAAACCGGGTAAGAGTCGACGCAATACGACCTTGCTATTCTGTCTCTCAGTGCCAAGTGCTGGTCATGCTGCCTTGCTCATCATAACCTACCTAGACCTACCTCATTTCCACGAACGTCTCTTCTCCTTCCAGTTCCATAACATCGAGTCGACCGCATGGTGCTTGTGTGATTTTCTTTCTTTTTTTTTTTTTTTAACCAACAGGCATCCTTCGCAAAGCCCCGTCTTGATTGCTATCTTGTTCTTCTTTCCCCCATCTCAACGTGCATTCAATGCCAGTATTCTTTTACTTATTTCCAGGCTGTTGTTAATTACGCCAGATCCACCAACCAACCACTTGGACCACCACCCTCCACCACTTTGTCCAGCCGCGGAACTTCTCGTAAACAACCCCTGGGCGACCATCACGAAACCTCCTCCCCCCTTTCCCCCTTCCAACGCCATTGGCGTATCGACGACGACGACGACGACGACGTCAACCACAAACAACGAACGTCAAGATGTATTCCGGCTCCAACTCCTTCTTGGGCGGCGGCAATAGCTTCCGGCCCGGCCAGCAACAGTTTGGGAGCTCGTTCGGCCAGCCCGGCCAGCAGCAGCAGCAACAGCAGCAGCAGCCGAGCCCCTTTGCGCCCCAACCTACGGGTTTCGGCCAACCCCCTTCTCTACAGCAGCAGTATACGGGCTACCCGGGCCTCCAGCAACCGCAGGCGCAGGCTCCCCAGCTCCAAGCTCAGTTCACTGGCTTCCCGGGCCAGCCTGCCCCTCAACAGCAGCCCTTTCAGACCGGTGCTCCTCAGCAACAGCCCTTTCAAACCGGGGCCCCTCAACAGCAGTCCTTCCAGACTGGCGTGCCTCCGCCTGTCCCTGCTATCCCCCAACAGTTTCAGAGCCAGTTTAGCCAGCAGCAGCAACAGCAGCCGCAGCAGCCGCAGCCGACCGGGTTCAATGTCGGTTCAGCGCTATCTCAGTCAACCCCCCAGCCGGCCCCGTCGCCTATGAAGCCCCAGCCGACGGGCTTCAGCCAGATGGCTGCGTCGTTTCGGACGGGGGGCACCGCGGCTCCTGCTTCCAGCAGCGCTCCGGCACACAAGTCGAGTAAAATCCCGAACATCCGGCTGAGCTTCATCACGGCGGCAGACCAGTCCAAATTCGAGACTCTGTTCAAGCAGGCTGTGGGAGACAATGAGATGACAATGTCGGGCGAGAAGGCGAGAGATCTACTGCTGAGGTCGAGGCTGGACGGAGACTCACTGTCAAATATATGGTATGTGGCGGCGGCGGTGGTGGCTCGAGGAGGTCATATTCAAGGGAAAATAGCAGAGCTGACTGTGCATATAAAGGCAACTTGCAGATACTACACGATCTGGACAACTACACTTTCCCGAATTTGCACTGGCCATGTACCTCTGCAACCTAAAAATGACCGGACGGACAATCCCCAACCAGCTGCCTGAAGTGATCAAGAATGAGGTCTCTAGTATGGTCGACATCATCAACTTCAACACAGCAGAGGAGGCCGCGAATAGCGGATCGAACACGAACACTTCTTCGATGCCCACGATCCAGGCCCCACAGCCTCAGGCGTCCAACTCCCAGCTGTTGCAGAGCCAAATGACGGGCTTTCCTGCCCAGCAGACCGGATTCCTGGGCCAGTCTCAGGGTCTACAGCCGCAACAGACCGGCTTTCCAGGAGGTTCTCAAGCTACAGGTTACAATGGCCCGAGACCGCCGATGCCTCCCATGCCTACTGGGTTTGGATCTGGCGGTGGCATGGCGGCACCCCTGAATGCGCAGCCAACTGGAATGCCTGGCCAATGGGGACTTGTGAACACTCCGGCTTCTGGTCTGCCCAATATCGACGCTCTGCAAGCGCAGATGATGCCTCAACAGGGCCGTGAGCAGGGCAACTACACCACCACAGGGCTGCAGGGCAACGCAGTCATTCCATGGGCTATCACTAAAGACGAGAAGACGAGATACGACCAGCTGTTCCGGGCATGGGACGGCCTTCACAAGGGCTATATCGGAGGTGACCAGGCCATCGAGATCATGGGCCAGAGCGGACTTGACAAGCCTGATCTAGAGCGAATCTGGACTTTGTCTGACAGCGGTAATAAGGGTCGCCTGAACTTGGACGAATTCGCGGTCGCTATGCACTTGATCTACCGCAAGCTCAATGGGTATCCCATCCCCAACCAGCTGCCTCCCGAGCTCGTACCGCCCTCGACAAGGAACTTCAACCAGTCCATCAATCACATGAAGAGCATGCTGAATGACGAATCCGAATTCCGGAAGAACTCGGGTGCTGCACTGCTCCCTCAAAAGACCGGCGTCAGTTATCTGAAGAATCACTCTTTCCGTGGTGGTCCTGGCGGCGCTGCAGGCAGTCGCAAGGATGCGACCGTCTTCAAGAACAATGACGACTCCGTTGGCTACAGGTCCAGTGCTCGCCGTAGGATTGCTGGGGGCTCCTCTCCTCGTCCGGAGTCGCCTGCATCAGTCGGCTCCAACGAAGAGATGACTCTGGAGCAGCTGCGCAAGAAGATCCGGGAGAAACAGGTCATGCTCGACGCCATGGACTTCAAAGACGAGAAGAACCTGGAGGAAGACGACATCCTGGACCGAAGAGATCGTCGCGAGGCCGAGGAGCTGTACCGCCGTATTCGCAGAACACAGGAGGACATTGACGCCCATCCTGATTCCCAGCTCATCAGCGGCGACTCGGACGCTGAAAGACGTTCTCTTAAGCGTCAACTTCAGAACCTGACCGACAAGATCCCCGAGCTCGCGTCGCAGGTCCGAAAGACAGAGAAGGCCATTGCTGATGCCCGTCTGGAGCTGTTCCGGCTGAAGGATGCCAAGGCCCACCCAGGCAGCGCCAGCACGATCGTGGGCACTGGTCCAGGTGGCACCGTCACCGAGTCTGATCGGCTCAAGGCGCGCGCCAAGGCTATGATGCAACAACGCACGGCTGCGCTCACGGGTAAGAAGATCGAGACGACCGATGATGATGCCGCCGCACCTAAGCGGCTGGAGGAAGAGAACCTGAAGATCAGGACCGAAAAAGAGAACAACGAGCGCATGGTTCGTGATGTGGAGGAGAGTGTCCGTGACTTCTCTAAGGGCATCGAGGATGCCCTCAAAGAGGGCGGAAGAGACTCCACAAGCGAGCACGAGAAGCGCAGGTGGGAAGATGCCCTTGGAGTTGAGGACGAGGTCCGAGACTTTATCTTTGACCTCCAGCGCGATAGCAGGGCTGCCCGTGTCCGCAATCAGGATCGCAGCCGGGCGCCCGCAGCCAGCGAGCCTGTACGTGCAGCCGAAGCCGCAGCTCCGGCCCGTGTTGACAGCCCAGCAGCCACGACATCTCGTACTGCCACGCCGACAGGGGGCAGCACGTACGGTGCGCACAAGACGCCAGAGGAGCGTGCTGCGTTCATCCGACAGCAGGCAGAGCAGCGTATGGCGGAGCGACTTGCTGCACTCGGTATCAAGGCACCAACCAAGCCAGGCGAGACCCCTGCGCAGCGCATAGAACGCGAGCGTGCTGAGCGAGCCGCGAAGCTTCGTGCTGCCGAGGAAGAGGATGCACGTCGTGATGCAGAGCGCCAGGCTCGCATCGACCAGGAGATGGGTGTCCCTGCACCAGTTACGTCTCCCAAGTCGGACGGCAGGAAGGCCCCGCCAGCGCCACCCAGCAGAAAGGCTGCACCAAAGGCCGATGACGGTGTTGCCAAAAAGGCTGAAGAAGAGCGCCTCGAGCAGGAACGTGCAGAGGAGGAGAAGGAGAGACTCGGGCTCGAGTATGTGAGACCCAAACTGAACCCGAGAGAGCCGATACTGACCCGAAGCAGACAACAAGCGAGAGCGCAAGAAGATGATCTTGCCCGAGAGCGTGACGCCGCGGATGCACGCCTCAAGGCCCTCGAGGAGCAGGTCCGACAGGGCAAGCTCAAGAAGGAGGAAGAGAAGCGCAAGAAGAAGGCTGCTCTTGCCGAGGCCAAGGAGAAGGAGTCTCAGTTTGCTGCACGACGTGCCGAGATCGAGGCCGCCCGCAAGCGTGAAGAGGAGCTTCAACGCCAGCTTGAGGCCATGAACGACGACGACTCGTCTGAGGATGATGAGGGCCCGCAGCAGATCACGCCCCAGGCCTCGACCCCTACAGTCGCCAGCCAGGAGTTGGAGCCAAAGTCTGAGCCGCCAGCTGCTCCTGCTCCCCCTCCCCCAGCGGCCCCAGCGGCCCCAGCGCCCCCTGCAGGCGTTGCCAGCCCGACCGGAGAGACGACGGAGAGCCGCAATCCCTTCTTCAGGATGATGTCCCAGACCTCGGACCAGCCTGCACCGCCGACGGACGCGGCCCCTGCTGCCCCAGCTCCTCCACCGACGGCTGAGTCTACCAACCCCTTCCTGCGCATGCAGCAGGAGGCCAAGTCTGCACCAGCTCCGGCCATTGAGGAACCAGCTGGACCTCCCAAGCCCTTCACCCGCAAGCGGGCCGATAGCGACGACTGGGGAAGCGACAACGAGAAGGATGATGAGGACTCAGACGATGACGACCGGCCTGGTGGTGGTAGCGCCGCTGCACTTGCGTCCATCCTGTTCGGCACAATGGCACCGCCACGTCCCTTGTCCTCCATGGGTGAGAAGTCGGTGGGCTCGCCGGCGCAGAGCTCTCCCATCGCCGCTCCACCGCCGCCACCGCCTGGTCCAGCCCCGGAGACCACGGACTCGCCCGCCCCGGCCGCGCCACCGCCTCCTTCCCCACCAATGCCGGAGAGCGGTGCGGCCCCAGCGCCTCCTCCTCCGCCGCCGCCAATGCCGGCTGCTTCGCCAGCTGCTCCTCCCCCGCCGCCTCCACCCATGCCGGCATCATCGCCTGCAGGCGCTCCCCCTGGCCCTCCGCCACCTCCGCCGATGCCTGGAATGGGAGCACCCCCTCCTCCTCCAGGTCCAGCGCCAGGCGCCCTGCCATCGGGCCCACCGGCTGCAGGTGGGAGGCCGGCCGGGTTCCTAGGCGAGATCCAGGCGGGCAGGGCGCTCAAGAAGACGACGACCAAGGACAAGAGCCAGGCGGCTGTTGCGGGAAGAGTCTTGGATTAGTGTGACGGCAATCGCGTGAAGTGGACCGAGGGGCAGGGAAACGTTGTGGTTGGCGAGGAGGGAGAAGATGGCGACGAAGATGACGAGGACTGGAACCAGGCCACACCTCTCTCTGGTACCAGTGAGGATCTAAGTCCTACGGTGCCAATCCAGGACTATCTTGATTGCGTTGAGGAGACGTGGAATGTTGTGTATGATGGCGATTCGAGTGAAGAAGGGAAGAGGGAAGATCAGATGGGGAAGGGGTGTTCTGGCCTGAGCTCTCGGACCAGGATGTCATCTGCAGGCGACTCCCTCAGCATGGCACTTCTAAAGTTTTGCGAAGAGCATGGGATCGAGAGGGATGGCTAGGCTCCAGCAGGTCAGAGACGATGGATCTAGGTTGGGAGTTGTGTGTGGGAGGAGGGGTCACCTTTTTGGTTCCTGCGTCTATAGTACTTTATATCATCATCACATTAGTCCTACAACATTGCTTACAGATGGTGACTACTGTGAAGCATTGGTATTGTGTAGACTTGAGATAGGCCTATGATTGTGCTTGATGTTTGCTGAAGTGGGAGTGGTTATTGGGTGCCACTGCTCACGGAGAGTAGCCATGGAAGGGGTTTTTATCTAGCCTGGCCAAGTATATCTAATGAAACAGGGCACTGAGAAATCACGACACAATTAGCATGTATAATTTCTGCACACATTTAGGTACTGCTGTGTATTTTTTTATTTTATTTTTCAGATATGTCAATAGAGAATACACATGTGTAATAATAATCAGACAAGTTCGAGGAAGCCTGCAACAAGAGATCCCTTCTCACATTCACACAATGAAACATGAAGTCATCATCAGGGTTGGGGTCGCTAACCCAACCCCCTTCTAAAGGTACGTACCCGTCCTTACCATCATACTGTAGTACAGTATGTAACTGTGGTAGATAAAAGTAGTCACCTAATAATAATGGGACTAACGGCCCTCTCCGCCCTGGTACGATAAGTGTTGCCCCTCCCCCACACATCACATTGCACCGCATCGTGGCCATCCATCGTCATTGCCGTGTCACCTCGAAACCCCCCCCCCTCGAATTACGAATAGCAAAACAAACCACAGCATTCTTTTTTTTCTTTTTCTTCTTCTTGTTCACCAGCCTTACGACACACACCATTCTCCTCACCGATCCCTTTTTGTGGGGAAAAAAAATCAAAGCCCCCTCCCTCGATGTGGAACGTTGCCAGGATGGAGAAGATACCAGAGCCAAAGTTACCGCGGGAGTTCATCCTCGACGCCTTTGCCGACCCCGCGTCTGTCCGCGATGTTGTCCGAGGTGGGTTGTGTTCCCCTGATGAGATAGTTTGTCCGCAGCCTTGCAGCCTTGCCTTTCACTCTAGCCTTGTCTCATAGCCTCGTCTTCCCTGCTGCTCAGAACCGAGAGTCTTGTCCAGCATCTTGTCCTTTCTGACACACGGTTGCCCGTCTTTCTTGTACCTGCCATCCCACCATCACGCAGCTTTGTTCTTCTCTCTCTCTCTCTCTCTCTCTCTCTCTCTCTCTCTCTCTCTCTCTTGCTTTCTCTCATAGACACTTTGTCATACCACCAGCCAGTGTTCCTCGTCACTAACGTCTAGAGCAACTGGAAATAACAAAATAATAAAGGCATCCTCCACACAATCTTCTTCCACCGCTACTTCCCCACCATAGTCCCGCAGTCCCACGAGGTCCTCGACCTGACCCTCCCCTACGTCGCCGTGCCCGAGCTCGAAACCCTCATCGACGCCAGGACCGCCGCCCTCGTCCGCGAGCTCGACTCCTCGTCCTCTTCCTCGTCCATCCCGATCGCCCATCAGAGTCACCACCACCATCAAACCTCCCAGTCCCTCCCACAGCAGCAAGGGCGAGCAGCAGCAGCGGCCATAGGCGCGTTCCTCGGCGTAGGAGGAGGAGGAGCTAATGCCGCCACTCCCACGACGACGACGACGGGTGCCGGCGTGGGGAGGGGAGGGGGCCGTGGCCAGGTGTCGGTGCAGTTCATGGAGATGACGCGGCGGCGCAAGTTGTGGTACAAGGGCGGCGACGAGGAGGTCTGCTGGGAGAGCTGGACGGTGCGGGTCACCGTTGCCGAGCCCAGGACGGAAAGCGGTAGGTTTTTTTCTTTTGAAAGCAGACAATTTTCTGGTTGGAGATGAGCTCCCCCTCGTTCTCAATCCTGTCTTGCCCCCTTGGCTGGGTTTGGGGATTAAAGAAGGAGAAAGGAAGAATATCCAGGCTAATCATGGTGAAACCCTCTCTTTATGGGGGGGTATTCCTTCTCCCACACTACAGAACGAGCAAAGGTCCGCAAGGCCATGGAGTCTACCCTCCTCGCCAACGTCATGAAGGTCATTACCTCTGTCAACACATACAAAGATCACATCCCGCCCATCACCATCATGGGGGCCAATCCCTTTCCTTACTCGATTACCGTGAACCAGAGAGAGGCTGGCCTTGGCGCTGGGGGAGCGGGAGCAACAGCAGCAGGAGGAGGAGGCGGTGGTGGTGGCGGTGGCAGCGGCGGCGGGAGTGCTGGCGGCGGCGGTGGTGGTGGTGGGGTTGTCGGTGGCTGGGCTGGACGCTTTGGTGGCATATATTGAACCAGGCGTGGCGTGCCGAGGGCCACGAAAGAGACAAATCACAGATCTGGAGGGGAGGAGGGCGGAAGCGAGGCACACAGAGGGAGGTACAAAGAGGTCATGTTATGACCTATTCTATCCCTACCGTTTGCTCCCAACAGGCTGAGGTGACGTCTCGACAGACTGTCAACCCTACCAAGGAGACATGCTGGACCGCGGCCCCTCTTCCCCCCTTTCCTCCACGAGCGACAGAGATGGGACAGGTCCACCCGAGCCAAGCAAGAGGAGGCCAAGTCGAGGCTGGCTGACCAGCCTTGGCTCTTCCAGCACCTGTGCAAGACGAGCAAGCACAACTCACTCGTTGACTGACGGCTTACCGCCTTCTCTACTAATCTCTAATCACGAGCTAGGGTGGACGGTCATGCCGACCGACGAGACTTCGCACCAAAGATTTAGAAGAGATGAGGATAAGAGATAGATACCCAGTGCTGCTCGCTGTCATGGTTATATGCGGCAGTTCATTGTGAATAGAGACCACCGTACTCATTCCCAATAGACCATCGATATGTTCTTTTGTCTTCCGTAAACCGCACCCAGGAATGTCACCCGGAGCAGTTGTTCAAAGATACTGAAATGGATGTAGGTGCATGATGTGAATTTATGTAAAAAGTGCTAGACAACTTCTAGTCTGGTAGAGTGAAACCCGATTCAAGTCCTCTCTACTTAAATATACGAAGTAGGTACACGGAGGCCATGGGTAAACTAGCAAACACAATTCATCTTGCCTTTCGATGTGCGCACACACAAAATAATACCCTGTCCCTCCGATATCAATCCTGATCTGGCACCGCAGAATCCATAAAATAAGAACTCTTTCCATTGCTTTCCGATCCCAAAGTGATGCCACGCGATTATCCTTTGGCTCCTTGCATTCCCTAACAAATTCAAAAACGCAACGTGGAAACAAGTATGAAACCAGTCTCTCTCTGTAATCAGAACGCCATACAACCAGGAAGGACAGGATGGGCCTGAACCCATGACAAAATCAGAAGGAAGTATGGAGGCGGTAAGGAAAATAAAACAAGCAAAAAAACATGTGCTGGCTCCTAATGTTTCCCCCCTTGACTGTATCCTAAACAGTCCAATCCATTTAACACCTTGTCATCAGTCTGCAAAAGATGGGTGAGGAAACCACACCCTGCAGATTCTCACATCGTCATTAGTCGTGACGGTCATGAGTCCTCAAAGCCATCAGACCTCAGCCAAAGCTTGCCACGCACAGAAAAACAAAAAAAGGCTAAGCATCCAGCTAGACACAGAGAGCTGATGGAAGCATAAGGCATACAGACGGAATCTATCCGTATTGATGCAGAGTTGAAGGGCCGTATGCCTCAACGCCAACTGGCCGCTCGCCGATGCTCCGGAATGTTTGGGTAAGATCTAGGGAGGCTGAATCACCAAAGCTGTCAAGGTTGCTCAGGTCGATTTCATCATCCAGGTTGTCCATCGCTTCGGAGACGATCCAGTTGTCTGACTCCTGCGGACGGAGTTTGCTGGCACTTGGCAGGAACTTGCTGGGTGATGATAAGAATCGGCCTGGCGAGACGATTTTGCTCGGCGAGTCATACGTCCAGGGAGCGTTTTCGTCGCCCGGGGGAAAGAGCGGGAAGGTCTTGAAAGGAGACGACGCGATGAAGGGCGTCGTCTTCTGGTTCTTCTTCGCACTCATGAGCTCATCCAACATCCTGCCGGCGGAGTTGGCAGGGAGAGGCGACTCGAGCTCTGGGCCGGAGGTGCTGTCTTCGAAAATCGCGAAAGTATCGAAATCCCCTCCACGGTTCAGCCGGCGACCCGGATACTTCTTGTTGTAGTCACGAATACACTGAGGTGTCTCGAGCATGGACCGCACGTTGGCCCTGAGCTTGTCATGTTGCCGGATGGGAGAGTTATTATATTTGGACGTTGTCTTTGGAGGCAGAAGGTTAGGCGTCCCTGCAAGCTGTCTCTTGGTGTTTGCTGGCGTCTTCGCTGGAGCAGCGAGCTTGGACGGTGAGGCTCGGTATCGCAGAGGTGAGCCCTTGCCGAGCGGTGACGAAGGGGGTAGCATCAGAGTTCTGCCCTTGGATGGGCTGTCATTGGAGGATGCACGCATCTTCCTGATAGCGTCCTCAGCGCGGCCACCGCCCTGGAACTCGGTATCTGCGTCAGAAGAAAACACGGGCGCCCTCTGCGGTCCGTAGCGCAGAATTGAGGATTCGAGACCGGTCATGTAGCCGCTATCAACCATCGAGTAGCGCTTGCGCTTGCCCGATGTGCGACCGGATGAGCCCCCATATCTGACTGTGCGTGTCGGCGTGTGGTTGGGTGCAGATGCACGCCTGGAGATAGCAGGCGGTGAAGACGTCAGGGCAGCATCGAGAAGATTGTTCAGCGGGTCGTGAGCTAGGTCGGATTCCTCAAAGGCCTCTGACGCAGGGATCGTAGCATCTGAGGAGGGCTCGGGCTGTAGAGGTGCCGCCGCAGATTGCGGCTTTGGCGCCTGTGGGAACTGGAGCGAAAAGTCGGGAACCTGCGGCGGCAGCATAGGCTCTGGAAAGGGGGGAAGCGGCAAGGCGGATGGCTCCAGGCGGGCAGTGGAGAGCAGGCCCATGGTCTTGCCCGACATCGTACCATCAGGGCCTGGCCTCTCCTTCAGATAGACTTCAAGCAGCTCACGCTCGTTCCCGGGGATGATCAGCCAATAGTTGCCCTTGCCAGGGTCATCCTTGGCCCGGGCCTGCTTCTCGAAGAACTTCTTGTGAAGACTCAAGTTGTGGCGAATGCTGTTCTCCCAGGTATCGTCTCTCTGGTAGTAGCTCCAAGTCGTTCTGATAAAATCGTAGATCTGTGCCAGAGTTCGACGGCGGTATGGGGCCTTCCAGATCGCCAGTGCAATCATCTGCGCATAGGTATAGGGTGGCTTGGCGTTGTCCTCGCCAGGATCAATGGGAGGGAAGGACTCTGCGGCGGGGATCGGGATCAGGTCACGGTGTCTGCCAGGCTCGTCTGTCTTGGATCTTCTTGCTGCTTTCCGAGGTGAGGTATGCTCAAGGGTCGGGGACTCTGGCAGGGCCCGTTTGCCGGCATGCGTATTCGCATCACGCTGTGCCAGCGGCGTCTTGATGCCGGTGGGGGTAGCTACCAGAGACTGCTGGCTCTGTGCAGTAGCGACCGACCTGGCCCTGGCGACCTTCCTTGGTGTCTGCGGCTGGTTCTTGTGCATAGAATCTGTGGTAGGTCCCTGCCGACTTGAGGGTGGCGGCGCCAATATTGGGCCATTGGCAGTGAAGGGTGAGTTGTTGACCTTAGGAGCAGAGGGCGCCAGGGAGGAACGCGAAAACGACGTGTCGGGGCCGTTCACGGCGGCAAAATCTGTGGTATCGGTCGTGTTCGTCGTGAAGGCATCAGGGCCGTAGTTGGAGATGCCGTTGGCCAAATATGGCTCAGTTGAAGCGCCGAAAGAGGAATTGTCAGGAAAAGTTGGACCTGGCAGGGCCGACGCGGTGTAGGGCGAGGCGGGGTGGGACATCGACATGGAGGCGTGCAGATCGAAGGACATGTTTGGCATCTGGAAGGTCACATCTCCGAACATGGGCTGTGAGGACGACATGAGGTCGAATGTGGGCTCGGGCTGTGGAGTGTAAGACCTGCTAGGCGCAGCAGGCTGTGACTGTCGACGATGCTGCTGGTTGGAATAGCTGGGCATGGGCGCACTGTTGGGGTTGGAGCCAGCAGTAAAGGACTGCGAATGACCCTTTGGAAAGGGCGGGCGAGACGGATTGGCGACACCGTCGCCGTATTGTGAACGATGGCTCATGTCTCTCGAATCCGGGAGCGATAGCAGTCAATGATGGAGTTTGGTGTAGGTTGTGACCATGAGCGACGGGCGATGGGCGATAGGGACACGGTCGGATCAAGTCTCTGTCGAGTTCGAGTCAAGTCGAGCCGAGCCTATGCTTCCGGAATTAGTAAGTGGGATAACTGACGAGTGGAATGAATGGGCAACGAGACGGTCGCCGTTATCGCGAGGAAGACAGTACTTTTGATGAGAAGTTGGCGACTGATTAGTGGGGCGGCCGCAGCAAGGGAGGACTCAGGAGTGGCCCGTGGCGAGGTGGTCAGTGGGTTCTTGGTATTGAGGAGCGTATTGAATGTCTCAGGCGGGAGCGGCAGATATGGGCTCTGGACTCTTGCCCTGGGACTCTGGACTCTGCGAAATAATCGAATTGTGAAACGTGGGAGGCTGGGCGCAAGCATTTAGAGTCAGCAGAGCAGCGGCGAGCGACAGTTGAGCGTTGGGTTTTGCGGTATCGCGAGTTGGGAGGAGGAGGAGGAAGCAGGGAGGCCGACAGACTTGGTCGATGAGTGAGATGGATTGGAAACGGACGAGAATGGGTACATAGGCGACGTGGGATGGGGGGTACCGCAGGTACTTGAGTGGGCTATGGCAGCGGGTGGGCCCCTGTCATGCTCCAAGGATAAGGTTGGCACATACCCTGGAGATGGGGGCAATGGGAGAGGGAAAGGAATTCCTTGGGTGTGTGCCCAGGTTAGACCATGGAGGAGACAGAGGGGGGGGGGAACCTGGGCCGTGGAGCGAACCAGGAAGAGAAGGAGGATAGGACGGGTTTGGGCCAGTCTTGTTGACCTAAACTGGGCCGGGGGATAGTGACAGAGTTGAGTGCGTGCATGCAGCAAGAAGCCAGAAACGGAGGATAGAAGGCTTGAAAATTATGGAGATCTGGAGGAGACCCGGGGAATAAGTGAGGCACGAAACGACAGGGGGACAAATGGATGGACTGACAGACCAGAAGGGAAACCTTGCGCAGTGGAGCAGGGGGAGCAGATCGAGCAATGGGGACAGGGCAGTAGGGCAGATCAGTTTGATGGGCAAGTGGGAAAATGAGGACCAAGAGAGAAGAGGATGAGGGACCGATTGAGAGGGAGACGAGAGAGCAGAGGAGGGAGATATTCCAACTGTGTGGGTGATCTGAATGACACGGCGCGGCAGCGTCACTTACATTGAGAGATCCACTGCCAGCATTCCAAAGCTTCGATCAAAAAGAGCTACCCGATATGCCGGATGTGCAGGCTGAGGCTTGTCCGTGCTGACGATCTCGCCAACGTGACAGGCAGGAATCGAGAGACAAAGGAATCAAGATGAAGATCCAAAACCTGAGCGATTGACTGTTTGGATTGGATAGACGGCACCCGCCAGGACCAAAAAGGCTGCACAAAGCGGCAGCAGTAGTATGTGTGGTACGTAGACACTCATAAAGTGCAGCAGGGTCAAACGAATGACCATGCAGGAGGGGGAGAAAAGAGGGGTGAGGGAAGAAAGACGGAGAGAGAAGCGCAAAAGCTGGAACCTGAGCTGGGATCGCCAAGCTCGGTTGGTGCAAGTCCAGAGGTTGCAGCTGCCACCCACTCACACACATACTTTTTGGCAAGACCAAAGGACGACTTGCAGGTGTGAGGCAGATGGAATGCAGTGCTGGCAGCCACTGATTGGTGGGCGAGTGGTCCACCCTGTGACACGCCAGCAGGGATCGCCCGCCCGTCTCTTACCACCCACATGCACGCATACGATGTACTATAGTACCTCAGAGATGTACTCGAGGTGCTACGGCACGTGCATGACCGAAATCCAATGTTTGCAATTCATCGATTGACAGGGTTGCACAGCAATGACAGGTGAGGCGTTTTCAACATTGATAAATGCTTGTAGACGGCATTCCCAGCATAAACACTACAAGAGAGTAAATTAACTCGACAATACCAACCCAAGACCAGTGAGCCGGAGGCGGGAGACAAAGAGGAACTACTGTTGGGCATGTCTCGTCCAGGACGGCTCAATTCTTAAGTCTGACTGTCATTGCCCGCTAAAAAGAAGAAGAGGAAAAAGTACAGCAGCCATGGCACAGGGGTCATGGCGCTCCTCCTCCTCCTCACATTCTTGCACGAGGCGGGCGCTTAGGCCCAGGTGAGAGGGAGGCCAGAAAAGAGACAAGGTAAGCCTGAGCTGAGGCGCGCATCAACCAGCTCTGCCTGCCCTGCCCTGCCGCCCCCGGCATTTCCTCTCTCCTCTCCCTCTCTTTTCTTACCCTTCTTTTTCGTTTCTTTCCTCGAAGAACCTTGGAAACCCTGGGTATAGTGCGTGCATATTCCCCCATCACCAGCAATAGTCATCGACATCCACAATTTCGGGGGATCCTCTCACCATGTAACCTTTCAATCTGGGCGTCTTCGGAAGTGGCGAGGCCTTCAAGCCTCTCCCCTAACCCACAAGCCCACAAGGCTGTCCCTTCCTTACCCAGGTCTCAAGTAATCTGATTGCATATCCTCGATCGGTAGTCAGACTGAATCCCCAAGGTTTCTTCTCATCCCTTTCGAATATTCCGTAGCTGCTGGGCTATGCCACGAAACAGCCCCCAACTTCCCAACCTCTTAATTACGTTTGTCATGGCTCTTCACCTGAAATTCGGTGTCTCTCGTGTTCGTCTTATCGGAGAGGAGGCTTCTCGTTTTCCACCTCCATCAGAGACCCAAAACTTTGCGTGCCTGGTGGTGTTCGAGATCAGGTCGACTCGAATGCGACCCGCTTCCCCCAACTGAGTGCAAGGACAACCCCTTCTAGCCGATTTCAAGGGGGATCGAGATCTTGCAAGGTTGCTCGCTATTCCGCCCGGCACACACACACACACACACACAAACGAGAACTCACAGGTCGCTACAATTGTACTATTGGACTTGGGTGCCCAGGTGGCCCTGGTACTTAGCAGCAACGCATAACAGCAGCGAATTGCGCTAATCAGTCCTCCCTTCTTTGGCAGCAATAGTTGGGAATGGTTGCCATCATTCGACCGACACGGCACATCATGTCTTGATGAGTGCCCGTTGCATACAGGCTCCTCTAGTGCCAACGTCCTCAGTCTCCATTTCCCTTTGTTTTCTTCTTTCCTTTCCTTTTCCCTTGTGGAGGAGACCATACGTGCTCGTCCTCGGTACCCGCCGAGTCGACGGTCCACAAGGGACCCCGCCGGCATTGCTGGCATTTGCTGTCAGTGCAGATTTTGCGTCATCTCGCACCGGTAGGACGCCCGGCAGTCCTCGGCAGATTCGGTTCTCGAGGACAAAAGAGGAAAAGAAAAGAAAATTTCACCTTTTTGCGAGCCTGGTCTACCCACAAAATAAGAGACATGGGCCCAGGAAGTTGAGAGGATCCACAGATTGTTCATCATCATCCGAGAGCTGTTCACTTCTCTTCCTCAAATCTTCCCTCTCTTGTCCCCACTTAGATATTCCAAGTCATGCGATTCCATGATTTAGGGATCTTGGAAGTATGGCGAACAAGAGAAAGAAAGAACAAATGACTCGATGCTAACTTTTAGTACCGGTTACCTCGTGGCGTATTGCAAGCACGCCGTCAAGTTGCATTGGCGCGCCACAGTGGCATAGCAGCTGCGTGGATGACCACCAAGAGCTGCTACACCCTCCTCGCAGACAGGACGGCGTCGATCCGTCGAAGTTTACAGTCGTGTTGAGGGCTCCCATGTGCCAGCTGAGACTGGTTCGTGTCCCAAGCCGCCCAAACTCTATAAGATGGTGCTAACGGGGACAAGCACGCACTCTTGAACCCAAAAGCACTGGCGACTTTTGCTGAATTCGGATGAACTTGTGTGAGGATCTGGCCCCTACAGTATCGGTCCTGTTGATGCCGGACGCGAACTATTCCTATAATGTGGTCATAGGAGGAGGGTTCCATGCACAAAGCTATGTGTCGATATTCGAGCTGTGGTGATGCCGGCAGTCATTTGTCGTCGGTGACAATTTCTGATTGAGAATCTTCGTCGTGGCCTTTTTTTTCTTTCAAGAATATAAAAAAGATAGACAAGAGTAGAACAAGTGCTAGTATGTCCACGGACGTCTGAAGACATTTATATACATCGCACGCTCCCAGCCACCCCAAAATGAGGCAAGGAACCCAATGTTATTCAATGTTTACCGAGCCTCCCCACACAAAACGCGTCCCCACGACGACTCCTCTTCGGCCCTTGCCAGTGCACGAACATTCCTCTTCCGTGACAGAGGCATCTGGAGGGTCTATAATAGGCTTATTCCCACCCCTACCTTTTCAAAGAGGACCGAAAGTCACACTGCGAGCCGCACATGACGGAAACATGTCTGCGGCCAAGGACGAGATGAGGTCCTACGCGACGCGTCGTGCTTTCCCGGCGCGTCTCTTGGCGCTGACGCCATTGGTCAACAGGAGGAATTACCCCTGCTGGCCCGTTTCTCCTCTTTAACCCTAACCCCCTTCTCAGATCACAGTCCGATCTACAGCCAACCGTCTCCAGAAGCAAATTGACGAAAAAGAAAAATTGTCAGACGCAAGCACTTACAACAGCACAGACGACAGTCATCTTGGGCAGGAAGTACCATGTCGAATCCACTCTTACCCCTGTGCTGCTAATGCAAGGAATGGAAAATCCCACCGGAATGATCTCCTCAAGCCAGACCCCTTGCACCTGGGTACACCTGCGCATTGTTCCAACAAATCGTCCTCCAGCAGACAGATATTTTTCTAATTACCATATTACTGCTAATACTACTGCATCCAGTATGCATGCAGGCAAGCAGCACTGCACATTTTCCACCCCACGAAGCTCCATGCTGTATTTAGGACGCTGTGCACCGAACCCGGGCCTCGATCTGACAAAAACCAGTTTGAAAACCACGCGCTCCTTCTGTGGATCCGCTTGTGTATGTGTATTTATAGCAAGAGGCAGGCCCTATCCTGCACGTGCCTGACGTCCAGAAGCGACCGGAAATCGGACCACGGTCTGCCTAGTTGGGCCTCACGAGATGACGGCTTGCAGGGAGGATTTAGTGGACATGCGGGTAATATGCAGTACGATTCCCAAGGGCTCGTCCTCTCCGGTTTCCATCACATAGACCAGACGATGGCGACATGTTCCCTAGCGGGGAGCGGCTGCTAGTTCGTGCTCCGAAAGAGTAATCATCTTATGAAGGAGGCCAGGGCGGGCCCGCTGCTGGTAGAAGGGTGTAGGGTGAATTTACAACAACTAGTGAAACTCCTTGGAAATGTAGGAGATATCATGATGGCTGTCACAGCGCCTTACAAGGAGGACCTACAGAGCACCATCTATTTTGCAGGCGCACAAGGACGACTTGTAGGTTTGTCGAAATGTGCGTGTGGCTTTGGTGATACTTTCGAAGAGGTATTCAGCTTTGTGCATTGCTATACATTTAACGAGGCGGGCGTTTTCTAGCTCGGCTTTGGACGATCTATAGATAAGGTAGTTCGTGAGTAGTGTTTTGGAGAGCAGAAATATCCTATATGTGCGTGACCCTATAGTTTTAGGTAATACTTGGCTTTAAATGCCTGTTAGACTATCTTGAAAGTTGTGCCTTTTCACTCAGAGCCACGGTTTTCGGCGGGACAGGTCTACGGGTACTTGGAGTAAGGTTCGGCTGAAGAGCAGGTGCTAAGTTCAGTCAAGATGGACATTCCATTTCCAGTCTGATAATATGCGCGGGGATGTTGCCATCCTGGCAGGTACATAGTGAAGATATGAGCCTTGGTAAGCTTACTTCCACTTGATTACAAGGGTTCCATTCCCACCATCCCGAGTTTGACACCACAAGCTCTGTCGACGTGACCTTCGCCGAAACCCATCTTCAAGATGCGTAGAGCTTTGAATGCTCCATTACGTGGTTGAGGATACTATGCTGTGGTGAGATGAGGCTGATGTTGAGATTATAGATCACTTTCGTTCCTGTTATATCACAGAATACTTACAACCTAAGTCGTATGCCATTGCGTGTGGTGCCAACCACATGCGCTGTGAAATACTTGTGGTCCTCGATATCGGAAAGTGTACTCCTTCAAAGAGGCTGACAACATTCTGATCACTTGCACCCATTATTGGAACGACTATATCACTACACCTCCTCATGGTAACTTTGAACTCATGCGGGCTTTCGCGCTGAGCTTCAGGATTGTGTCCAGTGTCGTCACTAAGAAATTTGTCGAAAGTTTTTGCTCGAGGTTGAAGTGATACTAAGGTATGTGTCACTAGCACTAAGCGTACAGCCTTAAAATCTCGTGCTAGTCTAGGCGGGCCAGCCTTGCCCATCGTAATCATGTTAAAGCTCAGTCAAAGGCAGATAGCATAGGTATTAGGCAGTTCACTTGAGCGCTTTTGCCCAACCCAGCCGTAGCCTCGATCGAGCGTTACTATAGCCTCAAACTAAAAATCTGATTGCCGTACCACGATCTCGGTATCGATCGTTCGGTTTCTCATGGCTGGAAACGGACAGATGCGCTATCTAAGTTCGACTCTTGCTACTTGCACGTGGAGTCTAATCTTGGTTTTTGTTGTGTTAGTGAATCCCACTCATAATTCCAAGCGAAATGCCCTTGTGATTTGTTATGTGCAAGACAAGAGCCATTAGTCAATGCACACCTTCAATGTTTTCTGTTTGTATAAGTCGTCTCATTTTCTCTATCTCTGTACCCCGATGTCTCCCTTGCTTCTTCCTTGATTCTCTCTTTGGATCTTTAGCCCTGAACAAGACAAGAAGGCAAACTGGTCTTGGGTCGGATTGAGATCAAAGCTTTCACGTCATCACCTTTGCACCGTATACGCCTACAGCATCAACTTGAACGAACCACAGTAGGATAAAGTGTTTGAACCAACCCGCATACGATTTAGTGCAGCCAGTTCAGAAAAGAGAAAGAAAAAAAAACGTGCTCATGGGCACCAGGCCGTTTGCGGCACCCCAACCAGAACATTGCCTCGAGAAGACCGAAGGAGACTCAGGACCACCAACAATTCTCTGAATCTGGACACCACGTGCTATGTCCGCGGACCCTAGACTGCTCGTCCCGGGGGAACGGCTCTTGAAGATTTCTCCTTTCAACGTTACATGCCCCAGTCGTAGCGCACGAGGCTACTAGGCTCAGCGCAGCCTCACGTGTCTTTGTTGGTGGCCATCGGGCCGTAGCTGAGACAGAGGGATCGGCCAGACCAGAACCGGATCGTCGGGACCAGGAGCCTCGACTTACTCACCACGAGATTCTAAGCCGTGCCTCTCTCGCGCGGGTCACATCTCGATGCTTTGATTGGTTCTTTACTGGGAGCATGTGGCTAGAGATGTCCGGTCCTTCTTGGCATTCGACGTTGCTGTCTCAAAGTCGGTGCATCGTCTGCCGAATCAACTATTCTTTCGTTGCAATGTTGTCAAAAAGCTGGTGTTGAGATGTTACATTGTTTTCGGATCTATGTCTACGGTGCTCAATCAAAAAATATTTAATAGAGCCAAGAGACCCCCCTTTTAGACGTCAAGTTGTAGATCAATCAAGCCGTATCAAGCGTTTATGGTGCTGAGAATCAACTTCGTATAACAAACTACTTGGAAAATCCCTCCTTCAACACATCAATCATTGTCTCTATTCAAAGGAGACCGACTTCTTCTTGACAACTTTGGCACATCTCCTCCATACACAAGAGAATCCACCACCAAGTCCACTACACCCACAATGTCCTCCTTCGCCATGTCTGCCCTTCCACCCGTCGCATTCGGAGGGCCCTTCCCATCCCTAAGTTACGACAGCCCCTCCCAATCCGCCATAACCTCACGACCACCACGTCCTTCAGTCTCAAGACCAAAGAGCAGCGAGGACAGCACAATGTCACCCATCCGGCGGGTCTGGTCCTCGCCCGTCGAGGGCCTTAGGCGCGTGCGGAGCAACAAGTCCACTTCCTCGGCCGATGAGGCCCAGGGGTCGGATATGTCTCGTGTGCGGTTGAGAGTTCTGAGGCTCAAGGATGGCGGTTCCCGGTTCTTTAGGAAGCTGGTAAGTTTTCGTGCCTGTTGCAAAACATGTTGGTTTGTATCATATCGCAAATAGGTCTGACAAGAGTGTGATAGAGCCTTTCCCGCAGGACCAGCTCTGATAGCATCGAGACTGTCAGTAGTGCGGAGTGCAAGCCTGAAAGGCATGTTTCATTGTGAGTCTGTCCCAGGGAAACATGACAAATTATAGATTTTTGAGAAGATACGTTTCCTAACAAAGCTTTTTGCCCAACAGCGCCGTGTTGCCCGAGTCCCCTCGGACGCGGAACGCCAAGCTGAGAGAAAGATGCGCAACGCCAGATGTGATTCAGGAGGACCGGAGGGATATGGACTCTGATGATGATGATGATGACGACAATAGATCTATCTTGTATCATCGCCGGAGGGGGGACGACTCTATCTTTGAGATGAGCGAGGAGTATAGGAGGGCGAGCGAATACTATGCGCTGTCGTTCCTTTGGTTTTGAGAAATTCGTGGCTTGGCATACTTACATGTACGAAAAGAGAACCAACAAAGAAGAAAAGAGATAAAAAGACGCTACCAAGAAGCACACATTGATTATGTTTTGGGTAAAAAGATATTACTGTGTTTGAAGGGCAGAGTCTCACATTTCCTAAAATCACGTAGTTGGACATATTGGATTCAAGTCTCACTGATTAAATTAATCCACTTATGAGATGAGGCACCCTCAACAAGCTGTGACGCCTCTCCCGTGCGCCTTGTGATGATCACTCGTCGCTTTCCGCAGCCTTGTCTTTGTCCTCCTTGACTGAGCGCCACGGAATTCCCAACGACACAATCGTACAACAAGTGCACACCAAGCCCACCACAAACACCTCCCTAATAGAGTCCATATACGCCTCCTTCACCAGTCCCCTCATCGCCTCTGGCACAGCCTCAATCAGATCCAAAGCTCCCATATCCAACACATCCCTCGCCGTCAACCCCAGCCCCAGACTCTTGAGCCGCCTGAGCAGTGTACCGATGAAGACCGCCTGCGCAACAGCCAGCGCCATGAACCCGCCCAGCTCCTGCACGAAGCTGAGCACGACGATGGCGGTGGGGACATTCTTGTCCGGCAGGACCGCCTGGATGGCCGTGTAGGGCTGCTGGAACATGGCGCCGCCGCCGAGGTTGAAGAAGATCTGGTAGATGATCCATTCAAGGGGTGGAGTGGATAGGGTGAAGCGCGTCGTGATAAGTCCTGCGCCTAGAGAGGAGAGGAGAGTGCCGAAGGCCATGAGGGGCGTGTAGTAGCCGATGTAGGATGTTATGTGGCCGGCGGCGAGAATTGTGATGGCCAGGGTAGCAGCGGAGGGGAGATACACTGGTGACCATAAGCATTAGTGGCTATTTTCTTCTTCTTTCAATTTACCTTGTAAAGTAATGCTGATGTCGGGAAAGAAAGTGACGAAGTTTAAAAAGTAAAAGAAAACAACATACTGAGACCAGAGGTAAAAGTATCTGCCCCTCGCAGCGCCTGAAAGTATATCGGGAGATAAAACCCAAACACGTAGAACGAGCCACTGGTGAAGAACATGGCCAGTGACCCCAGCGCAACGGCCCTCACTCTCAAGAGATACAGAGGGACCATGGCGCGATGACCAGCCCACCTCTGCGCCACCAAAAAGAGAACCAGCAACACACCCGCGACCACAACCGAGGCGACCACCCGTGCGTCATCCCACGGATACACCGACCCGCCGATCTGCAGAGCGAGCAGGAGACACGTGGAGCCGGGGACGAACAGCAACACACCCACGATGTCGAGTCTGGCCCATCGCTCGCGGGTGGAGAGGCTGGCGTGTTCTGGCTGAGGGAGACGGTGGACAAAAGTGAGGATGGCGAGGGCGTTGACCAGGCAGGCGGGTGCGATGATGAGGAAGGAGAAGCGCCAGGAACCAGTGATGCGGGCGATTGCGCCGGAAACGATGGGGCCGAAGGCGAGGGCCACGCATTCTACACCTCCTGTGATGCCTTGGTAGATTGGGCGGCTGTGTAGGGGAGTGATCTGGGAGACGATGCTGGAAATCTCGAGTCAGTACTTGATCAGAGGGGGTCGAACAGTGGTGTTGAAGAAGCGGTAATTTGGTGGATCAAGAAGAAGAAGAAGAAGTTGAGGTCTAAGTAAAGTGACAACGTACATTCCTCCGCCAGAAAAGATACCTGCGCCGCCGATACCTGTGACGGCTCGACCAACGATGAAGACCACAGAGGAAGGCGCCATAAAGCAGATGACTGAGCCCACGGCGAACAAAAAGAACGAGATTGTGAAGACGGACTTCATGGGAAAGATGGAATACAGCTGCCCAAAGACCAGAATCGTGGAAACCAGGGCGAGGATGCTGGTGCTCTTGTCAGTCACACGGCCCCTTTGCATCAGACTCAATGCTTATAGCTTGCGAAAGCACAAACGAGGGTAGAGAACAAGTACTTACTAGGCAATCCCATACCAGCCGACATCACCAATCGAATGGAACTCATCGCTGATGACTGGCGTCAAGGTTGTCACGCAGCTCGTGTCCTGAGAAATCGCTGTCAGAAAAAGCGCAAAGCCCACTGGTTCCAAGAAAGAGATTCGAGGCTAAATGGGACATCGTCTAGACGAGACTCACATATCCCACGAAAAAGTCACCAAGCAGAATGCAGCCATATACGATGGCAAATCGGACACCCTTTGGTCGATCCGGATTCTCTGTGCCGTCTTCTCCTTGCGTAGACTGCTCCGTCGCTGGACCCACAGCGCTGGGCCCATTGAGGGCTTGTAGAAGAGGTGTTACCTCGTTGTCTGATGCCATGGTTGATCACTTCTGCGTCCTTTTTGAAACTCCAGAAGAGAATATTGAGATAGAGGATCTGGTTCAGCATTGGACCTAGCCAGTATTAGAACAAGTCATAATTCCTGTTCGGCTTAAAGACGGTCCGGAACAATCCCAATCCTTCCGGGCAGGTTCACCTGCTCCATCGGTTATTATGTTCACTTAGATAGGATCCGTCCGTGCTCAATTGCGCAGAGGGAATAGCACTGGAATAACAGCAACAGGGCAGGCTCTCTTCCTGCTATGGGAATTTGCTTGTGGTCGATTGATTAAATGCTCCACTCTCGAAATTGTCTCCCAAAAGAACAAAATACAACAACGGCAGGCTCGAATAGCATCACTCGATGTCTCCAGTGTACATTGCCCTATAGCAGGTGTCCGATGTTTTCCCAATTTGAAAGGGAAATGTAAGGATCTCGGGAGTCTTCTTTGTCCATTATTTCGACCAAGAGGCCACGCCTCGTCCACACAACGCCTTCTGAACGCTTTGAGATCGTCACATCACCCAACGACCGCATCAAGGAGACTGGATGGTAGGTGGGAGAAAACCCTCACAGATCCGTACAGGCAGTGTATGCAAGATGCAAGGACCTTGCCGCGTGTTCATGCCCATCCACCTGACGAAGAATCCATGTGTCTTGAAGTGAGTCGAGCCTGTGGCTGCAGAACCGTTGGCTCAACTGGAAGCCCATCCATCTCCTCGCCCAAGCCGTTGACCTTGGTCAATAGCAGACATCCAGAGCTTGCCAGCGAAGACATATTCCTAGGTCCTCATGGGCAGCTGTTGTGCGCTGGCTGGTCTTCTGAGACCAGGCACCTGCACCTGAGGACCCCTCCTTCAACAAGGCAAATGGCCAAGTCTTCTGGCACGCATGAGAGAAGCGAGGGAAACAAGCGGCACCTGGGGTAGCATAACGAACACCCCGTACAGATGATTTGGTGCGAGCCCACTGGACCTTGTCGCTGGTGCCGAAACTTTGGGTGCAGCATGTGAGCCTCTTGTTCAACTCAGCCCTGTTTCGGATATGCCTATCACCTTGGCGTGATTGAAAACATACGTAGGCTTTTTTTGCATGTCGACGCCAAGGAGGGAGATCAGAGGAGAGAAGGAGAGAGAGAGAGAGAGAGAGAGAGAGAAGGGGGGGGGGGGAAGATGCCTGCCAGAAGAAGAGAAAAGAATTTTATTATTATTAGAAGTTGCGACCCTTCAGACTTGAAGAGGTCAAATAACTGTTCATTGACAGGACTAGTGCCCGTAAGGATGGTGATCATCACCTGGCTTCACGACTGATGTCTTGCATGTGCTGCGACGGGGTCGAGTCGCTGCGTCTTCTGCGCACTTTGAGTAGCGAGTCAGCGCTTTGGTCACAAATTAAAGCGAGTGCACTCCATTTTCCAACGCAGACGCCTCTGGAGTCGAATCACCTTGTAAAATTGTTTATCAAAACTTCTCGCCTATGCGTTGAGCTCATGCATAGCAAGGAAAGAGATGAGGAGAGTGAGAGTATCACGCAGACGACAAAACACAAAAGATGACCAAAGATGCAACACAATCAGCGTCAACGATCTTCTCTCGTGAAGTCCGCTTTGGGTGCATTCGTCAATCTTGTCGGAAATTATTAAAATCACCGCTCTGCCTCTGCGGTGTACAGGCATTTCGACACCTCTTTGCCCAGGAGGGGGGGGGGAGGGAGTGTTCAATCATCAGATTGGATTCCGATCTGGTGACAGCAAGCCAAAGTCTCCGAAATTGGATGTATGCAAGCCACATGGTATGTGGTGGTGTGTGCCTCACTGGACCTTGCGCAGCGGGCCGATCGAGACCATCTCTTGGCGGGACGCCCACTTCGGCTCGGCTGTAAAAGATTCCAAACCCAGCTCTTGTATCTCTCTCTCTCTCTGTGTGTGTGTGTGTCAAGTGTGTGTATATGGCACAAAAGTAATACAGGTAGGCCTGCCTGGATGCGTATACACCAAGGGTGCCACCCAAGGCATAGTAATCCCTGAGACGACCAACTGCGGCCCGTCGGGATGGTCCGTTGCTGCTCACACGGTGCGCACACAGAGTAATACAGCTCGGCCGTCCGAGTCTATTGTCCGAGCAACCAAACTAAGCGAGGCCATAATTGTAAAGCGACAAATCCAACGGCACAAGACGGAGACAGGCAGACGGCGACGGTGGACCAGCAGGACTGTCAACCGAGTTTCTTCCTTTTTCTCTATCCCCTTTTGAGGGGTCCTTTTCCTAACGAATTGATACTAGTAAAGAGTCACTATGTACTATCACAGGTACATAGTACGTACTTGCGTGAAGCAGATCTTCGGCACACACCAGCCGGACGAAGGGGAGGAAATATTGGCGGCCCATTCCGAACAGACATGCAAGCATGGCTCGATGAGGATCGATATTGTAGATCAGACCGGGCCACCACTTGGCGACGACTGCGACGACGATGGAAGGTGTGTAAGTGGACAACGTCTCTCTCTTGTGTCAGCGAATTGTCTGAAAAGAGAAAGAAAGAGAGACGCTAAGGGGTTGTTGCACTGATGAACAAAAGACGAAGACAAGACAGTCAAGACGGGTCGGCAGCTATCCGGCTTGGTGCATCAAACTCTTGATAGCTTTTTTTGTAATTCCTTCCAAGTCTCTCTCTGCCAGAGGAAGGGTTGCCATGTAGCACTTGGTGTTGGAAATTGTCTGGAGTCTAGTTGTGCGTTGCCAGAAATAGGCCTCAAGCTAGTCCAGTCTAGGTAAGACTTACCTGTCATAGCCGCCCCTTGTCTCTCTTGGATGTTTCAGATCTCATATTTTTCTCCTTCTTTCCCCCCCCCTTTTGCACACAGAGTAAAACGAAACTCGTCCTCTTCCCTGACACACTTGTACAAGGCCAGAGACGAGCCTCTATCCTGCTCCAACATAACCTAAGACGGCCAAGCAAAAAGTTGGTTGCGTGCTCGACGCTTTTGTTGCTGCTGGTGCCGTGGCAAGGGGCTCTTCCGGAGTCTTGAGGTCCCACCAAGCTGCCATGACACGGGAAAATATAAGAAAAAGAATATGGGATGCTCTCTCTCTCTCTCTCTCTCTGTGGGGGGTGGTGTGTGAGAGAGAGAAAGAAAGAGGCAATTGTCAAAGCAACGAGTATTGTCTGAATTATGGAGAGAAGAGAGGAGAAAAGACTACGCGTCGGCAATCTTGACAGACTGGGGGCCAAGCAGGGGTTTGGGGACGAGGGGTACGTACCACACAAGACAGTACTATAGTAGAAGAAGCAGGGGTGTGGGCACTCGTACTTTCTTTGAAGGTCCTAAGCGGGACGACGGTCAAGGACGGTGAGTGGTGTTTGGCAAGAGCCCCAGTACAAAGTTGGGGGGCCCGCAATTGTCATGTCACTACCCAAGAGGACGCGCGTCACCTTTCTACCCTAGTACGGGCATGGCAATCATGGCAATCTGTAAGAGCGCCTCCTCCTCTTTCCCTCTTAATTTTTTTTTCCTGTTGGATCCCCTGGCGCGCGGGTTTGGCCATGGGGACCCCTTGGTTTTTTTTGGGTTTTTTGGTGGTTTTCCCCTTCCGTTCCTTTTTCCCCTTTCCATTTTTCTCTTTTGTTTGGCCGCAGTGCCGCCCTTCATCCACGCTGTCCCGGCCTGTACCAGTAGAGAAAAGAAAGGGTGTCATGGGACAGACATGGCTTCTGATTCGTTGGCTCGAGGCTGGGTGGTTCTTTTAAACCCCTTGAAGCGCTGAATGTCGAATCCCACAAGGGGAAGCCCAGTTGCAAATCGTGCTGGGGTTAGATGCCCGATGGATCTGCAGAACAACCCCCCTCCCAGGCACACAACGCACTTACACGTCTCGCACTTGCGGGGCCCTGTCAAGCCGCCTTGTGTGTGTGTGTGTGTGTGTGTGTGTGTGTGAAGTCTTTTTTTTCTTTCTTCCAATCCTCTCTAGTTATGGCAAACGTGGGGAACGCCTTGCGTGTGCCGTTATCCAGTCGATCGACGGTCATGAACGGACAATAGGGGCCGAGAGGCTGGGGATTTACATGATGGATTACGCAACTTCATCCCTCCCCTGATGTGATTTTCGTCTCTCTCTTTTTCTGTCTCTCTGTCGTTCTGTTCCTTTTACTGCCATAGTATCCCCCGTCTGTCAACTTACCAAGACGACTGAACTATACTACTACCCTTACCATCTCATCTCATCCCAACCCCTCGTCCTCCTCCACCTCCAACACTACCTCCTCCCCAGCCTTGCGCTCGAGCCGCGAGATCCCTGACACAGCGGCCGTGTGAGAGACTACTCCCCAAGACGTTTGACTGGCATACGCATGTGGCTTGGCTGCTTGTTTGTCTAGGCATCTTGGCTTGTGTGACTATTTGTCTGCTTGTCTTGGATGGTTTCTTGCTGCTGCCTGACGACGACTTGTCTGTTGATTCCCTCCCCACCCGGCCCTGGACAGAACTAAAGCCGGGCTGGACTGGACAGACCCGACATTCTGGCTCGAGTGTGTGTATACATGGACACTTTACTTATCTTGTCCATTGCCTGCACATTGTCACATCAGTTTTTGTTGTATACCCTCCCTGCTCTTCTACGGTGCTCATTTTTGGTTGTGATCTGTTCGTCGTGGGATCAACACGCAACCCTTGCAGGGCAGCAGTCACAAGCCAGACGAAGCCGTGCCACTCAATTTGCCTGGTCTTTTTTACACACGTTTATTCTGGAGAGGTGCTTCGCCCCATCCTGGCCGAGTTTCGCCTCCTCGCGGACCAAGTTTCTTACGTATAGGCACACGCACCCCGTCCCACATCGAGCCGAGTAGTCCCGCCTTTTACACCAAAGGACTCCTCTTACTCTCTCAATTGACCTGCACAACAACATACATGGGGAAATTTGGTCTAATGTTATAGTGCCTGGAGGATCCTTTTCTTTTTCCTACTCTTTTTTTTCTTCCCCCTTCCCTTTACCTCTTTCTTCCCTTTTGACTTCTCTTTTCCCCACCTTGATACACATCCACATCACTTACATGGTTTGTGGGTTCGTGGACGAGGTTTCATGAGACCACGTCCTAGGGGGAGGATTCACAACAGTATCACCACCACCGCCAGCAGAAGCAGCTCAGGTCAGACCAGGCTTCGAGAGAAAACGATACCCCTCACTCCCCTTCTTCTCGACCGTCAGCAGCAGCAGCAGCGGCTGCGGCGGCAGTATCGTCATCATCACATCATGAAATGCACGACAATATTGGCCGTCGGGGCCACGATAATATCATTAGCAGAAGGGTTGGACCTAAGGCAACGATTAGGAAGGACGACGACGACAACGACGACAACAACAACAACAACAAAAAGAGCACCGAGGGTGGTCAGCATCCAGACGCAGAGGAAGACAGTGACAGATCCACTCAAGCGAGACCAGCTGCGGAGGAGAGGGACGGTAAAAGCCACCCTGGAAAACGCAGAAACCCTCTACTTCATCAACGCCTCGATCGGGACCCCAGCACAGCCTCTCCGCCTCCACATCGACACGGGCAGCAGCGATCTGTGGGTCAACACAGACTCGTCCTCCTTTTGCTCCCAATCGCAGAAGCCCTGCGCCGCGTCGGGGACATACGGCGCCAACCACTCGTCAACATACGAGTATGTCGGGTCGTGGTTCAATATCTCGTACGTCGACGGGTCAGGTGCGAGCGGCGACTATGTGACGGACGTCCTTACCGTGGGGGGCACAACGCTGGACGATTTTCAGTTTGGGATCGGGTACGAGAGCACAAGTGGACAGGGGATCCTGGGCATCGGGTACGAGGTCAATGAGGTGCAGGTCGGGCGGGCCCAGCTGTCGCCGTACGAGAACCTCCCTGCCAAGATGGTCTCGGCAGGCGCCATCAACTCCAACGCCTACAGCCTCTGGCTCAACGACCTCGACGCCAACACGGGCTCGATTCTGTTCGGCGGCGTGGACACGGACCAGTTCGAGGGCGAGCTGGCCACGCTGCCCGTCCAGGCCGAGGGCGCCATGTACGCCGAGTTCTTGATCACCCTGACGAGCCTGCACATGGACGATACCGTTGTCGCCTCGGGGGAGGCCCTGCCCGTGCTGCTGGACAGCGGGTCTAGCCTCACCTACCTGCCCGACGCCATGGTCCAGACCATCTACAACCAGGTCTCGGCCCAGTACGACTCGTCCGACGGCGCCGCCTACGTGGCCTGCTCCCTGGCCAGCGACGACACCGTCTTCAAGTTCAACTTCTCCGAGCCCGTCATCTCCGTCGCCATGAACGAGCTCGTCCTCGACGTCGTCACCTCGTCCGGAAAGAGGCCTACTTTCTCTGATGGCACGGACGCCTGCCTGTTCGGCATCGCCCCGGCCGGAACATCCACCAATGTCCTGGGCGACACGTTCCTCCGCAGCGCCTACGTCGTCTACGACCTCGGCAACAACGAGATCTCGCTCGCCCAGACCAAGTTCAACACGACGACCAGCCATATTGTCGAGATCGGCACGGGGAGCAAGGCCGTCCCCAGCGCCACCAGCGTGTCCAATGCCGTGTCTGCCACAGGCATCGGCGAGGCCACCTCTACCACGGGCGGCTTTGGACTCAAGAGCGGAGCCCCGCCTAGGCTGCAGGGCGTGGGAATGACCTCGTGCGTGGTGGCAGCTGTCGTGGGGACCTTTGGGTTTGGTCTGACCATGGGCTTGATATAATTCGAACTTGTGGTGGTGACGACAATGACGACATCGAACAACAACAACAACAACAGCATAGGATTCTCGGATGAGGGTTGAGCCTGTATCGCACGCATCCTTTACTCGACACATGCAAAAGGACAACATATGCATACACACAATTACACACAAACATACGCATACCACGATACCCACAGAGAGAAAGAAAGGCAAGAAAGAGACCAAGGCGTGCGGGGCATCTTCATTTGATATGACGAGATCGGTCAAACACAAGACGGAAAGGGGACAAAGAAAGGCACAAAAAAAGACGTGAACGATCTCATGATTTCACCCCCCCTTGGCAAATATTTGCATGAGGGGAACGGCCTCATTTCTCTTCTTCTTCTTCTCCTCCTTATTGGTTGGTTTTTGAATTTTTTTCAAACATTGTTTATATCCCTCCATGGCATGGCGTTGTGGTTTATCGGGCCGGGGCGAGGTTTTTTTATTTTTATTTTTCTTCTACATCCAAGTACTTGGTACTGTAGAGAAGCAGCGAGAGAGAAAGAGGGGCTCACTAGAAAGGCAAGGAAAAAAAAGGCAGAAGATTCGTCGGTGGGAAGGAGGAAGGGGTCCGAATGGCTTCATCTACTACAAGGCATTGCCTAAATCGGCATTGGAAATTCTACACATTCATCTCGTGGTCACCCAAGTGACCGAGCCACAACAACACAAACTGTTCCCTCCCCGTTCCAAGTGTTTTGTGATGCAGTAGTGATACCATGTTCTGAAGTATTGCACGTTATTTCTCTTGACAGGGAAAAAGAAGAGAGAGGAATAAAAAACTACAGAGTAATCTTTCTGAGACGATCCACATCCCTTTGTGTTACATCTCTTCTGCCACGCCTCGTCATCACGACTATCAAAATAATAACGAACCTTGCGTAGTCGGCAACGCACAGCCCTGCAACCAATCAACCCCGGCCCCCGTCTTCCCAATGCCGAAGGAACTTTTTAAATTACTACCCGTTCAAGCAGACACATGCATGCACACACAGCCTCACTTTCTCAAACCACCAAGACGCGTTATCTGCGGATCCCTCGAAGTGGTGGTACTGACCCCCGGGCAGACCAGGCGTCATCCATCACATGCATCACATAATTACAAAATGTGAAACGATATTCTCGTGGGAATCAAGGGGGAACAGAACAAATGGTCAAGGGCTTGTTGGGATACGTGCTTCTTGTGATTTTTGGTGTGTTCTCTACCATGTAATTACGGTGTTGGTCTGAGTGTCTTGACTTGCCTCAGGGCTCTCTCTCTCTCTCTCTCTCTCTCTCTCTCTCTCACACACACACACACAAGCCTGTAAGGAAACGAGGGTCCACTCTTCTCTCAAAATACTTTACTGCAAAAAGCACAGCGTGGGGGTTTCCCTTCGGATGTAAGCGTGACGAGGTATGTGTAGAAAGAGGAGACCGACTACGTGATGCTATTCGTTCCTGCAGAACCCCGCGGAAGAACGGCACCACACAATGCCGACTTATCCATACATGTTTTTTTTTTTTGGCTTATGCAGGTACGATACTGATGCTTGTTCTTCCCCAGCATCGGTCCTCTGTATTCTGTGGAGTTTCTCCTTCGCTCCCGTCCAAGGTTTATGAAAGTCGTGCGTGACAAGTACCCCCTCAGAGTTGTGGTGAGGTTTCTTGCAAGTGGAAGAAGGGCGGGTGGGAGGACATATATGATAAAATATAGCTGGGCGTCTCTTCTTTCTTCTCATCATCCTCGACTAGCATCATCGACAAGACGGACCTCGGGCAAAGAACAAGGCAGTCTCGCTCCTCTCGACTGCCGAAAAACACAAAGATATCCACCTTCTTCGGGTGATCATTTCGATCCTAATCACTGCTTACATGTATCACACCGCATACACGGTGGATCAGTGCAGCGTGCCTCCACAGCTCGGTGGCACACCAAGCTCTTACAGACCCCGAGAAAAAGACTGAGGTGGTGTTGTAGGTAGGGGGTAGATCAATCAATATATGTAGATCGATGGGAGCTCGGAACCGGGAAACGCTCGGCACAGTCGGCAGCAGTGCCTCTGCAGATCAATACTGCTGCCATGCCGGATGTCCGAGCAGTGGATTTCCCCCGACGACAAGGAGAGGACCTGTTGAACGATTAGGCAGGGGCGAGAAACACCAACAACCCCACGGTGGTGGAGTTCTGACACGCGAAGCTGGTGGTGATGGATGGGCTTGGGCCACCGAGACTCGTCTTGAATGCACAGGGTCTGCAATGAATTGTTGTAATGATAATATTCCAAAATAAGATTAGCTTTTTCTAAAAGGCTGAGGGTATCTTTGAATGCTCCATCCATCCTCGGAAGGAGGTAATATCGTACACACGTTCACGCTCTCCCGCACATGATGCCATCTCCTTCAACAGCAGCCGACCCATTAAGGCTGCATTGCATCAACACCCCATCCCATCCCGTCGTTTTACAATACAAATATACAGAATGGCCACCTTCAGGCCGCCAACCACCGTCAATCAACCTCATGGGTCACTTGATCCTGGCACCAGACACCATTATCCGCCATGCACACACAAGTATGAGCTTGCTTTGGAAGGACTGACTCACTCCTCCTCATGCGCCTCCAGGCTGCCCACCCGGAACCGGCTCACCACAAAGTCTCTCCCACCTCCAAAGTATGGGCCCATGTCAAATGAGCCCGTAGGGCTTGATAACCTTACCTCGCTCGCACTGGCCCCCGCCTCATTGACACGGCCACGGCCACGACCACCGCCACTCCTCATCACTAAACCTGGCTCGGAGGCGGCCTTGTCATGCCCCATCATGTCTTCTGACTCGGCATCCTCTGACCCAGGGATTGATTCGGGCGGTGTGACGGGCATATCCGGATCAGTGGGACTGAATCCTCCGCCCCGACCAGCATCCTCGTCTTCATTATTCGGGCTGAGAGCACCCGGTGGCGTCTCCAGCAGGAGCAAGGCATCTGCGTCGCGACCGATGTGATATGGATTCTCGACGTCGTTTTCGGCTCTACGTCTCACGTCGAGCGAGTCGGAGCGTACGGTCAAGGGGTCCGGGACTTCGTGGACTCTGCGTGTGAGGTCGGGCAAGGCCGGTGGCGCGTCGACAGGGCTATCCATGAGATCAGCGTCGAGGTCCATGTCGAGTAGGCGAGTTGGGCTGAGGGTGGGCCGCGGAATGGTGAGGGCCTTGCGGAGCTGCTGGACATGCGTGAACGGTGGTGGCTTGGAGAGGCGTCTGCTGCTGCTACTGCTGCCGCTGCTGCTACTACCGCCGCCGCCGCCGCCGCCGCCGCTGTTGTTGCTCGATGGCATTTTCAGCTGCAGACTCGGCCACCCGCTCTCGCCTCCCGTCGTAGTCGAGTCTCCAAAGTCCATGGTGAGGGGCACAACGCCTTCCACCGCCCCACGGTTGCGCTCCACCGCCTCTCGCAGCTCTTGGACCTGCCTGAGCAGGGCGCCGCGGAGCACGTCCTGCTGCTGCTGCTGCATCGTGGCAGAGGCCTTGTTCGAGCCGCTCTGCCGCCTGACGTCAGCCGCCACGCGCGACCAGACACGCTCATATTCTGCATGCGGAAAGGGGAAGTCGACGATGGAGCTGTTGAGCTTGAGGCTCTTCACGAGGAACTGGATGCTTGTCAGGTTCCAGCTGTTGTCCTGGCAGTCGAGCATGCGCAGGGTGTTGGTCTGCCGAATGACGCTGCCCAGCGTGCCGACATCGTCGTGAAGGTTCTGGTTACGGATACGCAGGTGCGTGAGAGTCCTGTTGTGCGCCAGGCCACGTAGTGACCGGGCGAAGCCTCTCGCCAGTTGCCCCTCGTCCAGCTTCCCGCTGTAGCCGGAGAGATCGAGGTACTTGACTGATGTATTGCCCCTGAAGAAGGTCTCGAGCGCTTCGCACACCTCGGGCCCGCAGGGGCCATCTGCGAGTGGTGTGGGGGCAGTCCCTGCCATGCTCAGGAAGATGATGTGCTTGTTGAGGGCCAGAGCCTTCATCAGCGCAACGAAGCTTTCCTCGCGGCGGAACTCGACCATGTCAATGTGCAGGCCGGCAGGGCCTGGTGTCAGCGAAAGTGCACGGCAGAGATCCTCCACGCCGTCGTCGAGTGGGTTTCCGGTGAGGTGGAGGTGTGCGCTGGGGTGATTGGCCAGCGCACGCACGAGACGAGCGGCTTCGCGCCCGTTGATACCGCAGTTGTTGAGGGCGAGCTTCCGCAACGTCGAGGTCGCGGCTGATGAGCTGTCCTGAGTGTCAAAAAATTGAGGCTCTGACGGGAGTGGTTTCTGCGAGAGGAATCTCTCTAGGGCGTTCAGCGACGCGTCATTCAGGTTGAGCTTCGACAAATCCAGCTCCTCGAGGTGCTCAAAGCGCGAGAGTGTCTCGAAGGAGAAGATGGGACCAGGAATGTCTCCCATTACAACACCAGAAACATTAAGCTTTCTCAGATCTTGAATAGACTGGGAAAAGTTCGCAATGAAAGAAGCATGAATACGACCACGATTGCCAGATATGTCGAGTGACTGTAAAGAGTGTCCCTGATGATACAGGACCTCGAAAATGTCTCGTAGTGCAAGATCAGAGAGACCACAGTTCGAGATGTCAAGAGCTTGAATCGTGACGTTCTGCGTCATCAACGCTTCGACTATAGAGCAAAATGGTTAACAAGGAACCTGCTTGAATGAGGCAGAAAGAAAAAAAAAGAATTAGCTCACCCAGACCGTCAATGTCTGCTGAGCGCAGGTAGTTGCCGCTCAGCAGAAGGCGGTTGCACTTCGTCAGGCCCAGCTCAAGCAGATTCAAGATGGGGAAGAGGAATCCCAGATTGGTCACCGTCGAAGACGACATGTTTCGCTGAACATTCCGTTCAGTGAAACAACGAGTAAAATCGATCTGCCGGATGGTCTCCGAACAGAAGGCAAGGGCATGTATTTCTTGATGCAAAAGCGTACCAAACTTCATCTGGCCCAACTCGACCTCGCTCAGTGCTAGGCCTAAACGCGTGTCAGTCTGGAACCGTATGGTCACAACCACAGGGGGAACTCACAGCTACGGTTTATATAGGGGACAGGCGTTCTGCCAGCTGGATCCGTCCTGTCCCACAACCCACTGAGATCGATGCCATTGAACGAAATGGAGTTGAAATACCCGTTGTAGCGGAGCGACCTCATGACGGCCAAGAGCTGCAGGTTGGTGTAGTTACCGCCCGCCTTGGGCGGAAGCAGGCGGAACTCGGGAGCAAGGTCGGTCTTCCAGTTGATTTCCCATTCTACCTGCGGGCTGTGGTACGCCGAGAGAAAGGCGCCCAGCGTCCGCTTGAGACCGCCGTAGTTATCCCCTGGGATCAAGAGCTGCGGGTCGGTAAGCCCAGAGATATGGAACGTCTCCATCGTCTGCATTGTTGTTGGCCAGCACGGCTTGAGGAACCTATCTGCCTTCATAAAAGTGATGACAATCTGTCTATAGTACCTGCTTGCCAGTTCGAGTCTCACTGCGGGTTTGAAGGGTTCGCTGTTCTAGGAGGTTAGCGGAGTCTCACGAGCTTACCTCCTACAGAGAGGGAGGAAGAAGAAGAAGTAAAAGGCATGCTCACCGGAAGGTCAGAACAAAGCGCTCTTCGTGAAATGTCCAGTTGGCCCGAAACGAGTCCAAGGTCACCAGCCCAAAGGTCTGATACTTCACATCCACGGGGAGGCCAGGACCCACTTCAGCAAGGTAACACGAATTCCTGCCCAGAGCGAGATACCAAGAAGACACGTCTTGAGACTTCCTTGGCTTATCCTTCGAGTACACGTCTTCTCTGACCGACGTCCTCCTTACCACAGGAAAAATCTCTGGCTTGCATGTCTTGAAATCAGGCTCTTCTTTTCCGAAGATGCCCACAATCTGCGCCTCCACCTCCAGTGGAACGAGCGATGCTTCAGGAAACTCAATGTTCTTGGCCTTCAGCTGAGCAACAATGATGTGCAGCATCTCAGATCGCGCCTCCGGCAGACTAAAGTAAGCCTGCGCGCTGCAATAGGCTGCCCGACACGTAGACGACCTCCACCACATCTCTATTCCAAATGAGGGCCGTGAGCCTTCTGCCACAAATACGGAAACCATCATGTGGACTGGAATGACAATGAGAGGTTCTGGAGGTGGCATCATGCTGTGGGTCTCCTGGCCGCCGTCGATCTGAGGAAAGGCAGCTATCGCCTCTGCCTTACTCCTCATCTTGACGATGTAGTCCCGCGTCACTACTAGATAGGAGGGTTTGCTGCGAAGATCGGCCTCCACGGCACAATGAGCTTCCACCTGCTGTGTCTTCCAATCGATGGCCGTCTTGAAATCAATTCCCGTCATAGGTAGTCTGGAGGAGCTCAATGAGAGCGAGTATGCTCTCGACAGGCGTCGGCTCTGGACCGAGGTGGCCGAGCTCCGCCGCGGCAAGGTATCGAAGGACGAAAATGACCCCGTCTGTTTATGCAGCACTTTTCGATTCGATGAGGCCGGGGTGTCCGGTGTCGAGTCGTCGTTGAACCCCCGTGAAGTCGAGGCCCGGCTGAGGCTTCGCTTCACCGAGCTGAAGAATCCAGCATTCCTGTTCTCATGTATCGAGCTCGCCGCTGAGCTTCCTCCCGGGCTCGAGCTGCTGGGGGAATCCACCGCCAGTCCTTGCAGCGACTGGACGGAGCTCTGCCGTTTCCATTTGAGAAGGTCCATGGCTACTCAGTCCAACGCTGCTCCCGACACCGCGTCTAACACAAAGTGAAATAGTCGAGGTTGGAGCTTGGGTCTCACACCAATGACCCCATACAGAATGCGCAACACTTCAAGCTGGATGGCAGTCGAACGTGGTGACTGCTCAATTTAATGATGCCAATCAGGCTCAACACAGCCTGGTGGAGTCGACGTCGGACTGGGAGGTTCCACAAGAATCGTCGCCAGCTGATCCGAGTGTCTGGATCGACAGATACACGCGGCAAATGAGCCCCGCGGGCGGACGAATGGTGACGGGAAGGCCGCTGCGTGCGCGGATATGCGAGATGCAGGCGGGGAGGAATTGAGGAGGTTGGTGAAAGGGGTCGCGTGCCGGATGCAAACCCTTAGGAATGTTGTTCTGCAGTGGCTGACAACCGATTGCAGACCAAAAATGGAAACCTCTTCGGATTGAGAAATCCCCGCCTCACGATTTGGGAAAAGTGAGAAGTGCCGTGTTGCCGGATCTGACAAGATTCGGTTGAGGCGGATCACCCTGCATGGACTCCTGCTCGAAGAGGAGCCGCAAGGGAATAATCAGGTGAGGTTGACGATGCCTGCGGCTAGGGTATGTGCAGAAAAGCCCCGCACCGAGAGGAGAAATTGACTGCCAGTGCAGTGAAAAGGTTCGTTCTGAGACAGATTCCTCAACCTCGTCGACGCGACAAGAAAAGATAGCTTCGAAGCAGTATATCACTGCACTGCACTGCACTGCACTGCCCAGCCCTGCCTCATAGGCCTCCAAAGTTAGTAGTGAGGTGACCTGGCCATGCGAGCAACTGCGGAGTCGTGAAGGATGTGACGATAGCGCCTCCGAGGATCGAACAGTACAGCGGGTGCCTTGCTTAACCAGAGCCGAACCCTAGATGTTGCAGTGGTGATATGAGAGAGCCTTGTCGACCAACCAGTCTAATAAGAGCCAGCCTGAACAGATCACCAGATAAATTCTGGTGAAGAGGTTAAGCGAGCGAAATTTCGCTGCCGATGAATTTCGTGTTGGGAGCGAGGATTAAGTCGCAAGTCTATATCTGAAGATAGGACGGATCGATCCTACGGCTCCAGGGGCTGCGAGAGTCGTTTTGCCCAAGATAATGTAACGGGGCGTAGCGGATGACAGACAACCAGCGACAGAGGACCAAACGAAGGCGGTAGTCGAAGCGGCAGTCGAAATGTTGAGAGGAGACAAGGACAAGATGATGCGAAAATGCTGCAGCTATTACGCAGATGGTAGATTCCACCTCAACAGTGGAGATATCATAGCGTCGTGAAGCTGACGTACCTGCGTAAAGGACGCTTGATTTATGGCGCTGGTTTTTTTTTTTTTTTTGTTTTTTTTTTTTTTTTGTTTTTCATCTTTTATGTAACTCGGGTGCCGTAACACTTGGTAGGTAGTACTGCTGCTCCCTCGGATGGGTGGTGGAGACCGCGAGGGCCTGCAATACAGCATGCAAGACTGCGTTTTCCCGGTATCTTTTAGCATCGAGAAAGCGGCATTGCCATACCGTTTCTCCCATTGTCGCCGCTCCGAGGGAGAGCGTTGTGCCAGGGATTGACGCTACATGTGGAGGCCACTAGAGCCGGGTTCGAGTAGGCAAGCGAGCTCGCAGCGGAAAGTTGGCTTGAGGGAGAACCCGACTATGATGCCATATCCCAAAGCTCTTATCCTGTTTGTGGCTGGTGGCTACAGCTCATTGGTCAATGGCCTGCTGGTTGGTTGCTATCTCCTGCAGCTCGTGTGTGCGGCCGCTCAAGGCACAAGGCTCAAGGGGCCCAATAACAGGGTCTTGCAGCGCGGACCTGAGGATGCTTTTGGAGAGGATCAGAGGGGGGTGACACCTCCCCTCTCATGCTGTACGACCAGTGACGCAGGGCTCTTCCGTGCCGTAATTCGCTGCACGAGAGACCGTCAAGCAGGGCCCGAAAGACTCGGATAGGTGAAGGTCCGGTTAGGAGGTGGGAGGGAGCCTCGGTCAGAGGTCAACGTCATGCCAATTTCCATGAGGATGGTTGATCAAACAACCCTCGAAGGCTAGTCCCTGCGGACTCTTGTGTTGGTGCCATGTCTGGCAACGCCGAAAGATGCGCCGACCGCAAGCTGCCTCGAGATCATCGTTGTGCGCCCAGGGGCATCCCATCTCCCATTTGTATGTAAGCGCGTGTCCATGTTGCTCGTGGCTCGCGTTCAACCTAGAGCTAATCCGAGTCAGCTCTTATTGCTTGAGGGAGAAGCTTTAGGAGTAGCGCTTCATTTCACATGAACGGCGGCGATGAGGACGTTGAGAGCTGACAGCAGATTGTACGTTGACACACTTGTGATTGCGCCCACGAATTTGGGACAAAATAGCAACGCCGCTGGCTCTGTCACCCTTGTCTCGTTATGATGACGGAATCTTCCTCAGCGGCGGGATGCTCGATTGACGCCATACCCGGATAAAGTTGGAGGGGAAGGCGTGGGTAAGGATTGTCGCGGGTGTAGGGGAAGGAAGGCACGGGTAACATGTGGCGTTGGTGTGGCTGTGACTTCAGCTCTTGGCTGCCTCTCCCCACATGACGAGAGACAACTGAGTCTCACTGCCCACGTAAAACTGCAAGACAGAGCGCTCTCTTCACCAATGCCTACTGCGGCGGCACACTCGTACTTTGAGCTGTGAACGGGCATGCACAATACACAAACCTACCTGGGTTAGGTCTGTAGTCTGTGAGCCAAATGCTTGCAAGCATAGCAACAGCATCATCTCAGGAGCGGATGTCACGATGGGGCACACCGTATGACCCTTTACTCCTATTGTATATACAGATAGAACTTGTGCATGTTGCACTGCATGGTAAAGCTTTGTGCATCATGTGATGGCAGTAGCCCCTTAAACATGCTTGAGCACACACTCAAGACACATTCTTGAATTCAGCTAGACGGGCTAGGTCAACTGGTTACTGCCCCTAGGGCTTACAGCCAACCTCACCATGCACGCGCCTGTCGTTCGCACTTCCTGGCGGCCCAGAGAGAAGTGGAAGTGTGCCAATTGTTCATAGTGGCATTGTTGCAGGTTGAGGTGAAAGATGCGATATTATGATTGTCGCAGTATATGTCTTCTTCGATATCTTATAGTACAATAATAATAATAGTGCAAGTCTAACGTGACAGGGACCCGAGGCGCTGGGAAGGAGGCAGTCGATGTGGAGCCGGGATACAGCTCCCTTTGCTACTGCCACCGTAGTTCCATCATTACAATTTTAGTGTACGTTACGTAGTATCAACCTAACGTGTACAAAGTACAACCGCCACGTACTTGCGTAGTCATTGCGATGATATGAATATGGCCGGGCGACTTCGCGGACGCATCCCTGCCGGCGAGGTGACAAACGCACCTGACATCCACTCCTCTTGTTTCATGTTTTATCACCGGCACCGATTCGTGAAACTTGTTCACCGGAATAGCATCACTTCCACAAACCTTAATTCTTAAGAGGATTCGGGCTTGAGCGGTTCAATCCTCCCGCAAGAAACATTGATTACGTCCTCCTTCTTCTCCTTCGCCCATCGGCCCTTTTTCTTCTGGGAAAGGCTCTAATCGAGGCTCGCTCGGGTCTCACGGCGCCTTGGTGGCCTGGCTATGGGACCATTTGCCCAGCATCGACGCTGACGAGAGCTTCAGCTTGTGAGCCCGTGCGCCGCTCGGCTTCGATTGTCTTTGTGTTGTCGGTTTGCGACTGACCGGTTCCCCATCACCCGCGAAGCCACACAGCTCTCGGTCGGGATAGATGGAAAATCCCTGTGGTGCGGAAAATTTCCTCCTCGGCTGACGACGAACTTGCGGTACGAGCACAGACATTCAACGCGATCGCGAGCCTCTGAACACGCTACTGATGACCAAGGCCGCTGCTTACCATGAATTCCTCGGCGAGTTGCCGAGTACCACAGCAAAATTGAGAACTATGTCTTGTCATATATAGGGATCGATCTTGACAACGGTCCCAGGTCGATTCTGTGATCTACACTGGGGCGATATCACCAACGACTGCAAGTCATCATTTATTGCCCTCCCCATCCCCCAGTTAGTGGATCAAAGATCGTCTGTCCATACTATTGCAGTACATTAAAAGTCATAAACAGCGGGCCAGTGACGCAAAACAGACACCTAGATACTACTACAGTAGTATTGTTGTTGATCCCGTCAAAGAACCCTTCGTGCCTATGACTTCAGGGTGCCGATCATCATCCTCATTTCCTTGGGTCTCATGCAGGCAGCCCTCCAGAGATGGGTAAAGCTGCAGAAAGAGCCCCATTCTGACTGGGAACGGTCCCAAGTTAAGTCTCTCGCGCCGACACGTGTCCGCGGCTTTTTGTTTCTTTTTATTCCCCTGTGCCGTCCGCCACTTGTTGATCTTGTTGACGATCCTCAAGTTTCAGATGAAGAGGAGTAGGGGTCGCAGGAGTGACGACCACAAGCTAATCTTCCTCCTCCTCCGCCTACTGCTCTCTTCTCCCGCAAAAACTGCCCGTGATGTCGCCTTCCAACCACCCCCGTCAGCCAAGGCAAATTAGTTGCCATAGTGAGACCTGCTATTGCCGGTGACTGTCAATGCTTCATTTCCCGAACGACCGATCTGTCATGCTGAGTGTTTAAGTTGTGGGTCGTGGCCTCAGACGGGCAAAGTACCATAGTACTCCTTCCATCTATCTACTACAAAGTTCGTTCCGTGAGCTGTGGAGGGCCCCAGGGGGGGGGGGAGGGGAAGACTTCTCGCGTCCGATAGTAGTGGCAGGTCTCTCCTCTTTCGTATTGACCTCAGATCACGATTTCAGATATCGGATAGCCCTCTGATTATGAACCAAGACACGCTATCGTCCATAACCCCTTTGTGACGGTGACGAGACCTGTGCTAACGCCATGACCTCGCCAGTGAGCCAAAGAGAGAAAACAAAAATCATCAGCAGCCGTTGATGCTGGTTCACCCCACCTCTGTGCGTCCCGCTGGTGGTTTCGTGTTCTGGGGCATGACCAAAAGCCTACAGATTTGTTCAAGAATGATGAGTGGGTGATGTGTACAGGGCTCCGTGCGCAGGCGCCCCCCCTTTTTTTCCTCCCTCCGTCTCTCTCACAGACTGTTTCAACTAGCGGAGACGGGCTGCTAGTGCGTAGTGGGTTCCAAGCCTGATCAGGCAGGCTGACAGGGGGTTAATTCCTCTCTGAACTTGCTGGATTTGAGTGTGTCCCCGCGCTGCCGGACCCCCCTGAAAATGTACCCAGGCTATCCTTCTTGACGCGCCTGAACCAATCGCAGCGGGGCCCGCAGGCTGTCCTGCAGTTCTGCAACCCGCCAGGTCATCACTTGGCAGCGGTCGATTTGGCGTCGGTGACTCCCTCGACCCTGGGATACTGCAGCTGCAGAATGCAAGCTGCACACTGGTATCTCTGGCCCCCAAGCCCATGTTCTGCTGCATACCCTGAGGCAAAAAACCCCACACCCTCCACCACAAAGACAGTAACAGTAAGTGGTTTAGTGATTTCCGTACCACCACCACCACTCGCTAAGCACCGCTACCGCCTCCACCACATCAGACTACTGTTACCACCACATGCTGTGTGCTTACTCGTCCCGTTCTAAAACAGATCCCCTCCAGATTATTTTGTTTTCCCCCTTCAACCATAGAACAAACCTCAACCCCCTCCCCCTTCCTCCTCGTCACCTCCACCGCCATCCCTCGCGCCTATTCTCAAACGACAAGAGTTTTCCCGCCTGATCCTATCCATTCTACAATCCCCGCCAGTCTCGCCAGGTTTCTGTCCAGAACAGTATACCCCAGGCCTGGCCATTTACACATCGAGCCAGTCTTTTAATTAATCCCAGTCTTTGAACGGACTGACAGGTCAGAGTTGACACGGATTACGCCTCGAATAGATCGAACCCTTCCCTCACACCTGACATTAACAACTCCTCTCGAGCCGCCTGCGCTGAGGGACAGACCATACACGGGGAATCGAACGGAAATCATCTTCCATTTATCCCACCTTTTTGTCTCGCCGTGCTGTGCTTGGTGAGACTGCTTACGACCCCGAATCTGACCTGCCGACCAATTCGATGGACCACCATTTTTGAAAGCAAGGAACTTTATTCCCCAACCGGCCAACACTTTTCGGCGTGGCACTTCCCCAAGCGAGACACACACTCCCTGCGTGCCTCATAAGCATTTGATACGAAGATTGAGGCCCAGGCTGCGGCCTCGTTTTCCTCCTCCCCTTCAGTCAGCAGGGTGACGTCCACCTGCTTGAGTTCCCTCATCTCCTTATTTGTGTTGCCAGGGCCCAAGCTTCTCAGAGGGGCTTTTCTTTGTTCCTCACCCGCGCCACCATTAAAAAAAGAACAACCAGAAGCCTGTGCCTCGTCCGCCTCCGCTTCTTGATCGACGCGTTGGATCCCGCCCTCCGACACACGAAACGACCTCCACTGTGGGTATCCACCTCTTGTCCCGGCGCGTACATAAGTACAATACCTACTTGAACCCTGGAGAGCCCCCCTCCCAAAACGCACCCGACTGGCGAGACCTCCCTGACAGGCTTCGAGGCCAACTTCGCTCACCGACTCGGCCAGGCTCACGCTACACCACACCTCGACACTACAGCCTCGCACCACGCACCACTACAACATCGATATTCACCACCATCACCACCACCACCACACACAACATTGCATCATGGCCATGCTGGCCTCGAAAACGCCGTACCAGGCGGGCCTCTCCTCCAACCAATCCACATTGGTGCCCTCGAGCTCAACACAATCCTCCTATGCACCACCAAGGAGGGCGCCGACATTCCCGACACAGAGTCAGTCTTTTGCGAGTCCTACCGAATCAGAGTTCTCCGAGGGCGATGGGCCAGACTCGGTCAAGTACTGGGACGAGGACAGGGTGTGCGACTACCTTAGGAGTGTAAAATGTGGCGACTACGAGAAGCTGTTCAGGAAAAACCACATCAATGGCGAGAACCTGCTCGAGATGGACAAGGAGGTCCTGAAGGAGATGGGTATTGACAAGGTCGGCGACCGCGTGCGCTTGTTCCTGGGCATCAAGAAGCTGAGGACACAGGCATATGCCAACCAGAAGAAGCGGAATAGGGTGAGTCGCTCGCTGTCACATGCTTGGATGGGCTGCTTGGACGTGCGACTGATGTAGATACCCCTAGGACTCCTTTGGTGGCCTGATGGACCTCCCACAGTACACACCATCATCAACAAGCTCCCCCCGCCCGCCGAACTCAGCTGCCCGGTCGCTGCCCACGCCCTCGGCCAACAAGCGCTACTCGAGACAGTACGACACATCCATCATGCTCGATCCACAACAAAGGTCAACGTCGAGGCCCACGTCTCCCTTGCCCAACACAGAGTACAAGTCTAGCAACCAGAGATACGCACCGCGGAATGTTGGCCAAGGCCTTCCTACCGGACCACGGATGCCCACCTCGCCGCCGCAGACCCGCACCGCCCAGCTGTCCGCCCACAACAGGAACAACTCAAGCGCGGATGGATCTCTGATGGCAGCGCTGCCTCAGAACCAGGATGTAATTCGCGTGATCTCCAGTGGTGGGGTCACCAAGGTGGTTAAGATCGCCGAGTGTAAAAACTGCGAAGAGGTCATGCGGGTCACGCTGCGCAAGTTTTCTCTGCGGGAAGATTACGAGAGGAATTACTGTTTCTGGGTCCTGGTTGGGCTCGAGCCTGACCCAAAAATGTGCCGTCGTCTGGGCGACACGGAGCTCTGGAAGATCATCAAGGACGAGAAGAGGCCCGAGAGGAACAGGCTCATCCTCAGGAGGGTGCCCGCCGGCGAGCCAGGCCACAGCGAGCTGGAGCGGGCTGCAGCCATCGCGATGGAGGAGAACCAGCAGAACCACCGGACCGTCGAATCCTTTGGCAACAGGAGCCAGATGAAAGTGCAGAAACTGCTCGGGGAGAGCTGGGAAGCCATGCAGCCGCCGCTGTCACCCGTATCATACCAGGACCGGGAGAGAAACGTAAAGAACACTGCCCGCGAGCTGGAACGACCTGCACCACAGGATGCCGCCAGCCCTCCCCTGCCGAGAGCTCGCAAGGGGCTCCTGAGGCAGTTTGGTGGACTCCGGCCCCCCAGCGAGCTCATCGCTTCCGACCTCACCTCGTACTTCCCAGACCATCCGAGAGAAGATATCGACCGCACTGCCCGGTTGTCTATGCGCCGATCTGCGCGCCTCAGCAAGGTCAACAGCCGCCTCAGCGTTGCAAGCAATCTGAGCTTTGCATCAAGCATCCAGGACGCACCCCCCATCCCAACGATCGCCGACAGCTGGCTGAACGCCACGAGTCAGATTGCCAAGGTTCGTCCCAATGTCCACGGACGCATGACGCCAATGTTCCGCGACTCTGTTGCCTCGTCGGTGCTTGATACGCTCCAGGAGGAGTCCAGCCCCATTGAGCCGAATCGCAAGTCATATGTCTCCTTTGCCGATAGTGGCTCAGACTCAGCTGCCGTCAGCGTCACCGACCCCGAGGGCAATGTCGTCAGACATAGCTATTTCGACGGGGAGAGCAGCACTGGTGGGTCTGGCTCGAGCTCACTCCGAGATGTCAACCAGGCGCTCAACGAGGATGGTGAGGATGCCGATGAGGAACTACAAAGCTTCCTGGCCGGCGAGTCATGGGACGACAACAAGTGGATGAAGGGTGCCATGATCGGCCAAGGTTCTTTTGGCTGTGTCTATCTCGCCCTGCACGCCGTGACTGGCGAGCTGCTGGCAGTCAAGCAGGTCGAGACCCCCTCGCCAGGCGCCAATTCTCAGAACGACCACAGGAAGAAGAGCATGATCGAGGCACTCAAGCGCGAGATCAGTCTGCTCCGAGACCTCCGCCACCCCAACATCGTGCAGTACCTCGGCTGCAGTTCCTCTCCTGAATACCTGAATATTTTCCTCGAGTACGTCCCTGGCGGCTCTGTGCAGACGATGCTCAACTCGTACGGCGCGCTGCCCGAGCCGCCTGTTCGCAGCTTTACCAGGCAGATCCTGACGGGTCTGTCATACCTGCACGGCAAGGAGATCATCCACCGCGACATCAAGGGTGCCAACATCCTCGTCGACAACAAGGGCACGATCAAGATCTCCGACTTTGGCATCTCCAAGAAGCTCGAGGCGACCAACATCCTCACCGGCGCCAACAACAACAAGCACCGCCCATCGCTGCAGGGCTCCGTGTACTGGATGGCGCCCGAGGTGGTCAAGCAGACGAGCTACACGCGCAAGGCCGACATCTGGTCCCTCGGGTGCCTGGTCGTCGAGATGATGACGGGCACGCACCCGTTCCCAGACTGCTCGCAGCTGCAGGCCATCTTCAAGATCGGTGGTGCCAAGGCGGCGCCCACCATCCCCGAGCACGCCAGCGAGGATGCCCAGAACTTCCTTGGTCAGACTTTCGAGCTTGACCATACCAAGAGACCCAGCGCGGACGAGTTGATGCTCCACTCGTTCCTGACGCCCATCACCTAATTTTTTTCGCCCCCCTCTCCTCGGGGCTGGGCTATTCACCATGCCTTGGTAATATGACAAGAGCACCTTTTTTTCTTCTTCTTTCTCTTTCCCGTCTTATCATTCATGTGTACATAACAAGACAAAAAGATTTACGTGTTCCGGTATCACGAGATGTATGATTTGGACAAAATATATTTGTTAGTTGGCTTAACAAAGACGAGAGCGGTCTGTATGACATATGCATGGACATCATGGCGGAGGCGCAATCTCTACTACTTTGATATACTGGATCTGGCTGGATCCTGTTGTCACCTTGGGTATCATAATGTGGCCAATACGGCCACCTTGCTCGGCCTCGTGCTGTGTATAGAATAAGGATAAATATGATGTATCACCATGTACGATCTGTGTTTCTATGCTATTGTGAGAACCTGGACTGCCAGAGAGGAGATGGTGAAATAGTTGTCTGAACACTGTGACAGTTCAAAGAACTTATGGACGATCTCCACGCTGTGCATGTTATATTATTGCCAGGAGACATGCTTGGCGACTGATTGATATTCTTGAAGCCTAGAGGCCCTCCTAGGCATATATGGATGGGTGATATTATATCTACTTGTGTCTATAATTATATGATGTAACCTTTGGACCAGATGGCAAAGTGTCAGAGCCCCTTTTTCTACTTTATTGCTCAGTGTAGCGGATGATGCTGTTCAGTTCGGCCCATGTGACCAGAACACCGTCATCCTTACGATCACTTACCAGTAAGACACTTGTCCTTTCCTTCCCAACCCGCTCCTCTCTCAAAGAGGGCCGGGGGGTCCCTTCTAGACTCGGCAAACATGCTCTTTCCCCTCTCATCCTACTTTGCCCATCTTTCAGCAGCTTTCCCCCGCCCAAGCCCTATGATTAAGCAGCAGCCAAGCCAAGAAGACCAACAGCGTGACAGGCACGGTGAAAGCCCAGTAGATCCAGAAGCTAGGCTGAATCACCCGGCCCGCAGGCTCATCCCACTGCAGCGACGGCACCGAGAAGAGGGCGGCGAAGAAGGTCGCCGGGAGAAAGGCCATGGTCATGACGGCGATGGTCTTCATAGACGAGCCGTCGCGCTTGGCGGCGTCGGCCAGCTCGATGGCTGCGCGGGCGTCTTCGTGGGTGAGCATTGTGGTGAGCTGCAAGAGAGAGAGGAAAGGATGAAAGCAGAGGCGGAGTATGAGTTAGTTTTGAGTGGGGGTAACGTGTTTATAAGTAGGCAGGTTGGGGGTTTGGTTTTTTTTCTTTCTTTCATCATGTCCTTACCGTGTTCTTTTGGCCGCCTAACCTCTCGTGTAGGTACTGGATGTTGACCCTGCAGGAGGCGAGCTGCCTTTTCACTACCCTGGCCGCGTCCACGGCATCTCCTGCTGTGTTTCCCACGTCTGACCTCTGCGACACTGTCTTCGCCTCCTCCTCCTCCTCCTCCTCCTCCTCCTCCTCCTCCTCCTCGTCCTCGATATAGCCAAGCAGTGCCTCAGCAGCCTCGGCGTGCCTGACGTAGTTTGCACATTGCACCAAGTCCCCGCCGATCTGCTTGGACCAGCTCGCAATGTCGTCGATGCTGGGCAGCATTTTGATGGTATTGTGATGAATCCAGCCCCCGAAGCCACTGTCAGACTCCATAGATCGCACGTCCTCGAGAGTGCTGAGCAGGGAACCGTCCAGGTACCGCACGATATGCAGCGCCGTCACAAAGGCCATGAGGGGGCCTGGCCTGCTCAAGTGAGGCGGGGCACAGTCGCGCAGCATGCTAGTAAGTTTCATCGTAGATGACCTCTGGCCGCTTGAACTCGTTCTTGTGGCGGAGCAGGACGAGGACGCGGACGGAACTGATGGTGGTGGAGTTGGTCGATGATGGTGTCGAAGGGGGGCGGCGTGTGGTGCTCCATAGGATGGTGTAGAAAATGGTGCCCAGGTAAAAGGTTGTTGTTCGGCCATCTCCTGCGTCTGTGTGGTGTTGGAAGCCAAAGCACCTTGTTGGTGATCAGATAGAGAGCCCACGGGTCCAGCTTGAGAAGGCGGAAGACGTCGAGAAATGCAGTTCGGGATATCAGCAGCTGCCTCTCGAGAAAGTCGGGAATCACTATAAGTTTCAAGTCCGCATGTGCCTGGGCCGGCGACAGCACTGGGTCGTTTTTACTAGCGAATGATGACAGCTCGGCTTCGGATAGCACCTGGGAGTGGTAGCGCACCAAAGTGTTGGTCTCTGTATTGGTTGTCATGTCGAGGGTGCGGTAGGTTAGGCCTGACCACCTCTCAGCGAACCGGCTGACTGGAGGCTGCCCATCGGCCAACTGCCGGAGTGCCTCCATGATGTGTAATGAATTGGTGTGGTGATTATTGGTGGTGGTGGACCGACTGAATGGGTTTCATTTGAGATGTGAGACTGCGCAAGGCTCCGTCGAGTAAAGGTTCTAGAGAAGTGTGCCTCTGGGTCCTGCTGTGTAAGATTCTTTTAGTTCAGTTGACGTGCACAGGTGTGGTGATGAGTGAGGTGAGATTCCTACCCTCTCTGCATCAATACGGACGCCACATTGCTTACTTGCATCATCGCTGCCCAGATGGAGCAGGCCAAAGCAGGCCAGCGTTCTCTCACGCACCACTGCGAGCAAGCTGCAGGGGGGCGGCGGGCTGTGATGGAGGATCGTCCAGAGGGACAGGCACAGTATACTGACTATGTAAGAAACATGCATTAGACTATAAGTTTGGCCTGCAAATATGTTGATGAACGGATATTGAACATTTAGTAAGTGGATCAATTGGGCGGGGTTGCTAAGTGTAGTATAACTGCTGTACACAACATGCACGCACACTACTTAATGAAGTAAGCAGCGCATAATTGATCACTGAATGCCTCCCAACATCTTTCAATTACCAGGACTGAGGTATGAGCCCTAGCATTCAATGTTGTGGGGGAAAGTATAAGTATAGTCAGTCCTGAGAGACAGCCGGTCGTGCCCCCCCCCCCCTTCCCCCCGATCAATACTGCCATCGATCCCTGCCCTCATACTTTAATATTGTTGAATTCTGATTATAGATCATGGCAGTTGTACACCTTCTTCAATGACAAAATTATAACAGTATGTGTGCATATTTTATAAATGAATAAATAGATAAACAGGACCAGGAGAAAGAGGAAGCGAGGTCTGTGATCTCTGGTGAAATGAAATGATTTTCTTATTAATTTTCTTGGCTCTTTTTTTTTGGGGGGGGGGGCACAATGCTCATGAAAGTGTATTAAAGACTTAAGTGATTTATGGGTTTGGGAAAGCCTCATAAGTCATCAGCTGAGAGCAGGCAAGAAAACCTTACATGAAATATTTTCAACAAATAAGCAGGAGGCAGATTTGCTGAGGGGATAAGCTGCCTCGCCCTTTTTCTGACGTGTCATCCCACATCCCAGCTGGGGAAAGAGGGGGTTCCGAGGTACGCAACCATCACTATCAATGGAAAGACGCTCGCAATCACGACGAACCTGAAAGAGGCGCTCTGGCAGGCGAGGCTCACGGATAGGCCGCGGGCTCTGTGGACCGACTCTGTCTGCATCAACCAGCGCGATGAGGCGGAGAAGGCGCAGCAGGTAGGCCTGATGGGCCGCATATATAAGATGTCGAGCTGTACCCTAATATGTCTCGGCCTCGAGCCCAAGTCTCGACAGGCCGCCCGCAACGTGGCCGCGCTGATAGACGATGTAACCGAAATGATGGACAGGGTCCTGACCTCCTTGTTGTTGCAGTCGTCCAGGTGGGACTGGGACAGCTTCCCGTATCCGCTTGAAGGAGACCCGCTCCTCGACGAATACAGGTGGCGGCGGCCTTGGTCACAATTGACAGGTCATGCCTATTTTCACCGCGGGTGGGTTGTGCAAGAAGCAGCACTCGGGCGAGACGCAGTTCTGTTCTGCCTCCTCCGAGTATTCTGGTGGCTGTTCCGGCGGGAGAAGTCCGGGATACCCGCGTTGAGCGCATGGCAGATTTCACCAGCTCACATCAAGAGCTATTTACTCAGCCGAGAAGACGAGTACCGGACACTGATCCCTGAAAGTATCCAAGCGACGCTGCAACCCTGTTCAACTCTCGAATGAAGCTGCAGTTGCACAATCCCAAAAGATCGAATTTACGCATTCATGGCTCTGTCGACCTCGGACGACGGGATGCCTGATCTTCAGCCGGACTACAGCAAAAAGACATCGCATTTAGATGTCTACCGCGACTTTGCTATCAAATACTTGGAACACACATCAGATCTGGATCTTCTGAGCTTCGTGGAGCATGACGAGGACGATGACCTGAGCTCCCCTGCCTTGCCCTCGTGGATCCCACGCTGGGATCGCGGCGCAAGCGTTTTGTCCTTCTTAGACACGACAGTATTCAAGAGCAACAACGATGACAAGACAGTCCATATAGACGACGAGTCTGTGCTTCGAGTCAAGGCGACTATCCATGATTCTGTCATATATGCCTCCAGTGTGTTCAAAAAGCAGGCGGAGATTTCAGCAAAGGTCGAGGAGGTGATCCGGCTGTGGAGAGAGGTCGCACCGCAGTCGATGAAATGCCCCGGACCACACCAAAATCGCCTGGAGCTGGCATTCCTCGGCGCACTCTGTCAAGGCTCCATCGAAAGGCCGCTAGACGAGTTCCCAAGCTCTCGAATGGCATTCATACAGCTTTTGCAGTCCGACCAGCCACATGAGCCCATGGCTGTGTATACGCAGGACAGCGATGCGCGGCGTGTCCCAGCACTCATGACGCACAATAGACGGCTTGTTCTCTTTAGTAACGGCTGCTATGGGTACGCACCAGCTTCGACTCGTGAGGGTGATGTGTGGGCTGTCATTTGCGGAACGTGTACACCGTTCATACTTCGCAAGGTGCCCGGGAAAAGCAGACCACTATAGACTTGTAGGGGCGGCATTTGTTCAGATGCCTCGCTTCTGGGATGATGGTAGTCCATGTGATTTGAATTTCAGGGGAGAGCCTGATGAATGGGAGGAGTGGACTTGGCCAAGTAAACATGTCTTCCTCCGCTGATCAAGGCGTAGCTTGCTCCAGTGCTAACTCCAGAAAATATTACTATACCCTGAGCTGTTTGCATAGCCTTCACTAAGTATATGCACTAGTAGTAGCCTGCGGCATGAGGCAAAACGATTCGTATAGCCCGATCTCCGCATTAGTAACTGAGCCAACACATTAGACAATCCCCGAGGCGATTAAAATGTTTTCCTGCACAAGACTTTTTACTTTACACGAATCATCTCCTTTCAACGCATATCAAGACTTTGTTAACCTGAGAGCCTTGCTCTCTCTCTCTCTCTCTCTCTCTCTCTCTCTCTCTCACTCTCTCACACACACAGAAGTGTGTATGTAGGTGGTTACTGCAACCAGAGAGAGACAAACGACACTAACTGAAAAGATCTTGGATTTCTACACTGGCCTTGGGACGGACGGAAAACGGGAGATTCAGCTGGATACAAAGACATCTGTCCGTGCCTCGCCAACACTGGCTGAACTGCAGGCCGTGAAAGTTGCCTGGGTAGAGAATTGGCTGACACAGCGGGCTTTTTGAGGTGATGTTGAGGGATATTTGTCTGAGCGCTTCTAAAAGTGAGCAGTTTTGTCCACTGAAGTGGCTGTTGGTTCAACCACCCACCAAGTTCCAAACCCTGCACCAAAGAGCGTATACTTGTGTTGTATTTCTGCATATGATACAACTGACAACAATCTTTCCTCATGACTTTATCTTCTGAGCCGTTGCAAAGATAGGACGTCCTCACAACAAGGATGTCTGCGTCCTGAGATCCTTGCAGAGTCCATGTAAGACGATTGGGTGAGATTCAATGCACGGACCAGGTCCTCAATGACATGCCGTCTGGGTCAAGAGTAGAGGGCTTAAATAAGGATTCTTCTGATTGCTTCATGACCATCTACTCATTGTAGAATAATGCAGAGTGGAAAGAGAGAATAGGAGATAAAGGAGAAACCTGTCTCAAAGAAGCATGATGTTGGATGGAAGAAGTCTACGTGACATCTAGTATGAATCGTATGAAAGAACAAAAGAAAGACATTGATCTCATTGTTCAGAGCCGGCGAGTCAAAATAGTCCATGTACTGGTGTGGCCAGAGACTTAACAAAGTACATCCTCTTTCCTCAAAATGAGTATTTGAGGTTCAAGTGACTGGCGGTATAATAGGCTGATAGAACGTTGCCAGCACAAGCAGTACCAGTATCATGGCAGATGTTAGCATGACTTGCTTTAGACAGTCTTTCAGAGTGGACACGGGCTCGCATTCAAGATCCGCATGAGCAGCCTAGCCAACACGTAATGAGCAACCATGCAGTTTATTGAATATCTTGAGGCCTGCAAAATCCAAACGATCCAAAGGCCGACCGATGACTTTTTAACTCGGCCGCGTTTATAATTTTATTATTCTCAAATGCTTACCGTGTCAATCGATGCTCTTGGAATTGCTTGCGGGTTAACATCTTCCCCATCGACTCCAGCATATTGACATTGTCTTGAATCTCTGAAAGGGTCTTGGGTGCCTGGCTGATACCGCATGACCGCTATCCAAGTTCTTCCATCAAATTTATATCCACCTTTTGCCAATTTTTAGGACCCTCCGAACCAGTCGTATATAGATCAGTCAATATGTTGTTGCTGCTAAGAGACCATCGAAATTCGACGTTGATGAACTCGACGGCTCTGTTGAAACTCGGCCAGGATCCCAATAGAATACTTCAAGATAGCTCTATGATACAAGTCTAATTTCATCTCCTTAGATGTGATGTTCGTCACTGAGCCAAATGGCAAAAGCTACAAGGACGTCAAAACGCGCTATATTGGAAGCAAACACCGTTAACAGAGGATATGAACGCCTGGAGGCCACCTCTCATAGCCTAGAACTACCCAAGGAGGGTGGAAGACAAAACATTGCGCTCAGTGCGGCGGGGGAAAGGCATCAGCCTTCTCCAATGACAGAAAGTGCGGGCTCTACCTCGCAACTGGAAAGACAGGGCTCTAACAACACATCATCTAATATACAATCCTTCATCATTGGAAATTTCGGCAACCTCAGTTTCCTTTGGGTCGAGCAAAAGTGGCTCTCACACCCCGACGATTCTGCGCAAGGTTCAACGGCTCCGCAGTCCGTACCACCTTAGTACTGGTTGTTGGATGAGGCGGGTTATTTCTGCCAGGTGCCTGCTCCTGAACACGAGCCGCAAGCGCCGCACCGGCTCTGCTCCCATTTGGCTGATCCAAGAAGTCAGAGATCCACTGGCCCGTGGCAACCAGCTCCCTGAGGTTGACGCCAGTCGGTACTCCAAGCCGCTGGAACCCGTACACGATATCCTCAGTCGCCACGTTACCCTTGGCTCCTTTGGCGTAAGGACACCCTCCGAGGCCCGCAACGCTGCTGTCAAAGGTTCGAAGCCCCATTTCATAGGCCTTCATCACGTTGGCGACTGCCTGGCCGTAGGTGTCGTGAAAGTGCCCGGCGAGCTTCTCGGCCGGGATGGACTGGAGGAGGACCGACAGCAGGGTCTCCACGTTGCCAGTAGATCCAACGCCGAGCGTATCGCCCAGGCTCACCTCGTAGCAACCCATGCTCAGAAGCTCGCGTGCGACGTGAAGGACAGCGGCAGGGGCTGTGGCGCCGTCATATGGACACTCGATCACGCACGAGACGTATCTGAGCATTTGTCAGTTGTCACCCGGCTCATCGTGGCTGACGTTCATTCACAACCTCAGGGTAACTTACCCCCGTACAGCGATTCCGTGTTGTCTGGCCTTGTACGCTACCTCCCGTGCCCTCGTGAGCGCCTCGCTGACCGAGCAGTTGGTGTTCCTCTGCGAGAAACTCTCAGAGGCAGAGACAAAGACGGCCACTTCTGTTATCCTGTGACCGAGCGCGGCGTCCATTCCCTTGGCGTTGGGTATCAGGACAGGGAAACTGAGGTTTTTGTCTCTCAAGAGCGGCTCGATGGCCCTCAGTATCTCTGCATTGTCGGATAACTGAGGGATCCATTTAGGCGAGACAAAGGACGTGACCTCGACAGTCGAGAGGCCTGCTCTGACCAGGCGCTGAATAAGCTCGACCTTGACTGCCGTCGGGACGCTTTTGGAGATGTTCTGCAGACCATCCCTTGGGCCGACCTCGACAATCCGCACCGCCGGCCGCGACGTTTGTTGATTCATGGCGTCTTGGGTAGCATGTTCGTGCGCTTTTGGGGGGGGGGGGCAGCCTGCAGACCCTAGAGACGTCGTGGAAGGATGGCCAGCAGAAGCTGTGTTGAGTTGCAGGATTCGGGAATGACGCAGAGTGGTGATGACAAGCTTCCAGCCGCAGGTCAAAGGTGTGCTGTAATTCGCCGGTCGGTGTATTACTGGACATTCCGCATCCGGCTTGGTATTCTGTTCAGCCACTCTTCCTGTTGTAGGAACACGCATCGGAGCATTCACAGACCCGGCTCGGGATGTACTCCAACTTCCTAGATGGGTAAAGATGCCACCATTTTCGGATCAGCATCACAAACCAGTTTGTAAATTGTTGTTGATGACTCAGTTGGGTGTTTTTAAGACCTTCAGCTAATTATTTTTAAGTAGTCTTCGATCCCCAAATTTGTGTGAGAGCCTTGAAGACCCACGAGCAGCAAAGGCAAGGCGAAAGAGACTCGGTTTCAATTGAGAGCAACAGGAAGTTTTTATAATAGCACATGCAGTTCTCGAACAACGGTTTTACGACGGCAAGACAACAGAAGAAGATGTATTTTATCATGATCCAGGATGGTTGTTTGCCGATGGCGAAGCGGATCGCGAAGATACAGTCAGACACTTGGGAGAGGTTGCAGACAATTGTACAAAAGGGAGGCGAGCAATTGAATTGTGAATGTCACATACGGCATTACCTCGATACTTCTCGTTTAGTCCAATATCATGTTACCCCCTCTATGCTGGTACCAAACATTGAATTCATGTTCCCAGGCTTCATTCAGTGTTGTTCACCAGTCCCGACCTCATTCTCACGCCAGTCCTCAGGCCATCTCAATCAGGAAAGTCTCTCCCTCATGTTCGAGATTAACCCAAAAGCAAACTCAGGTGTTGTGTCGAGGAGCGACTGCAGTCCGTCATGTTTCAAAGCATCTTCGACTATGCAAGCGTAGTATAGTGCGATGATCTCTCTGATCCGATCATCTGGGCGCGTGTTGTCGAAAATATATTGAGCCAGTGTGGCAAGATCGTTGAAGCGGCTCGGATAGAGGGTGAACTCCCTGAGAGTAACATAAAGTCGGTGCAGAGAGAGCTGGCGCAGCTGTGGGATGTCGTACGTGTCGCCGAGCACGTAGAGTTTGGCATGGCACATAAAAACACCGGTGTAATCCTCGCACCCTTCGGTATTCTTTCGCGGGATGAAAGCCGATGTCGAAGAGGGGCATTCAGTGCCATCTTTGTTCAGAAACTTGGCGATGAGGTTGACCTTCAGTGACAATTTTCGTTGCGACGAACAGCTAGGGCAACCTGCGAAAGCAGAAGCACAGTAGGAACAGGCTGTGCAGTTGTATTTTTTCAGACACATTGGACAAGTTGGCGATCGTGAAACTGGTGACTTGTGCCCAAAGTGGGTGCATGCTCGTTTTGAGCAACCGTTTTTCTTCGCAGTTATACAGGAGGCGCCTTTGGGACATTCTGAGAAGGCGGAACTGCAACCTTTACATCGCTTGGACTGGTAGCCGCTCAGACAAACAAGACAGACGACTGATTCGGTCTTGTAGTGATCGTTTCGCCTGTAATAATCGCAATTTGCATTGCTGCAGCGTTCGATATTGGCGCGGGCGGCTTCCATGGCTGAAAGAAGGGAATACAGAGGTTTTTCCGCAGACTCATCTTCGCTTGTCGTTATCGACTTGTCCTTGGAGTCGGTGGGTGCGGGCGTGCTGTTCTCCCCAGATTTATCATCAAAACATGGGATGTCGTGTTGGCCAAGCACAATGTCCGGCTCTTCTGTGACGTAGTTCTTCGTATAAGCCCATTGCGTGAACCGCACAAATGTCTTCTCGTCGACATCCGGCCATTCCACACATAGCTCCTGAGCTTCCTTATGCGGCCCGTCCAGCAAGACGTTCAACGGCTTGGAGAGCGGAGAAATTGCTGCTGCGTGTACATGATACTCCTTCTTTCGAGAGCCCACGATGAATTTGAAGATTTTAGACCCGATGATACTGCAGAGGGGCAAACATTAGCATATCCGAAGTCGAAAACATCTCTTGTGATACTAAAGCCTTGGAGCATGGTCGTCTTGAACTCACTCCTCGTAGGTTGGCTCCATCTTGACGCAGCTTCAACAGCGGGCCCAGGTTGTTATCGGGCTTCGTTACGCAAGGTCGGCAGTGGTAGAAAGTATGTGCCTTGAGTTTTGACAGGCTTCTAAGGAAGTAGGCTAGATCAATCAATGCTGAAGACGACAACTTCTCGTGCGGCTGCACCACGTTTGGAAGGAAAGTTGGATGGTATTTTCGCTAGCCATTCACAGACGCATCGCAGACAAGGAAGGGTATGAAAGAAAAGAGCAGTCGATAAGGGGGGGGGGCGCCAATGGGTTGATGTGGAAAGCAATTTGAGGCATCGATCAAGGATTGGGTGTGCGGGGGCGTCTGCAAGGTTCCTCTGCCCCTCCACGCCCCTCTTCTTGAAACTATTGACTGGGTTTGTTTATCTTGTATTCAAACGTCATCGGCTACAGTATATAAAGTACATGAAGTAAGTATGCAGGTGTAATCAAACCTCTTTTGAACCGTGTTGGTCGCATGCTGCACGACCATCTCACTTCGCATACTACCGTATCGCGGCTTTTGCAGTGGCTTGAAGCTGCATTGGGCGCTGCCTCCCGCTCCCTAATTAACGGCTCAAATTCCCCTTCCTCTCTTCAGGAAAGAACTCAAGTTCCTACATATCAGCGAGCGGACGTCTGTCTAATCCCGAGGTCACTGAAAAAGAGCAGACAGACTGAAAGCCGGAGCTGCAAACTAAAGTCTACCTACATTTTCAGTAAGTACTTTGCGTACCATTGTAGGTGGTGGAGGTAGACACAGCGTGTACTAGAGCGGCAGCGTGCTATCATCAACGTAAAATGCCAAGGCGACGTCTTGATGCTCTGATGGCATTGGGCAACGCAGTCCACGCCAAAGAGGGAGATTAGATAAAGCTACAACAATTGTCTGTTCTCCTTACGCAAGAGCAGTTGGATCTTGAAGAAGATCTTGTTAAGATCACAGTAGATTTGCATGAAGTCGCGAAAACCATACTCTGTGCCCCTGGGTCGTTGTATGGCCGATGAGAATAATAAATAAAAATTTGACCGTCCGTGGTGCCCACAGCTTTTACACCCTAGCCAGAGTCTGGAATATGACGTTGAATTTATTTTTATTGTTGATTTCTCTTCCCTTTGTCTCGGTTTCAATACTGCCACAGCACGAGCAACCCCTCGCCTTCTTACGAGTACTTCGTGTGGCCTGATTCTGTGCAAGAAGAGAAAATGCAGTGCTGTGCAAACAATTTTACAGCCTTCTCCACTCCTCCTTCTCCTCCTCCTCCTCCTCCTCCCTTTTTTCTTCTTTCCCTTTTCTTTTTTTATTCTTTCCCTTTGTAGTATTCTTTAATTTCCTTTTCCCCTCTATTGGACGGAGGATGGTCTCGTTATGTAAGCGAAGCTGTTGAGCGCTAAAATGCTAGCCGAGTTCACCCAAATCTGTGACGTCTTGTCTTACCGAGGCACTGCAACCCAACATGGGAGAGCTGTTTTCGAATAGCTAAGGCACCTTCCGCTTAGGAGTGTGTGTTTGCTTGTGACACAGCAGCCTTTCCGTCAACAAGTCCAGATCGGTCCTGTAGAGTCCCTCCTGCAGAATGAGACATACCATCTTTCTCTGAGCCGTGCTCCTTTATTCTTCTTCATCGTTATTCAGACCACATTGAATTTCCCATCGACACGGCGCCCTCCCCGCACCACCTGACGGGTGGAAAGTGTAGACAATGTTCGCTGCCACGCGGCGATGGTTCCGCCGCAACAGAACTCCTATCGCCGTCGGCGTAGGCATCATTGGTACTGGCTATGTTGTCACGCAGTACGTGCTCAACAAGCTCAATGATGCGCGCGAGCGGATGAGCAGTGATCGGATAGCAAAGGAGAAGTACGCCTTTCCTCCTCCTTTCTTAATTCATCGGCATCTTCGTCATCTTCATCGTCATCGTCCTCGTCTTTCTACTAACACCCGGCCCGCTCACCCAACAGCCTCCGACGACGTTTCCAACAAAATCAAGAGGACTGTACCTTCACCGTCCTAGCCCTCCTACCCACGGCGGCGACGAAGATCCTCGAGACACTCGACGTGGAGAAGATCACACTCGAAATCCAGCAACTGAAGAGCAACAATGGCGCCAGGTCAGCCAAAAACGGGAGCGGCGACTCGATGAGCTTGCCCGAGACGACAGGCATGACGGACGAGGACGGACGGAGTATGATCTCAGCCAGCGAGAGTGGCATACACGCGAGCCAGGTCACGGTGCCGCCCGCGAGTCAGACATCAGAAGGGGAACAGGCGCAGCAGCAGGACAAGCCCAAGAGGACCAAGAAGCAGCTGTGGGGAGATGTGACGATCAGCTGTAGGTTGATTCTCTCGCGCACGGATGCTACCCTGCGACCAGTTGCGCTTACTAATGGATGCCACAGCTATCACGAGGGCCTTTACGCTCATGTACACCCTCGCCCTGCTGACCATGCTCACGCGCATCCAGCTCAACCTTCTCGGGCGGCGGAGCTACCTCTCCAGCGTGGTGTCACTGGCGGCTGGCTCTAACAACGCTGCCATCAGCCTCGAGAACAAGGATGACGACAACGCAACCGAGGCGTATGGCGACGACTTCGAGGTCAACCGCAAGTACCTCACCTTCAGCTGGTGGCTGCTGAACAAGGGTTGGGTGGACGTGATGCAACAGGTCGAGACCGCGGTCAGGCAGGTCTTTGGACAGATGAGCCCGAGGGATCAGGTCACCTTTGACTCATTCTCGCAAATGACGAAGCAGGTCAGGAGACTGGTCGAGGGGCCTTCATTACAGGAACAGCAGCAGCAGCAGCAGCAGCAGACCGTTGGCGGGACCACAAAGTGGCTGCCGTTTCTCTTGCCCCCGCAGGACATGGAAGATTTCGTCCTAAAGGAATCCGGCATCCTAGATGACAGCGCCACGTCGCAAACCCAGCTCACCGAGCGAGAGCCCTCGAGCCCTGCCTCAGCAGCCTCTCTTCGGCGTCTCCTAGACGAGACGTCCGATATCGTCGAGTCACCCACCTTCACCCACGTCCTCACACAGATCCTCGACGCAGGTTTCTCTGTGCTCCTGGACAAGAAACTAGCCGAGGGTCCTTTCGACCTTCCACCACCACAACCATCGTCACCACCAGCGGCAGCACAGATTCTGATCAATGTTGACGGCATCAGTCCTGAGCTGCAGATCCTCCGGCAGGAAAGGAAGGTCCTCTTGCCTAAGTGTCTGTCGACGCTCACCCGGCAGGCACATTACATTGGCATTGGTATGCCAAACGAGTACCTCCAGGCGATGGAGAGCGTGCAGGATCTCGAGGGGTTCGCGGCGGTGGTGTATTCTAGCAACTGGGAGAACGAGATCCGGGAAGAGGGGATGATACCGTCTCCCAATAGCGGGAGCGGATCAACACGAGGCGGTACAGCGACGGCAGACTCTAGTGTACGGCATTCGACGATCATAGGCGAGGAGAGCATGGTCCTGGTAGACCCCTCGCAGAGCTCCTTTGAGAGCGTCTGGGCAAAGGTCACGGACAAGACATGAGGGGCTCGTTGAACAAAGGCAAGAGAGGCGTTTCAAAGAGTGCTTACTATTGTCAAGACGATATACCCATACAGATGCATGGAACTCGCTGTCCACTAGTAGCACGTGTCGTATGTACAGATCATGTCAACGGCATGATATGAATACACGTGAACAGGTCAGACCCCTGGCCTTTGCATTATGACTTTGGTCCATAGACACATTTTGGTGCCTCTTGATGGTTTTCCATGCCCTTTGGCGTCCGGGGCCTCGTTGAATCGCAGGCTTCTCCCCTCCCCCTCCCCCTCTCCGGCCCTCTTTGCCGTTTTCAAAGACGCTTGGAGGATGGACAAAATGATCATGACAAGACAGCGAGACAATTTTCGCTCCCGGTCTGTCTGGCCTGGGCCTCCCCTCCTCAACTTTCGACGGTGGTCTGGTTCTGCTCCGGCCAAGTCGCGACGCCCTCCTCAGGGAAAGAGGGGTGCGACTAGCGGTGTTGTCTCCAGAGGACAACGTTCCTCTCGGACGGGACAATGCTCATAACAAGAATCGTGACAGCCTGGTCGTCCCTTGGCTTATATCACTGCCTTCCGGCCTGCTAGCACATGCACCTCATTCTCGGGAAGGGGGATCCTATGCCATGCGCTCTTCGTGTGACAACCCGTCTGGCTCACTGGAGACCCCTGATAAACTGGTCAAGGCCCATTTCGAATAGCTCATTCCTGACGCCGTCGCCGCCCTTGTGCTCGACCGGCGCGAGCGGGTTCTTGATCACTACACCCACGTAGATTGTCAGCCACTCTGTCGTTTACCGTGTCCCTTTTGTGTCCCCCTTCATGCCCTTCTCCATCCCAGGAGAGGAGGGGGGGGGGGATGCTAAAACAAGAAATGAGATCTCTCCTATCATAACGTACCATACTCCACCCAGAGATTGATATAGATCTGATGCAGCACGTTCCGCATGCTCATGGTACCCGTGTCCGTCAGCAGGACGAAGCGCAGGTTGGTGGGCGTCTCATAGTAGTGCAGGCGGTACTGGCCCGTGCGGTATGAGATGAATGCGTCGTCCTCGCCGCCGAGCTTGCGCACGATGTTGCGGAGGGAGAAGACGGTGCCGAAGATGAGCTTGGCGTCGTTCTGTGCGCGGGTGGACTTGGGCCCGCCGCCGTTGGTCTGGGGCCGGGGGGCTGGGGTGGTGGTCGTGGTGGTTGTTGTCGAGACTGGGAGGGCGGCTTGGGAGGGCTGTAGCCAGGACTTGGTATAGACGCATTCGGCTATGAGTGAAAGGGTCAGTTAAAAGGCCATAGCTGGCTTGGGGATGGGACCGGGGGGAGGGGGGCGGAGCTCAAGGGCAGTGTCTTGTGACTCACTATGCCTGTCAAAAATGTAGAATGAGTAGACAGGCATGATGGGCTGTCTACATCACGACCTTTGAGGAGGTCGCTGTTGTTCAGGCGGGGGAGGGTCGGAGGTAGAGGAGGAGGCCCGAGGAGAGGTCACTGAGTGCTAGTTTAGTTTCGTTGATGATATTTGGGCGGGCACTTGTCATCCCTGAGACAAGACGTTGCAGGCTGCTGAAAGCCAGTGGAGCTTTAGCGGCTCCTCAAGGGGTGCCAGGGGGGTCCCATGGCGGGTTGTGTGGAAAAAGGCTTGTCAACGCGGGGGAAAGTGAGAGGTTCCTTCTGTTTTCTTGGTCGAGAAACGAACTGTGGGCCCTCCAGCCTTGGGAAGGAAGCTTATCTGACTTGCAGGGGTTCGAAGGGTGTGAGGTGTCGAAGGAAGAAAGGGCCATCCAGCTCCTCTGACTCGTCCCACATGCCCGGGTTTAGGTCCCAAAAGGTTTATTAGTTGAGGCTGAGGACAAGCACGACGGGTAAACCGAGTTGGCGGAAGGAGAGAACAAAAGCCCAACAGCTTCTTTGGTTGGTCAGAAGAGTTAAATGACATGTCGACCTGAATAAATTGGTGTACTCCTCCTCCTGCTTCTTCTTCTTCTTCTTCTTCTTCTTCTTCTCCTCCTCCTCATGGCTGCTGATCGAGTCTATCTCTCCGCTCCTCGCCTCTTCTTTCTGCGCCTCGCCCCGAGAACACTTCTTCCCCAGAGTCAGCCCACCTAGAAGAGCCTCCTCACAAGGCTGTGCCTGCTGTACACCAGTTTACGACGAGACAGAATCGATACGCTGCTGCTACTTGCTGCGCCGTGTGCAAGAAAGACGCAGTATCTCCTCCGTAGGACGAAGTCTGCTGGAAGTCTTTCCAGGCAGAACAAATACACCCATGGAGGCAACCCTACAACCGCCAGCACCGCTCAGGTCGAGCAACAGCTCCCCAGCCGGTGCCACCAGCATTAGAGATGGAGAGGGCGCCCTCGACGGCGCAAGCATGAGCAGCAAAGACCCTCCAAGACCCAGCCTGCAGTCCCCGGGCATCAAGGTCGAATTCCATGGCGCAGGCAGTGAGCACCAGCGTCAAGGCGCTGGACAGGATGGTGGCGCCCGGCCTGCGCTGCCCCCTCAACCTAGGTGAGTTCTTGAGTTAGGAAGCCGAGCAGGGACGAGGGACAGAATGTGTCCCGGGCGGGGGGCGGGGGGGGGGGGCGGAAAGGGAAAATAGGGCATGTCTGACATATCGAGTCAATCTTTTAGATCTGCACCTGCTGTCCAACAATTCCAGAGCCCAATGAGGCAGCACAAGAGAACCCCCAGCCAACATAGAGAGGTCAAGGTGTGTATTTCCCCCTTTTCATGTCACTTCAATGCCTTGAGCTGGACTGACAATTCCGGCTCTTACTTTCAGGAAACCCTCAATGCGCGCTCTGAATACACCAATGACGACACCGATGGCTCCTCGCACCACATCATCAATCAATATACTGTTCAGGAGGAGATAGGCCGTGGCTCATACGGCGCCGTCCACCTCGCCCTCGACCAGTTCGGGAACGAATATGTAGGTTGGACACACTGGGGAGCAAGAGCAATAGGGTTGTCATGGCACCAGACAGAATCAGGAGACTCATGCCCCAGATGAAATTTCTAGGCCGTCAAAGAGTTCTCAAAGACCCGCCTCCGCAAGCGGGCGCAGTCCAACATCCTCCGCCGCGGGCCTCGTCGCCCAGGCGCGCGAATGCCATCAGGGCTTGGCCTTCGTTACGGGCCGGGTATGGACCAGACAGTGTCGAACCAGCTGTCTGATCAGAAGGCAGAAGAGGCCAAGGACGCCCTGTTCCTGATCAGGGAGGAGATCGCCATCATGAAGAAGTTGAACCACCCAAACCTTGTCTCGCTTATCGAGGTTCTCGACGACCCGGAGGAGGACTCGCTCTATATGGTCCTCGAGATGTGCAAGAAGGGCGTCATCATGAAGGTCGGCCTCGAGGAGTCGGCAAAGCCCTACAGCGAAGAGGAGTGCCGCTGCTGGTTCCGCGACCTGATCCTGGGCATCGAGTACCTACACGCCCAGGGCGTCGTGCACCGCGACATCAAGCCCGACAACCTGCTGCTCACCGAGGACGACGTGCTCAAGATTGTCGACTTTGGCGTGAGCGAGATGTTCGAGAAGCCCGAGGAAATGCGCACCGCCAAGTCAGCCGGGTCGCCAGCCTTCCTGCCGCCCGAGTTGTGCGTTGCCCGGCATGGCGACGTCAGCGGTACGGCCGCGGATATTTGGAGCATGGGCGTGTCGCTGTACTGTCTGCGCTACGGGCACATACCGTTCAATGAGTCTGGCGTGCTGGAGATGTATGAGGCCATCAAAACGAACACGCCGCAGCTGCCTGAGGACGAGAATCCACTCTTCAGAGATCTCATCATGAGGCTGATGGAGAAAGACCCCATGAAGAGGATCACTATGCCCGAGATAAGAGTACGTCGTCTCGTTCGAGATCACTTGGCTTCCACGAGACACCAGCTAAAATAAGGCACAGGAACACCCTTGGGTCACAAAAGAAGGTGCAGATCCTCTGCTGAGTACAGAAGAGAACTGCTCGGAGCCGGTAGAGCCTCCAAACGAGCTCGAAGTCAGCCACGCCTTCACCAGAAGGATGAGCCACCTCTTATGTGTGGTAAGTGTATTTCTTCCTCCACTCTTGTTCTTCTTTTCCTCCCCTCCCTCCACCCTATTTCAGCTGTTGACAGGTCGGGCAAAGATGAGAGCAATATCCAACTTCAAGGCCCTCCTCCACTCTCGCTCCCGCCTGAATAGCCCCCGCCTCAATCTTTCACCCTCAGACGCCGTCTCAGCTCTCGAGTCCCGTCATCAAGCCCGTCTCCGCCACAGGCCCAAGCCCTCCATGGACGAGCAGGAGCTTGCTGACCTCAAGCGCACTAACGAGGAGCTTGCCGCACAGCTGCTCGAAGAGCGCAGGCGCGTGCTCAAGAACCGTGGTAAACACCCGGCCGGCGTCCCGTATTCCGGGGTACCTGTCGAGGCAATTTCAGCTAAGGGAGGATCTGAACCACCGCCATCAGCAGCAGCAGCAGCAGCAGTCGAGGACGATGGCAGCAGCGCCAGCAAGGATGAGCACCAGCACCGTGAGCCGCCTCGCCACGTGACGGCCCCTCTCGTGCTGGGCATCGGCCTTGGGGGCGATGACCTGCCTGTCGCCTCCTACAGCGAGCCTGCGACCGTGGTGGCCGACAGCCCAACGGCGGTCGACTTCAATGTATATAACCGCGCGTACACCGAGGAGTTGGAGCGCATCAAGCGCAGCGGGGGCCGGCCCAGCGTGTACACGACCCGGCACCTTGGCGGTGAGAAGGAGAGGTTCAAGGGGGAGGAGGGGGTTGACGTGCTAGACGAGAGCAGTCGCCACCATCCGATGGTGAGGGAGAGGGAAGGAGACGGCGTGAGGGATAGGGCGAAGGACTCGTCTAAGCCAGCTCGATTCGCTGATCTGGTGGCACAAACAATCCAGAACACGCGAGAGAAGGTCTCCAAGGATACAGGCGGCGGCGGTGAAGAAAAAGGGGAGTAATGATGACGGTGATGATGATGTTGTTGTTGCGTTTCGTATTATGGAAACTGGTAACTAATCTGGCAGTGAGGGGTTTTTTTCCTTTTCTTTTTTCCCTTGGAAACAAGTTCGGGTGGAGGTGGCTGCTTCGTTCTTGGGACAATAAAGACGAATGCATACACGAATAGACCCAAAAAGGATCAAGGAGGCGTCGTTAGGGTAAGTTTCCCCCCGTCCTGTATTTCCCTTATTCTTGTCTTTCTCTTCGACCTGGTCATATTATAGCAAACAAACAAGCAATATACATAACATTACCGAGCTTGGTCAAGAGGAGCCCGCTTGAGATACACTGACTGATACATACCATATCTGCTGCCTACCGTAATCACATGCAGGGGGTGCCCTCCTGTAGTAAATTCCAGCACGATAATAACATGTATTATACACAAGTACCTCAGTTCCTCAAAATCATTGTGGGCATTGCAGACTGACTGATACTTTTTGTGTAATCGGAGGCTGCGTATTTACGAAGCATGGCAGATGAACCTCGAGCAAGGCTGAAACAGGCAGAAAACACATACACAGAGATACCAACCGGATGATGCATGAACAGGAGGCGGTCCTAAGCTGATGTAGTGTTCATCATAACTTCATTTCATTCCTTAGTTCCCCTAACGCAGATGCCAAGAAAAGAAAGAAAAGGGAAAAGAAACACAATTTCTTGGGTAGACAGCGAAAGCACTTCTACAAACAAAAAAGAATAGCCGCCTGCCTCCCTGTCTAGCTCCTGGGGACCTCCTCTCCCGGCTTTTTGTCTGTCTGTCTGTCTGTCTGTCTGTCTGGTCTTGCCAGGTGTCGCAATGAGAATGCTTTTCTTCCTTCATTTTTTCTTTCTTTCTTCCTCTTTCCGTTGAAGGCTCGCTCACCAGACCCTCCCGTACTACATCTCGCGCACACGGACGACCAGAACCATTCAATGAGCCAGATACGTTGTCAATGGATTCCTTCCTGCAGACATCTGGGAGTAGACGTTGAGCAACACATCTCAATTCTGTTCACCCTTCTCGTCCAGACCAGCAGACCAAGAGCTAGCGGTTGAAAGGCCCGGCCCGGCCTATTTGGTGAACATCCCACCACTAAAGAAACGCATTGCAAAACATAAAAAGAAAAAAGACTGTTCCTCGCATTCAAGAGGGCGTCCGTGTTACTCCGACGTTATCATTATTCCCCATGATCCTTGTGATGGTGGGGGGTTTCTTCATGTAGCTGTGTGCATTCCCGAATGGTATCAAGCCATGTTGCTGAACATCCGAGATACAATCTTCCTTTGTGCTGAATGCAGTTGTAATTTGACCGTACGAGATAACGAATGCCACGTCGTGCATACTGATTGCTTGCCTGCCCGCCCGCTTGTGTTTATGGGGGGAAACTAAAGAGAGAGAAGGAAAACGGTTCGGTGTAAACGAAAGAACAGCAATCATCAGGCAGCAAGACAAAATCATCCTTCCTGGACTCCAGTGCTGCTGTGTCGCGTGCGCAAAACCAGGAAAACCTCATCAAGTGTTTGATCGTGAACATGTCATAATATATATTTTGTGGTTTTTGGATTTTTTTCGCTCGTTTCTTTTTGTGTGTAGAGACGGCTTCCTACTGAGGATGAAGAAAGCCTTGGTGGCGGCCTTGTCGCGCAGGTGTGTCTGTAGGTTTTGACACGTGCTTGTTGAGGCCGCGGTCTGTTCTCACCGAAACGTGAAAGCTACCGCCATCCCTCACCGGTGTGAGCCGGTGGAAACGACGGGACATAGGTTAGAGACCCTCCTCACCGGCTTTGCAGAGTTTTATTTCGCGGCCCCATTCTGACTTGAGGACTTGTGATGCCGTGATCCGGCGTGTTGGGTTGGGGTCTAGGATCGAGTAGATGACGTTCCTACATCGTGCCTGTTTTTGTGGGTTTTCCTTGTTAGGGCAGCCCGGACCGAGCAAAAGAGAGGCTTGTGTAGAGACAGAGCCCGCTTTCAGGTCAGATCAGATGGGTCAAAAGAGATGAACAACTTACCCTGTGCAGGGACTCTATCGGTCCATATCCCTCCTCATCTCGCCGTCCCTCCAGATAGCGGGCATAGAACTCGTCCTCCTCCTTCTTTGCGACCCGCCACAGATGCCTGCCCGTTCTCATTGCCATATATATGACGCCGCAAGCCCAGACATCCACCGCCCTCGCGTCAAACTCCCTGTCAACATACTCCTCTGGTGCAATGTACGGCGCAGACCCGCAGAGCCCGGACACCATATGTGCATCGTTCTCCCAGGCCATGCGGAAGCACTCGCCATTCCCAAAATCGGTGATTTTCAGACCACCATTCGTGGTGAGGAGTAGATTTTCTGGTTTCAGATCACGGTGTGCGACGCCCATTTCGTGCATATACTCGACGCCACGCATCATTTGCTTGAAGTAGCAGTCTGCCTCCTGCACCTCCAGCTTGGATGCTGCCAGGACCAGCGTGTAGAGGTCGCCGCCGGGACAAAACTCCATGACCTCGCAGTAGTCTCCCTTTGCGTCCTTGAGAAGGTCTAGTGTGTGTATAACGTTAGGGTGTCGTAGCGATGATGAGATGCAAAACTCGGCCGTCAGACGTTTGCTGTACTTCTTCTCCGTCTCCTCTGGCCTGCGCCGAAATTCCTTGACGGCGTACAACTTCTCGCCCGGCTGCCCTTCAATCTTCTTGTGTGATATCCTCACGATGCCAAAGGCACCACGTCCAATCACCTCCTGGCATTTCCCGTACTTTTCCACGAGGGTGGCCGTCTGGTTGGGCCCGCCCCTCTTCTCCGCCGATGCGTTCAGCGACGCCTTCTCCTGCTTGAGCGTGTCTACCCAGCTTGACACGAGCGACAGGTCGTTCTCCGGGGCGTGCTCGGTCTTCCTCCCCAGTAGACCCTTGAACATATCCGTCAGCTTCTCCTGACGGCGGCTTGACTTGAGGTGATGCTCGTGGCCGCCCTGGACGTCAGGATTCACAACAAAGCGTGTTGAGACATGGCCGTTTGTAGACCTGGCGGCTTTTGGCTGCGCCGTCTTCTCGACAGGCTTCGGTACGTCCAGCTTCTCGGTGACGGAGGACTGGCGCGACGGGGCGTTGGGCTTCTGGGGTGGCGTCGAGGAACCAGTGGCTGAGGTGGCGGCGGCAGCACCTGCTGGAGCAGCCTGGGTCGGCATCTGCTTCTTGGACGGCGATGCGCCGGTCATGTCGGCCTTTGTGACGTCCTTTGTGGAAAACATGCGCGTGAGGCGATCTTTCACGGTAGGCTTCTCGCCGGCTGCTGATCTTGGTAGTTGATCCGCTGCAGGGACGTGGCCAAGGCCGTTTTGAGGGTTTAGTCTCGGCGAGGCACCCCTGCTGGAGAGCTCGACAGACTTGATAGAGGCAGGTTGCGAAGAAGAAGAGGCAGTGGTCGACGACTTCGCAACGCGGATGGGTGGAGTGCTGGCCATGGTTTCCTAAGAGGACGGGGGATGCCGAGACCTTTTAAAGAAAAAAAGAAAGTAAAAGAAAAAAACAAAAAAATAAATAATTGCCCCTTGTAAGCCGACCGGAGAAGGGACTGCAGTGCCGTGACAAAGACGCAAGGCGAAACGCTGTAGGCCAAAATAAGAGCCTGACTGGAGCTGGTACACAAGAGGGTCGTTGGGCGAGGGGCGAGGGGCGAGCGGCGAGCGTACTGGTGGTCTATAGCCCCTATGGCCTATGACCTGGTGACTGCAAGGCCCCAAGAAGCAAAGGTGCGCGGGCCTTATTTGACGCCCGAGCCTCGGTGTAACGCGAAAAGGTTGTGCTGTCTGAGAGAAGCAAGTTTCTCTGTGGTGGTATCGACAAGGGGGGTAGTGGGCGAACCACCAAATATGAGCCGAAACAGGGCGCAAGACCAGTCGCTGGAGCGAAGAGGTGGGAGTGGGGGGGGGGGTGCACAGCGCAGAAGTGTTGTGCGGCGACAGAAGCGCCTTGGGGGAGTGGGCCAAGCCCAGGATTGAAATCTCTATGAGACAGACAAAACGGCAGACGATGATGGTGGTAGGGTGCGTTGGGTGTTTGGTGTGTGTGCGCTTTTTGTTGTTGTGGTAGCAAGTGGTAGAATTTCTCTCGCGCTTTCTTTGTCTCGCTCGGGGGAGAAAAAACACTATGAGGGAATTGTGCTGGGGCTTTATTAGAGGGTGAGCAGCACAGTCCAGGCCAAGGTCCTCAGTGCGTGTTCAGGATGACAAACCCGTGCAGGGTGTGTTGGAAATTAGAAATTGGGGCCACTGGCTAGGCCTGGAGAGGTGGAGTGGAGGGGGGGGGGGGGTGCGACAGTGGTTCTGGGGTATCCTGCCCGCTGGAACTGTCCGTCTACGGCCCTGTAGACGGATGCAGTAGTTGACGGAGGTAGCCGCTGGCTGGCCGCTGTTTTGGAGGTCACCGCGCTCAGCTTACAGGCGGCTCGGTGCAGGGCGGGTCATGACCATTTGATTATTGGAGGGTGTGTGAGAGAACCAGTGGTCTGTTGTTGACCAGAATAGTACATAAGGTGGAAAAAAGAAAAAGAAGAGGGAAGTAAAAGGGAGGCGAAAAGATGGAAGGTCAGAGAGACTGTTCCTCAAGGTGAAGAGTCAAGAGAGAGCAATTAGGCAGTTGGCAGGCAATTAGGTAGGGTAGGGTCTTGATTTGTGTCTTGGACCTCGGAGGCGAGAGGATCTTAGGATTGGTAGGAAGTAGGTAATACAGGCCGAATGTTAGAGGGCGATGGCCCTGGTGTCTAAGAAATGGCTGGCCATTTTCATTTGATGGGGTGTGGTTTGTGTGTTATGTGTTGTGTGCAAGACCGTGTGGGCGCGCGCGAGTTTGGGAAGGAGTTTGGCCTGGCCTGGGAACCAGACCAATTGGACTGGGGATTGATTGGGATCCGATGACGATAAGACGAACAATCTTAACAGCCGCAGCAAAGTCCTGGGCCCCAACGTGTTAGCTGACAAACTCTTTGTTAATCCGCCCAAACTCGTCACCACCCACTTTATTATTTTTCTCCAGGGTAACGTTTCCACAAGCACGGAACGGGAGATGGACACACGGACAGTGTAGGCAAATGTGGGAGCTAGGTCAGAAAATACCTCGGGTCTTGCCAGTCTAACTAGGTGCAAGTGCAGTTATACCATAGCAGATTTGCCAATCTCTTGGTGGTAGCGACGGTGGCAGTGCAACTTCCTCGATGACTGCCAAGGCGTCTCAAGACCAGGCTTGTGATGCTGCTGATGAAGCAGATGACGCTGATGAGCAAGAGACACTGGGGAGGGGGCGAAAAGAAAGAACAAAACCCGCAGGGCGTGGAATCTTATAAATTCTTTCTTCGGGGTTCGAGGTTCGAGACCTGACGAGACGACGGCAGGGCTGACAAAATGGACCCACGATGTATCCGTCCTGCCGTCCCAGATCCAGGTAGCGCTGTGGAGCGAGTGGGAGGGGAAGCAGCGTGGAAGGGAAAGGTAGGGAAAAAAATTTAAGACTGCAGGGTGTTTTTGTCAGGTGCAGCGTTTAAGGCTCGCAGCTAGTTTGGAATCTGGAAAACTTCTTGAAAGGATCTTTCCACTGCTGGCAACTCTTTTTTATTTATTTCTTTTCGTCTTCTTATTCTTTCCCCCCTTTTCCAAATTCTGAAGCGATGGTCCCGCCTCTTTATTTATCCAAGTTAAGAAGTCAGGCGACCAGCCTGTTCTCTAGTGTTGTTCTTTAGTGCTGTTCTTCGTAAGCGGCGTAAATCGGCTGGCCTGTAGCTTGCATCGTCCTTCCTGCCTTTCCCCTGTGCAGATTCGCTATCGTGAGCGAGTGAGGCACCGATCGAGTTGGTCGTACAAGATGTATACTTTGTACTTCAGGACATCAGGACAGTAGTAAGCAGTTTAGATAAGATATGTACTTATAAGAGGTGTACTTGGGTGGTTGCAGTGGTTGATTAGGTGCAAAGCCACTATTCGCGCCTCTCAAGTTCATCATGCATCCCTCCTTCCCTACTTGCTTGTGGTAGGTACCATGGTATGATCTTGCATCACGGCAGCACTACTACCCATTACTACTTCCTCTTCTTCTTTTCCCTCTTCGTATCTCTTTCACATGTCGAACATCCCGCACGATCACCAAAATGATTTCTTTCTTTTCTCACCCACTAACCAAATTACCCGGCTGAAAAAGGACAAACCGAAGACACCTTCTGCTGATCCAATAGGTCGCGAGAAGTCTCGCCGCATTTAAAAATAGACAAAAGACGAATTAGTACTTTGGCATCTGTTGCAACGCCAAGGACTGCTTGGATCAAGATGATGACAACGTTCAGCAAAAGGGGCATCGGGCTATTTCGTCCCGTCTGCACCTTTCACCGCATGTCTACCTAGGCAACATTGCGCGAGGTGACCAGAGGTGACCAGACCAGCTCGGAGCTGATGATTTAGGTCCTTACACGAGCTGTTTTAAGAGATGACGACCTCCTGCGTGTTGCGAGGGTTCGAAGACCTCGACCTGGCGAGGAGAGCAACAAACCCATACACATACGCTCTCTTCCAAAGGAGAGGAGTAGTGGTGGTACTCTGGTACCTCCCACAGAAGCATCCTGGCGGCTGACAGCACATATGCTTCTAGTGCTTCTGCTACTCTGCGATGCACACCACCCACACAGACCCCCTCCCCATCCAGCAGGGGAGGACGTAGCGAGCTAGGCGACGTGTCAGCTGCAGCATACCGTCGTTCAACCCACCATGGTACGGCAAGACAAGACGAGGAGAGGGGTGGGAGCAAGACTTCGACACTAACAAAGTACTATGTAGTACGTTCGGCACAGACTCCGAGCTGCTCCTGGACGAATGGCGCGACGGCTATTTGCTAGCTCCACGAAGGGCCAGATCAACCTCTCGTCAAGTTATGGATCATTGTCAGTGCAAACAGAGACACAGACGCCATCTTGATCGGCGCCATGTTATCTCAAGAATAAAACACGCATTGCATGGGCCAGTATGCTGGCTGCATGGACCTTCCAGATGCCATGCATGCCGGCGACCTACCAGAAGTACAACAATCCAGGTATCCTGCACAGCGCACGACAGACAATGTCATCCTCCTGGATCGAGCTTCACTATGAGGGATTTAATTCCCCCTTGGAGGGTCGCAAGCAAACTACTGCACCCCTCCTGCCGTGTCTGTCAGTCGTGGCCGCTGCCCACCGCATGTCGACATTCGTCCGTAATGTCATTGCTGAAAGTAGGCTGGCGAGCCACTGGCTCGAGCTGGGGGGATAAGTTGAGGGCACACGCAACCAACAGCCGACGGACCATACTTGCATCGGACGGGGGCAAGGGGTTTGGGTCAGGCCCCATCTGTCCCGCAGCGCGACACAAACAGCTTTGCGTTCGAGCAACCCTCGGATGAGATCTGATGGGTGGATGGCTGGGGTGGATGGCTCAGCAGAGAGCTGCCGCGCGCCCATACATACCCATGAGAACGACTGCAGACGATTGCAGTCCACCCTGGGCACCACCCCGTACCTCCCTACCAGCGGGCGGGGCATCTCCCCAGGCCCGACGACGGGACGCCGTGGAGACGCTGGCGTGCTCTCTGCCGGGGTCGCTACGGATCATGCTCCCTGTATTCGGCAATACTCTGTACTGTGTAGGCCTCAGCGGGTTGCTGTCCAACAAAGTACCTTCATCTCTCTGGGCCAAAACAATGTGTTCGAGACCACTTCTCGTGTGACCTGCCGCGCGAGTGGCAACTCTAGCAAAAGAAGAGGAAAACACGATTGTATGGGGCAATAGAAAAAGGAGAAGAGGGTGGGAAAATATTTCTGGTAAAAAGACAGACCACGTGCCAGCGTGTCATCGTGCCGTCGACGGGCCAGCCACAATCTCACAAATTTTTGGAAGCTCGAGGTGAGACTTTGTTTTTCTTTTTTTTCTTGGGTCTGGGCCTGGGCCTGGGCCATAGCCCAAGCGGTGAGCCACGAGCTTAGGGGTCCAACAGTTTCCATCACGGGTCTCGACGACTGGCTATGAAACCCTGGCCTCAGCGCGTGAACGAGTGCGGGAAAGAGGACAGAAGATGTTGCGGTCAAATTTAAGCTCCCGAACGATTTACGAAATTCGGATGATTTGGATGATTTGTACAGGTACGCAATGATCACCAGAGGAAACGGCCCGGAACGATGAAGCACCCCGCCCCTTGCTCGGCCATCCTACCCACCCTGCCACCAGTGCCAGGGTATCTTTTGTTAAGCGATTTTTGACGTCACGCATCCTCTCACGCCCTGACACGCCACACGCTTCGAAAGAAGCTTCCCCCTACCTCGTTGGGAGTACCACGGCGTCCGTGTCTTTGTGTCTGATCGACCAACGAGCTCAGGTACATACATAATCTACGAAGACGCAATAGCCCTCAAACCTGGGTCGATGGACGCAATACAACACACCAAGAAAAGGAGCATTGTCTCTGTGAAAGACTGCCTCTGTGAAAGACTGCCTCTGTGAAAGACTGCCTCTGTGAAAGACTGCCTCTGTGAAAGACTGCCTCTGTGAAAGACTGCCTCTGTGAAAGACTGCCTCTGTGAAAGACTGCCTCTGTGAAAGACTGCCTCTTGTGCCAACAACCCCGTGGCAGCATTCTGCGCGCCGAGTGGTCGGCCTCTGCTTTGCTGACGGGTTCGCATCTCGATCTCGCAAGGCTGTATTTTCCGCTTCAGACAGTCAGATGGTGGTGAGATCACTACTATGGTAGCGAATTGATCCGAAAAAGCGAGCCGATTACTACCACATTACCACAGAAAACCTGACATGGGGATATCTCGGCAAGGTCCCGGATCTGAAATCTGAAGAGGGGGCCAAGCCGGAATTAGAGGAACCACTTGGCAGTCAGGCCAGGAAGAACATTGTGTTTGTGCTATGTAGAGCGTGAGCCGGAAGACGAGGCTCCAGACCCGCCAGCCTTGCCCTTGTCCCCCTTGTGTCATCATCTCTTCTTTTTGTCCTTCGCCATGTCGTCAAGCCGTCCTCTTCAGAATCGAGGGGGAAAAAACCTGCTTCAGCCTCATTGCTGACGTCGGCGGAAAGGCCAGTTAATGCTGCTGCTACTGCTGCTAGCCACACGACCCATCACGACCCATCTTTCTCACAACCTGCCCAGAGCATTCCGACTCACTACCGGTACGTCGGCTTGGCCAACCAACCCCCGGCCGTTCCTGTTCCTATGCCTTTGACGAATAGCAACCTGCACTGCGGCCGGCCCTCACGACCAACCCGCAACCCCGACATCAAAGGAATCTCTGTTGCAGGCTGGCGGCCTCCCCCGTACTAAAAAAAAACGTCAAGTGCTATGGATGAAACGAAACCCTCGTGTGCTTGTTATCATACTAGTTCAGCGTGACAGGCACGTGGGCCCTTGGCGCCGTGGGACCCTTATTTTCTTTCCTCCCGTCCGTTTCGTGGCTTATTATTCGATGACAGACCACCCGGTGACGTGAGTGTTCCTCTCGACGTCACTTTATCGTGATTGTGATAGTCCCTCAAGAAACCAAAAACGGCTCCTTCGGGAAAGCTCGTGGCGCTGCCAGACCTGTTCAGGTTCCTCTTCTCGTGCGGGTCTTTGCCCTTGCTCTTGTCCACTCACTCACCCGCGACCGTTCACATCTTCTCTAGCATGAATGAACATTCTGTTCTGCCTCGCCTCGAATTTCCGAAGGTGGTCCGGATCAGGTCTGTCTTCTCGTGTGGGCCAGTGGCCTTGAGACGGGCCAGAAGGGAATAAATGTATTGAAACCATTCCTCGTGGGCCCGCAGGAAGGCAGGAGGTCCATACGGTGTAATGAATGATGTGAGATTTTCCTTACCGGCGACTGCCACGAGTTGAAAAACACATTATCGTCGGCACAGACTTTTGGCTGCAGTGTCGTGTTGATTATGATATGGTAGATCCATGCAGTATATTCAGGAATCCTTTCTTTACTTCCCCTGACGGTGAGCTAGCTGTCTTGTAGAGTATAGCGATGAGAGGAGCGTCTAGCACTGGAAGAGATCGTCGGGGGGTGGTGTCACTTGGACGACGTGCAGTGGTAAAACAGGACTTGAGAACCAAGTGACAAAGACAGTTTCGAGAATCTCTCTGTTTTCTCCTCCGTCCATCTCATCCAAAAACAAGAACCAACCGCAATGGATGCTATCTCTAGATACCTATCTGTAGTCTTTTGTATTCAACCGACGCTCTTCTTTCTCTTTCTGTCTTCATTCAACGACGCCTTTTTCTTCTCCAAAACTCCGCGCAATGGGGATGGTGTGTGTGTGTGTGTGTGTATCTGTATGTGTAAAACCCAAAACCAAACCAAAGAGAGAGAGAAAGGAAACGCTTCCGGGCCACACTACTACTTCTCCTTCTCCACATCGCCGCCGTCCTCTTTTAGGCCCCCTTCATCATCATACTCGTCATCATCCCTCTCGATACTCTCCAGCACCGTATCCCCAGCCGTGGCAGCAAACTCATCCTCCTCTTCAACCACGGCGCACTCGTCATCCTCATCAATCCCATACCCCCCAGCCTCGCCCTCGTCAGCAGTCGTCTCGTCCTCAGTGCCTGTGACGCTGCTGCTCGCCAGGAGCCCGTCCCTGTCGTCGGAGCCCCTTCCCGGCCGAGACCTGCCTGAGCTCCTGAGCAGGCTGCGCAGGTCCTCCTCGCTGATGATGCTCTGGATGCTGGCGCGCCCTGCACTACCAGCGAGGTCGAGCCCTCTCGTCTCCCGCCGCCCGCGCTCAACAATCCTCTCGAGCTTGAGGCGGTTGGCGATGAATTTCACCGTGGGGAACGCCGACTGCTGGCCCTCGTGGATCATGCGGGCCAGGCGAGGCGGCGTGGGGTCGGTCAGGATGTGGACAAAGTCCATGGGGATGCTGCGGGGCCAGATGGTGATGGTGCCGCCGAACCCCTGCTGCAGCCAGATCTGGCTCCAGTCCTGGCCCACGAACCGAGGGAGCAGCTCCAGCTGCCGGAGGATCTTGAGCCACTTGGTGAGGTCGAGCTTGATGTACTGCTCGGCCGCCGTGCCCAGGAACCCGCCACGCCACCCACGGCCCTTGCGGTGCGTGACCGGCTGGCCCACAGAGCCACGCGAGGAGAAGAAGAAGAGGTTGATGTGGGGGTTGACCTGCGACACGATGGTGAAGTTGACGTTGAAGTGCAGGTTCAGCGCCTTGAGCGGGATGTCGGTGCGCAGGCTGCCGTCCTTCCACTTGTGCCCGAACGAGTAGGGGACCAGCGTCCCGTCGCGCTGCTTCATCATGAGCACGACCGGGTTCAGGATGCCCGGGACAGCTGCAGAGGCCAGCACTGCCGACCACACGACGCAGTCTGGGCTGGTCAGGTAGTTGCACAGCATGGTTGGGCTGTGTGGGTCGGCTGGCACGCAGGACACGTTGAGGATGCGACCTGTGCGCTCGTAGGCCTCGCGAAAGGTCATGGAGCCATGGGTGAACCAAGAACACTTCTTAGCCCAGTCGACGCTATCGAACCGCGCCCCAGTGCTGTACCACCGCCGGAACCAGGTGAAGAAGGGGTCGGAGCAGGCCGTGATCTTGTGGGCCAGGGCCGGCACGAGGAGTTGCTTCAGCTCGTCGTTTGTGCGCGTGGCGACGAGGCCTGCGACGAGGGCGCCACCGCTGGTGCCCGTAATCACGTCTGGGAGGAGGTCTTCTTCGAGCAGGGCCTTGACCACGCCAATGTGATAATAGGCGAATGTGGCCCCGCCAGAGAGACAGAGGGCCGTTCGACCATAGTTGGCATACAGGCTCTTGAAGAGGTCGCGCTTCTCCTCCAGCTGCATCTGCTTCGTCTCGAGAATAAACTTGAGACTCTTCTCAACTGCTCACCGTCAGTCAGTACTGCGCTGGAACAACAAACACCCCCGTCGCGAGAGACATACCTTCATCAACGTGATTCTGTACCAGGTTCTTGGTCCCATAATAGGTCTGCGAATAAAGCCTGGGGTTCTCAACCCCGACAAAGTTGTTTTTTACGCACGCCGTAAGCAGCGCCCGCAGCGCCTCCACAGCCTTCTCCCCGTCCTGCCGCTCCTCCACCTCAACACTCTCGCCGTCGTCGAGTCGCTTCTCAACTGCCTCGGCCCTCTCCCTGCTCTTCTTCATAGAATCCCACACCCTCTTGACCGTCTTCCAGTCATAGTAGGCAAACTCATTCGTCTCCTTCCAGGCGGCGTTGCCCAGAAACTCGTCCAACTCCCTCGCCGCGGCACGCCAGTCCTTATAGTTGCCCGTCGCTCGCATGTTGCGCCGCAGCTGCTCCCGCCGCCCGCGCCAGCTGATGAAGTACTCGTAAAACCAGATGTAGTACCGAGTCAGGACGTAGGCGGCAGACAGACCACAGAGCCAGCAGCCCACGAACAGCAGGAACGGGTACTTGAGCAGGCCGTACAGGTAGCCCTCGCGGGTCTCGTCCTTGGTCCTGCGCCCGGGCTGGACCGCCTTCGCCCGCTTGTGCCGCCTCTTGGCCTTGCTGCTGCCGCCCTTGGTTCCTGGGCGAACAATCTTCTGGTGCACGGGCGCCCAGTCGTTTTGTGCCGTGATGAAGAGGCTGTCTCTCTGGTGCCCTCCTGCTCCTCCTCCACTGCCGTTGATACCCTGGCCAGAGACATCTCCCGCAGCAGCAGCTGCATGTGCTGCCACCTCTTGGGCCTCATCCCCCTTCTCAGGCATCGGTGGTCTGTCCGCGATGACGCTCGACTGCCGCCGTGTGATATCGAAGGAGGTGCGCCCAGGGCTGCCCGGCCGCGGCGTCGATCCATCGTCGTGTGCCTGGGCCGGGTCTGGGGCCGACAGTGCTGAGATGAAGGCCTCGAGGTCTTCCTTGGAGAGAAAATCGACGTCGCCGCCAGGCAGGAGGGAAGGGTCGAAGGCGTCGCGCGGGAATCCGTAGTTTCTGTCGGGTACCACCACGGGAGGCCACCCGTCTTCCGTCTCGTCCGCCGTCATACTGCTGCTGCTGTTGTTGTTGCTGCTGCTTGTTACGGTTGGATTTACTGCCTTTGGGAGGTGCTTAATTGTTACCTGCACGACCCTATGTGCTGTTCAGGAGTCGGTGGCTCATCTCGGTTGTACAGGAGCCGAGGACAAAGGAGAAAGTGTTCGTTTTCTTGAGGGGTAAAGTATGGAGTTTGGTACTCTCGAAAAAGAAAAGGGGAAAAGTAGGGGACCAAAAGAAGAAAACAAGAAAGAAGATGAAATGAAAGAGTAGCTGGACAAGTCTAAAGCAACCTCGTCAAATGAAAGTGTGGTGGTTGTTGAATCTGGTGATGTTTCGCAAACTATGCCACGTTCAGTTCAACAAGAGGTCACATGTGTGCTTCTCTTTTCCTTCAACTTGGGTCTTTGAGTGGTTCAGAGACAAATGACGTCGGCTACAGGCATGTTTCGTTGGGGTGTTGGGGTTTTCGAGGCAGGCCCCCCTTAGCGCTGCTGCGGCCACTGTAATCTGGCCCCTTACCACTGGCTGTCAGAGCCCCTCTGGTGGGCGTGTGGGGGGGAAAGACCGTGCTATGGAACTCCCTTAGTGACCGAGGTACAGGAACTATACAAGAGTTCCGATATACCATATGATAATAACAGTCTCAAAGACTTTGTTCTCACCGGCCGACAAGCAAAACAAGTCTGACCCTGATAATACTTGTTCTAAACATGTTGCTGTGCTTTGACTCATGACATTGAATATCTCAGCTTATCGTCTGCAACCAACCAAGGTCGGGAGAAGAGTTTCCTGTCGAGTTGGTTTCTAAAATAAACTGTTCCGATTAAAAAGCATCAACGCCATGGGCCATAATTCTTCCTAATCGCAGACACATAAAAATAAGAAAAGATGTATGTGGTTCATCATGCCTTTCTGGGTTCGCCCTTTCTCTTCCGACCTTGCCATGCATAAAGCAACCTCTACCGCCTCGCCACCGTCATGCTCACCCAGGCAACATAGCTCTCAGCGTGCTCTCTCCTGCTTTGTCTGTGGACCGATGTCCTACCGCGCCTGGTGCAGGGGATCTATACAAGCTCATGGCGGAATCTTTCATGACCATAGTCCCGGCTTTGCTCATCTTGCTTCGCAGCTTGATGCTGAAATGCAGGGTCCACAGGCTTAGACATACTGGCTCAGCCACCGGATACCCTCACCATAGCCCTGTCGCATAACCACAGAGCACATGAAGACCTCGACAGGCCTGATGCCCTCCAGAGGGACCTTGCCCTTGCCCGTGGTCTGGTACATTCCGAGCTGATGGCGGAGCTCGTCCTCAGACACGGCGTCGGGGTGGTCGATCTTGTTGCCCAAGATCACGAAGGGCACTTTGGCCAACTCCTCCATCTGGAGTAGGGCGTCTAGCTCGGCCTTGGCCTCGGGGAAGCGCTCGTGGTCCTTGGCGTCCACCAGGAACACGATGCCGTTGACCTCGGGGAAGTAGTCTCTCCATAGGCGGCGGGCTATTCAGGACCAATGGTTAGCTTCGTCTTTCGTCTTTAGTTGGAAAGTTGACACAACTCTGTCGACAATCTTCTCTCCAGCGGGCTCAAGGCGTAGAAAAGGAAGGGAAAGGGAGGCCCCTCTGCTGGTCCTCGTACCTTGCTGGTGACCGCCCAGGTCGAACGTTGTGAACCTCACATTGCCAATCGCCAGTTCCTCAGAGGCTATAATCCAAGTCAGCACGGCTGCCTCTTTTCTCCAAACGAGCATACACATCTCGTCTCCCCCGACAAGGCCCGGCTACTCACTAGGGTGAAGCGTAGGCTGAAGGATAGCAACACGGTCGTTCTATAAGATTTACCAAAAGTCATGTCAGCTCCTGTGCATTTCTTGATCCATCGCATCCGTGTATACCCCATCGACAAAGATTGGTCGCCAGAAAAGGGGTCGGTTGCTCGGCGCGTATGCTTTCGGGCCGTTTATTGTCGGTCACGCACCTTCAACATGTGCAGCAGCGTCGTCTTGCCCGCGTTGTCGAGACCGAGGAACAGCAGCTTGGCGTGCTTGTTCAGCAGACCGAGGGAGGAGAGGACATCGTAGACTAGATCGCGACAAAGGAAAAAAAGAGGAAATTCAAGGTCAGCATCCATGCGTCTTGTTCGTTGCTTCTTGTCCGCTAGCCATCTGCCTGCCCTGTCTCTTCTCTCCGTCTCTCTTTCTTCTTCTCTCCTCTCTCACTCCGTCCTCTGCGCTTGGGGGGGGGGGGGGGGGCTCGTGATCACATACACCAGTTGATAATCCACATCTTGAACGGGATACGTTATCCAAATTGCAAGGAGACTGATATGGACTGTACGAAAAGGAAATATCGTCGGTGTGGGAGGGGGAAAAGGTTGCTCGGTGAATGGGTTGTTTCGTCGGGGGGTAGGAAAAAAGGTGTCTGTCTGCTTTGCGTGTTGGAAAAGATGACGGCAAGCTGGCAGGAATGGAAGCGGACCTTATGGAACTATTTAGCCCCTACCGCACCCCCCAGGAAGGTCTGGGCGAGCCTAGTCGGATCATCCCCTGATTGGCTGCAGATTTACTTACTAAGCCAGACCGCTATCACCAAGTACCTTAGCTTACACCAGTGGACAGGCTCGGGCTCTAGGACGGAGTGTAGAGACAGTCTCTCGTAGCTCAACTCTAGACTGGCAATCCCCAAAGTTGGACACAGAGTGCCCAGGTTGTCCAGATTGACTCATTGTTTGGTAAGGCCACTCTGTATCATGGGCTCTTTGGGTGAATGATAGATGAGTCATGAAGACTGCACCCGCAGCAAAAAAAGACCATCTACGCTTGCTGCTCTGACGGCCGCCAGCCAGTCAGTAAACGATCACAAAGGCAGCCTTCACATGGTCAAGGTCCGTCTAAATAGTCACAAGTGTGTTGTCATCATATATGTTTCATATATGGAAAAGCCTAGCTGCGCCGAGGCCGAGTGCGTATGTACAGACAACGAACGGAGTCGTCCCTCAAGCCACGTCAAGCAAGTGCTGGATTGGGTATCGGATAACATATCCCCTGAGCTCCACAGATAAAAAAGAGAGAAAAGAGGAAAACGAATGCTAGGTACAAGTAGACAGAGACAGCGACAGCGGCGTCTCTGTTCCTCTGAAGCTTGTTTGTCATGACCAGTCGTCATTAATATCCCACGCAACCTCATTCCCGAGAGAAAAGAAAATCTCCCAATAAAAGACCACCAACCGAAAACCAATACGCCTGGGTATGATGATGATGGTAATGATGATGATGATGACGACGACGATAAGGCTCAATGAAAATGTAATGCAGTCGGTCCCTCCAGACGGATTATATCGAGATCACGTAGTTGCCCTGGCCCATCTTCCCGGCCAGCTCCCGCATTCTCTCAGCTCCCTCGCCGGCCTTGGCTCTCTTCTCGGGGATCTGACCCTTGCGCGCACGGTGGCAGTACTTCTGATAGAACTTTTCCTTGCGCCGCTGCCGCTTCTGTTCGAGGCCTTTGACAATGTCAATAGCACCTCGCTTATGGGTGGTATTCTTGGTTGCGGGATTCGTCTTGCCCCGCTTGCCGTTCTTCATGTGGCAAGGGAAGCAGGCGGCACGGGGTAGGGACTTAGTGTGGGTCAGGCCGGGCCGCGCAGCCAGAGACTTGAAGCCAGCGGCGTTGTTGTGGCCCTGTGTAGGCGACACGGCCGGAGACTTGGGATGATGATTCGGTGCTGGCGACTTGATGCGCTTGGGAGAGGACCTGTCAAACAGGCGGCGGGGCGAACGACCACGTGCCTTGGGAGGTGGCGAGTGGTATCGCTTAGCCGGAGGCGGGGACCGCAGTCTCTTGGGCGAGGGGCTCTTCCTGCGCCGCCTGTCTGGCCGCTCATCGTGGAGCTCCTCAAGCTCGCCGTGAAGCCACACAGGCTCACCGCTGTCGCGGTCGTGGGGGGAGTCCTCATCCTCCTCATCTTCTGGCTCCGAAGTTGGGAAGCTGGGATCGATGTCCTGAGGAATAACGCGGAGCTTCTCCTGCTTGCGAGCGGCAAGCCGGGTCATGAAGGCCTCTTCAAGGGGTCTGTCCTCGTCCATTGTGCCGCAGACAAAGTCGGTGCTGTCAGGCAGCTCCGGTGTCATGGGACGAGGGATAGATCGCTGTCGAGAGTGCTTGGTTCGGATGACCTTCCTCGAGTATGTGGATGAGTCCGAGAGTGCGCCGACAGACGTAGGTCGAAAGATGGGCGTGGCGTCAAAGACTTGTCCCCCCGATGTTTGGGTTGTCGTCAGAGTCCACAGCAGAAGACCGTCATCTTCCTCGTCATCATCTGAGTCGGCGAAGCCCAAGTCCTCGTCGGTATTGTAGCCGTCCGAGAAGTCATCGTCAGATCCGTATCCTGACTGGCCATCATCATCGTCGAAATCCTGATCGAGGTCATCTTGGTCCTCGTCATCCAGATTCTCGCCGTCCTCATCGTCGTCCTCTTCGGCGCCCTCAGCATCATCCTCGGCTTCAGCCTCCTCGTCCTCAAGCTCGGCTTCCTCTTCTGCCTCCTTGCCAATACGTCGGATGTCGTTCTCCTTCTTCAGCAGGTCATCAATAGTAAGCTTCACCTTCCGCACGGCTGTCTCCTCGCGGATCCAGTCCTCCTGCTGCAGGTGATCGCTGGCAAACTCGTGAAAATGGCACACCTCGCCCTGCAGCTTGTCCGAAGTCGCAGTAATGTACTTCTTCTTACGCAGAGGAGCTGGGCTCGGCAGGAATCTCCTGGGGGTCAGGGGCTTTGCCCGACGTGTCGTTGGCGACCGTGCCTTGCCGATAGTGGAAGGAGTGCTGACCACAGTCGAGACGGATCCGCTCTCCTCGGCATTCCTGGGGATTGCGAGGCCTTCTCGAGGTGGAGGTGTCTGCTGCGTCGCCCGAGGTGGCTTGGCCGCGCAGACAAACTTGATGCACGACTTCCGCGGCTGCGCCTGCTGCGCAACTGCAGGCGCTGCTGGGGCTGGAGCCGGGGCTGGAGCCGGAGCCGGAGCCGGCGCCCTCTTCACGTCGTCCTGGGGCTTTGCCGTGCAGGCAAACGAGATGCACCGCTTCTTCTCAATCGTCTGCACAGCGGGGTCCTTGGAGGCCTGGGTGGTAGTTGGCTGCTTGGGCGAAGCCTGGCCCTTGGTCAAGGGATATGCGGGAATGGTTCTCTTTGGTAGCGAGCCGACAATCTGGACGGGCGCACCAGGCTGCTTTTCAAAGGACAAAGGAGCAAATCCGATGCTCCGCAGGCGCGGGCTAGGGCTGTTTGTCCTCGCGGGAGTGCTCACGCCCGTGTCACTCGTGAGATCCGCGGTGGATGCGATGGAGACATCGCTAGTGATGGATCTCCGTCGCTCTCGGCAGCTGTTGTTGCTCTGGACAGGTGTGCTCTCGGTTGTCTCGCCCTCAGACGCGCTCTGGAGGGCTCGAGTCAACAAGGAAGCGTGGTTCTCCTTGGGCCTCGTAGCCGACAGTTTTCTCCTGAAGTCTGGAGACATCCTGTGGTGGGCGATGCGTAAATCAGGTGGTTCGTCGGCGTCGGCACCGGCGTCCTCCTCGAGGGTGGACTCGACGTTGGCGGCAGTGGTGCTCCACGCCAACACATTGGATGTGGCGTTATCGTGTATTGTGTGTCTCAACATGGTGAAAAAGGTGTCTTGTGTGTCTTGTTAGGGTTTGTGTCTGCAGGTCGAAACAGGAGGGTGGTCGTGAAGAGGGTATCTCGTGGGATAATATGGTCGTCCTGGGTGCCAACTCGGCCAGGCTCCAGACAGGTCAAGTTATTTGGTCGGCTCCGCGTCCAAGGCTTCGGGAACGTTGTCGACGACGAGTCTGGTGGGGATACAGACCACCCTTTCAGGCAGATGTTGCGCTCAACGTTGCGCGTCGGAAAAGTGGTAAAGTGGTGTGTCCCTAGGGACAGATGGGCTATAAGCGCAGAGCCATGGTTGGGAGGAGTACACAGAAGGGTATGTTTTGAGTGGTGTTGGTAGTTGGTAGTTGCGAGGGCCGCGGCCCAGCTCGAGGGCGGTGATGAAATTGGGCCGCGGGTCAGTTTCTGGGTTGTTTTCAATGATTGACGAGATTCGAATCCAGCTTCAAATCCAGGGTCTGGCCGTTTCTTGTTTTTGTTACCCTGCAGGACCGGAGGCGCACACACGGGGTCTTGGTTGGGATCCTGGGAGGGATGACGTTAAACCGAAAGCCTCTCTGGTAAGGGTGGCGCAGAATGTAGTAAGCAGGACCTGCTGACCCAAGTCTTGGAAGCGGCTTGTGAGTCGTCTCGAAAACGAAACAAACACAGGTCGAACCCAGGCAACAGGTCTGGGAAGGGGGCACAAATAAGGCTTCTCTCTTGTGTGTGTATCAAGATCGAAATTCAATTTCTGTGTCGGTGGAGAAGAATTGGAAGAACACGAAAAGGAAGAAAATATTGTAAAATAGGGCGGTCGAGGTTGTGCGGGAAAGTGAGAGATTTGATGGTCAGGGAAGAGGGCCAGAGGGCTAGATGTTATTCCTGCGAGGCCCGCCGGTGGGACAGGCGGCGACAGCGCCAAAAACGCTCAGCGAACCTGGCAAGAGGAAAAAGCCCCTCAAAGCACTCCCCCACCCCTGTTTAGAGCTGGCAAGCAGGCAAGTACTGTGGTAGCGCAAAGGAAAAGGGAATGCCCTTGTGGGCCTAGGTCTGCCAGGATACCACACGGCCAAGGCGAGGAAAAGAGAAGGAGCAGAGGTACGTACCGCAAATGCTACCATAAGGTACGTACTGCTCAGTACGTACTAGTTAAATACCTGTGGGTAGCGAGCGCCACAGCACACACCCCAATACATACAGTGGGAGTACAACGTAGTACTAATAGCGAGTGGAAAGCCGGGAGAACTGGCCGAACGCAACGAGATGCTTTGCCGCCACTTGTAGGGGCAAAGATGGGAAACCCCATCCTCCCCATTGTGACCCTTACAATCGTGCTAGCCATGAGAAACAAAGACGTCGCGGTCCCAGTATGGACACAGGCAAACAGAGAATAGGCAGTGCCGTGGCAATCGCAATGGGTGGGCATTTCCATTTTCCAAAGCATATTCTGTTTCTCCTTTCAACCCCCGAAAAGGACGACTCACAAACCCGGAGAAAGAGAGAGGGGGGAGGGCGGACCCGTGCCACCTATTGGATCTGTGTTCCGACTTGGCCCGCACTCGACCACCTTTTTCCCGTCATCTGTCACAGGTTACTGGTCACAGACGAGCCGACCGCTCCCACTCTTACTCCCACACTGGGATGATATGCAGCCGTCCCTTAGCTCGAAAATGGGGGGAATGGGTCTGGTGACGAGCAGACTGATAAATCACAAAATGGAATGAAAGGTCCCCAAAAACCCTCCTTCCGAGGACAGTGCGTGCATGCCCGGGGAAACGAAACTGACTAGCCCCGAATGGAATTGAAAATCATTGCCTCTCGGAAGTCGTCCAAAGACTGATGTCCAGGGAGAGCGGCCCCGTCTGCAAACTGCTGACTGTTAGTTTCCGTTCTTTTTTTTTTTTTTCTGTTTGTTTTTTCTTCTTCTTTGGCCCTAATGTAGCATCTACACTAACCGTTGTTCCCTTCCCTTCGGTCCAACAAAAACCGGGGATTACGAGTTTTCCACGCTTAGGGTAGCAGCGGGACTTTGAGCGTGCCGAAGCCACTGACCCTCTCCTGTGGCTTACACTGTACTCCAACGTACCGCCAGGTTGCATTTTCGTTCCCACCGACAACTTCTCCGAACACTACTGTACAGAGTAGACTGGAAGGCTCAGTGTTACCTCCTGCCTGTCGAGCCACCTGAGGCAACGCCCAGAGTGTTGCTGCGTAAAATGCTAGAAGATATTTCAAATCAGTATTGCAGATACACAAGATGGGAAAAGCTATAGGGCCAAAAAACGATCAAAAAGGTCGATCAGACATGTAAATCCTTTGGGTCCGTGCCCTAGCAGCCATAGCTTTCTTCATTTTATTTTTCTCCCTCACTTTTTCATTTGGGTCTGAATCAGTCAACACCATCCAGCGCTTGAGTAAGGCGCGCATTGCTGAGGGAAATTCATTTAGTTCTTCCCCCGCGGTGCGAACAGGCTAGACCTGGACACGCGCAGGAGAAGCGGTGTACTAGTATCTCGCCCTTCGTCCTCGCCCATCTGGAACTAAACGGCCGAAGACGGACGAAACGCGACGAAGAAGAAAAAGAAGAAAAAAAGAGCATGATCTTTTTTCAGACTGTCAGGTCAGCACAATGAGAAAACTGATGATCATCACGTAGCTCGGAATTCCAGTAATGGTAACTAATGTCGTTCCGTCGTGCAAATGCATGCGGCTGCTCCGCGTCGCTGTGTGCACGATGTGCCCTCCCCACAAGTCCCCCCTGCCCTCCTTTTGGCAGATGCTTGCCCTGGATTTTGAACCCGCTTTCAGCGCGCCGTGCCCTGAAAGTGAGACGTAGCATTGCAGGCCACAGCGCGCCCCCCTCCATAAATACCGTCTCCAGTATAGGGGAGGCTGCATACCACCATCTTCACGCCGCAAAACCGTGACGAGAAATCAGGAGAATACAGACCGCGTCTTGGGGCTTCCTGGTACACAGTACTGCTTGTCTTGCATGTCTTGAATGTACATCTAAGGGGCAAGACGCTCCAACTGGGGCACAAAGGCATAAATTTACCACGTGGAGCAGACCGCGCTTTGTGTTGTTCGCCCAGGGTTCCCTTGGTCCGTTGAGCTTCGAGAAGCAGCAGCTAAAAAGAAGGGAAAAAAGAAAGAAAAAAAACGGTGCCGGATGGAAACAACCACCCATGCATGCCCCGGGACAAAGGAATTTTCTCTTCTTGTTTTCCCCTTCCCCAGGCCGTCCCAGGGATATGAAATCCCTCACTCAGCCTTGTGTTGGCTAGGCGGTCAGACGATATTGCTTGTTAGCGTCTCACATAGATGCCGAGAATACCCTCCAGACTGCTCACTGACATGCTTTGCTTCAGGTACTATGTATCATCACGTCAGTCATCAACACCACCTGCAAGATGGAGGGGTTCATCGGCTGCTGCAGGTCGGACAACTTTCGGATAGGTGCTTCTACGCTCCTGGCGAGAAGGGCAACCACGAGGCAGCCTCCCGGATGATGGGAATTCGTAGATTCCACCTTCATTTCTCGATCGACTGCACGCGGTGTGAAGTAAGCCGCATGCCAGCGCCCATACTCCATCTTACCATGGTACAGATGCAGACGAGGGACTTTTCAGTTCGCCTGGTCCTATTATTCGTCGCTGGTACCATGTTACTGCAGGTGATACAAGATCCAGTACACACACACACACACACACACACACACACACACACACACACACACACAACCAGGATGAACGTCTCGAAAAGCGGCCACATCACATGTCAAGGTGTGCCTGAGACACACACACACACACACACACACACACCACTTCCTCAGCTCTCCCTTGGCCAGAAATCTTCACACGGCTCTCCCGCACCCTGACGATCTTCGAGAGCTATCCCTAATAGTTTCTACATTGTCGATACTAGTACATGGGCTTTTTTTCTGCAACATGCCGTTTTGGGGTGCCCTCGACATTTGGGGACATTGTTGCAGCAATGGCCACGACCCCACGCGAGACGATGCAGCAGGGATGGCGGGCGTCTCATACCCCGCAGTTCCTTCTCACATTGAATCTGGAGAAGAGTGTGTGGACTGGGACTGCTGCTGCTGCCACGACACCTGCATGCATGCAGTCACCTTGTCTAGCGGCTGTGGAGGCTTTGAAAGTCCTCGTGAGTGATTGCGTTCGCAGGCTATCGCGCGTATCTGCAAATCTGAGAGTAGAGAGCCCTGCATGGTGAAATTATAGGGAAGGAATGGATAGCAGGGCCCCGCAATGACGCCACAGGTGCATAAGCATTCAAGCTTTGCAGGATGCATGAGATTTGCACACGCAGGCGCAACGCCATCAAGCAAACACACCATTGAGCCACTGCAGACTAGCACGTCCGGATTGCGAGGGAAAGTTTGTTGTCGGTTTCGTTCTTGGCTGAACAACCAGCGCGAGCTGTTGTTGGCTGGAAAGCTGGTGGTCGGCTCCGCAGCGGTGCGCCTGGTCAAAAGGGGTCCTAGGCTAGATCAAGCCTCCCGGCTTTTTGGAGCATCGCCTGCATATCTTCGGCTCAAAATACCACATTGAGGTCAGGGCTTACAGGGTCTTCTGCATGTTGTGTGCGTTGGTTGTGTCTAAATAGTCAAGTTTGCTCCTAGGTTAGATGGATTCTCCCGGTAACCAAGTAGTTCTCCTTTTGGTGTGGTGAGACATGCGGTGAGGCCACACAGCTTTGGTGTTGTGAACCTTAGAAGCGATGTTGGATACGTATGATCTCTCTCGAGGTCTGTGTCCTCGAAGCACATACTACAGTACTGGTAGTTCAATAGTACAGCATGGCGTTGTGCTTGTGAGCACAGCCCTGATGTTGGACCCTGAACCTGAACACCAAGCAGAAGAGATAACTGCGGAACACCAGGAATAGAAACCCGTCCGCAGCAGGATGAAGTCTAGCATTCCTCCGTGCGATGTTGGGGGCGGGGTTGTCGACACCTCTATCCTGTGCATTGCCGCTACCCTATCCCACCCTCTCCAGGTTGGGTCAGGAAACAGGCTGGCGCGGGGGTGGGCTTGAAACCCAGATACAACAATCCAAGGTCCAGCTTCATGGTCACTAGATGGGTCCCATGTTCTTCTTCACGTTTCAAGAATGCGCGTGTGATGAAGAGGACAAGCCAGTTACACAGTAAGACCAACTCATACTTTTTGCCGTGCCGGTAGAATCATTTATCCATTACTTTGCCTTGTTGACAAGACGGCCCGTCGTTGAACATGTGTAGATCCCAGATCTCCAAGGTTAAGAGCTAAAGGAGATCAGCAGCGCTCGGAGAGATTCAGTGGTGACAGCTGGTCTGCGCTGTCCCCCCCTCCCCTCTTCGTCGCCACATTGCTACTGGCTGTCAGGGCGCTGTCGTGCCCCAGCATGTCCAGGTTGCAAGTTGCATGGCTATCTGCGACCCCCGCTGCGTGGGCAGCTCGTGGTCACTGGGTTGTCAGGTTGTCAAGGGGGAGTTGTCAAAAGTGTAGATCATCAGCCCATCCCGCGCATGCTGGACAAACCGGGCGGCTACGTGTTCACCAAAAACAAGCTGCGACGGTGACGACGAGCTGCAGACGAAACATTGGTGGGCAAGGTTGTCCTTGGCAGGCCTGGCTGTGCCCCCGCTGTGCCCCCCTTGCTTGTGATGGCGCAGATCTGCTCGTAGATAGCAGTGATTGTCGACATGTGCAAGTGTTCTATATGGGTAGCATGGTAGTCGGGAGGGAGGGCGGCGGATGTCGGGAAGGGGGACAACTTCTGTTACGGAAAAAACGACACAGACCGAGCATGCTGTTGCGCGTAAATGTCCCTAAGGAATGTAACTGAACTGAAAGAGGAGCAAGACAAAGAAGAAAACGAAGCAAGAAAAAGGGGGTGAGCCACAGTAAGCTCGTATTGGGTGTATAGGTCTTCAAATTCGCGAGATTGCCTGAGCCTCGTCGCAAGTTGAGTAGCTGAAAAGTACTCGGTGCAGATAGAGCAGTTTGGCTGGAGACTGCACAAAGCGGCGGATGGGATCAGCAGCTGGCTGGCTTGGCAGTCGGGCGAAGCTAGTTTACAGTTGATGCATATTTGGCTTTGATACATAAATATGCTTAGATACATAGAGAATCACTCTTGCGGGAATTATCGGAATAGACCATATATGCAACCAAACACTACAGCTCCACGTGACGCCAAAGTTTGGCTGCTGCGATCCGTTCTCTCAACCCGATCGACCGGAGCTCTTGCGAATGCTTGAAGCCGTACACATCAATTGGTCCCACCACCACCATCATGAACTCCCTCCGCATCGCCCGTGCAGCTCTTCGAGCTCGCCCGGCCGCCATCCGAGTTCCTCTTCAGCGAAGAGGCTATGCTGAGGCCGTCAACGACAAGGTAAGTTTGTTCCGGAAGCAACTCCGGCATCACCCGCTATTCTTTGAGACCTGCCACTGACCCTGCGACCGCCAACAGATCAAGCTCAGCTTGACTCTTCCTCACCAGGTACGATGATGATCTTTTGCAACGGCAAGACGAGAGATAAAAAACAAGCAGGGTTGGGGACGAGGGGGGGGAGACCAGTGGCGTAGCGCTCTCTGGAAAGAGAACACGAAAGCTAATTACCGCAACCAACATCGCAGTCCCTCTACAAGTCCCAGGATGTCGTCCAGGTCAACCTGCCAGCCGAGTCTGGAGAGATGGGTGTCCTCGCCAACCACGTCCCTTCCATCGAGCAGCTGAAGCCCGGTCTGATCGAGATCGTCGAGGAGAGCGGCAGCAGCAAGCAGTTCTTCCGTACGTACATCATCCTTGGAGGATACAGATGGATTTTTAAAGGTGGTTGAGAACATGGGAGGCTCACATATCAATCTACTCTGTAGTGTCTGGTGGATTTGCCGTCGTCCAGCCCAACTCCTCTCTGAGCATCAACGCCGTCGAGGCATACCCCCTCGAGGACTTCAGCGCTGAGGCCGTCCGTGCCCAGATCTCGGAGGCGCAGAAGGTCGCCAGCGGTGGTGGAAGCGAGCAGGATATTGCTGAGGCGAAGATCGAGCTGGAGGCAAGTCAATATCCTCGATGGATTCGCGACGGGCACCTTTACTGACCATTTCAAAATAGGTTCTGGAGAGCCTGCAGGCTTCTCTGAAATAGACGTTTGAAATTCTCTTGCGCCTTTGTAGAATACCACACCAACGTCATCATCAGATTCTTGTGCGATGAATAGACGCAGGACAAATCCATTCATTGCACCTTCCTCAGTTCAGTCTACGGAACCTTGACCTTCCGACATTGTGACGACCTTCAAAGTGACCGCGCCAAGTGATGTCTCTCATGACCTGCGAAACTTGTCGAGATCTAATGTAGACCTCTAGGTACCCTCTCATGTATTGTTTCTGTTCGGCTGACCGTACTCGATACCATCCTTCACCTCGGAGGGACGGTCATTATCGCTCATTCCAAGCATTACCATCGCCTTCATGACTTCTATCATCACTCGTTTCGTTCAACGATAGCACTGTCGCGACTGCCGCCTATCACATCACAGCACTTGCAAGACCTATCTAAGTTTTACCTAAGCTCAAGGCATAACATTTCTCAGCCTAAGTACTTAACCTCGTCTTCATGGGAACTCAGCTTCCAAAACACCTGGAATCTGCATCCGATCCATCAAGACGCCCTGTCTAGGCGGCTTCCGCAACCTAACCCAACACCTCATAGCCATTCTTCTTTTTCTCTTTTTCAAACTCTGGGTAATGTCGCAAGACGAGACTCAATCCTTCTCACCAACTACGCTACCTTCAACAGACCAGAAATATCGATTCATTGAAAACACTACGCCTGTATCATTGGCACCCGAGACTGAACAATATCGGATCGACTACGGCCCCTCTCATACGCCGGAAGTCCTTCTCAAGAACCAAATAAGACCATCAAAGGCCTCCCAACGGGTCACCTCGTCAACGCTAAGCAAGACAGCTAAAGAGGAGGACGTCCGTTCAGTCACACCCGAACAACTCGTCCACTCCCACATCAGCCTCCAGCAACTCCCTCAAGGACAGGCATTGGACACTCTGCGTCTTGCTGCATTATTAGATCGACCTAGACCCCACGCCCCCCCCCCCCCCATTTCCGGCTTCAGTGCCAATAGCCATGATGACAGACGCCCGAGACATGTTCAAGGAATATGGGATCGACCGGCCTCCTGGATAGCTCTCAGAAGATGCCAGTCTTGACCGTCCCAGCGATGGCCTATTGTCCAAGGGAAGTTCAGTCGAGAACTTTGCCGAGCTTGACGGTACGAGCAGCGCCATTGATACTGGCGTACGGCTTTGCCACGTCTGTCAGGCGACCATCGCAGCTGGCCGTACCTACTGCACATCATGCGGTCACCCTCTGTGCAAAACATGCATCTGCCCTATTCCAGAGGGAGCCGAGGAGGCCCACGGCGTCTTTGAGGCTTCTGGGGGTGCTCACCTGACAGTGCATGATGGCGACACCCTCACGAGCTACAACAGGAGTGTACCTCCTTCGCCGACCAAGGATGTTGGGAACCCGATGGAGGGCGCTGAGTCCCGGCCCAGCAGACAATACACCACGAGGCAGGAGAAGTCTGCACAGTACGAGGCTGTCGGACATCCAGCTCCAATCACCATGGCCTTCCCACGTCCTCTTCCTCCAAGCAAATCCACGGCACCCAGGAAAGAAAGCTCCCACATTGTGCCTGGCCGCACAGAAAAGGGTCCTTCTTCACAGCATGCGCACAGAAGTCAGACCTTGAGAACGGAGGTCACCCCATCCAACTGCATCTCACGCCGGACTGACAGCGAATATCGAGACGAATCATCTGAGTCTTGCAGCGACACGGCCTGCAGAGCTACCCATTCAGGATACCGGCCATACCGGCACAGTCTTACCTGCACGAAACGTAAGGTCACCCCTTGCGGCGGAGAGACGTCCACGGAAACCCGTGAGCAAACGGAGTACTATTCTCCACCCGTGACGGACTACACCCACCGAGACGAGGAAGCCTGTCGGCGTACCGACTATCCTCAGACCCAAGAAGACATGGATCAGGCTCGCTACGAAGAGCATCGTCATCATGGCCATGCTCGACCTCTCGATCCTCACACTAGGATATCGGCTCATCAAACCGATCATCCCCGCCGCCACAGAGCTCGTCATGGCCCCCGCGACGGAAAGGCAGCGCACCACCACGATTCGCACGAAGGGAAGCACAGAGAGCGTGGCCACGGGGAGGGACCTCGTCACTATGCCTTTCAAGAGCATGACAATTGTTCCGACGGTGGCGAGCCTCAAATTCCTGAGCATCAGAGAAGTGCCACGCATGAACGCTACCATCATCACCCTCACGGCCACTCGCCTAGGCAGCAAGCACAACCTCAAGCAGGGTCTGCTCGTGAGAGCTCATACCAGGACGATGATCCAACATGTGTACCTGTAGTACAGGCTCGAGAGGAACCAGTCCGCGCCAAAGACAGACTTCGCTCAATGCACACCCAGAGTGCGCCGACATTGCCGAAGGTGCCCATGCTGTCACCTACAAAAGAGGCAGCTGAGGACTTTCGCGACGTCCGCCTGAAGCTGCGGCCGACCGGGTCCACACCGAGACAGTCCAAGATCAAGCCTGCAGATACGGTCCAAGCTGAGGAAGAGGACTTTCGCGACACCAAGAAGCGTCTCAGTCACTACAGTCCGGCGCCCAAGGAGCCTAGCATCAGTATGGCGTTCAAATATGCAGAGGAAAATCCACAAACGGCCCCAAGCTCGTGTACCCTCCCTGGACACGAGGAGACGGCGCCAGTTGAGCAGCAGCCGGTCAAACACCAAAACATAGGGTCGAAGTCAGTACTCTCTCCCAGAGTCGAGTCGTCAGCAACGGACAAGGGCGCATCTCGCGAGGCACCGCGTAGATCTTCTGGGAAGCCTGTTCAGCAGCCAGGCGAGGACACGATTTCCGAGGGCCAGAAGGACTGGAAGAACAAGTATGATAAGCTCAAACAAAAGCTCGATGCCCAGAACGAGGCGGATAATCTTGGTCTGGAAGGTTTGACAATAGTGCTGCACATGAAGGGCAGAGACGATTTGGTGATTAACACAGATTTGAGAAACCTCGAATGAGATGGCTTGGGGGAGAGGGAGGAGCAAATGCTGGAACAAATTGGCCGCGACCTCGTTTGCTCCTGTGTAAGGGTATGCAGTATGAATAGGGAAATAACCTGAAGGGTTCTGTGAACTGCGTGCTGTTGGTCTTGCTTTTCCCCTTTTCCCTTTGATAGAAGAGTACTAAAAGATATTTCTACTGTCCTAATCATTGTACGGAACCAGCCGGATATTATCAAGAATCCAGTTCATAATTCACTTTCTTCTTGTCTGTCCATACCCTAGAATGCCCCCCCAGAAAAAAAAAAAAAAATTTCCAGCATGAAGGATGTTGAGTGACGATGGGTGACTTGCTGGTACAGAATTCGTCGCATCGAAGGGTTTTAGTTAAGTAGGCTTTTCTATAAGCCATGTCATGATTTACTAGAGCGTGCCTAGACATGCTATACATGATAGTAGAGCGAGGGTCAGAAGCTCTTGAGTGATGATCATCTCAAAACATATGGCCACGATCTGCTAGGGAAAGCCATATCAGGATGCTAGAACCATCACATTACTTATACAGTAAAGCCTAGCATCTCGGTTGCGTGTTTCGATTCAGAAGACGAGCGGGCTCGAACGTTACGGCTCGTTGACATGCTTTTAGGTCCCTAGTACGCCAAGCAGCGGGCCGTTTCGTAGCCCCCTGACACCACTTAGTTGGGAGCCTTTTAAGTATGCAAACATTGAAACAATGCCCCTCGGGGGCCTCGGGACGAGACGTTATCGATAAAGACGGTATGTCTCGAGGACGTCACCTTCGCCACAACCAAGCATCCTTCCTCTTGTCACTTTTGTTCGGTGTGCAACAATATACATCTACTACGTACACACATTTGTTTACATACGTCTTTTTAGATTTGACCTGCTCGTTCTCCCGTGTGTGTGTGTCTCTCTCGCTTTCTCTCCATAATTCATATAGAACACAGCCATGTCATCAGAAGCATGCTGCACCTGCGCGACCATTATTCGCGACCCAGCGTCCTCCCCCCAGTATCATCTCGAGACCAAGATAGAGAAGCAATTTTCGGACCCAGAAGACAGGAGATTAGAGTGTTGTTCGAGAGTTATCTGTGGAAGATGTATAGATGTACGAGATACACACACCCGCTCTTTTCCCTGCCTGCTCTAGGTTTCTCTCTACCGAGAAGAGGCAGAGAAATCTCCCGTGTGACAGCAGAGGTATGTTGAGAGACTAACAATGGACCCCCCTTAAACAGAACAATAGCCGTTTCGCAACCTATTGCCCATACTGTCAACTCTCCTCCTCCCCCTCGAACCCCATCCCGCACGGCCTGCGCGAGCCGCCATCCTACGACTTCGCAACAAGCAAAGACGCCGCCACGACCGCGGGCCATAACAAGCCCTCCCAAGCCGACACCACTGCGCCGCCTCCATACACAACCTCACCAAACAGATGGTCCTCCCCCCAGTCCTCCTCCCTCCTCAACGAGAAGTCCTATGCAGATGAGAAAGAACAGCACCAACAACCACCCCCAGACACCCTACACTTCCTCCACCCGACCGACGACACGGTCCCCTCTCTTTCCCTCCGGTACAACGTGCCCGCCCCGGTTCTGCGACGATACAACAAGCTCACCTCGGACCATCTACTGTCGGCTCGGCGCACCATCCTGATCCCCGGGTCGCACTACCCCTCCGGCGTCTCCCTCAGCCCGAGACCAGTCGAGGGCGAGGAGGAAGAGGCTCGCAAGGCCAAGGTGCGCCGGTGGATGGTGGCCTGCAAGTGCCCAGACTACGAGATCGCCGAGCTGTATCTCGAGCAGAGTGGGCATGACCTGAATCAAGCGGTGGAGAAGTATGTTGCGGACGAGGAGTGGGAGAAGGCGCATCCTCTTGAGGCCAAGGCCAAGGGCAAGACGAAGGCGAGGGGGAATGCAGGGGGCACTGGTGGGGTTTGGGCCAGTCAGGCCGCATTTTTGAAAAGGCTGGGTTCTTCTTGATGTGCTCTCTGAGAAGGCAACAACAGCGAGTGTAACAGTTCGGTCTAGGGTTGTTTGATACATCCTACCGCCATGTTGAAATTTTGAATGAGCCCACCGCTCCAGCAGGTTATTTCCCCCTCCATATATCATTTCGCCAAACGCCAGCGCATAGCCCAACATGAAATCCGTATGTATACATACACTACAGACTGGTACACCTGAAGATTCTTGATGTCACGAGTCCCGCCCTCTAACGCCAGTCTTGTAATTTTTAGACACTTAGAACGCCGATCGTGTGCGAATATCCTATTGTGTCTTGTCAGCCCAATAATTCTTTACTTTGTATGGGACGGGAAACGGGTCAACTCACCGATAGCTTCCGCTCAATCTCACGAACCGAACGGTCCAGCTCTCCTGCAATCATTTGCTTCTTGTCGGTTGGCAACAAGGCAAATCTCTCACAGAGATCACCATCAATCACACCTTTGACTGGCGCATAGTAACTTCGGTACATGAGATGATCACGACCAGCCAAGGGAGGGTCTTCTTGCCGCATGTGTTGCTCCAGAGTCTGGAAAAAGTCGACATCTTCTCGACTCACAAAGGGAATCAACACTCCAATGGTTCCCTGGATACCGCCCCATAGCAGAATCTCCTGCCCGCCGACTACCAGACTAGTCTTGCATATACTCGTGGGCAGGTCCTGCGTATAGTAGTGCGCCATCAAGTCGATACGGTGCTGTTGAGCGTGGAGGTACGGCCGCGCGTGAGTAAGATGAACTTCGGAACCAGGCTCGTCGGCTTCGAGGCTGGCCTTCTCAGGGCATCGCACAATCCAAATGTTGCCAAACTTATCGCTGCCGGCCGTGGACTCGTAGTCGACCATGGTGGTCGACGTCACCCAACGGGCGATAGTGTCCGAAACGAACGGAATAAGCTTGTTGGTCTCGGGCTTGAACACCACATATATGATGCCCTGCTGCACGTCACCGACGACGATACGGTTGTTTTGAGCCTCCAGCGAGACGATCAGGTTTGGCGCGACATCTGCCTGCGCCTTCCTCAGCATCTGTCGCAGACCCAAATCATAGATCCGCAATGTCCTGCCGATGCCTGTGAGTAGTCGACCTTGGTATGGCAGAAGAGCCATTGGTGGCTCCTCGATCTTGGTCTTGTGGATGAATTCCAGCTCTCTCCCGTTCTCCTGGAACCGATAAACGTGAATGTAGCCTTCGGTAAAGTTCCGCGGGTTGAGCACCATATCTTTGCCAGTGCCAACGATGAGGAAGCTTTCGCCATCCTGACTGGCAAATGGCACGACGGCAGCGCTCACTGCTGCCTCGTTATCCTCAAGTTCTATGCTGGACACGATGCCGGCTTCATCTGAAATCGGATCCACCACATTGATGCACGACGCCCACCGTCCTCTTCCTCGCGGATAGCCGAAGTCTTCAGGCGGCAAGACCGTCGAGTCGCCATTAACAACTCCCGGATCGGAAAGAAGCTTTTGTCTTAGCTCTGGCGGTAGTGTGTTGTTGTCGGCTTCGATTGTGTAGAAGTAAGGCTGTTCAGGGTGCTTGACCAATTTCTTGGGCGTGTAAGTAAGAGGAATTGACTTTTGTATCATGTTCTCGCTCAGTTTCTCCACCGAGAAAATCCTGTGGTCCCCGTCAGCATCATTCAGAGGGGCTTAAATGAAAAAGAATTATCGAAAGAAGTAATGAAATCGTCAGAAGGAACAATTGGCATCACAAAATGATACTCAAGCCTCACAGCCATATAGGCTTCGGTATCCCTTTTATCATCATCGAAAGGCAGTTGAAAGTAGGGTGAAAATCGGAAAGTGACTGACCTCAGATAGTTGGCATGTATGCCCACCATACTCTCCACACATTGCTCACTGCTGAAGTTCCATCCCCACTCCAACTCGGCATAATCGAGAGGAGTCATCATGAAGCTTCGGGTCAGAGGATCAGAGTAGCCTAGCCATGACCTGGAACTGAGGGCTAATACGCAGGTCGATCCCTGGACGGAGACTTGGAACAGTTTGACTGGCTTCGGACCCAGGAACTTTTGGCGGGTGTCCGTCAACTCGCCCGTGATCTCATCCAGGACCGTCCTCAGGTAGACACCAGAGTGTAGACCAATGTGCAGGTACAGCGTGGAGCCACCAGATGATGAGTCCTCCATTGCCATGATATTAAGTGATGATGGAGCCGCGGACAACGCCTGCACAGACTTATTCTCGAGCGTTGAGTCCGGATCCAGACTCAGAACGCGGACGGTCCGGTCATCGCATCCAACAGCCAAGAAGGAACTTCTCTGCCGGCCTTCTGGAACTTCGCCCAGACTCAAGCATGTCACCGTGCCAAACATCTCCTTCTTTTCATCATACTCGGCGAGGGAGCCATCTTCGTCCATCTCGAAGTAAACAATTTCGCCAGAGCTGAGAGCAATGGCGACCTGCCTCGCGTTTGTTGCCGCAGCGACGATTGACCTATGTTGAGGGGCACCCCATTCGTTGACCCGGCCGTGGCGAATGTGCCGAATTCCTTTCGGGTGAACTTGTATCAGACCATCGTCGCCAAGTTGTTGGACTGCGAGCGTTGTCACGGAGTCCAAAAACCCCGTATCGCTGACTTGTTCCACCGTCTCGCCGATGCTGAGAACGAGTGTGCTGTTCGTAGACGACAAGACGATGTATGCATCGTACTCATCATCGCTCCGAAGTTTCGTGGTCCAGACGGCGGACGGGTTCCCAGGTAGTTCCGAGGCCACGATCTCGTTGACTTCCAAACCGTGCTTCAAGGTTCGGAACGTGCTGCGCGCCCCGTTGCCGCACACCGAATAAATTTGCGGCGCGTCCTCTTCAGTAAGATTTGCGACTTTGCAGTCGGTAAGAGGGTTCATCGAATCGATACTTTCCACCAGAGCCAGGTTCTCGTTTGGTCTGGGATGGAAGTACACCGGTTCATATGATGCCTGTGGGTCTGTTGGGAAGTTGTCGCTGCTGAATTCAAGCTCGTCGTCATCATCGCCTAGCTTCTCGAACTGGTAGAAGTGATGGTTTCCAAACTCGCTCGCGACGTAAAGGAATCCACTCTTGAGAATGCACAGACTGGACGCAACCGGGACGGTATCAAAGTACTTAATTTTGAGCCGCTCGACTTCACCGGTAGGATTGCCATCCGCGTCTTCCAACATGTCGATGGAGAGCTTGAACAAATCGCCGTCTTCGGTCTGAAGAAGAAAGAAGAAGAGGCCCGCGCTGTTTTTCAGCTTGTGCATGACACCTGCGACGATGCAGCGCTTGCGCTGAGGGTCTTCGGTCGCACCTCTTCGCCGCGGTATGGGCACTCGGAAGGCCTCTTGGTTGGAATGCCTGTATGTGACGTTCTCCTCTCCACATACAAGAACGCCAGAGGGTCCATCATTGCCTCCAGGAACCTGAAACAACAATATCGATGATGGATCGACAGGTTCCGACCACTTCCGGACCACGTGATTCAGTCCCAAGTCAAGCTCGTAGTAGACAAGCTGTGTCTCTGCTTCCTTTGCGGCCTGACCGCTTGAATCCTGGTCGGCTTCGGTATATTCAGTCTCCAAGGCTGCGAAGACCGGGTTCGCGTAACCCACATCGAGAGCGACAAGGGAGAAGACCAGCACCCCAGGCTTGTGCGCCTCCAAAGGAGACGAGATCGTAAGCTCAGCTTGCGAGTTCCGGTTCAGGACGTAGACGAGCTTGTTCTTCTCCACCGATGCTATCAGGCACGCTCTGCCCTTGGGATCGGCTGCCAGAAACTGGCCTGGAATGACTCGACGGATGCCCGATTTCCCAAAAGTCTCGAGATGGATGCGTGAGAAGCGATTCTTGGCGGGAAGATACTCGACAATGGCGATTCTGCCCGAATCTGTTGCTAGGATGATGTAGTCTGCACGACATTGTCAGCAATTGTTTGATTAGACAATAGGATTCCTCCCGTACAAAGACAGACTCATGCCGATCATGTTGGCACTCAAGAAAGATCTGGCAGGTCGGCTTTGAATCACTAAGAGCCCACACAATAAGAATGGATTCGCAGGAGAATTAGGAGCTTACCTTTATTGCTGCCCGCGAGACGGAAGGCGGCGATAGACCTGATGATCCCAAATACGTCGTGTGCGAGGATCGTGATGACCTTTCCCTGGCTGGGGTCAGGCTTCAGGAGCGATAGACGCGTGCCGCAAGCCGTGATGATCTGCTGCTCCTTGGTTCCCGAGAACTGACCGACGATGGCCTGCGTGACGGTGGACGGAGGCTGAATCGTCAGCGAGTACAGAAACATGTTGGACGTGGTCGCCATCTTGACTCCTTGGGCACAGTAGACCTGTGCAGTGCCCTCATGAGTCTTCTGATGATATCAGATTGATGCTTGGGGGTGGTGGTTGTCTCGATCTTGACAACCTGGAGAGGTTGTTGTTGAGAGGTGCCTGGTTGAAGCCTGCCGCAGAGCGAGCTTCGTCGAAAAGAAGTTTGACTCGATACGGATAACCAGGTGTGGCTCGAGCTATCCGGCATGTGGCGTTAGTGTGGCTGAGAAAAACCACCCGTGGACCTCACCCGATCGCGCCTACCTGCAGCGACCTTTTCTAACAGCAACATCAGAAGCTTCTTTTCTCTCCTCCATTTGCAATGTACTAGGGGGCATGCCACTGTGATTTCAACATGGTCTTGTCAATCGACACTGCAGCGCGCTCCGCGCTGAGCACCATGTGTCGGCATTGCGCCAGGTCGACGGCAAGGCAAATGTCACGACTGGCGCCTTCGATGACGAGGTCGATACACTCTGGCGAGCCTGCAAGGATAACAAGCAAGACTCTGCGTATGCCCAGATCGCAGGGTATCGCAAGGCCGTCCTCGAGTCTTGCACAGGCAGCACATGCCTTTGGGTCTAGGAACAACGAGGCAACCGACGAGACCACCAAAGGAAAACGTATCCTCGCCCAAGACGACCTCTTCCATTCGTATACCAACTCACCAATCCCCGAGATGCGCCAGCGAGCTGCTTTCATGCGACAGCATGCCTACTGTCCCTGTCCAGACCACCGACCGACCCGACTCTCGGAGAGCGGCCAGCCGCTACGCCAGTCTCCCGAGACCGCACAGCTGCCTCCGGCGCACGTCGACTTCGAGTGTCCAGATTGTGGCGTGCCTGTCTACTGCTCCAAGGAGCACTGGATGGCTGACTACGAGGCGCATCTGGAGGTCTGCGACACGCTGAGGCAGATCAATGAGGACGACCATGACTTGCGCTCGGGCAGATTCTTCCCAGAATTCGAGTATGCGGGACCACAGCTGGAGGAGGCCATGGTGAACATGACCAACTGGGACACCTTCCTGTATACGAGGAGTTTTCAGGCAATCAATTCGGACAGGAGTATGAGACAGGCGACGAGGATATTGACGTATCCCGTCACGGTGGGGAGCATCCTACACGAACTCAGTCCGTACAGCCTACGGCAGGACAGCAGATTGACCCCCGAGGGACTCAAGAGCTTCAGTGGTATGTTGTCGTCGTCTTGATGTAGATCTCGATTACAAAATCCTGTATGGCTCATACTTATATATCGCAGCTTTACGATACACTTTGCACCCGCCGAGATCAGGTGGTGGTACTGGGGTCAAGAACCTCCGCCTCGAGGCACCGCCAGTCCGTCTGTTCATCCTGGGTGCACGCGCAGAATCCTCTCTGCCGCGTGACGCGTGGGTGCAGTTGGCACATCTCTTCCCTCGCTCAAGCTTCCACCTCATCTTCATCGGCCCTGAGGCAATGGCCAACCGAGACGACGAGTTCCCCCTCCCAGAGAGGACTCCAGGAAACCCATACGGCGCCATAGTCGAGCGCCCCTGGCACAGCATGAAAATAAGCACGATTGTGGACTACTACCACAACATACACCGCACTGGCTACTTTTACCCGTACGACCCTTACTTTGACTGCTTTGTCCTGTTTCATCCCGGTCTGGGCCACCCTGCCAGTTCGCACGAGTGGGCGGAGACGGTGCCGATGCTGCTGGAGACCAAGGCGCCCATCGTCGTGACGGGCTACACACAGTACGATATGGAGAGGGATATCGAGTGGGTCAACAAGACGGCTGCTGGCGAGTTTGACCTTCTCTTGAAGCCTGGCGAGAACATCTTCCGCAGCTTAAGGTGGGATCTGAACGATATGGACCCTCAGGATATCACTTGTGGTAACTGGGGTACTTGGGCCTTCCGCGGCAAGAGGTGAGTCTTTGAAGCTGTGAATCTGCCAAATCTGTGCATATTACTGATCCAACTCCACAGGTACGAGACGACAAGGAAAGACATCGAATAGAGTGCCTTGCCAAAGGTGACTGAAGCCGACTAGTCTACAGACAGTATTTCATAGTATGTGTAAATACGACTAGCAAAGCTGGGGAAAATCTGCTGGTGCTGATGAGGGTCGTCCGTGAACCTGACATCTCGAGGTGTTTGAGCAAGACGAATACTCCTTCATAGCGTGTTGTTGTAGTGTCAGGGCCAACCGTTATCGCGGATGACGCCCGTGATATCGGACATATACGTGCGGTGCACACTTCGAGGAAGTCTCGCCACTGGTATCGAAAACTGGTGTCTTGTTCATAAAACGTAAGTTTTTTAGGACGAGGTGCCGGAGGTATGTTTGTGGGTGGGGAAGGCAGGCATGAACTCCCCAGCTTGTGCGGTGGTATGTTGATTCATGGCCACATAAGCATCGCAATGCTCATCCCAGGACGTACGACGGCATCCCAAGCAGACTTGTCTATGAGCTTGGTGCCCTCTGCGATCACCACGTCGTATAAACCTTCCCACACCGGTGCTCTCAGGCCTTCTACATTCTCACAAACATTTTTAATGACGTGCTCCATGCCCTGCGATGTGCAATCAGTTATCAGCACCTGCAGCCGGACCGATGATCGACCATAAGACACCTCGAACTGTGACTCGGAAGATGGGTCATAGTGAAGTACTTACTTCCCACGTGCTGACGTCACGCCACAGTAAGATATACTTCCTCCCAATGGCGTCCTTGAACTTCAGAACCAGCTTGTCTCCTGCCGACTGCGCAGTCCGAGCTCTTGGGCTCGCCTTCGCAGCGTTTTGATACTTTGAAATACTACTCGTCTGAGCCCTCGACACCATCTTAATCTCCAGTCCTGGTTGAATGAGCGTTTCCCACCACCTTGGGAGGAAGATGGAGTTGCCAGAGATCAAATCATACTGACCCTTGTCGATGAACTCTGTATCCTCGGTGTTGGAGAAGGAATGCTTGACGATTTCGGACATGTCCTGCGCAAATGCTCAACCTCGAGTTCTTTAATCATTACTGTTGTTTCTCGCTCCGCAAGATGGCTGGTAATATGTTAATGAATGAGATGCGGCACTCACCTCCCATGTCCTGCAGGCCTCGAGTGGGATACAGAACTGACGGTCTTGGCTGTTTTTGAAGATGATCGATGGCACAGTCGAGGGAGACGAAGCCCCTCGCATATGATCAGGTTCGGAGTCCTGATCTACTATCGTGAAGCTATCTTCTCGCTGATAATCGACGCTCGAGAGAACTGTCTCGGCGTCGTCTTTCAAGCCCTCCAAGTACGACCCGAGCATCGCTGCCGACGAGTAGTGGTCCCCTCGCGGTGCATTCCGGGCCCCGGAGATACTCTCTAGGATCAGGTCAGTCTTCCTGAGAAGCTCAGATATCCCCTGGCGACTGGCTGATACATCTTCTTTGATATCTTTGATTCCAACACTGAGAATGTCCGTTAGTGAACAGCACGCGCAAGGCCAACGAGTTTGCTGGAAGCAGCATACTCCGCGTGCGCTTTGGCAAGGAACTTACTAGGAGATCATCTGTAACGAGACCTCGAGCGCATTAATGTGATTACGCAAGTCGGCCTTGAGCTTCTCGACCTTGCGGTGGCCCGACGTGACCCACGCCACGGATGTGAGCCTGGACTGCTTGTTCTGAATGACCTGGTCGATGTCCCTGACGACCTGGACACAATTCCTGCAGATGCCCTCGATGTGCTCGTGCGTCCTGCGCAAGACAGCTGAGCCAGCAGACAGAGCGGGCCCGCTGGCGAAATCCTCCTGTATGACCTCCAGAATTGTAGACAGCCCGAAGAGCTCCTTGCGAACCTGGATCATGTCCACTCTTGCGTCTTTGACATCGCGCATAAAGGAGACGGCTGTTTTGGACACCTGCCCCACAATCTCGACGAGGCTGACTATCGCTGAGACGGCGCCCACAGCTTCCATTGTGGCTTTCTCTTCTTCTTGCTGCTATAGAGAGGGTGGCAATTCGGGCGTGGTTTCCCCTCTCCTGGGAGACTGGATTATAAGGAACGCCTATGTAGGATCTGATTTTATGGCCGATGCGAGCGCCTTGCAACAAATAATCGGCCCCGTCTGAGGTCTCGACATATCACTAGACGGAGCCAGAGTAATGACTTCGCGAGTAAGGTCAGGAAGGATGGCCGTACCAAGAAGAGGCTCAACGAGGCTCTCGCCCACCTACGTACGGAAGAGGGGTTGGCATGGCTGAGCTGCTGCGCCATGCATAGCGGCAGGGAATTGCATAGTGCCTTGTTTTCTGGTGCAGTGTGATCAACATGCATGAGGATTTGATCCATTAGTAGCGAGAAGCTAATGCAAAGGATGGGTGGCGCCCAGGTGGTTGGTCTATGTAGAAATCCTGGAGCAATAGACTCGTTATAATCTGGTGTTGCCCAGTCTGGTCTGCAGGGTCAGCTCCAGTGCTAGACTCATAACCTCAATGAATCTGCTCGTATCTGCAGCATTTCTCATTGCCAAAAGTTTCGTAGCTTGGAAAGTAAGTGTCAAAAATTTATGTAGGCTGGTAGAGATCGGCCAAAGATTGGGATCGGCCATGCATTCTTGGAGTTTTGGGCACTGGAAGGACATCATTGATCAGAGCATCAACCAGATTCAATGTCTCGACAGCCTATGACCAATGGAACTTTGCAGCTTACATTGGATGAATTTTCCTCCTTCCCATCTTCTTCATCAGAAAAAATTACAACAATTCAATTTATATATATACATATGGTAAACCAGCAATCCTAGGTTTCTAAGTGTACTTTTGTATTGTATGGTAACATTGATCGGTTGCTACCACCCAAGTAGGTATGACTCTGGGGCAGGTCACTATTCGAAAGAGAAACACTGGGAAACATTGCAAGTCTTTGCACGAATGCAAACCACAAAACAAATCAATACTCCTTTGTAAGAACTGACACACTTAATTCATAATACATACAAGGCTAACAACAGATGGGGTTTGCTTTTGGTTAATACATTGTGATTGAGACCCTAACCCTTCTGTGGACAGGCGCTGTACCGTAATAATCAATGCTTGTCACGTCACCTAAAGATTTCGGTCCCTTCCCCAGCATGTACTCAGACCACTGCATGTTCTTTCCTCATGGGAACATCATGCAATGATGATTACAAACGATGCAAAGACGGCGATATGAGCTGATTCTTGTCACATAATTGATGTGAGCCACCATGATAGAGATCTCGTGTCTATATCAATCAAAGTGACAAGAGTCATGTTGTTGATGTGGTAATCATTACGTGCCTGAGAACTAACTGAACGTATAATTGATATTTACTTTAGCTACTAAGTACTTACCAAACTCCTCATCCCAACAACCCATCTCGCCTGGACTCAAGACAATAATCAAACCTCCTCAACTACGTGCGCTATACACCACCATGGCTTTCGCCATCGGTGACAATCCTCCAATGAAGCCTGACTACAGGCTGTATCTAGTAACAGACTCCACGCCCGCGATCCTCGGCGCCAAGGACATTTGTGACGTCGTCGACCGCGCACTCCAAGGCGGCGTCACCATCGTGCAATACAGAGACAAGACGAGCGACACGGGCGTGCTCATCTCGACTGCGAGGAGGCTCCATGAGGTCACGAGGAGGCACAAAGTTCCCTTGCTCATCAACGACCGGGTGGATGTCGCCCTTGCCGTGGGCTGCGAGGGGGTTCATCTCGGTCAGGATGATATGGGTGAGTCTTTTGTTTATTGTCCTTGATTTCAGATGGGCACGTGAAGAGGGAGACTGAGAACTTGTTGCAAAACAACCAACCCAAAAAAAAGACATCTCTACAGCAAGAAAGATCCTCGGCGAGGACAAGATCATCGGCATAACAGCCAACACCGTCAATGAGGCCGTTACTGCTTGCGAGCAGGGAGCAGACTATCTTGGTATAGGGACAATATTCTCTACCCAGACGTAAGTTCTAGCGCCCAGGTTCCATATGTCTACTATCCACCCACCCACACACACACACACACACACATTGTCCACCAGCAGCAGGCTGACACCACAGCAACAGCAAGAAGGATACAAAGTCCGTGATAGGGCCCGAGGGGCTCAGGCACACTCTCGACATTATCAACGATAGGGGCCACGGGGACATGCCTACCGTCTGCATTGGAGGCATCAACGCGTCCAATGTTATACAGGTCATGTTTCAAGGTGGTTTGGCTGAAAAGCCCGTGGATGGCGTCGCGGTCGTCAGCGCCATCATGGCTGCCGAGGACCCGACCGCAGCGTCCCGGCAGCTTCTAGACCTTGTACAGGAGAGCAACAGGCTCAACGGGTTGTCGCAACCCGATTCAGGACTACGACTAGTGACGAAGAAGGAAGACCTCTTGGGACTGGTATCCAAGGTCATCAAGAGTATTCATGAAACGAAGCCGCTGTCTCACAACATGACAAACCTGGTGAGGAGGAAAACCCCATGAGATCACACAAAGGGGGTCCCCATCTCTCTTGGGCGGAGAAGTACTAACTCTTCCTTCGTCCTCTTCAGGTCGTCCAAAACTTCGCAGCAAACGTAGCACTGTCGATAGGTGCCTCTCCGATCATGTCTAATTATGGCGCGGAGGCAGCGGATCTGGCCAAGCTGGGAGGTGCCTTGGTGATCAACATGGGCACCGTGACGCCAGAAGGGCTGGAAAATTACAAGAAAGCCCTCCAGGCTTATAATGCTGCCCGGCAACCAGTAGTCTTTGATCCAGTAGGGTAAGCTCTCGCCTCTTTCTCTTTTCTTTCTTCCTCTTCTTCTTTGGGCTTTCTGGGAACCCATCCCACCTCCCTTTGCTTGGTCAAGGCTTCACGTTACGACTTACACGAGATCCCCACCTTGTTACTACTGCAGCGCCGGCGCGACAGCCGTACGGAGAGCGGCAGTAAGAGACATTCTCGCCGGCGGCTACATCGACGTGATCAAAGGCAACGAGAGCGAGATTAAGACTGTCTGGTATGGAGGCAACGGCGGCGACGCAGAGAGCCAGCGCGGCGTAGACAGCAGCAGCACGTTGTCGCTGGAACAGAAGGTCCACCTCGTCTGCCAGGTGGCCGAACGCAAGCAGGCCTTTGCCGTGATGACGGGCAAGACGGATTTCGTCAGCGATGGCAAGAGGACGGTCATGGTCGAGAACGGCCATGAGTACCTGGGCATGATCACAGGAACAGGGTGCACCCTCGGCACCACCATCTCCGCAGCGGTGGCTGCTTGGTCGAACAAGGGGGACAGGCTGGCAGCTATCGTGGCCGGGATCCTGCTTTTCGAGATTGCCGCCGAGGAGGCGGCGGGGAAGAGCAGCGTACAGGGCCCGGGAACGTTCGTGCCGGCCTTCTTGGACTCGCTGTATGAGCTTCGAATGAGGACTGTCGAGGACGATCTGGGGTGGCTCGACCAAGAGAGGATTACCGTGTTCACCTCGTGAATGTAACTGCGATAAATTAGGTTGGAGATCTACGACAATTATGAAGAGGGCAAGCTAGATGAATGCACTACAGAGCTTTGAATGTGTTGCACTCTTTTGATCTTGAACTAGTTCGTAGCTGATCCGGGTTTTTATTCTCCGGGCCGAGCATCACAATCCGGGGCCGGCTCGGCTTTGGAACCCCGCGGCGGAACGGGTCGTTCATCCGTTCACTCATCCCCGCTCCTCTCGACCGTCCCCTCCAAGCTTTACTTCCTCTTCCTTGTGTTTCTCTTCCAATTCTCAACTGCTATGAACAGAATCTTACTACGGTCACCTAGAATCATCAATCGAAACTCTAATCGCCAGCTGGGCCAACACACCCTTTCCCACACCCTTCTTCCCAGCCTCATCAACACCGTTCCCATCAACAACCCTCGTTGGACCCAGACCTTCTCATCCACCAACATGACGGACGCTCCAGCTCTCAAGCGGCGACCGAGTGAGTCCTCTGTGAACCCTCATAACGGACTTCTTACTTGACCCTTACTGACACGACATGACACGACACACAGACAACTCCGCCATCTTGTCAGTTGGGCCCCCTCCCCATCTGAAGCCTGCTTATAATGAGCGCATCTGTTCACCCATCTGATCAATCCATCCATACATGCATCCATCCTACCATCTATCTATCTATACCTACCTTTTTTTTTTTGGGTTCCTTCTTCCTCATGACTTACTCATATTTATCCTCCTACAGCGTCTGTGATCTCCAAGAAAAGTTCCGGCCTGTCATCCATGAGTTCGACAAGGTGTAAGTCACTGATCCCTCATCATTCTCCCAGATTACAAAACCAAAAACCTCACCCGCTCCAAACTCATTAACAAACCCCACCCCTCGCTCTCTCTTCCCCCCGTCCAGCATCCTCACAGCAAACAAAGTCCTCCGCGCCGCCACCGCCCTCAACATCCCAACCTACTTCACCACCCAAAACAAAGCCCGCCTGGGCCCCGTGGTAGCCGACCTCACACCGCACCAAGCCGCCCCCAACTGCCTCGTCCCCGACGCCGACAAGACCCTCTTCAGCATGTGGCTCCCTGAACTCACCACCAAGCTTTCTCCCACTCCCACTCCCACTGCTGGCGACGGCGGCAAAGGAAGTTCACAGCCCGACATCGTCCTGCTCGGCATAGAATCCCACATCTGCATCACCCAGACCGCCCTGGACGCCCTCCGCGCCGGCCACAGGGTCTACGTCCTCGCCGACGGCGTGAGCAGCTGCAACAAGGAAGAGGTGCCCATCGCCCTCGCCAGGCTGCGGGCCGAGGGCGTCACGGTTACCACCAGCGAGAGCTGGTTGTATGAGGTTGTGGGGGATGCAGGGGCCCCCGAGTTCAAGCAGTTGATTGGAATCGTGAAGGACTCTCTAGGGGAGACGCGGAATGCGCTGCAGGCGTTGGTGCCTTTGCCTTCGGGGGGTGCTAAGATCTGAGAGGGGCGAGGAGGGAAGGTAGAACGATGAGGCTGGATGTAGCATTAACGGGTTCCTTCAGACCTTGTCAAAAATGCAAACTTGAGTATGCCATATGAGCATGTCGCACGAGAGAAGACAATCATCAATCATGACAACAACAAAATCTGGAGAAAAATAACATCCACAGGTTTAATACTGTTTTATTGGGATTTTCTGCTTAGTTCTCTCTCTGTCTCTGTCACTCACACTCTCTCTGTGGGACCCAAAAGAAAGAACCCTTCTCAAGGCGTAGGGACCTCTCGGCGCTGGCGCTTGACGGGTTTCGGTCTGCGGGGAAAAAAGGAAAATGAAGCACAACACAGGGATTGTTAGCGCTCGTACATGCGTGCCGCCGAGCGAGGCTGATGGATAGGCTCTCCTCGCGGCACGGTTCGCATGTCAGCAACAACATTAGGTATGGCCATTCAAGCGGCTTATTCATACAAAGCTCTCTCTCTTTCTCTCTCTTTTTCCTCTCCGTCCTCTCTGCTCTCCCTCCCTCTTAGGACGGGCGGCAGCCAGAAGCTAGGCAGTCGTAGCTGGTGTCTTTGGCTTTCCAGCCGTAGTGTCCAGAGCCTTGGCACCGCCGCTTGTGGGTGTCATCCAGGAAAAGGCCGAGGCACCGCCAATGGGATTTGACCGTGTTGCAGGTGTCTTGGTGGCCTTGTTGTCTACCGCAGGCGTTGTCGTCGCTGCCGGCGTCGCTGTTGATCCTGGTGTTGCGCTGCTCACACTGCGCCTCACGTTTTCCCAGCGGACAGCCGGGGGCGGAGTAGCAGAGCCTCCATCGTTGGATTCCAGCATCGAGACTGCGCCCTGGCTCTTCCGTCGAAGCTCACCGCTCGGCCTCGCCGGTGGAGATTGGTCGTACGTCGTTCCAGCCCGAGCAGATGAGGACAAGGACGCCGACTTCTGGGGCTTCAAGATCTTCATGCTGCGTCCTCCACGGCCACCAGCCGGCTGGTACCCGCTCAGGCCGTTCTCTCGCTGGGCAGAATCACTACCAGCGGTGGCGCCCTGCCTCCAGGATCCCCATATTCCAGCGGCAGAGTCGCGCCGCTTCTCCTCAGCCTGTCCGGCGTTCTCCTTGCCAGCAACGCTGCTACTGTCTGTCACGCTCGGGGCCGTGTCTCTCTGCTGTCGATCGCTGCCACTGTCTGAGGGAAGACTGGTGCCGATGCTCTTGCTGGGGTAGCCTGACTGCGTGGTCATGGGAGAGAATGGAGACTGCACATCAGATGTCTCGGGCTCAGACTGCGGGACTCCCGCCACGGCTGGCTCCGACGCTCGCACCGTCGCAGCCTGAGCTCGAGAGTCGCCAGACACGAACTCGGGCGCGTTAGCATTCAGCTTCGGCTTCTCTGGCACTACATTCACAGTCGCGATGTGCTTGTAAGTGGACTCATCCTCGGGCCTTACAAAAGGAACGGAGAGTCTATCACGATCATCTCCATTGCCAAAGAGGGACATCCGGTTCTGCGACAACAGCAGATCGGCACTGTACGCGCGCAAAGTGTCACTGCCAATGAAGATGTGGATTTCCTTCCGGTCCTCGCCTCCATCGGCCTGTTCCGCCCCCGTGACCTCGAAATCGACATTGATGTAAGGAACCTGTTGAGACGAGATGGACCGGGAGTGCGGCTGGGAGACAGTAGCCTCGGCAAAGTAGACGGGCAAGGCAATGCGCATGACTCCATTGTTGTCCCTGTGACATTCGCGCGAGAGACCTAGTTCCTTGAGAAGCGAGTAGTCCACAGTCGACTTCTGGGAGCCACTACAGACAACCGCATACAGGAGCGTGTCGTGGGAGTACTGTGTAGTGAGCCAGCACCGGACAATCGAAGGAAAGGAGCCAAGAAACATCAGCCCTGGAGGCGGTCCAGCAATGTCGATCAGAGATGAGTCGTCTTCGTCGTCTCGCGTACCTAGGAGCAAGTCTAGGCCAAGGCTACTCGTACGACCAGATGCCATGGAGTGGAATGAATGTACAGAGTGGCCTGCCGAACTGTGTCTTCCGTCTGATTTGTGAGAATAGGTCCGTTCCATCAGAGACGGGCCACTCAGACCGCTCGAAGGCCTGGTGGGAGCGAACTCCCCAGACTGACGTCCAGCCTGGCCCCAATTCGAACTGTGAAGGGTTGTCTCGTCAAACCGGACACTGTTGGCCCTGGATGCGGCCCCTCGCCGAGTCGGTTCCTCATCGGCGTCGAGGTGAAGCGAGCCTATGAGGTTCTGGCTCTGTTCATCGTCGAAGTCGTCGAAAACCTGGTTGTTTGGCATCTGTACCGGCCCTGGAACAAGGGTTAGTAATTCTTGGGAGGTGGAGGACGAGGCAGGGACTGCAAGTCAATATCTGGCTTACCATGTTGAGGGGTCCCCCCTAAGGCGCTGGGGAATGGGGACGGATTCCATACAGACTTTATGGCAGCATCCTCTGTCTGTCGTCTCTCGAGTCGCATCAGTCGCTCGGCATGGTTGGCCTGGACGAACTGGACCTGCTTCACTTCCATCTGGACATTGTGGAGGTCTTGGTGGAGAGGCGTGAGACGAGGATCCATGCCAAGGGGGAAGTGATGATCAGAAACAAGGGCTCAGAATAGCTGTCTGGCTGACAGGAGAGACAGAAGGCGAGGGGGGGGGGGAGGGGACTACCAAGTGCGCATACACACACGGCCAGTGTGACTCTCACGAAGGCGAGCGCAGGAGGGGACCAAAGTGTGGACGCGGCTGAACGGCTGCTGAAGTTCACGCTGGGGACTCTATCATGTGGTCTTTGTCTCTGTGGATGCTGCCAGCCTCGAGATCGCCGTGTTTCTGTTTCTTCTCACGGGTCCTGATCTTCGAGTATCAGATCACGAGGTCGCCCACACCCACATCGCACGCAAAAGACCGCACAGGCCTTCCCTGCGATGCCACCTGCCCCTTGCTCAGCTCGTGTTGTCCCGCTTTGTCCCTGTCTGTATGCTTGGACACGTTCACGATTCGAAGGGTGGGAGGGAGGAGGGAGCCGAGATCAGGCAGTGGCTTCGAGGATCGAACGGCACCGAACGAGTGATAGGGGCAAAGATGTTCGAGGACAGATGCGGCCGTTTGTTGGAGGAAGAGGAGAGGGCTCGTAGCAGGATTGCGGAAAGGTTTTTGGTTCTGGTGAAGTGTGGCTGGGCTGCCACGAGGCTGCGTGTGTGCTATTCACGGCAGGGACAAGCTGACAGTCAGCCTTGGCGAATGCTCCTTCAGAATTATGTCCGGACGACCTTGGATGTTTCCAGCAAGACGAAGCTAATCCGAGACGAGAAGAAGCAATTATCAATATCTGGGCGAGAAGGAAGAAGGAAGAGGGAGGGGAAGAGAGAGAGAGGGAGCGGGAGAGAAGGGACAAGAAGTAGAAAGTGGTCTATGAATGACAGGTGACGAAGAGCTTCGTTCGCCTCGAGGAATGTGTGGACTCGGTGACGGGTTTCTAGTGGGCTGGGTTCGGTAACTGCGTCGAAGGACCAGACTGGAATTCCAGGGTCAGGGACAAGGCATCCAGGGAGTAAAAGCAGATGGACGGGTGCGAGTGTCAAATTGTCCAACGAGAGATCAAAATAGTCGAGGATGTGAGGCTTCCGTTTCGTAGTCGGATCTTGTGGACGTTGTTTTGTTGTTGTCCGAGGAGTGAAGAATCGAGGCGAGGCAGCAGCAGCTTGAGCTGGTTTTGGGTGGTGGCCTTGAAGATGCAAGAGGCAAGCGTTGGGCCTAGCTGCTAAGGACCCGTTCGATGACAGTACCAGTATGTAACTTTTACTATGGGATCCCGGCTCAACAGTTAGTGACGACAGCGGGAAGACCAAAAAAAGGTGCTTGTGCATGCAGCAGCGATGCAAGCCGCGTCTTAGGTAATCCGCCCCCTTACTGCGCATCTTTACCAGTACAATTCCTCTTAGCAACCCGGCCACTTCATTGAACGTGTTTACGTATAGAAAAGAGTACTGAGCAAGTATTTATTTCAAGAGCCAACACTAGATTTTCGAGAGGAACATGAGATATATTACTTATCCTGACAAGCCTGTCCTTAGCTGTAGTATAAGTAAAAAGTAGGAAAATAAGAAATTAAAAATAATCTATCCAGATTTCATCTAAAGCCCTCCTTATATGCTGAGCTTCGACTCTCTAAACGATACTTTTGTTTTCTGCCCACTTATTTCTCCATTTATACCCAAAGGCCATCTCTCTCTCTCTCTCTCTCTCTCACACACACACACACACACACACACATCTCACATAATTTATATATTTACCTCTGCCGCTCCTGCATACTCTTTACTCTTCTTCTTTCCTTTCTTTCCTTTTCTCTCTCTCTCCTTTTTATTTCTCCTCCCAGGGCGCCGATTTCCACTCTGCGAAGACATACCCTTCAGGCCCCTCATTGGGAAACCTAGGCTCGATCTCAGCCTCCACGAGGCCCCATAGCACCCTGTAGGCCTCCCCACTCAGGTGCAGGCCGTCCGGGAGCAGCTGCTCCAGGTAGCCCCGCCGCGCTCCCTCCAGCGAGCCCAATGGGGGCTGGCTCACATCCCAGCCGGGCGTGCTTGCCGTGGCCCTATCTATGAGGGCCTTCTGCAGGTCGAGTAGCACCGTTCCCGGGACGGAGGCGGCGACATCCCGCGCAGCCTGCGAGTAGGAGGCGCTGCGGGCGGTCTCGCGGAGCGTGTGGCCGTACTTTGGCGTGTCGAGCTCTGTGGTGCGGATCTCGTCCAGGGGCGGCGGCGTGATCAGCAGGACCTTGGGCTTGTGTGCTGTGATGTTGGGGTGGGTGATGATGCGGTGCAGGTTGGTCTTGTACTGGTCGAGAGGGAGACCCTGGTTCTCGACCTCCTGTGGGAGGGCGGCGTCGTTGGCGCCGAGGAGAACAATCTATAGGTTATTTGTGGCCGTCGGTCAGCTGGGGCGGGCTCGGCAACAAGGGTTTTTTTTTTTTGGTCGAGAGGAGACCCACGAGATACTTGAGCTGCGGGCCACCAGCCGTAGGCTCCGGGAAGATCTGCTCCAAGATCCTCAGCGCCTGCGAGGTGTTGTATCCTGAGAAACCCCTATTGACTACATCGTACCGGCGTAAACAGTCTACAGAGTTGATTATTTTAGTTGTCGTAATGGACAATACTGTGACTACCTATGATAAGAAGGGAATTTAGACAAAACCACCTACGCTTCTGCAGTGTCGCGTAGAAAGAGAAGCCGTCCTGCGTATCCACGCAACCCTCGAAGAGAGAGTCGCCAAAGAGGACGACCTGCGGGTAAGATGCCTAGAGGAGGAGATGTGTAAGCCTACGTCCTCGAACAAAACCACCAACGCCTGGTGTTGTATGTATAAATGTATTTGTATATGAAGCCTGTTTGTCTGTGTGTTTTTGTGTATAATACTCACTGCCATGGCCAATGGTCAAAGAAGAGATCCGGGAAAGCCGAGGAGGAAGCTGAGGTCAAGCGCTAGAAGCTTACAAGAAGAAGAGGAGGATAAACAATGGTTAAAGAAAAGGGTTTTCCGCTTCACAAGACTCAACAGTCGAACTGTGTTCACCTCAACAAGAAGACGATGAGTGTGGAAGATCCTTACTTCAGATGAGCCACGAGAGACACGAAGGGCGGGCGTGACGACACCCGAGAGACGGCGGGCAGGCTTTCAAACTTTATATACTTTTTTTCTCTATCGATCCGGAGCGAGTACAGTATGGAGAGGATATTGCATGAGGAAAGCTGACCCACCCCACTGACGACCAGCGGACGGACCCGGGTCCTTCCTCCTAGGGACAAGCGCTTTTGTTTGCCACGCCTGGTTTTTTGTTTTAAGTTTTGGGGCTTCGCGATATAGGAAAATCAAAACAAAAAATAAAACAAATCAAGGACGATTAGGTCGATAGGCAAATGATGATGTTGATGATGAGGACACAGGGAAAAATCTTCTGTCGGTGAGGGAAGCAAATTGTTTTTCGGCTACTGGCACAGCGCGGGTGAGACCCTCGCCCTTCGCCCGCATGACCTGGCTGCATCCAGTCCAGCCTGTACGCAGCCAAGCGAGACTTGCTTGTGTGCACAGCTACATAGTAGTCACTGCCGAGGTCGGCATATGGCAACCTCAGACATACACATTCACATAGTACTTAGCTCCAGCAGCAGCAGCAGCAGTAGGAGAAGAAGAAGTCGTTATGCTTTGGTTTGAGAGGGAAAGGAAGCATCATGATGAGGTCATGACTTGATGATGTTCGTGCTGAAAGTTGATCCCGTATTTCGACCATTGTATGATGGACCTTCTCGGGAGAGACAAATCTATATGAAGCACAGTCATGCCAGCTTCATCGAGACGTGGGACGAGAACAAGCCTCAAATTTCATGTCCATCACAGCCATTTCTCGTGTGAGGCTCATCAGTGCAGTGCGGTGTGGAGAACAAGTGTGTCTTAAGCGGCCTGCCCTGCCGCCTTACGACTCCACTCATAAGCAGTAGAAGCCGAAAAAAAAAAAAAAAAAAGAAAGGAGGAAGAGAAAAAGCTTAATGAAAAAGTGAATCGGAAAAAGAAAAGAAAGACATAAAAATCAAGACGGCTAGGTGATAGGTGGGCGAGCAGGAACCGATCTCAATCTGCAGACCAGGTAGCTACAGATCTGAGGCGATATCTTCAAAGAAAAGCCCCAAACCCAGCGAGAAGAGGAAGGCTGTCGATCCCTGTTGAGAAGCACGGGCCAGGCATGTGAGGTCGTAAGAAGCTTGGACCACTTCCTTCAACGCGTCTGAATTTCATAAGTCGTCGGTAGGCGAGTTATGAGTGCCTGCCTCACTTTACTTCTTCTCCGTCCTCAGCGCGATCACCTGACCCCGGGACCATTTTCGAGACAATGGCACATCCGAGCACCCTGCTCTTGCCGCTGTTTTCAGCGAGCCCCGCCCAATGGGTTCAGGCAGCCTTCATCCTGACATCGAGTTTCGTACTCGCCATCGCAATTTTACCTGCAACAGAGCGCAAACTCCTTCTCGCCTACGGACCGCGGAGGGCGGCAGCACCCCAGGCCGCAACGAACAGCAGCAGCAGTGGGCAGGGGACGACAGCAGGTGACCAGGCTGGGCAGAAGGAGGGAGAAGAGAAGGGAGACTCTGTCTTTTGCGTCGTAAAAAAGGTTACATCACTGGGCCAGGTTCCTCACTCGTGGTTCTTCACCTATTATGCTTCCTATCTCGTGTGCGCAGGGTTTTGGGCGACGGAGTACTTCCAGCAGGGTGATGGCATTCTACACTTCATAGCCGCTCGACAGGCTGAGGCCGAGACCGCCTCAATGTCATCTACCATGGGTGGATTTCAGGTGGCCGTCGTCTGGTGTTTGATGGTGCTTCAGGCCGGGAGGCGTCTGTACGAGTGCTGGGCCGTCATGAAGCCGTCCAGGTCCACCATGTGGTTCGTCCACTGGATGCTAGGCCTGGGCTTCTACGCGGGCGTCAGCGTGGCCATCTGGGTCGAGGGGTCAGGTATGTCGAGCCTTGGGAACGCCCTTGTTTCGGAGATGCAGCTAAATATCGTGGCAGCCGCCGTCCTACAGAACGATGTCCGCCTCACAGGAGACGGCAACTTGGTGGCAGGTGCCAGCTTGTTCAAGACAGCTGTGGCGTTGCCGCTCTTCTTGTACGGCTGGGTCATGCAGCACCGCTGCCACAAACACCTTGCAGGTCTCAGGAAATATTCACTGCCGGAGCAGGGCTTGTTTCGTTACCTCGTTTGTCCTCATTATGCCTGCGAGTGCCTGATCTACCTCTCATTGGCAGTCGCCGCGGCGCCCGAGGGACAGTGGTGCAACCGGACCCTGCTGTCTGTGGTCGTGTTTGTGGCTGTCAATCTAGGTGTCACCGCCTACGGGACGAGGAATTGGTATGTCGAGAAGTTTGGGCCACAGAAAGTCAAGAGCAGGTGGATCATGATCCCCTTTTTGTTTTGAGGGCGCGCTGGGGGTTGCGCATGTCGAGTGCGCCATTATCGCTTGATGAGGAATTTCCCGAGGTTATTGCCTAGTTTCGAGGTCTTCAGCACGTCACGATATGTGAGACTTGTCCGTGTCGACCGTTGGTTGTGCCCGTCAACAAAGCTATCTGGGTTGCGGAGCAGCCCCCAATTGGCGACCGTCTCAGATGAAAGATCCACGTCTTCTGTAGCATCCGAGATTCCGTGTAAAAGCTCCGTGTATAGGTCGTCGGTCGAGATGAGGAGGCTCCGTGGCTCCTGGAGGATCCTGTAAGCTGGCTCGAGTTGCAGAGCACCATCTTCCTTGCTCTTGTAGATGTTGAGACAAAGACTGGCTCCCAGGCTCACGGTGCAGACAACCGGATAGTATGCTGAGCCGTCCTTATGCGGCATGATGCCTACGCCTGGAGGGTATTCATTGATCAACACATGGTTCGGGCGTTGGTGGGGGCTTGCGGTGAAGAGATGGGAGGGCTCCTCGGCAGACAGCGGGATAGAGAGCAGTCGCGTCACGACGGGGTCGTTCAACCAGGTAGGAAGGGGTTCGTCGAGGAGTCTATCCCGGACGAGATCAGACGGCCACGTCTGGAGTCTCCGGTGCGAGAGCTGTTTCCATCGCGGCTTGGGTGCGCTGGCGATCTGAAATGAGTGTCTGTGAGCAAACCAGCTAGAACACCCCCTCCCCCCCCCCTTCGATCACCCCCACGAGCCCCTGGGACGCCAACACACGTATTGTACGCACGGAGCAGCAGCAGCAGCAAGGCTACGGTGGCAGACGCACCTTATCAAGGATGATCTTCTCCTCGTCTTCACTTATGAAGTCGGGGATATAGTAAGCGGTGGCCGGGAGGCAGTGGATCTTAGCCTGATCGAGAGCGGAGGGCAGTGAGACCTCACTGGGTGGAGTTGCACGGTCCATGACGAGTGGCGGAGGCGCAGGAGAGACGGAGCAACCCGGAATGAAATGTCCTGTACTATGGTACTATGCAGGCAAGCTGGCTGGCTGACTGACAGTGGTGGGTGGGCGACAGAGGAGGAGGTGGAGGTGGATGTACGCAGAGACTCCTTTCTCTCCGTCCTTTGAGGCCGAAGGAGGCAGACCGTGCTTGGCGCCAGCGTTCAGCGGGGGGGTATTGGACCCTGCCAGCGTGTCTAATATGGTCCGTGAAGCAGTGAGACAAGAAGACCAAGAAGGCCTCGTTGCGGCCCCTCTTATCTGGATGCCACGCGACAGTGTCGGGTCGTGTCAGACGCTGCCGAGAGGCTGGCGAGGCGAGGCTGCAAGAAGGCAGCAATATCGATGTCAGCAAATTCTGGAACAGACGAAATGACCAACTTGGAACAGCTGGTAGGCCATGTAACCTCGCAGTAGTCTCGAGCACCAGGTGGGGGTGCGCGGTGGGTGTGAAAGGAGAGCGAGTGCGATTGACCGAAGAACCGATGACCGAAAGCAACGGACCCATTCAGTCAGTCAGGTAGTTTGCAACACTCTGCCAGGACGTGCAGGGCGGTGCGAGCGGAAAGGAGCAAGACGGCTGGCTGTACCATAGGTTGTGGGATCCGCGTCTGGGTTTTTTTTGGGTGTGCAACGCAGAAGACAGATACGCCAGACAAGGCTCGCTGCTGCGGCACCGGAGAGAGACAGAAACTAAACGGCTGTCCTGTCCAGTCCATTTCCAGTTCCATCCAAGTTTACAGCCCGAAAACCCAACAGGACATTACTTTCCCTCATCTCATCTCATGATTTGACGGTCGAGTCAGGCTCAGGTCTCGCAGTGTCGCGTCGAGTAAATACGAGAGAGGCCTCACGCTGGTCGATGCTACAAGACAATCCGTTCTCGTCTCAGGAGCCATGCTTGCTATCTTCCACCGCTTCCGGAATCTCGGATGTTGCAGCTCCTAGGCCTTTCCCCCTTTTCTTTTCCTCTTTCCTTCTGCAGGATCTAGGCAGCGCCGCCCAAAGAAAAGAAACTCTCTCGACCCTCCTTGTGAGAAAACAATTCTGTTTCCCCAGGTGGCGCATGCCTTTCGATAAACTGGTGATCTACAAAAGGCTCTAGCTTTAGCTACGTAGCGCTTGCGCCTCTCCTGCTGCCATTGATGAGACTGAACTGTGACGAGGCAGGGCGAGCCTCACAAAGCGCTAAACAAGAGTCCAGCTTGTCGAGACTCAGTACTTTGGTATTGGTGGGCTTGTCTTTCTCTGTCCGGGATGGAGGGCGCGGGGGGGCCAGGAGAGACGTAGCCTTTTCGCCTGTGACAAACTTTGACACAGTCGTTCAGAAGTTGTCGATGTGAATGGAAGGGAACCGATTCGCGGCCATATGATAAGTACGATGCGTCGCAGAGGTAGATACCTCACAACTCGCCGCCTTATCGGCCATCTGGTCCTCGTCGGTCTCGCAATATCATATTCGCAGGGGCTGTAGATGAAGGCTGAGAGGAGAACTCTCAAGGTGTGTGGTGTTAGCAAAAGCAAAGAGATAAACAGATGAGGCAGGGAAATACATTAGTGCACGGCGGATGCAGGAGAGGTCTCTTCTTCTACAAGGTCCAACGTGCCAACCGGTGCGGTACCGGTACCTCCCAGCTCAAGTATCTGGTATCCGCACTTGAGAGGTAGGCTGGCGGGGACTCGAAACGGCACTTACGGTCGTTGTAGCCTGCCGTATCTCTCCTTTTCTTCAGCCAATCACCGGCAGTGGCGACTGAAGGAGATCGCTCTAGTTGTGCAGGGGATGCGTAGTGGAGGGGGCCTTGCCCGCTTATTTACAGGGATGAGCCAGGATCAGGCTGGAAGACGGGCAGGGGGCGCGACCATGGTGTTGGGCAAGCCGTGTGAGTGAGGCAAGAGAGAACCAAAAAACCGCGAGGGAAAATCTCCATTCCCCCCACCTCCTCCCCCCTGCCCTGCCTTCCCACCTTAACCCACCTGTACCCATCCCAGTTCCGGTCCCCCATCCTGCCCAACCGCCACACCTCACCAACACACCCTGCACTACTGTGTAGAGTCCTGCAGTAAGCCCACTAATGGAGTGACCATCCATGGAGTAGGTACAATGGAGCCAAGGCACCAGGTGCCAGGTGCCTGCTTCCCACAGTGCCATGTACCATAGTACTCTGTTCACTTTCGTTCTTGTCTGTCTTTTCAGTCTGTCCGTGTCTGTCCTGTTCTTGTCTTGTTCAGTCCATCTCAGGTCAGAGCAACCTGGGAAAAAAAGGACTAGTCTTTTTCAAGGTTTCTTGTCTCATGGGGCAATCTGCTGGCCAGCCTGCTTGGCCTTTTTTTCTGTTTCTGTTTTCTGTTTTCTCCTGGTCCTGATTTCATGCCAAAACTTACTACACAGTACGCCTTAGAGACGAACCCAGCCCCGGATTTCCTCTAGTTCTTCTTACCACTCTTCTTCCTCAGTACTAGATCTAGCTCTCTTTCTCTCTTTCTCTAGTCTTTTCATGAGAGTACTCGATCTTCACTCATCCAAGCCCAGGCCTCCACCATACTATACTTTGTTACTGTGTCCTTAGTTCATCGACCATTTCGGTTTACATTTACGCCAGCCTGGCAATCCTCGTCACGGACCGTCCAAGACTTATCTCACTCATCGTTGGCTCGCAAACTGACGGATCGCCTCATCTTCCCATCGATCCAGAACCTATTGACCTCTCCCCTCACCACCCCTTGACGTTGTGCCCCGGCGTAGTGCGTGTGTCAACTCGGGGCTGTGACGATCGTGACATCCATCCGCTGGTGCTCACAATGATGAGTACCTACCGCGTCTCCCGGCTATAAATGATATGGATGCGCAGAATGCTGCCGAGTCCACCTCCACGAAGCCTCCAGCTTCCTCTGCTTCTCCTTCCTCTCGTCCCAGGAAAGGCAGCACCTTCGAGGCCGACCACTCCAGCAGAACCCTCTCGTCTGCACTCCCCTTGAAGAAGTCGTCCACTGCTGCTCCAGTGCGACCTCCATCGCCACATGGCAGGGAGAAGGAGCATCGGCACATCACGACGACGGCGGCCCCTCAGCCCAACGGCGGCCAAGAAGACGACGCTACTGCAGACAACAACTCCGAGGCTGAGACCATTGTTCTCGCTGGCAAGGACGGCTCTCCTGTCAAGTCCCGCAAGATCATCAAGCGGGAGGACAACAGTGACGATGACCGGAAAGGTCGAGGTGTTGACGCCCAGCCGAAACGTCTTAATTTGGGCACCAAGGCCGAATCAAATGGTCCCGTGGACGGAGGGGATGGTGGTGGTGCTCACAGCCACGCGGCGGATGCCGCGAAGAGGAAAAGGCTGATGGATCAACCGCGAAGCAAGGACTCGAGTGCGTTGAGCTCAGCACCTGATTCACCCTTCAACCACCCAAGACGACACTCTGCTGATGGGCATCCAGGGTCGGACTCGGAATCTGTCCACGCCAAGTTCTCTAAACCTTCTAACAAAGAGCGAGATCATGGGGACAAGGACCAGGCTAAAGACCAGGCCAAACACAGGTCTGGAGATCGACTGGTATCGTCACACAAAAGAAAGGCCCCAAGGGCTGATTCTGATGACGAGGCTGAGCACGACAACCACAAGGCTCGCAGGCAGCGCACCTCTGCCTCCATTGACGCGTTCTCCTCGCAACGGCAACAACAACAACAACAACAACAACAACAACAACCACCACCGCATTCACAACAACAACAAAACAAAGAGCGCGACCACGCAAAACCTGCAACCTCGAACAAATCCACCCACGAATCTTCGCATCACCGGTCCACCTCACCACACCCACGAACCCACAGGCGTAGTGCATCCACCCAGATCGTGTCCCAATCCTCAAGCGGACTTAGTCAGAAGAAGAAGCGAATTCCTCCGCCTCTCGCTACCGATTACCTCTCAGATGATTCCTCTGCGGGCGGCAGTCCTCACATTCGCAGCTCGACCGCACGCAGCCTGGCCACGCCCGCAACTGCAGAATCGACCATGTCGTCGGCCAAGAACACCGCACACAAGAAACATGTCGACGCCCACGGCCAAACACAGCTTGCGAAGGCATGTTCCAACGGAAATTACGATCTCGTCAGGAGGCGCCTGCTCGAGCGTCCTCAAGACCTGAACCTCCCGGATTATGCAGGGAACACTCCGCTCCAGATAGCAGCCATCAATGGACACGACGAGATTGTCCAGCTTTTGGTGGATGCGGGCTGCGATATCGATTGTGTGAACCACGACAAGGACACTCCTCTTCTTGACGCTGTTGACAACGGACATCTGGACGTCATCAAGGTTCTCCTAGAGGCTGGGGTGAATCCACGGAAAGCGAACGTCAACGGGCAGGAACCACTGGACCGAGTGGATGATGATCTGGACAACGCTGACGAGATTCGGACCGCGCTCGTGGAGGCGAGGAAGAAGGCGGGCGGCGGTCGTAGGAAAACCTCGGAAGAGCGTCCAGAACACACGGATGCGCGCTCATCACATGGTGCTGATAGCCCGCGGCGGTCACCTGCCGTGCCCGAGCCAGCCTCCAGCTCGCGGCGTGCGGCTAGTTCCCGCTCCCACAAGCTGAGCAACCAGATGTTGTATCTGCACATGAATGACGACAAGACAATGCGAGCAGCTGCCGGCAAAGGAGACATCGAGACTGTGGAACGGTTCCTCCAGGTCAGAGACCGCTTTGACGATCCGGAGTCGATGGTCGCCGCCGCCAGGGGCGGGCACGATACCGTGATGAACCTGCTCTTAGCCATAGGTGGCGCCAACCCAGACCCAACCCCAATCCGAACAGTGTCTGACGACTTCGCAACTCCCATATTGGCTGCCATAGGTCAAGAGAATATCAAGGTCATTAACCTGCTCCTGGCGCAGTCCAACTTCGATCCTACCAAGAGATATCGAGGGGACACGTACTTCGAAATCGCCCGGAAAAGACAAGGCCCGAATTGGAAAGACGAGGAGCAGATCTTGAAGGACGCCTATGACGCATACAGGAAGGCTCACCGGGATCCCTCCAAGAAGTCGCCCAACCGCAAGGACCAGGAAGCGAAACGAAGTGGTCGTCCAGAGGCCAGAGAGGAGACAGCTAAGACCTCAAAACGGAAAGCTATTAGCCCAAGTCGGGAGGCTACGCGGGTCTCTAGCAAGACTAGACCAGGCGAGCGAGAACACAAGGTCACAAACTCACATGCCCCGAAATCCGACGACCTGACTTCTCCCAAACGAGTCCCCGCTAGACCCAAGAGGGACGACCGCGGATTGCCCACCATTGCCATATCTGATGGAGAGACCTCCCCGCCTGCCACCAAGGCCCCTAAAACGAAGCGTCCCGATCCGGACACTGCAGCTCTCTCGTCAGAAGGCGAAGCCAAACCCCGCAAGAGACTAATGTCTGGCCGAGACTTGAAGGAGCAAAGGGAGAAGAATAGGCGTGCTAGCATGGTCTCCAACTCTTCCTCCCTACGGGAGCCTTCCAGCCCGCGGGACGCGCGCCACGACGATCTGCACGAACTTCCGACGGAGAAGTATCATGATAGAGCCAAGGCGCTGAAGAGGGACGAGTCCCGAGATCGGCTTTCTGTCGCTGGCGAACACTCGGCCAAGCGCAGTCGGACGAGCGCCACACCCGACCACGCAGTCTCTGAAAAGGAGGGTGAGCCCGTGAAGAAGAGGCGACTGGACGGCGACAAGAAAGAGCGACCAGTCAAGCCCAGCACTTCGCCCGACCGCAACCGCAAGATGACATCTCGTGATGCTCTCGGGTCCTCTTCGAAGCATGACGACAAGCCCACGCGCAAACAAGGTGACCAGCTCGCCGAGAAGCGAGATCCTGCCAAGCCTCGTCGAGCTGACTCTACATCCCACCATGAGAATCGTCGAGAGACCGGCAAAGCCGTACCGCCAGAGAATAGCATTCACGTCAAGTCCGAGGACTCTGATGTTGTGATGCGCGATGTAGGAGTGACCCAGAGCGAAGAGGGCAAGTCACGCGCTCGGGAGGACGAGAAGAGGCGGCGGACTGAGCTTGAAGCCAAGAGAAAGGAGAAGGAGAAGGAAAGAGAGAAGGAAAGGGAGAGGGAGAAGGAGAAGGAAAAGGAAAGAGAGAGAGAAAGGGAGAAGGAGAAGGAGAAGGAGAAGGAGAAGGAGAAAGAAGCTGAGGAGCGAAAGCGCCGGGAGGAGGAGGAAAAGCGTGAGCTCGAGGCGGCCAAGAAACGTAAGGAAGAGGAACAAGAAGAAGAGAACAAGAGGCGCGCTGAAGAGGAGGCGCGCAAGCATGAAGAGGAAGCCCGCAAGAGACGCGAGGAGGAAGAGGAGGCTCAACAGCGGAAGGAGAAGGAGGAGGAGGAGAAGCGCCAGGCCGCTCGGATCCGCCGGGAGAAGGAGGAAGAGGAGGCGGCGGCACAGCGCAAGAAGGAGGAGGAAGAGGAGCGTGTCCGCAGGGAGCAGGAAGCTGCTGAGGAAGCCCGGCGCAAGCACGAGGAAGAGGAGCGCAGGGAACAGGAAAGACGGGCCCAAGAAGAGCAACGGCTACGCACAATACGTGAAGAACAGGAGAGGAAGCGTCTCGAGACACTTCCTGCCTTTCTGCGCTGGCTGGATTGCAGCCCCAATGCCAAGACCCCGGACATGGCCAGACGATGGTTCGCGCTCCGAGGCGTACGGTTCGACAGCATTCGGCCTGAAACCGAGGGTACTGCAGAAGGTCGTGAGCTGTGGGTTCTGAACACCCAGGTCGCCATGCTCCTCGGGGAGAGTGATATTCAGCTCAGCCGATTTCCCAATTGGGATCGTGTGCCTGCGTCTCTGCCAGCCAAGCACCTGGTGATGAGCTTGGCGGCGCCCAGGCCTGCTCTGGTCGCTCGGGCAGAGTGGGATCTCGGCAGAGAAATTCCTGGCTACTACTACGGAAAAGGGCCAGAGCATTTGACTCGCAACGAGGTGCGCCAGCTTGAGCAAGAGTCCAAGGCTAAGTTCCTTGCGCTGGACTTGTTCTTCGTCAAGGTCTCCGACCTGATGTTCGCCGTCCCCAACTTCCCCCACCTGCGCAATATTGAGATTAAGGTCTCGTTCCACGAAGCCGCCGAGACGATGGAGCAGTACGACAACCTCCAACACCCCAACCGTTACCATCGTGACCCAGATGCAGCGCGCTACATGGGATTCAGCCCCCGCCCAAAGTACTACATCAATGGTCAAATCGTCCGTGAGGGCAAGGTGGATACGTCTTCGGCCAGCTTCAGCCCTTGGCCTGAGGCTCGCGTGCCTCGTAACGGACTCACGGCTATCGCCCCCTCGGATCCAAATTACGTCCGCCTCGCCAAGGAGCAAGGCCTCGAGCACCTGCTCTCAGGTCTGCGCACGCCACCTTTGATTGGTGCCCAGACGTCGCCGGGCCGTATCTTCTCTCAGCGAGCCTTTGGCGATCTCTCGCCTCCCCAGTCTGAGTCTACAGCGACCGCGAACGGCCAGCCGCGATCCTCTACTTCTTCGACTGCCGAGCAAGATAGGCCCCTTATCAGCGACAGCACCAACCCAGCCTTGGGTGAGACTGCCACGAACGGCAATATCTGATGTCGAGTTACCAAAGATTTACCTTCATATATACTGAAACGCCTTGTCTGGCGAATCCAACGGCCGCGGTGCTCACGCCTCGAGCCTTGTCATGTGCCCAAGAAACGGTGGCAAGCAGGTGACGTGCTAGCAAACTGCTTCATGTGCGTTTACAAGCTGCGTCGGGCTCATATCTATCGACTACTCTTGAAAGTCATTGCGCCTGGTGCTCACGTGCTCCCAATCGTCTTATGTCTATACACCCTCCCGGTTGTTAGACACCTGGATTGCGTTGCTGCCCTGGCTGCTTCTAGAATGCAGCCGGCAGGCCACTGATCTCGCCTGCGAGACGACGATCTGCATTGAGCCAACAATCGGGATGTGGCTCATGCGACGGTTCAAGCGCCATCACCATGAATCATCTGTGCTCTGAGTCAGGCTCATCGTCCACCTTGCCCCATACAAAGGGTATAAGAATATCAGGAGGCGGTGCAACCTCGAGTAAATGGCAATGGAAAAGAGAGAAGTGCCAGTGTGTATCAGTCACCCACACCAATTGGCATCTATCACCAAGCAGTTGTAAACAACTCATGCTTTCCAGCATACCCGTAGCATAGCAATTGAAATACAATAAAACAGCAATGTCGGAAAAGGATGGCAGCATATGCACAATTTCATCAATTGAACGAAGCCGGTTCCAGAGTTTCAGTCCATGATGCAACGCTACACAGCACGACCCTTAAACACAAGGTAAGAATATCTCTTTGGTAACGGTAGTCGAGTGCTTCTGCATCCATCAACAGCGGTCTATCATCTATGAATATGTATATGTATATGGATATGCTGCAAGTCTACTACGTATGTGCCTTCGCGTGGATCATCGCCCTATCTTGAACGATCTATCTCGCCCTCCAGGAGCGCTACTCTCTCCTCCGTGGGGTTCCCTCCTCCATCTCCCCAGGCCTCTGCTAAATGGTCCGCCAGAAAGCTCTACTCAGAATGCGGCTTCATCTGCAGATGAACTAACAGCAGTGGCACGATCGATGAGTTTTCGAAAACGCTTCATCGCGCTTGTGATATCCGATTGCTTGAGAGCCTCCACGATCTCGTCTTTGGAGATGCGGTTCTCCAAGCTCGAGGGTGACGGCGTCGGCATCCTCCTGCCCCTTGCGATGTAGGAAGCCTCGATGGCATTGACAAGCTGCAAGTCGAGCATGGTATCCCCCTCGAGGCCCCCAGTGGACGTCGTGAGATCCAGGCCCAGACCGTCGTCCTTGATGCGGCCCAGAAGCTGTGCGCAGCGCCGGAACGCGCCCACAAACAGGTCGTCTTGCCTTTGTGCGCGATGGTAATAATGCCACAACAGGCGCAGGGCGCCTAGCTCGCCCATCAGGCGCACCCGCAGCTCGAAGTCACCAGGTCTCTGCTGCTCGCTGAGGAGGGAAGGCTGCGGCTCCGAGCTGCCTAAGCCCCGGCCTGTCAACATAGTGAAGATCTGCTGGCGGGTTCCTCTCGCACTCCCCTCTCCATATTCGAGAGCAGTCAGGATCGCCTGGCAGGCTTCTGAGCATGTCTTCGCGGCGCCTTCGGTGGGCTGTGCGATGAGATCCATTGACAGGCAGATCTGGATGTACTGAAGGATGCAGGGCAGCAGGCCGAGCAGGGTTGACAGGTGCAGGCCGAGGAGCGTCATGGAGCGGGCGAGTGGCCTGTTGGCGGAAAGACTTCTGATGGTCAAGTTGTTGACGAACCTCAGACAGTCCTCTAACGTCGACTCCCTCTTGGACGTCTGCATGAGTTGCAAGAGGCGGTCATGCACAAGGTGAATAAGGTCGACGCTGTACTCAATGCCGGATGTAGGGTTGTCGATCTGGGAACATAACTTTTCCACAGCCTGAACACTGTGGCAGTTTCCAATTTCTCTTTCGAAAAGGACAGCCCGGTCGTCTGTAGTCTCTTTAGTTCCCAGCGGTGAGTCCTTCAGCGCGGCCAGAGAATGCCTTTGGCGCTGAAGCATGAATGGAATCACGCTACTGGCGCCCAGCTCGAGTATGGCGGTCGGGACTCCATATTCGAGAAGGGCCTGGCGCAACGTCGCGTTGGTGTCGGTCTGCAGAATGTCGTAGACATTAGAGCCGCCGAGGAGGGCAACAGTCATCACGTCAAGATCCGATATGTGCACTCTACGCAGCGCCTTCTCGGGGCTCGTCGTGACACTGTGCAATTTTCCGAGGTCTTTCTTGCTCGCCAACGTCATCTTCCTCGAGAACTCTTCGGCCTCGTCAACGGCGGGATCGTAGCCCCATTGGGAACGCTGCAGCGGGCCATCCTTCTTCTTGTCAAAGGGACGCACGTGAGGGCTGTCCTCCGCATCAAGATCCAGCACCAGATTTGGCAGTTCAAACGTTGGGAATGTCTTCTTTTGGGAACCCCTGCCCTGAGAGACGACGGTGCCGCGCGGACTGTTTTCCAGATAGTACCGCTTCTGTGCATGCCATGGGCCCCCCTCTCTCTGTTGCTGGTGTTGTTGCTGCTGGAGAGCCAGTCTTCTCTGACAGAGGCCCGTGGTGGGCCCTGCGAGCCTTCGCATCTCTCTCCCGCGGGTGTTGCGTGGGTCCTCTAGAACGACGACTCATGAGCAGTGTGGGCCTTGGAGGTTGAGGGAGTCATTCGAGATGCGCATCATCATGAATATGGGAGATGCATTGAGGGTCTGTTGTGAGAGAAAAGGTTCGAGTGAATGAGTTGCAACAGTATGAAAAGAGAGAAGAACCCTTGCATTTGCATGTATGGAAATTTCTCCGGTTGCCAGTTGGAGGTTGCGTGTGACTTGTGGCAGGGGTTCAGTCGTACCCTCCCGCGCTCCCCCAACGTACAGTACCTACTATGTAAGTATTTGTGTACTCATGTACCTATGTTTACTACCGCTACCGAATGTACTTGCCATAGTAAACTCAGATGCTTACCTAATCCAACCATTGGTTCACATCCCAGCTCTCAAAGAACGCCCTGACGCCTCGAACGCCAGAGCAGCCGTCATCTCTCAAATGTTAAACGGAACCGTCCCCCTTCAACTTCGAACTTAGTAAATCATCCACACGTCAACACATACAGACCTCATCATGCCTCCAGCAAAGAAGAGAAAGACAGCTGCCAAGGCAGCCGGCAAGAAGAAAAACCACGTCGTGACAGCATCGCACTCGTCCCCACCGCCAGCCGAGACGCAACCCCCTCCACCACCACCAGAAGAGCCCGCCGAGGAAGCGCAGCCCATCGATGAACCCCAGCCTGCCCCTGAGGTCGCAGAAGAAGGAGAAAATGAGGGAGAACAGCACCAGACAGTAGAGGTACCGGCAGCAGCAGCAGAGCCGGAGCCGGAGCCAGAACCCGAGCCAGAGCCTACGGCCAAACAACCCACCCCACCACCAAGCACCACTCTCGCAGACCGCATGGCACGCTTCCGCGCCTTACAAACCCGCGCCAAGACCTCCTCAGCCTCGAACCTAACAGCCGCCCAGACAGAGGCCCACCGCCTCGCGAACGACCCGGCGCAGCTGTCGGCCGTGCAGCGGCGGTCGGCGGTAGCCTCGCACAAGCTGCTACGCGCAGACGTGGAGGACGCAGGCGGGGACTTTGAGCGCAAGCGGGCGTGGGACTGGACGGTCGACGAGTCGGAGCGGTGGGACGAGCGGCAGAAGGAGCGCGCGGCGCGGCGGGACGACAATGCCTTTAAAGACTACCGGCAGGAGGCTGGAAAGGTGTACGAGCGGCAGGTGCGGAACCTGGGCGGGCCCGACCTGGAGCGGTATACGGCCGACAGGATGCGGGCTGTCGAGGAGGCTGCGCGGCGGGGCACGCTGGAGATTGTCGAGACGGAGGATGGGGAGATGGTTGCTGTGGACAAGGACGGAACCTTCTACGGGGGCGGTGGTGGGAGTGGGGATATCATCTCGAGCTTCGCCGACAACAAGCCCGACAAGAAGGCTGTGGACCGGCTGGTGGGTGAGATGAAGAAGGCTGAAGAGGTCGCGGCTAAGAAGAGGAAGGAGAGGGCTGCTAGGAACGGCGACGATGCGGATGTCACGTACATCAATGACAAGAACAGTAAGTTGGCTACTCCTTTCCCTTCCTTTTTTTGTTTCTCTTTCTGGGGAGACTTGGCTTGTTGGTCGTCTCTCTGGTTGGATTCGTAATCGTGTTGTATACTGACTTCCCATCGCAGAACAATTCAACCAGAAGCTGGCACGCTTCTACAACAAGTACACGGCAGAAATCAGGGACAGCTTCGAGCGTGGTACAATGATCTGAGAAGAAGAAAAGAAGAGGAGGGGAGGGGAGGGGATTGGTCCCTTTGGGTCTGTTTCTACTGCCTCTGGTAAATCATACCATGTGTCAGTTTCGTTTTTAGCAGCAGCGTCATTCAGAATCGGAGTTGGTAGGAGGGGGTTTCACTGATTACGGTGAACAATTAATCAAAACATTTGATACCAGAGAGGCTTTTTGCTTGAAATCAGTATTAGACGGTGGTATGAGACCTAGTTGTGTGTGCCCTGAGGTAGGCTGCATGCACAGTGCAATGCTCTAAAACGTATCAAGGGGGTAAAAGCAGTGTAAAATACATGTGTCTATGAAGTCTGACCGGATCAGACGACCATCGCAGCATTAATTATTAGTACAGGAAAACCCTGGGAACCTGGGTTTTCTCCTATGGCTCCAAGGTATATTCCGAGCTTCCTCTTCGTAAGCGCTTCAGGTGCCCACATAATATCGCCGTAGCTCCTCCGACAGGTCCCTCCTCGCCCTGTAGAAGGGAAGCTGGCAGTCGGTGATCGCTGAAGCCAGGCTGTTGGTGTTTCTCATGTACACACCGTTGTCGTGAAACTCTTTTTCCATATTCATCCAGTACTCCTTCTTGACGGCAAAGTTTTTCATGTCCGTGTCGCCCAGCTTGCCCACAACCTCGGCCGGCGGGGCGCCAGACCTGCTGGGGACTAGGACGAGGAGGCTGCAGTCCCTGAGCGTCATGGCCAAAGAGTAGCCGTCGTCGTCAGTGACATGACCATCGTGATCATTCTCCCACTGGACCTTCCTCAGCTTCTGGAAGACGGCGCACGTCCGTAGCCATCCCGTGAGATTCCTTGCTTCAGCGTCGGGCATGTCATAGCACCTCCGCAGGGCCGTGGCGATATCGGCTGCCACAGCTGGGTCGTCTGGGAAGTCAGCGGCCTTGACGAGGTTGAGGGGGCAAAAGACCTGCTTCCTGGTCTTGTCCTTCATGTTGCGCCAGACCTCGCGGGCACAGTTCCGGCACTGCTCGGCGTTCCTGGGCGCGCGGGGCGACTGAGCTAGCCACTTGGGCTTGATCTCATGCATGATGGCGACGCCGTCTTTCCTTGTGGCCGCCGCCTCCGCTCTCATGTCCTCGACCAGCATGCCGAGCTCTACGGTCTCGCTAACGACGTGGCCAACAAAGTCGCGGCGGCGCGAGCCGGACTCTTCGAGCCTGCGGAGCTGCTCGTTGAGAAGCTTGAAGAAGGTTTTATCGCAGGGCAGCCTCACGAGCCTTTGCTGGACAAGTTCGTGGGGCCCGAACAGAGGCGAGACCCTGGTCTCCCAGTATCGCTGCAGGTCAACGTAAGGCAGCGCTTTGTATTTGTGCTTGGGCACCCGGAGGAGCTGGCCTGATAGAAAGAGATTGTTTAGCGCAAGAATCCTTCATTTGATACCCTTCTGATTGGGGGTCTGTGAAAAGCAAAGGTAGTGGGCGTGTGTATGTATATGTATACATTTAAACATACCTCGCAGGTTAGGATGGTCGTCTACACCGGTGAGTGAAAAGACAACATTGGCCCTGCCCTCGCCGACGAACCTGCAGACCGCAGGCGCGGGTATGGTATCCATGTCGTTTTGTACTTCCATAGCCTGTATCGCTTTCTCCTTCTTCTGATTTTCCTCTTCCTCTTTTTCCCCCTCCTCCTCCTCCCTTCTCGCTTTTATGTCGGCTGTCTTCTGGCTGAGTCCTGTGCCAGCTCCCTCCAAACCATAAACGCTACCCTGGAGGCTCTTACTTGATCATTGACACTGATATTCGTACTATGTGCCGAACTAGCGTCCTGGCCAGATGGTAATTCACGTGCTGGCTGGATTGACGACAACATTCGTCTCCGTCACTGATGTTATTTGTACTGTAGTCTGGCTGGGCCCCAAAGGGTGTCAGTTGAGGCTCTCTGGTGATGTAGGTCCGGGGTCACACGGTATTTCAATGGTTATGTCGTATCAGTGGTTGGCGACGACGACGACGAGGGGCCAGACCACAACCGGTGAGCTTGGGGGAGGGTCCAGAGGGGCGGTGCGACGAGTCGCAGGAGCCGCACATGATTGTCTAGTCAAGGCCAGGTAAAGCGCTGAGCGGATTGAGAATTACTGAGTTAAGCTTGGCTATAACTGTTTTAGCAGCCGTGGGTCAAGGACACACACACATTCAGTCGCAAGGTTTCGTTAGCGGGTGGAATCAATGTTACAAGTTCCCAGGTTCCAGGTTCAGTGTCCAGGCGTGGAAAGAAGCATCGGGCACACACTGCCAGATCCAGCGATTCTTGTTCGCTGGTGTGCTTGTTTCCAGAGCTGATCAGAATCTCTGCACGGTGCTTACCCGAGCACTCGCGCCATGACCGTCTATTTTAGGTGGGGGAGAATATGTGGGCGAGTACAACAAGGAGACAGGTGGGAATCGAACAGCGAGGAACTGGGCGGCTGCTTGCACACACACAAGCATGGGTAGGGCCATCACCTCGCTCGTTCCGTGTGTTTGTGTTCGTGTAGAAGGTTGGAGGTCCAGATGTTCGGACGGGGGGCATTCTTTGTGGGCAGCTTTCCCACGGTCTGCGAGCTGCGCCCCTTTGAGGCGGTGGAAACACCCCTTGATCATGCAGAAGACAGATGCAAAGAATCGTCAACTGTTACCAGAATAGTAAGTATCAGTACAGTACGGTTGCGTTCATTCATTTGTTCCGTCCAGGGGACTTTCAAGAAGGAGAGTTGGGGCTCCGGATCAGGTATGGTGCCAGATGAGGTCGCAAATTGTGTCTTAGATGACCTGGCAACGAGAAATTCAGAGCTTGAATAACAAAACAGCCGACCCTGGGGCACGGGTCGTAGAGTTTGGTGCAACACAATGTCTGACTGCATGACAATCGACCTGGAAGCAAGCAGTACTGTGTAGTATTACAATAGTATAGCACTGTACATACCATGATAAAGAGTAGCGTCCATGATAGGCTACAGCTCGCCCTGCTGTTTGCTACCTCGACTGCCAACGTACCACAAAGAGTATATAGTGTGTGTCGTGTTCGGCCTAGAGGAAGAGAAGACGCGTCCAGAAGAAGGCTGTGACCTCTTCCTAGAGGAATATAAATCGCATGATGCTTCCGAATAGGGGTGCTAGCTGGTGACCCAGGACGGGGCGGCCAGAGCGAAGAAGGATGGCAGGTCAGGTCATTTCAGGTCAGGTCAGATAGATCAGGTCATGTCAGGCAAGGCAAGGCAAGGCAAGGCAAGGCAAGGCAAGGCAAGGCAAGGCAAGGCAAGGAAGGCACACGGGCCCCCCGTGGGGAGAAAGTGAAGGCGCGCTTCCTCTTCTCTCTCTTGGTCTTTCTACGAAAAATCTCCGGCCCTGGGGGGCAGCCTAGCTAGACCAGATACGTCCAGATCCACCAGATTATCAACTCACCAAGACCTTCCTTGTGGCCCTCTTTGGCTCTGATGTCACGCCACTCTCTCCGCCTCTCCCCGCGTTTGTCCCTTTCCAATGACCCATGAAGAAGAAGAAACCAATCAGGTCAGCGTTGATCCTTCGATTCATTTGCCCATTCTTTCTGAGGCCAAAATAATATCACGATAGACAGGATCATGCAGCCTGGGAAAATTCTCCACCTACAAAAGTAGCTGTGTGCTATGCACCGTGATACACGGTACATAGCTATAGGAACTGAGAAATATAGCTCAGGACTTTGGTAGAGCATCTGACTCCATTCTCTTCCTCTCGCCTACAGAATTCTGAGACTGCCTCCATTCCTTACAGGGCTTGTTTGGGGAGGAAGCCAGCAATAGACGCTAAGATACCAAGGGTCATCCTGTCCTGGCACGGGGCAGCACAGGGCACCTGCTAGCCTGTCACGATCCCGCATGAAAAATAAATAAATGGGAAAATCAATAACAATAAGAGAAACATATGCAAAATTGGAAAAGGGAATGAAAGGAAGAAGAGACAGACAGCCAGACGGAGAGAAAAGTAGTGAAAAACTTGCACAAGATGAAAGAGACAAAGGGGGAAAGGACCAGGCAATGAAGAATCAAAACAAGAGAAAATGGTAGAGAGAAAGAGAGAAGGGGAGGTAAAAACGCTGGCTTACTGCACCTGCCCTACCTGCCCAGTGTATGTACACTACGTCGCGTGTGCGCTCACTTTTTCTGCTGCTGCTGATCCTGCCTTGGCCCTGTAAGCAAAAAGAACAACCCGCTGGAATTAAAAGCAAATGTCCCCATCAGTGGCTCCACCCCACCCAGACTTCCCTTTGACTCGGTGGGTTTTCCCTCACCCAGTCAAAAATCGGAGAAGAGCTCTTTTTTTTTTGTGATCCGCCTTGCCTGCACGCGCGCCCGTGCTCTCAATTTTCGTCATTCCGTGCCCTGCCATTTCTGCCCGTCATTTATCATTCATCATACAACTTCCAACCGTCATCCTCCTTCCCTTTCACCCCCCTCCTCCTTATCCTACTCTACCTCACACCTTCCATATCTTTTATCGAATCGATCATCTCGAGCATCGATCGATTGTGCAGTCATTATCACTGCGACATAATAATATCGATCACGCCGTCTGTCAATTCCCACCCGGCGCATCCCGATAATTTTTGTGCTTAATCGAGATTCATCATCTTGCGCCAACGCTCGACTGCGATGACGAGGCATATCATATCCTAAACACGCCCGCGCGATGGCCTTCAACTTCAACTGGTCGCCTCTCACGGCCGATGAGGACTTTTACCAGCGCGCCCGCGACCTGCTCACCACCGCCCTGAACAAGTCCCCGAAGCCTCCCATCATTGTCGATGACATCCTCGTCACCGAGCTCAACCTCGGCTCCGTGCCGCCCGAGCTGGAAATACTGGAGATAGGGGATTTGGCTGAAGATCGCTTCAGGGGCATATTCAAGATGTGCTACAGCGGCGATGCCTTCCTGACCCTCAGGACAAGAGTTCAGGTAGGTGCTTGATGTTGCTTTCAATTCTTGTTTCTCTTCTTTTGGTGGCAACCGATGTTTCCCCGACTCTACCCGCCGGGCAACATCGCTGCGCTCGCGGGCCCCGAAAATCCTTCAACCATCTTCGACAAGACCAGCCAGCTATTCGTTCTCAGAAGAGCTCAGCAGCATTTATTCGGACATACTGCAATGCGGCAAGTGCCGATTTTGCAATGCCTTCGTTGGCGCCTATGTCATCATTCAGGCGGCAAGCAGCCACCTCTTGCTGGGTTCTTTCCTTCCCTTTGGGACTTTGGGAGAGGAGGGTGCGGCAGGCTGGGGGGGCTCAGCTGGCACAGAATCGAGGGAACGGTCTGCTTCTCAAAACATCAACTGTGTGGCGACAGCGGTGTGCGAGTTCTGTCTGTCTGTCTGTCTCTTCTGTGTCTGGCTCTTGGCGCCTCTGCCGTACTCCCAGCTGCACCTCGATGACTCTTCTCCCTGCCCCAGATCTTCTTCGGACCCACGCGCTTTGCATGAATGAGAGAGATGACTGGGCAAGGATGCGCGTTTGCTTGTGCAGCCTATCCCAGCACGATGCATATACCAGGGCTAATATATCCAACCACACAGGCAAATCCCCTGAACACGTACCTGCATTCAAAGCCAGACTTCACGTCCCCACAACCGCTGGCCGCCTCGTCGGGGCTCACGATCCCTCTGTCGCTGACGCTCTCCGACATCAAGCTGTCGGCGTTCATCATCGTCGTCTTCTCCAAGCAGAAGGGTCTCACCATCGTCTTTAGAAATGACCCGCTTGAATCGCTCAAGGTCTCCTCGACCTTCGACTCTATCCAGTTCGTTAGAGACTATCTGCAGAAGACGATCGAGGGAAAGCTCCGTGACCTGATGATGGACGAGCTGCCGGCCATTATTCACCGGTTGTCGCTGCGCCTTTGGTGCCCGGATCAGATCCCCAGGGATGAGGACGGCGCCCCAGAGACCAGCGAGCCCGCCGTTGATCCTTTTGCCAGCCCACCACAGGATGCGGTGGATGCGCATGGCAACTTGTTGGACCCCAGCGAGATCTCCAACTTGTCTCTGGATGGAGGGCCTGAGCTGCAGACGCTGTTCTCTCAGAAGAACCTCACCAGGCTGGCATCACTAAGCGACTGCAACCGCACCATGTCTCTTTTCACCCCGTCCCTGCGTGATGTTGTATTCAGGGCCTGGGCCGGCTCACAGGAGAAATCTGATTTCACCAGCCCACCCCTGGCAACTCCCAGCCTGACCAAGGCCCACTCGTTCCAGGCGAACTCGACAACGTACACCTTTTCCGACACGAGTAGCTTAGACCAGGGCTATATGCCATCATCAAGGTCATCCATGGTTAACCTGAACTCAGCCGCGACTGGGCTGTCGCTCGGATCAGGGAGAAATTCGAGGTCGAATGCTGGCCGCAAGAAGAAGACGCGTGTGGTGAATCTCCGACGCAGGCACACCGAGGGCACGGTCGAGAGTGCGCCCGTCAGCGAGGCAAGCGACACGGCCACCGAGACGGCATCCGTGGAGGGACCTCTGTCAGAGCCTCTGGTGACTACCATCATCCCCGAGGAGCCCGAAGACCATGCTCCATTGTCACCGACCAAGGTGCGGTTCGACAGCGTCGCTGCAGCCGACAGTCTCACCCGTCCACCCTTGAAGCCGGAACTGTACAACACGGAAGTATCTCAGACACTGTCTTCTTCCGAGAAGCAGCCTCAGAAACCTCAACAAACAGCATATGTTCCTGTGACGCAATCGTCAGGGAAGACCTCCGTACCGGCCGACACCAAGACACCCTTCGAGTTCAGCCCACGAAGAGGGCCACCATCCGAAACGTCGTCTGCAATCTTTGAGCAAGCCTGGATTCAAAAGATGGCTGGCGAGATTGCCCGACGGGTATACGACGAAAAGCGGCGCAACCCCGCTTTCTGGGAAGATCGCGAGGATGGGCCTCCACCAGCGTATGAGGCTCAGTGATAGCCACACAGCGTGCACAAATTTCTTATGTCTCCAGAGCAATTTCCTATCCGGTTTGGCGTTATACCCCATGGAGCCACGAGAATGGTTTTGTCCTTTGCTCTTTTCTATTTATCGAGAATGATCCTGCATGGCGTTCAGGCTTTGGGGTGGAACACAAAAAAACTTTTTGGCGGCGAGAAGATGTGATCTCAGTTTGGATATTATAGGGCGCCATGAAGGGGCGGTCACATGGCATAGATGGATCAGAGGATTGGCCCTGCCTCCACAACCAAGCTTTATACTCACACTCGTTCTTGCCTTTTTTTCCTCAGACGGAATTTCTTTTGTTGGTTGGTCGATCAGAACGGCAGAGACTTAGCCGCACCTTGATGGGTGCACGTGTACAGTTGTAAAGTACAGCAGAAGAAGATGGTGATCAAGAAGAAGAAGAAGAAGAAGCACGAAGGACACCCAGTCGTCGTCATACTACGATGATATAGACGGATTGTGTGCGCGTGCGCGAGATGAGACAGAGAGCGCCTGCGTTGCTGGCCAAACCTGGGACGTTCCCGTAATGATGAGACTCCCACCTCTACTCTACATATACAAATCACATAAAAATCCCTCTAAACCATTCGAAGAAATTTCCTGTGGCTGTGATTATTTGTCGTTTGAATGTATGTATCGAAGTCCTGCCATCGAGGGCAAACCGCGAGTGGAGGTCGGAGAAACGGCTTTGTGACGAAACAGAACGTCATTTGAGATCGATAAGCACATGATGTGTATAAGACACAGGTTGAGGGCTCAGAGGTAGATGAGAAGTAATGTTCCCATTTGAGACCTATCCACACCCTCCCTTGGTATAATAAATTTATCAGTCCATGAAAAACGCCGAACCGACAACTCCAGCCTCCAGTGAGATGTACCAAATCCGTACTAGTGAAATTCCAGAATAAACTCCTGTCTAAACAATATCGACCTCCTCAACAGTGAAACCAGTGATTGGTTGCTTGGTCGCCTCTTCCTCCACAAACAGACTGCTGTTCGCACAGTACTTCTCCTTTATGACTGTTTCTTTCCCTTCTTTCTACTACGAGTCTCCACCCCATAGCCTTGTGCGGGACCCGCGGCGTTGGGTGGCCCCGGAAGTGAGGGCTTCTTGTTGTCCTGCGCATCAGACGGACCCTATGCCGCCATAGCGAGCTCCCCTCTGCCCTCCTCCTTGAGTCGCACCAGCTTGGCGGTCATCTCCTCGATGGCCTTCTCATCTTTCTCGCGCATCTGGCGCACCTCGTCCATAGCGCGGCGGATCATGTCCATCTCAAGTTTCTCGGCCTCGGCGCTGAAGGGCTGGCCTGGTCTGGACCGCATGGGAATCATGGCGCTGCGCTCGATGACGCCCCCCTCGGTCCGTTTTGGCTGACCATCCTTGGACTGGGCACCACCAGCCGCTCCTCCTCCTTTCCCCTTGCCTCCTCCCGCACTGCTGCTGCCGCCCTTCTTAGAGCCGCCAGTAGAGGCCGAGCCGGTGAAGTTTGGGTTGGAGGGGGCGACGGCGCCGCTGGTGAGGATGTCGAAGAAGTGCTCAAAGGGCTCGTTGAAGAGCTGCTCCTCGTAGACCCAGCTGACGACCTCGCCATTAGCGACCATGGCGGCGCGCTCGGCGTCGGAGCCGTAGGCATGCAGGCGCAGGTGGTGGTAGAGGGTCTGCGGCTTCTCGCCGGACTCGGGAACGTAGTAGAGCTTGATGGCGATCTCGAACTCGCCCCAGCCCGTCTCCTCGACGAGAAAAGCACGGCCGTGCTGGCCGTCGACCATGCGCACGTGGTTGGGGATGGATTCGTGCAGCTTGAACTGGACGCGGCGGAGCCAGTAGGTGAGGTCGGTATCGTCGACGCCCTTCACGAAGACGGTCCAGCTGTGCGTGTGGTCGTCGGGCACGTGACTGGGTTTGGGGTTCTTCTCCGGGTCAAAGGGTCTCGCCGTGGTGCCGTAGACGAAGGGGCGCGACACCTGGCGCCCCTTGACACGTTTTCCCTGGGCTGATGATGGGGCCATGATGGCTGCTGCTTGGGCGGTGGAAAGAGATTTGCGAGGTGCGTGGCGGGACATCTTTTTTTCTAGGGGACCGCGCGGGCGGCGGGCGGTTTATCTCTTATAGGCGATTCTGACCTGACTGGGTTGGGGTTCGTTTGGGGCGGCAGGTGGCACACACAAACCAACGGCAGGAAGGGAAGGAGTCCCTGTTAGGCGGGAACTAGGTGAGGCAGGTCTCACTTGGGTAACCTGAATCTGGAACTCAGAAATGGTATCTCGACTCAAAAGAGAGCATTCGGCCAGCGTTCAAACGGTGGAAAATCTTGTTGAAAAGGAAAAATCAGACAAGACACAAGAGTTGGAAGTTGCCATGCAGGAGGAGACAAAAGGTTTTATACAGGGAAAATATGCACGACACAGACTGGACGTTGAGAAGCTGAGAGGCGTTGAGGTTGGGACCACCCACGACTCGTCTCCACCATACAAACACGCCCAAGCGGTGCAAAAGTATCCGCTTAACACACGGACCCGCTGGCTGCTAGCGTATTTGTTGTCTGCAGTTGCTCTTCTTCAGTGGGGTCCTTGCAGCTTCATCTGCAGGCCCGCAAGGCCCTGTACCCCTGCCCAGCAGCACAGGCCTCAGCTCTACTGTGGTAGCTTCCAGAGCTTGACTAGTAGCTGCCGCTGTGGCAGTCATCCATGATCTCATCATTCGACAAGGAAGTTTATTGCTGTAGCACCGAAAAGGTATCATTCCGGGTTCACCTAAGGAAATAGAATATTACAAACCGTTTGGCTGCGAATATTCATCACTTGTGTCAATTAGCATATTTATCTTCATTTCAAGGGATCATCTACTCTCTTGGAGCCAAGAATTGACCTGGGCTTACAAACTGGTAAGAAGAGCATTATTCCCTTGTTCAACCCATTTCTCTGTCTCGCGAATTACTACAAATTTCATGACCATTACCCTTAAGCATAACAACCTCGCCTTTCTCAATGTCTGTCAGGCTGATCTCTTTACTCATCGACACTCCTTTACAATATAAAGATACTCAACTGTCCAGCCAAGTTCAGTCTGAACTACCTACTTACTGTTCTCCCTGATCAGTTCCTTCCGTCAAAGTCTCAACAAGGAGTGGCCTGACATCCTTTTCATACAAGAGCGAGAGTAGTCCATCGAACGCTCACCACCTCAGCATCATCTCAACCTCAGAACAGCCACGACATACACCATCCACCGCCATGTCAAAGGCAGGGACAGTAAAGAAGATCATCGTCTGTGGAGGAAACGGCTTTCTCGGCTCGAGGATATGTAAATACGCCGTCGCTAGAGGGTGGGACGTCACCTCGATCAGGTGAGAGCTCTCCTTCTCTGTCTCTCTCTCTCTCTCTCTTCTTCTTCTTCTTCTTCTTCTCCTTCCTCTTTACTGACCTGTTCTTCCTTCTCTCTCCCTGGCTTAGTCGTTCAGGAGAACCCAAGTGGTCCGCCGTAACCTCCTCCCCAAACCCGCCCTCCTGGTCCCACAAGGTCGCCTGGGAGCGTGCCGACATCTTCCAGCCCGCCACCTACGCGCCCCTCCTCACCGGCGCCGACTACGTCGTCCACTCCATGGGTATCCTCCTCGAGGCCGACTACAAGGGCGTCATCTCAGGCCAAGAGTCACCCATCTCGGGCCTCCGCAAGGCCTTCTCCCCAGAGAAAGCCCGCGGCAGCCCCAACCCCCTGGAACAGGAGCAACAACAGCAACAACAGCAACAGCAGCAGCAGCAGGATGGCCAGACCTACCAGAAGCCCACAGCAGCAGCAGACGGCCACCAGCTGACCTACGAGATGATGAACCGCGACTCCGCCATCCTCCTCGCCCGCGCTGCAAACGACAAGAACGCCTCCGCCTTCCTCTACGTCTCCGCGGCCGGCGGCGCCCCCGTCTTGCCAGCCCGCTACATCTCCACCAAGCGCGACGCCGAGAGCCTCATCGCCAGCGAGTTCCCTCGCCTCCGCGGCGTCTTCCTCCGCCCGCCTTTTCTCTACGACTCCAGCCGCGCCTTTACCCTGCCCATGGCCGCGGCCGCCGGTGCAGGAGCTCTTTTTAATGGGCTGACGCGGGGGGTTCTGGGGGGCTTCCTGGGCGCGGCTGGGGCGAAGCCTCTACGGGTGGATGTTGTTGCCAGGGCGGCTGTGGAGGCACTTGAGGAGGAGGGGACGCGGGGGCCTGTGGAGGTGCCGGAGCTGGAGGATCTGGCTGAGAGGGCTTGGAGGAAGGGTATGCTTTGAGAGGTGTGAGTTTGTATGTGTGTTGTATGATTACATGGCCGGTTTGCCGGGGAAAGGTGGGGGGGGGGGGGGATATGCAGGAAGAAGAAGGAAAGAGAATAGAGATAGAAAATAGACTTTCAATAATACATGACCAGACCACTCTGAATTGCTCTTGGATCCCTAATAACCAACTCAAATTATCTGTTTCGTTCTGTTACATGAAGGGCTTGCAATTGCAACTATTGCCCTCCATCCGAATTCAGTATTTCTATTATCCAACTTCTACTATAGTCAGATTTCATCACAAAATGCTCAGTCAGTCATGCTATCTTGAGTCAAAGTCCCTCCCATAACCAACGCCGGATCTATGCAATGAATAATCCCTCTTCTTGAACAATACCACAAGCCCATCTTCCCCCCAAGACTTCTCCTCCCTACAATCCTGTGACCGTAAAGCTCAACAAACTCCCAGCCGTCAGCCCAATGACCAGGCAGAGCCCCATGAACCCGCCTGCAGCCTCCCTCTCACTCTCCTCCACGCCCTCAGCAGCGGCCATCATTGCATTCGACGCCAGCCAGCCGTTACTCAGGCCAAACGGCACCTGAACGAAGACCAGATAGAACACATCGCTGTTCACAACGGCGCCGGCCCCGTGTAGGTTGCACAGCAGGTACAGCGGCAGGGCGACGAAGCGCACGAGGCCGAACAGGAACAAGACTGCGGGTCGACGGCGGGCGCGGGCGTTGAGGGGGCCGGCGGTGGACACGCGGCCTGCGAGGTCGCCCGTGTTCCAGGCGAGAAAGGATAGCGGTATGAAGACTTCCGGGTCTAGAAAGCGGCTGCGTGGCGGTGGGTGCACCGAGAGGATCTTGGCTGTGAACACGGGGAAGAGGCCGATGGTCGCCACGAAGCAGATGGCCACGGACCCCGCAGCCCAGTGGAGTTTGCGGAAGAGAGTTAGGATGGAGACGACCTTACGTGTCGCCCGCTGCTGGTGGCCAGCCATTCCGTCGTCGCCGCCGCCGTCGTTGTCATCATTGTCATCCAGTCTCGCGACACGGGCCGCGGCGAGGCGCTGGTGGCGCCGGACCAGCGGGAAGAAAGACACCAACGTGACGATGGACATGAGCACTGCGGTCAGAAAGTAGATGAAAGCCGCATCGCCAAGAGCATCGTCCTCTTTGCTCCGCCCACCATCCCCCCCGTCCTGAGGAAGCGCAGCGCCGGTTGCTGGTTTCGGCGGCCGCACCACCAGCACAGAGATCATTTGCGCCAGAGCGGGCAGCACGCCGGCGAGGCCCTGACCTGCCATGATGGCCTGAGTGTACTCGGATCGCCCGAAGCTGGCGGCAAAGGCGAAGGCACCATTCTGGAAGAGGCCAGTGGCCAGCGCTGAGAAACACACGTCTACCAGGAGAAACCCGAGATAGGCCTCAGGGGAGATGTCGCGAAAGAGGGAGGTGGAGAGCGTCAGAAGGGCGAAGGCAAGGGTATTGATGACGAGCCCCAGCTTGATGCGGTTGGCGTAGTCGGCACCACGCTGCATGTGGGTGAGAAGGAGGGTCGCGGTCAGGTTAGTGATGGTCGAGACGGTGAGGATCGAGGACTGGAATGTGCGCGCGATGGAAGGATGCGAGAAGAAGCGCGAGGCAAAGTACGGAGAGGCAGCTAGGAACATATTCCTGCAGCAGAGGAGCATGTAGAGTTAGCAGACAGCTGGTGGCTGCGGCCTTGGAGGCGAGAAGGAGAAAACGGTATTCTTACCAGGCCCATAGCATGGCCACGCCGAGGAGAGCAAAGATGGTGTACTCGAACCACGAGAAGGGGACGTCGCCAATCTCAAAGGTGTCGCCCTCGCCGTCTGTCGTGTTGCCCGCCTCAATGATACCGTCGGAGGATGTCCGTAGCGGCTCATACTCTTCTGGATTGACGCTGCGCGTGCCTTTTGCGCTGCCTCGGCCGGTGAGGATGCCTCGTAGTCTGTCCATGTTGATGATGTCGCTAAGAGAGGAAGAAGAAGAAGCTGGGCCAGCGTCCGTCGTCCTCGACATGTCTCCAAAGAAGACGGGGAAGAGGGGCCAAGGAAAAGAAGGGACGGCCCGTCGAACCACGACAACTAATGACCCGTTTCGTTGTTGGGCCCCCTCCTCTCCTCTCGCCTGGTTGCTTCTCCTCGTTGACCTGACCTCTTCCCACGACACTCGCTGTGCAACGATCAACAGCCCCCCGTGACGAGCGTCACAGCAGAGTTGTGTTATCTCCCGCGACAGCACTGCGCTGCGGGTTCAACCGTGCGTCCTTATGTTTGTCATGTGTTATCGACAGGTGTAGGTTGTCGTCTGTCTCAGACAGATCACAAGGGCGTCGACGGCGGGACGTTGGAAATGCTGCGGATACGTTCTGGAGGGGCGGGGGGGGGTGTTACCTACTACAGTACGTGGTAGTGCTATGTGCTGTGAGCACTAGTTACTCCGCTATAGGACCGGTGGTAGGTACGATTTACTTGGTCCAGTTTAGGCCTGCGCAGGCGATCGGTCCCCTGTTCCCTTCCCCTCCCCCCACGCGCCTGACCCCACGACTCCCCACCTGGCTAGAAACTACACAGTGCATAGTACCATATACATAGTCATTAATTACTACATATTACTATACACCGTGATATCCTCGATTTCATACCCTTCATCAACTTCCAGCCTCAAGACAACAAATCATTTCAATCTGATAGACAGAGAGAGAGAGGGACAAACCTGGGAAATACAGAAGGAAGGCAGGATTATGTTTTTTTTCTTATTCAAAGAAATCTACCTTTTTCTTCTTCTTCTTTTTATCATGCAGGCACTCACTACTAGAAATAAAAACCCACGCTCTCTTCACCTCTCTCGAGCAATTCACTGGCCCGTTATGCGGCCATATCCATACATACATATTTTAGTGCACACGTGATGTTAGCCATCTGCGATGTAAGTATGTCGTGCATACTTGGTGCTGCTTTTCTTTCTGCTATCCTTTTCCATGCAAGCAGAAGATTGCCTCTACAGGGCTATATTCGACCTCTTTTTGAAGGTCAAATGGTAGCACAGAGGCTGTCCAACATGTGCCCTGTTAAGCAGGTGAGTGAAGGGGAAGGAAAGGGTCACTCATTTATTACCTCAGGTGTCGTGAAATAGCCATAGCCACCCCAATTGAGCAGGAGATCCTGTTCAGAACACTTAATCCGCAAGAGGAGGATTTCTGGCTTGATTTGTAACTGTGAAGCATGGCTGTCGAAGAATATTTGTTCAACGCCACCATGCCTTGTCTTTCTCCTTTCCTCTCTAGCACACCAGCTCCTTGGGCTTGCTGCTGACTCTTCATAATACTGCAGTCTCAGTTCTTACGGAACTATTGAACCCACAGAGGATATGGCCACTCTTCATGATCATCCATTAGTTTCATGATCTGCTGCCACATGAATCCAATCTGGAACCCTGAGCCTCTATCCTGCTACTCTCTCTCTCTCTCTCTCCCTCCCCTTTGGACAAACACCCGATTGATCATTTACATATGCACACACACATACACGCATCGCCATCATACCACTCTGGGCAATCTTCTCATGACTGCTGCTCGCAAATACCCCTCCTTCAACTCCCCAGCTATCGCAACAGCCATATTTCCTCTACCAGCCCAAAAAAGTAGTCACACAATCATTCATCAGCAGAAATTTCTCTCATAAAAGAGCCAGGGTCCGAGATTGATAATTCTCTCTCTTTCTTTCTGGAAACTCACCCCCAATCCTCTCCGTCTCTCCTCACGATGCAAACTGCCTCGTGAGATCTAGGTCCTGGGCGTCAACATCCTCGAAGCCGTACTTCCTGTACAGCGAATGCGCGTACGGCGAGGACTCCAGAAACACAGGCCTGCCCTCTGCGTCTGCGAATTCGGTGCCCCACCGTAACAGGGCGGACGCTGCGCCGAGGCCGCGGTGGGCTGGGCGGCAGGTCATTGACCCCAGGTCTGATTGATATTTTGAAATATGTAGATCAGCTTCTCAGTCATCCAGCGGTTCCAGAGCTCTCTCTCTCTCTCTCTCTCTCACACACACACACACACACACAGACACAAACACGCGCTTCTTCCCTCAACTTAAGGAAAAGTGCAGAAGTAAGATGTGGGCTCGGACAGATCATAACGAGGTCCCGAGCCGGAAGACATGCAGATGTAGATACAAATCACAGACACAAAAACGCCGTAAAAAAGTCCAGAAAACTACTCACGCAGACAAGCAACCCCCGCCATCCACTTCCTCCGAAACTCATGCAGACCCCCCATGAAAGCATTATACACCCGCGGGTTCGTTCCCTCCCCCATGATCTCCTCCGTCATCTCCACATACGCGGCATACTCCTCTATAGGTGCGGCCTCCCGGACGAGCCTCTACTTGGCGACCGCCACGATCTCGCTCTCGCCCTCGCCGGCCCGGGGAACCAGCTCGGCGACCATGATGAACGTCTCGACCGGGAGAGGTGTCATCCCGTGTCCCTCTGGTCCGGGGCTGGCTTCGGGCGGAAACAGTCTGGCCCCAAACTTGGATCGCGCGCTCGCACTGCCGCCTCCTGGGTACATTAGGTTGTTGGGCGTGATTGACGCGAAGCCGGCGAAGTAGACATTCGTATGGCCTCTGTATCGGCGGGCGTGGCGCGGCGGACCCGGATCGCTGGTCTTGGGCTCGCCATAGTGGTGGTGGTAGTGGCAGACCTTGATAATAAAGAGTGTATGACCGGCTCAGTTTGACAATATGTTTGTCCCACATATGCAACAATGACGAGTTCAAGTTAGCACTTAGCATAGCAGCTGGTTGGAATCTCATTAGTTCAAGTACTTAAGTAGGTGTCATTGCCTCTTGATTTACTGGCATATGGTGGTGAATGCGTATGAGTCACAGGTCAGCGCGCGAGCCTCGCGTTCTTAAGACAAGGGAGTCTTCCTGCGCAGGGGGTTTGGGAATCAACTGCGTGTCGGGAAGCCGAGAAGTATTCCACTGTGATAGATGTACAATGGGCAAGAAGAAAACGAAGATAAAAAACATATGCCCTCATTTTCTTCGTCAAGTTCCTATGCTTGCTCGGTGAAGAGTCAACGCTATGCTCTGCTTCGGTTCCAAATCTAAGAATGTCAGTCTACTTCTCAACACCAACCTCCACTTCTCATCCAGCTGGAGGTCTTGTCTTCTTTCTTGGTGACCGTCGAAGGTGCACGTCTTCTGTCCGGCTCGTCGGTCTCGCTTCTATTATGCTCTCTTCTACTACCACAGAGTATCCTTCTCCTCCGGCTAAGCCGGCAAGCTGCTCCTCCGTGATCCAGCCCGCCTCTGCCGCAAATTCCACAATATCTTCTGCGCTGGAAAACGACATGATCTCCAATGGAGACTCAGGGTTGAGGTGGGTCCAGAACTCTTGTGACTGCTTCTGGAAAGCCGTGAGCTCCTTCTCCGGGCCTTGGAAATTGGTCGTCAAGTACTCGTAGAGGTAAGCCAGCCACAGGACATTGGTATATGGGTGTTGCCGCAGCCAGGAAATGGGGGACCCGTGAAGGTCCTTTTCGTAGGGTTCGTTGTGTTCCTGAGGAGGCAGCCAGAGACGATCGCCGTTGATCAGATAGGAGCGCATTTGACGATAGACTTTGCACTGCTTTGCGTGAGTGCTGGTGAACAAGCTGAGGTCCCTCTCGAGATCATTGGCTACGGGCGCAACGTCAGGAGAGTTGGTGTCTTCTGCCCGGGAGAGACCATAGTCAAGAATAGTCACGTCGAGGCCAGAATAGCCAAATTGACAAGCGGACTTGTCAGACTTTGGTCTCGCCGGACTGACCTGACGGACGCAGATATTACCTTCATGAAGGTCACGGTGCTGTACTGTTTGTAAGTTTGTGTGTTTGTGTGTATCTTCAGTTCCAGGTAGGCCTACCTCAAACCTGATCAGATTTTCCGCCCTCGCCAGGGCCACAGCAACACCGAGGAGGACGTCCCAGATCTGCGCCGCTGACTCGATCTCCAGGTCTTCCAGCGCCGTCCCCGCGTCACCCAGCTCGACAACAAGAAACCGGGTGTCTTTTAGGTACCGACTGGGGCTTGGATAGAACTGCAGGCGATCAGGGTCTTTTCGTTTGGCCCTTCTGTGGAATGTCTGATGTGTCTCGAGAAGGGCGGGGGTAGTCTTGCCCTCCACGATGTATTTCTCCTTGTAGATGACGAAGCCAGGGATGTCAGCCACAAGCTCCGAGATCCTGAGCTCGCCCTGCAGGTCCTCCTCACCATGGGGCACTTCGTCGACGAGTCCAGATCTCTGTTGGGTCTTCGTCTGGGGTCTGAGGGGCGACTCGAGACGGATGACTTTAATGATGCTGGTACCACGCTCGTTTGTGACCCGGTAGACCTCCGCATAAGAAGCCTCCGCAATCTTCTCGATGCGGTCGCCAGGCGGGCATACATCCTCCCAAGCCAGTACACGCAGACATTCCTCCTCTTCAAGCTCGTGCAGTGGTGTCGAAATACTCAGTCTCGCAGTCCGCCGGGCCTGTTGTGGCGTCTCGGGTGCTGGAGCGGGCGCAGATGGGGCGAGGATGACCTCTTTCTTGTGTGGTACAGACTGCTTCTCATCCTGGATGCTAATGGATCCAATCTTGGTGGTCAGGTCTTTAACGATGGGATCATCTCCTGCTCCAGTATTTCTTGGAGCCGCTGTCGCAACAGACATATTTGCGTCAAGCTCAGCCAAGGGCATCATCCCCCGCTGAGGTTTTCTGGCTCGCTTGCCATATGTCCGCACCGATAGTGAGCGAGACATCGTTTCATATGGCAGCAGACATTCGCAGATGTTCAAAAGCTGGGATCAGCTGTGAAGTAGTTGGACCTCGCTGTGTGGTCTTGAGAGCAGGCTGAATTAAGCATGAGTCTTTGAGGTCTTGCTGCCTTCTTTTCTGATTATACTCTTCACAAAGAAGGAAGGAAATAGGCAGATGGCTAATGCAGGCAGCCTGTCGTCATGGTCAAGTGTAAGTGTTAGAGAGAGCGTTGTTGAAGAATGGAAGCCACTGTGAAAGGCAGGCGCGTTGACAGGGCAACCAGACACCTTGCCCGATTGGGTGGGATCTAGATTCAGGGTGCTTCACCCTGGCTGACCCTGGCCTTGGCATGCACCAATCACGCTAAGCACTCGCTTGCTGCACTTGCTTGCAGCAGCTCTGGCACTATCTTTTCCGGCCTCCTTGTTACGTAGTCCTTTGGCCCTTTTTCCTCCTCCTCCTCGACCAGCTCGCAGCCTGCCACTCATTGCGAGACACCACCGACAATGGCTGATGTTCTCAAGGGCCTCTTTGGAGGCAGTAAGTCTACAGCAGCTCCAGTGGCCACTGGAGATTCAGGTATGCGCCTTGATTACCAGTCTTCTCGAGTCCAATCCTCCCGACCAATCATTGAATTGAGCTCTCCCAACAATCACCAGACCCTTACAAGCAGTGCTTTCTTTATATACAGCCTCCTCCCTTGATCGCATGCTGACTCTCATTGGTCTCCACTCAATGTAGACTTTGCCGACTTTGCAGAGGCCTCTGAACCCTCGCCCGAACCCTTTGTCCCTCCTCCAGGCGGTGCGACCTTTGGTGCCAATGCGCCCGCCGCCACAGCTCGTCCCTACACCAAGTGGTACCGCATCGATGAACGGTACACCCTCAACGACTTCCGCGCCGAGGGCATCATTCTTGCCGCCATCATCTTCATCTTTACCCTGCACGTCATCGGCTCACGCCTGAATAGGAGTAGGGCCAAGAAGTGGATCAGGGCGCACTCCAAGATTTTGGCGTCCGAGTTTGCGCTTGTCGGCTTCGGTGACAAGGCCGGTCCTGCGAGCGAGGGCGATGCCGACCTTACCAACCCAGACCTGGCGCTCAGAGAGAAGTCGCTGTTCGAGTTCGCAACGTATGCGACTGGCCGCCAGAATGTGGCGTTCCTGGACGCGAAGCTCACGCTGATCCGCCGGTTCAACCCTCTCATGTCGGTCGCCGAGGCCGGTCTGAGCCTGTTCATTGACAGCTTCAACATGCCGCAGGATCTGGTGGAGGTCACCATCTATCCCTTCGACGGCAAGGAGAACTTGTTGGTCCCTGGCGTTCCCGGTATGGCAGAGCTGCGCAATAAGGATGCCAAGAGCAGCTACGACGGCTTCGTCTGGGCAATTGTCAACAAGGACCGGATGAAGCAGGTCCGGGATGAGCGGTTCGACGTCTCCCTGACCTTCACCAAGGATCACAACAAGCTGCCCGTCTGGAGCACCGTTATGAGCGAAAGTGCCGAGATCACCAATGTGCTGCTCACCAACGAGCTTGCCAAGGCTGTTGAGTCCGCCGGGGAGCTTTTCGATTACCTCATCGTCTCTGACCAGCCCGAGGATAAACCCAAGACGTACGTTACTTCATCCGCCCCACAAATCAATCCTCTCGTTTTACATCTCATGCTGACCTAATAATCCCTTTCACACAGTCTCGAGGAGACAAGCCCCCGCAAGCGCATCTTCCTCAAGTACCGCCTCCCGTCCGACAGCAACTACGCGCCCCTCCTGCCCATCTTCCAGCACGCCATCAGGCTGACGGACCAGCTGGCCAAGGAGGCTCACTTCCGGCCCGAGGTGTTGCGCAAGGTGAAGGGCGTGCGTGACGACACGGTCAAGCAGATCCAGAAGGCCAGCCTGGAGGAGAAGTCTGAGGAGCGCAACTACGAGCGTGAGAAGGCCAGAAAGGCCAAGCGCGACCAGGAGCTGGCGGCCCTCGATGCCAAGGGCCAGAAGAAGTACCTCGAGAAGGAGCGCGAGAAGGAGCAGCGCAAGCAGCAGAAGAGAATGACCTCGCGCGCGTAATTGGAGGGGGTTCTCTGTGTCGGGAAGGACAAGGGAAGGCACCGGGGTGTCAGGGCTGTATTGAGGTCGTTGATGAGTGGGGCTGGCTAAGGGCGGCATCTGTGCCAGGGTTTTGTGCCGGGCACCGTGGCCATCTAAAACGGAACTAGGATATATGGTGATCTTGTATAAGTTATCATCGTGTGCCCATCTAAAAAGTTTAACGGAGGCAAAATCATTCAGTAATCTCGTTGAGTGTCAGGACTACTGTGATACTCCAATCCGCTCAATGGGGTTGGGTGTAATAATCGGGTTGATTGGCCTCCTAAGCAGCCAACGACATGGCATGGGCATGTAGAGAGCAACCAACACCTGTCGAGACCCGCGCCTGAACAACTTTCGTCTCTCTCAAGAGTTTCTTGTAACGAAAGAGGCTGGTTGGCGATCTGTCTCCCGCAACTTCATCTTCTTATTCGTCCTCCGCCAGCAGATCCTCGACCCTCTTCACCTTGTCCGCAGCAGACTGCTTCTTGTCCGTCCTATAGATCGAAAGGGCTTCAGTCAGCAACTATACGCACTTGAAGATGAAACCCCTCTTACCATCAATACTTTCACCTCCTTTCGCCTCCCCTTCTCAAACCACCCTCATACAAGGGTATACCGATATAAAGTCCAGAAGGAAAAGAAGAGAAAGACACACACACACACACACAGAGAGAGAGAGAGAGAGAGAGAGAGAGAGAGAGAGAGAGAGAGAGAACCGACCTTGTGCCCACCCTCATGCTACTCTGCACCCTCCCCACCCCCATCTCATGCACAACCGCATGTGCCCTGCCCACAACCCGCATCACCTCATCCCACGACCCTTCCACCGTCGTTCCTGCCGAGTGCATCGTGTACGTCAAGCCAGACGCCTTGAGAAGCCTCTGCACGGCAGCGACTTCTTTGGCGACGGAGGGGGAGGCTGTTCCTACCTGAGTGTTTTGGGAGGAGAACAGGACGTGTTAATAAATGTGTACGTGTGTACGTGTGTGTGTGTGTTTCATATGTCATCCAAAAAAAAGGAATAGGGAAAGGGAAAATCTCACAGGAACAAGACAGAAATCAACATAACACCGCTCCGGAGTAGCAACACTAGAATAATCCATCCTGCTAATAGTTCTCGAAGACAAGAAAGGGTGTATCCTATGAATCACAGGTTAAATGCAGCGGCCAGTCAACCAGATGAGCGAGATATTCATTCGACAGAAGACAAGGCTGTGGGGCAATTGAGAATCTCCTGATGATGTTGTTGTTGGAACTTGGGTGGGTGAAAACAGTGAGTGGGTGGTGAGTGAAGGTTTGGCTAGATGACGTGCAGCGAGTGACTCCGAGATCGCCCGTGGGCCTATCGGTTTCGGGGTGTTCGTACCTACTGCGAGTGCATCTCTCCACTCCTCCCGGGACTCCGCTCCGGATCACCACTTCTTCAAAGACTGACAATCAAGGCTCGGACGAGATGATTCAATATATTTACGAGGACTGTAAGATGACACACGATTTCATTGTAGCACACTCGCACGTCCAGAGGGTTATTCTGATAATCAGAAATGCTTGCAAGATCCGTGTCGTCTTGTTTGGTAACTGATATCATCATGACAAGATTACCCCCCAGTCATATACTCTGTTCTGCCACAATATCCATCTTCCAGACACAAAATGAAGCCACACCCGTCAGGCCTGAGATCTCGCAAATCGTTTAATCAAATGCCCCAGCGCCCACGTTCACGGTGAAAGGCGCCAAGCTTGTCAGGCTGTCGACGCGGCCCAGCAGGACCTCCACCTGGCGGAAGGCCACAGAAGGCTGATACTGTGGGATCATGTGGCCCGAGAGGTCGACCGTGTTGTAGGTCAGGCCGCGCTCCGTGTGCGTGGTGCCCATGATGCCCGATGCCGCGTACGTCTCCACCTGGTACTCGCCGTGGGCGGGGATGTAAAGGCCATCAGCGTAAGGGGTACTCTGGAAGCCCTGTGCCCCGTTCCAGGTAGTGTTCTGGATTTGCAGGATCGTGCCGTTGGCGATCAGGACCATGTCGAGCAGACCGTGGGCGACAATCACGTTCTGTGTGCGCTCGATGACGCCAGGCAGAACCGTCACGGCAGACGGGAGGGAGTTGTCGCCGTCAGGGAAGACGTTGATGTTGCTGCATTCCTCCCATTCGATGAGGGGGGCGTGAATCGCTTCCTGGACGTCGGTACGGTTGAAGTAGACTTGGAACGACAGGGTGTCAGTATGCAACATGCATCTGGAACATAAATGAGGAAGAGGGGAGTACCTACTCTGAGCACCTGGTGGGATGAACTCGAAGGAACCGGGGACTGTTTTGTAAGCCAGGTCAGTCAAGGGATTCATCGCGCCAATATTCATTATTTCTGGAGAAACAAAGAAGCACTCACAGCCAAGAACATCCCAGAGGACAGGGCAGGTGATAGCGACATTGTAGATGTCGAAGCAAGGGTTATACGTCTGAATCCCCTCATACACTGAGTCGTACAGGGCGATACATGCCGGGTTGCTCCGGCCAGGCAGGTCATCGATGTTTGGCATGGTGCTGGTCGGCGGGAAGGTGAGGTACTCTTCCCTGAACGCGGCGTACCCACAGCTCTCATCGAGGCTGACGAGTTCAGCAATGTCCTGCAGCGGGAAGAGGTCTGTGTTTGAATGTGTCAGCACAAGCCTAGACCTATGCAGAGAAGGGCAGCGGGATCTTCCTACCGAGGTGGTTCTGAACAAAAGGCACGACAGAGACTGAGCCCTGGAGGTAGTCATAGGCGATACACGGATCGTACACCATGATTCCAGAAACCTGAGACACCGGAGTTAGTGCCGACACAACTCCGTGACCACGAGAAAGGGAACCCTACGTTGAAGTAATCGGTGTCGTTGGTGTCCAGCATTCCGCTAGCAATGTACGGCACGTACATGCCAGCATAGGACTCTCCGACGATGTACACCTTGTACCCGGTCAGGTCGAAGGTGTCGACAAAGGTCTGCCAGAACTCCATGAACTGGTTGGCGACATCAACCTCATTCTGGGCAGTGGGTGTGCCCTGGGAGAAACCTGTGCCGACGGGCTGGTCGACATAGATGACGTTTGTCAGGCGGTTCCTAGAGACCCGAAACATGTCAACTGTACGGTCCAAAATCAAGTGATCAACATGGTCTACGTGCTTCAACAACGCCGACCAACGACTTCTTGATGAGAGGAAAGACATACCATCCCTAGTAAGTATTTGAGAGTCAGCAAGTTTGCTTTCAATTGGGAAACGCCCAAGTAACCGCCTTCCACATAGCCAGGAGATAACTTACCCAAGGGTTCTGGAGGGGCTGGTAGGTTCCCTGCTGCCACAGGAAAGGGCCATTTTCCTGAAGCAGTCCCTCGAGGGATGAGCATCCAGGCTGAGAGATTAAAGGTGTCAGTGCAAATCTAGGCCACAGACAGACAGAGAGAAGGGAAGGGGGGTACATACACCACCGTTCAGCCAGATCAGGATCTCATTCTCGGCATCCACGTTGGTCGACGGCCAGAACCAGAAGAACAGCTCGTCTTCCGTGCTGTTCCCCAGAGGGAGCAGGCCGGCATACGACTCGCCCATATCAAACTCCACATCAGGGATGGCCGTGCCATCCACCAGGAAAGCTGTTTGTCAGACAGTCCAGTCAGTCAACAGCCCAGTTAACATGATCATCAAGGCCACCGAGGGGCCGCCACTGCCGTGTCTCCTCGGTTCTCTCCCTCACCTTGGGTCTTATTGGTCAGGTACTGGTAGCCAGAGGCCGAGGTAGTGCGCTTGACCTCAGCGACATACTCGTTCTTGATCTGGGGCTCGGGCCTGCGCATCTGTAGCCTCTCACCGACGGGAGCGACATGGCGGAGGTCACGCCTGGCGGAAACGCCAGCCGCAGAGATGGCCAGGGCAGAGAGGAGGACGGACAGCTGCATCTTGACGAGGAGGTGACCCCTTTCCTTTTCTTTTCTTTGTCTTCTTTCTGGAAGTCAAAGGAGGAGGGGGGGGGGGGAAACAAAAGATGGACTATTGGCAACGGTCTGCCAAGACAAGAACGAGCGGTAACCAGGGGAGGGGCCTGAGAACGAGGGAGGAAGGGCTGCGATACGTGGGACGTATTATAAACAAGCCGGAGGAGGAGGACGAGACCAGGGCGCGGGCGGTCAAAGAAGGAGAAACGAGGACAGAGAGGGTGGATACCAACGGCAATCAGGCATCATCGTCAACCCTTCACTTCACATCCATACTGTACCTGGAAGGAGCGGCCAAGACAAGGTCCGCTCCTCCACGCAATGTCCTTGAACAGGGCACAGGCACGACGGGCAGGTGTCGTTTGCGGGCCCGTTCATGAAGAGGGTCTGCTAGATGGACACCTGCCCATGTCTACCCCATGTGCAGGCCTCTCTTGTGGGTGGGAGGTTAGTGTATGTACTGGCGTATAGCTAGAATGTGGCTGAAGTGTTGAGTGGTGAGTAATAGTGGTGAGTAATGTGGGACGATGTGAGTGGTGCTGCTGCTGCTGCTGGTAGTACCAGCATAGCATCCACCCACCAATACTCGAGGGCATATAGTAATGAACGGGAATCGGTGGCGATGGCGACAGGCTTTGAACGGGAGGCTCCCGAGGTGCAAACAACCCGCACGGCTGTCACCTAAAAGATCCATCCTGTCGATATCCACAGCATCAATCTCCCTCCCACTTCTCTAAGCCCTTCAGCCGTCCATTCATCCATCTGCGCAACCCGCCATGGCTCCCACCTCCCCTTCTAGGAAGGACGTCATCGGGGTCCGACATACATTGCGAGTTGACTGACTGGGTCTATGCTTCGCGCACCACGGTCGGTTGAAATTAATTTGCTGGTAAGACTGGAACAGAACGGCATGGTGGAAATTTAAAAAACAAACAGAAAAAAAAAAAAAAACCCCCTCCTCAACCAGGAACAATGTATCTACTGTTGGGCGGCGAGATGGATGGGTTACAAAGTAGCCGTCCGGCGTCCGAGAGGTTTTGTGGTATGAGGGAGGAAAAGAGGGATGGCGACAGGGGCTGACTAAGTATATAACATAATGTATGGTAGTTACTTCTAAGCATGTCTTGCCTTGCAGCGAGGAAGGAGGCCAAGAATATTCTATGCATAAGCTGAGGAAGGAACGGTCTGGACAGACCACTTAAGCCGGCTGTTCTCTCCATTCCATTTACTGTCGCTGATTATTCCCGTGCGTTCCATTCCATTTAAGTTGCACTCAAAACAAGGTGCTGTGGTTCCTCCCCCTTGCAGATGAAAAGCCGCTGCGGCAAACGTCGGCAGCAACATTGTGTTACATTTTCAGGGGTGGAAATATCCTACTCTAAACCTACCGAGGTAGGTAAAGTAAATTACAAGACTTCTCAAGATTGCTCAGGCATAGTGCTGCTATGTCCCTTCTGTCCAGATCAGCATTGTGAAAAATGAGAAAGACATGGCACCACCCTGATCTGTTGTCTCCAGGACCGACTTTGTTATTTTTGGTAAATTTGAACCTGACATGTTTGTCTTTTGATTGTCTCTTCTCTCTTCTCTCTTTCTTTCTTTCTATTGTAGCCCAGATTACACCCACTGCTAAGAAGGAATGCATACACAGAAACGCCAACAAAAACAGCCGGCAGAGTGGCAGAGAAATGATGCCCCTGTCGTGCAATCCCAGGAACGCCCCATAAACCCACCATGACGGTCATCATTATCATCATCGTCGTCATCAGAACCACACCAGCATGAGCTCTCCTCCTAAATCACCTCATCCGGCGCCACGCCTCCTCCTCCCAGGTCCAAACTGTCAGCCCTCGAGTTCCCAGAGCTAAGGCCCCGGGTCCGCCCAAACTTCATAGTGAACGCCCCAAGCATCTCCTGGTGCCGCAGATTCTGCTCTGTGAGGGGTCGCTCACTGGGGTGGAGCCGGGCCTGCTTGAGGCTGGACTTGTTCGGCTTGCGGGTCGGAGGTTGTGGTGACGGTAAGGAGGGGGTGGTGATGGTGGTGGTGGTGGCAGAGCAGGACCAGTTGTAGGAGCTAATGCCATCGCTTTTCTGGTGAGAGTAGCAGGATGTCGAGGAGGAGCCGCCGCTCGAGCGCCAGGACTTCATCTTGGCCAGGCGTGATGTGGCCTTGGAGAGAGGAGTCGCGATTGGGGTAGGGGCGTCGATGGTGTTGGTGGCGGTGGTGGCGGTAGTGGCGATATCACGTTGGTGGCTGTCTTCGCTGCAGTCTGTAGACGAGGATGAGGAGATGGACTTGCGCAGCATGCGGCTGAAGCGGTCTCGTATCGCCATTCTGGATGTGGTGCGGTTGTTTCCTTTGGTGTGAAATGTGGCTGGCTCTCTCTTTGTCGCTCTTTATCTTTTTCTCCTCTCTTGTGTCTTGGTTGGATATACTGGAAAGGAGACCAAGTGGATATCTCGGTACAGTCCCAGAAATAAGGATGGCCAGGTGATTTGGGTTGGGGTTGAGTTCGCACTGGCTGTCAGGGCAAAGGCGGTTGGTTGTTTGGTGAGGTCGGAAACATACACGAAGGTCATCAATGTTTGGAAGGTCAATACAAGAAGGGACGACCTAGACAGGCAACAGTTATCCTCCCGGAAGATGAGGAAATTGGTAACAGTCGAGACACGAAACATTTCATTGCCCCACAGCGTTGTGGAAGGGGGACTCGTGACGTATTTATTTATCTACTTAAACTCTCTTTGGGCCTTTTCAGACCATTATTAGCAGAGCCTGCTCATCCTCCACCCGTACCCTCCTCTCCTTTACTCTCCACATTAGGTTCCAGGCTAAGATTTCCTTATGCACCCGTATGGAATTTTCCACCTCGTGCTACTGCATCCTTTTTTCTTCTTCCTTTTTCCTTCCTAACGCTCGGCTCGCTCACACGGCTCTTTTTCTCCCTGGCGGCCGGCCCGTCTTGGTCTCGTACTACAGTAGATCGGGCTAGCAGTGGGGCCGCCTTGTGTCCCTCCTATGGTGGGTGCGCCCCCGGATTCTCCATCCCAGGGGTCCAGAACGGCCGCCGAAGGGGGTCCAGCCAGATCGATGCGGGGGGTGCATCTGGGTTCCGTACGCACTAGTGTGTGCCATAATAAGAAGAGGGTGGCCCAGCACGCCCATCTCTGCCGTTTGCGGTTATGCATCCACATGAGAAGTTTTTATTTTATTTTTATTTTTATTTTATAATATGGACTGTTCCACCCCCCCCCCCCTACTCGCTGTTTTTTTCTGTGTATCCCACCTATTGCTCTTTTCAATGACTTGGTAGAAAAACATTTTTCCTTCTTGGCCCTTTAGCCCTACTCGATGTTGAGAGGGAGGGAAAGACATCTGATACGTTGAACTACGGGTGATGTTGTTGAGTAGGGGAGTTATGCTTGGATTTTGTGGCGCGACTGTCTGCCGATCATTTTCTCAGGTGCTCACCCGGCTTTTCCTGCATACAATCACATGATTAAAGAAAATCAGTCGACTCTTTTATTATTGCCCTCTGATTTGTCTCTAGTTTGTTATCTGCGTAGGTGGATTATGGCCATAGTAGATACTCCGTTGCACTGCTTCCAGAACATACTGTAGACACACCTATCTCGCTGGTCTCCCCACCTGTCAGTACCAAGATTTTAATCATCCTACTGCTATCGAGGATGGCAGCATAAACATGAATCCATATTTCACTTTGCCCATCCAATCTCGTGCGGCCCAAATTCTCCTCCTCCATGACCTGACGCGGAACCGCAGGCACGAGAGCCGGGTTTCCATGGCCTCGGAAGCTGTCACTAGCAAAGACAACGAGAAGTCTCATCTCTCTCTCTCTCTCTCTCTCTACACATAGTATATTCACGACGATGTAAGAATAAAAATGTGTCTAAACTGAAAGCAGTAGACGCGAAACAATTCCGTCCCTCCTTCGGATCTCTCCCGAGTGCCTCCCGCTTGCCCTCCCCCTCCCCCCCCTTATCCGATACTATACTAAACTACTCACGCCCCCCCCCCCCCCTTTCTCTTAAACCATCCGTTGCGTCCCTCCCCGTCTCGGGCCCGACCATCCCTCCTATCAAGATCTGAGACATCCTACCGGGCTCCGCGCTGGGTTAGAAAACAAAAACCGGCATTATCGAATGGCGGTGACCAAGCAGAGTGAGCTATACCGCGTTGTCTGAAAAGAGCTCTCGCGCTCCCGTGTGCCGACGCGAGATCCGAAGCCCCCCTGGTGAGGGCATGCTTCACCAAATGAATGTCTCTTTTTTTTCTCGGTCCCGATGAAGGCATTCACTCAGTTCATGTCTCAGGCCATTACTCGGACTGGGCCCATGAATCGCCCAAATTAGCATCATCAGGGGTGGGAAACAAGAGGGAAATAACATTGATGACACCAATATATTGTTCGGAAAATATCGCCGTCTACTGAAAGCCTTGTTGTCAGTCGGTTGAGAAGCTTTCACCCTTTTGGCTTGGGTACGATTCAATATTGTGTGCCTGAAGCCTTGCGCCCGGTAATGTTGACTTTGTGGTTGAGACAGGCGGTGTGCTTGTGAGGAAGCCTTTGGCCTTGAGGAGATGACCCGGATCGTAGGAAATTATGCAGTACCGTATCATAGTGTTGGGATAGTCCGAGGGACAAAATGCCATCGTACACAGTGACGAATTCCTGTAAGACATCTATTACAATCCTGTGGTGATTGAGAACTCAGCACAAAGTCCCTCTGCAGGTCATCGTAACTTTATGCTCACCTGGTCTAGCCGCATAGCAGCATCTTACTTCAACCATACCTCCTCACCCCAACAAGCTTCCACCGTCATGTCTCCCGATATGATAGACACTCAAAAGTCAGGCCAGCAAGACAGCATTCACACCGTCCCTTATGCCAGACACTCACCACCAAACACACCAGCGCTCCCCAAAGGCAGACCACCAACCGACATGAGACCCCACGCCAGGCCTGCGGCCTCCAGATCTACCTCCTGGGCCGGCAAGTTATCGCCCTTCACGCTGCTCTTCTCCTCAGGACTCGGATGGTACGTGTCGTCGCCGGGCTCCTCCTCAGGGTCCCGTCCGGTCTTGCGTACCCTGCCGCGGCGGCGCGATGATGCGGATGGTTCCCGGTGCCCCTCGTCGTCTTCCTTGGATCTGGAGCCTCTTACAGCTCGTCGTCGAACGCTCGCAGAGGCTGTATCATCCGTGTCGTCATGATTTTGCTCGTCGTGTGCGAGCTGCTCCGAGCTGCCGGGACCACCCTCGACAGACTCGTGCTTGTTGTGATACAGCGGGACGGCCAAGGTGAGAATGTCACCAGCGCCCAAGGATCGGACAGCTGCCCAGAGACCAACGCTCAGCCCACTGATCAGGACATCGTAGCCGACGGCGGCAACAACTGGGTGGTCTCTCGTCGACCCCAGAAGTTTGCCGATCGCAGTGGTCGTGCGTTCCCATCTCGACCGCTCTTCAATATCCCAGGGCAGGAACCTGCTGTGCCGGTGGTAATGGGCCTGAGGCAGGTTGTACCGCAGACCACGCAAGGTAGCCATCCCGTGAAGTACAACACTCGTTACTGCCATGAACCTGAATAGGTTGACGAAAGCAGCAGCATTGGCCCTGCGGCCAGACTGTACAGACCCCCATGAGATCGGCGCCACACTCCGGAGCACCAAGGGGGCGAATGTGAAGGCACGAGATGCGCCAAGGACCCGGCTGAAAGATGCTGTTCCTGCGGCATAAGGCAGACGCAAGATAGTACCATAGCTGGCCAGGACGGTGAGCAGCAACAGGCGCGGGCTCAGAACCCAGTCGCGTGGCTTGGGTGTGAAGATGGCGTTACGAACACGAGCGAACCTGCATAGTGGTTAGCGAAAGGCCCATGGGATATGGCAACGTTCCGTCGAGAGGTGGAGTGAAAAAAATATACCGGGATGGCGCTTGAATTCCCTCTGGTAAGGGTGTCGGCGTAAGGAGCAGGGCCACGAAGAAGAGGTTCTGTGCAAAGGATAGGCTGACGAGGTGTGCCAGGCATTGGAACGCAAAGAGATTCGAGATGCCACGGCGGGTGCCCTCGGTAGCCACGAGCACGCTCCAGGGGACAATCGACAGGTCAAGCTGCTGTCCCCACCAGAACCGACGAGCCTTCTCTGCCACGATCTCGAAGGCATCTTGGTAGATTGGTGTATCTGCCAGCCACCGCACGCTGTTGCTGAACAAGGTGTATGCGTGAGGCTCTTCCTGAACAACCGAGGTGTTGGTAGCGAGGCCTTGTTGTGCGCCGCTGATGAGAACATGCATTAGATTCTAGCAAATAATTTTTTCTTCTCAGTAGTACTTTGTCAGTAGAACTGACCTCTGAGGTTTCTCAACCACCCCTCTTTCAGCGGCCCAAACACGGAACGACAGTGATGCGTATGCCAGCGCTGCATAGCAGGCAGTACCGAGGCTGAGCAGGGCAAGACCGGCGAATATGGGCACCAGTTTTTTCCGCCGATCAAGACGAAGCCTTACATCTTGAGACGGGCTGAGGGATTTGAATGAGCGATACAGGCTGGCGCCTACATTTTGAGTGAAGTAGATTGCACTGAGGACGTGCAGGGCCACCAATACCGCCCCCGTGTATCTGCCCCGCAGTCAGCGAACGCACTCATTACATAGATGAAGTCCATCCATAAAGCCCATGGTAACAGGACTACTCTCGATGTGTAACAGACCTTAATTCGGGCTCGATAGGAACGGGTGCCATGTTCGAGAACGCATGCCACGTCGTGAGCAGTAAGTTGGGGATGTCAACCACAGAGCTGTGTGCTGAGATGTTGATGTCGAGCGCTCTTCAAAAGGCCAGTCGATAGGGGTGATGAGGGGATGGATGGACGCCTTACTCCCTTCTCTACCAGTATTGAAAATGATGCCGAGGCTCATGTATAGATACACTGATTATTCACATCATGATGGTCAGTGGTAGGGTAGGGAATTCCGTTGCAAGGTAGATGTACATCTGCACAGTGACGCAGTTGGGGTGACATGCCCCTGGTCGCTTAGCAACTGCAGATGCACTCAAAGGAGTATAGTAGCCCTCTGCTGGCGTCAACGCAGCTTCAAGTGTGAGCATTCAAGAACGCCAGGACGCAAACTGCTCTGGACCGCAACGCCATCTTTGCGTGTACCGAGACATTGGAGGGACGGAGATACACGTTGATCATCAATGTATCCGTAAGACCGGCTATGATCCCAAAGTTCCCGGTGTTTGTTTTCCATATTGTATTGGTATTCTATTGATATTTTGCAGAGCATTTCGAGGCAGAATCCGGCCGCTCCGGAGCACATGTCTCTCATTAACGGTCCCTGGTGGCTCTTCTCCGACAAGTCGCTTTGAATGATCTAGACACCATCAGCCCAAAGAGGCCACCTTGAGTGAAGTGGCGGTCCTTCCCGGGAAACCCGGATTCCCCAGTGATGGTATGTGGCGATGAGGGCCGTGGCGAGGTTGTTGGTCACACCAGGACCGCACCATCGACTATGAGGTCGTTGTTATGCTCCGGATCGCATCATAAGTAAGAAAGAGCACTGAAGACGGGACCATCTAAGAGGGACTCCTTATGTCTTGTCAAGCGTCCCGTATATCGAAAATGGTTCGTTTGAGGAGGACGTTGCCACATGGGTTGGGCACATAAAAGTATGTGACTGGCTCAGGGGTCTGAAAATGGATCTCCAATGTGAACAATACCAGGTAGATGGGCGACTTGCTACTTACATATGGGCTGCTGCCTCATCGTCGCTTGTATATGCTGTTTGTCGTCCTAGCTGTGTAATCAACAACTCAAACCGTGGTAGGTATTGGCAAGATGCATCTGTGGTGAAGACGCCATCTATGGAGCATCTGAGACATGTGGTCAAGAGGCTTGCAGTGGTCGTTGGGCATCTCTTAGGCACCTGGACAGCTTTGAGAGAGCCATCCAACTCATCTGCAGGAAGAAAGAGGCTATCATTTCTGAATGTTGAAGTAAGAAAACAATAAGACGTAGTATTGTAATAGGCACTCCTGTAGTACTGTACACTACGTCCTTGATAGCACCACATGGCAGTAGTGGAGTACTGAAGCTCAGCGGGATTACTAGGGGCCCCCCTGTTTTGCTAACTGTACAGTTCTACTTTTTAGTACAGTTGCTGCCCTTGTCCAGGTACCCTACAGTCAGTGGTATGGAAGATCATTCCCTATCCTTATTGGGAATTCACCATCCTCACCTACCGCCATCGCAAAAGTAGATTGTTGTAACCCCTCCAGAAACATAGCCCAATGACAAGATGTACCATCTCGCCAAGGGGCTCTACCTGCTGGCAACCAGCAAGGAAGGTATGTAACCTCTCGCGCGCGCGCACCCACCAGCCCAGTCCAGCCCAACCCCCTCACAAAAACCCCCAGGCTAACATACACATCCTCTGCTCGCCCAAAAGAGTACTCGGTGATCCTCCTCGGCCTCGACAACGCCGGCAAGACGACCTTCCACGAGCAGGTCAAGTCCCTCTTTCTCCCCGACAAGCCAGAGCCCAAGCTCAACACGGTGCCGACGGTGGGGCAAAACGTCTCGACCATCAGCCTCCCGGACATGTACCTCAAGATCTGGGACGTGGGCGGGCAGCACTCGCTGCGCAAGCTGTGGCAGAGCTACTACGCCAGCTGCCACGCCATCATCTTCATCATCGACAGCACGGACATCGGCGACGGGAACCTGGACCACGACCACACGGGCCGCCTGGACGAGTGCCGCCTGGTGCTCGAGGACGTGCTGCAGCACAGCGAGACCGAGGGCGTCCCCGTGCTGGTGCTGGCCAACAAGCAGGACAGGGAGGACTGTGTCGAGGTCGTCAGGATCAAGGAGGGCCTGGTCAAGAAGGTGTTTGAGGGCGAGAAGGCCAGCAGCATCCGTGACTCGAGGGTCCTGCCCGTGTCCGCCCTGACGGGCACCGGCGTCAGGGAAGCCATCGAGTGGGTGAGGTCGAGGGTCAAGTGGAACAAGGAGTCGAGGCCGCCCGTGATGAGGTGACGAGGCGGGTGCTTGTGTGTGTGTGTGTGTGTGTGTGTGTGTGTGTGTGTGTGTGTGTGTGTGTGTGTGTGTGTGTCTGTGTGTGTGCATGGCGTCCCAGGCGTTTCTCAGATCTATGGAGGAGGTCATCAGGATATTATAGAGCGGTTGGCAGGGACGGCGGAGTTTCGAGTGTGTTATTTACTTGGGGGGGCACAACCAGACGCAACAGAGGGAGCAAGGCTGCTTGCTACATTCGTCACGAACAGGCAGTTGACATACATGCTAGAACCAGTAGTGTCTCGAGATGACTGACAAGCTGGAGTTATTTCTCGGGGGGTATCATGAATTCATTTCTTTGTCTAAGCCTTCTTGTCTAGGTCTCGGCCTGCCTGTCGTTCTCCGCCGACAACAGCTCCGCAATCAGGCCTCCCTTGTCTCTCCTCTTGACGTCCTCCGCAAGCTTCTGGTCCACCAGCGTCGAAAATTCCTTGGCCTTGGTCAGCGCCACATTCGTGCACTGCAACAGGGCGACCGCCTCGGTCGGGGTCCCGCCCAGCTTGGAGATCTGGCAGATCTCGCCGTGCCTGTTGAGGCTGACGGTGCAGCTCCCGACGCGCACCTGCTCCTCGATCCAGCTCGCGTCCACGAGCGCCGTCTCAGCCTCATCCCCAAAGAAGCTGAAGGTGACGCAGAACGGCGAGTGCAGCCAGCTCAGCGGCACAGGCTCCCTCTCGGCGGGTGTGTACACGGTCAGCACCTCGCCCTCCATGCCCGTGTCGGGCTTGCGGAAGTGACGCAGCGCCGCGACCGCCGCCAGGCACGACGCGTCCGTCAGGTTGCCGTCGTGTGAGAGAACGTGCAGGTCGACGCGGATAGACCAGCACTTTTGCCCAGCGACCAGACACAGCGACTCGACGTCTAGAGCGCCTGAGCGCCGCACGGTTTTCTCGAGGGTGCGCGAGAGGAGCACCTCGGTCTCGGTGGGACGGTTGACCTCGAACGCGGGTGAGGTCATGGGGCTGAGCTCGGTCACGATGTTGAACACGCCATCGAAGGGCCGGTCTGGGTACGGAACTGTGACTTCGGCTGAGGTTCTGGCGAGGACTCTGCATAATTGATTGGTTTATGGTTAGATTTTCCGAACATATAGCCCATATTAGCCCAGATATGCACTTCACATACCTCGTTTTGCCCAGCCTGACCTCAGCCGTGCCATACTCATCCCCAAAGGTGAGCTCGATCGGCCGATAGTCGTCGAAACTGCGATTGTCCAGCCGGAGGTGCTCTTGGAGGGCCTGCGTAACGAACGCCTTCTCGTTGAGAGAAGGCTCTGCTTCTCGGGGCATTTTGAAGTTATCTCTCTCTCTCTCTCTCTCTCCTCTCTCTGCCCAGAAGACCTCAGGTGATACCAATCATGCCTAGGGCTGCAGAATGTCTTTTGTCGTCTAGCCTGGAGGAGAGTTGTCGTCCCGTTCCGCTTCTGAACTTTTTCGATCGCGGGGAGGTGGGAAAGCTCGCTGCTAGCCCGCTGTGGCACAGTAGGTCGCATCCAATTTTGCCGGGCGGTGACGCTGATCTACAGGGGTGCCTCCAGCATACACCAGAGCCTCGGGACGCCCGACCAGCCGAACCACTCCCAAACCAAACCTCAACTTTCTCCAAACTCTCAACGACCTCCTCACTGAGGCCCTGCGCACTACCGATCTTTCTCTGGACAAGCTTCCTCTCCTTCAGTTCCCTCAACCACAAAATGACCACCGCACACAGACCTACCTTTGACCCTGTAAGAATATCAGTCTGCCTTTTTCCTCTAATCACCGCCGGACACTGACACAAGATCACCAGGCACGGGGCAAAGAGGCTCTTCGTGGCCCAGCCTACCACCAGCGACTCCTGCCCGCGCATACCCAGCTCAAGTTCCGGTACGCCCTTTGTCCCACTGCATTTTCCTCACCTCGGGCGATTACAGCCTGCTAACACCATCCCCTTTTCCAATAGACAACCAGGACAGGGCGGCACAGGCGACCGAGAGACCCGCGACCTGCGCGCCGAGCTTCTCGCCGCCGAGGCTGCGCACCAGGCCAAGCTGCACGGCGGCCCAACCCCTGCTGCAGATGACGAGCCTGCCACTGCTAGCCATGGCACCAAGCGCATTCTCGATTCCGGCGCCTCAGCTGCTGGCGGTGCTGATGACGAGGATGAGGACCCCGAGGCGAAGCGACGGCGGATATTAGAAGAGACACGAGATATTGATGCCGACGACTCGGATGGCTCAGATGGCTCGGGCAAGGATGATGACGACGACGATGACGATAGCGACTCGGACGAGAGCGACTCGGACGACGAGGAGGCGGAGCTGCAGAGGGAGCTCGAGAGGGTCAAGCGCGAGAGGCAGGAGAAGCGCGAGCGCGAGGAGAGGGAGAGGGCAGCGGCCGAGGCGGAGCAGAGGGAGAAGGACATTGCGAGGGGAAATCCACTGCTCAACAAGCCGGACTTTACGGTCAAAAGGCGGTGGGATGATGATGTGGTGTTCAAGAACCAGGCAAGGGGCACAGAGGACAAAAACAGGAGCAAGGAGTTTGTGAATGATATGCTGCGGAGTGACTTCCACAAGCGTTTCATGAGCAAGTATGTGCGATAGAAGCGGAGCTGCAGCATTTTCGCGGGCGTACAAGGCAGGGAGTTTCATGAGCGATTTCTTTAAAGTTGAATCAAGGCACCGATTGGTTTGCATTCAGTCCGATGCTTTGAGATGGGATGCTCAGCTACTGAAACGCAGCTTTCAATCTATCCCTCTTCCTGTCTAGAGTGGCGGCCACCTTATCGAACGCCCTAGTCGACTTGTTGATGTTCTGGATGCTACGTACAATGATGACTTCCAGCAGTGTCACCACCGCCATATCAGCAAGGCCCTCCTCGCATGTACAAATCACGGTGGAAGAGAGCGACCGTCGACTCACCTGCAGGAACAAGTACCCATGGGGCATTGAATCCAACAAAGTAGACCCAGAAATACTGGAACTCGGGCCGACTGTACATGACACCATTGGTTTTCTCTTCGACATAGCAGGTGGAGTAGTACAGCGCCACTCCATACAGGTGTGCCACGCTCACGATGATCTGGAGGGGATAGCGCAGGCTGCCTGTGCGGGTGATCGATACAGCTGTTGCGAAACTGAGGGGTCCCCATACGGCCTACAGAGTGAGTCATTAGTGCTGTGTGTTTTGTTGAAGCCTGCTTCCATGGGGCCAGGTACTGGAAAGGAAAGGGCTGTCGTTTCTACTCACGATTGTGATGGCCTCGACGCAGAGCATGAAGGGGTCCGACGTCAGATAGCGAGAGTCGGACAGTGCATACTCTTTCCACAACTGAGCAAAGAGGTCCTGTGAACTGGCGAGGGTGGCATGGTTATACAAGAAATAACCTGGCAAGTCCTCCAATAGTAAGTAAGCCATCAAACTCATCGGGTCGGTCTGAGCTTGATGCAGGGCAAGTTCAGCCGACGACACGTACCCTCGAAGAAACAGTGCAGCGATCCACCTGCGTATATGTCAACCACTGATTCAAATCTGGTTTGAGAGGTGAAAATTAGTCCACCGAGGGGCAATTTGGACTTACATAAAACGAACCAGCCGAACACAGTCTTGTCGACCAGAGAGAGCCTCGGGTTGAACCTTGTCGCGAGCCATAGTGCGGTGAAGACGGTGATGCTCAGCAAGCTTGCCAGGCGGACAAGCAGCTCGATGAGAGAGCTTGTATTGGGAACATAATTTGGGATGTGTGCATCCTGTGGGTAGTATGGATGAGGTGGGATACCGAAGACCTGAGCCATGGCTGCTGGGCAAAGACACTGAAATTAAATGAGGAGACGGATATCTCTCCTGGGTTGGTCAGATGCGGGCCACAATTGGCACTCAAGCTGGTTCCTCTCCCACAGAAGTGAAGACGATGATTGTGTGAGATTTCAATATTGCATTGTTTTTTTGGGAGGGCAAGTGCACCCCAAAGGCGTGGATACCATGCATGACACTGTCAGGCCGGCAACCTGCAGGGTCGACACTGCCTAACAAAGTTTGGATTTTTGATTTGAAGTCTAGGGTAAGTTGCAAAATAAATAAATAGATAAATGGAAACGGAACGTTTGAATGATATCTGCATGATGTGTTTCGCTTCTCAGATCTACTCTAGGTCCACCTAATCAACTCATCTCATGTACTTTCTTAATACTTCACATACCATCGTTATTCCTGCTCTGAACAGGAAACATGTGCTCAACTCCTTGGCTCCGGAGGTCAAGTAAGACTGCAGAAGCGCTAAAGAGGCCCTGTTAGTTACTGCATCTTGTACGAAATAAGTAAGTACTACCTGCCACCACACCATCACCAACTTGGTCATACCTAGTGCTTATGTGCCTTCCCTTATCTGCTGCTGCCTTGCATCCTCACCACAATGCTGGGTGCTTATATCCTGCTATCTCCTTATTGGTGGCAGTCCAGTTCAACTTCTCGAAAGGCGTTGTTGATTCTGCGACACGAATGAAAATCAAGATCAATGTCTAAGGACAAGACTTGTTTATAATAATGCGCAAATTATTCCTTTTCTCTGCTGCCATCTCTACATCAATATGCCACGCGGCATCTCTCTTACCTCGTGGCCGGGCCAACGATGATAATAGCGGCCAACAACACATCTTCAGCCTGAACGCACAGCCCAATCCTCTCTTTTCTCCGCCCTCGTACCGGCATTCTCGGGGCTTCGTCGCACTCGGCGATTCCTATTCTGCAGGTATCGGTACTGGCCTCGACGGGCAGTATCTCGTCTCGGAAGGAGACTGCCGACGAGGTCAACATGGCTACCCTCTCCTCCTCCACGCAGACTTGGACAATACCACAGGGACCAACACCTCCTTCCAATGGCTGTCGTGCACCGGCGCCGTGACCACCGACCTCCTCTCCGGCGTTGACCCGTCCAGCCAGATCGACGCCATCAACACCTCTCTCCCTCTCGATTTCGCCACACTCTCCATCGGCGGCAACGACCTGGGCTTTTTCAACGTCATGAACGCCTGCATCTTCCGCTTCTACTCCTTCTACAGCGGAACCTGCGCCGCCGCCCTGGCCGCCAGTGACGCCGCCCTTGCCAGCGGCGTTTTCGAGCACAGGCTTGAAATCATCCTCCACGAGATCCTCGACGCCGTCGCCTGGGAAAAGCGGCCCTTCTTCAGCCTCACCGTGACGGGTTACGCCCGATTTTTCAACGACCAGACACCTGAGTGCGATGCCATGTCCCTCGGCGTCTGGTGGGGCGGCCCAAAGCTGTCGCGCGAAATCCGGGGCCGTATGAATGCTCTTGTCGACGCCGCCAACGACAAGTTGCGTAGGGCCGTCGCCCGCGCCGCCGCACGGTTCCGTGGTCCTCGCCCGCGGGTGCTGTTTGCGGACTACAACGCGCTCTTTGAAGGCCACCGCTTCTGCGAGCCGGGGGTCGTGGAGCCTGCGTATGAGCGCATTGAGAGCTGGTTCTTCCTTGTCGGCGGGCCCGACAATGCGCGGAACGAGACGACCTGGCCCAACGGGACCAACGGCGACCCGCCGAACAGCGACCCGCCAAACAGCGACCACCCCCCTCCAGACGATGACGGCGCGATGATGATGCTGTCGCCCGCCTCGGAACTTGTCAACCCGCAGACCTGCCTGCACAACGCACAGGCTACCGGCGACTGGGGCGAGCTGGCGCTGTGCTACATGGCCGTGGCGAAAAGCCGTGACCCTTCACTGCGCCCGGCGTATGGGGGCGTGACGGCGCAGAATGGCATGTGGTGGGTTCCCACGAGCTATGGGAAGACGTTTCATCCTCGCACTATGGGATGTGAGGCGATTCGGGACCATATCTATGACATCTGGAGAGAATATGGGCTGTAAAGGGTGTTTCGATTTCTTAACGTCAGGGAGTGTGTAGATAGACTTGATTGGTGTTTGAGTCTCTTGCTGGTCTTCATCCTTCCTTATTCTTTCCTATTGTAGTATGTGTTTGGATTGTTTTCTGAGCAGAGCATGGGTGAGACGATTTGATATCCCTAGATTTTTGTTTTCGCTTTTTTCTGTTATTATAATTTCGTATATCTCTCATTTTATACATCTCGACTAGCTAGGTACAATTAATACTCTCCTACACAGAGTTTGATAAAAATTTCCAGGGCATCTATCTTTGACGCCTACGGCCCGTAATTCTAAGCCCCCATTCTTTCGTGCCCAAAGAAGGGGATCGGGGAGGGGGATAAGAGAGACGAAATCAAAATCAACAGCCTGAGGGCACTTGATCTGAAGAGACCCTTTCTTTATTCGCCGAGAATGCAGAGGAGGCTATTAAGTACTTAAGTAGCTGTTTCCCTTCTTCTTTCTATATCCAGCCGTAATTGCCATAACAAAAAAGTTGCGGTCCTAATCAGATGGCCATGCCTACCATAAGACAAACACATACACATTCTAATCAGCCAGGCCAAACGCCTCCCCGATGGCCAGAGTATTGATCCTGACTCCTGTAAGCGCCACCAAGATCCCCACGAGATCTACGACCAACAGCACCAGGGCAGCCATCATGAAACGCGGGCAAAACACCCGGTACAGCATGAGATGCCGCCGCAGGTACCCGGCCCAGGCCATGGTCGCCAAGCTCTCCACGGCAAAAAATGTCACAAACACACCCAGCGCTCGACTGACGCCCTCCAGCACGCCCTTGCGCTTCGGCCCCGTCTTCCACAATACAACCAGTGGCACACACGCCGCAGCGAGTATTTGCCCCGCAAGGTGGTTCATGGCAACCACCAGCGGGCTCCACGGGTATCGCAGCGTGAACAGCGGAATGAATGCTGCGTCCCACTGGATGCTGCTGAATAGGGCCTGGTGACCCGTCTTGAAATAGTGGAAGTTGCCCAGCAGGCCTAGCATCACGGGGCCGATGGTCTCACCGGCGATGTCGTTGAGGTCGAGGAGCTCCACGAGAGACAATACCTGCCACATCATGAGGGCAATGGCGCCGCCGCCCATAGGCTTGGAAAGTAGGATACAGGCGGCCATGATATTGATGGGGAGCAGAAGGTACCGCGCACCATTGGCGTTGCCGTAGCCCAGGACCACGATCTGTGCTCTCTTGGGGTCTGCAGATGTCGTGATGATGTTGATACATGGAGGAGCCCAGATGAATGCGGTGACACCTGCGACGAGGGCGATTCCAAGGGCGAGTTGCGCAGTGTACACGCTCATGTATTTGAGGATGCCTGCGGGCAAGGAAGAAATCCAGTTCGCGCTGTCTGCTGTGTCTATGGTCCAGTACACTGCTGACAGGAACAGAGTGATACGAAGTGCGTAGCTGATCCATGTGGGCGCCAGGCCATGATAGGATCGTGTGGGTATATAGTACGCTTTGATGATCGAAGGGAGAATAGCGAAGACGGCAAACGGGATAACCAGGTGCCATGGTGCCGACGTCGAAGACGTTGAAGATGCGTAATAAGTGGTCTTGCAGAAAGGGTACTGCTCGTCACGACAGAGTTTCGAAAAAGAAGCGACACGTCCGAGTACGACAAACAGGATTGAGTGGTAGATGGCGAGGTAGCGGTTTTGCTTGTGTTCGATGTTCAAGGCGGCCAATGCGTTTGCCAGGCCAAATGTGGTGACAAAGAAGAGGAGAATGGAGTCTTCCCAAATGGTGTACGAGTTGGAAGCGAAGCCAATAGACTGGCTTATTGTGAAAGTGGCTGCCAGCCAGCCCCAAATGTTGGATGGAAACGGGACGACGAAACGTTTTCTCAATAGTGCTATTATGACCATCGCTGTGCTTGCAAGTCCAGCCGAGGCAGCACCGAGACGGTAGTCATCCGCCTTCGTGAAGGCGGCGTAGGTGGTGCCCAGCACACCGCCTGGAACAGCACCGGCCAGAGCAGCTTTGACAGCTGTCTTGGGGGACGTCTGATACGAGGGCATATCCAGATCCGCCTTGCCGTCTTCGACCTCCAGCTTCTGCTCTGCCATATCCAGCTCGAAGTCGTCCAACTCGGCGAGATCGTCGTCGTCATCCCTGGTGATATATATGACCAGTGCAAGCAGGCCCAGGCCAGTAATCACCAAGCCGATGATCATGTTAGGGACATCGAATCTGGCCCATAGGCTCTTGCACACTTTCAGGTTTTCCTCCTGGTAGTCCCTGAAAGCAGAGTATACCGTCTCGTAGGATCTGCCCCAAGAATGGTCTCTCAACACCTTCTCGGCGCCTTGGAAGAACTCATTAGGCGACCCGGCCTCGATCTTTTGGTCGATTCCCCGGGCCGCAAAATAGGATGCCTGATATCGCTGAATCCCAGAAGCCGCGACGCGCACCGCAGATGCCAGAGAATTCCAAGCGTCGCCCTTTTTGCCAGCAAAGGCCTCCTCGATAGGCGCGCCCAGGTTATTGTAAGGGATGGGGATGCCGAGCAATAGAGCCAGAGTCGGGACAAGGTCAATCTGATTGACGGGCCTGGTTTTGGCTGTGGACGGAGGGATGACGAATTCGGGTCTCGTCCGGCCAAAAACAGGCTTCTTGGAGTACATCCATAGAGCAGCCTCGATCTCATCATCGCTCTCGCCGCCGTGGTCACCTTTGGGGTCCATGCCATGGTCACCCATTACGATCAGAACCGTGTCGTCGTCTATTTTCTCGGTCAGATCTCGGATGAAACCGTCCATCTGACGGAGCTTGGCCGTCATGGCACTATGGGCAGGACCGTAGCGGTGGCCAGCGTGATCAACGCCCAGCAGATGTCCAATGAGCAAATCCCACTCTCCCTTTCTTTCCGGCGTCACAAGCGGAAAGATATGCTCCAGGACACCATTGTCAACAGAGTGGAGGTCCCAGACATTGAAACTGTCGTAAGCCCTGCTAATATTGGGCTCGAAATATCCAGGAAATAAGGCTTCCCAGGTATCATCTCCAAGGTGAACAATCTTCTTCCCGGCGTCCCGTAATTGTATGAGCAGGTTGTCTTCCTCGATGGCCGTACCCGCAAAGCTGCTTCCGATATCGATGAACGTCGGCAACGTTCCGGTCGTCAGCCCCTTCAGCCTCTGCATGGTCGCTGTCGGCGGGTCTGCAATGAAGGGCCGCAGGAAGGCATGATTTGGAGAGTTCAAAGCGGTCTCGTACATAAAGGGAAAGGCATTGTGGAATTCGGCATCGTCCTCCACCGGCACGGTAAAGTCATATCGCAATGCGTCGATGATGACCACCACTGCCCGCTCAAACGTCTTGGGGTGCCAGCATCCACCCTCGACTGTACCCCGGCCCGTCCAGTCCGACAACACACTCAGATCTCCTGTCGTCGTGGCCTCTACGGGATTGATAGTGCAGTTGGACTTCTCGTCGAGAACAAGGCGCGTCAGAAGGAATCCAGACGTGAAATATGCTATGCCAATGGCGTGTATGCACAGCATCCAGACCCAGAAGCCGACTGTCCACCTCCAACGTCGCTCGTATGCGGCCTTCCGACGCAATTCGAGGGCTGCACGTTGTCTCTTGAGGGCACTGGCGCGCTGATTCTCCTCAGCTGTGTCCTCATTCTTCTCATTGACCCCCTCAGCCTGCTGTCGGCGCTTGGCTGCTGCGAATTGTGCGGCGATGGTGTTGTAGTCTGTGGGAGGGGGTTTCGAGCGGTCGGTAGATCGAGGATTGCGGGGCGGCATTGTGCCTACTTGGGAGGGAACGAAGGAGGGGAGATTGGCGTCGAAAAGCTGTTGAATTTATAACGACATAATTGGAAGTGAAGTAAATGGCTCAGGAAAAGAAGGATGAGCGAGGGGAATCGAACAAGGCGTCGTCGTGATTTGGGATTTGATTTGGTTCTGGGGGACGTTGGAGCTGGAGCATTGAAGCTGGTTGAGGAGTCCACAGCTCTCCACTAAACTGCCCCACGTTCTTTTTGTATTGCCCTTTGCCATGAGCAGTGGACAGGCACACCCAGTAAGGACCCCTAAGCTTACCAGTATAGTCTCTTAGCAATGTTAGCATGAACATGTACCTGGAACTTCATTTTACAGTCTTTATACTGGCTTACGCGCCCCTTCTAATTTGCCATTAACCCCCCCCCCCACCTCCAACTTATTTCCCTCCCTTGCTTTATGAGTAGTTGCTGTACTGATTGCAATTATGCTACTAGTACTACGATGATTCCCAAGTCTAGTTCGGCCCACGCCCATCTAAACCCTGACACTGCTCGCTCTCTCCCACCTCAAACTCCATTCTGGCTCAATCCTCAATACTCTAATCTTATTTTGATAGTAGCCACCTCATACATATACTGGTATTACAGCCCAATAACAGATGTCCAAGTACACTACACATCTTATGAAGACTTCCTTGTCTCTTCAATTCTTTTCTTCTCCCCCAAGCATCTTACATCTGTGTCTTTTCACAGCGGGCCGTGCCGAGTTGTTAGCATGAGCTAATAGTGATCTCTTGCTATGGTGGCTTGCTTGATGAGCAGCGTCACATCTCACTGCCCTGGAATCAATTATGTTGAGACTCTGCAGCTGAATGACATGACATAGCTCCAGCATCATGCCTCAGGCTTGCAGAGTACATATGAAGTGATGGATGAATTCTAAGTCTCCAATGATTTCAATTCTCTGATGTATGCAGGCCTAGGCAAAGCTCTTTGTAGTAGAGGAAGGAAAGAGGGTTAGGACTATGGTGACTTGCAGTGACAGGGACGGTACCTGGGCAGGCTTACTTAATGCAGTGACGCCACTAGAGCCTGCACCAGATGCCCCTCCAGCCTCCGCAGTCGGATCCCTATGCATCATATTCGGCAAGGATTTTGGAAGCTTTGACGGGAGCGCCTGCTGGGCCTTGGATCGTGTTAGTCACCCAAATGGGAGTTTCCAAAATTTTCTATTCCATCAATTGCTTCCACCTACAACTTGAAACTGGTTCTCAATTGGCAATCACCACTCCTCACATCCGGGGAACCTGCAGAGAACCATGTCACAGCTTCCTGATCCTACCGTAGACCTTGACTGGTCAGGTTTTGTCGGCCCCATCCACGAGCGCTTCAGGGCCTCAGTTGAGAGGAGCCCCGACAGCACATGCGTCGTCGAGACCAAGACGTCGACAACGCCAGAGAGGAGGTTCACCTATCGCCAAATCTACGAGGCCTCCAATGTCCTCGCTCACTACCTGCATGATGCAGGCGTTACGAATGGGGATGTGGTCATGATCTGGGCGCATCGGTCGGTGGACCTGGTCGTTTGTATGATGGGCACATTGGTGAGTCTTTTCAATTGTACTTCTGTTCTCCTCTATTCCTTGAGAGGGTAAACATCGACTTACACTCACAATATCGTTAGGCTTCTGGTGCTACTATGACCGTGTTAGACCCGGCATACCCTCCAGCTCGTCAACAGGTGAGTCGCTACACTGCTTGGGCCAGGTGGGCCACTCAGGAACTTGGGACAGGCAAACTGTTAGGCAAACCTTTGCTTTTTCTATGTCTAGAACAAGGGTTCCATTCTCTATACTGTTTTCCTTGCTAGACGCTCACTGTTCTCAAGGTCTACCTGGAAGTTTCCCAGCCGCGAGCTCTCATTCGGATCGGCCGAGCCACGGATGAGAACGGACCCCTGGCGTCTCTTGTCCAGAGCTACATCGACGAGTCGTTGCAGCTCAAGGCAGAAGTGCCAGACCTCCGCATCCGAGATGATGGATACCTTGCTGGTGGTGAGGTCGATGGGAAGGATGTCTTTGGGGGCGCCAGAGGAAAGGCGGCGGCTCCCCCAGATGTCGTCGTGGGTCCAGACTCAAATCCCACCCTGTCGTTCACCTCTGGAAGCGAGGGACGCCCCAAGGGCGTGCTTGGTCGCCACTTCAGCTTGACCAAGTACTATACCTGGATGTCCGAGCGCTTTAACCTCACGTCGGAGAGCAGGTTCACTCTCCTGTCTGGTATCGCTCACGATCCCGTGCAGAGGGATGTCTTCACGCCCTTGTTTCTGGGGGCGCAATTGCTCGTGCCGTCGAGGGAGGATATCCAGCACGAGAAGCTGGCAGAGTGGATGGGGGAGCACAAGCCAACCGTCAGCCACTTGACACCAGCTATGGGTCAGATCCTTGTCGGTGGCGCAACAGCCGAATTTCCAAGTCTGCAGAACGTCTTCTTCGTCGGGGACGTCCTGACAACAAGAGACTGTCGTGTGCTCAGGCGACTGGCGGTGAATGCCAACATTATCAACATGTACGGAACAACCGAGACCCAGCGAGCAGTGAGCTACTACGAGATCCCCAGCGCCGCCAGGGACCCTGACTACCTGGACAAGCTCAAGGATACTGTTCCCGCCGGTAAGGGTATGCAGAATGTGCAGCTGCTGGTCGTCAGCCGCGAGGACCGAGGCCGGATGTGCCAGGTGGGCGAGGTAGGTGAGATCTACTGCCGTGCTGCTGGTCTCGCTGAGGGCTACCTTGGAGATGAGGAGAAGAACAAGGAGAAGTTTCTCGTCAACTGGTTCGTCGACAACCAGAAGTGGGTTGAGCTGGACGCCAAGAACAACAAGAACGAGCCATGGCGAAAGTACTACCAGGGTCCTCGGGACAGACTCTACCGGACTGGTGATCTTGGTCGATACCTGGAGTCAGGGGATGTCGAGTGTACCGGCCGGGCCGACGACCAGGTCAAGATTCGAGGTTTCCGCATCGAGCTGAACGACATCGACAGCAACTTGAGCCAACACTCGCTGATCCGGGACTGCAAGACCCTCGTCCGAAGAGATCGAAATGAAGAGCCGACCCTGGTCAGCTACGTGGTTCCTGAACAAAAGGAATGGGAGAAATGGCTTTCGACGTACAAGCTGGAGGATGTGGATGATGAGGGTGTCGAGATGGGGTCCGTCAGAGTCTACCTGAAGAAGTACAGACGGATGCAGACAGAGGTCCGAGATCACTTGAAGTCACGTCTGCCAGTCTACGCGGTGCCTACGATTTATATCGTACTTAACAAGCTGCCGCTAAACCCCAACGGCAAGGTTGACAAGCCCAACCTACCCTTCCCTGATGTGGCTGAGCGGACGGAGGAGGCATCAGAAGAAGACCTGCAGTACTGGGAGTCTCTGACCGAGGCCGAGAGGGCAGTCGCTGAGAAATGGGCAGAACTCGTGCGTGGTTTGAACCCCAAGACCATCAGGCGGGATCAAAGCTTTTTCGACCTGGGTGGACACTCTCTGTTGGCCCAGCAGCTTCTTCTGACCACCCGCAAGGATCTGGGCGTGGACGTCTCAATCAATACTCTGTACGAGTTCCCGACCCTGGCAGGTTTTGCTGCACAGGTGGAGAAGGGCAAGAGTGGTACAAGCGAGGCCGCCGAGGACGGCGTGCCTGCTTATGCCAGGTCTCTGGACGAGTTGATTGCCACTCTTCCAGAGAAGTACCAGTCTGCAGACGCAGACTCTATCGGGTCCTCTAGCGGCCTGACCATCTTCCTCACCGGTGCTACTGGGTTCCTGGGCTCTTATCTTATCAGAGACATTCTGGAGAGGACGCAGTCCGGCATCAGGCTGATCGCTCATGTGCGAGGTGCTAAGGACGCTGCAGCGGCGCTCGAACGCATACGGCGCTCCCTTCTCGGAAATGGAGTATGGAACGATGACTGGACTTCGAGGCTGAGCTGTGCTGTCGGTGATCTGTCGCAGCCACAACTCGGCATCGACGATTCGACGTGGAACACACTGGCCGAGGAGGTCGATGTGGTCATCCACAACGGCGCCTCGGTCCACTGGGTGAAGCGGTACCACGACATGGTTGCGCCTAACGTTCTCTCCACCATCGAGGCGATGAAGCTGTGCAACACGGGCAAGCCCAAGCTTTTCTCATTTGTCAGCTCGACAGCCGTCCTCGACACCGACCACTACATTAAACTGTCGGAAGAGCAGACCCGCACAGGCCAGGGCTCCATCCTGGAAGAAGACGACATGCAGGGTAGCCGCGTCGGGTTGGGCACAGGCTATGGCCAGACTAAGTGGGTATCGGAGCAGCTGATTCGCGAGGCAGGGCGGCGCGGTCTCCAGGGCACCATCATCCGGCCGGGGTACATCCTGGGCGACTGCGAGACGGGCGTGTGCAACGTGGACGACTTTTTGATCCGCATGCTCAAAGGCTGCATCCAGCTGTCGTCGCGCCCACGCATCATCAACACGGTCAACGCCGTGCCCGTCAACCACGTCGCGCGCGTCGTGGTCGCCGGCGCCCTCAACCCGCTCGTCAATGACCACGGCGTCAACGTGGTCCAGGTCACTGCGCACCCGCGCCTGCGCATGAGCGAGTACCTCTCAATCCTAGAGTACTACGGCTACCAGACACCAGAGGTGAGCTACGACGACTGGAAGGCGGCGCTCGAGACCTTTGTGTCATCGGGCCCCCTCGAGAAGGACGCCGAGCAGAACGCGCTCATGCCACTGTTCCACTTCTGCGTCAACGACCTGCCGGCCAACACGCGTGCGCCCGAGTTGGACGATCGCAATGCCGTCGCCGTGCTGAGGCGGGATGCGGACCGATTCACAGGCATAGACGAGAGCGCAGGGTACGGCGTGTCGCGGGAGGACGTCGGGAGGTACCTCAGGTATCTCGCCGAGATCAAATACATCGCGTGGCCCTCGGGACGGGGAAGGCAGCTGCCGGATATCAAGGTCGACGCGGCGAGGGCGAGAGATGCTGCCGGCGGACGAGGTGGTGCGTTGTAGGGGGGTCGGTTGGGGAGTAAAAATACTATACATAGATACATGCATCCTCTTTTCTTCTTTTTTCTTTTCCCCCTCTCCTCCTTTGCTCTATTTACTGTCGGCAGGCGGCTAAGACAAAACGAAACCAATAAACAAAATTTGGGTGTGATGATAAGAGAGATCGGTTTATGATTCCTCCGGCAGCCGACCCTTAATGGTGACTATTATGAAAGGGGAATCTTGCAGTCAGAAGGATTGCTTCTGCAAGAGCTTGCCAGTAAGAAGACAAAAGAACCTTTTCTAGCTAATGTCTATCTACATAGTCCTATATTTGGGACAGGCAAGATACCATCGTTGAGCCCTTGTCTTCCCAGGTGGTGCGATTAGGATTCAGACCCTAGTAGGGAATAGGAGGAGCCGGCCACCCGCGACGTCTCGCATCTGACGGGTGGGTGGTTGGCAATCCACTGATAAGTCCCAAACCACTCATACTACTATGTATTATAGTATGTGCCTTCCTGGACACGAGGCCGTGTGGTTACTTTCTGTTGAGTGGGTGAGGACATATGAGGGACAGGGAGGATTCCATAAAGGAGAGTATCGTGTACATGGTACAATCCAGTACTATCTACTACGACAGATTTGGTTAGGACGGCGCCGACACTATGGGCGGATGACTGTTTGCAGACAAGGAAGAAAGAAAAGAAAAACCAGCGTGTGGGGGTTAGTTTTTTTGTATTGTGTTTTTAGGTTGTTAGTTCTTTTTAAAAAGGGTAGCCCCATGTTGATTTTAGTCTTGTAGCTGAGATAATTATCCTCTGGTTCAGTTGTCCCCCCAAACGACCACCAAAATAAATCCTCAGCTGTGTGGTGACCACTGATCCTTCCCACAGTGCTGGATCAGCTAATGGTGCCATAGTTATAGCGCCGCCACTGCCTATCCCTCCTCAGGTTAGCGAGCGCGGCAATTAATTCCAAGGCCTCTGCTAGGACCATGCGTGCCATGGTAGCATCATACGTTAAAATGGATTATGTACTATGAGCACGTATGAGATTGGGCTAGGTACTTGCTGTTCCCTGCCTGCCTGGCCTGTCACCTGGAAATGCAGTTGACCGGTTGGTTGTTCCTTTCTGTTCAACCTACATTTGAGACGACGTGACCCCCAGCTATTTTGTCTGACCGACCAGTCCTCACCCTCACCACCCGTATCCACTCACTCACCTAATTTTCTTGATCAAGATTCTACCTTGTCTTCAAAGACTTGTCTGCACTAACCACTCCTACTACTACTATTACTACGCACACGCTTTTTATACCTGCATCATTCATTCTCACTGGGTGACACTACGGGTGGGCCCGCTCTCCGCCCTTTTCTCGACACACACACTCAAAGGAGAAGTCCTACATCCCCCATTAAAGGGCCTGTGGGCTCGCGGTGGGAGGGGTGAAAACAGCGTCCAGGTTGCCGTGCTCGTGCTGAAGGGGAGGGGAGGATGGGGTGAATGGAAAGGGGGCGAGGTTCTCCTTCCACATCGAGGCAGCACACCCACCGTAAGACAGCCACCAACATAGCCTAGCTTCCATCGCGTGCCGCTGGGAAGGATTCGAGCACAATTGGAACGACGGAAGGAGGTTCCAGGGCTCTGGGAAGGATCAACACTGGCCAGGGGAGAAAAGGGTGGCCCCCAATTGCACCACTACCATTTACCCTACATACACACCCCCCCTTCACACCACCCACAGACACACACAGTCCCTCATCGCCTGGCTTCTGTCTTTTCGTCTCTCCCTCCCTCTCCCTCTCTCGTACCGAAGACGTTCCTTCGAGGGCAACCGCCAGGTCAAGCCCAGGTCCAGACTCGATAACTTTCCCCACGTACCCACGCACACAGCTGGGCGGCTAAGCTCTACTACTTACTCACCCTCTTGTCTAGTGGAAACACGGTTCTCTTTTCGCAAATCATCATCGCCAGTGCAGGTCATAGGAGGAGAGGGAACAATAAACCTTCCCCCCCCCCCCCTCCTGCCAAACCCCATGTCATGTTCGGTACCCTTTGTCCTCGTTGTTGACCCGCAATTTCTTCCTTCTCTTTTTTACTTTGTTTTATAAATTTAAAAGTTTATTTTGTTTTCTCAATTGTTGTCTGCACAACGCAACCTGGGCCCGTACATACGCACCTAGAACCAGATGCGTAGATGGATACGCCCGCGTCCGCGCTCGCAGCGACAGCCGGCGGCAGCATCGCGACATCCAGCTCGAGCCCGCCCCTTCATCAGCACCACCGCCCGCACCAGCACCAGCACCAACATGAGCCGCCAACGATCCAACAGCCCGCCCAGAAGCGGCCTCGGCTGGCCGGCTCGAATGATAGCTGTTCGACCTGCAGACTACGAAAGGTAAGGGGACAAGAGAGAAGCACGCGAATGCCCGCTACTGCGTCACCATCCCCGATTGTCTGGTCCGGCATGGCGCGCCGAGTGAATGCACGTGTGGTTGATCGCCTGTTGTAAGACCGTTACTATACTGTCCAAACCAACAAAAAGCATTAAAAAAAACCAAAAAACCCCTCGGGCAATGTCGTCTCCATCACAAATCTACGCCCAGGGGCAATGGCCCACGCATGCATTCAGTCTCCCTGCGCATTGCCTCCTTTCCCCCCTCCATCCAAACATATTTTGTGTGGCCGTGCCTGGCTGACGAGGAATGGCTCATCGCCTAGATCAAATGCTCTGGAAGGCCAGCGAATCAGCACGGTGCACCTTGTGAGAAATGTGCCAAAGCCAATATAAGATGCGGTTTCGTCGCAGACGACGGCGAGAAAGGTGAGCAAGACGTTTTCTGTTTCTATGTGTCCCTGTTGTACTCAGAGAAAGAGATGGAGAGACGGAGTGTGGGGTGTGTGTGACCATGGCACCTATTCACCACCTCCATCCGCTCCTCATGCAGTGTTACCCTCGGTCACCTCCCTTATATCTGCTACCTTCAAGCTCTTCTCACCCTTCCCTCTCTTATATTTTCATATTATCATAATCAACCCTTCAGTACACCAGCCCCTTCCCACCAGTATCCTCATCATGGGTGTCAGCCTTGTGCGCGTCATCGAATTCAGATCATGTCACACACAGCCGACATGTGATGTTGTACAGCAGTGTTCCTCAGTTAACCTGACTTATCCCTGAAAGTCTCACGAGTGACTCCAACTCAAGACCTTACTGAAGCCGGCACTCGTCGGAAACGCGCTCAACGTGCCTGTGAGGCTTGTCACTCGCACAAGACCAAGTGCTCCGGAGAGTTTCCCAAATGTAGGAGATGCTTGGAGAATGGCCTCAACTGCGAGTACAAGGTCTCCAGGAGGAAGTTCACTGCGGCTCCGGGCGCGAGCGCCTCCCCCACCACGCCTTTAAACCCGGTCCAGAATGTCGCCTCTCGGTCGCTGCCGTCTGTTGTCAGTGCTGAGGCCAAGCAGCTCATCTCGCCCAGCGCATCGAGTGTGTCTCCTGGCCTGACGGACGCAAACCGAAAACCTTCGCTTGGAAGTGTCTTGAATTCCGAGTAAGTATATGTTGTGCTCTTCGAGCATGAGCTAGTGGCAACCCGCTCCTGCGTGCGCTCCCTTAAATCTCTGACCCGATCTTTGCAACCTTCCTCTCGTATTTTCTCATCTCTCCTCGCTCCTTCTAACTTTCTCACTGCGCAGAGACATTCTTGCCCGTGTAGACCTGCTCTCGAGACATTTCGATGTTTGGTTTGAGACCTGGGGCAGACTGCCCCTTATGAGCATCTTCCACCCAGGACAGACGTATCAGGGAATCCACGACAAGACGCTTAGCCCACACATCGTTCGGTGCGTATGTGCGATGACGGCCAGATTCCTCATCCCGGGATCTAGAAGCCTGCCTTTGTTCGCTGAAAAATGTGCCGAGGACGTCGACCAGTACATCTTACAGCAGATCAGCACGTTTCTCAGGGGTGGCGATGGACTTGAGAACCTCCTCATCCTCCTTCTTACGATCTGTCACTTCTGGGTAGAATCTCAGATGGGGAAAGTCTGGATGTATATGGGTCTTGCTGGGCGTCTCATCACTGCTCTGCAGATGAACTGGGATGGCGCTGTCGACACGCCTATCAAACAAGAGATCATTCGCCGTGCCGTCTGGACCATCTGGAAGCTGGATCGCTATCTGGCGAGCGGTTTTGATGAGCATCTCATCCTGCGGGACGAGGTGATGCACCTCAAGTTTCCTGCCACCGATAGCGAGTTTCCCGCAGAAGGCGACATGACGATGGCCACGCCCACACTCGGACAGACCCGGCCCGGGCAGACACCACTGTGCGTGTACCACATACACCTTCACAGGGCAAAACATCACATCCTCGGGGTCACGAAAAGGCTGGCGGATCCCCCAACGCGCCATCCCCGCCCAGCCCAGCTTGAGCCTTCACAATTTCTGAACCAGGTCAGCAAGCTGCAGCAGATGCTCCTCACTTTCAGCCAGAGCCTACCGGAATACCTCAAGGTCTCAGACATAGGCACCGTCCAGCGCTGGTTCAACTCGCCACAGCGCGGAAGCTTCGTCATGCTGTACACCACGTTCTGGGAGCTCTACATCGACCTGTACAGGTTCTCGGTGCCGGGTCTGCGGGAACAGGCGAGCGCAGAGATCGCGAAGCAGCTGCCTTCAGACTTTGTGGTATCATCACAGAAGCAGGCGGTTGGATATGCCATCTGCCTCTCGCGGTTCTGGCGATGCGGCCAGGCAGTTGCTGATCAGAAGCCGTGGGTCGACGGGAGGGAAAGGCTTCTCACAGTTGATCAGACATTGGTATGCCTCCCTCAAATTCGAAGCTGGACATGGCTGCCACGGGTACAACAGCTGACAGGCTCATGTCCGATCTGATGATAGATTGTCCACATTATTCAAGTCACAAAGATACTTCTGGCTGCGAGACAGCACCGTCTCTACGACAATCTAGTGGAAGGCAGTTCAGCGCCACTTATACGGCAGGAAGTTGTCAACGACGACACCCTTGCTGCGCTGATACAGTCCAACATGAAACTCTTTGACGCCTTCGCTGTTTTCTTCCCAGCCACCATTGAAAACCACGTGAGTCTACAGAGGCTGTTGTCGCCAGATGTGTCCAAGGAGGTGCTAACAAGCGGAACTGAAAAGACGCGTGACCTTCGACTTGCCGTTGATGGCATCCAACAGGGCACTCCTTACGACAATCCAAGGGAGACTATTGGGTACGTTCCTCTCTCTCTTTCTCGGAATGGACTATGTTGCTCGTGCCCCACCTTGTCTTTCTTCTGCTGATCCCCAGTCGTCTTGTCAGAATGCCGGCCAGGAAACCACCAGAGAATGTTCGGCTGCCAGGCCCGCATTATATGCTCGAACAAGCGATCGCACCTCCGGATTACGAGGAACGAGACAAACACCGCAACAGGTCCGGAGCAGATGTCCTCCTACGTCAGAGAAGGCAACCGTCAGGCTTGTCTTCGGTGCCCTCTTCGGCTGGTACCGGCAGCGCAGGGACTTCTCAGAGACCTGATATCCCGGTCTGGCTCGCGGAAGCACGAAACGGTCAGGCCGCGCCCGGTACGCTGGCCATTCCGCAACAATCTCCCGTAATGCCTGCGCTCGCGACGGCTCAGCCACCAGAGAGTCAAGCGTTTGTTCAGCAGCCAGTGTATGCCCGTGCTGGGTCCTTGTCCAACCCCCTGGGCACATATCATAACACGCCCTCAGCATTCCCGCCGCCACCGCCTCCCACGAACACGAATCAGCATACCTACACAGCCTCTATCCTTGGACCTAGTCTAGGTCGTGACGACCATCCGGGCTTCTATCACAGGGCAGGGGGCAAGACGTTGCCCTTCCCAGATATCGACTCGATTATATGATAATTTTTCTTCTCCTTTTGCACGACTTTATTCTCAACACATCTAGATATGATACCACTTACTTTCACAATCTTGGCGACTCTTTTCTGGAGTCAGCATTTAGAAAGACCTGTAAAGGAAAAGAACAAACAAAAGGCACTCTGGAAGACAACCGGACTTGACCAGCACACGCATGTGATGATCGGTCTGGTCGAATCCAGGGCGATGCATATCATTCAGTTCCCCCATGATCTATGGCCAAGGTAAGTACAATGGAATTTTCTCCATACTACTCGCTTTGGCCCATGTCTGACACCTCGAAGGGATAGCCTATTATTTTGATCTTGGCACCTCCCAATGGCTTCTAGACTTATGCATGTGGGGGCTTTCTACCTTCGCAAAGTCCCGGCTTCTCTATTACAGCTAGCTGTGGCTGGTATCCCCCATCTGCTGCAGCATAAGCGTCTCTACGCTTTTGCTCGCCTCGGCAGACTGTGGTACGTTGGCGAGGTCGTGCAGCCCTCCGTCGGCTCATGAGACGGCTACACGAAGGCCCACCTTTTATTGCGTAACGAGACGGTCCTTTCCCTAGAGAAACGTATCTTGGTGCTGCAGCGAGGCCTTGATATTGTACAAGGTTCATACCAGGCTTATGTGACCATAATACTGGCCCAGATCTCGGAGACTGCGCAATAGGTGTCATAGCGGGGTATGGTGACGGGTGTATAGTATAGCTCAATAGAGATCTTCAGTTTGGTATGCCAGGCCCGACTATCTAGGTAGGGGAATCTCTGAAGGAGCATGCTGACGGAGATGGAGGGAAATGTTGGAAGTGTAATGTTCTATAGCCTCGCGGCCCTCGATGTGGCAAATGGGATAGCTCAATGATGATACCCTAGGCATCTACTCGTGGATGATTAAAGGCATGTTCTCTCGGTCACATAGGAAGAGAGGTCCGACTTCTTTTGTCTTTATGCAGCCTCGAATAGCTGCTCCAGCTTTCTTCCGAAACGCAGACCTGACGGCCACATCACCCTGACGCGTAGTCCGCCTCCTCATACCAACTTAGCCGCCGGCGATTCAGATGTCTGACACCGAGGCTAGATTATAGGACAATCAAGGTCTATCATGCGAGTTCTAGACGTTCTATATGGATGGCATTATTCTCAGCTTGTATTAGGGATGGCTATCCTTATATTGCTCGAATGTGTAATATCGACATCAAGCAGGAAGCTACCTTGAGAGAGATATGACCCAACGGTGCTCGAGTTGAACAATTGGAACTTTTGACTTTTCTCGTGCTCTTGAGTCTCCATGGGGTCATGGTGGTTACGTTGGTTGTCTGATTTTTGTCATGCATATACACAGGGCTGTGAGTGCGTTTTCAAGAGAAATTCCTTTTTTTTTTTTTTTATTAAAAAAAATAGTGTATTCTTTTTGGCTGTTTCTGTGTGGCGGTGTTGTTATCTTGTGGGAATTTAGTTTCGGCATTCTTATTGTTTGCTGCTCGTGTCTCTATCAAAGGGGTAAGTCTGTCTATAGACAGGGTAAAGTATAGTGAAAGAGGCCCCCCCCCCCGGGCCCAGGGGGACAACAGGCCTTTCCACCGTACAGTCTAACCCATTCGTCTTCATCTACTTTCTCCTCCTTCTAGTAATTTCCCTGGAAGTTCCTTTCCATACAATAAACACACACACACACACACACACACACACACACACACACACACACGCTGCAACAATGACAAAGAATTCCGTTCCGCCGCATACTATACGTCTCTACTCATTTGAGAGTGAAAAGAAAGAAGGAGAAGAAAAAAAGACAGAGAAGTTATAACGAGCCAAGTATCAGCTGGGGGTGAGCCGACCTAGACTATTTTATTCGCTACCTGTCAATAAACGGTTGTTTGACTCGGTCAGCAATCTCGTATCGGGGAATTTCGCCCGCAACTGGGGAGAGAGAGTTGCCACGATGTGCCCCCCTACAAGCCTCCACCTAGTAACACCCATGTGCGGTAGCGGCGGAAGGGTTCGTCTCAAGTTTTGGGTTCACTAAGGAAACCGTTGTTCTAGACTGTGATACAAGACACGAGATGGTAAGACTGAAGGGTATCTAGTGAACACAGCATGAAGCACTGCGCACAAAAGAGGGACAGGGGAGATGCGAAAGTTTTCATTTACCAAATCCAATTTGATCAATAACCTAGAAGGGGAGCACTGCTCAAAGAGTAGAAAAGGGCAGACGCTTTGTTGGTCTAGGGTTTCTGATAATAATGATTATACAATATTGAGAATGTACAAACTCCACACTAGTCAAAATGATTGAACGGGGAAAACGATGCTAACAGATGCTCGCTTTTGTCATGGAATTCGTCCTCCCGCATCCAGAAGCCTTACGGGATGCAAAGGATGCAATGCCGAGCCGTGAACAAGACAGCCATGGTAATGAGCGAGGTAGAACCGTCGCGAACACTTCGGGCGCCTGCCTGGGTGCGGGAGATTCATTGATGTTGTTGTTGGTGGACCACACCACAGCTCATCTTCCTTGCTGGCACACGTCCTCCCCCTCCCCTTTCCCACCACCACCACCCCCCCACCAACTTGGCACAAGCGCCGCCCCAAAAGACGAAGGAGAATGCGGTCAACTGGTCGACAGGATGAAGGTGAAGCTCGTGCAGGGTATCTCGGCTGCAGGCAGCAAAACTCGGGCATCTCTCCAAACTCCAATCCCCATCGAAATACGGTATCAAAAGTCGTTACAATGTGAAGGCTTTCCCTCCAGTCGCAAAGCCCCCAGCACGGATATGAGTAGGTCGTGAATAAGAAATAAAGAGAGAAGGCGGCGGATTGTTGTGATGACTGGGGAAATCTCGAGCGGCGGTGCTCGAGGTTTGCACCCGCTCATCTCTAGTGGTAGTCCTCGCGCTCCTTCTCCCTCAGGCCACCGATATCGTCCATGTCGATCGAGTAGAAGTGCGAGTTGTTGTTCTTCTCGTACGCGGGTAGCTGGTCCTCGTCCAGGGGCTCCAGACCGACAGCAGCATTGTCACCGACACGGACGACCACGACCCGACCCGACTTGCGCTTGCCGCTGGCGCTGTCCTCCTCGTCGGGGAAAGTGATGTGAATCTCGGGGACGTTGTCAGGAGAGTGAGGCGGCGAGTTGGGGTTTGCTAGCATGGGGCGGCCATCCTTGTTGTAGAGTATGACACTGGAGCGGCCGTCCTTTGTCTCGATGGTGAGATGGTGGTGATTCTTGTTCTCGTGAATGACATCGTTGTACCGGGGCGGGCTAGCCGCCTGCGTCCTCTGACGCCTGACCCTCTTCAGCACCAGCAGGATTCCCAGGAGAACGAGGCCGAGGCCGACGATGACGGCCAGGACGATGACCAGCAGGTTGATGACGCTGGTGTTGCCGGTATCGTCGGCCCCACGGGTGACCTTGATTGGGGCACGGGCCTGGAGGGGTTGTCCAAGGATAGCAGGCATGATGAAGATTGATAATGGCGTGTGAATGTGAGTGTGTGTTGTGCCGGAGCTATATTGCTTTTTATTAGGTGCAATATAAAATGAGTGTCTCGGTTTTTGTTTTTCTTTTGAGCAACCGCAAGCTGCTGGTAGATCCTCGATATCTGGGATTGACGGTGGATAGGATGACGATCGAGGGGTTGCCTGGAAATGATCGAGCCTATGTGATCATCGGTCAGTTATGGTTTCGATCTTTCTCCCCCAACCTAGATCAAACTTTAAAAAGAAACAAAGAAACAACAGGCTGCTGATAGGATGGATATCTTGGGATGAAAGCTTCACCTACCTCTGCAGAAAATGGACCTCGTGGTGGTAGGAGACAGAGCAATATTCACTAAGTATTACTAGTAGTCCGGCGTTTTATACGCACGGGCGAGCCTGCAAACCAGAAAAGACGAGGAACAAATGAGAGGACGGGCTCGACTGAAAGAATGAAGTCGGAGCCAGGGTGTAGAGAAAGACAAAAGTCTGTGTGTGAAGTATGAGTGAGTGAGTGAGTGAGGGCTATCGACACGCTCGTATAAAGGAGTGTACGAGCAGTATCTTGGTTGTGCAGAAGGAACGAAAGAGGGCTGGTGATATTGACGACGCCGGCAGCGATGGACCAGGTGGTGAAAGGAAAAGGAAAAGAGAAGGGGAGAAAGGAAAGAGGAGGAGGAGGGAAAGGGAAGGAATAACGAACGACGAGGCCTTGCACAGGAAGGAAGGAACCAGGACCGGACTGGATTGGACGGGACAGTGCAGCCACGGGCGGCTCCAATCCAAAATGAAAGATGGATACGAGAAAGGAGAGTGGGAGAACGGGGGAAAGTCGACAAGCCACCGAATGCAACGATGAGCCTGCAGGTTGCAGGGCAGCAGGAGCGAGGATGCGTCGACGGATGCAGGCCCAATGCAGGTCGAGATGGGGATCACAACGGCGCCAAAGCACGCTGTGGAGAAGAAATCCTCGAGACCGAGCTCGCTGATTTGCTGCCACCCCTGAGCTCTACCCGCGCTCAATTTCAATCTTCAGTAAACAGACCGCCAATCACCAGCCTCGATCCCGCCAGGGTGGATCCTCCAATTTGGACAGCCCTGGTTTTTTACTCCTCACCCTGGGGGCTATTGCATCGAGGATCTCGAGACGTCTGCTGTTGTTTATTGTTTTCACTTGCCTCTTTGTGTCTTTCCTTTGCTTTCTTTGTCCGAGTAGCAGAGCGAAGTTGTCATCCGTCACCGAGGAAGGAAGCGACACCACCACCAATGATCACGATAGACGAAGCGCCGGAATCGTGATGATTTTTGGGGGGGGCAGACGCCTGTTATCTCCTCATGGAGCTTTTGTCCTTTCTCTTTTCTCATTTCTCTCATCGCCCCCACAAAAGAAAGAAACACAGAAAAATCAGCAAGCACCGCATCCGTTTATCCGTGCCTATACGTGTCATACTATACGGTGGTGGTCTCTCGTCCTCCTCGTCGTTCAGTGATGAAGCGTCACCCCCCATACACGTTCACGGCAATTTGTTTACGACGGTCATATCGTTGGGTGAGGCGTTTTGGTGAATCCAGGACACGACACAGTGGCTTGCAACCTGGTTCTGGCACATACCATTACTGCATGGTGCCTACTACAATCATATCGTTCGCCTGCTTCGAAGAGGAGTGGCCATCACTTGCAGAAACGCCTTCTCGAGTGTCTAGGCGTCGGCAGATCCAGACTTTCTCTCATCCGAGACAGACTCGTATCATACTTCCGAAGCCTTTAATTCATTCAATCCGTCGACGGCAATCCCAAAAGGGTGCAGCTATCCCAAGGATGGTGGCATTGCTGGCTGTAGCTAGGAAGAACCCCTCGATTACTGTTACCTGCGCCCATTGAGCATACCATTCTTGCGCCACAAGGCAGGTGGAAATCACCCCGAGGAGAGTCGAAAAGCCAGGCAACCAGATGCAACATTCTCGTGGCCAGCAGCCACGTCATTCGTGTGTTCAAAAGGTGAGCTACCTCAACAACTTGCTAACGGGGGCAACCTTGAGATCCCATACCTGAGCTCCCGTCATATCTACCTCACTAGTCTACGGTGAGGCTGGGCTGCCACGTTATGAGTCCGCGATCTTGTCTTCGCCACTATCGGGCACCTGCAGCCGAAAGCGACCCCTTGCACGTCTCACAAAGCCCTTTGTTTAGCACGACATGTGTCACTAGCAGCACCGAAAACCGGGCTCGTCGATATACACACAGTAGGAAAATTCAAGGGGCGGGGGAACCTGCCACGAGGAAGATCACCACCGGTGTGCACAGGAGGCGGAGGTACACGAAACGGTGCTCGTGTGATCATTCGACAAACTCGCGCAGGCACAAAGAGAGCACGGTGCATGCACGCTCTGTCTCCCTCTCTGCCTGCTGTGGGCAGGTGAGTGAGCTGGCGGGCGAGCAAGCAATCAGCCTGGGCGCGTGGATTGTATCACGAAGCCAACCACCCACCTGATGTCGAGACCCCAGCCGTAGCTTGCCCTAGTACTCTAGAGAGCATGGCCAGCAGACTCGGCGCAACACACGAGATGTGGCGCAACGAAATGTGCATGAATTATTGAAAGATCAAGAGGCAGTTGAATCTCGTCCCGTTCCTTGTTGAGACCGACCCCCCTCCATGTCACCAAGCAAACCAACCCAAACAGTAAGGAGTGACTCCGATGAGGCGTCATCGTGTTGTGACAAGAGGAGGGTTCGTCCGAGCGTCAATTGGCCATGTTTCACCTCAATGTCGCACATCACACAAGGGCGGGGAAAGGGCCGCGACCCCTAGGAATGGCCGCCAATATTGCCTGAGGAGACCATATTACTATGGTACGTAACATGTACTATGATGCGATGAAAAGGTAGAACAAAGTTGACTCTCCACCGTCGTCACCACTGCATCCCGGCTCTGCAGGCCTCTGGTCTCTCAAAGAGAGGAGTTACTCTATTCTGCCCGTAGTAGACAAGGCTGGCTGGCTAACAACTGGCTTCCCGACATTCTCGTGGGCCGAACAACTGTCAGCGCTTGAAATAGAACCCCGGAGGGCCCGGCAGGTCGTTTGCTTTGCGGGTCTGGGCCTTCAGGTTCAGGTCAGACAGGTAAACGAGCCGTTCGCTCCTACGAAGAACGATCCTATTTTTCATGTTTCTTTCTATGTATAACTCATTAGTTTTGGTTGGTCTTATGACCGCCAAAAAGGCACCCGCTTTTTCCCTTTCCCTTGTCCCTTTTGTAGGAGACTCACATATGAATATTGTAAAGTGCAAAACACATATTTACATAGTACTACAGTATGATCAAAGTCATACCACGATAGTAAATTAAGTTAGGTGGATGAGATGGATGCGTGTCCAGTTGCGTTGTAACTGATTAATGGTTCTAAATGGGCCCCTCCCCTCCCCTCCTCTACTATTACCCCTTCGGTACCTGCGCCATTCTCCCCTTGTGGGCCGGGGGGGGGCAGGGGGGACATGGGCATACGCTGCAACGGTAGAGGATCCACGCACCCCTCGCAGGGCACTTGCAGTCTGCTACCGGGAATTTTACCTCCCAGCTGCAGATGCCAGATCGCCCCCCCCCCCTCCCTCTCCAGGCCTGCGGGCCCCAACCAAGCCTCAAGGCCCTGAACCGTCTACTATGTAAATGCCCACCAAAACTGCGGGGCTTTCCGAAGAGCGTTGCATCAAAGAGGGGAAAGGAGGCCAGGATGTGCTGGACTTCGAAACACACGCTACTTCATACTATACAAGGCACTGAACACCACTACTGGGGGGGTTCACCACCACCATGACGACCAACCTTTCTTCTTTCAGGACCATTGGCATGAAATGCATGACAGTTCATGCGCCAGGCTGAACTACATTACTGTACATACTATGTTATGTACACATACTGTAGAATTGTACTCCAAGCAGCGGCAGCAGAAGAAGCAGCAGAAGAAGCAGCAGAAGAAGCAGCAGCAGGGCAAATGTTTCTCCACATTCCTGGCCGTCTGAGCTGGCTGGCTTGCAGGCACTGCGGATCACAATACTCAACTGGCGTGTGCTGGCTTTTCTTCTCTCAAGACAAGTGTCTGGACTCATAAACCCAGTCGTAGATTGTTTGCTCACCATACAGCCATGCAGCACATGCAGCCAGGTCTCCTTCGTTTCTCATACTACACTAGCCTTGGGTCTGGATTCTGATCCAACCCGTCGTGGAGAGCGCCTCCGCTCCCTGTACTATAAGAGAAGGTCTAGGTGAGAGATAATGTGCCTCTCCGATTTTCAAGCATGGAACCTGTGTGGAAGCCTTCTTTTTTGTTTGGAGTATCCCTTGCGATTTTGGCTGCTGGCGGCATCCCAACATTCCTGTCGCTGCCGTGCGCGCGAGACATTTCTCCCCCGTGCTTAGATAAACAATGCTGTTACCGGTATGGAGGGCGGGAGATGTTTGGCCCAGCTGTGGCGTAGACAAGGACGTACGGCATCCCATAGTAGTACGTCAGTTGACTGCGGCGATACGATAACTAGCCTCTCGTTCGCCCCTCCCTTCAGAGACCACGTACAGACCACACTCCTTGCTCCTTCTCTCTCCCTACTGCTCAATCTTTCTGCGCCCTTTCCCGCCCATCATCCACCCTATCTGTATCTGATCTCCCGGAGAACTGACCAAATCGTACAAAAACCATCCTGCCTCCCCTCCTGCATATTGCACTGCATTGCATTCTGCACTACACCATTCCACGCCTGCTCGGACATTTATTCTGCCCCGACCATGACATCTGCGCTGTAGATATATATTATTGTACATCAGCAGCCGACAAACGTCCCCCTACGCAAAGCAAACAACATTTCGGCTCCCACATGAGGCATTGTCAGCACTAGTGGAAGGCGTCGGATAATTCTTAGGCAGTCAGAAAAAGAAAGGGTTGGCCCAAAAAAAAAAAAAAAAAAAAGGTCTCCCCCCCTTGGCTGGCCGGCCTTTGCCCGTTGCTGGACGACACAGCATTCCTGAGAGCAAGCTCTCGACCTAAGCACCACTACCCACGGATTGCCACAACAAAAACATCCCATCAGGACACAGCAGGATATGCTGGCAGTCCTACATCAAAAATAACACCAATATCATCATCCTATCCTTATATTCACCCGGTTTTCTCGCCCGAACATCATCTCGTCTTCTTGAGACTGGAAGCTAGCACATCAGAAAAGCATCAGCCCTATAGCTTCGACGCTCCCTCTTGTCAGCGACTAGGGCCAGATAGCGTTTCGCCCGACCTGCGCCCGACCCACAGATCCGCGGGCACGTCTGGACACCTGTCACTCGCTGATCAGACAAGAAAAAGAGAAGAAAAGGAAGAAAAAAGTGCTTCGTCATCCGAATTCACCACCGTCTCTCATCTCACGCCGTCTGGCAACAGACTGTGCACAGGAGTTGGCCTCTTATATCGCGAGCAGCTACGAGCTGTCCAGGTACACACGAGATCCCCCAGCTTCGGTGTGAGTCGTGCGTGACTAGGAGGACTGTCTGTCGTCCGCCTATGATCGACAACCCCCTTGACATGCAGCTAGCAACGCGCTAAATAAGGAGCGCAACCCGTTCTCCCTGGCACCCGCTTGCAGTCCTCGTCTTGTGAGTTCGTCTCTCTTTCTTTCTCTCTCTCTCTCTCTCAAAGTTGTCATCCACACGAAACCGGGACGGAATACCATAAAGGGGAAGGGAAAAAAGCAACGGGAAAAAAAGGGAATGAAGGGAAAGAAAAGAAAAGAAAGAAAAAAAAGGCTCGCCGCACCACAGACTTGACCAGGGCTGCTGCTGTCTCTCTCACACATCCTGAGCTTATTTGGGGTTCAGGGTCGAGGGGCAAACGAGTACAAGGGCACTCTTGTCAGGGGTTCGTCGCTACTAGTACGGGCGGCCGTCATTGTTACTAGGAGCCTCGTCTCCTTCCCCAAGAGAACTGCTGACCCTCTTCACCCTTTTCCTCCTCTCTATCTTCTTTTCTTCCCCATCTCCCCACAGGGCTCCTGGTACTGAACTCTCAATTCTCTCTGGTCGATCTAGGGTGTCTCGTCCACACACTATCGAACCCCATTCTAGGTCGTCCCCCTGGTGTGGGACTGCGACCCTCAAAAAGATCCAGCTGCAACCTTATCCCTATCTGATTTCCTCGAACGACAAGTCGCATTGTTCGTCAGCCACACCCGATACCTGTTCCCGCCAAACCAGAGGGGAAGAAAATAAAAGGAAGGGGGGGAAAAGAGCAGTGTGGTCAGTATCTTACACATCGTTCCCTTCCAAGTCACTGCGCCCGTCTCAGTCAGCGCAGTCTCTCCCCCCTCTCAAAGACGCATTGCCTCAGCACAACTCCTCGAATGCTAGCTCGTCCCTCTTTCCGAGGTTCGCGGTTGAATTAGCCCTGGCCAAATGCTTTGCTGCTCCTGGAGGCAGGCCCCGCCTAACGCTCCCCCAGGCCTAAACTCAAACCCAAGAAAACTCCACTGGCTCCAGGCGGGCGTGCTATGACACAGTACCTGCCCTGACCTGACTTGCTTTGGACGCAAATCTGACAGCTGAACCTGGAATGAATGCCTTTATCTTAGCGCATGAGCCAATCTGCACCCGACACTTCCTTTTCTTGGGAAATCCATCGTTCCTTCGTCACATCCTCCAGGCTCCCGCCATTATACACATCGTCATCTTTTCGCACCTCGAACCTTTTTTTGTGCCGACCACGATCACAGTCCCTCTTGATCTGTTTTCTCACGCGAACCTTCTTCTTAGCATATAGTTCTTCTTGTCCTTATCATCCCAAACCGCACCGACCAGTCTTCTGCAGGATATCTGGTACAAAGCTCCGCTTTGAAGAAAAAGCCCGCCATGGAGAATGGTGTAAGTCTAGCCCTATGATCCCCTACTGTCCTTTTAACCGCAACCCTTCTTCCGAAGCGATCAACCGATTCCGCACCTCAATATCATCGATGCACCGGCCGACAGTTGTCCACATGCCCCCATGGACCGCCGCGAGCCAGCCTCCTCCCTCCCCCCTCTTCTTGTCTGGTCTGCAAATCGACATTGTGCTGATGCTGTATGGGATTCTAGAGCCAGGGCCAGTCCTCGCAAGGTCGAACGCAGCAAGGTCGAAACGCAGTCAGCCGATTTCCGAGCTGGATGAATAGCAGTGGGATCCAGGGCGCCGGCGGAAATATATGGCTGAACAACCATCTGACCGATAACCTTTCCTCGAGGGAATCAAGCAGCGCAACAGGTTCGTACAGTAGACAGATGCAAGGACAAAAATAAAAGGCAAACCATATTGACGAGTCTCTCTAGCCTCAACTCAGAGAGCGCAGGGCATCGGCGCTACCGACAGCAGTCCTTGGTCGAGGCCCACAGCGAGCACGTGGAACTCTACAGACAGCCAGTCTTTTCGGCCAAGCGCATCACGAAGCACATCTCCTAAGAACACCCTCCAGAACGCCTCGAATACCTCTCCCTCCTTCAACCCGAATCGTGCCGCTACCACACAGAATCCGACTTTCGCCAACTCCGGTCTCGTATCCTCCTTCGCTCCCGCAAACTACTCGAGTTATACCGACAACGCCCAGGTGGACAGTGGGAATGCTTTTCAGCAGAGCTACATGGGGTTTCAACGGACACTGTCCTCTACCTTTGACGATGTCTTACCCCCCTCTCGGCACTCTGAGAGCGAGGCGCCTCTGCAATTCGGGACCGAGACACCTGGATTCCTTGGCTCCCACTCCCGCCACCCATCCCGACTATCGCTGAGCGCGGCATCGACCTCGTTCGCACAGCAGCCGCAAGCTTCTCGGTCTCAGAGTCACAGTCTGAACCCAGGAAGCGAGCAAGCACAGGCAGCCCTCGAAAGCGTTAGAGCCGGTCTGCTTAGGGACCGCATCCAGGCGAGCTCCCCGGGGCCCCGAGCGAACGCAGCGCAGGCGAGCACACCTGCAGCTCCGCAGCTTGGAACCTGGCAGGACTTCACACCCAACAACAGGTTTACCCTGGCGAACGGCAATGTGCAGGAGGTCAGAAGGGACTCGCTGGCGAACAGCGTACACCAGTCGGCGCTGAACAGCCCCCGCAACTTTGGGGCGCCACGACAAGCTGATCCATGGACACCAGCGCCGGCACCTCTGGATTTCGACGCACTGAACAGGATTCAGCGATCACAGGGTCAACTGTCCAGGCAGGCGACCCAGTCTCCCTACTTGGACGCCACTTACAACCCCTACGCCGATATCCCCGTACAGTTGATCCAGCAGATCCAGCCGGCCTTCTCCCTACCGTACGCGAATTACAACTTCCCCGTTGGACAGCACTTCTTCCCGCCCACCGGTCCTGCAGGCATGATCCCCAGAGGAGGTCGTCCTCAGGATCTGACCGTTGGCGTCCGGTGCCAGGAGCTAGAGGATTTCCGCCGAAGCTCCAAATCTAACAGGAAATGGGAGCTCAAAGTACGTTCCATTCCCGTATTCTAAGTAAATTTTATCTCTATGCTCACTCTGGACTAGAACGTCTTCGGCCGCGTGGTCGAATTTGCTGGCGACCAGCAGGGTTCAAGATTTCTGCAGGAGAAGATACCCACTGCCAACAGCGACGATCGGCAACGCGTATTTGACGAGATCATGGTGGATGCCAACGCTCTGATGGTGGATGTGTTTGGCAACTACGTCGTACAGCAGCTTTTCGAGCACGGGACCATGGTGCAGAAGAAGCTTCTCGCCGGCAAGATGAAGGGCCACGTGGTCCAGCTCTCGACACAGCTCTACGGGTGTAGATGTGTCCAGGAGGTCAGTACCGAAGTAACAAAATAAAGGCACATGACAAAAGCAAGCTAACGGACCCACCAGGCCCTAGAGTACGTCCTCGTTGAGCAACAGGTCGAGCTCGCGAAGGAGCTTGAGCCTGAGATCATCCGCATCATGAAGAGCGACAACGGCAATCATGTTGTTCAGAAGCTACTCACGAAGCTGCCCCGCGATCGCATCGACTTCGTCTACAACGCCGTCCGTGGCCGGGTTTCCGAGCTCTCACAGCAACAATATGCCTGCAGGGTGATCCAACGAATGATCGAGAAGGGAACGGACGCAGACAAGGAGTTCATCCTGCAAGAGTTCCACGATGTGGCTGCCCGTCTGGTGACGGATAGCTGGGGTAACTACGTCGTTCAGGCCGTCATCCGCCAAGGAGGTCAGGAAGCGCGTGCCAAGGTCATCCGACTCTGCATTGACCAGTTCCTCGTCTTCTCGAAGCAGAAGGTCGCCAGCAACGTTATGGAGCATTGCATCGAGTACGGAACAGAGGACAATAGACTCGAGATGTATCGGCTCATCACTCGCAAAGCCGAAGATGGCAGCAACATGTTGCAAGCGATGTGGAAGGACAATTTTGCCAACTACGTCGTCCGTAAGTTACTGCTGTGGTTCATAATATGCACGATGTGCACAATGCTAACTTGTCTCCGATAGAAAAACTGTGCCACTGCCTGAAGGGCGCAGAGCAGGAGGCTCTCGTGAAGGAGAGCAAACCTTACTTCGAGGCGCGGAAGAAGCCCAGTCGTCCCGATGATAAGTGGCTGTCTTTCGAGAAACTGATCAATCAGTTCTCTACTCCCTCGAGGCAGGGAAGCGTCAGTAGCATTGGTACTGGAGCGAACGGCGTCGCCGTATCCCAAACTCACTCCCAGTCTGGCTCGGCGATGCCCACTCCCGATCTCACCACAGGCGGCAATAGCCCACGGACTAGCTCCTCGCAGGAAACTAACGACACTACCCTCGAACAGAATGAGGGTTACATCGTGGAACAATTCAGCAAGACTAGTCTCCACGACACTGCCGAACACGATACGGCCCAGGAGCCAGCCATCTGACGCATTAAAAAGCCTTCATCTTTATTGATACCCCCGGGCGACTGATTGAACATTTGTGATGGGGGGGATTTACCGCCACCCCTCCAGCGACATACATATGGATATGATACGAGCAAATACTGGAGCCAACGCTCCTGGTCCTGTTCCACTGTACTCTAATCGATTACTGGGCTCATCACCCCTTGTTTTTTAACCTTGGGTCCATTCAACGACGCACCTTCGATGACTTCTTGGATATACATTAGCTACACTTGAGCGGGCCATATGGTGTGGACAACAGAAGGAAAAGAATTCTTATCACGGAAATATTGCTTGGCCAGGGTATAAGGCGTAGTAGCAAGATATAGTCTTGACGGTATTGGATAAAATTCACGGCCTTAATGTCTTCTGGGTTCTCAGAAGAAGAAAAAAAATTCTCAGGAGTTTGACATTGTTAAAATGGAGTTCTTATTTCCTTCTATTTGATTTCGGTGGACGTCATTGGCGGATTGGATTGTATACGTGGTCTTGATCTTCACGTCCTATGGGCATCTAGGAGGAGCCTGAAGACTTACTTTGGTTTTTCTCTCTCTTTCGATCGTACTCCCTGTTCTTTCCAGTATGCTGAACTATATTGAAACTTCTGAGGAGTCAATGTGTTTGTCTGACTTGGTATAATATACCCGGTCTCTCTCGCCTCCAGGGCTCTGCTCCTAGGGTTTGCCGTGGTTGGTACTACTGCCTACTGCAGTACTGGATTGTGTTGATACTTTCAGACTGTGTTTTGGATAGAATGGAATGGCATGATAGGTACAAGGACTTTCGTATGTCGGAAAAGGCTTTCGGGATTTTTCCTTTTTCCTTCTCTCTTATAGTCATGCGTTAGTGCTTGTTCAATTTGGCATGAACAAATCCAAGACAGACATATTCTCCGACAACTTACGTCCATCTATCCGTATTCGACTCACCGTGATTTCCGGCTCGACAATTCACAAGTATGTAGTAAACCTACAAGCTTCCGAAAACGAACAATACGTGCTTTGCGGGGCGAAGGATGGACACCTTCTTCCGGCACCTTCACAGGTGGCGGCGGCCCACCATCCTTTTTTTTTTGTCACTGTCTCATTCACCTCTTATTCACGGAGGGGAGGGGGGGGGGTATATACAGCGGCAGTCACTGTATCTAATCGACGAAGAGAGAAAAAGGGTATGGAGGACAAATAGTCGAGAAATGAACACGTTGGAATCGATCCGTATCACTCCTAAAATTAGCTTAAAATCCCGTAATAATATTCCCAGTATTCGGAGTTCTATGAATCTTTAACAAGAATTGAGATTGTATCTTGGAGGCAATAGATACAGGAGACTTCCCTTGCTTGAGCAAAGAAAGAATTCTTGGTCTTTCGTGCGAACGGCGAACGGATCTTCTGGTCAATATATGCGAAAGGAACATCGCCATCCAGCATTGTCTTTCTATCATGGCTCTCGTTAGCCCGACATCTTCGGAGCGCGAGAGAATTATTATCAAAGAACTATGCCATCCAAGTTCTCGTAAAGCCAGCCATGTGCATTTTGAAACATTCATGCGTTTCTATACTTCGACGTTGCTTGGACGAGGAAATATCTTCTCCGTTGCTATACAGAACCCTGTGTTCAAGACTCATTTGGACGTCATCGAAGCAATTAGACTCTTGAGACGGAGTGCGATTTTATCCAAAAGCTCATTTCAAGGCCAGGTATTCGGAGAGGCCGATGAGTGTGAAAAGGAGTACTCCACGAGAATAGCTGTCAAAGTGGCTTTCATAATCGACTGTTCCTCAAAGGACGACGTTTCAGATAGCTACCAGCTGCATCATTCTTTTCCGGTCAGGTGGACGGCTGCTCAGAATTTCATCGATTTCCTCCGAGGTGCCTTTCCAGCTACCACATCACGTCCGTTTCACGCAGGACCCTCCGACCGTTCGATGAAAGCATGGAAGCTCAAGAAGAGATACGGAATTCGGTTCATGCCGACGAACGACCTTGTTCAACATTTGATCTACGATCGTCAGACGTCCACAGTTAAAATCTTTCACCATACAGCATTTATCAAAGCCCAGATTTGGCATACCGCAAAGCTTCCCCTTACTGCTGGATTCGGTGATGCTGTCCAGATGTAAGTTGAGTTTCTCATCTCACTTAATTTGCTTGAACAAAAGCTAAATTACTGTTCTTGTAGCGGCTCTCTACCACCTCAACTGCTTCTAGAAACTCTTCTGACGCTCTACTACATCCTATTTCCCATCTCAATAGACCGAAAGTCAAAGAGGTTTGCACGATCGCTCGTGAGAAAACGAAAACTTGACCCAAACCTTATGATAGATGACGGGTTTATTCGAATCCTACCTAAGGATTTTGGTTATATCTAATTACTGGGGGGACAGGTTAAGAATTCTGGAAGGCATTACTGCAAACCCACCCCCAGGAAATAAAATAATATCGTGGGTGGAGAGACACACTTCAGAAAGAAATGCTTTGACTGTAGCAATTTTTGGTCTTGCATTAACAGTACTTTTCGGGTTTTTGAGTTTCATGGTCGGGGTTGCTCAGCTTGTTGTGTCGATATACGCATGGAAGAATTCAGATGCATCTACTGAGCAGGAAAAAACAGCAACGTCAAGGATTGGGATTTTATCTTTATTCAATATAATATATCAGGCTTTTTATAACATGAACTCAACTCTAGAGAGCTCGACGTGCTGTACCGGATCGCAAGCAATTCGAAAGACGGAGGTTTTTTAACAAAAAAAATCTTTTCATACGGTCCTAACTGGTTTACTGCATGTGACATTAGTATGTTGAGAGGATTATATTGGAACGCGGTTGAACCTTCGAGGGAGAAGCAAGCTTAGAAAGAAGTCAATGATATATTCTAGTTAAGCAGCCCTGGGCTTGCCTCCGTCACTGAAGACGATCCGAACTCTGTGCATCCACTCTGCCTGAGTGGCTGTTGACACTACTAAATCAATATTGCAGGGAATGCATGATTATTCCTGGCTAGGGGACCCAGTGGTCAAAATGTACGAAGATTGATGGGAAAGAGAATGATAAGCAGAGAGCAACAAGTCAATGACGATTTGGACTGTAATTTATTGTGAGGGCAGATGCTCGCGCCATTACAGCTCGCTTTCATGCGACTTTAACGTACTGATGTAGGGATAATTGGTTCAACTAGCCTAGATCAAAAAAAGAAAATGTACGCGGGGAGAGCAAGAAGGAACTTTGCAATCTTTCAAGATCAGCTCTGCCCTGGTCCAAGTCCATCATCCCTCCCGCGCCATTGAGGTGATACTCCATGAGCATTGCTGCCGGGAGCCAACCCGAGAGCCTCTCCTTAAGCACCTACACACACCCATTCGCCCGGATACAGATTGGGGCAATCAGCAGTCGCGGTGTTGACATTGGGGTTCCACTCATAAAACTGTTCCAGAGTGATGTCCGTCTCGTCAGCAATCTTGGAGCAGTCGTCGCCGCTCTCCACGAGGTAGAATGTGTAGCATCCCACAACGGTGTCGGCGTCGATCGGGCTAGGCGTGGGGCTCGGAGCGAAGCCAATCGTGCCTACGCAGACCCAGTCGCCGAGGATCATGTCAGGGCACAGCGCCCCGACGGAGGGGTTCCAATCGTAGACATCGGCAAAGTCGATGTCGAACCTGGCCGCAACGCTGTCACATGTGTCGTTGGTCTGCACGAGGTAGAAGCTCTCGCAGTTGTCGACCATCTCGGGCTGTGTGGGCGTCGGAGTGACAATGGTGCTGGCCGAGGTGGTCGTGGTGGTCTGGGCCATGCTGGTAGCAAAGAGGCTCGAGAGGGCCAGGACTTGAAGTCCCATGATCGACTTGGTGGAGAGCATATTGGAACAGAAGATCGAGCAGGCGACGAAGATAGGGATGTTTTGTAGAGATATGTTTTCTGTCTTTTTCAAGTAGAGTCTTGAGCAAAAGAGAAAGAGCTGCTGTCCAAGGGATGAAGAGACAGATGTGAGACCATAGATGAGGGAAAGACGGCAATTTATATACTTTTGGAGACTGTGAATACATTGTGAGTCTTTGAATTGTGCTGCTAAACGTTACATTATCATCTCAAAACGGTGTTGAGTGTTACGGTGTTTTCTCTTTCCGCCTCTTTGCCACGAAGCGCTCACGATACTTGCATTTGTGACTTACTCTACGGATGCATAAATCTGTGCAATACGAAAATGAATGTCGTTTCCGTCGGCTGACTATGTGCAGCATAAGACAATTCGGACTCATTTCGGATCCAAAAGTGCTCTGATCCTTCCGCCAACAGTCATTCATCATCTGCAGGTCGTGTATGCATGCACTTCTCTCCGTGGCCCCGCCCTTGGTCCTGATGCCTGGCAGCGCCTGGTGGTTTGCAGTAGACACAAGTAAGAATCAGCCCACGCCGTAGCGAAATCGATAGTATATGCATATCGTGTGCAAGGTATCCACAAATATTATATAGAGTCGCAACGGTTTTCGTGGTTTTTTTTTTGGCTGACTGGGCAACTTTGGTTCTTCTGTTTGTCGTGCAAAGACCACAGATCAAGTGCTGACTGTACTACCGCACTGGCATTTTCTTGGGACTTGAGTGGCCGGGATGCTCACTCGATGGCTGCTGTGCCTTTCACTAGTCTCGGTGCTATGCAGGTTGGACGCTTCCAGGCGAGGATGCGAACTGATGATCTCTCTTTAAAACAGGCAAGGAAGAGTTCCTTTTGAATGACCGACTTCCGAGAATACCGTGCCGAGAACCTCTTCAATGACAAAGTCACAACGAGTAGAATTTCGGTCAGAGCCATCTTTCACAGGTATAATTGTGCCGTTCCTGCGAGTTTCAAGGGTGAGAAATCTGGTGGTCTTTGGGAACCTCATCTGCCTAGAACCATCGCCCATGTAATTATCCACTTGTCTGCCTGCTCATAGCAAGACTTGAGACGAGCGGGTGTAATTGTAATGTCTCTTCAACAATGGCATTGGGAATAGCGCAATGCTGAGGCTGTGCCCATTTACAATATATACCATCAACATTGCTGCCTCTTTGAGAAAGTTTTACCTGCTGTGGTGGGTTGCGAGCAAGCTCATAGACAAGGAACGCAAGAGCCGGGGCGATGGTCATTGATCATTATAATATTGGCCAGTCCTGGAAACGGTCGGGATCACCAAGTATTATGACATAAGATGGAAGGCACCTAATGATCTGTCAGCGATGATCATACCAATAGCGCGGCCAATTACCCATGGTTGATCAGCCTTGGGCAAGCTCGAGGTAATGCCTTGATGAGCCAGTGTGAAATATTACCCTCAGGCTTGGGTACTTTTGTCTGGTTCATCACGCCACATTCTCAGTTTACAGCCACACATCAAGTTCACAAGACTATGTAGTCACCTTGCTCCATCCTATCAGCTCTTTCCTTGAAATAACGTGCGGACACTCACCTTTATCCCAGGGTTTTGGCATCATTGCTGCTGTGCATACGAGATTTGTCCACAAGGTAATCAGATCAAGGTGGGTGACCTGTCCGCCGTTCCCCACCCGTCGGCACAGAAAACAGAGTAGAAGTACTTATGACATTGGGAGAGAAACGAGGCGAATGTTCAGAAAGAGAGGAATAGGAACGGGTGATGACGCCCCGAAACCCAACGGGCAAAATCGACATGATATTACCGGAAATTGTACCCAGGGCCGTTCCCAAAGTGAGGCCATATTAATTCATTTCTTAAACCGTTGTAGTAATCAGTCTAAAATTTTAGCAACCATCAGTAAGGCTTGATAAGCGCAAGGAGAAAGGGATATTAATGGAGCACGGAGAAGAAAAATGATCTCGAAGGAACATATTGCGGAAGGACGGAGCCAGGATGGAATGGGATTGGAACCGCTCTGGTAGGGTAGAAGTGATACAATGTGAATCTCTTGCCCAATGGATTTTGTGTGCTCCGAGATACCCATTGTTTGCAGCCCCCTGGTTTGGTATAATTCGTCGGCGGTGTGAGCCCTGCTATTGTGGGCAGGAAGAAGCAAGTAACAGGGGCATTTCCTTGGGGGCCCGGCACCAGAGAAAGGATCCTTTCCTCAACTTCCTCATCAACAACAATCAATCATTTCCTTCTCTGGAGGTGGCGTCTCCACCTTCACTTATCTACTGGGCAAATTTGCAGCCTGAAAGTCATGGTTCTGGATCCATGAGTAACAAATGGATGGATTACATTCCAAGGTTTAGCAACCCGCGGCACCCACATGCTCAAAACCCCTCCTATGCCCAGCCGGTTTCGCGCTTTTGCTTTGATCTTCTGATCTTCTGTGCCGTACAGCCAGTATGCCTTGACAAAGCGCTTCTCGTCTGGCCCGTTGCTCGCACTTCGGGATCTGGACGTCCATTTGCTCGACTCGGCAAGAACCCAGGCCCGGTTTGGGCTGCTCTAGCAACCGTTCTCCCTTGAGATGCTCTCCGAGTCTGGAGCGGATGGTCTAGGTTAAGGAATTTGTTGTCCCCGCCACCACAGAGCACGCCCGCGTCCCTAGCGGCAGGCCTACAAGAGGCTCGGGTCGACATTGGATTTGTACCAAGGATGAGTGCGTGGCATTGCATATGGAAGAGGGAGTTACGAACAGTGACATGTGCGAGACGCGTGTAAGTGCAAACCAATCTTTGTCGACCCCGACGAGGTCGGAGGCGTCCTGCGAGCTGGAGGCGGCCCCATTCTAGTAGCCTGGCAGGACTCGGACGGTGTACTTGCCCAGCGGCTGCCAGTCTGGATGAATAAGAAAGCATATGACTTCGAGGAGATGTAGAATGCCTCTGCCAAATTCCTTGACGAAACGTCGTCTCGGTCGGACGCAGGCTGCAAGAACCGTGACACAACTACCCGGCGCTTGCCAACCTACACTGGCAGGACGCTGAAGGAAAAGACCTCTCGCCCCAGAGAACTTCCACCTGGTAAGCCGTCCTGAATTTCCGCAAAACGTGCAAGGGGGAAGACAAGGCAACATGCCTCGCCTGTATGTTGGACCTGGACGTAAATTACATTGTGGAGGCTGACACGGCCAACCAGAGGATGACCAGGCTCTGAGACCTCGTCAAGGTGGCACCAGTTGGAACCCCATTTACGCGATACTTCAGGCTGCGGGACGAGCCGTTCTGACGGGCGCCCGTATTTGTGTTCGACCAGCGGATCTGTGCTACAAGACAAATCGCGTTACGCAGCGATACGCGAGGACGGCCTGCGCCTTCAGGCTCCAGGTTGCGTGTTGAACACGGTTCTTCCGGCCCTGTCACTCCGGCATAGTTTTCATTTCCGTGATGAGACGGAGCTTACTTCGCCATCTTCTCAGTCCATGACACGGAAAAGTCAGAAGGCTTTTGGGCCGGGACTGATGCAGAACTCTATCATCATGCTTGGAACCGTCGAAACCCTGGCCCTGAAGCCGCGGCTGAGGTATCGCGTTACCAAGATATCTCTGGATGAGAAAGAGGTGAAAAAACACCCTTTTGGCAACGGTGAGACTGGTTTGAAGAACATGTTGACTTGGCGGTCGTGCCGGAGGAAGAGGGGTCAGACCACTGTAAACAGAAAAGATCCAATCGAGAGTGCGGTTTACTTGATCAGTACTCGTCTCCAACCTCAGCAGGTATGGGTTCTCCAGTGGAACAAATATATGTATGGATGTATATATATATAGAGAGAGAGAGAGAGAGTAGTAGTAGAAGAAGAAGAATCACAAAGCAATATACTAAGAGTTACTATATAGTATGAGCCTACGAGTTTCGAAGACTCGGTAATTACCTGCAATATCCATTGGTAGAGTCCACGGAAGTGGTAAGCAGCAGAATTTCACTGCGCAAGGGGCAGCAATGAATTGAAATTTAATGATAAGCAAAAGAAGAATGTGAAAAGAAAAATAATATTCGATAGATACGAAAAGAAGAAAAAAAAGATAATCAAGGAATTAAACCTTGAAGGTTGGACACACTGGGAATCGAACCCAGGACCACTCCCAAATCTGCGAACCGAAATTGCTAAGGGAGTATTATACCACTAAACCATGCGCCCGGTTGCGGTTGTTGGAATCACCGTTAGAAGTATTGACTATATACATAAGCACTAGCTCAGCGACGATCTTTTGCTTTCATTGGCGCCTGCTGGGTCAGGCTTTGCGGGTCTTCCCATGAGCGGGTTCATCTGCGCCACACCGGGCAGGCGGTGAATATTTACCCTGATTGCAGGGATCTGGGATCTTCCGGGTAGACCCTTGGAAACAGTAAAGAAGGAAACAGAGGAAAAAAAAGAAAAAGAAGAAAGACAGGGGGGGGGGGGAAGAGAACTGCGTGGCAAGGAAGCCCAGAGCGAGGAGCGATTTGCAAAACTTGGCTTAGCCAGGTGGGTAGGTGGGTCGGTGCTATTGTTCTGTATATGACAGTATGTATATATCTACTGTATTTTTTATTATCCGCACTGAAAATTGGACGATTGTGCAGCCTGTTGCGCCTCAAGTGACAAGTCTTTTGAAAGGCTGACGTCTGACTTGTGTGCTGTAATCAAGTCTTACTTGGGAGACGTAAATTTCTTCCGACCTCCGGCTTCCAATTCAAATCAAACAAAACAAGCCAAGTGTCTCACAGACAGAGAACAACGAGGTCATTCAGCTCTACGTATCGACTAGCCGCACGATGGCATGATTTGTAGAAGCACTATACTTGACAGTTGGTGCTATGAAAGGCGAGATAGGTGTGCTGCATGGTAAAGCGCTCACCAACCTCAGCAGAGCAATTCCTCCCGTGTGGCTCGCAACACCTGCTTAGAGTAATAAATTCTATCAGGATCTTGGTATCATAACGTGAAGGTACATACATGTACGAGGGAGGCTCACCCACCACGCCATCAACACAACCACCAGCATATTCCTTTATGTATCCTTATGTTGGGCATTAAAACAACCAACAAAGGCGCGGTGGCGGAGTGGTCTAACGCGATAGACTAGAAATCTATTCTCTTCGGAGGCGTCTGTTCGAATCAGGCCCGCGTCGAAACGATGTAATGCATCCTTTTTTGAAGATTTTTCCTTTTGCCTCTCTTAGATTCGTGGGGCCCGGAGTGGGCACTCGGAGGGTTGTGGAGGGCCGAGCCCAGTCGGACGACTCGGCGAACTCCGCAATAGGTGAGTCTTTTTTGTGGGTCCTTTCTTTTTTGGCTCTTATGTCGAGTCCTGCTCAATATTTGATGTGGCTTTGCGGCAATTAACATGCGGTTCTCTAGATAGAATCAAGTCGACGCCTATGCCTGTGAGGACTCGTCGACCGTGCACTGCGGCTGTTCTTTTTTTGGGGGGGGGGGGGTGGTGGAGGGGGCTGTTAGTGTATAATTACTTGAATGTGCACTTCTAAAAGGAACACAGCAGTCATTTCTTACTTTGGAGGCCGGTGATGAAACATCCAAAGAAACCGCAAAAGGGACGACATTAAAGTCAGTAACAACTGGATGCGCGAAAGAATCAAAACATTTACTCTTGATCGTGTTATAAGCTACACTTCACAATAGGCTGTTACCCAATTTTAGTTTCGACACGGAACATCACACCAAAATACGAGACGGAGAGAAGGGGTTCATATTACCCTCGCAAGGCAAGGAAATTATACGAGAAAGAGAGAGCTCATGAAAAGCAGTTTGGTGCCAAGAAGCAAAGGATAATTAGTTAGTTGAACGTGTAGGACTAGGTTGTGGATGTCTGAGGGAAAGCTCAGCCAAAGTCTGCTGCTGAGCCAAGATTCTCCTCGACACCCTACTGAGGCAGCACTAAAAGCCTTACTATTTGAAAATCATTTACATACTTACGTGGTTTAGTCTCTGGACCGGAAGAACCATGGGTGAAAAAAAAAAGTATAATAATACTTCATTCAATTTACTTATACATCAATATAACACGTCCCCCAATGCGGATAACTCGGAACTTCTACCATCCTTTTGACTGCCACCAAGCAGCCAACCAATCGCATTCTCCAAGCAGCATCGCAATGAGTGCCAAGACCGAGAGGAAGTTAATTTGCCAACAGACTGAAATGCCGAAAGGGAAGCTTCATCAAAAGATCCAAGCATGAACTCGTTGTGGTCGGCACAGACGTGCAATCTTGTTTTCCCTCTTTGAGAGCAGTCTCGACAAAACTCGAAGGTCTGGCCAACTTTAAACATGAAGTAGATGATTGATCATAACTCAAATCTGATACCTATAGCCCGTCGAAGCATCAACGAGCCAAGTCTTCTCGTTATTGATGTTGGGGGGGGGGAGTGGGGGGTTCATAAGTACAAGGTAAGTTTAAAGCCTGAAACGTTCCCCTCGGGTTATCTTTCCGCCTTACGCCTTCTGCCTCGTCCCGCCTTAAAGCATGATTGTGCTTCACATGTTGGGTCTTCTAGTCTTAAGGGCGCATCTAGGGGTCCTCCTTTGGAAAGGGGGAAAAAAAAAGGGGGGGGGGGAGCTAGACCTTTAGTGCCGGGTCTCGTGTGTTCACTCACATGTATCCTAGGTGGTATCGCCAAGAATCTGCTTTAGATTTACTTTGCAAGCACGGTGCGTTGAGTAATGAATTGAGTGGTCTCCGTCTAGAAACGTTCTTTCCCCCTTCTTTTTTCCCCAGAAGGTTTTCGCTTAAGCGATAACAGTTGATTGGGTTAAAACCAGAAAAGAATACCCCACTCTCTACGCGACCATGGATGGGATGCTGCTTGATGTAGGGCTGGAAAAGGGGAGGGGGGGAGCCCGGATGTTATTAATCAAACCTTATTCTTATACTCCTGATGCTATGACGATGAATGATGGGTTTTGTTGTGAGGTCACCCCACCGCTTTGGGCACTCTTAAGGGCCCAGTCTGCCTTTGGAAAAAGGTTTGTTCTACTATAGAGGTAAGTCTTATGTTACTAGTGTCGGTATGTCTTCACGCACGGATGCCCGTGACGTACATTATATATATATATATAAATATATAACTGGACCCTGAGATACGAGTCGTACCGTAGTAAACAATGATCTACAACGTTGCGGATCGCCGCAGATTGATCAATGCACTGTGGACGGGAGTCCCTCTTTCTATCTCCGAAGGTGGTTCATGTCCACTGATTGGACACTCTTTACGATATCTCCAGGTAGATGTGTTCATGATTCCATGCGCTTAGAAACTCACACTGAAGTTCGCTGGCAGAGCTTGGCAAGATAAGCTGCAGTAGACACAATAAGACCAAGGCAAGAGAGGTTCGGTCGCGTAGGATCCTGAGATATTTTATGCTCTTTGCATTTTGATATGGTCGCTATCTGCCTTGCCATGGCCCATGTCCGAGCACCCGACCCAGAGTCCGTGGAAACCCCGCTGTGTCCGAAATCGCTTTGCTTCTCTCCGCCCAACTCAGGCCGCCGGCGCCTGAGACTCATAGAAAAATGTATAGTAAGAGACCCTTTTTATCGTTGTTCGTACATCGTCTAAGCACAGGAAGGAAGAAAGAAAAAAAGCTGAGGGTATATGAGATAAAGGGAAAAGAAATCTAAAGGTCTTGGTTGTTGAACCCTCGTATTAAAAAAAAACCCCCCATTTGAAAATCGCCCGCTCCATTGCTATGCCATATAGTCTTGAGATCGAGGGGAAGAAGACGAAGGGGTAAAAAGTCGTATTTGGTGTGAAGGAATATTGCTGGTACAAATTGATGATCGTGTACAAAGCGTGGTGGGCCCTGAGACCCTATTGCTCAGAAAGACAAGCCTGCTGACTTCAATTCGCTGGCAAAGTCATCAATGACTGGCAGGGCCAATAGAGGCGGGCTGCTGACGACAGACACGGGTGCATCAGCAGCGTCGTCCTGAGATGGAGAGGGCGCCTTGGTCTCCCCATCCATGGACGTTCGTGGAAGGCGGTAGCCTGCAAAAGCCGTGGCCGGAGTAGGCTGCTCCATAGACTCGCGGACTATAGGCTGCCTCGGCGGTGACAGGCACTCGGTGTCGATATCGTCGTCGTCGGCATCCGAGTGGTAGAAAGAGGGAATATCGTTGTCGGTGGTCGTGGGCGAGTCCAGGTCGGCGTCGGCGTAGTCGTCGTCGTCGTCGTCGTCGATAATGGACCCCTCGTCAGAGGAGAGTGAGAAGCGCGACAGGGGGACGTCAGCTTCCTCAACCTGTTGATGTGATTGCTTCTGGTAAAAGGTGGCAGACGGCATTGGGGATCGTGGTGAGAGTGTTGGACGGTCCTGTGTGGCAACAGCCTTCAGTGTGATGGTTGATTCGTTCTCCGAGAGGCGACGAAGTATGTTTGATGAGGGAGGCGGCGGCGACAGGATGGTCTTGGGTCCACATTCGGAGACAGCTGAAGCGACGACGAAGTCATCATCGTCCTCCTCCGCAATGTCATCTGGAATAGACAGGCCGAGCCGTTCTGGGGATTGGACCTCCGAAGACACAGGCGCCTCGTCCATCAGGAACCTCCTCAGCGACTCTGGTGACATGGACCGTGTGCCTGTCGACTCTGATGCGACAGCGCATTGTTGCTCCTCGGACAATGATGGTCTCGACGCTGGAGTCTCCACGACACTGGGTTGAGGCGATGATGAGGCGTGCTTGCGGTTGAAGAGCTTCTTCGGCGACCACCAGCTCGGCGTAGGTGTCAACGGGAGTGACCGGTCAGATCGTTTGTGCTTCAGGCCCTGTGCATTGGTGGTCGGTAGGCGATGTCTCGGGCCCAGAAAGTCAGGAATAGCCGGCAGGACAGGTGCTGGCCTCGGGGTGAGAAACTTGTCGTTCGGGTCCATGGTCATGAAGTCGTTATCGTTCATTGAGCTGAGGGATGCTCTTCGTTTCCTGTTGGACTTCTCCGTCGGGACCACCATGATGTTGACGGTCTGACCTGGCATATATGGGCAAGTAGAGGTCGAGGGCCGGGTCGGGTCATGAGTCTCACGGGAGCCGTCCAGCTCATACTTTTGATACCAAATGTCAGTTTGCTGTACTCTATGCGCCAGGCAGGACTTTCACAAGCGAGGGCCCACACCAACCACCCACGTACATAAAAATAATAGGGCTGGCCCATTTTCAGGCCACCATTCCTTCTAGAAGGAGCTGGTCGATCTCCGTCACAAACAATATCCTGGAAGGTGTGGCAGCCTCGCCACTGTCCTCGATCCCGTCGCGAATCTCGTTCCATAATGTATTGTTTTGAGAAGTTGTCCCAAGAGCCAACAAGGGAGACTGTCTGTACTGATGGATGCGTTTCACTGTTTTGATGGGGTGCGTGGAAACGAGTTAGCTTGCATTCCGGACAATGTCTTTGTATTATATACAACAGGAAAAGATCAAAAAAACAAAACAAAAAAAGAGATAAGACAGCCAAGGCTTCCATATGTATGCTTTCTCTCTTTGCAAGAAATATTGTGGAGACTGGGGTATCAGCTGGACAGCACACTGTTCAGCCCACCGGCTTGGCCGGTCTTTGCTTTGCTATCAATCTCCCGGACGACGATGACGCCCAATACATGGGGAAATCAGATACGGGAAAAGATGCGTGTAGGTAGGGCTGCCATGTGGCGGGCAAGGAACACAGCAGGGTCATCGCCCAACAAGCATGTTCAGGCTGACGCCACTGTCAGGTACCCGCCCCAGGCTATGCGCACAGCTGACCACGAGCTGCAAGGGACGGATCCTACTGCAACTCTGTCATTCGGTACGCACGGAGATTGATGCAGCTGGGCAGTGCCTCGCCAAAGGGGGAAACTTTGTCGAAATGCAGGTCATGGAGAAACTCTCCCCAAAATTGAGAGAAACACTCACGACGAGCCAAGAGGCCAGAACCAAAAGTCTGTCAGGCATGGGGGTCGCGGGGGATCGACAAAAAAGTAAACAAATCAAGCAAATAGAAAAGAGAAAAAAGTATTTGCCTTTTTCGAGGAGATTAAAGGAAAGTGGCGCACAGGGTAATGGGCGGTGGGTAATGAGGTGGCACAGCAGAAGAAACTCTTGTCTCTCACAGGTGGGATACCGAGACAGGTAATTTTGTTTTGGATAAGAAACAAAAATGGATGAAATATCTCCGCCAAGGAAAGTAATCATCAAAAGGTAAATTTTGGGGGAAAAAATATATACTCACAGCATGAACGTAAAAAGAGTAGTTGTTGGGTCCATGGCAGTGAGTCGGGAGGTCAACTCCTCGTAGAGTTTCAAGGAAGAATCAAGGACCTCGTGTAAATCGTGTCGATGAGCGGAGGCTCCGTGCCTTTTTCATGCGCAACCTTCTGTGACTCCAGCTAAGCGCCAGGCGCCAAAGCCTGTCGTGAACTGAACCTCACCTGCAGCAAAGTCAATCCGAAATAGACGCAACAATTTGAATTGGAGGGCACAGAGCCGTGATCCCGAGTTGGTGATGAGCCAAGTCTCCAGTCGAAGCGGCCAATGAGGAGCGTCGTTGTCCTTCTCGTTGAAGCGCCCTGTTTCCAGATGCAGGCAAGGTGTCGAACACGGCGCTTGCCGACACAAGCACGACAAGGTTGTTTGGCACGCTGCTCGTGGCCAACAGCACACTGGGTGACCGCCACACCAGGATAAGCTGCCTGAAACGAGCGACGCCTCGCAGTGTAGGATCCGGCAGTGTGAGATGCGCCGTGGTACGCTACACGCAGCGTGGCAGTAAGCACCCAACACGCAGTTGCCAGATGAAATGCTCGGTGGAGGGCTATAATGCAACCCTGGGCCCTTGTAACCTAGAAAAAGAAGGAAAAAAAGGAGGCCAGACCTAGAAGAACCAGAAGAAGAATTTTTTTTTTTTTTTTTTTTTTTTTTTCCCTCTCTACCCTGGTAAGGCGTGGCTCGAGGCCGTAGAGTCGACCAGTCGGCGCTGCTCGTTGGATACTTCAGGGCGCGACGGGCGGGGAGGCCTGCTCCTGTCGATATAGGCGGTAATAACCTCCTCTGCCGAGCTGCGCCTGGGCAGAACGATTTCAAATTGGGCCACAGCCAAGAAATTGGAAGGCCAGGCTGTCGAACGACAAAAAGTTTGAGGCCAGGGATCCAGACCGCTCTGTGTGAAGTAAAGCCCAACTGTCTTTCGGCGTCTCAGGACAGTTACCTCTTGCCAGCTGGACGAGGCGGCGCGCCCGGTGATTGAAAGCGACGATTTCTGCACAGAGGTTTAGACTTTTCTTCGTTTTCTTCTTTTCCTCCTCCTGGTCTCGCCAGCGGTGTTATTGCAGGCTCACAGGGGATGATGTGGGTGGGGTCCGATTCGGAGTTTAGTCGAGGTCTTCCTTGCGAGAGGCCCTGAGATTCAAGAGTCAAAAGCAACTCAGACCGGGGTGTGCTTCAGGAAGGCGAAATATGTATATCCTGACGACACCTCGTTCGTTCAACTTTGTCGTCGGCTTGATGACCCAAAAACGGCCGTGCTTGGAGTTCCAGAGTGTAGGTTAGAGATGGGGGAGGCTGCAGAAAGGTGTCGGAGAAAAGGGGATTGAGACTTTGTCGAACAAGGCACCGCATGAACAAGACATAGTGAGACGCCGGGGGCCCTTCTGGTGTATTTACATATTGAAACAGGTTTTCGTTTTCTTTTTGTCTAGGTCAGTTTCTCTGTCAGTCCCCCCCACGGAGAGGACAGAGGGCGAGGGAGATCCCGGCAGTAGTTCGTACTCTTTTGGGCATCGTGATGGCGATGGACACAAGCTGTGCTCAATCCGTATCAAGGCTGAAGAGCCTATTACATCTGTAGGATAGTGTTAGGGGGGGAAATAAAGCATCATCGTGACATCGTGGGGGTCGACCTGCCCCATCATTCGCTGGCAGCTAGACTGGCTTCGACCAAGTACGACCAAGGACAGGATAATGCAAGTGGTCCAGGTGACATCGGTGCCGTCTTCATGGTTAGCGTCATCGATAAACACCTGCATGGTCTGCTCCGACGGTGGGCCTCGTTAATTTGGCCCTGCAAAATTCAGGTGCTAAGCTTGTCTCAGGATCCCATTTGGAAAAGGGGCGCGCGGTTGGTCTCCGACGCGGACCCTCTCTCAGATCTCGCAAATTTCCCCTGGAGTTAAGGTTTATAATCGTCCATCTGCCGGCTACCGGTCACGCCCGAGCGGTCGGTACTGGCCATTCCATCCATGGACACGCCCTGGCCCATCAAACATGATCGACACAAATCTCATCATAGCCAAACTCCTTCACAGGTCACGGGCTGCGAGCGAGCGCCGCGATTTGTCTGTGGCTTGGTTGACGAGCCTCTACATCTCCACTCTTTCGCATCGTACCGCATCGTGTCGGAGGATTGGATCGGACATCGCTTCAAGCGACCCTCAGGGACCTGACATATCAGTCGCCACCGTACGACACTGCTGCGACCTCCTCTAATGTGGGACAGCATCTTCTCTTCTCTCACAATGACGACGATGACCCAGCAGCAAACAAAGTCCGCAGACATAGACATCTCATCCGTGACCGTGCGAATCGTGCTGTCCCATCCATACAGTAGTAAAATGATTGACATAGGATCAAAGCTCCTATCTGACATGCTGTATAATTAGCTGGCTGCCACATGGGCACCGGATGACACGGGGCTACAAGTCCCCATCCACGTTGATAGCTCTGGGATGAGCCCAGAAAGCTCTCGGTCGGACTTCATGCAGGCTGGTTCTGCTAATCAGTCTGCCTGCTGCCGGCGAAGTAAAACCACAGAGGCTTCATGAGCATCCCAGGCAGCCCCATCGACTCGAGTCCGATGAGGCTCTTGCGTGGTAAATCGAGGTGTCACACCGAAGACGAGGTCAAGACTCTGCCAGGACTGAAAGTCAACCCACCCCATTTCGAGTCCTCAACCGCAAAATGGCGTCCCCTCCGGATATTAGAAAGCAGCCAACGGGTGCCTCAAGACCGAGGGGAAAAGCTCTGAGCCGAGACACAAACAAAAGTTGTGCGTAATCTCCTCTTGTGTTAGATCGCACGAAAAGAAGACCGAGAGGTCTCGGCAGATGACTTATGAAAATGTAAGTTGCGATTCTTAACTGTGTGCGCAAGCAACAAATGTTGGCGTCCACACGAGGCCGGACGAGGATGCTAGTGTTTGGAAAATTGCTTCTCTTTTCTACCATACTCTGTCCAGCCAGCCCATTATTGCTTTTGGGGTAGTCCTGACTCAGAATTCCCCAGAGTTGGGAGCAGAGCAGCTGCGGCTCAGCTGAGTCCGCGAAGGGCGCCTCAGCTCAACTCGGCGCGCACGAGGGCGGCCGGCCCCGGTTCACAGCTGTCGATTGTCTCTCCACTGCGGTTGCTGGGACGAGGAGGAAACAAGACATGCGACCCCAGGACTTTTTGTTTTGACAGAGACGCGTCTATGGCTATTTGGTGGTGACTGACCGACTGGATATTTTGTCAAATGGCAAGTAGGTCCTCCGTTTCTGGGGAGGCTGGATCTCTGCCGTTTTGTCATACGCGTACGCGTATTGTGAACCAGGAACGCCAATATGACAATCGGCCATTCCGTGTTCTCGGTCCTGTCATATCGAGATTTGAAAAGTGCTGTCGACTGTCACTGCATATGACGTCCAAGTCATCGGAGCCAGCAAAGAAACAAGCCGGTGCGTCCTTCCAACAATAATTCAAGCCATGGCTTCATCATTCACTAAAAGCGCTCTTCAAATGCAGGGGGGCCGGTGTACCGGCTTACCCGTAGAGTAAGAATCCAAGGAGCAAGCTCCTGTATTACTATTATTACCTGCCGGTAACAGCAGTTGATTACTGAGACCAAATCCCAGCACAACAAGCTGTCGTACCCTCGATGGAGCATGTCAAATGACGACGCAATTAACTATGTACATTTTGGTTGCGGTAAAAGAAATGAGAAAGAAGACAAGAAAAAGGAAGCTGTTAAAGAAAGAAAAAAAAAAAAAAGGGGGGGGGGGAAAGATATTCTCTGTATCCGCACCAGTCTAGTCAAGTCTCCGGCTTGATCCTCTCATCCATCTCAAGAGCCTGTAAGGAAATAACCGCAAAAACGCCTGCCATGCCGAAGGGTGTCGTGGACTGTTAATTCAACGTGTCGTTTTCATCAATCCAAATCCACCACGCGCAAATGGGAAATCCTTTTCCCCTGATATGTACACAACCCAGCGAAGGGATGATGGAATCGTCCGTAAGAGTGAAGAATCAGGAACGAGATCTGCACGATGCAGGCCGCCACGTGGCAAGAGGACCACAGCACCAAAGCCTACTGGGCCTTGGCATCTTGACCCTTCCTCTCGCTCTTCGCCCTGGCGTTCTCTCTCGTCCTCTCGTATTTCAGGCTCGTGTCGCCCTGCCACATGGTGCCCAACCACTTGTCCCAAATGGTGAAGAAGGGTTGGCTGAAGTTGGTCTTGATGCCCCAACTCTGGTGGTGGATGTCGTGGTATGTGGCGTTGTTGCTGGTGATGTGCTGCAGGGGATCGAAGGGCAGCGCGTATCCGCAGTGATCATCAACCGTCTTGATGGTGCTAAAAATGTAGAAAAAGATGGCCATGCGTGGCGACATCATGCTAACCTTGTAGGCCAGACCGGCACCCGCTGTGTCGAGCACAAAGCCTTCGACTGGGTGGTTGTAGAGGGCGCCGTAGGCGTAGGGTACGTACAGCCGGTGGTGGCGGGCGTGCCAGTGAGCTGCGTTGGGAGAAAGAAGATATCAGATGGTTAGCCAAAAGCACACTGGCGGAGGAAAGGAAGGAATATAGCGAGAGAAGTATCATCAGCATCAGAGGGCGGCGGATTTCAACATACTGTACATCCACTTGTTGACGTGCATGGCGCGATGCCAAAAGTACTGCCACGAGTCCATGAAAGCCACCGCAACCCACATCTGGAAAGCAGGAATGACAGCCCAGTAGATGGCCTTGGCCAGCACCAGCTCCCAGGTTGCAAAGGCCGGCACAGAGGAGGCGGCGTCCAGGCCCGTCGTCAAGAACGGATAGTGTCCACCAGCCAGCGCACCCGCGAGCAGCGGATGCGAGGCCGACATGTTCTTGGAAATGGCGGCAGCATTTAGTCCGAGCAGCCCAAGCACCGTCGGCAGCGCCCCCTGCGCCAGCCTGATGCGTGTAGCCCAGACGGCAACTTCATAATTCTCCATACCCGTCATCTGCGCGGGTTCGGTCAGCGAGAGCACGGCGGCGGTGATCATCTGAATGATCTGCTCGATGACGACGTCCCGAGCGACCTGCCACCGCGAGGCCAGGTTGCGCTGGGCGATCTCCTCCGGTGTGTGCAGTCGGTACTGTGGGAATAGGTCGTATACGTCGATGAGGTGAAACATGCCCGATATTAACCAGTAGGCGACATGTGGGCCGATGACAGACAGCCAGAAATCGGAGATGATTCCGGGGAAGAGGTCTGGCATGGGCTTGATGCTGTACGCCGGAAGGGGCGGAAGATCGCTGACCACGGTGCTGTTGGTCATGATGGCGGATGTCGACATCGCGACAGTGGTCGGAGAGGCGACCATGACACGACGGTCTCGAATCGATGCAGAACAGGGACGGTAGAGATGGAGGAAGGGGGACGTGGGAGGAAGAGGACGACGACGATGGTGGTGGTGGCAGTCGTAGTGGTGGCAATTGGTGGTCTGATTCAAGGTCGTGTGTTGTTTGCGCTTGGGGTCTTTATCGATAAGTCGCACTGCAGAACTCGGGAGGCGATGAGTGACTGTGGTTGCTGTTGAAGGGAGACCATAAGGCTAATTAGATAGGAATTCGGGTGATTGTGGTTGGGGCTGAGAATTCCCCTTTTCTCTCCTTGTGATAGTGTAGAGAAAGTAGTGTAAGCAATAGAGAAAAGGAGGGAAGAAGGAGAAAAAAAAGGATAGGCTTGGTGTAGTAAGCTGTATCGGGAGAGGCGAGGCTTCCGGTCGGTCGTCTGGTCGGAGTTTTGGGTGGACAGGTTCGTCCGGTTTGGGACCGGCGGCGTGTGGTTTTTAAAACAATCTCGCTAGCCTGTCAGTCAATCCTAGCTTCTTCCGAGGATCTCCTGTTGTTTGCCACTGCGTCGAACCACTTTTCTGTAGTTTACCCAGGCCTTGTGCCAAGCAGATGGGGGTTTGTGAATTTGGAAGTGGAAAAGGGGATTTGATCACTTGTTGTGTACTGTACTTAGTTGCTGCTCAGCAGCAGTGAGTGAGTGAATTGGAATGCGAGCCTTCTTTTCTGGCGACATACCAGAAACACGCATGCAATGCGGTCTGTCAGTATGTCAGTCTGTCAAGTGGGCATTAACATTACATGACATGACATGACATGCATAAAACAGCCTAGAAATGGTGTCTCTTGGAAATGATCAAATGCAACCCTGCAGCCATGTACACGCTCAAGTCTGGCTGACTGTTTGCACCGAATGTTCCGGGTGCATGTGGCAAGTTGAGTGGTACTATCAACGGTCCACCTATTGCTGGTGGTCAACTGTTAAATCAGGTTAAGATGGTGGGGGTTCATTTAGGGCCCCCAGTCCTGGCCTGGCTGTGGCGAATTGCTTGTTGTCCAACACTCAGTGCCTTTTATTCTCCTCTATTGTTCAAGAGCTGGGTAGATAAATTACCAGGTGTCGACTCTCTGTATACTTCTTATCCTTTGCAGATTCTTTGCAAGTAGCAGTGAAATTTTGGCCGTGAAACCTTTTCTTTCTTCAACCTGCAGTATTTGTCTGGATTCTCAAGATATTACTCCTGTTTCCATCCGCCAGTCATGAAAAGACAACACAATACTTCAGACTAGGGAATAATTGTGCCTCAGTGTTAGGCTTTTGTATGATAGCTATTCCGTCATGTCTTCCTTCAGGGCAGTTGTGCCACCCTATCAGGCAATTGAAACTTGTTGAGACAAAGGCTAGACTGCCAAATGACCAGAGAAGTGCCCTGAGTGATCATCAGCCTTTGAAATGTGAAGCGCCCGAGTGAGGGAGCACCACCTTCTACAACCGCAGATAGGCGCTGCTGCACTGGCAGACTGGGTTGATAAAAGCCAGGCGGCTAATCCCTTTTCTCATTAGCGTCTAGACCCCTCCAATGACCCGCTTTTGGATTTTCTGTTTGGTCGGGCAAAGCTGCCCTTGAGTACAATTTTCCCCGCGCTATTCGCCCAACCCCTTCCTCGCCAAATCTGTCAGTCTAGAACGGGTTCCCCTCCTTCGACTTCTCTCTCACCTTTCAGAAAATTTTCCCATCCCTCCCATTCCTTGAGCCCGACAACACCCTCTCTTCCCCTTTGTCCAGACAAACCCCCTACCGGCAAGATGATTATCTTCAAGGACAAGATCACCGACGACGAGATGATCTCGGACTCGTACGACCTCAAGGAGGTTGACGGGATCGTCTACGAGGCCGACTGTGCCATGATCGAGGAGGGTGTCGGCGACATTGGTATGCATATTTCCTTCATGGGCTGCTTGTCTCCCAGATGGGGGCAACGAAAGCTATTGCTGACGGGAGTGTGTGTGCTCGTGACAAACAGACATTGGTGCCAATGCTTCCGCTGAGGAGGCTGGTGATGACCTCGCCGACGAGAAGGTCAAGGTCAACAACGTTGTCGCATCTTTCCGTCTTGTCAGCACCCAGTTCGACAAGAAGGGCTTCCTGGGCTACCTCAAGGGTACGAGGAAATACCCCTCCCCAAAGAACTTCCTCCACTACGCATCCGCCCACAAGAAGACTGTCGTCTGGCATTTCCTATCTTTCAATACTGACACATGTACTGTGTACAGCCTACATGAAGGCTGTCAAGACCAAGCTCCAGGAGGAGGGCAAGTCCGATGAGGAGGTCAAGGCTTTCGAGAGCGGCGCCCAGAAGTTCGTCAAGGACAAGCTGCTGCCCAACTTCAAGGACTTCGAGTTCTACACCGGCGAGTCCATGAACCCCGATGGCATGGTTGCCCTCCTCAACTACCGGTATGCCCATCTTTCTTACTCACCCAACCTCCAAACGCCCTCTGGTATGACAAAGGCCGTAGCCACTAACTTTTATTTTCCAGTGAGGATGGTGTCACCCCTTATTTCATCTTCTGGAAGCACGGCCTGAGCGAGATGAAGGTCTAAGGGGAAGGAGAATCGAGCTCCTGCTCTTGTTCCTTCAACTTGGGTCCTGTGGTTTCTTCATACCTCCCCAAAACCAAGGGGGATTAGACGATCAAGCGCTGCGCAACTTGAAATCTGGCATACACGTTGTGCAAAAGAGGAAAAAAAGAAAAGAGAATATACCAGTGACGACATCAGGATTGTCTTGTCGAGACCCCAACCAAGTCTTTTTCAGAAGTGAAAATGGCCATGTTATCACTATGCTGACCCCAACGCCTGTGCTATGCTCAATGACCATCCTCGTCTCCAAAAGACAGCCCACAGCAGTGCACTTTTTACTAGAAATTCGGCCGCGTTGACATTGGAATCGGCGGAGGCTCATCCTCCCTCGCAGCACTGCCAGCCCCCATGTCGGGCTTCTTCTTGGGTGGGGGAGGGGGAGGTGCTTTCTTCTTCCCTAGCATGCCAGCTGCAGCACCGATCGTATTCAGATGCGACTGTGCTGCTCCTGCCGTAGACTTAGGACCACCGCTCTCAGCAGCTCCGTCATGCCCACCCCCGTTGTTGCCCAAGTACCCTCCGACCTTGCCAGATACGCCATACTTCTGGTCCAGCCCGTTCGCCGTTTTGACACCCGCAGCAACCTGCTCTCCATGCCTTTGGCGGAAGTTGTTGGCCGTAGAGGCCGCGCTCTTCGCATCTGCAAGGGACACGGAGCTAGGGTTCTTTTTGAAATCGGACATGGTCTTCATGGCGGCCTGCTTCTGCGCCCACGTAGTCCCCTGGCTAGGCGGCGGCGGCGGAGATGGTGTAGACCCCGAAGCCGACCCCCCGGCGCCCACGCCAAACCTGCTGAACCGCGACTGTAAATCGCCCACGCCACTAGACGACGAGCTTTGCCCCGAAGGAGGAGGCAGGACAGGCCTGTTTGCATTCCCACCACCGATGCCCAGTCCCGGCACTGAAACCCCCGCCGCGCCGAGCCTGTTCGCAGCGCCCTGGTTCAAAAACCCCGCCTGCCCTGCTACGGGAGACGCACTGTTCGCCCTGGGGGGCAGTCTGGGCGGGAGACTTGGCGGTGGGGGCTTTGTCACGCCACCACCACTACTACCCACTGCTGTGTAAGGCGGCGGCGGTGGTGTTGGTGCAGATCCAGGGCTCGAACCGCCGGCGCCGTCTCGTCTCCTCGGAGGTGGGGGCAGGTTGGCCGTGGAGAGGCCGGTCGTGTCGACACGGTAGGGCCTGGGCGGGGGCGGGGGCTCCTCTACCGCTGCGGCGTGCTGTTGTTGGGCGTACTGGTGCTGGCCATACTGGTGCTGGCCCTGCGAGGCTGGTAAGGCAGAGGAGGAGGATGAGGAGGAGGATGACAGCGGCGGCGGGGGGAGGATACCGCCGTCTACACGCTTGGGAGGAGGCGCAAAGGTCGACGGGTCGCGGAGCTGGGAAATGGGTGTCGACTCATGCTGCAGGCGGGGGTCTTCCTTCTTGCGCCCAAGTACTGCGCCCTATATGAAGGGGAGAGATGATCAATACTTTGGATCCTGTACGATTAAAAGAAAGAGGTGGGCTGTGGTATGTGGCAACGTACTACTTGGTTCCTCAATCCTTCTTGGCCCTGTAAGATGGTTGGGCGGTGGTGGTCAGCGGTGAAAGTGTCTCGACGACCAGAAAAAGCAATGGGGACTGCGTACCAAGTCTGGATGCCACCCACCCTTAGCGATGCCTTTGAATCTATCCATTGTGAGCACCTGAGGGCATTTCGGGAGAGAAAAAGAGAGAGTGAGAGAGAGAGAAAAAAAAAAGTTCTGAGGAAAATAAATCAGAAGACTGAGTGCTAAAAGGGGCTCTTTAAACCTCGTGTTGTATTTTATGTCCTGATCAAAGAAAGACTGCGCGATATCTCATAGTGCAGTGGCTATCTGGTTATCTGGTACAGCAGAGGGTGGGTGGACTTGCTGGTTGGCGTGACGTAAGGCTCAGTTGGACCCCTATAAGTACCATAGCATGCCTTCAGTGAGCGATCTATTGGTCAAGGGTGGTCAGTCTTGTCAGGTGTTGGTCAGTTACAGGCTGGCGTGCGGCGAGTTGCCCTGGCACCAAACCCCCTGGAGAGCCCCAGCCAGCCTGCCTCGGTTGAGTTTAGTTACCAAACATCCCTCCCGTAGGGCTCGCGGCTAAGACGCGTCTTGCCCGTCAATTCGACTTCCTCTAACCTGCACTGCATGGTTCGACACATTTTTCTCTTCTCTCAAGATGGCTGCGGCAGATAATGATACCGAGCTCCTGACGGAACACTTTGGCTACCCTCCAGTCGTGAGTACACCTGGAACTTGAACATATTTGAACCTTTTGCATGCGGAAAAGAGACTAAAACGTTGCGACAATCGCAGTCCCTTATCGACGAGATCATCAACAGCATCAACATCCTCGCCGACAAGGCCCTGACCAGCGTCGAGACCGGCCTTCTCAACGCCCCACCCACCTCCCTCGGATTTGGCAGACCAAATCCTCTTTCCAACACCACCAGCAGCAACGCGAATTCCAGGTCCAAGCGGAAGCGCAAACAACCTGAACCCCCGCCCGCCGACGACCCCGACGATGCAGAACCCCTCACGCCCGAGCAGATCGAGGAGCAGGCCCGTGCCGAGATCGCGGCCGGTACGCACCAGCTCGAGACGCTGCTATGCACGTCCATCGACCGCAACTTTGACAAGTTTGAGCTCTACGTCATGCGGAACATCCTGTGCGTGCGGCCTGAGGACCGCGACTGGATCCGCCTGGGACACTACGAGGGGCTGAACTTTGACAACCTGCCCGCCTCCGCCCTGCAGACAACAAGGGGCCATACTAGCGACGACGACGGGAGGATGGACATCGATGATGCTGATGTGCAGCGAGACGACGACGAGAACAACCCCGACACGCCCACCATCGCCTCTGTCGAGAGACTCCGAAGACGTCTCCAGGCAAGCCAGAGACTCAGCACGATGCTCACGGCCGAGAGGGCGAGGAACGACACGCTTCTGCGGGAATTGCGCGCGATCGCGGGCCGCAACACCGCCGCAGCCGCAAAAGAGGACGAGCCAGAGCCGCCCCTGGCGTTCCTGCACAACAAGGGCGACCTGGCACAGGCGGACGCCGCGACGCCGCTGACGACCACGACGGCGTTTGCGCTGAGTCAGATGCAGGCCTTGCGGGCGCTGTCGGCGAGCCTGTCGGGCCTCATGCCGGACTTGAAGGGGCCAGCAGCTAGCGCCGGGGAGGACAGCGTTGGTGGCGATGCCGCCGTGGTGGATGCGACGAGAAGGACGTGGCGGAAGGAGAGGGTCGAGTATGTCGAGGGTGCGGCAAGGCGGCACCTGGAGACTATCAGGGGTCTCGAGCTGGGGCGCAATGGCGAGGTGAGGGATGGCGAGTGGCAAGGGGACGGCGCGAGGTTAGGAGTCGGGGAAGTTGGGGCGCTAGAGGGCGTGGTGCAGAGGCTGAGTAGAGAAGACCAGGGAGGAGGCGATGAGGATAACGGCGCCGAGGAGATGGAAGAGGACGATGATGGCGTGGAGTAGCAGACACGCCCTGAGCTATGGGCCCTGACAGCTTTCTGTTCTGGCCTCAGGCAGACAGGCACACGGCTGGGGAAACATGGCAAGACTGGCGCTGGAAAGCTATTTCTTAAGACATGCAAGGGGCTTCAACACGAGCTTAAGGCTGGATCAGGGGGTTTCTCTACGATTTCGGCGTAGGAAGGCGTTTCGGTGCAATGAAGTGGAATCGGGACAGGCTGCACGGCTGGACGAGAATTGATTATGAGATACCTTCTGGACTGTGCAAAGTTCATCAGTTCTATATCATTCAATACATATATTCATGTATATACATATATGAATACATCTACGAATCATGGCCACATCTTCTTGTATGTGCACCAGGGTACCCGTCGACCTCACAGATCACTCTCAACCTTCTGCGGTGTATGCCCATGCATCCCTGGCCCACGAACCTTGAGCTGCTCCCATTCCGCCCTGGACAGCAGCCCGCAGTCGAGAGCAAAAGCCCAGAATCCATGCCTCCAGTATCTGTGCCTGGACCTCTCGGACCCGTTAGGCAGCCCGGCACCAAACATCTCCACGGCCACAGGCGTTGTGGGTACAGCATGCGCATGTGCGTTCATACGGTGCAGTCTCACATGGTCCACGACCCGCCTGGCCTCGGTCATCATGTTTTCGCGCACGAGACATCTCAGGAGGTCCTCGAGCGCCTCCAGGGTGATGGCCGATCCGGAGAGGCTGCTGACCTGCTCGAACAGGCCGAACGCACGGTCCAGGTCACCCGCGAGCGCATAGCCCCGAATTACACGCTCCCAGAAGACCTTGTCTAACCTGCGGCCCCTGTCGAGAAGGACACAATGATGGCTGTCGAAGCCGCACTCGGCGAGTAGCTGATTGACCTCGTCGAGAGCCGGCGGTGTGCGAGAGAAGTAGTGGTCGAGCAATATGGTGTATATGTGCGGGCTCGGCTGTAGGCCCTTGCTCCGAATGTGGTTGTAGATGGCGCCTATGGCGCCCTCGGTGTGATGATGGCTCTGGTGGCCGTCGCGGATGACTAAGTGCATAATGCGCGCAAATGTCTCCATGTTGGCCTTGACGCCCTCGACGTCCATTGTTTGGAGGAGCTTTTCAACGCTCCTGCGCTGCTCGTCAGGGCTGGTGTTCTTGATATTGCTAATGATGCCGTCGAGGAGAATCGTCCAAGTAGCGCTGTCGGGCTGGACTTTTTGCTCGTACATCATCTTCAAAAGGGCATCAATCTGGACCGCGTCGCCGTTTCGTACGAGAGGGCCGAGAAGTGTGTTGTAGGTGATGACGTCCGGCTCAACACCGTTGTCGGAGGCCCAGGTGAGGACTTTCTTAGCGGCCGACATTGCATTGAGGCGGATCAGACCGGCGACGGCGGCGTTTACGGAGTCGATCTGCAGAGGAACACCGCCTGGCTGTGTGGATTGGCGCAACATGTCACTGAGAGCCCGCAGCCCGGCCTCAGGTTGACGACAGTCCATGAGCCCGACGATTCTAGCCTTCCAGACCATACTGTCTAGCTTCAGGCCGGATGCGATGAGCCTTCTCCAGACGTTCTCCAGGCCGTTCGGATTTTTGGCTCTTCTGCAGCCCTCAATCATACACGTCCATGTCTTCAGCGTGGGAACGACGCCAACGCGCTCCATCGAGTTCCAGACATCAACAGCCCGTTGTGGCCGTCTGAGTGCAGTGAACACCATAATGAAGGTGTCCAACAAGCCCTCGTGCATTTCCGTAATGCTGCCCTTGCCAACGTGACCATACTGGTTCCAGTAATCTGTCCATGCAGCCTCGACTGCCGTCACATCACTCAGAGCAAGAGCATTCATAATTCGACTCTGAAACCCAGGAATGCTGCTCTGAGCTTGCACCGTCCGACTTTGTGGCCCAGCATTGCGTGGGGTCTCCACGTTCACAGGCGGCACGGGTTTGGGTCTCTGTGGCTCGCGAAGCTGTGCTATGATTCCGTCCCAGCGTTGCACGACGTACAACATAACACTGGGATGAGGCTCCAACATCGAGTACATAGCAGGCCGTCGAAGCTCAACAACAGACAGGATATGGCCAATTGGCTTAAGCAGGGGCTCTGCCCTGCGCCGAGCGCGGACAGTCGAGTGTTCGGGGTCCATGAGGAGTACGAATGTGGCAAGGGCTACCGCAGGTACTTCTCTGTGCTGTGTAGCGAAGTTGTGAAAAAGCATACCCATAGCGCCTATCAGGTTGCCAGTTCTGGCATAGCTACGAAGGCGGATCTCGTTGATGTCTGGGAGTCGAAACTGCACCTCGGCAGATGTCTGGAGCTCTGATTCGTTGGCGGGCAGACGGTAGCGATGGAAGATGATCCACGATTCAACAAGATCATCAAGCAGCTCCGCCTTCCGAGCCATGGCCATCTCATGAGCCTCGACGCTGGGGTAGTCTTGCCTGGCGGGGCTCCTGGCGACAATATTCTTGATCAAGCCCATAATCAAGTCGGTCCATTTCGCCGGACTCAGAGAGTCCATCTCATAAAAGAGCTGAGTGATTCGGGCCACCGACGGCAGCCTCTCGTTGTCCATATCAGCCAACTTGGCCGCGGCGACTTTTGTCAATAGGTAGGTGCCTCTCTGCTTGACCAGGCGGGGCCTCCCAGCAGAGATGACTTTAGGCCATATGTTGGCCAGGAAGAAATCCAGACATGCCTCCATACTCTCCTCTCTCATCATCGGCCGCAGCCGGCATAAGTCATTGAGAAATTCCACAGTAACAGGGGATATATCTTTCGGCGCGGCACTGGCAGCTTCCTCCTGACCGCCCTGTTCCTCAACGACTTTTTTGAATATATCCATAGATTCCTTTTTATCCGAAGGGGCCATAGCCTTCTTGAAAGGTAAATTCGGCGGCATTCGCTTGGGCAGACGGTGGGCATGTGGTCTTGAACTGCGTATTTTTTTCGTTCCATCATGGCTGCGTCGTGCGCCTGGCGGCCCGTCGAAGTTCAGGCCATCGATCGAAGGGACAAAGTCGTTGTCTGGAAGCGCTTCTGTCCTGGGCGTCCCGGTCGATGCTGCGCGGATGTATACTTGCGTCTGCCACTGCGGTATTCGACGGGCCTGAGCGCGCTGCTGAGCAGCTGCGAGGAGCTGCCTGCGACACGGTGCGCATATCACCTGTGTCGTCTGCATGGCGTCCGAGTCGCCGGGTTAGAGGAGCACCGCGCAGCCCATGTAGCTCTGCAGGTTTTTTTTACCACATAGGCCTCGGTTGGAATGGCGCCGAAGCAGCCTCGGATGTCAGCGTCTGGAAGGGAATCGAAGATATGGCGGAAGTTGCGTTGTGCAGGCTGCAGCGAGCGTACAAGACATGTGGAGCAGGAGGGTTGAGGTTCGCGACTGCAGTAGAAATTCTGGGCCAAGGGCCCCTGCCCTTTCTGATTCTCAGTGTGTACTATGTAGTGCCAACAGTTGCAGCCGACCTCGGTCCCGCTGGGTCGGCTTTGACAACCGACGTCACACTCAACGGCATGTCAGTCTTTCACTTTGCACTTACAACCGTTCTTAATAGAAAATATGCTTTTGCTAATTCATCCACCTTTTGCTTCCTCTTCTTTCGCCCCTACATTCTCTGTGCATAGAATAGATGGTCCCCTGCTATCAAGCACGTTCAGACTTTTTGTTGTAGAATTGACTTCTTAAACGAACAGGACCGGAACATAAAGCGGGGCTGCTGCTACGGCCAAGTCTCACCCTGCCCTGGTCTCGTCGTTTATGTCCATGTCTTGTTACCTCCGTCCCATTGTGAATTGGCAGATGACTCAAGACTATCCTATTACATACTATAAGCCGACAACATGACGACCCTCCAGCCTCGCAGACCCTACACGGATGAGGAGCTGCGGCAGCTCTACCCTTCTGGCCTCCAGCTTCAACAGGTGCAAATCCTCCTCCGCCATGGCGAGCGGACACCGGTCTCGCCACGATTCCAGAATGCTGGTCTCAGGCCCTTCTGGCCCTACTGCACAGCTGTCCGCCACATGAGAGATGCCGTGCTTGAGCGGGGGAAAGATGGCAACGGGCAGGTCTTCACAACTCTGGAATGGAAGCGTCGTCTCGAGACCTTTGGCCCCAATGATGTACCTGTCATCGCGACCGGCCCTGGGGGTGAACTGGACAGTGTATGTGACATGGGTGAGTCCAGCAACGTCACTCTTCTCCCCCTGTGCTCATATTAGAAATACATATTAACTGGCATACGATCTCAAGGCATGCTCACGGACAAGGGGCGTCTTACGACTCTCGAGCTGGGTGAGCGCCTGCGCACTCTCTACGTCGACAGGCTTGGATTTTTGCCCAAGACCATCGACTCAGCCGACTTCATCTACCTGCGTGCCACACCTGTCCCCCGTGCTCTCCAGTCCCTCCAGCAGACCTTTACAGGCCTGTACCCATCGCATACCCGCGCCGCCGACTTTCCACCACCCACTATCCTGGCCCGGTCCCTGAGTGACGAGACGCTGTTGCCCAATGATAGCTCATGTCGTCGCTTCGCCATTCTAGCGCAGGCCTTTGGCCAGAGAACCGCTGACCGGTGGAATTCAACGGAAGAGATGGCCTATCTCACCAAGATCTACGGCAAATGGCTGCCCGAGGGCAGTCCAAAGGTCGCCGTGGACGCGAAACCCCGCCTATCCGGCATCATGGACACTGTCAATTCCACAGACGCCCATGGTCCGGAAACCCGACTGCCGAAGGAGTTCTACGACCCCAAAGCACGCCGGATTATTGAGAAGATTGGCGTCGAAGAGTGGTTTAGCGGGTACAAGGAGTCTCAGGAGTACCGGAAATTGGGTGTCGGCGGGCTGTTGGGAGACATCACCGCCCGGATGGTTGGCAGTGTGGAGCAGAACCCTGCAGACGGCGAGTATGAGCTCACGCACAAGTCTGGACAGGGCCACCGGGCTGTGAAATTCGGCATGAGTGGTTGTCACGACACGACCCTAGCCGCGTGTCTGAATAGCGTGGGCGCTTTTCCTGGTGACCAATGGCCCCCATTCACAAGCCACATCGCCTTTGAGCTTTTTCGAAGGGCCAGTACCCCTACAGCGGTGCAGGGCAACAACGGAGCTATCAAAACCGTTGATGCTGCCGCGGCTTCTTCTACGACGAGCTGGCTGCGGTCTTTCTTTTCATTTCGATCGGCCGCTGGACAGCCACCAGCGGGGATTGGTCGGAAACCTACGGAAGAGCTGACCGAGACCGAGAAGAGCCAATTGGATGGCTACTACGTCCGTATTCGGTACAATGACGAGGTAGTCAAGATCCCTGGTTGTAAGCCACAGGGCAACCACTTTGAGGGAGATGAGAGCATCTGCACATTGGTATGCTTGATGACACGTTGCGCAACCATTTTCTTTTTTCTTCTTCTTTTGAGCTTGTCATACTGACCCTACCACAGGCTGCCTTCAAGGCGATTGTTGACAAATTCACACCCAAGGACTGGAAGGAGGAGTGCAAGAGGGGCAGAAATGAGCCCGCTTTCCCTGTCCGCGAGGAGCCTGCTGGATACTAGCCAGGAACATTCTTCCTTGAGACCGTATGATACGTGGCTTGCGGCGGCAGTTTTAGGCACAGATAGACTCGACTCACTTTGCACACCCAGGGATATATGATTGGATCCTCAGGGAATGGGTAATAGAGGCACAGTTCTAAGTGGATTTTGCTATTTCTGCATGGTAAATCATGACCTGGTAAGGTAAGTCTTGCTTCTGAATCATCGTGTATCATGATTGCAAGTTTGGAAGGCATATTGCTTTTGACATTGGCACAACGTCCAATGCAAACAGAGCCTGGGTAGTGGGAGCCGTCACTTCTTTCTTTTTTCTTTCTTTTTTTATTTTTATTTCTCCCTGTCTTCCCCCCCCTTCCTTTTCCTCTGTTCTTTTCTTCTTCTTTTTACCTCTATGTCCTCTCCTCCTCCCTAATCCCTGCCTCAATGTATATAGCACGGGCCAAGCGAACGTCGCCAAGAAAGCTCACTCCTCCTGCCAGAGGGAGGGGGGAGGGGCGCAACGAAGGAGCTGGGGCCCGCGTTTATCCAATGTTTACGTGGCGCCTCTCGATCTCAAGCAAGTCCAGGTTCCACAAACCCCTCCCTCACTACCACCTCTTCCACGACAGCCGCGGCTGTCTCCAGCGGCGCCAGTAGCGGTACCAGGAAGGAGAAGAAGCACAGCATGCGGCGGATGTAACAGGCAGGCTTTCCGACGCTTATTTGGGTTCATCGGTGGTGGAACCTGCTGCCCTTCTCACCCGTCTTGAAGAAAGGATATGAGGTCTTGATACATGTATGATGCTTATGATGAGGTTTGGTGTAGGATCAATCTTGAACTAGAACACGCCAGGTGTCATCTAGGTGCAGCCCCCACTCCACCCGGGTCCCGCGTGGAGGACAACTTCATCCACATGTCTGTCTGAAGAGATTATGAAAGTCCAAAGATGAAGTGAGGAGGGATGATGGTGATGGCTTGGGGGAGTAGTTACTGCGGGCTTTCTAAACAAGCTATGGATGAAATGTATCCCGGGTGGCCTGGTCCTTGTGTGTCGGAACAGGTGCCAGTCAGATCCACCATGGACTCAGCTATGCATCATCGATGAAGCTATAGCTTCGTCTCCCGGGTAAGGGATGGAATGAAATAGCCATCCATCACTCTAACGAGGCGGAGGCTCCGGCTTGCGGAAAGAGTTCGACACTGCATCTATCACAGTGCCCCAGACAACCGAAACAGCCTCTCGGACCATCCCTCATCTCTGGTGTAAGATCTATCCGAGGCTATCAATCACGAAGCCGCAGCCTTTGCACGAGTGACAGGGTTCTGCTCCCGCCCCAAATCCTTAGAAACAGCAGCTTCCGCCTTGGCCCTCCTCTTTCTCGCCCGCCGCACTTCAATCTCCACCTCTCGCATCGCCCTATCCACAGTGACCAGCCGAGGGATAATGTGCTCGACGGTGTCGACCGCGCAGGACTGTGCCTGTCGTAGAGCGGGGGGCGTAAGGACGCCGAACCAGCGTATCGGGTCGGCCGGCACTTTCTTCTTCTTCTTCTTCTCCTTCATCTTCTTCTTCTCATCCCCCTCTAACTCAACCTCCTCCCCATCGTCCTTCTCATCATCCCGTTTCTCCCCAGCCTTTCCACCCCCGATGACGCCCTCGTCGTTCTCGTGCGTGGCCTCCTCACCCTTGCTGGTTCCAGGCTCTTCGGCGGCGCCAGCATCGTCACCACCGGCGGCCACCACGCGAAACGCAACGCCGGCCTCGGTCTCATGGATCACAACAGTCCTGCCAGCCTGCATACGCTCATCATAAGAGTCCGCACCATACCGCGCGCCGCGCTCGGCTGTAAAGTTTGCGCGGGCAAGATGCTGGAGGGTGGAGGCCTGTAGGCGGATGAGCTTCTCTCGTAGATCCGTGTACTCGTCGAGGAGGACGAGGTAGCGCTCCAGGAATCCGTCGACTGGGTCTGGGTAGAGATCCATTTGGTAATACTAGAAGGGGGCGGGGGGGGGGAGGAATTTAAGTTGGTTGAAGTGTGTGTACGTGTGGTTTAATAACTTTTCTGTTTCTTTCTGTTCTTCTGTTCCTCCTTGTTTTTACTCCCCACTGGAGACGTTTGGAAGGATGGATGGAGAAAAGAGGTCTCAGTGTTTGGGCGTTCCTGTTTCGAAACTATCGAGTTTTTGACCGTTTGACTTGTGAGAGAACAAGGATTCAGTGTCGAGAGGATGTTGTAGCGGGGTCAGAAGGTGCTACCCCCGGAATCCATACTTCATAGGCCTGTTGGCTAGCCTAACCTCTCAGCCGGCTTTAGCTTCTGCAAGCACTTACAATAACAAATCCATACCAATTTTGCCAGCAGCTCCCATTACCCTCTTTTTTTTTTTTTTTTTTTTAAAGGTGTGACAGGTGAGGCTGATGGTTGCTGAGCATAAGGTCGAGTGAGAACGCTAGCGGGGCGGGCCTTGCCTGACAAAGCTTCTCTAGAAGGGGTGGGACAAAAGAAGATAATGAGGAAAAAAAGAGCAGGAGGATTAATTAATGTCAGGGCGTCAACAAGAGAATATTCATATCAACCTCGGTTTCCCCCTTTTTCCTTTCTTTTCTTCTTTCCAAACACAATTATTACCTGTACAACTTTTTGGCGCTGAATAATAATGTTCAGGACGCTGGTGGAACAGGAATACTCGCTGCTTATGTTCTGCCTTGCAGAAGAACCAGACACGCAAGACACTTATTCCTAAAAGCCACGACATCATAGACCGGCCTGCCGTACTTGCCAGTCTCAAAGATTGTCAGAGACATCCGAGGAGTTCCTCTATTCATTTTTATTCTTAGCTTGCTTATCTGTTTCGGTCAGATGGGACTTTCACGTGTGCAAGCCTCTGGTTTCAGTGGCCGTTTCGAGCGGCGGGGTTCTATCAGAGCCGCGGGTACCAGACAGGCAAAGACCAAGAACAATGCCACATAAGCTAAACAGGATTTGGGGGGGGGGGGGTTCGTTGCTTCGGGTCCTGGCCTTTTCCTCCTTCTTTTAGTCGCGGACCTATGCCAGTAAGTGAGTAATGGAAGCCGAGTGCAACAACCACCCGCACACCGCTGCTGGGTGGTAGTAGTCAGACTTATGCCAGGTACTTGTCAGACAACGCCTCATCCTTGTCGACCATGTTATAGATCGCGAGCCTCAACCACGTGCGCGAGGGGGGGCCCAACAGGCGGCTTGGATGCAGGTCTCGCCCTGTTGCTGTGCCATTGACAGGGCTGCTGTGAAGGGTTGGTGTCTCAAGAGACTATATTGCGTGGCGGTCTGCAGAAGCAAGTTCCCGCGTCCATCACCAGATTGCTAAGGGCGAGCATGACTCTGCCACGCAAAAAGTCAAGTTATAGAAGAAAAGAAGAGAAGGAAGGGCAGAAGGGGGAGGGGGAGCGTGTGCATCCAGCTGCTGGGAACAATGCAACATCATGGAATCTATGCAACCAGCCTCTATATGAGACTGGAGATTCTTTTGTCTATCAATTAACTGGTCAAGGGGTTTGTTTGAAGGAATAGAATGGAAAGAAGAAGAGAAATAAAGTCTATCCTTATATATGCTGCGGCCAGAGAGGGGGGAGAGAGTCTCTTTCTCCCTTTTCTTCTTTTTTTCTTTTTCCAGGCCTAGCTGTGTGAGTCGCCTTGATGCATGGTGGGCCAGTCGCGATTCAATTCGGATAGGTTTGATCGACGATGTCCTCTTTTGGCCCTACTATGCTACCTCGTCGAGATGAGATGGTGTCGGACCACAGCAGGTACTATGGTACAAGCAAGAAACAAATTCTCCGCAGTGATGTGGCCAAGGACCTTCGTCTGCTTGGGAAGTTGAGCTGGCGAGGTCATATTAGCAAGGCGACGGCAGTGGGCGGAATGACGTTGACGAGGTTTCGAGGTCTCTTTTTTTCTGGTCCTGAGCTGCTTGGGGCTTCGTCGCCGAGGAATGGACATGGTCCCTGTGCAAGGCTCGGCTACCAGCATCCGGTCCATGGTCGGTAAGGCAACAACCACCCACTGCTGTTGGACGTTATCAGCCGCGAGCGGCTGGTCGAATCGGGTGGTACCACCTCTTCGCACTTGAAAAGAGAGAGTATGCCCATTGGCGGTGGGCCCGGTCTGGGCCCTAGCAGAACAAACCGACGATGGTCGTGCAGCTTACGTACCGGTGGAAAGAAAAGAAGAAAAGAAGAAAAAAGGGCGAGCGAGTAGAGTGGGCGGTATGTACGTCCTAAGAGAGAAACCTTTCAGAGACCTTTGGGTGAGGCCATCTCGGCACTTGAAGTCGGACCTTCTGACATGGTCTTGTTTCTCTTTTTTTTCTTCTTCTTTTATTCATTGTTTATTCAAACTGTGACCCAAGTACCGAGGACAGTCAGTCACGTTGATTGTTGGGGAAACTGGGAAGGGGAAATAGATCAGCAGAGGGGAGGGGCGAGGGTCTGAGATAGCAGAATGGTCAGGAGGAGTCTGAGGGAAATAGGGGGCACCAAAGAATGTTTGTGCCTTGTGTGGTTTTTATGATCAATAAGTGAGTGTTTCAAACAAAACATGAATTATTTGCAGCCGGAAAATTTCTAGAAATTGGCACTCAACTCCTATACTCAATCAATTGTCGAGATACTATGGACATGACAGTAAGTAGCGTGCAGTAGGTAACGGCAAGTGACGCCTTCCAGTAAAATCCAACGTCACCACACACACCACGTCTTAGGAGAAACTGACAAGCCCCCCCCCTCTTAGCCCCAAGATTGTAGGCAGCCCCATCAGGAATAGTAGCGCTATGCAGCCGTCCAGGACCCCCTGGGCCTGCTTGGACTTGGCCGTCCACCACACCCTAAACGCACCCCACTTCACCTCCAGTACCTCGTCCATCGCATCCATTACTCTAGTAGCCCGCAGACAGCCCAAGTCCAGGGACTTTCGTCCTCCCCCAACCAAGACCCGACATAGACCAAAAAGAGAACCAGGGCCCTAAAGGTCTAGGACCCAGGACCCAGACACCCCAAGACCCAGAACCCGACGTCTCTTTCATGCGATCCTCCTTCCTGCCGCTCTCGTCCTCGCTGCTGCCAAAGCCCACACATAGAGGGAGATCAACCACCTACCTACCTACCTAACCTACCAACCTAACACTACGACTTGCCGCCACCACCACCACCCGCCGCCGCCTCTCTCGTCCAATGCTCACGAGGCTGACCCCCTCGTCGTCCATTCAATCCAATTGATTCCTGCTCCGACCTGCCAACACAAAACACTCACTTACCACCCTATGTCCTGATCCATATTGACTGCGACTGATCAAGATCCCTATCGTCCGTGCCTTGTCACCTTCACTTCTAACCTCGTTTCCCTTCTCTTGACGGTCTTCTCTTGACCGCCCGGCTTTTTTTGTTTTTTATTCCCTCCACAGGGTGCTAACAATCCAACCTTTGTGTTTTTTTTCTTCCCTCCCAACCACTGCTGCAAACAAACTGCAGGCATACGCAGGACAATACACCCCAAGACGAGACAGAGTCTCAACCCAACATACAGTTCAAGTCACTTCTTAGATGTTCATAGCCCTTGCGCCTTCTTCGATTTCGAGTCTGGCCGATCTGCGAGCAGATACAGACCTTCCAAAGACCATTGGCCTATCCGTCCTCGACGTCTCGACCCACGCGACGCTTCTCCGATAAGCAACAATACCACAGCCTTCCTGCAGGGCCCTTTGTGTTGCACCATCGTCAAACAAGATCGACTGCTTCAAACCACACTCGCAATCGCTGCCCCCTCCGAGGTGCAGCACTGTCTCTTTGAAAGATGGTGGTCGCAACTATCAAGTCGGTACACCCTATTTCTCAACCATCACCACCACCACCAGCTGCTCGCTGCCTATCGATCCTCCCTCTTTTTCCCCCCTTCACACACCGGAATCTGATAGAGCCACGCCACGGCTCCGGTCCTGTACATGCAAGGCCACACCATCTTGTCTTCCATCCCTCCCATGTATCATATCTGTAGATTTGGCTTCCATTGGATCGCCACGTGCATACGTCACATTATCACGACCTTGAAATGCCGACGATTCTCCTTCCCTTGAAATTGCAGTTTGCTGATTGAAAACATGACTCCTTAGGTGCGTCGTTGTTGGTGATGGTGCTGTTGGCAAGACATGTCTGCTCATCAGCTATACCACCAACAAGTTCCCTTCCGAATATGTTCCTACAGTATTCGACAACTATGCTGTCACCGTCATGTAAGGCCGACCTCCTCCTCCTCCTCCACCACCACCACCTTCTTTTCCACGTTCTTCTCCGCGAGACAAAGGGAGCTTTGTACATCTGCCCATCACGCGCCCGTGTCAAAGGCGTCGCGCCTCGCGTCTCGATTCAGGCACACCCCGCTACCCTACTTCCATGTCTCAAAATCAAAGTACCCTTGATCCAGCCGAGCCTTTAAAACATGCGTCCGCGTGCTTCTAAGTCAAAATTGCAACCTTTTGGCTGACCCCCCGCTGCGTCTCAAATCTAGGATCGGTGATGAGCCATATACACTCGGCCTGTTCGATACGGCTGGTCAAGAAGATTACGACCGATTGCGGCCGCTCTCATACCCACAGACCGACGTCTTCCTCGTTTGCTTCAGCGTCACCTCCCCGGCGTCTTTCGAAAACGTTCGCGAGAAGTGGTTCCCTGAGGTTCACCACCACTGCCCCGGCGTTCCCTGCCTCATAGTTGGTACACAGGTCGACTTGAGGGACGATCCCGGTGTGAAGGACAAGCTGTCCAAGCAGAAGATGCAGCCTGTGAGGAAGGAGGATGGCGAGCGGATGGCCAAGGAGTTGGGTGCGGTCAAGTACGTTGAGTGCAGTGCTCTGACGCAGTACAAGCTCAAGGACGTGTTTGACGAGGTAAGGGCACCCTCATGCCGTCTCGAGACACAGCAGGAACATCTAGACCACGGACTGACACAGGACCACAGGCGATCGTAGCAGCCTTGGAGCCCCCTCAGCAAACAAAGGTTAAGAAGCACAAGTGTTTGTTGTTGTAGTCATACCCAGAGGCCGCGAGCGTGCTTATTCACCAGGGCGGGGCAACCCAGCCTTTCAAGGAACGCAGATATAGCAGCAAGTTCAGATGGGTGACTGGGACGACTGCATGGTCTGACGCCAAGCCCAAAGCTCTTTACTCTCGCCGCAGACGGCGGTGTTCCCCCTTGGGTGGGTGGGTGTTGTGGCCCTTGGGTGTTACTTGAGCTGCCCAAGGCGAGAAGAAGAGCAGGAGAAGCCGGCGAGAAAGACATCCTCAGCACCACGACTCGAGCCTGGAATCCGAACATGCTGGTGGATTTTTCTTTGTGGGAAGCATATAAGCAGGCTCTTGTTGCCACTTTCAGAAAGGTGCTTCTGATGAACATTGAGTGGTTCTGGGGACGAGAGGAGGCTGGTAAATGAGGACAGGAGGAGACTTCTCTCTCTCTTTTTATTTTTATTAGATCTGGACGTTATCGTCTTTTTTGTTTCTCACCCGTTGAAGCGACCTTTTTATCCCCCTTTTCAATACGAACAGATCTGGCTCCTTTGTGCACTGGTTGTCCTCAGCGCCCCGACAAGCATTTGCAGTGCAGTGCTCACGTAATGTATATACATACACACATATATATGTAGGTACATGTGGTTGCCAAATTTCCGCCGTTAAAAGTTGATGTTCTTGTTCTTCTTTGGCGCGTCCGAGAACTGGAGTAGAGAGTGGTAGATCTGGGGCCTGTCCCATCCAACATCAAGCTTTGCTGAAGCATATGCTACTGCAGGCAGTTCCCACCCCTTTCGACCTAATCCATCCCTCCTTCCCAGGCCAAAACCCCGCTCCCCTCCTGCTCCCCAGACCAGAGCTCCACGTATTGTGGAGTGGAGCTTCCCATGAGAGAGTACACACACCCTTCCTGAACCCGTGGCCAGACTCGGGTTGTCGCATCTGGTAGAAACGGTTCGTAGGCGTCACTCTGCCCAGAAAGCCAGACAAGTAGGCTGGGCGGCAGAGATGGTAGCCTGGGCCTGCAGGATATATCGAAGAGCTCTGTCTGGGGGGAGTTGCCTCGGAACCTGACATGATAAAATAAGCCTCGGCTGTGCCTCTTTCTCTCTCCCGGGAGTGAATACGTCGAGTAATTCACGAGCTCTTTGAATTTCTACAATTACCTTGATCCTCTCTATGAACCCAAAAAGATGAGAGCTGTTCCATGACCAAGCCGACGACATTCTTGTCCGGCGCCGGTGGTCCAACTTCTTTCTAGATGATCGGCGATGAAAAGGACAGTGACATACTCGTAAGGCATATTTTACTAGACACCAGTCATGAGCCTGCACGAGAGACAATCTCTCCTTGAGGAGATTGAGAGTGAGGATAGGGGAGGGTGCTGAAGGAGGAAATACCACTGCCGAAGGGAGGGGGGTTAGACTAGACCTGCAGGAGAAGGAGAATCGGGCCATGCAACTGTGGATTGATCATGTAAAAACTTGGATAAAAACGAGGAACTACACAACAGCTTCCACAGCAGGCCGTTAGACCAATGGTGTTGAGAGGGATCATCAACAACACCACACAGTAGTCGTCTTGCATAACACAAACCACACTGCAGTGATGGCTAAATGGGAATATAAAAGTTATACCCGAGCTTGTGGGGGGGGGGGGGCACGATGAGCCACGGCACAGGAGCCACGCGCAATGACCAGAGTTGCGCGCACTTGCGATAACACCCAGTCGTCGAGCCATATGTAATACTTAAGTAATTCCCGTGCGGACACATTACTTACAGCAGCGTAGGTGAAGCCCGCCAAGCCCAAGGCCTCGATTTTTATCAGGCGCACACCGATTGCGGATCCACTCACTGCTGCCGGGCCGCCTCCGATCGAGGGCCGTAGCAGCAGCTATTGAACATATAGGAATTACATATTACCAATCAAGGTCGAGGACCTCATTCGTGACTTTCTCTCTACCTCACTGTCTCTCCTCTTTCAATCTCGCGCTTTGTTGCAGGGAACAACCAAGTTTTCCAATCGCTGCTTCTTCTACTTTGCCCTCCCCTCTAAGTAAATATACGAGCGAGCTGGCAGGCGTCGACGGTCTACTTTACTGAACATATTACCGGGTGTCGCACACATCCTCACACATACAAGCCCCTTACACAGTGAAACTTGCGTCCTCGATCCCGTCATACCACCATGAGAGGACTACAGCTCCTCCTCGCGGCGGGGCTCGCCTCGCTGGCAGCAGCCTGTGGTAACCACGGGCACGACGACCACGAGTGGACTGCCGAGGAGCTCGCCGAGCTGGAACACAAATGGGGTATGGAGGTACGTATAACGCAACTGTCTGAGTAGAGCTATATCTGCCCTTTATCTTTCCGGGAGGACAAAGGTGCATGAGAACGGAGCGTGGAAGTCACCGCCTTATGCACTTTGTCAGCCACCCAGTCAGTCGTGGGCGGCAGCGAGGTTATCATGCGAAGGGGAAAATCTTTCTTTCAACGTCTATATGATAGGATATGCCTGATCGGTTGGCTGCAGCGGGGGTAAGCATGTGCAACTGCAGCAGACCGGCTGTATGGCATGCGATGGTTCTATTATTACGCTCTTAAAAAAAAAGAAGAGGGGGGTCAAAGGAAGAAGAATAAAATTGCGAAGAACGAGGCTGACACAGGGCTCTCTGTTTCCCAACCCATTCAGTGGCCCTTCTCGGGAATAGGCAGTTTTGCGCACCTCCAGCATACCAAATGCCTGACAACGCCGTCGGAGCTGTTTGATATTGCCATTATTGGCGCCCCGTTCGACACGGCTGTGAGCTACAGGCCAGGTGAGTTGGTAGCTCCTTCTCTCAACACCTGCTTTCCCAGGCGGCTATTGGCCCGTCCTTCTAATCCTGGAGAGGAAGAAAGAAAGAAATGACTAGTGCCTTCCCTCATTAATTATTATCATGAAACCAGGCGCAAGGTTCGGCCCACGTGCCATCCGTCAGGCCTCATCGCGGCAGACGAGCTTCAGGGGCTTCAACCCCAGGGCCAACATCAACCCATATCAGAACTGGGCCAAGATCATCGACTGCGGCGACATCCCCGTCATGCCCGTCGACAATGCTGTGGCTGTGCTGCAGATGACAGAGGCCTTCACAGAGCTGGGCAGCCGATCGCCTGTGTCGCCTCTCCTGCAGAAGCCCAAGCTCATCACCCTCGGTGGTGACCACAGCCTTGCCCTGCCGGCACTGAGGGCTCTGAATAAGGTTTATGGGAAACCCCTGCGGGTGTTGCACTTTGATGGTAGCTGGGCCCCTCTGCCTTTCACCTTTAATAAATCTTCTCTCCTGCTGACGACGACTTTGCACTCCTGAAGCCCACCTCGATACCTGGCACCCAGCCAAGTACCCCAGCTCCTGGCCCTCTGACCAGGCCCACTTCACTCATGGCTCCATGTTCTGGCTCGCCGGCCAGGAAGGACTGCTGATCAACGACACCACCCGCCCCTCGGTGCACGCAGGCCTGCGCACCCGCCTGTCCGGCAACGGCTGGGACGATTTTGACGACGACACCTCCCAGAATTGGGTGCGCGTCGTGGCCGACGACATCGACGACCTCGGCACCGCGGGCGTGATCAAGACCATCCTCGATGCTATCCCAGTCGACGACCCCGTGTATCTGTCCATCGACATTGACGTGCTCGACCCGGCGTTTGCGCCTGGTACAGGCACCCCGGAGCCTGGTGGCTGGACCACGCGCGAGCTGATCCGTATTCTGCGGGGAATTGAGGGTCTGAACGTTGTCGGGGCCGATGTGGTCGAGGTCTCGCCGGCGTACCAGGGCCAGGGGGAGGAGACGGCGCTCGCGGCTGCACAGGTCGTCTACGAGATCTTGAGCTCGGTTGTCAAGAGGGGGATGGAGGAGATGGGGAAGGAGGGAGCGGCCGAGGCGGTTGAGGATACCAAGGACGTTAGAGATGAGTTGTGAGGGAGCCCAGTGTGTGATTGTCCACACGTTGGGAGGACATGAAGCCCGGGAAGGGGAGGGATGAGGATCTGGTAGGCCGCAGGCTGGTGTTCAGAGCCACCCTGCTTCGTCGATGAGGCGTTTGTACGGCCTCTATTCTTTGGGTCGTGTGTGCTGTGTAGCAGTAGCACAATCTTTGCAGTCTTTGAGATCAGACTCTGCTCTTGGGTCCAAGAAGGCGAGGTATTGGTCTTGCTTATGTTAAAGTGCTTTCTGCTGGACCAAAACTGCTCAGCTGGTAGAAGCACTGAAATACAATATATATATAGTGTATGTACATATATATGCTATTTTTTGTTGTTTTTATTATGTTGGTATTCAGGGTTTCTGTCAAACAGAGGGACAAGCACTGCCATGCCGTTATGCCTCCATTTGGTTGTTCATATACATTCTAAAGTACAGCAGTGTTTTATCGTATCTGAACAAGTGAGGGTGTGTGCTATCTTGTTGCATCAAGCATTTGCTCAGCTTCGATCCAGACCTGATAAACTGCCCGCTTTGCTGACTGCTGTAGTTGACAGTAGACAACACAGTGGTTCATGCTTTCAGCCTTTGAGATTTGGTTTATGTAGCCAAAATATGGTAGTCAAGACTTCATTTCATGGTACTTTCATCTTGATGAGACAGTGTGTTCCGATAATAGGCATTGACCCGAAGTGTGCTTCAGGCTTGCAAGATGTCTTCAGTGAGTCACTGCAAACTCGCAAAACCCCTGTCCTAAGTGATACAGCCAGTGACTCAACCCCACCAGATTTGCGGCTGCTGCTACCAAAGCTCCCACTCCCTTATCTTTTCTCTACCCCACCACACTTTGTCGGTCCTCAAACTGCCCAAGTCTCTCTCAACTATTCAAGGTCCAGTCTCAAAGGTCGAAACCCTTACCTTGACTTCTGTCATATTTCTCTTCGTACTCAATCAATTGGCTGTCGGTGACCAACGATACCGTCCTTAGAAAAGAAAATGGCAGCCATACAAGAACTCGCTGAGCGGGTCAAGCCCGAGGGCGACAAGTGTTACGTCGACGTCGACGCCGGCCTTGATGACTCCTCAGTCGACGGATCAGAGGCCAAACCCTACAAGTCTCTGGCCTATGCCATGATCGCCAACATCGAGCGCCCCTCGACCACCTACCTGACGCGTGCCTCCAAGACTGGCGATGACCCGGCCGAGGCCCTGCTGTGGAAGGAACCCGCCAAGAGCGCCGTCAAGAAGGCCAACTCCGCCGTCGATGCCCACAAGAAGAAGCAGGCCAAGAAGGCTGCCAGTGATGCCAAAGAGGAGGAGGCCAAGAAGCAGCGCCTGGACAACCTCGAGGCGGCTAAGAAGATCGTCATCAAGCAGGACCCCAGCCTGCCTGAGGCCAAGAAGATCCGCATCGACGATAAGACCATAGAGCTTGGTGAGGGCGACAAGAAGGGTGCGAGGGTCAAGGTGTACGGCCGGATCGACCAGCTGCGGCCACAAAAGCAGGCTGTAAGTCTCCCGCCAGCCAACGAACGTATGCGGCGGTGCTTGAGAGGTTTTGTATATCAGGAGGCTGACACTGGGGGGGGGGGATGGGGATCTTATAGACCTTTATTGTCTTCACGGACGGCTATGGCCTCTTGCAGTGCATAATACCAAGCGGACCCCTCACGCAGACCTATGCCGCCCTTACCTTTGCCAGAAGCACCTCGCTCGTCCTGTACGGCGAGATGAAGAAGGCGCCGCCCTCTGCGAAGACACCTGACAACCGCGAACTGCATGTCGACTACTACGAGGTTCTCGGCACCGCGCCCTCGGACATGGATGCCATTACCAACAAGGTATCTCACACACAGGATCCATGGGAGGCGGACATGCTTGACAACAGGCACTTGGTCCTGCGGGGAGAGAAGGCTTCCTCTGTCATGAAGATCCGGTCCGAGGTCGACTATGCGTTCCGGCATCTGTACAAGCAGATGAAGATCCGCCAGGTGTCCCCGCCTGCGCTGGTGCAGACGCAGGTCGAGGGTGGCTCTACGCTGTTCGGTTTTAACTACTATGGAGAGGACTCATACCTCACGCAGTCCTCGCAGCTGTACCTCGAGACGGTACTGCCGTCCATGGGCAACGTATACTGCATTGAGAAGTCGTTCCGTGCCGAGAAGAGTCTGACGCGGCGCCACCTTTCCGAGTATACGCACATCGAGGCCGAGCTGGACTTCATCACCTTTGAGGACCTGCTCAACCACCTCGAGGAGATGATCTGCGGTGTGGTGGACATGGTCTTGTCGGATTCTGAGATCGCCGAGTACATCAAGCAGGTCAACCCTGACTTCCAGAAGCCCAGCCGTCCATTCTTGCGGATGAAGTACACTGATGCGATTGACTGGTAAGCCCCTTTCTTTTTATCTCACCCGAGTTGGACTTTTCTTTCAAGCCGTGCTGACGCCGTTGCAGGCTCAACGCACAGGATCCCCCCATCCTCAACGAAGAGGGCAAGCCTCACGTCTTTGGTGATGACATCGCCGAGGCAGCCGAGCGCAAGATGACGGATGCAATCAACAAGCCCATCTTCCTGACGCACTTCCCTGTGGAGATCAAGGCCTTCTACATGAAGAAGGACTCATCCGATCTCCGCGTGACGGAGAGTGTGGACGTGTTGATGCCCGGCGTGGGCGAGATTGTGGGCGGCTCGATGCGTATGGAGGGATACGAGGAGCTGGTGCAGGCATTTAACAAGCACAGCATCGACCCCACGCCTTATTATTGGTACCTGGACCAGAGAAAGTACGGCACGAGCCCGCACGGTGGTTACGGTCTGGGTCTGGAGCGTTTCTTGGCTTGGCTGGCTAACCAGCACACGGTCCGAACGTGCTGCATGTATCCTCGATTCATGGGTCGTTGCAAGCCTTGAGCGCATGCCTTTGTCTTTCTTTTGGGAGCTGCACGTCCTTCATCTCTCTACGTTTTGAACAAGGGAGCAGGGCTGGTCGCAGCTAGCATGAGAGAACCTGATCGATTCGTAACAGAAAAACAAAAACAAAATCAATAGACAAACTATCCAAACATCGGGCAACGAGGGCTATTTGGATTGTCCATCATGCAGTGGTTGACGGCTGTGTACTATAGTAGTATCACATGGCTCGCCCTTTGAGTAGGCCTCAGTAATCAGTATCGCCCTGGTCGCGTGGCCCTCACAGCCTCACAGTCAAAATTCAAGGGACGTTTCCAATTCTCCAATGCAGAACAAAAGATCCATGAAAACATGTGGGGGGTGCTAGGAAATGTTAGTGTGCCTCTTCTCCTTGTTCATGCGGATGCGGCATGCAGCCGTTGAGTAGGGCCAGCTTGACTCACGACCCCCCTCCCCGTCCCCCTGCGGCGAGACATGTGGGGTGAGGGCAGACGGGTATGGCTATGATTATTACTTTATTCATTTTATAAAAGAATCAATTGTGATGAACAGCAAACTTTGTTAGGTGGCATAGGGTCGAGCTATGGATTATCTATGCTCTCTATTGAGGGTTATTACATATTCACTCTGGCCCAGTGCCAGTCAAGTGTAATTGTAACAGATCATGTGGAAGACATCTATCAACAAGGTGCTCCTGAGAGGAACAGGGTTTCTCGGTTGCGCAGGATCAAAAGAAGGGGAGAAAAACGTGGGCGGCAGGGATTGGCTTTACTCTCTTCCCCTTTCGCTGTACAGACCCTTTCCATCCACATTCTTCTCCTTCCGCCCCCCCCCTTCCCCCCACGCCTACGTACTACGCAGAGAGCAGGAACGCAGCTCGTCACGCCGTAGCCCTCTTTTCGAGAGAGACGAACATTGGAATCCTGTGTGTGTGTGTGTCTGAGTTCGTCCCCCCCTTGTTGCGTGTTCCTGCAGAAGCGTGCGCGCCGGACTTTCCCCTACTCGGTTGGTAAGCTCAAGGGAAAGGGGGAAAGGGGTGGCAGCCAGCAAAAAACGGTGAAGTGGCGTCAGCAGTTTCTCTCACTATACCTACTGTGGTGTCTGGTTGCATCGAGAAAGGCCCCAAATCTGGCCTGGTGTTTCGAAGGGGGGTGTGGGAGGGCTTTACCTCAAGCGAACACTGTCCCACCAATGTCCCTTCTTTCTCCTTCTCTCAGGCTTCCGTCTATTTATGATTGTCTGTAGGAGTAACAATACGATGTCGGGAGCGCGCGTGCGCGGCTAAACTCCACCTTGGCGCCTCAGGATCATGAGCGAGCGGGCGGTCTGGATGGCGGTCTTGTTGAGGTGGCCCTTTCTCAGAGGTGGGGGGAGGGGGGGTTGTTGGTTGGTGGTGCTTGGTCTCTCTGCTGGGCCAGACCACCTGTGCTTTGTTCAATTGGACCCCTTGCAGACAAAAACACACCCTGCAGGTGGCTTGGGGACAGATACAACATTAAGCAGGGGGGTGAGGGGGTGGGGAAGACACAAACACACGGGCTGCTATAGGCCTTCCCAAACGGAGAGACTCGGCCATCAGATTTTGTGGACAAAAAAAGAGGAAGAAAGAGGAGACCACCAAGAAACAGACAGCACGCCAAAAGCTGACCCGCCTGGAACGATCTGCTAAAGTGCTTAATCGATCTCGGCTGCGGTAGGAGAATAGACACCAGCGGTGCGCCTGGGACTTTTGGGTTTGCAGATCTTCATTAGAGCTGCCGGCCAACTCCCCCCCCCCAAAAAAAAAGAAGAAGAAGAAAGACACATGCGATCTGGTCGGTTCCCCGGATGGTCCCTTAGGGCTGGACCTGATGGATGGACCCCTGAATGGGTGGGTGGATGTCTGTCTCTCCCCCAGGCTGGGGCAAACTAGAGAAAAGAGGCAGGCGGTGCATGTGTCTATGATGTTTCGTTTCTTTCGGATCTCTTTCTCTGAAACGATGGTATACCCACTTGATCGTCTGGACTTCTTGCTCCTCCTTATTACTTTGCTAAATGAATACTACTACTGGTACTGTTTTCTTCAGCGTGACATTACTTTGGTCGGTTGTTGGGGAATGGGACGTGATGAATGTTATGATTCAGTGATGTTGATGGTTCCTGGTTGATGGTAAGGTTCCACAGCGCATTCTCACGGGCGGGCGACGTGGGCTGATCGACGCCCCCCCCCCCCTCCTCGACCAAACTTCTCTCCTCTCTCCCCTTCAAGACTTCGGTTCACACAGGATTGTCATTCATTGAATATAACTGGGAAAAGAAGCAAAGCGACGATGACAAAAACGATGATCTTCGGGACCGTGTCAGTGTCATGTACCAATGTTACTCAAACCGACAACGCTACTGCACAGGATAATTTCCTACAGCAGTAGATCGATTCTTTTGATAGAAATTTGGGCGACTCGGAGAATAATGAGATGAGAGAACCTGTGCATACGTACTGCTACTATGTATACAGTCATCTACACGGGACTCCCCGATGGCGTTCTCCCTCCTTCTTACTTACTTACAGAAGTGGCTGGTCTTGGTCATTTTCTAATGCCTGCTGCTTAGGTACTTGACTACGTAGTAGATAGTTGGCATCTCTCTCTTCCTTCCTCTGTCTGTCTATATATGTGTCAGTTCATTAATGACTCTATAGATAGATAGAGGTACCACCACAGTAGACTTGAGACAGGTCAGAAATGCGTATTATGGTAAACATTGCAGTGCCAAGTCCTGCTGGCCATGTTAGGGGTACCCAGGCCATGTGCAAAGTAGTAGGCTAGCTATGTTACTCTGTAATATGCACGATGGCCCCCTGGCCCAGACCCTGACCAAAGAAACGGACAAAAAAGACGGCTGATTTCAGTCCGTGTTACGAGCTTACTACAAGATATCGCGAATCGCAGCCACCCTATTGGAAGGCGCCAGGACCCTCATTCTCAAAATAGGTAACCATTGTCAATTCATCCATCAGTTTGTCAGTCAGTCATTCCTCCTCTTGGGCTGCGCATGAGGCCGACCATACTTGTATGCATACCTCCATTCATTCCCACAGAATTTGAGACTGCATGCCCGCCAGCTCGAATCACTGCGTGGAGTGGAGATGGGGGGAGAGCACGGAGGACATTGTACTGCCATGGGGCCACCATAGGGCCACCGTAGTGGTCGAGTTGTCCATAGTATGTACTACAGTGCCACAGTACCGGCGTGCTGGAGCTTATACTACATGGTACAGAGGTACGCTTGGCGGAGGGCCATGGCTCCTCTGGGAGAAGGCGTGAGGAGAGTTAAATTGCGGTGCCAGGGATGCCTGCACTTTGACGGTGGTCCTTGCCCCTTTTGGGTCAACACCCTGGGGGTCCACTGAGGCCTTCTCATTGGTGAGCCCACCCTTCAGGCAGGGCCCCAGCAGTGTTCCTCACCGCGCAAAAGCAAAGGGAAAGAGAAGAAAAAAAACCAATTCAGTAAAAGCCAATGTGTCTGGCGAGGGTCTGAACGTTGACGGTACAGTACAGTGTACTTGTAGTACGTACTCACAGAACCAAGTGCGGTTCCTTCGAGCCTTTCAACCTGCCCTGCGCATGACCTGCCCTGTCCTGACCATAGTACCTGCCCATGCCCACCCCCCCCCTTAGCCCTAGTTCCTTTTCCTGCCTGGATAGGCTGGGCCCTGGTCCAATTTTACCGTGTCTCCATGTCCAGAGAGGTCCTTTCTCTCCGCTCACCTCCTCGCCCCGGATCCTCACTCAAGTCACTCTCAATTTGACCTCCCCTTTTTTTCTTCTTCTTCTCTTCTCTTTCCGTGCGTGTTGGTTGCTGTCCTACCGATTCCTCTTCTTCTGACCTTCATCTTAGGTTCAGGCTCATCCTCCTCCTCTTTCGTTCCCTCATGTTCATTCTTGGATCGACCTTCACCTTCACCTTTGGCTTCGCCTTCATCCCTCTCCTGCTTCTACTGGTGGTACCTTCATATTTACCATACCATTACCTTAGATTCTGCGCATAACCCGAGCCTTGAGTTTGAGCTTCTTGTTCTCTTCTTCCCAACACCCCTCTTGCACGAGCTTCTCTTAATTTGTGTCGCGACTGGCCCTCCAATCCTCTTCTGTCCCAGCACACGCCCCTCGACCACGTCACCACCGACTTTTGTTGTTCGAATACTACACACTCGTTGTTTGGCATATATCTGTTGCAGTCATTTTTTTTATATTTTTATTTCGATTAGGTCCCCCACTCCCCGGGTTCCTGTCAGTCGTCCAATCTCCCACGTCGCCTGACGCGACAAGTCTCACCGCGAACGCAAACGAACACATCAGGAGCAGGCCTGAGCCCTCTCGTTGTCCTTGTCGTGGCATTGTGTCTGTTCCGCCCCGGCATTCTCCCCTTCGAATCCTCGCCAGGGCTACGGGCTACCTTGCCTTTTTTTTTTTTTTTCAATATCGGCCGTCTTTGTTCGACTACAAAAGTGGGAGCGTGTCGCTGCGCCAGTCTCGACCTTCCTGTCCCGTTCGACCAGCCCTCTGCGGATCCCATACATACTTGGTTCGCTGCACTTTGGGGCCTTTCGTCCTTTGATCGCCCCAGTCCCGGCTTCTTCGACCTAGCTTTCTTGGCTTTCAAGGTCTCGAGATCCCCGACTCCCGACTGGCCTGCGTGTTGGTATAAATCTGTTCAGCAGACATTCGAACCTGCATATACGACATATACTGCTGGTATTCTTTCGAATTCCTGGTTTTGGACCCCCTGCCTTTCAAACTTCGGTTGTTCGGGTTGGTTTTTTGAGAACAACTTCAGAAAAGAAGGAAGAAACATCAAAAAACAAGAGAGCCTCCCCAACCAATTGCAAGACGCTGGTGGTTGTGGAATCTCTTCTCTTCTTTTTTTCTTCTTTTTGAGATACCCATTTTATATTCTACGACCCTCTGGTGTCTGTACAACGCCGCAGACCTCCAACTTCTTCTTGACGAGTGCCTTCTCTTTTCGGGAGGCACCTCTAATCTTTTCAAAACGGCAGTCCTATCTCACGTCGGCCGGGACAACCTTGTCCCTCCTCATCTTCTCGGGATGCAGGAGCATCAACCAGGTCCCATTGGTGGTCAGACAGGCCCGAGCAATGGCCTCGGTCGCTTTGGTCACGCGTCCAAACCCTCCACGAGCGACACTGGTTTCTCTCACGGTGCCTTCACCTCGAACGTTTCTGGCTTTGCCGACAGGCACCCGCGCCGTGGGAACATCCCCACGATCAACACCCAGAATGTCCAGCAGCAGACTCTGAACCCGACTGTTGCCGACATGACCACTCCCGGCTCTGGCTTCGACATGCAATTCACTCCTCTGCTTCCTTCTCAGCTGCTCCTCGGCAGCCCCTTCCAGCCGGGTACCCCTGCTGCCTTTGCCGGCGGTCAGTTCCAGGGCATGGGTGCTTATCCGCAGGCTCAGCAGAACAGCCAGCACCAGCATCAGCAGCAGCAGCAGCAGCAGCAGCAGCAGAACGGTCTTGCCAGCCCTGTCCAGCAGCCCATGTCGCCTGGTGGCTATCAGGCGATGGTCTCGCCTTCGACGTATGGGGCGCCCCAATTTTTCGCCCCTCAGTCTCCTACTACGGCGTATGGCAACATGGGTGGGCAGATGCAGATGCAGATGAACCCCGGTTCTCCTGTGGCCATGAGCCCTGTTGGCAGCGGATCCAGCCGTACGGTCTACTTGGGAAACATTCCTCAGGACACGCCGGCGGAGGAGATACTGAGCCATGTGCGCAGTGGGCAGATCGAGTCCGTCAGGCTGCTCCCTGATAAGAACTGCGCCTTCATCTCCTTCCTGGACGCCGGTTCCGCCACCCACTTCCACTCTGATGCCATCTTGAAAAAGCTCTGCATCAAGGGACAGGATATCAAGGTCGGCTGGGGCAAGCCGTCTCAGGTGCCTACTTCTGTCGCCCTCGCCGTGCAGCAGTCTGGTGCCTCTCGAAACGTCTACCTCGGAAACCTGCCCGAGGAGGTCACGGAGGAGGAGATCAGAGAAGACCTGGGCAAATTCGGTGCCATAGACACCGTAAAGATTGTCCGGGAGAAGAGCATCGCCTTCATCCACTTTCTCTCCATTGCCAACGCTATCAAGGCGGTCTCTCAGCTTCCCCAGGAGGCCAAGTGGCAGGCCCCGCGGCGTGTGTACTATGGCAAGGATAGGTGCGCCTATGTCTCGAAGACGCAGCAGCAGAACGCAGCGCAGTATCTCGGCATTGCTCCTGGCTATGCGCACATGCTGACTGGCGCCGACCGTGATGTGATCTCCAGTGCCCTGGCACAGCAGTCTGTCGCTGCTGCTGCTGTCGCCACTACTGCTGGTGGCATCAACAACCTTGGAAACCGGACTATTTACCTGGGCAATATCCACCCCGAGACAACCATCGAGGAGATCTGCAACGTTGTGCGAGGTGGCCTGTTGCACCACATTCGTTACATTCCGGACAAGCACATCTGCTTCGTCACCTTCATCGACCCTACCGCGGCGGCCTCCTTCTACGCCCTGAGCAACATTCAGGGTCTGATGATCCACAACCGCCGCTTGAAGATTGGCTGGGGTAAGCACTCTGGTGCTCTTCCCCCAGCGATCGCCTTGGCCGTCAGTGGCGGTGCTTCGCGAAACGTCTACATCGGAAACCTGGACGAGACATTCACGGAGGAGAGGCTGAGACAAGATTTCTCCGAGTATGGCGAGATTGAGCTGGTCAACACCCTCCGGGAGAAGAGCTGCGCGTTTGTGAACTTTACCAACATTGCCAATGCCATCAAGGCTATCGAGGCTGTTCGGAGCAAGGAGGAATACCGAAAGTTCAAGGTCAACTTCGGTAAGGATCGCTGCGGAAACCCGCCACGACAGCTACAGCAGCAGCAGCAACAGCAACAGCAGGCCGGCTCGCCGCGTAACGAAGTTCCTGCTTCTCCAGGACAGCAACAGGCCCCGCAGAGCGGATCACCAACCAACGATTTAGCGGGAAACCAGCCGGCCCTGTTTAACACCCAGAGCAACCCCTTGACTGTGTACCTCAACCAGGTGTCCCAGCAGGCGCAGCAACACCATCAGCAGCAGCACCAGGCCCTCGCTGCCCAGCAGGCTGTGCTCTTCGGAACCGCGTCGTCTTCGCCTAGCGAGATGACGCTCCAGATGCCAGATGGCTCCGTCTCTGGACACGGCCAGTCTGCCAGCATCTCCAACGGCTACGCCACGCAGAACTCCACATCTGGTCCGACGACTATCGGCGGGCTGCTGGCCCCTGCCAACGCCCGCGGCCAACATAGCCGAGCGGTGAGCCTGCCTGCATTCGGACCCGGTTTCGAGAACGGCGGCACAAGCCCCAGCAGCGTCCAGGGCAGCGTCCATGATGAAGGCGCCCGGCGCGGCCACCAGTACCAAGCCAGCTTCGGCGGCATGGGCAGTGGCTACGGCCTCGCCATCCAGGGTGGTCTCAACGGCTGGGTTGAGGAAGAGGTCGCCAACTGAAAGCGCTTTGCTGCAAAATGGTCGAATACACTGTTGTAATCACCGGCTTCACTGATTTCGCTTTGTTTCTTGGACTGCAAGCAAGTTCCTTCTGCGCTGTTTTTCTTCTTCTCCTTTCTTGTTTTTATTTCTATCTTTAAACCACTATCTCCCCTTATAATCACCAAATTCCTGTCTATGATTTTTTTGTTGGCAGTCCTCCTCTTCTGCCTCTTGGTTGCCTTCGCGCGGAAGAGGAGTGGAGGACAACGGGTATAATTTGGAGATTCCAGACAACACGCCGAGACGTTTGGACCAATTTGAAAAGAAATAGTTGGAAGATTGGGCAGCGCTGCATAAAGCATGGAACGAAGATCCACGTATTAATTCGGGATGGTGTTGATGATGAGCAAAGTATCCGCGTACGCTTGCTATAGGATATTCAAAAGAGAGCATGAGCACGAACGACAGATACAGATGGGACGACACACGCACCACGCATGTTTTCCAGACACGCACGGCACCTGCATGATGTCCCTTTTCGGAGAGAAAGAGGGAGGGAGAATGGGAAGAAACGTCTTCATGCAAGTGTTTGTACGGTTGTACGTATAGGACTAGGACAGGGGTATTGGAACAGCATCGGTCTCGGGTTAGGCATCAATCATTGATTTTTGTTATTTTTATTAATCCAATATGTGCTCCTCAGAGCATCGACTGCTCGAGTGAAGTGAAGTCATGTATGCCATAATGTTGCTCATTGTGCAAAAATGCTACAATAGTAAGTAGTGCGGGGTGTGACAAATGTACATATATGCATATGAGTCTTTGAGCAAAACGACCTACATACACGATACATCAGGGTAATTCTGGGCAAATGAGTGAGAAATTGGGACACGAGGATGCCTCGCCCCCCTTTTCCTTTCTCCCTTCTGTCTCTGTTTCAATCCACCCAGATTTCTTTGCTATACTGCCCTGCTGTCGATGCGAGCCCATGCTTTTCTTCTCTTGAGCATAAGCCGCCCATGACGGCTGTCCGTCCAAGGGAGAAGAAGGAAACAAAAGATCAAGTATGAGAATGTGATATTGAAATCTAATGCAGTCTGTATTGGCTTGTTTGAACGAGCCACATGTAAATGCAAATGTGGTAATGTAAAATGGGACAACTCAACTCCGAGCCAAGGCCTTGACTTCTCATGCCCTCTTGCGTTTGCCTTGCCCTTGTTCTGCCCGGCAACCCCCAACTCCATGTAGTCAAAAAACGAGATTGATGAAATAGATGCCCACACCGTAACGTAGCGTATCGTATCGTTGACTCAAACCAACTCTGTTTCTCCTATTAAACACTTCTTCCCCCACGAGGGTAGCATGTACCTATATCTCATCGTCGCTGATGCCGTACCCCCTACAGAAACCAAACCAATTCCTGCTCGTGCAGTGAGACTGCGTCGGTTGTACAGACCCGGACGTGGGCGTGGACGTGCCCGTCGGCCTTGGAGTGATGGGACGCGTGGTGGTCACAGTCGGCGCAGGCGGCGCAGTGATGCTTGGCTCCGAGGTGAGTGCGGACGACGTTGCGCTGCCGCTCGTGGTGGTCTTATCGTAGCAGCCCCAGAAACGCCCTGGCGTCTCGCAAGTCGTACTGGTCGTAGGCAGGGCACTGGTGGGCGAGGAGTCGGACGATGATGTGGTGGCTGTTGTCGTGGTCTTGTCGTTGCATCCGAACCAGCCCGGGGTTTTACAGGTTGACGTGCTCGTGCTTGTGCTCGTCGAGGTGGTGCTGGTCGCCGTAGCCGTTCCCGTGGCTGTCTCATCCAGGCAGCCCCACCAGCCAGGGGTCTTGCAGGTCTCGGTTCTCGTGCGGGTCTTGGTGGAGGTGGACGAGCTGGCGGTGGTGGTAGACTCGGTGCCGTTGCTCTCGTACATCTTCCAGTTGGCGCAGTCGCGGCATTCGGGGGTGAACCTACACTCGGCGACCAGGTCGTACTTGAGGATGACGTCGTTGATAACGGACCGAATCTTATGCGTGCCGATCCCAACGCGCCAGCCCTTGTCGGCGACGACATCGTAGACGCACTCGCGGCCGGTGTGGCAGGCGGACTCCATGGCGTAGCCGGCGTAGGAGCACGAGGCAGTGGCGCCGTTGCAGGTGCCGATGTAGACCGGGTCGGCAGTGTGGCCGAAGTGGTAGGCGCCCGTGTTCTCGCGGGTCTGGGGGACATTGGGGTCGGAGCCTGGAGGGACAGGGAGGCCGAGGCGGGCGACGGGCAGGGCCTCGGGGACGGCCTCGAAGGTGACAACGGGGTGGCCGTAGGTCAAGCCGAGCATGCTGCTCACGGCGCCGCCAAGGGAGTGACCGGTGATCCAGACGTTGGAGTCCGGGTACAGCTCGGTGACGTTGGAGTACAGTTCGCGGGCGGCCATGTAGTACCTGTTCTCCTGGCGCAGGGCCTGGACGACGCATGTGTTGTTGCATGAGTAAGTGCCGGTGGCGCAGCTGCAGACCTGGTGCCAGAGCCAGGGGCCCTGCTGGGCGCAGCAGCAGCTGAAAAAGAGGTTGTCGTTCTCCTTGTCGTTGGTGGTGGTGCCCTCGCCGTCGAAGACAGCCATGGACGTGCCCTTGAGCCCGATGACGATGGTGGAGTTGTCGGCATCGGCGAAGACGTGGCCGCGGAGGCCGTCGCTTTCCCAGCCAAAGTCGGCAGACCGGTTGAAAGGGTCGCCGACCTCGAGCCACTCGCCGTCGGCATCCTTCTCCACGTAGGCGTTGGCCGACATATAGGCCAGGCTGACGACGGTGTCTCTGTCCGTAATGTCAGGCCCAGGGATGTCGTCCAGCGTCCACGCGTCCTCGGACAGGACCGAGACATAGCCTCGCTCCCGCGACAGCGCCACCATCGGGTCGACCACGCTCGGCCGGCGGTCCACTAGCCGCTGAATCCTCGTCGCATCGCTCCTTGCCCTTAGGGGGGGAAGTCTCTCGGCAACGTGCTCATCCTCGGCAGCCAGCCATATCTCCTGCTCCTGTATGTGGACCACGTCCTGGCGCCTGTGCAGGTTCGGGTATCTGTGCGTGCCGTGGTGGAAGACATGTCGGAGGGACTATTCTTGGAGACATCGACGAAGACGATGTTTTCCGATGGTCAGCTTGATATCACACTTGATGACGACGATGATGATAATAATAATGAAGAAGATGATGGCGACGATGATGATGGAGGAAGGGAAGATGGTGTTGACGAGGGCAAACCTTACAAAGACATGGTCAGCTGGGGCGGGAGGTTCTGGCGACGGGTTAAAGAAGTCGGGCTTGAAGGGAAGGTCGGCCTGTTCGCTCGATCTGGAGTTGCCTGCTGGAGCGTGGGCGGATGCCGCTGGTGCGAGCATAAGAAATGACAGGAGCAGGCTGGCGGTCACCTTGCCGGCGGAGGTGCAGGTGTCGCCACGCCCCCTGGTCTTGCGCCTGAGGATCATCGTCGCCGCCGTCGTCGTCGAGGATGGTTAATAGGGTTCTCGAAGCGGGCGAATAGAAAAAACAAAATTAGGAAAGACAAGAGTGATGTCGACGTGAAAAGAGGCAGAAAGAAGATAAGGAAGAACGAGGAGGAGGAGGAGGAGAAGAACAAGGATCGTTGGGCGAGGTTGTTGTTGCTGTTGGGGTTGAGACACGTTGTCACGAGGACGACGACGTAAATGATTCTAAGGTTGTCTGTCTAAGGATAAGGGTGGGGGGAGGCGATTGGATGACCCTTGACGAAAGGAGAGGGAATGAATGCGTGGTGAGCGAGGCCGCTCTCGGCAACCGCCGTTGCGCTGCAATATAGTGTATGATGATGGGCTGCACTGTAGTTGATTGCCTTGCATCGTTACTGCCTTGTCCTGCGAAACATATCCGACCGAGGCTCCTCCTCTCTTACTTCCCCCATGACGACACAACAAGGCCCGTCACACGCTCGCTTATCAGTGCCTGGCTTATCGGCGTTAAGGCTTGTAATCTGGTGCTAACTCTAAGTAGGGGTCCAAGTTTCTGTACTGTGTTGCGTTGGACGCAGCACTAAAACACAATGCTGTCTTGGCAAGTCTCAGCCAGCACTTACAAGTGCAGACAAAGGCTGACGATTTGTACTTGAGGAGAGAAGAAATGGCAAGTCTGTGTTGGAGAGAAATACCTACCAGATTAAATTACCTAGTAGTAGTGACTGATGCTGCTAAGTATTTCAACATGACATAACAAGAGAACACTATGAACCTCAAGTCACTTCCCGTTGATCTAAGAAGCACATCCCTTGCCCTTGCAAGGCCTATCAAAGGATGGCCTGGAGTGGCATGTGATTCTGTCAACTGTATTTTCCTGGGCACTCTGGCAGCCGTGCTTCTCACATAAGAGCAGGACTGACTCAAAAACGGGTTTCAAAAGCACAGCCATGGCTTTTGGGGGGGGTTTTTGGGGGGGGGGGGGTATCTTTCTTCAAGAAGCATTGGTGATTGAGAGGGGGAAACCCCTAACCCTGTTTGAGTCGTGCCTACCAAGGTGACATCAGTCGAGGGGCAACCCAGCCTTTCAGAAAACCATCAGAAATTTGCCCCGCTGTTTTCTTTCCCCAGACGACCAACAACGACGTCGACCGCAAGAGCCTTGAGCAGCACCACAACTCGAGCCACAACCAGATCCCCATCTGTTACTTGGTCAACTTTCATAATTTCAAGAGAGCGGAGTCTCTCTAACAGGTCGCCAAGATGTCGACCACCGTGGAGAAGGTCAGTGACCGCAGCATGTGTCTTGGAGAACTTTGAGCTGACAGCAGGAACGACAGATCAAGGAGATTGAGGCCGAGGTACGATTGACTCTCTTCAGATTTCGCCCTTCCAACCCCACCAGCACGCGAGATCTCTGTGGAGAATGTCATGCCTAGAAAACCGTGGTAGCAAAGAGCTTGGGGAAAAGGCACAGGGCCAGGCTCGGGATCCTAAGGTGCTGCTTGGTTTGCACGAAGGGCTTGAGCTGCTTCACTAGAAGGCTACAACTAGCATCAGGCAGTCAGAGGGGCTGCTCAGGCTCCAAGAGCATTCAGCAACTGACGGAGAGCTCACGATACCTACACGAGACTCAGCGCCGGCACTTCATCCCCTCCACAATCACAGCTTCCAGAAACAGAACTGACAATGGTAAATCCAATAGATGAGTAGGACGCAGAAAAACAAAGTCAGTCCGCCATATTCTCTCTGCACCCCCCCCCCCCCCCAAAGAAGCCCTTCTCTAGTGCTGGACGATGGCTTTCGTCAACAACAAGAGACCACTCCGAGGCACATTTGGCCGTCAAACAGCTGCTAACAAAAACACTAATAGGCCACATCGTTTCATCTGGGTCAACTGAAGGCAAAGCTCGCAAAACTCAAGAGAGAACTTCTCACACCCTCAGGTGGCGGCGGTGGCGGTGGCGGTGCCGGCTTTGACGTGGCAAGAACGGGTGTGGCCAGTGTTGGATTCATAGGATTCCCGTCAGTGGGAAAGAGTACATTGATGAGCAGGCTGACAGGGCAGCACTCGGAAGCCGCTGCCTACGAGTTTACAACTTTGACAAGTGTGCCAGGTCAGGTCATGTATAATGGAGCACCGCTGCAAATGATCGACCTGCCAGGTATCATTGAGGGTGCTAAAGACGGCCGTGGCCGTGGCCGACAAGTCATCGCGGTCGCAAAGACATGCCATTTGATATTCATTGTTCTCGACGTGAACAAACCCCTCACGGATAAACGAGTCATCGAAAACGAACTCGAGGGCTTCGGAATCAGAATCAACAAGGAAGCACCAAACATCACGATCAAGAAGAAGGATAAGGGCGGCCTTAATATTACGAGCACGGTGCCCCTAACCCATATAGGTGAGTCCTGATGATATAATGATGCTGGCCCCGAGGCGACACAAGATACTAACTCCCGACGCAAGATCATGACGAGATTAAGGCCGTCATGAGCGAATACAAGATGTCCTCCGCGGATATCACCATCCGATGCGACGCGACCGTCGATGATCTCATTGACATAATAGAGGCCAAATCCCGGAGCTATATTCCCGTCATTTACGTCCTGAACAAAATTGACGCCATCAGCATCGAGGAATTGGACTTGCTATATCGAATTCCCAACGCGGTGCCCATCAGCTCCGAACATGGGTGGAACGTCGATGAGTTAATGGAGGCGATGTAAATCTCTCTTTTCCTCTGCAGATGCTACAAAATCGAAGGACGTGCTGACAAGAAGGCGGGTAAACACAGGTGGGAGAAACTGAATCTGGTCCGAGTCTACACCAAACCCAAGGGTAAAATGCCAGACTATTCCGCACCTGTCGTGCTACGATCCTCGAGGTGCACCGTCGAAGATTTTGTAAGCCTAAGCCCCAGCCAATTTTCCACCCTCAGTCTATCTATGAACTCGCGTGTCAATGATTGGGACTGATTGGACCATTACTCAGTGCAACGCCATCCATCGCACTATTGTTGAGCAGTTCAGGAATGCCATCGTTTACGGAAAGTCTGTAAAGCATCAGCCGCAGCGTGTCGGCCTCTCTCATGAGCTTGCTGACGAGGACATTGGTATGAAACCCTCTGACGCAGCGGAGACAGTATTGATACTGACCATACTCCTCCCCAAAAGTGACTATTGTCAAGCGATGAAACATGGATCCCGATCCCCCACGCTCTGTCTCTCGAGCCGTGGATTCGCCATCTGGGATGTCGGTCTCCTCTCGCACGCTGCTGCGAACACGATTCTCTCTGTCGTTTCACAAGGCTTGAGAGGCTCCAAGACGTAGCGTTGACCCCCCAATGACGGAGGGTGAAGACCGATAAAAGGCCAAGGCCTTCAGAAAATTATACGGATACTACGTGCGGACTTTGCTAGATCCGCAGCAATTACTTGCAATTTCATGAGAGCGGATTTATGGGAAATACGACCCCGATTCAAATGCAGCAGTCTTCTGGCCGTGGCATATCGATGGGTCGGCACTCGAGTGACGCTGTACTTTCAGCCAACCGGTCAACTCGTCATCGATTTACAGCGACTTAGTGACCGATATAGAGAACAATGCTGTCTGGCAAGATAGATGAGAACAAGATCCAGTGCTATCGCTCCGTCTCCTTCGGGCCCGCGGTCTGCGCATTACAGTGTGGCGTCTTTCATTCAGGCACTGAGCTAACCAGCCGCTTCAACACAATCTATGGATGTGGGAGGGGGGAAAAAAGCACTGCGGCCCCCCACAAAGTCTTCGGTTGCATCGAAAGAATTGCACGTCTAGCTCCTCAACATTTCATACAACCTGCATGACTGGCATGTGGATTTATGAGCGACAGACTGATCTTACGTCCAGAGTGCAGGCACGTGCAGACATAGAGCAGTAGCGGTCAGGCCAGCCAGCGCTTACGGCAGCGCAGAACAAGAGTGATGCCCATTCACCAGCGGTCAACGACCTGACACATAAAGTTTCGATTTCTGGGTCTGCTGCGTCCTCCGGCTTCCCCACATGCACTGACCTGCACAAGATGACACTGCGAGCCGGGGATACGATGTCAAAGACTTTTGTTGTGCTACGCTACCTAGACATGCCGCCTGTTTTGAGAAGAAGGCTATGGACAACAAACTCACCTGTGCAATCATCGCAGACTTGCGCAGCAGAGCGACTTGGGGCATGTGATAGTCGGTTGACCTCGATCACACTGGGAAGGGCTATCTGAAGAGAGACGGAAATTTGCCGACAACGACGAGGTATTCTGTATTCTGTACCTAAAGGGTGTGTATTGGGGTATGTACATTACACCACCGTGAAAGTCTGAACACTCCACACAACCCCGGAGTGTTTGCACCAATCAGCATTCGAACGGCCGATTCTGGAAGTGTGCCCCTGCTTCTGCATGCACCATTGCAGGCTGATCAGCCTTTCACAACAGGACTCTTGCCGCCGAGACCCCACTTCGAGATCCTGTACCTTGCTGCACTGTGTCTCTACTTGGTCCATACCACAGGGTCAGATGCCACACAAAAGTCACGGCAGAACCTGCCGGGCAGCGATCAGACAAGAGTCCCGGCAGATACTCGACGACGAGCTCACTAACATGTCTGCCAGCTCTAGAACTCGCCATTCCCATAATTTAATCTCGATTCACTGCGCTATTCTTGATTTTGCGGGAAGAAACACATGGTCGCAACGCTATTGTGCAATCAAGAGGACCTGGAGGCGACAAGGCCCCAAAGGCACCCTTCAGGCAGGGCGAACACGCACACGGGCCTCGTGAGCAGCTCGGGCCTAGTCAACCGAGGGAGGACGACGCGGGGGCCTGCCTGCATACTGACGCGCTGCAGGTTCTTGTGTGCCTGAGGCTAGTGAGGCGCACTGCTTTCCCCTGCCACACTGGTATTCTTGCGGAAGAGAGTTAAGCGCAAGCCCGGACCATCGCGACTCTTTGGGACAATTACTACGCACAATCGTCCCCACGCCTTGTCTCATCTCGCCTTACTTCTTTTCCTTACAGCAGAACAGGAACATCGCGTCCGTGTCCCCTCTCTCCCTCTCCCCCCTTCATTTAGCCTCGACGGGGTTGTTTGTGTCGTGTGTCTGACCTCGATCTGATTCCGTCTCCATAACCATCCAAGGATGCACATTGCCAACGACCTTGGTCTGTTGGGTTGCACACGTGTGGCGTTGAGCCTGCACGGCCCGTTATCTGGACCACGTAATTTTCTTTTCTTAAAAAAAAAATCTCCGAGAGCATCCATGCGTTTCTTGTCACATCCATCAAGCAATGATGTCGATACTAACGTGTGTCTCGCCTGGAGTATCTCGTTGTTCACTTGGTATTTGGATGGCTTGTTCTAAAGATTGACAGGCTCCCGCATGACTTTGCTTGCGATTGGCCTGTCAGGACCACAAACCCCGTCCTGGCCTCGAGATGTCCATGCGCCGAAAGGAGGGCCAGCCGTTCATCTTGAATATTTACTATAGATGACTACCCCAGTATCAGACAGAACAGGGCGCGCGGAAGTCATGTTTCATGCCGAGGCCGATTTGGTCCGGGTCTGCCTCAACAGCTACTAAATGAATGAGGTACACACACCTCTTATTCTTGCACACGGCCGCCTCTACGCAATGTGGACAATGGCGTGAAAGGGTCGACAGGGCGTTGAGTGCCATGCGCAGTCAGCTTCAGCACTAGACTGCAATCGTGCCCTCCCTCCACTAGCAGCAGCATGGGGGGGGGGGGGTAGAAGAGCTGCCCTCGAGCGGGGATAAACGACATCAACTGGCAAACTGGAATACAAGCCGGAATCGACAGAGTTTACCAGGGCCACTTCCGACGCGTATGGCCCAAACCTTTCCCCTAAGAGACTTCCTCGACGACGATGACAACGACGACGAGGACGACGAGGACGACGACTGAGCCGTGCAACCCGCGTGCGACCCTCTCTGTCTCCTAGATCATTATGCTGCTGGTCAGTGTCGTCGTTGGTCATCTGCTTGATCCCTAGGATATTTGGAGGGAAGGTCTGGCGCAGATCTCCCTCAGATGATGCTGTCCGTACGGCCTGATTCCCACAGAGCTGGATTCTGCTTGCTGGAATGGGTCTGCTCGATAACCGGGAACCACAGTTCTTTCGAACCAACCGATATGATGGCAGCCAACGGTGGTAGTACATAGTTCTACGAAAGCCGCTGGTAGCGAGGGGTTGCGCTAAACAATCGGCTCGTGATGTGTTGATGGGGACCATGCTACTGCTAGCACCGGTTCCTGCTTCCTACGCCCGCGGCGGCATACTGTTACTATTTCTTCTTCCCTTGCACCAGTCTCGTCTCGTCTCGTCTCATCTCGTCTCTTCTTTAGTCATCCTCGACAATTCGCAAGGGCCAGGAATCAGCACACTAATAAAGAAAGGACACACCAAGAGGCAGAAGGCTTGTTATTTATATACAACAGGCCTGGCTCGTTTTGCGAGGAGATCGCGCATCCTGCCTTAACTGGACTTAGGGACTGCGAACCGTGGACCCCTCGTCCCGCTGCATTGATCGTCAACGTCCAGGGTCGAAGGTGCTAGGTCTGCAGGAACGGCACCCTCTTGACAACGGGCACGATTGGAAGTTTTGAGGCATTGTAGCCGGCTTCTAACAAGCTGAAAAAAGCATCCCACTCAGACCAGTCTTGCAATCTTGATCCCCTCCTCCTCCTCCCTCGGACCCCTCGAACGGCCTGAATGACTCGCAAATAATCCTGGCGGGCGCGCTTTCAGGTTCCTATGTACTTGGCTACGTGAATCCATCGAGGAGGGTTCCCCACTTTGGAGGAGGGGGATCCGCCCCGGTGAGCAGATCTTCCTTCAACCCCTGGACCGTAGTAGCTCTTAGCTTTTTGGCCTGGCAAGAGAGAGAGAGAGAAGAGCGAGCGTAAGGTGAGGAGCGCTCGATCGAAGCATACCCCAGCACGCCTAGCAAGCCTAGGAAACCTAGCAGCCCACGATGGCCGGCCTGGACGGGACGCGCATACTGCACAAGCGGGCCGCATCGGAGCCGCGTGCGCAAAATGCTATGGTCGCCGCCCGTCGCTAAGGAAGAAGAGACATGCCTGCCGCAGAAGAAAAGAAAAGAAAGTGAAGCAGAAAGAGAGACAGAGAGAGAGACAGAGATACACACACATACACACACACACACAGAGAGAGAGAGAGAGAGAGGGCTCGTCGAGCCAAGACTTCTTCGGATCCAAGCCCTGTAAGGATCGGTTGGATCCATCAGCTTCATGACAAGCGTCTTCTTGAGGAAGGGTTTGTCCAAGCTCAGCTTTCAAAGCATGATACTACAGTTGGGGCTCGCCCAGCTGCTCGATTGGTTGTTGGGTTGAGAACGATGAGGATCTGGATATCTCCTGTCGTTGGTGATTGGCATTCTTTGCCCATCTACGGTGCCGAGATTAATCATCATGTCCGATGGATGAGATCATTTCTCGATGCCCAGGTCCCTCCCCTCTCTGAGACATCACGAGCCCTCGCGATCGCTTTCTGGCCTCTCAAGCACTTCTCAGAGAGGGAGTCCCATCAACGATGGGGCCGTGGGACGCCATCACAGGTGGGGCGGGCTCCAGCACACCCGGTCCGATCCACCCTGGTCAGGAAGCCTCGCTGAACGACATGCCGTCCACACTCGTTGATTCGCACGCCTCGGCCGATGGTCTCTTCACACGGTGGTGGTACTATTGAATGAGGTATTGGGCAAGCAATAAACGACTCTGTCAAATCGCTGGGCCACCACCACTTCCCCTCCCCATGTCCTAGTCCTGGGTTAACCAACTCCCCTCCCAGCAGAGCTCCCCCCCCCCCCAGAATACATCATCGTCTCTTCCTCTTCCTGATCGGTCCCGTCCTCTCCTCTCGTATGACGGATGGGCCCCATCTCCGATCCCACGACGCAACATTGAGGTGTGGTGCTGACTGTCATCCCAAGTTCCAACTCCACAATGCAGAAGCGAGAGAAGCCATCTTTTTGTTCGTGGTTCGGATCGCCTTGCACCCTTCTTTTTTACTCATCTGATATTTATTGATACAAGTTATTCACGTGGAAACTTGCGCTGCGTTGCGCCCCCTCCCCGGCCCCTCTTTCTCAACACTTTCTGCAGTCTGATGCATGTATTTTCCCCCGAGAGCAGCAGTCAGAAACCCCCCATGCTATTACTATGGTGCTGCTGCTGCTACCACAACAGTACTTCTGAACAAGCCTTGTCTAGCTGTCAGGCCTCGCATCAACATGTACCCACCCCAGAGCAACCCAAGCTGGCTATCTCTGCCCTTATTGATCCGTTCCCATCTCCCTCTTCTACAGCCCCCTGTCAAATCCACCCCTCTCCTTCTGCTACCCTACCCGACGGGGGGGGGGGGGGTGTGCAGCACGAACCCCTGCTGGTACAAGCAGTCCTGGGAAAAAAACATACATAGTACATGTAATCGCCATGCAGCCCATCGCCTTGAATCTTATGGCTAGCCACTGTACACCAGCGTCTGCAAGTGCATTGCGGCGTTTTGCTCCGCAGTAGGGCTCATCCTGATTGCTGCATCGAGCCTGTTGTTTACTTACAAAGAAGCAAGTTCATATTACGGCAGTTGGCCTGACTATGTTCTTGGATGAGCGGCTTTTGTAAAAATAAAAAAATAAAATTGTGAGCAGTTCTCATTCCTTCTTCTTCATTCCTTTTCCCCCTCCCAGAAGCAAAGCCGTCGAGCGGGCTCTGCATATGTATGGCGGGCAAGGAATTTCCGTATAAGAGGAAGTTTGGAGGGGGATAAAGAAAGGAACTGATCATGCGAGTGGTATTCAGCAGCAGCCGCCGCAGCAGCAGCGAGTTCAAACAACACAGCCTCTGTGCTTCGTAGCAACGAGGAAGCAGGGTGAAGATCCATCTTATGAGGAGTTCTCAGGCCCCGTTTCAAAAGACCGCCGGGGAACACGACAAGGCAATTCTGGGGTTCGAACTCTGACCCTCTCCTTCCCTCTCTCCCACTCTCTTGCCATTCGCCCTTTCCTTGGCTTGTCCAAGCTCGGCACCTGCATTGCATCTGCATATACCCTCTCCGGGCAGACCGCTCGTGGCTCTGCTCCACCCCCGTCCATAGCTGCAGCTGTCGACGAAGCCCGATCCTCTCTAACCACAGACGGAAGACTCCATCCATGACACAAGTCTCTTACTGGAAGAACTGTCGCTCTCTTTGATGCATGTCGCCCGTCGTTCATGAGATCGACTCACGCCAGTCTTGGTCGGGCACAAGTGATACCCTCCCCCCCCCCCCTCCCTTCTTCTCCTCTTACAGCATTCACCGCAAGCCACACACGCTCGAGAAGCTCTTCAGGATACACTCCTAGAATAAGTTGACCAATACAAGAAAACGAAAAGGCCATTCGCTAGCTCGGGGTTAAAGATACCCCCTCTCGAGTGTGGTCTTCCAAAAAGAAACACATAGGAAGGCTCACTCTGGAGGCATATACAATGCACAGCCAGGGCGGAATCGGAGGCTCCTCGAGTATGGACCACGATACTCACCTCGCCCACCATGACCAGACGTTTGCAAGCGACCAATGGGGCGACATGAGCCCATACATTACGACGACAGTGGGAGACTACGGCGGTGGAGCGTACACCTTCATGTCTCCCATCTCATCACACGGCCATGGCCTCCCATCCGAGTCGCTGGGCCGGATGCCGCCACCAGCGACACCTTCACAGCCGGTTCTACAGCCTCATCCACATCCTCCCCCGCCTCCGCACCACCCGACGCTCCCGCTGCTCATGGTTCCATCGCATCCTACGTGGCCAAGCATGCTGACCAACCCGGGAAGCTTCAACACGTCGCCTCCAGTCGCTATACCTCCTGCCTCGTCCTCCACCAGCATGCCGTCGTCGTCGTCAACGGTCAAGGCCACAAGACCAGCTGCACAGCCGAGCCAGCCAAGGAAGACGCTGACAGATGAAGACCGCCGTCGCATGTGCCAGTGCCATCTTGATAACCCGACCATGAAGCAGACTGAGATTGGCGCAATGTTTGGGGTGGAGCGAAGGTGAGCCATGACCTATAGGAAACTAAGGGCGCGCGCGCGCGTACACACACACACACACACACACGAGCCAAAACTACATGGCGCCTAGAGATTTGCTGACGACATCAAACAGTACCGTGTCCAAGGTCCTCAGCCGGAAAGACAAATGGCTGAACCCAGAGGAACGCCCACCTCCACCAACCAAGAAGTCCAAGAGCAAGATCCCGGACATCGACAAGACACTAGCCAATTGGCTGCGTAACGAACAGCACAAAGGACGACGCGTTTCAGACGCCGAAATCCAGGAGCAGGCACGCATGTATGCCCGTCCGTTCCGAGAGGCCGAGACTAAGATCAACAACCCGTCCTGGCTGGAGAAATTTAAGCAGAAGCATGAGGCGGCAGGGCGGCTGATCCGGCGAGCCTCCGAGACCAACATTCCCAGTGCTGCCGCCTCCAAGCTGGCAATGACCTCGCCCATCCTGCCGAGCTCTCAGCCGTCCAGCGCCATCTCGTCCGGCTCTCCAGCGCACCAGCAATCCCCGTCACCTTTCTCGAGCAGTATCGTACACGCCGGCGCTGCTGGTGGGGAGGAAGACAAGGAAGGCGGAGGAAGCGGCTCCTCGATGATGATGGATCTGAACGAACAGCAGCCCGCCAAGAGGGGGGCTGGTGACAACAACACTCTGAAGAATCACCAGCACCAGCACCAGCACCACCAGCAGCACCACCACCACCACCTGACCCACCACCACTCGTTCGATCCCGAGACGGGTGGTTCATCCTTCTCCGAGAGCAACCTCAGCCCGACAGGCACAGGGCAGTTTACCTTCTCGCCGGATCCCAACGTCGGCGGGTTCTTGGCCTCAGACCAGGTCAGACACTTCCCTCCTGGGGGGCCAGACTTTCAGCGGCCTAGGAGCCAGACATTTCCCACGCTCAACCTCGAATACATGAACGAGACAGAGCCCATGCCTTCCAACGAGCCCATGACCCCGAAGTTTCCACCAGGAGGCCACCACCACCACCATCAGGGCGTCTCCTCGAGCGGCCCATCCTCGGCAATCGACTCGCCTGCTCACGAGTTCGCAGCTGCGGGCCCTTTTGGCCTCGACAGCACTATGTCGCCGCACCAGCACCACCAGCAGCCTGTCCGTCCCCCGCTGCATCACAGCAGCAGCGCGAGCAGTCTCCAGGGCCGCCTGTCCCAGCAGCAGCAGGGAGGTAGCAGTACGACGCCCGTGATCGGGAGCGCCCCGCTGTCATCTGTTGCCTCATCGCCCGTATCACCTAGCCAGGAGGACGCCCGGCGGGCAGCAGATACACTGCTGTCCTTCATCGCAAACAGCGGCCCCAACAGCATCGTCGACCAGACTGACTACAACGCCGTGGTGCGGCTTACAGATAAATTGAGAATCCACCAGCAGGCGCAACAAGCGGCCGCCACCGTGAGAGGCCAGGGCAACAACATGAGCAGCATGGGTCCTCCGGCTGTGACCGGTCTGGGCATGAACATCGGGATGGGGGGCCTGGACCGGATCCCAGAAGGTGACGCTGAGATGAGCAACACTGGGCAGCATGTTGAAGACGAGGGCGATTTCATCAAGAGCGAGGAGACCATGGTTGTATGACTTTGAAAGGGGGAGGGGGTCTGATAGGTCTACCTCTGTGCGCTCTCGTCAGATCGCCCTTCCACTTTTATTCGTTGGTATGTTTCTCTTCCAAAGCCCCATGAGAGCCTGATTGGAATCAATGCTTACACACATGGAAACCAAGCTTTTTATCACGGCGTCCTCGACACGAAGAAATGGCCTTTCCCTCCACAGGGATTAAGCGAACATCAGAAAATTGGCCTCACGGTTTAATTTCTTTATTCCTTTTTTATTTATACGGAGATCACGTCCCACGACACCACAATCCGAATCACGGAGCGACAGAGACGAAAGTTCTACAATGACTTGCAAAAATCATTCAAAGTCGTCCCCCCACCCCACCTCAATCACACACACACCAGCAGCAACGCACACTTATATACCCTTTTTGATCTGTCATGCAAGCTTTCAGGTTGTAAATTCTGCCTCAAACTGAAGACTTCCTTCCCGCTCACGCGAAATCGAACATCTCGACATTCAACAGCTTTCCTCTTCATGTACTTGCAAGGAAAGATTCCTGGTGCGGGAATCTTGTGTCTTTCACTTTGTTTTCTTTCACTTTTAATTTTTTTTTATTTTTTTTTTCTATCTGGCTCTATGTCTGTTATCTATTCCTTTCTGGGTTTTGCCTCTTCTCTTCTTTCCTTCTTCTTTTTCCTAGGCATTTACATAATACCTTTTCCCCTCTCTATTCTATTTTATTATCGTTTTAACTTTCTGGGTCAAGGTTCCACTGCAAACCGGGATTGAGTATTTTTGGGATTGCTCAGATCTGAGCAGCGAGCGCATAAAGAATGGGTCTGGTGGTGCACAGGACAGCTGATCAGTGGACAAAAGACAACGAAATGACCTGGGTCAAGGAGTGCTTACTCCTGCTCCCCTAAGGGGGCGTGCGACCCGGATGGTGGGAATGGTAAGGGGAAAGAAGAGGAGGGGTTTATCAACCAGAAACAACGCTGTAGGGGGAGGGGGAAGGGGGGCCGCGCATTCACCAGCCCTGAGAGGACAATGAGAAAGGGAGAAGGAAAAAGAGGGGGCGAGAGAGCAACGCAGGAGATGGCTCACATCCTCTACCATGTTCGTGGCCGAGGCAGCTGTGGAGACCTTCCAGGGCGGCTCATCTGATCTGATCATCCCACTGGTGAGATGCAACGTGTGGGGAGAGGGGGGAGGCATGAGTAGGGGCGGGAAGAGACTCACTTCCGGGCAAAGTAATCATCATCAAAGCAGGTAACAAACAAGTGAGCAAAAGAGGAAAGACACACGTAGTGTGGTCCAGATGTGCATACTCACATAAACACACCACGTTCTCCCCCTTTGATTCCGATTTCCTCTCCCTCCTCTTCCTCCCCTCCTACTTGTTTTCCTTCGAGGCGGGCGAAACTGCATTTTCTCGCCTTGGGATGACGAGGCAGACAAACAAGCCATGGCAAAGATGAGACAGATAGGGAACCCCTTGAACAGCAAATAAACAAATAAAAAAGTAAAAGGAACAAAGAAGAAAAAGAAACGATTCCATCACATCAACAAAGCGAATCAGGAACCCTTGCTAGCAGGTAACTAACCACCATGGTAACTATGGCTCCGCCGTAACAACACCCCCCCCCCCCCCAAGATTATGGTATGTGGGTGGACTTTCCTGTGTGTGTGTGTGTGTGTGTGTGTGTATGCCGGTTAGTGTTAAAGTGTAACCCCCCTCCCTTTCCCCTCCCCCTTCCGTGGGGCCATTCATGCATCCATCCATTTGCCCCTCTCTCTCTCTCTCTCTCTCTCTTGTCTCTTTTCTCGCCCTGCATGGGATGCTCGATGATGATTACTAGGGCCGAAACGGGCGCACCATGCGTTTGGTTAACCCCTTTGCCCTTCTTGTCCCGTTCGTTGTCCGGTGCAGTGAGACGTCGCATTCATTTCTACACCACCCCCCTCTTTGCCTTTTCTCTCTCTCTCTCTCTCTCTCTCGTGTGTTTTTCTTCTTCTTTCCTTTCTGGAGACTCGACTTGTGGTGTGCAGATGTAGCTTAGCCCCCCACCCTCCCTTCCCCCCTCCCCCTTCCCCAAACGCCTTCCAAGGCCCAGAAGGGAGGGGTTGGGTCGGAAGGTTGTAATGCAGCATGGAACGTCCGTACGAAGAGGATATCCATGGTTACCGCGTTTCGGTTGAGGAGAGAGAAGGACGTCAAATCTCAACTTTTTGCGGGGCCTTGGTTTTTGGACAAGGGGGGCCTAGTTCCTAATCATGGCGGGCATCAAGTATTTCCTATTAACTAATTTCACTTATATGAAAGATCTACACTTGTACAGATCATTTACGATTGGATACATGACAATTCTTGACGTGTAATCGTGTAGCTACATCAGCAGAAGGGTATGTTGTACATATAAGGAGAGAAGAACAAAGGAAGAAGGAAAATGGTGCTGTCAGGGCTCGAGGCTAGAACTTTCGGTGATGACTGCCACATTGATGAAATTTTGTGTAGCTCAGAGTTACAGGCACCTTCCCCCCCCCCCCCTCCCCTCCTACTAGCTTAGCCGCTCTTCCAACAGCTCCTCGACGCCCTTCTCGGCTAGCTCCGGTATCAGTCTTACCAGGACCAGTTCCAGGGCGCTGTACATGAGATGCTTGTTACAGTAAGAATCGCTGAAGACATCCAGGATGTCTGTCTCGATTACAGTTATGATGTGCGCATCTGGAACTCCTTCTTGTAGGTCATGTCCGCTATTGCCACTGTCACCGGTACCAATCGGATCGGTCCGCAGCGATGCTTCTGACAGTGGACTTTCAGAAGTAAACCATGCTGCCAACCAGGAAGAGGCGTTGCCGCCAAAGTAGAGCCTGCCCACGCTTTTGGGCACCAAGGTCCAGAGCGCACTAGCGCACTTGCGTCTCAAAACGTGCAACTCATGGTCAGACGCGGGTGGGAAGAGTGTCGGGGACCCCATGGCGTTGTTCGGAAAGATAGCACCCCGGAGGTTTCGAAGCGCCGTAGGTAACATGCCAGGATCGAGGACATGGCGATGTATCGCGTCAGAGAGGAGCCTGTTGAAGACGGAATTGCTTGTTAGCGAGGAAAACACCAACAGCTGATCCGTGTGTGTTTGATGTGCTTTGAATGGTCAGGTGCATGGCGCAGCATAAAAAGAGCCAAGTGAGAAACAGTTTGGCTGGGGTACGACAAAGAAGAAAGAAATGATTCAAAACGCCATATGACGAGTAGCATCTGCCGATGGCAGGACGAGCAAAAGACCAGCCATCATGACCATGACGGGGCATCTGAGTTTTTTTTCTTTTCCTTTTTTGACAGCGCAATACGCGGAATAAAATCTCAAGAAGAACAGACATCCGACTGGGCCCCTAGACCCCAGCCGACGAGTCCACCGACACACAGAGTGGGGACGGCACCACAAGCATTGACAAACTCGTCTTGCTGCAGGGACGGCGTCAACGGACGATGGTTGGGTGGATGATGATGAGGATGATGGTGTTGGAAGAGCGGGCATGACCACCAAAAAGGTGGAGGAATCAGAGCCAAGACTCGATGGCTGCACTGGACACCCCTTCCTCTCCCCTCCACCTTCCCGACCGACAAATGTGGTAAACCGGATGATTGTTGAGATGACGAGATGGTGTTCAATGCCCCTGGCAGCATGACAAGGGTGTTCGAGTGGACGACCTGCAGCATTGGGCTGCCATACCTCCCCACAAACAAGCTTGCCGTCCGGGCTATAGAGAGGTCCCCACAAAAAAGTGACAAGACAATCACCCCCCCGGTCGAAAAATCTTAGCCTGTGGAGCGGGTGCGCATGTGAAGATGTTGTTGCTGCAGTGCATGGGTGGTTCTCCCGTCCGATGTCAACATACTGTGCAGCAACTAGATGCTAACACTGTAGCGGGTCCTAGTCCTGGACGGGTACCATCGATGCCCCATTCAGAATAGGCAGGCCTGCATGCCAGAGAGTCTCGACACAACGTAGCGGACAAAGGGGGACGAGTGGTGGGAGGCCAGGGGTGAGGGTTGCAATCGATGAGATCAGTGCTTGGTCAGCAGGAAGAGAAGAAAAGAGGGAAAAAAGAAAGGAAAGAAAAAGCCAATCCTGGCAGACCAAGCCGTGAAGGTTGGATGGTGGGCGCGTAAATGAGGCTCGCGGATGGACGGCCGTGCAAGCCCCACGAATCCCACCCTGTGCAATCGGCTGCATGCATGACAGTAGCATACCGCAATTGGCCGGCTGAGGTGACCCATCTGGGAACGGTTGCATGGGGCCCAGGGCCTGCGGGTTCTGTGGGAACGCTTTGTCGGGCTTTGTGGCTGCCGATCTGGCCGCAGAAGATCCTCGACGTGTGTGCTCCACCACATTGCTCGCCTGACACTGAGGGGGTCCCAAGGGTGGGGTCCAGATGTGTATTAGGCCACCACCGGGTTTCTCCTCCCGGGGGGGAGGGGGGATTTCCACCAAAAAGAAAATGACCATATCGAGTGTCATCTCGTGTTGGCTCCGCACCAGACGAGGTGCAGAACGTCAGCCGCCCTGCGCTTGCAGGAAAAGGGAGGGCTCCTGAGAAGCTGAATGGAAGGATATCAAGGTCAAGTGACCGGTAGCTCATGCGGTGTGATGACCAGTGTGGGTGGGTGTAGTGAAGGGAAAGAAAGAAAGGGGGGGAGGGGGTTGTGCACTCATCAGGAAGAGGAAGGTGTTTTTTTCTTCTTCTCCCTTACCTGTCGATAATTCCATCCGGGCCAGCCACATGTCCAGGCCCTCCAATAGCCAGCCATTGTAGCATAGAGAGGCTGCCCGAAAGCCATGGCATGCGTCGATCCATACCAATCAAATCTGATATCATGGGCCATATGGCAAAGGCCAGAATAGGTGTCTGTTCCGAGCCTGGCTTCAGCTGAGCCGAGCCCATACCCTTCGTCGCAGTCTCCACATCATCAGCACCAGCATCAGCAGTAACATCATCATCATCATAATCATGACGACCCCCGCCCTCCTTCTGCGGGGACAGCTGATGCCCACGAGGAGGTAGAGACCGACTCATAGTCAGCGTCGTGAGGAAGACCCGTAGCAAACCCATCAGTGCAAATATGTAGTGGACAAAAGACCACAGCAGCCCAGGTATCGAGAAGCCCCTTGGCCCCGAAGGAGCACGGCCTGTCCCCTTCAGAGCAGGTCCTGAAGAAGAAGAAGAGCCTTGTTGTCCCCTGCGCGCTATCACATCTGCCAAAATGGTCAGGCCGGTCCAGATCATCCAAGGCTCAGACGCCTTCTTGACGACCACCCCGCCTATGATCAGCTCTGACAGGATCTGACCAATCAGAGACGTCAAACATTCGTTCTCCAGGTCCTCTGTAGGCAACAGCACGGCCAGGACGCCCTGAACGAGCAGCTGACGGTAGGCCACCTCATTAGCAGCCTGCTCGGAAGCAGTCTCTGGCTTGTCGATCCTCGGTATGGGAGACAAGTAGGGCAGAGGGCATAGCGAATGGTAGATCTCCCTCCCATCTGCCTCGATGGGAGGCCGCACAAGAGGCCTGCGAGATGCCCGGTACGCTGGGGAGATTGTTGCTGTTAAACAAATGCTGGCGGTGCAGAAGGAGAAGAAGAAGAGGAGGGGGGAAGAGGGGACTGACCTTGAACGTGCTTGTCGAACAAGTCGGGAAGCTCGTCAAACAACAAGCTCTCTACGTCAACCTTCCTAAGCCTCTGCTCCAGGGCCCGCGTGCAATGTGCAATGACCTGAACAATCTCGGCGACAAACGCCTCGTCTGGCGTAATCTTGTTGTACCAGGTCTGCACAAAGTCCCGCAACACGATGGCTATGATGGCGTAGAGCTGCAGGTCGACATCATTCCGGCTCGTCAGGGGTGGTAACAGCTCGTCAATGGGAGGAGGAGGCGTGGTCCTGCCCCTGTCAGGCCCTTGCTGTGGGCAGAGCACGCGGCGAATGAGTTGTGAAGTGGCGCGGTCTGAGAGAAAGTCTGATGAATCCGAGCGTGGGACACGCCGCCTGGAAGAGGTGGAGCTCGAGTGGGAGTGCTTGTAGCGGGGGCGTGATGATGTTGAATCTGCGGCTGGCCTTGTGGGTGCTGGGGGTTCAGAGCTGATCATGTTTGCACTCGCAGTCGCACTTGCGCTCGAGGCGCTGGAGCTGGGCGCGTTGGGCTGTGCGTCTGTAATCATGGCGGCCGTCTGTTGGCTCTCAGCATGTCTGTCGGGTCATGTAAGACCACAGCCTGCTCCTCACAGCCTCGTCCTAGGTTCGTACCAGGCAATGAGATGGGGCTGTGGCTATTTTGCTTTTTGACTTTTTCCTCTCTTTCTTGGACCGTGAGCTGGTTTTCGGTGAATGATGAGTTGATCGGTCGGTGACGAGGGACGAGTACGAGGACGCCTGCAGGAAGAGCTTATCACTCATGCCTGGATTGGAAGGCGGTGGGGATAAGTGTAATTACGTAACCAACGCTTTCCTCCAATCATGCACGCAACGACACGAAGAAAGAGCTTTTCGTCTGAAGGGAAGGAAGCCAGTCTCGAGGTCAGCCTCTGTACATGGAAGGACCATATCACGAACCTGGTTGTCGTCCGCACTTGCCTTGCTCATATGTTGTTCAAATAAGGTTGATGGGTCGGTGCGTTCTGCCAGGGATCAGGGATGCTTCGATCGCGCCCGGACCAGGCAGGACAAAGAACGTATTATACTGTACTGCACAGTACTGTACGAAGTTTACTTTTCAGCCTTTCCCTCACTTTGGCAAAGCCCTCGTACGTTGATGTCTCGAAGGTTTGAGTGGAATTCAGGATATGATTACGCGCAGACAAATCCCGTGCTCATAAGCCAGTATTAAGGCAACGCCTCGCATCATTAATGACCCAACCCGAATCCACAGCCAGGATTCGATAACAAAGACCGCAAGCCCGGCACAAAGAAGAGGAGAGACAGCAGAGGATCAGAGAATACCCTCAGATGGGCACATCGCCTGTCCAGCTGGGATAAGCAAGGCCAATAGGATCATCTGAGCCCCAGCCCAGGAGCGCGTTGAAACTGGTCTCCAACTGAGCAGCGCTGTCCATCATCTCCTCCCAGAAAGGGTCGTCCAGGCCCTGTAGAATACCTCCTGACGAGAGATCCTCCCCAAAGAGTGCCGTCATGTCCGGTAGCATGTGCGCACTCGCGTCCCCTGTCGCTGGTGTAGCTGCAGCTTGCGTGCTGGCGCCAGTGGTCGACTCTTCGGGTTCTGCAGGCATGCTGGCGGCGAGATCGGCCACTATGCTGGCTCGCAGTTGAATAATTTTCGAGAGCAGGCGTTTATAGGGGTCTTGAAAGCTGGGCCGTCGCTGCTGGGCTGCGTTCTTCTCTACCTCGCCGCCGCCGCCGCCGCCGCCGCCATCAGCAATAGGCAGGCCTCTCCTGTTTCTCTCCATCACCAATTCCCACAGCTCCTGGATCTGCAGTACGAGATATTTGTCGGAATCCAGCTCCTTCCTGACCACCCGGAGATCCCATCCTGGCAGGTCCAGAGTCGACAGCTTCAGCGCGACGAGCATGCCGTATGTGTAATCGAAAGACGCCAGGCAGAACGATCTGGGACGTGTATCGGGTTGCACGAAGAATCGTGCCTCCAGCAGCGACCGCACGGCCCGAAGGCACTTCCAGAGCAGCTCACAGCGTTCTGTGGGGAGCAAGGTCACTGACGATGCCTCGCCTACTGCAACCTCGTAGAGGAGGACCTTGACGACGTGGACCTGTGTGATGAGAACGGCTGTATCGCAGAGGCACTCTGTCAGCCATGACTCCTCTCAAGAGAGCTGCCACTTTTTTCTGTTCTTCCTCCCCGCTCTTGGGACTTACCGTGCTGCTGAAACATTTCCGGTATCGAAGCGCGGAACTGCTCAATCTCACGCTCAAAAGTGTTCACGATAAAATTTAGAGGCATGCTGTTTACACTGTCACGGAAAGAAAGGGCCATTGAGATGGACTGCGAGAGCTGCTGGTTCCGGGTCAGCAGGACGACAAGCTGGTCGGTAGGGTACTCCTGCTTCTCTTCTAGAACCCGACAGCACTGAGACACGTAGTTGGAGCTCATGAAGGCATCGGGCATCTTGTTGGTCGTGAAGGCCATCGTCACCAGGTAATATACCCCAGCAAAGGCCCGCATATACTCGAGGCTGGTGCGGTCACGGCGCTGCTGCTTCAAGGACCGCTGGGATTCATTGAAGCCCAGAGAAGCACAGATCGAGCGCATCAAGTACAGAAAATTCGTTACGCGAAAACTGTCCGAGTTGAGATGGAACCTGTTGCGCCTCTAGGTTAGGTTCGTCCCTTAGATGCGGAGCATTCTCGGGAGGAGGGTTGGCTCACCAAGCGATCAGCAGCTGAAGGCCTTGGAGAAGGTCTATGCTTTTCCTAGGCCGAACAAATGTAGTTGTGATGATGTCGTTCAAGAGATCGTTGCCCATCAGGAACTGGCGTTTTGCATCCTTGAACGGGTGCGACATCATGACGCCTTTCCAGAGAAATGGCCTCTGCTCGAGCAGCTGCTTCGAAGTCGTAATCTCTCGCGGAATTACAACAAACGGAAAGACAGTCAATATGTGAGGGCCGTAGTTCTCTAATATCCGTTGTCCTTCCTCATGGTCGGGATAAAATTTGGGTATTCCGCTTCCAGGGGTCGCAGACACGCCTGAAGGGGTGATGGTGGCTCGCTGAAGAGTCCCATCTGGCCTTGGTTGTGGTGCAGGAGGGGCCCGACGCGTGTCTGTCGGCGAGGGCTGCCGAGTTCTCATGTCCTCATGACCAGAAGGGCTAACAGAAAGTTTGTCATTGCTGTTGGGTAAATTGTGTGACACAAGTGCAGTCGTCTGAGCAGCTCTCCCAACCCGGTTCGATCGGTCCTGTCCTGCTGCTGCTGCTGGTGATAGTGGTGGTGGTGATGGTGGCTCTGTGCTCTCAAAGGTATCACTACTGGAGGCTGCTCTCGGTGAAATGGCGATGCCCCTATAAATATGACCACCCTCCTTCCACTGTGCCCTCTGCTGTACACGAGAGATCTCTTCCGGGCTCGGCTGGTCCTGGTCACGCGGACTCCCTGGAGGCCATAAGTAATTAAAATTCGGCGGAATTCCGAAGACTGCCTGAGGAAAGTGGGCACGTTTCGGCGTCTTCCGCTGTCGACCCTCACTCTCAATGGGTGATTCGGCGTCTGAAGGAGTCACCGGGAAGGCCTGTCCTGACTCGACGCGGGCGGTCAGGTCCTCCAGGCGCTTCTCCAGCTCTGCGACCCGAGTAGGCTTGAAAGCCCTCCTCTTGCGCGGCGGGGCTGGTGTCTGGGCCGAGCATGGCTTATTGAGACGATGACATCTGTGGGTAGAGAGAAGAGTCAGAGACTCTGGTGAGCCATGTCGAATTGTTATTGATTATTGCCATCCCCTGCACTCTTGTCGCTCTGCTCCATTCATGCCACTTCCCAAAGAAACCCCAGTCAGCAGCATCGCAGCTTACCTCTCACAGATATGTTTTGTTGGACCTGGTATGCAACGGGATTTTGCCTGGCAAGCAAAGTCTCAGTCGATACGTCTGATGAAGACTACCGGTGCCTCTAGAAAGCCTTGGGACTCTTCTTACCTTAGCACAAGTAATACATGCTCTCGGGCCTTTTTTAGCCTTGGTCTCCGTCTCGTGGTCCATGTTCGCAGAGTTGCGCGCGTAGCCTCACGATGTCATATCGACATGAGAAAAAACAATTACAGGTAAATCACAGAAGAAGTCCTTGAAAGAAGAAACAAAAGTCATGATGAGAGAGTTTTGAGAAAGGGGAATTCGAGTTGGTTCTCCTTGCGAACTAGTAGCTCCTGCAGACGGGACGGAGTCGGAGAGACTCACACGCTCCGTTCCTCCGCTGCGAATAAGCCTGGGAATAAGCCCACCCCTTAGCCTAGGATTTCAACCCGAACCCTCTCAATGCTACGTACCGCTGACAGTAAGCCGAAGATCATGGGGTCCAGAAAGTAGCAAATATAATGGTTTGGATTAGTAGGCTTTCGTATAGTCACCATAGTACAAACTTTGTGGAGAGTTCTCATTAATACGGCGTCATGCCTTTCTAGCTTGAATTTTGGAGCTCGCCAAACCTATAGGTTCATAAGCCTGGAGACTCGCATTGACAGACTTTTGGTGCCACTTGTAGAGTGCTTTTGTTCTCGCAAGCCTAGCCTTTTCCCCAAAAGGCCACACTTAAAGAAGGAGCACAATACAAAGATTATGGGAAATGAACTGTATTGGACTGCGCTGAGGGAAGGAAAAGGAAGGAAAAGAAAGGAAAAAACAGCTGGCTATCTGAGGCTATAGACAGAGGTTGGCTGGCGATAGTGGGGCCATTGACTCACCTGGCCTCGCACACACCCCCTCAGGCAACCTCGCGAGCCTCGGTGGCGATCCTCCTCATGGTGTTTTCTATCCTCTACTGTTGTATCTCGGAGAACTATCCTCCGACCCTTTGTCTTGTTTGCAGGGCTACACCGAGGGTTGTTCTTCTGGCTTTCCCCAGACCCTTCCGTGCCCTGCACCATGTATGTATTTCTGGCTCAGGGGTGCAGGCTGGGCTTGGCAATTGAAAAGCTTCTGGAACCTCGGTCGAAGTCTCGTTCAGACGTGTGTCAGGAGTGTGATCTTGAGGATCTGAGGTCTCTCGGTCCTCGATAGGCGTGCCTAGTTGAATAATAGGCGTTTGGAGGGTAGGTAGGCTGTTGGCTTCCTCGAGGATCGTCGTGATCGTCGTGAACTCATCTTCGATGGAGGTATCGCTGAATTCAGCCACATGCTCGACCTCCGCCATCTCTGGGTCGTTCAGAGGGGGGTTTTCGCATTCTCGTATCTTGATAGCCACTGCTCGATAGACCTCATCAGTTTTAGCATCGTACACCCATACGATCTTCCCTGAGGGACTGTCCCAGGAGAGAAGCTTAGTCTTGATGCCTGTTTTGGCGTATTTGTCGCTCGACTGGCGATATGCCTTCTTCACGTGTATCCAGACTTCGCTGCCAACAACTCTGAGGAATCCAGCATCAGGAATCGCCTCCTTGTCGAGATTTAGGCGTTCTCCCAACAACTGAATGGGTGCCTTGTTGTCCTCGTTCGCTGTGCATGGGAGAAGGTTGATTACGCAACAGGCTGCTTCCATCGTGAACGGCCACAGTTGTGAAGGAAGATTAGCTGCGTTGTGGGCTGTTCGTGCCTTTTCGACTATGTCTCGGCCAGCCTTCTCTGCCTTGCCATTCATCCACGAGGAATGAGGAATGGTGCGGAGGATGGCGATGCCGTTCTCATTTGCCCATCTCATGAGCTTTGAGTTCTTGAATAGGGCTGTGGCCAGGCCAAACTCTGGTCCATTGTCGCATCCAAGCGCCTGGATCTTCCTGCCTGATTGACGCTCGAAGAAAGCAACAAATTCCTTGATCTGGGTGAACGCCTCGTGCTTCCTGTTCGCAAAGTAAACCCAGTGGAAGTTCGTATCCATATCGACGAAGTGAAGACAGTAACGACGGCCATTGTATCCCTCCTGGAACTCGATGAGGTTGAAGCGGATAAGCTGGCCAGGAGCATTGTACTTGGATTCCTGGTATCTTCCATACATATCCGTCAGGCGGTTTTCAAGGCATGGTTCGCAGTCGAAGTTCTTGTCCTTGACGATCGTGATACCAGCCCTCTTCGCTGCACCTCGTATGGCTGCTGGGCCAGCGTGCATAAAGCGATCGTGAAGGCGTTTGTATGTGACCGACGTGAGCATCGCCGGTTTGGCTAGAAAGCTACCCCCTGAGGGTTCAGAGCGGTCAACAGCCTTCAGAACTGGCACCCCCTCTTTCCAATTGACCTGGCATACCTCCTTTTTGTTCGAGGTGTTGATGATGTGGTTCATACGGCCGTCAAAGCCATATCCACGCGCCATCAACTTACTCACGCTGATGAGGTTGCAGGGCGTGCAGGGGAAGAATCTGGCATTCTCGAGCGTGATAGTGGCGATCGATCCATCGTCGCGTACCACGTCGAACTTTACCGTTCCAGCCATCTCTATCTTGAAGGATCCCGCTGCTGATTCCATAGCTTCCTCTCGAGGCAGCTGGACCAGATCCAGGAACCATTTGGGATCGTTGAAGAGTGTCTCTGAGGCGCCTGTATTAGCAATAATACTGTCCCTCGAGAGTTTATCGTGCTCGACGAGAGCAGAGATGGCAACCGTGGCTAGCTTGTCGGCCACGCTCGATCCACCAAAAACCGTTGGTCCTGCTGTTGTCGACGAACTCGTCGATGTTTGCTGGGCTGCCTGGCTTTGATTGCCAGTCCTGCAACCTCGTGGAGAGGATCCATGGCACTTGCTACATTCCTCACAGTGCTTCCAGCCAGAGACAAGGTATCTCTTGCACTGGCAACAGTAGGAAATCCTCTCGATGATCGACTTCGGCAGCTTCACGCCGTTGATGACACCTGTGGAGGGTAGGGAGTCCTCACGAGGCCACTGTCTCGCACCCCCTTGGGTTCCTCCAGAGGCAGACGACGAGGACGACGTCTGAGCTGTCTTCTTGAAGGTTGAAAAGGCCTTATTACCTGTGCCAGTGATGATGGCTGAATTGATTTCTGCCATAAGGGTATCCCAGGTAAGTTTATCCAGTTTGTGGTCTCTTCTGGCAAACGCGTGCATCTCTGGGAGCACATCCTCAATCTTTTTCAGAACGATGGCAAGAAGGAAGCCCTCTGGAGGGTCTAGTTTGAGCTCCTTCAAGCGTCTCTTCATGTACTGTAGGTCGTCTCTGAAGGCTTGGAGCGTCGAGTAATCTGCAACCTTGCAGTTTGCCAGTCGTGTGGCTATTTGGTCGATGTGCTCTTCTGAGTGCTTAGGGATCGTCTTGAGGACCGCGTTGTATATCACATACGGGTCCTCTTCTCCTACGGGGAGGCCAGCGTTCGTCAGCGTGCTCCTCACCTTGTGTAGTGTGCTTTGAAGAAGGGTAACCACTGTTCCCTGCTCCTGGTTCCATGTCTCATATCCCTTTGGATCCTTCCGTTCGTCAGGTTCAGGGACAGAGTACTTGATGTATTTGCCTAGGCGCATTTGCCTCAGGGTCGATGCTACCATCACAGACCAATCCTCGAGGTTCTTTTCGCCGACGAGGACAGGGATGGCATGGGTGATCGGCTGCCAGGGCCGACTTGTTGACTCCTCCATCTTCAACGGACGATCTTGCTGAAGGGGAAGGTGGTGTTGTTGTTGCTGTTGCTGAGGAGCTTCTGGCATCTCTGTTGCAGCAGGTTGTTGTTGTGAAGGTTCGTCGTCGTTCTCGACGTCCTCGTAGTGTGATTGATCAGTGGGTTCCTCCTCTGAGGAGTGGTCCATCGATCAGTGGGTTCGAGTGAGGCCACAGGCCGTTTGTCTCGATGGTGTTGGTTGAGGAGAGGGTTTTCAGGCCTCTTTCTCGTTGTTTTTGTTGGTTCTGGCCGTCGCGAGCGCGTACGAGGTCAGATATCGAAGTTGGGCTCGTAATTCAGGGTCAATTGACGAGGAATATCGTCAAATTGATGAAAGAAGAGTGTGAGGGGTCATAACCTATGGGAAATGAACTGTATTGGACTGCGCTGAGGGAAGGAAAAGGAAGGAAAAGAAAGGAAAAAACAGCTGGCTATCTGAGGCTATGGACAGAGGTTGGCTGGCGATAGTGGGGCCATTGACTCACCTGGCCTCGCACAAAGATTCATATTGTCTAACCAGCAACCTATATTCTTAACGGGCTTAAAATGTGTCAAATGTGGGGCAGTGAACTCATCGGGGTGAAGGATGGGTGAAAAGCCAGGTCATAGTTCACTTGCACTAATCCTTCTAACTATCCTGGGGCCAGAGGTACTGGTGCACCCGTTTCTATAGGAAAAGTACAACAAAGGGCCGGCTAGCCCGAAACCTAGTGAAAGGGCCCTGGTGTCAGGGGCCTGAAGGGCCCTTTCACCCACATGAGACCAATGCCTTTATTCCGACAAAATGTAATGCATCATCCACTGTGAGGGTCAAGCCTCGAGCCGATACTAATGTGTTCATCTTTCACAATTTCATGAGTATATGGACTGCGTGTAGTTCTCTGCTAATAATAGAAATGAGTGTCCTTTAGTTATAATGTTCATACCAATTCTAGCGCAATAACACTCATCATCATGTTGACAGACCACAGTGTTTTAGAAAGCATGCAAGCATATTCATATCGTATAAAGTAAGTTGTTTCCAGACATATGTGTACTGCATGTCTTCGTAGCTTTCAGAGATTGATACTGCCCACGTGTACAAAGCCGATTTGCCAACCAATATCTAGTTAGAAACCGCAGGACCACTCGTAAGAAAGACTACGTTGACGGCGGCGAACCTATGATACAATATCATTGTCAATAAAGTGAATCCTCATCAGAACTTTGACAGGAGACTTACGCAGCAGTAGCCGCAAATACTTCTATCCTTCTCGCAGTCGTCATGAGTGCAAGTGCGAGCGAAAAGCACGCCGAGAACAACATCACCACGCCGAGTTTCACTGTGTTGGACTCAATCGCGAAGAGCACTGTGATCGATACAAGGGGCAACAATGAAGCCATTACCGTCGTGAGAATGTTGGTCGCCCTGAATATGCATGATTCCTCATAGTAGTAGAAACCTTTTCCGAACTCGGGTGCCTCAGGGGTCTGTCTTGTCGTCAGTCTCAACTTGGTAAGTGCATCGATACAATCAGATGGAGGGAAGAAAAAGAAAAGAAAAGAAAAAAAAGGAGGAGTGGGTTGTTCTTTTTTTGCCCTCCCGTCGTCGACATGGATCGTCTCACCTTGTATTTCTCGCCAATATACCGATGAAACAGTGGAAACAAGGAATCCTTCACCCATCTCGAGATCGTATCCCCAGGCTTTTGAGGATTCACCGCAACAAGGTCCCAACTTGGTGAATTCTTCCAAGCATCCCCATCCAGGCCGCGGAGTGGACAGTTGCCGCCGTTCACATGCCCAAGCCACTTCTTGAAGAACTCGACATCAGTCTCATCTGGCACCTCCAACTTGGATAATGTGGCCTGTCGTTCCAGCCGTTCATCTGGGCACTGTTAGCTATTACATCCTGAGGTTCCCCGAGGGTGGTCATGCGCGTTGCCACAATCTTACTATACTCGTCGAGCTTCTTCATGAGTTCTTGCGCCGTCTGCCACTGTTCCCTTCCTTCGTCCTCGTGAGCCAGACACCACCAATCATTGGCATACAGTTTCCGATCTGCAAAAGCTGAGTCCTTTTCAACCAACTCCTTCAGATCTTCTTGTAGGTGCATAATCTCCGCTTGTCTGTACAGGAGGATCTGATAATTCAGAGCCTTGAACCGGCGAAGAATGGCGTACTGTTCATACTGTGCCATAAAATGGCCGACTTTTTCGTATCCTTCCATTTTGTTATACAGATTGCGAAGAGAGGGGGGGTTACGAGCGGTTCGAGGAGGGTGAGAGGTTCGTGGTGTGAAAAGCACTCGCGCAGAAGTGTGCGGAGAGTGTGTTGCATTTATGACGGAGCCCCTATCCATCCTCACTACTATTCTCTCGGCCACTATCCATGCCGTGTCACAACATTTCGTATACATGTGCTAACATGTGCCACTCGGCAATCACCTACTGAAGTCGCATTGTGTTAACATGGCAAAATCCATCAGTGCGCGTGATCTCGGTACTTGGAAGTCGTATCACAAGGCAAAGTCAACTTTCGAGAGGCCATTAGGCAAAGAAGAGGTTGAGAAAGCCGCTCGTCTCACTGCAGTTTGTGGTGCAGAACCTACCTGAAGGCATACAGACGCCACCACTTCGCGACCTAAAATCTTGAAATGTTTGCCTGGTTCGTCACACTGCCTTCAAGGCTTCAAAGTTTGTCTCGAGAGCACGAGGGCGAGTTCGTCCAAGGTGACTTGTCTCGGCAGAGAAGGTCAGACTGTTGCAGTACCCGAGCGAAACGTTGTTAAAGGCTACAAAGTCCCATGGCTGATCAGGTCCTTGAAACACGATGTATGAACATGCACAGCCTTCCAACCTCCTTCTGCACCGAAAACCACTCAGCAAGGTCGTCAATCTCTCCGTTGCGCCAACCGAACCAGCAATGAGTGCCCAAAGACAGGGACGCTAACCTGGCTTAACGTCTGACACTGTCAGCTTCTAACCCGTCTTTCCTATATCCATCTCTTCGATTGAAATATCGCACATTGACACTACTCGCATATAAAATGATAAAAAGAACTGGGCCAGCCAAAAGGCTGGAAGATTACAGCAACGAGGAAATAAACGCTGCTATAAACGAATTGAATTATAGAAGGAATCGCGTCACTTCCGATGCCGCTATATTGGGGCTGCGTCCTCCTACAGACAGCCGGATCGAAGAGATTATCGCTCTTTTGCAGGTAAGGAATGGAGCTGAAATGACTCCCACCCTCAATCATCTTGAATGGCTAACAAATCGGCGACCGTCACAACTAGGAAGAGCAAGAGGCTAGAGCCAGGGCGCCAAAGACGTCCACAGGATGGATGCGCTTCCTGCCGGAATCCGAAAGCTCTGACGGCGGAAGCTCTGATACCGACTACCTTCCGGTGCACAACGATACACAGCTTCGCCGCAAGTTCTCTCGTCAGTATGCACATGTCAACGCGATGCCAGAGACTATAGCCGACTTTTATGAATTTCACAAGAAGCGACTTGAGACACCCGTGGCCATTTCTTGGGACGGAGGGGAAAGCATCTGCAAAGAGTCTGTCGAGGTGACTTGGACCAGTCCGCTTGGGCTTTCCTGGACGACTCAGTTCTTTGTTGTGCCCAAGGATGATGATGTGGCACTCACCAAGGTACTTCTGGGCCAGGACACATGGGAAGCGTGCCGAGATAAACTGTACCGAGAGTTTGAAGTGCCAGAACCAGTGTTGGCGTATCCAGCTTTTATTCGGGAATTTCAGGTAATAGAAAATTTTATTGCCCTTTTTCTGATGGAGTCGTGTCGGAGCGCCGTCGCTAACATACTCGCGGTTCAGGGGTCTGAGAAGAAGGAGCAAGAACTGATGGACGAAGAGGCTGCCCAAGAGCGAGAACTGCTGGCACAACGGAAACAACGCGCACAACAAAGGCAACGCGCACAGCAAGAGCAACGGCCACAACAAGAGCCGTTTCCACAACAAGGGCAACGGCCACGGCAAGATCAACGGTCACAACAGGGGCAATGGATGCAACAGGAGCCACGTACGCAGCAGCAAGGGCGGACGCCTCAGCAAGGTCGATGGGAACAGCAATGGCATTGGCCACAACAAGAGCATTTGCCACAGCAGCAACAACGGCAGCAACGGATGCAACAAGAGCAAGCCCAGAGAGGTGAAGAGAGCGATGAGGAGGATCAATACTCGGCATTCAGAAGAGCAAAACGCAAAGCGAATGAAGGAAAGGGCCGTTCGTCAAACAAGGACCAATCCAAGAAGAAGAAATAATTCAAGACAGGGGGAGCCCACTTCTTGGGTTTCCCAGAATTCCTGCTAAAGGCTCTGTGTCTTGACCCAAGGATGGTTCATCCTGGGCCCGCAACTGAGGCTGCCATTTTTATATTTACGAACGTGGACTGGAAACAATTATCTCGGACTGCTTTTTATGGTGACGATTTTCACAGTTCATTATCTCAAAATGTCTATCTCAAGATAACTCAAAAACATCGCCACGTGAAAGTATTTCCAAACATAGAATTGAAGTAATTTTCATTCTCCAGAAGTCTCTGCGTACTTCGTGTCACATTACACGCCCCTTTGTTCCCGCAACGACTGTATCACGAGGGGAACAGGGAAAGGGTTGGAAACCCGTTTAACCGTAGGTGCAAGAGACGGTGGTGCCAGACGCAGTGCAGGTGGACTCGACGCTGCCCAGGAGACCGGAGCGCATGTCGATGATGGAAGAGCCAGTGGTGTCGACGGTGGAGCCGTCCTGGGTAGCCTCGGCATCGGTGAACTCGACGGAGCCGTAGTCGGCGAAGCTGACGAGGGAGCCGCCCTCCTCAAAGTCCTCGACGATCCACTCGGCGTTGTACTCGCACAGCTCGGCGGTCTCGATGGTGAAGGTGTGGGTAACGGAGTCGCCGGTGGTCAGGTTCTCGACGGTGGCGGTTCCAGCCCTCTCGCTGGTCGCCTCGACGGTGGCCTGGACGGAGTCGCCTGCCGAGATGGTGATGCCGGTGAAGTCGATGGAGGCGTGGGGGTACCACTCATACCAGGCGTCGTAGGTGGTGGTGAGGGCAGACTTGGTCCATGAGACACCAGTCTGGAGGATGGAAGTGGCTGATTTGATATGATTAGTTAGTATATGATGATATGTAAAGCTGGGAGAAGAAAGAGAGGAGGCAGAGAGAAGAGAGAGAGAAAAAGAAAGAAGAAAAAAAGGACTACATACAGCACGTGTCTCCATCGATACCAACCCAGGCAGCGCCAGATCCGGTGGAAGAAGGAGTGGGCACGGTGAACTTGGCAGTCACACCAGTGTAGCCGGTTCCAACAAGGACGGCACCGGACCAGTTGGAAGAGTACGAGACCATGGTGTCGTTGGTGGGCTGGTCAGCCGGGGCATCGATCTTCTTGTTGGGGTTCGAGTGGCGGCGGGCAGCGCGGCTCTTGGCCATCTTCTCGGATCGAGTGGCGGGCGCAGCAATAGCGCTGCCTGCGAGGAGCAGGCCACTGGCGACGGCGGTGAATCTCATCTTGGCGGATTGGCTAACAAGAGCTGGACTGGAGGGTGCAATGCTTTTCCAACGAAGGAGGTGCTTCTGTGTGGGCGAGGAGATCGAGAACGAACTGCAGAGCAAGACGATACAAGATCAGGATATATATCTTGGCGGACATCATTCAGCTATAAATAATTCTACAAGACTACAAATAGCAAGGCAGATCGATCAGTCTATGAGAGGGCCTAGAATTGACAGGGAAGTATGTGTTTGCTGCTGTAGGTATGAGACCTTCCAAGTCTGTATAGCTTCCCACTTTCCAAGTTGGTAGGTGTATCTTGAACATCGGCTAATCGGCTCGACGAGCTTCCTGAAGTAGATACTCGATTCTGTATACAAGGCTGCCAGCAGATTGGTCCAGGTGCAGAGTCGATGCATGGAACATCGGCAAAAACTGTAATAATACCCGACCTCCAGTATCTAAATCCGGCTACGGGGTTCAGAGAAGGCTGCGATCCCGATACTGTTCTCATACCCGAGGTTGTCATTCTGAACTAGGCAGTTCTCTGCAGCCCGCTCCTATATGTTCTTATTATTATCGAAGAGAGAGGAATAAGTGATGAAGTCACTGTACAGGTTTCGCGAGCCCAAATAGATGCATCACGCAACCTCTAGAACGTCCGCCACAGGTGCAGCTGACCAAAAGAATGGTGATGCAGGGAGAACTGAACTCCCGACCGCACTCAAAACTCACCTGAGCATCTATCTTTGCCACTCGTATGTTGGAGGACCATGTGACCTTCTGGATTGGTCTCGCTTGTAGCATAACCATTGTTGCGTCTTGTTTAGTCTTGAGATACTGGCATTTTCTCTAAACTCTATTCAAACCTCCGTGTAATTAGCAGGAAAAATGAGTCTACAAGATAACAAAATCAAGGAAATAACGTTGGAACTGTAGGAAGATCCTGTTATCGTAGGAAAAGGTAGATAATTTCAGGGAGGAAGAAAGGGAGAAGAGAAAAGAAAAGAAAGAGCTGTCAGATGACACGGATAAGACGCATCATCCCTCCCGCTCTCTGCATGTGGCATGGCGAGGAGCACCAGAATTACGATTACGCTGGCTTTTGGGGTTTCATGAGCCAAGATAATTCCTTGAGTGTATGGACCACTGAATAAGTTCTCTATCAAGGGCGTAGGAAGAGGAGACAGGCAAGGCCGTTGCAAGGCAACTCCTATGAGCATACTGGAAATAAGTACTATATAATAACATTTTCTGAGCTCTGTTACACCTGCAATTCTATACGATGGTGAAATAGCACGAATAAATTCTCTTCTATTGGTGACTCATAAAATAAAGGATAATCTCATCACTACGAGGGTATCAGCAGCTTACAGAGTCGTTCTCATACCCGCCAGCAACCACCAGACCCATCTCATCGTCTGAACTCTTCCACCCAAGTATACATTATCGACATTCATTACTAAACCTCCTCACCCGGCCCACATGCAATCCAGACACTCTACCTTGCACCTCACTCCCGACCGTAATCCAAGGACTCATGTGACACAAGCCATCCTCCTCTTGCCACGTCCACGCCAGACACCCACGACGGCCCTCACAAAGCCGCGAACACCCAGCCGCCGCCGTCACGCCCTCCACCGTGGTGGTATGCTCATCCAGCCTGCCCACATGGTCCCAACCCTGGCGCAGCGGCCTCGTCTCAAACGACGCAAACGGCGGCGCCCCATACAGCTCCCACAGGTCCACCCACAGCACCGGATCCGCCACCACTCGGAAGACCCGCCCAACATCGCCCATCTCCTCGGCCGAGAGCCTGTGGAACGACGCCACAGGCACGCAGAACCGGTCCGCCCGCAGCCGCGACGCCCACGGCTGCTCGCCGTTGAAGAACCGGCTGCTCGCTTCGTCGATGCGGATCCCCACCACGCCCTGCAGGGTCCTGGCCAGGAGGCGGTCGCCCCAGGTCTCGGTCAGCGAGGCGCGGCGGGCTTCGGCTGTGCGGTGGCTGTTGGCCTGGGAGAAGAGGGCCTGGAGCGCGGCGTGGGACAGGGCGATGGAGGAGCCGCCGTGGGCGAAGCGCTGTCGGTAGTCACCTACGGCGTTGCCGAGATAGTAAGGGGTGGCCGGGTCGAAGTGGCCCAGGACGAGGTTGAGTGACGGCTGGATCAGGTAGGTGTCGTCGTCTACCATGATGAACCACTTCTTGTGCGGCATGGTTCGGTAGGCGAGATCGAGAGCCGGGATGAACTGATTGTTACTCAGTAGGTCAGATACACAGAGATGAGGAAAAGAAATAAAGAAAGAAAAAAAAATATGAGAATGACGTCCCGAGTGTGCTGCTGTCGGCTGCGTAGGCATGATTCTTACCTTCATAGCATCCAGCTCCCATCCAAAAGTCCCCGAGAGATTCCTGGCCAGCGCGTCCTCCCCAGCAGCAATAGCAGCCGCAAGCAGCCTGTACTTTTCCGCGCGCGCAGGGTGCATGTCCTCCTCCTTCCCCATCATACTGTCGCGGCTCTGCAGGGCGCCGGAGACGACATCGTGAATCCTGAGCCCTACCGGCGGATCATGCCGCACGGTCATCTCGGAGGCAAAGTCCCCGACGACCAGCACGCTGTCCAGGCTGATGCCGGTCGGAAGCGCCTGCAGCCACGCCAGGGCCCGCTCCTGAGTCCCATAGCCCGTCTTCAGGATGATGGCCACGTCGGTCGCCCAGTCCAATGGAAACCGCGGTCGCTCGTACAGCCAGCGGTCATTCCGCAGCGGTCCGGTGATGAACCGTCCTGCCCTTTGGGTGTTGAACTGCAGGGACAGCCTGATGGGGTTGTCGTAAGCCAGTGTCGTGTACAGGAGGACGAGCACAACTGCGGCTGAGAAGAGGAGCCGCAGGGTGAAGAGCGACCGTCGAAGGCGACGCCGACTTAGAGTCATCTCGGGTCGTCGTTACATCCTCAACATGAGGGTATTTCCAGGTGCGTGGGAATAGAGCGAGGGTGTGGCGTGTTGCAGTGGCGGTGCGGTGCGGTGCGGGAGGTCCGGACCAGAGGAAGACGTTCTGTGTAAGGATGGCGGGGTTGGAGTGCTTAAAGAGGTAAGAATGCCTTGAGAACTTATTACGAGGCCGGATATCTGAGAAAAGAATCATGCATTAATTAGACAACACAAAGAACAAAAAAGAAGAAGCAAGGAGAGCCGGCAAATGTCATGTCGATTGTCCGGTTGTGACTCGTGGTTAATAAGTAAGTAGACAGACAACACTGAACCCTCCCATTCCTCGGCCCGTCCTCAGAAATCTCAGAAGAGAAACTCGTTGGTTACTCATAGGAATTGCACGTATGCAAAAGGGCAATGAGTTATGCACGGTAACGTCACAGACTGGAACGAGAGACCCTTAATTGATGACATCCCTTGGCATCTCGGGGTGCGTCACGCTAATGAGGTACCATACTGTCCGCCTGCGTCGTCGCCAATGAGCAATCTCTGGTGGTGAACGGGCTGGGCTAGACGCTCCCCCATGAGGTTATTGTACTAGCCTGCTCCCAACCGCCCGGGACACCAAGTGATTATACTTGAACAATTGTAAGTCTATAAGTCGTCATTTGACATCCCCCACTTGCATATAAATAAGTACTTAAGTAAGTATAGGGAACTCACGGCTATCAATCGCCGACAGGTTGTCTATAAGCTAACGAATGAATGAGAAAGAGAAGAATTTTAGCAGAGAGAAGGTGAAAGGAGTGAGGAGGGGAAATATGTCTCAAAGCAATGAAAGATGAAACGCAACAAGGGATAGAAAGGTTTATACAAAATAAAAAGCAAGAGGCATGGGCCAAATAGAGCAGACCATCCCATTTGGAAATTTTGCTTTCTTATCATTCCCCTGTTCTGCGCCAGAGGCTATGGGGGTGAACATGGAGAAATGTGGTAATACATCAAGCTGGCACAGAGTGATAAGATGGAGAGTGTAATTCAGTCATAAATCCAAAGTACAGGAAATACCACCATGAGATCACAAGGCACTGGAAAACGAGGGGTCGAGAGATGGGTGGGTTGCAAATTTAGGTAAATACTTACCTAATATATGTCATCGCTCATCATTCTCTTGATAGTAAGAAGAGAAACATAAAATATTGTCAAATGAAAGGTGTGATAGGGTTTCAATGTCTGCAATCAGTCTATGCAATTGATCCCACCCTCAGGGTAGGATTGTCTTTCTGAGAGACATTTCTTCAGGTCTCTAGCGGGTAGGGGGAGAGTATTTTTCATCGAGTTGTTTAAGAGTTGTAAGGTCAAGATGTTTAATGCCACACTACATTATGTGTGTGTGTGTGTGCGTGTGCGATGGCCCCAATCCAAAGTTGGCACTTACTTATCCAAGGAAAAAGGGCTTCTCCTCAGCAAGGTCCAATGTCTGGCTGTTTCGCAGGACCAATGTCCAGACTTCGCTCCTGCTGGATCACCCAGCGAACAGCCTCCCAGATATCATCCTTGATCACAGTAGGCTCAAACCTTGGCGGGCTATCAGCCGTGTAGACTCCAGACTTGACCAGCACGCTGCGCCACTCAGGGTGAGCGCCGTGGGCATTGTTGGCCAAAAGGGCTCCCTGGATATCGCTCTCGGGGTTGTCACCGACCATGTAGACTGTTCGCAACGCTGTGGCCGCCTGGGATCGGAGCCTGGCGTGGCAGAGCTGGATGGCAGCCTCGGCAAACTCGTAGGTGGTCGCCGTGGGTTTTCCGCAGGTCCAGGCCTGCAGCTGGGCATGACCCTGGGTGATTCCCGACCAGACACCCTCCAGCGCAGCACGGAAGGCGCCCTGGGCCAGACGGGGTTGTGAGTGGCTCGTGGCCCACTCCAGATCGGGATTGCAGAAGTACAAGGCAGGCTGTCCGTCTTGCTGGTAGCCTGCATTGTCCAGAGCCGTGTTTCCGTTCTTGGTAGATCGGGTGCCCAGGCGGCCGCCCTCGGACAGGAGAAGGTCCAGACACAACTGCAGGTCAAGGCACCAGTCTCTAGGAGACGAGAACACAAGGATGGCCGAGATGGGGGGTTCATGGGCAAAGTTGTCGTGGAGCTTGCCGTGCAGGAGATGAGACTGCTGGGTCATCTCCGGGAATGGGTGAATGCTGGGGAAGTGCTTGACCAGATCACTGCTGGTGAGGACATAGTCCCAGTCAAAGCCGTAGGCCACAGCCACCTCCCTGATCTGGTCGCCGTAGCCACCAAGGGCAAGAATGTACTTACCCTGGTACTGGTCGACGAAATGCCTGAAGGGGGTGTGAGACTGGACAAACTGGTCTTCTCGAATGGACACACCGACACGCGTGGAAACCCGCTTCGCATGAGCGAATTCAGTCAGACCACCGCCGTTGGTGAGCAGGATAAACGGAACTGAGTGAATCCGTAGTATGTCGAGAGCGGATCCAGCACTAGGGATTGGCTGTTTGCCTCGGACCAGCACGCCATCGATGTCGAATGCAATGGCAAATTCTGAGGAGGCAGTTTCCTCAGATACGGAAGCCATGATGACGATGATGTATGTGTGAGGAAGAAAGGGCGAAAGAGAAGATAGAGAGAGATCCACCACTGCAGAGCTGCTATATTAGTGCTTTTGGCTGCATGAGATTGAGTGGCCTGGTTGCAAGAAGCCACTCGGGAATCGGAAGGAGCCGTGACAGTAGTAATTCCGTGTTGACTGAGTGGGGCTGGTATTCAGTCAGTGTAGAGGATCGATCAGGCAGAGTATCGTGAGACCATATGGTTGCAGTTTATATAAAATAAAATGAAGAAAAACAGAAAGCCTGTCTGCGAAATTCCATACCAGAAACCTGCAAGAGAATACATGACTTTTTTGTCCCTTAAATTCCAGGAAGTAATATCGTAAGGAACTGGATGAAGATTGGAAATAAATGCCATCAATAATGAATTGTGGAAGGGCAAATTTGCTCACCATGAACCCAAATCCATGAAGAAGAAGAAAAAAGAGCAATGACTGAATGAATGAAATAATGTTTAACAGTCAGTAAACAGAAAGGGACAATGGTGAGGAATAAGGTTTCCAACAAGTTGATCTGACCAATGAACGCGGCCCAACAGTAGACCCACTCACTCACTTGTTGTGCACACGACTGCAGCAAGTGGTCAGCCAGAGGAAACCCAACTCCCTGTTTAGTGCCCCTAGGCCAGATACCGTTTCACGTCAGCATTTCAACCTCTCCAAACCCCCCCCCCCTACGATCACCTGCTTTCATTCAGCCTTCTTCACCAGAAATCGGGTCCATGACACAATACATTTGAGAGCATCGAGTATTACTCCCTCTTGCGTTGTGTATACACCACCATGGTGTGCGCAAAATGCCAGAAATTGGCCAAGGGGACGACCCTTGCCACTCCGGGGGTGAAGAAGAAGAGTGAAATGTATCATGGATCTCCCGCAGCATCATCATCAGCAGCAGCATCATCGTCCAAGTCAGCCTCAGGTATTGGAAAGGTAATCAATGAGAAGTCCTCCCCATGAACAGGGCAAGCTGGCGTGACTGACCATTATGTGATGTAGAGCAAACTGTTGTCAAAGAATGCCAAGAATCCATATGCTCAATATTCCAGGTGAGTGACGGACATCACACACCTCCCCCCCCCCCCTTTTCCACCCCCAAAGTAGAGCAGTCACTATTGCAGGGCCACAGGACTGACCAGAATTTCATGCAAGCTCCTGTACAAAGTGCAAGACCAAGATCACACAGGGGCACAGTTACTGCAACAAGTGTGCATACCAAGCAGATCGTAAGTCATAGCCTCTGGGAAACTCCATCTGGTGTTGAAAGAGAGTCAAAGGAGTGAGAGCTGATTTTACGGGCAGTCTGTGCAATGTGTGGCAAACCGAACAAGAAGGCAACTGGCAAGGCTCCACAGATATCTGGACAAAAATTTTCGCTGAAGTGAGCAGGATTCACAAGGGTTGGGCCAATGGGTTGAAAAGGTTCCCGTCCTGTGTTGCAGGATCTCGGCGTTAGTGGTGGTGCAACCCTGGAATTTTTCATAATGATCTCCATAAGAGGAGTGAATCCAAGGCATACTGGTCAAAATTTATAGACACAACACTGTTGAGAGCTCTCTATAGGGATCTGAAGCTGGTTTTTTTTGGGGGGGGGGGGGTTTTAAAAAAAAAAAAAAAAAAAAAAAAAAGAGACGCCTTATAGTGACTGATAAGATGGGAATTTTCATTTACAACGAAGTTGATATCAGCACTAGAGGAGAGTACTTATGTAGCATGAACTTTGGATCCATGATTTGACGACATCTTCATGTGACGATGGTGATGGTAGTGGAGGCGGCTACCTCTACTTGGGTTTTTGATGGACCAAGTCTCCTACCACATCCCTTGATGAGAAATACACATGCATAACTATGTATGAGATCTTATCCTCGGAGGGGAAAGACTTTCTCAAATCGACGCCTTGGCCGAACCACTCAGCAGATCCTGAACAAACTTCTCAATTTTCCCATTCGTCTGCTCCGCCCACGGCGCCCACAGCGCCCAGTGCGTCCCGTCGACCGAAGCCTTCGTCAGGTTCTCAAAGAAAGCGTCCATACCCGCCGCCATGGACGGCAGCAGCGCAGCGTCCTGAGCCGCAGTGACCATCAGGGATGGGATCTTGATCTTGGGCTGCTGCCCGTCCTTGAGCAGCGCCAGCTCTTCCTCGTAGTTGATCTTGCGCGTGCGGTACCAGTTCAGCGGGCCCCGGACGCCGTTCCTCGCGTACTGCTGCACGTAGAAGTCGACCTCCTCAGCGTTCAGCAGGGGGCAGTCGCCCATCTTGTCAATGTTCTCAAAGAACACGCCCTTTTCTACCGAGAAGACGTGCTCGCCCGCGGGGCCCTGCGCACCATACATACCCTTGAGCCAGCCGCGGATCTTGTCCGGGTCGCTGCCGATCTCGCGCTCCACGTCGGGCCCGGCGAGCTGCGCCTGGTATGAAAAGTTGGGCAGCCTCTTGATCATGTCTGGGATGTCGATGAAGACGGGGGAAGGGGGCACATAAGGGGTGCAGATGCTGAAGACGCCCTTGAGCAGCTCCGGGTGCCACAGGGCGAAACGCCAGACCAACATGCCGCCCCAGTCGTGGCCGCCGAGGATGATCTGGCCGTCGGGCCCGCAGATCTGCCGCACGAGCTCGGCGAAGTCGTCGCAGACGGACTTGAGACTGTACAGGGCCAGATCCTGGGGTGCATCGGTGCCGCCGTAGCCGAGACAGTCGGGCACGATCACCTCGAGGCCGAGGGAGAGCAGCAGGGGCACCTGGTGGCGCCAACCAAAGGAGAGGTCGGGCCAGCCGTGGACGAGCAGGACGGTGCCCTTGATGGTGCCTGAGGGCTTACCGTGGAGATAGTGGTATGTCCTTCCGCGCAGGTTGGCCGTGGCGGACTGGACCCGCGGGTCATTTGGCTTGAGCTTGTCGACGGGCATGATGTGGATGATGGGTGATGGATGGTATGGCGTGGTGGTCGTTTGTTAAAATTGGGAAGGATGAAAACCCTTGGTGGTGGTGATGAGGAGGAGGAGGAGGAGGGGTAGAATGAGGAGGATTGGATGGAGCAAGCCCAAAGAGAGCAAGAATTGTAACCAGTTGAGGAAGGGGCGACTGCTGTGGTTCTTATATGCCCTACGTAAAGTGGAGGAAGGACCTGATCAGAGATGTTCTAGGTACATACTTCAGTACTCATGTACTTGTCGCTACTGTAGCTAGCTTAATAGTGGGACTCTCGCCGTGGAGCGGAAGCTTAGACGACGTCACCAAGATGTTCCTTCCCGCGAATAAACCCTTGTTCAAGCGCGCGCCCTCTTTCAAGCCACTTGGGAAAAAAAATCCCCTAGTTCCCTACTCTGTGCACTCAACCTCGGAAGTGTTGCTTGGACTAGAACAATTATCTGATGGGTCGCGGATGAAAAGGAGGAAAAGGGGAGGGGGGAATAAGGTGATCCTGAGCGGATTTTCTCAAGAAACAACAGATACCTACAGATTTTTGGGGAATAACGACGCGAAACCGACCGAGGCATCCCCACTCGAGATTGCTGTGCGCCAACCGTTGCAGGAATGCATGCAGGGATTGGCAGCCTCGGCTTGTCGAAAATGCCCTCTTTTTGCTGACCTGATTTTCCAAGCTGTATTGTATTTGTAAGTGTTTATTTTCCCCTTCTGCCCCTCTTGACTCTTAATCTTTCTTATCGTCTCATGTGTCATGCGTGCTCTGGATAGATACATCCCAATATGCAAGAGCATGAGTAGCATTACCAAGAACCAATCTATTACAGCGCTGTCCTAGACTACGAAGCTCATTTGCTGATTTGTAATGTGAGATAATTAGCCGTAGAGGATCTCGAAGAATACGGAAGGTCAGCACTGTTGTACCAGATGTCAGAACCATAAATAAACAACAGCCAGGTACACCATCCAGGATAATCATGCTGACGACACCTAAGACCCGGCTGAGAGAGCATATTTGGTCAGAGAAAGAGAGCAAGTACGAAACTGCCGGTAACCCTGTTGCTCTGGTGCTTGCAGGTGAATCAGTTCTCGAGACTGCCCTCAAAACGACCTTCATTTATATTGCAGTCGGCAGTGAATTACCACCCTCAAGCATACCTTTTCAAGGGATTGAAGACGTAGGAAAAGCAATGATTAATATGATTTCAGTGTCGCTGAGAAGATCGCCAAGAGAAACGAGGGGGCGGCAAGCTTGTTTTTGTCACGTACAACAGAGACAGAGCTGTCATGGGCGCAGGATGTTGAAACCAGACCGTAATTATAGTAAGCTCACTCACATCAGGTAAGCACCTACCTTTTCGGAATAAGACAGGCGGCTGTTGTAGTACTTATGGTACTGCTTCCTGACGCCGCTCACCTTGTGCGATCGTAGCACCATATGGTGCCTGGGAGGGAAAACCTCCTTCCTTTTAATTGCCTGTAAGTTGGAGGGGGACTTGTTCATCTTGGAAGAGGATTTGCGGGAGGTCCTGAGGGAGGTCTCAGGAGAGGTCTTTGGGGTCGACTTTGAAGATTCGACCGCCTGCCCCTCGGCCGCAGGCATTTTGTCACGTCCTTGCTGTTGCTGTGTCTCGCTCTGCGTCCACTGGGAAAAGTGAACCGGGTACTGCAACACCTCCTCCGCCCCCTCTTCCTCCTCCTCCGCCTCTTTTTCACCGTCCTCTTGCTTCTCTGACTCCTTCTCTTCCTCGTTCCACTGCGGTGGTGGTGGCGGCCGCCGCTGCTGCGGCCTAGCCCAAATATGCTCATCTCCGGCATACCCAATAGTAGACGTTTGGTTAGGAGGATAGTGCGCATACTCTTGTGCATTGCAAAGGCACATTGTTCTTCCGTTTGCGAAATATGCGCTTCCATATGATATGAACAACTGCTCACCTGCCGCAATATCACGACCGGCACGGAACAAGACTACGTTATAACGACGGCCGTACATTGTAGCTCGGGTAGACACGTTTGGCGTGCAGTGATGATTCATGAATCGCTGTCCAGGGTTGAATACGTAGTTAGCATTGTCCTGAGAGGAAATTTCTGAAGAATAAAAGGTAAAGCTTCCATGCTTTCGACAATTTGGGATAAGAGTGCTAGTGATGAACAGATATTTACCAATATGCACAAGTGAGAGAAGGGACACTAAGCAGTGCTTCATTTGTTGGGGGAAGGAGGCATATCAATCATTACTTACCGCCCAGTTACCAAACTGCATCGCTGTGCACTGAACCCGGTCGGAAATGCTGAAGCTAAAGAGATCGTCCTTGAGGCTGAGGTTCGCGGGAAGCAACTCACCAAGATACTCACCCAGCGGTGTGCCTTTTGGGATGGCGACCTTGGCAAAGGCACCCATTCCCATGATCCCGGCATCACGGATCTCAACCATCTCTTCGGCGGGGATGCTGACGGTGCGGCGAAACTCGTCGACGCAGGGCTGTCCGGGGCAAGCATCATCACGCCGGTGACAGACCCTGCAGTGCATTGAAAGCGAGTTTCTGGCCAAAAGTCCCTCAACTGTTGGTGAAGAACTGCCGGCCCAGTCCTGCCGGGAGGCGAGATACTCAGAGATCTTTACGGGCAGAATGTCGTACCCGGAGCCAAGTGGCTGCAGATTGCCATGCTCATCTCGCCACTGGAAGAGAAGTCCAGGCGCCGTGGACTCTTCAGGAACCTGTTTTGTCATAATTAAATCTTTCTTTCATACGTTAAGCAACCGATGGTGCCTTTTGCTATATCATTTGCCGTTCGAGTGTGTCGGACTGGGTCCATGTGAAACTGTGAAATGTGATTGAAGACAAGCCATTGTGAGATTGAGACTGGAAAAGGACGAGCAAACAAGTCTCTATTTAACGTTTGGGAAAAGGGGTTATCTCTCTGTCTTTGTTCGCAGAAGACATTGACATTGTGACATATTTATAGTCACTCGTCTTTAGGGAAAGAGGTCTATTATTGCTCAATGGGACAAAGCTCATTCAATGTGACTGAGCCAGACTGGCCCGCCAAAGAATGGAAACGATAACAAGTTCCCGTCATGGGAACTGTGCTAAGGAGAACAAGAGAATCGAGATCTGGTTAAGCAAGCATGTCAATGCAGAAAGGCCTCCAGTTTGCAAAAAGAAGAGGTAGTGAAGTAAAAGCAGAGAGGTTAAAGGTCAAGACAAGGGATTGATTGATCAGTCTTCAACAAGCAAGGAAGGACGTCGAGAATATATTGATTAGTAATATCATCTGCCTTGCATTAGCAGTGTCCAGGCTTGTTAGGCTTGCCAGGGTACCCACTGAGCGTACACCCTACGTACCATAGTACATCGGCTATTGATGATGTGATCCGGCGCCGCTTTCGGCCCCACGCGGTGGCTCTTGATCGCAAATGCCCTCAAAAAGAAACATTTTCCTTCCACAATAACACATCGCCACCCCCTTCCCACGGAGAGCCGTGACCGACGAAAAAAGGAACAGAAAAGGGTGCGACATAGTTGGAGCCGTCCTCCTCCAACAGAAGCCGTCAAGATGATACGCCAGACGGTCCGCTCGTTCGCGAGCAGCGCACGCCGCCTGGCCGAGACGCCTTATATGGGCATCGCCCAGGCGCAAGGCATTGCGAGGGGCCTGACAGGAGGTAAGCAAGATGGCTCTCTCTAAGGCCAACATCTACTACTCCGCAATGTTTATGAAAAGAAAGAAGAAGAAGAAGAAGAAGAAGAAGAAGAAGAAGAAGAAGAAGAAGAAGAAGAAGAAGAAGAAGAAGAAGAAGAAGAAGAAGAAGAAGAAGAAGAAGAAGAAAAAACAGCCATGCTGACTTGACTGTTCTTTCTTTCTTTTTTTTTTCGCTCCAGCCATCGGCAACACCCCCCTCATCCGCCTCAACACCATCTCCGAGCAGACAGGCTGTGAGGTCCTAGGCAAGGCCGAGTTCATGAACCCAGGCGGCAGCGTCAAGGACCGCGCAGCGCTCTACGTGGTACGCGACGCCGAGCGAAAGGGCCTCCTGAACCCGGGCGGCACCGTGGTGGAGGGCACAGCAGGCAACACGGGCATCGGCCTGGCGCACGTGTGCAGGTCGCTGGGCTACAAGCTGGTCATCTACATGCCCAACACGCAGTCGCAGGGCAAGATCGACCTGCTGCGGCTCCTGGGCGCCGAGGTGTACCCCGTCCCCGCCGTGGCCTTTGACAACCCGGAGAACTACAACCACCAGGCGCGCCGGCACGCGGAGCGCCTGGGCACGGGCAACGCCGTGTGGACGAACCAGTTCGACAACACGGCCAACAGGCAGGCGCACATCGAGACCACGGGCCCGGAGATCTGGGCGCAGACAAAGGGCAAGGTCGATGCCTTTACCTGCGCCACGGGCACCGCCGGCACGCTGGCCGGCACGACGAGGTATCTGAAGGAGATCAGCGGCGGGCGGGTCAAGTCGTTTCTCGCGGACCCGCCGGGGAGCGTGCTGCACTCGTACGTGCAGTCCGGCGGCAAGCTGATTGACAGGACGGGGTCGAGCATCACCGAGGGCATCGGGCAGGGTCGCATCACGGACAACCTGAAGCCTGACCTTGACCTGGTGGATGACTCGCTGCACATCTCGGACGAGAAGACCATCGAGATGGTGTACAGGTGTCTGGACGAGGAGGGCCTCTACCTGGGCGCCAGCTCCACGCTCAATGTCGTCGCGGCCAAGGAAGTTGCCGAGAAGATGGGACCGGGACACACGGTCGTCACCATGCTGTGTGACGGCGCGTATAGATATGCCGACCGCCTGTTCTCGCGCAAGTGGCTGACGGAGAAGAAGCTCATAGACGCCATACCGGAGAGCCTGCACAGGTACATTGTTCTTCCATGAGAAGAGCAGGCGAATATAATAAAATACAATTGAATCACTGTAATTAACAGCAGCACATTGAATTTTCATGGCACTTATGCTGCTGTTTCTGCTGCTGCTGCCGCCGCCTTCTTTGTCTTTTGGACCTGAGGCTCAGCAAAGCACTTCTCGTACATGGTCGCCCCGCGCTTGCCCTTCTCAACCGCCGCAAGGGCGTCATGGACTTCTGCGCTCACTGCGTTCCTCCGCGACTTGAGCTCCTGTCCCATCTCGTCGGCGCCCAGAGCCTCGACAGCCAGGTCAAACCCCCTCAGGATCGGTGCAGCGACCGTCAGGAATCTGTTCCTCTCCATCAGGTACGCCATCCCTTCGGGGTCGACGTATGCCTCATGCGGATGCAGCTCCAGAAGCCCCTTGTTCTCAGGCCACTGCTCCAGTACAATCTGCGCGTAGACGCGCAGCCTCTTCATGTGCTCCCCGTCCTTTCCATGCTTGACCACCATCGCTGCCGCCAGCAACAAAGGTGTCGCCAGGACCTGAGGGTCCTTCCGTAGCGGGAACCGGTCCGTCTTCTCAAATGTCGTCTTCGCCTGTCCCTGCAGCTGGTGGCCCTCCTCCGCCAGGAACTGTATCACCCTCTCCGCGTTCCTGTACGCCCTCTCGGTTGCCCCGGCCGTCCAGCCCTCGCTCGCAGCCTGCCAGACCACGGCGGTCATGACCTCCTGCACCGTCTCGGACGAGTCCAGCTTCAGGCCTGTGCGCCCCGGGTTCTTCATGGCCTCGAACACAGGGCCCATGTGCCCTGCCTGCCCTGCTTTCCTCACGATCTTGGGCCAGTCCGACGGCAGGAATCTACGGTTCGCGTTGAACCAGAGGGCCTCGAGCAGGCCGGGCAGCTTCTGCCAGTCGTTGGTGGTGCGCATGTTGTCCATGGCCTGGTACAGCATGCGGCGGGCGGCGGGCACAGCGCCGCCGGCCGAGTCGATGTGGCGTAGGCGGATGCGCTGGTCGTCGAGCTCGATCTCGATGGGGTCCTGCTCCAGCTTGTGTTTCCAGCGCGAGCGGAAGAGCTTCTTGCGCTGCGGGACGGAGAGGTACGAGGGCAGGATGATCTTGTGGGTGAGCTCCTTGAGGATCTTGTCGAGGTCTTCGTTGGAGGATCTGCTGAAGGTTATTATGCTGCCTGTCACCCTTTTGTGTCAGCATTTCTATTCCTTTAGTCATATCATGATGTTGTCTGAGGGACCAGGTCGAAGGAAGAACTGCTTTTTTTCTGCTCTGCTCACCTTGGGCTGCTGTGGCAGAGAAACATCTTGCCTGTGCAGGCGCTGTTGACCTAATCGACGCGTCCACCAGAGAACGGCCAGCCTTGAGGGCCGGCCGTATTGTATTAATTGACATGCCTGCTGTGTGTGTGTGTGGTTTGAAATGCAAACCAGGCCGTGGAAAAGAAAGAAGCTCGGCGTCTCCAATCACGCAGTGGACTCAAAAAGTTGCAGGTGCAAAGTGCCTGCCGAGAAAGAGGACGCCGTTCTGCCGCAGGTGGGGCCCCTCGGTCTGGTAATGGAATTGAACCAATCATGACTTGTCAATCCGACAACCCCTGCTCGACGTCTCTCAATCGTCTCCAAGAATTTGAGCTTCCATCGACTTTGATCATAGCATTTTGATCCATATCCCATCGCGGGTCGCGAGACCACAGCTACACATACACACACGTCATGAGCGCAATATCATTAAGACGGCCACTTGGCTGTCTTAAGACCATTCTTCGTCAGAGCAGAACACAACGATCACAACAACAACAGAGGAGAGGCTACGCCAACGCCATCCTCAAAGAGCCTCAACATATCCCTCCAGTGCCACCAACGCCTGCTCCCAAATTATGTCAGTCCAACAATCCAGATACACACACGCGCACAGAGAGAGTTTGTGTGTGAGAACGAGAGAGAGAGAGTATAGACCCTCCTACCTACTAACACAAGATCATCTTCCACCACACCACAGACGCCATCGCCAACAAGACCCACCACCTCAACCCAACCTCCAGCCCGGTCCGCACCGCCTTCGCCGTGTACACAACCCCCCTCACAGCACGCCCACACCTGGGCCTCGCCCCGACACCAACCCACCCCCACATCCTCCGGCCCGCGCCCTCCCCGATCGAAGCCCACCACGCCTACCAGATCAAGAAGATGGACCCCTCGGGCACCCGCACGCGCCTCTTCTCCAAGCAGAACCCCGACAGCGCCCGCGTCGGCGACATCCTGCTCGTCACCAGCAAGCGCGCCGCCGAGCCCTTTGCGGGCGTGCTGGTCGGCATCCGCCGCCGGGGCATCGAGACCGCCATCCTGCTGCGCGGCCAGCTGACCAAGATCGGCGTCGAGATGTGGTTCAAGATCTACAGCCGGAGCGTCACCGGCATCGAGATCGTGAAGCGTGCCAAGAAGAGGGCCAGGCGCGCCAAGCTGACCTACCTGCGCAAGCCCAAGCATGATATCGGCAGCGTGGACCATATCGTGCGGGAGTGGCGGAAAGGCCGGAATGTCTTTGCTAGTGCTGGTAAGAAGAAGGGCAAGAAGAAGAGGGTGCTGGAGTTTTAGGTGAGGTTAGGTGGAAAGGGGAGCAATTCGGGATTGTGAAGATGTGGGCGGCGGTGGATAAAAAGAGAGAAAGTATGATGGTGGTAGCTGCATGTTCCCGGTGACACTGCTCTGAGAATCTAGTACATGTACAAAAACAGAAGAAAGAAAGAAAGATATACCTACCAAAATGTCATTGCCCACAGTTCTGAAGGCAAGCAAGCGTAATATGCAAGATGAAGAGTCATACATTTATATTGACGACCTTGTAATATGTACGGGATGAAAACCGACCAGTCTACTAAATTCTAGGCCGTGATCATCAGCGAGAGACCTAGACCACAATACATACATATATATATATATACACACAAGAGAGCCCCCCTTCTGAAGAAAATTGACATTTCTATGCCGCCGAAGGGTATCCAAATGATTAAATAAAGACTCCAGACCCAATGTCGCTGAACGAACATAATTCAGACCTGAGTGTCATGAAAACTCCTCCTTTTTACGTCCCATGTTTCCCAATTCCGCTGTATCCGCTGCCCATGCATACGCAATTGTTTTCTGTTTTCCATTTCGCGCCAAGAATAGTAACGAGAATCATAGATGGCCCACCCCGTATGGGGAACATGGGAGAGGCAAAGGGTTCAAACATTTCAGTGGGAAAATCCACTAGACCTCTTCCCTCCCTCTTGTATTATACTCGGACCTTCTCGAGAGCGAGTACGTGTCTGACCTCCTCGGGATACTCCGGAAATTCTCAAAGCCGGGGTCATCATGGCCCTCGTCCCCTGTGGCATGACCACTCATGGGCCTCCTCGGTGACTGGGGCAACGCAGGACCGGGGTGCAGTAACGACGTGAGAAGGTTGCTGTTGACACGGTCGACGCGGTTCTCTCCGCCGGCGCTCCTGCTGCGCCTGCGGCTCAAGCTTCTCGCATCCGTCCCGACCGAGACGGCCGAGTTGCGCCGCGGTAGCGTCCTCGTCTTGGGCAGCACCGGCTCCTCGGCCTCCTTCAGGTAGCGGGACTCGGACGGCAGCAGTACAGCGCGATCAAGACCATAAGGCAGGCCACGGTGGCGACCACGAATTTGCATCGCAATGATGACCAGCTTGCCGACGGTGGTGAACTGGGACGACAGGCTGGCATCGATGCCGGTGTAGCCGAGGCTCAGACCGACGGTGCCGTAGGCGCTGACGATCTCGAAGAGGATGGCAAACATGCTGAAGTCGTTGTTCTGGATACGTGGCCCCTCGGAGATGGCCAGGATGAAGAAGCCGATGAAGATGTACCAAAGGTCAAAGGACAGCTGGCGCCGCAAGTGGGCGCCCACGTAGCTAAGGGATCCTGCCGGCTCGGCCTCATCGTGATCCTCATGACCGCTTCCGTGGTAAATGCCAAGAGATTTCTCCTCGTAGACGTTCGTGCGGCGGACGGAGATGGCGATGGGGAAGATGGAGATGTACATCATGATGAGGTAGGATGTCTGCACGCCGGGGTGAAGCTCTGCCAGGTTGACACAGGAGAACCCGGCGGTTCTCGTCGAGAAAGCCTGAAACGCGCCATCGAGAACTTTGATACCAGGGGATAGATCTGCGACCACGCCGCTCCCAAGCTGTTTGTGAGCGTGTCAGTACATATATCTTTCTTCGTTTACACACCTGCCGGGGTTGTGGTATACTCACATCAAGAATAACAAAGAAGAGCAGGTCGATACCATTGAGAATGACGAGCAGCCAGAAGAGCCACCACGTAGCTGCCGAGGGGAACAGCAGCGTGAAGCAGCGACGAGGATGGTCCAGCAGGAACCGAAGCTCCTCCCACAGGCCAGAACCTCTTGTGGTACACAAGCTGGAAAGCCAAATGATGAAGCGGAGCATCACCGGAAATCCTGTGTTGCCAATAACGATGAAAAAGCTCATGATGAGCAGTGGATAGACAGCCGTGTTGAACGAATTCATGCTGTCCGGTGTCAGAGTGAAGCCCAGATCGGTGAAAGCCGAAGTGCCCGTGAAGATGCCCCACCAAGCCCGGCTCTGTCCATCAGCGTCAACGATCAAGCCATAGGAAGTATGGAAGATCCATGGGGTCAGCATGACGATAGCCAACGCGAAGAATCCCCAGAAATATAACGTCAGGATCAGAGCTAGCGTCTTGAGGGACCTGTACTCGATGCCGCCAAGCTCCTCCCTCTGTTCGTCTGTCAGCTCGCCCACAAAGGCCGAGTTTCGTCCCAGCGTGGGCTGCCAGCTTAGGTAGGGGGCGAGGTCGTACTTGTCCCTGCTGAGGGCATCTCGTATTGTGGAAACAGTATTTCGGCGTACGCGGGCAATCGATCCGCCGGTGCTCTGGTGATGAAGTTTGTCGCCACCATTATTCATGAATCGGGGCCTTCTGATCTTGAAAGGCGTGAACACGTTCAGGAATGCGATCGCATCGTCGTTGAACTCCTCTCTTCGGCTCGGCTTCTTCGCTGGCTCCTGGATGGTGATGCCCTTAGGACGCGCTGGTGTCTGTGCCTCGCCGTCGTTGAGACCGTACCCAGGCGTGAACAACGGCTCTGGGTCCTCCTCGGCCGCGCCGTCCTCCACCCTCCTCGGCCGCTCGCCCAGTTCGACATCCCTTGGCCCGGGGATGCGGAGAACCTCGTCGTTGTCGGTATTCCGTTGGCGCTGGAGAATGGCAATATGCTCCTCGTCGCTTCTTCCCGGCACCTTCAACATGGAGTTCTCCACGCCATCACTCCTCTTGACGGTACCGGCAAACGTGATGCCGGGCGTCTTCTCCTCTGCCGTGTTCTCATCTGCCGTGTTCTGGTCGTCGCCGCTATCCCCAGGGCTAGGACCGGAGCTGGCGCCGCTCACCGTCGTTCCGTTCGGCTCGTCGAGAACAAACCCATCGTTGGTTATTCGCTGCCTGGCGCCATTGTGCATGACTCTGATGTCACTCATGTTGACGCCGCCCATGGGCCGCTCGGTGGTCGTCTTGGCCTTGGACTTTGACTTTGTCATGGTAGCCCGGCGTGTCCGTGCCTCGCGGACGAGATCCTGGAACTTCTTTTCAAACCAGAACAAACGTAGGAACACCACAAACGAATTGATTGCCATGGGGTTCGAGACCATGGCGCAGATTATGATGACAACCTGCTGGAACGTGTTGAGCTTGTTCACATCGACCGGGTTCAGCCCGGCCTGAGTGTTGGCCCCGGCGGCGAAGAAGAGCGCATTTATGTAGGCCAGCTCTCCTGAGCCCGAGGCATACAATAAAATCGAGGCCAATATGGTCAGGCCTATCACCCAGAAGTCTATGTCCCATCAAATCAGCCACGAGAATGAGATTGAGGGCTTCCGAAGGAGAGCGGGAGGAGAGACTCACAGTGGATTGTGATGAAGTTGAAGTGAGGCTGCTTGGAAACAAAAGAGGGTTTTAGAGACTTGATTTGGTCCCAAAAGATGCTGTAGACTGGTGACACCATGCTGGGCCACCTGGGGTCTCCGGAGGCCCCGTCTCAGATGGTAAAAATGGTCTGTATATCGACAAAATTCAGGAATTGAAGTCTGTCTCTTCAATGAGACACTGCAGAATGCCTGTCCAGAGTTGTCCAGAACCAAAGCTTCATGATTGCAGTGTCTGGATCTCAAGGATTGTGATGATAAGTCCAAGGCATGGATTGGGAATCAAATGGTCGTTTCCAACCCTCTTCCAAGTCGACCTGCACCTGCTGCCGGGAGAACAAAGTTGAGGTTGTTCAGCAGGGTGTTGCACAGGCGGCAAGAAAATGGGAGTCCAATGGTGGCAATGGCGAAATTGACGTGGTCCAGATGATGCGCATGAAGAAACATGTACTAGCTGGGTAATTTGGTTGAATCTCGTAGACGAGCGATACAAGATTGGAGGTTGAGGTAACACAAGAGTCGAGTCCAAGGACCAGTGGTGATGATAGAAAGGAAAGCACAATCGATGGTTGGTAGTGCAGTGCGCCCAGGGTGGCGTTATCACACGACAGCTGCTCCCAAGCTGAAGAGGAAAAGCCGGGACACTGAATATCTGCCGATCGGGGTTTTGGCGGGACTGTAGTGCTTGCTCCTATTTGATCGTGAGTGCTGCGATTGGCGGCAGGCCAAAGGAAGCCCAGACCGTAATCTCAAAAGGAGAGGGAAAAAGGAAAGGAAGGAGAAAGAAAATTAAGAGGAAGAAAAGGAGTGACCTCACTTCCTTTTTTTTCTTCTTCTTCTCTCATTTTCTCTTCGTCTTCTTCCCCTTAGCACCCCCCTAGCCGTTGGCACTCCAGACACTGGACATAGCCGGTCCAGGCTCTTCCCAGTTTCCTCCGAGCCTGTCCACCCCTGTCAGCTGCGACTAGCGCTATATGTGGGTCTCGGGCCCTGGGATTGTTCAGGTAGTGCTAGAGGAGGGGCAGTGGTTTCCATCTATAGATCGCATCTCACAGCTGTAGTTGTAGTGGGAATTCTCCTTTCAGCATCTCAAAGGACGCTGATGTCGAATTTGTGTACTCTTCAGTAACAGCAAGTAGTAGTAGATTTTACTCGACACATCAACTTCGTCCCTCCACACTTAACTATCTGTCATCGCAATGTACGCAAAAGGATCCATTGAGGATGGTTTACACTGCTGTGTTAAAAATTACTTCCGACATTTGCCGTCATGCTTGTTTCTGTTCTCTCATCACCCCACGCCTGCCAAGGATGAGTTGTCATATGGGATGGTGGACATGTTGACAATGTGCCCACCTGTAAGCCTCTCAAACTTTCTTTGAACCGCACAAGGCGAAGTCCCCCTATGCAAGCACATGCAGCAGTCTCAGTCATGTCAGCCCATCCTGTACTACAGTATCAAGGAAAGGACTTGAGTTGTTAACAGCTTTGCCTCTGAGAACCCAGATCCTTTAATTCACCAAATGAACACTACTAGCCAGTGTGCTGGAAAAAAATACCCCCGCAGTGAGAGCCTCTTCTTTTCTTTGTCCCTTTTCTTTTTATCCTGCCTCCCTTTCTAAGCGACCAGAATATCCCTCACCCTCCGCAATAGAAGCGTCAGGGTCACTGAGCAACAACGATGATGTTATTGTCGATCGGCCTGCCGGCAAACCGTGGAACCCCCTTTTCCTCTCCAGCCATGCAAACCATGGCCAGGACCATTTCAACAAAAGACTGTGTCCACTTCTCCCAACGATAAGAAATATTACGCCACTGCCTGGCTTGACCTATCGAATATACTGTAAATCTTTACAAAACATTTTCGTACATCAATCTTAAGAGAGCGATTATGAATACACGGTAAATTCCATCATCGGGGTTTCGTCCTGGCACCATACGATCACCATCACACACCCCATCATGCCGACGGTAGCGGGCTCAAATTGTGGAAGCGGGTCTGGACCCTCCTCAGCGTCCAGGTCCATGCAGGTGATATGTTATAGTATATACCTCCGTCAACTCATAACGCACGATGACGGCATGGGCTTTCCAAGGTCTACACAAGGGTGGTATTGAGACCCTCTGGGATTTCGAGATTCCGTTCCGACCTACTGTCGTGATTATATGAAGAGGGCATGGAACAAACGGGTACAGCATGGTGTCATACTGTGCTCTAAGGTTGCAAAGGCTGCTGTAACATTACTGTACTTACTATTATGTATTTCACAGGCCTTTGCCCGACGGTGCCGTGCCCCGGCGGCGAGTATGAGTTATTATGGCCTGGATCTAGAGTTGTCCAGGCCGTGGGAGTGTGCTCTCTCTCTCTCTCTCTCGCTCCTTCTCGGCAATTTTCCAGTATCTTGTCTTCCTACTACTTTTTATGTTCCTTGAGAACAGATTTTCCCCGAAGTTGTATTGCTGCCAAGGTCTTTACTATCCTGTCCCCTCGGCGGAGAGCCGTAGGGAGCCGCTAGCACAGACATCAAGTCCTGTCACCAGCGCACAGAGCGAACGACATGCTTGGCATGCAAGACGATTGCGTGAACCTGTAGGACACGTTCCACTCGGTGCTCGCTATGTGACCCGCTCAGAAGTCACCACCGACCTTTTAAAGTCACACTCACCTGTGATCAAATTTGGGGGTTGAATGGGTTTGATCTAACTAAGTGTCCTATGTTTCATGCCATGAACGCCTGCCATGCAATGTCGCCCATCTATGTCGAGTTGCCATTTAAAAAGTTATACCACGCTCCCTAATGCCACTGCCGAGTACGCCACTTCCTTGACTTTTTATTTTCCACTGAAAGGAGGAGAAAAGCAAGAAAGAAGAAAAACCGAAAAGTTCGATTCGCGACAATTGTCAGTCTTTGAGTCGCCAAAGTCAAGCCAAAAACGCCAACGCATACATATCATGAGGTGATAGCATCCTTTTTTGTGCCCAGAAACGCCCTAGATATCGGGGCGTTGTAGTGCACCCTTACTCATTGACCAGTTTCTTACGTCTGTCCTTGTCACGCTGTTGTTTCTTGAAGAAGTCACTGTGCGCAACCTTCTTCTTACCCCTAGCTGGCTTGTTCTGCTCCACGTATGCCATGTCCTGTCCGCCGCTGAGGTCCGCCAGCAGGTGTGCACCGCGTCGCACCATCTTGTTGGGTCTGGGCTTGGGCCTAGCTCCGGGCTTCTTCGAGTTGAACAGGTTGCCGTCTGCCACGAGCGCATTGTTCTCACGGTCATACTCGGCTTGAGATTTATTCTTCTCCATGTCGTCAAGCAGACCCAGGAGGAGCTCACGGCGCTCCTGCGCGGTTGCGAAGCACAAGTTGGGTGTCTTTTCGATATTGTGCAGCGTTGTGATCACCTTGAAAGCGTAGCCTTGGTCGACCAGGAAAGCCTGGCGTTTCGAGGAAAAGAGCATTTCCTGCGTGTCTTTGGAAACGAGCGAGTAGAAGAACGCATTGAAGCCCTCGTCGTTACGTCGTTTGGCCCGCAGGATGCGACCAAGGCGCTGGGCCTCCTGACGACGGGAACCATACTGGGCAGAAATCTGAATCAGGCACGTCGCCTCAGGAAGGTCGAGGGAGGTGTCACCGATTTTGGAAAGAAAGATCGTGTTACACTCCGAAGAATCGCGGAATCGCTGCAGAATCTCCTGCCTCTCGGCGTTGCTAGTGCCACCATAAAGATAAGGCTTCATCAGCTTCCGAGCGTAGAATTCCAGCGCGTACACGTCATCGGAGAAAACAATGATCTTGTCGCCACGGGATTCATGGTAGGTGATGAGGTATTGGCATGCCTGCATCTTGAGCGGGTTCATGACGTAGAGCAACGACCTCGACCGCGTCGCAGCTTTCAGGTACTCGTCGTAGAACTCAGTTGGCATGGGACACCAAACCTCGGCGCATTGAACCCTTGCGATGTGGCCCTGCTGCGACAGCTCCATCCAGTTGGCCTCGTAGAGCTTCGGGCCGATGAGAAAGTTCAGGTCCTCAATCTTGTCGTCCTCTCGGAGGAGGGTAGCCGTCAGGCCAAGCTTTGAGTGGGCCTTGATATTGCCAATAACCTTTCTGAACATGTTGGCGGGAACGACATGCACCTCGTCGAGAAGCATGAGGCCCCATTCTCTCTTCCTGAGAAAGTCCATCATCTTAGAAGACTCATGCGATCGCTTCTGAGTTGCCGTGACCATAGAATAGGTCGTAACGATGACACCGGTATTGCCACTGAAAGTCTCTTTATGGTCTGAAGAGAAGATGGCCACATCGTCGGGATTGATGTTGGACCACTTGATGAATTCGTTCCTCCACTGGATAACTGACATGTTGCTGGTTGCTAACACGATTACGCCCTTCTTGATCGTGCACGCAGCTGTGATGCCGACGAGGGTCTTGCCGGCGCCACAAGGGAGCACGATAATGCCACTCTTGGCCCGACCGTTGCCAAACATTTTGCTGAGACTCTTCTCTTGGTATGGCCTGATCTGCGTAGAAGGCTGCAAGTCAATCTCGAGATTGGCGTTGATATTATCATTTCTGAAGTCATATTCCTCCAGCGCGGGGTACTGCAACTCCTGGCACCGCTTTGTGACCGTCTCGACCGCATCGTCTCGGATTTGAAACGCATGGACAACCTCTTGGTCATCGTCGTCATCATCGTCGTTCAAAGCAGCGTAGACCTCTTTCTCGGAGGGGTTCGCAGCAGCCTGCTCCGCGGTGTTGAGTCCTTCAGCCTCGCGAATGCCAGCAGCCTCCTTCGTTCCCGCAATGGCCAAACCCGACATTTTTGGGGCGCTCGTTGTAATCTGCTCGGCGCCGTGCACTCGACAGGCCGAGATGTCTGGGTCCTTCAAGAGCATCTGAAGCACCTCTGGATCTGTGGTCTCCAGGAGATATTTGGTATTCCGCAGGACCAACTTGACCTTGCCATAACTCCTGCCGCACGCTGAGATGAAGCCCTTGACATTGCTGGGTACCGGAGTCTTGGAAAAGCGCTCGAGTGTGGATATAATGTCTTTCGGGTTGAGTCCAACGGATACGGCGGCGTAGAGGCTGTGGGTGGTGAGCTTGTACTCGTGGAGAAACTGGGGTCGTGACACAGGCTCGGCGACGGTGACAAGGAAGTCTTGGGCCTGCGGTGCGAGCTGATGGAAGCTCTCGAGGACGATGACGAAGTTGCCCTGTATCCATAGCGGCCTGTTGTGAGCGTCGTGTTTGGGTCTCAATGCAGTGAAGTCTCTACTGCTATCGAAATGTCTCGACGCCATGTCGTGAACGCCACGGCCCATGCTGTATCTATGCTCGTCAGAGCTGGTGTCGAACTTGACCATGCTCTTGCGCATCTCCTCCGGGATTTCGACATCCGCTTCATTGTCAGAAACATCGCTAGAGTCGCTGGCAAGGCTTCGAGGTGTCGCCGGGCCAGGGGTCGAGCCCTTGGAGGGCCTACCAGCCTTGGTGATGCCGCCGACGGCGCCCGCCTTGCGCTTCGGGGCCATGGCTGTTGCTCGCGCGACCTGTGAGCTTGCAGAGATACAGTGAGTGCCTGGAGTAGAAAATGAAGGAATGGAAAAGGCAAGGAGAGCAGTGCCTCCGATGACACCGTCGAGAGACAAATCGGCGATGTGAGGCGAAAGAAAAGAAAGGCTACGAGGAAAGAGTGCAAGACTGTCTGACGCTTAGAATGGATGGTCCGGACCTAGTATGTAATAACCCCCTTATCGATAGAGCCTACCGCCACCCCTTGCAGCAGTTCCACTACACCGGAGTCGCCCAAGGAAAGTGGATTAGCTAGCCTATTATATTCGTTTATCTGCCGAGACGTGTTCCACGCGCCCGCCTTAGAAATCAGGTCGATTGTGACTTTGGAAGAGGCATACCACTTTTTGTCTACAGCATATTCACACCTACCTCCGCAAATATGTGGTCAGTATACGGGCTTTCAAAGCCAAAGCCAGGGTACGAGTGTACGAGTTATCCCAGCTGACAAATTCTTTGCAGCAAACACATCCTCAATGCTCAGGTATCGATCAGGTCGCCATGTTGTACGCCGCCCATATCCCAGCCCTCGACCTCTGACGACGCAGCATTTGGTTGACGTTCCAATGACTAGGCAAAAAATGGTTCGACTGCGTTGAGTGCCATCAGGAGCAAGAGACGCATCCGCTGTTACAGCGGTTCGAGATGATCTTCGCTTGCAAGAAGTGCAAGAAGTGCTTCCGCAAGGACGCCCAGGAGTTTGAGGAGGCCGACGAATACTGCCCACACTGCGACAATCATTTTGTGCTCGAGGCTCTGACGCCCAAGCCAGCACTCAGGGTCGAGGGTGAGGATGCACGGGTGGACAACAGGATGTTGAAGGATGATCGGGTGAAGCAGCAAGAGCTGAAGACAATATTCGACCCTGATGAAGATGCGAACAGGCTGGGGTGAGGATGGAGGGAAATGACGTCTAATAGAAACGGGAGGAGTCACGAATACCATCATACGGAAGAGTTCTCGAGCATTGGCGTCAAGGAAAATATCATTACGAGGCACCGTAGACGCGCCCGGTCATGAAGTCATACTGTACAATGGTCCCTCTCTATCATGCAGCGCGTATCGGGTTGGCTGTCTTATTTCGTTGCTTTACCCGCCCGGTCTATTGGTCATCGGCAGTCTCGGTACCGGCGGCCCTGGATGGTACCGAAGAGCTTCCTGCACCGGTCGACCGGCCGCCCTTCTTCTTCGCAGCCTCCTCCTGCTTCTCCTGCTCAATGTTCTTGACGTAGCTCTCAATATCCTCGACGGGCAGCATCTCCATCGTCTTGCCTGGTGCCATGATGGCTATCTCGATGTTCTTGGCACCCGTCTGCACAACCTCCAGCAGTGACTTGATTGCCAGACGTATCGTCTGCTCGCGGTCCATATCCTCCTTGTAGTTTCGCTCCAGGAACTCGCGCACCGTCTTGCTCGACCGTCCGATGGCGTTGGCCTTCCTGGTATGGGTGTTAGTACGCGGGCATGCTCAGGAGGTAGGACATCACAAGAAATGCATACCATGCCGAGTAGATGCCAGAAGGCTCGGTCTGGTAGAGCCGCGGCACCTTGCTGCCGTGGTCGAACCCAACAACCAGGGTGCTAATGCCGAAGGGCCGGACACCACCGCGCTGAGTGTATCGCTGCTGAACTCCGGCCACGTGCTTTGTGATGTACTCGATGGTGACGGGGTCCTCCAGGTTCAGGCGGTGGGATTGTGCCTCTAGCCGCGCCTTGTCGACGAGGATTCTGGCGTCGGCGTTCAGACCGGCGAAGGCGAGACAGACATGGGTGTCGATGAGGCCGATCTTAGATGGTGTGATTCGTGTGTCTTGTAGTTTCATTGCTGAGCGCTTCTCGCATCCCAAAACCACGATATCCTTGCCCTTGACTCCGACCGCACATGTACCTCTCTTGACAGCTTCGCCTGCGTACTCCACCTGGAAGACGTGTCCATCAGGACTGCAACATGTCAGTTCGGGAAACTTGGTGGTGGGAGATAGTCTGGTGCAAACCTAAAGACTAACGAGGTTCATCTATTAGCTTTGTGTTTTCGCTCAACTCAATCCGTGGGGGTGCTTACCTGAGAGAGCTCTGTCGTATCCTGAAGCCATCTTGCCTGTGTTCTCGAAGCTGTCTCACGTATGTAGATGGGTGTAGAAGTGGATGGACGAAGAAAGCGAGAGGTATGGTGTGTGCTGATGGGTCGTAGACTTCGGGGAATCCGTCGGGTGGGCGGATGGAATGGGGATGTGATGCGACGCGCGATGTGAGGTTGAGTGAGTGTGTGTATGGCAGGCAGGAGAGGCAGGCTGCAGCTCTGACGACGAAGCTGGGTTGCTGGAAGCTGTACCAAATCCCTGTCAAGACCCACAGCACCCGCTACGACACGGGTACGTACCAGTCACTGGTAGTTCTGCACCAAGGACTATCTATCCAGGGTTCAGGGTAAGGCGCCGTACCTGAAAAATCACGGGCCGGTGAAGTGATTCTCCGTAAGTCTTGGTAATGCTTGTATATATCTCCGTCTCTCTCTTTCCTCCAAGAGACTTGTAGGTCGCCAGGTCGTTGTCCTCCCGCCCTCCCCTTCTAATCCACATCTCTACTGCAAGATGGCCTCTAGGTTTCGTATCACTCGTGCTCTAGCTAGAGCCGAGAAGGCCAATACCTCTGCGCTCTACTCACGGCCAGTTTCGTCATATTTTTCAGTCGCAGCCACCAGGACCATCTCGACGACGACGGCCAGGCAATTCAGGTCTTCCACAGCCTGCAATGCCAAATTCACCACAGACTCATATCCTGAGATCAAGAGAGACTCGAGGTTTTCGCAGCTCACGGAAGACCATGTCAAGTACTTCAAGGAACTCCTCGGCAGTGGCGCTGCCGTTCTGGACGCTGTCACCAACGAGGCAGCGGTAGATGATATGGAGCCCTTCAACCGCGACTGGATGAAAAAGTATCAGGGTCACTGCAGGCTTGTGTTGAAGCCCGGCTCCACCGAGGAGGTCAGCAAAGTCCTAAAGTACTGCAACGACAATTTGCTGGCGGTCGTCCCGCAGGGTGGCAACACTGGCCTGGTGGGAGGATCTGTCCCTGTTTTTGATGAGATTGTCATCAACATGAGCCGGATGAACCAGATTCGGTCTTTTGATGAGGTCAGTGGCGTGCTCACAGCCGACGCTGGCTCTGTGCTTGAGGTTGTCGACAACTACCTGGCGGAAAGAGGCTATATCTTTCCTCTGGACCTGGCTGCAAAGGGATCCTGCCACATCGGAGGCAATGTCGCGACGAATGCCGGTGGTCTGAGGCTTCTGAGGTACGGCAGCCTGCACGGCAGCGTGCTGGGCATCGAGGCGGTGCTACCCGACGGCACAGTGGTGGACGATCTCTTCAAGCTGAGGAAGAACAACACCGGCTACGATATTAAGCAGCTGTTCATCGGAGCTGAGGGCACGATTGGCATCATCACCGGGCTCTCCATCCACTGTCCTCAGAGGTCCAAGGCGGTCAATGTTGCCTTTTTCGGCCTGGAATCGTACGAGAAGGTCCAACAGGCCTTCCGCGAGGCCAAGGGGCAGCTGTCGGAGATCCTGTCGGCGTTCGAGCTCATGGACAACGAGAGCCAAGAGCTCGTGCGGAGGGTCACCAAAAACAACTTCCCCCTGGAGAGCCAGTACCCTTTCTACTGCCTCATCGAAACGAGCGGCTCGAACTCGGAGCACGACAGCGAGAAGCTGGAGGCCTTTCTCGAGGATGTCATGGGCAAGGAGATCGTGTCGGACGGTGTGGTAGCGCAGGACGAGACGCAGATTAAGTCGCTCTGGGGGTGGCGGGAAGGCATCTCAGAGTCGTCTGGCGCGTTCGGAGGCGTCTACAAGTACGACGTCTCGATACCACTGAAATCCCTCTACCAGCTGGTCGAGGATGTCAAGGCCAAGATCCAGACTGCTGGGCTGATGGGTGAGACGGACGAGTACCCGGTCGTCGACGTGGTTGGGTATGGCCACATGGGTGATTCGAACCTGCACCTCAACGTCTGCGTGAGGCGGTACGACAAGGAAGTCGAAAAGGTCCTGGAACCTTACGTCTTTGAGTGGATCCAGAAGCACGAAGGCAGTATCAGCGCTGAGCACGGACTCGGCCTGGCGAAGAAGAAGTTCATCGGCTATAGCCGCAGTGACAACATGATTGGTCTGATGAAGCAGATCAAGAACCTCTACGATCCGGTGAGAAGACCTCTTTTGCCCTTTCCCCCCTTTCCTTTGCCCCCACCCCTTTTTTGTTTTCTTCTTCTTTTTGTTTCTTCTTCTTTCCATTTTGCCCACACCGTTTGTTTTACGCACCAAATGCCCGAGATTGACCGAGCGGCTGACCAATATCCTGAATAGAACGGAATCATGAACCCTTACAAGTATATATGAGGTGCAAATCATGTGCCTAGATACAATTATCCCCTAGAACAGTACTTCATGGTCAAAGCGTTAGACGCCCCGTTTTTGAATAGGCTACCAAATTAGCATGCCACCACCTGGAGGCCAATACCCCCGGCAGTGGCTGAGTAGCGCCACCTAAATTGGCGAGACTTCTACTTATCTCGAGCATGTGGGCGGTTCGGTATTCCAAAAAGCATCCTAACACTCTACCTTTTTCTGGTGCTCGTCGTTCCGGTCAACGTCTAACGGCAATTCAACAACATCCCGCGATGGATCGACGTATCTAGGCATGCCTAGCATTGCGGCCCCCCAGAGAGCTAGCTTGATCCATTGTACTATAGTACTAGACGCACTTGTGCAGAGGGACATGTAGTAAGTTCCAGGCTTAGACTGTGCGGTAGCGGACCCGAAAGGATGGACGGGCGGGCCATCAGCGACCCCTCGTTTTGACGACTTCGGGCGCCCTGTCAGCCCTATGGCCCAGGGTGGTGGAGTAAGGGACAATTCGCGGACTACGCAGCATATACACTTACACAGCGACAGCCGGTCTGCACCACACATCAGCTTGGGCACCCCAGACCGTGTAAGTTGTCTTCCTACACAGGTTCAGGCCTTTGCAAGGTTTGAGCTGCGTGCGCTATGCTCTAGGGTCCGGTCCTGCAGCTGAGGTGGGTCGGCACTCAATGAGCCATCGCGCAGGAACGCAGGCAACGAGGAAATGCACCCTGTCACTCACTCCATTGCGGACCAGGGCCACCAAGCTCGGCTTCTTTGCGAGCCGGCAATCCCAATCTGCTATACCATACGGTCATATAGCTGGTCTATTCTTGTGTGGATCATGTCTGCCGTCCTAGCGATCCTAAAGCTACCCGCTCCTCCACAGTCAGCCGTGTAAGGCGTCGTCACAACCTAGAAGCGACGGTGGAGAGTTGCCTTTTTTTCACAGGCCTCCTCGTCTGCTGGGGAAAGTTGTCGTCTCCCATTCGCCTCTTGTGCCGTAACCCTCTCAACCATGACGTTTCTCTTCTCGGCCCCTCCCTCCCGCTCCTTCGTTCCAATAGGGACAAAATTTCGAGCCTGGTCGGTGTCCTGTATCGTCCATTCGTGGTCTTGTTCGTTTTGATGCCCACTTGTACCAAGTCGAGCGAACCCTTGCCCCCAAGTTGTATGCCCGCTAATCATAGTCGGGAGGATTCATAAGACATGTTGATGTGCGTGCGCAACGGATGAACCTATTTGTCTAGGCCCAGGGCGTGTATTATAGCTAGCCAAGGCACTTAAAGTATTATATCTGGCCCCCACAGCTTTTCTTCTTCTTTTTCTTTTTCTTTTTCCCACTGAGAATCATGCTATATCTTCCCGTAGACGCGACCTCATCGGTTTGTTCTGGAAGCCCAAGAAGCATGTCTCTATCTTGTATGCTACGTCCTGTGACTGCTCGAGCTTCCTCTTCATCGAATCCAGGATCCTCGGATGATACTCATCGTCACTTGTCCGAGATTCTAATCTCAGCTAATCAATATGGTGGGCGTGCCCGGCAAATACAAAGGATGCAACACCTGCAGAGCCAGGAGAGTCAAGGTACGTTCGGCCCATCGGCAGGCTTCTTCCTACTGTCAGCTCGACTGATGTTCTTGTATAGTGTGATAATCAGCGTCCGCTGTGCAAAAAGTGTATAGACTCTGGACGAGAGTGTCAGGGATATGGTATGTCTTTTTTTCTTTTTTTTTTCTGACCCCAATCTTTGCATCTGGGGAGTGAAGTTGGAGTGCAAAAGAATGACTATTTGGTAAGTAACACAGGTCGAACTTGATAGAACTGACTTGATGGAAAATCAGAACGAGAGACCATCTTCATCGTCGGTACTGTCGAGGACAAGGGAAGATGCAGTTCCCACCCTCCACGAAATTCGAAATCCCAAAGCGATACTGCATCATCATCAAGACAGGCCTCGCCAGTGCCAGAATCGTCTTCGCGCCTTTCTCCCGTCAAGCCTCTCCGTTCTGCCTGGGACGATGTCGTGCCTTTGTCCAAGTCTGGCAAAACCTACCAGCTTCGAATCGCCGCACTGTACATGCCGGCTCTGGCCTACGGAAGAACAAACAGTGCAGGGAGCAGGACGACCTTGCTTACTCTGCCGGCCTATACGCCCGTCGACATCCAGCCACGATACGGAAATGAGGAGTTTCAACTGCAGGCGCATTGCCTAGCTTCTATGGCGTCCGCTTCAGACAGCATGTTGCTCTACCTCTTTGATTACAACTCGTCTTTGGCATACACCGGTGTGTCAGCCTGGGAAGGCCCTCTGGACCAGGAAGACAAGATCAGACAGATGGGCCCAGGCAGCTTCACAAGTTTTCCTGCCCATCACTTCTTCGTACGAGTTTACCGACCAGCCGCCATTGTTACAGGCCTGATCAACCGCAAGCCGGTCTTCTGCGGTGAAGCAGAATGGATAGCCACGCCGTGGGAGCGTCACCCCAAGGCGCCCTTTGATCATCTCCTCGACATCCTCTCCTCGATTCCCGCGCTGCTCCAGCAACTCGACCACCTACTCAGCCTCGACGCAACGACAGCGCGCAGATTTATGGCACAAGATCTCCTCGATAGTGCCCTGGGAATTCAGGCAGCCCTCGAACACTGGCACGCCTCCCTCCACCAGTCTGTATACCGCGGGCAAGCCGCATACTGGGTTAGCAGCAGCAGCAGCAGCAGCAGCAGCAGCAGCAGCTCCCGAGGAGGCGGAGGCCATCATCATCATCATCATCATCATCACCATCGCCACCAGGCAGCGGCCCACGTTCCCTTTGGCGAGCCCATCTCGTTCCGCGACGCCCTGGCCGCGCTGACCTTCACCTACTACTGGACAGCGCAGGTCCTCTTCTACCCGTGCATTGGGCTCCTGGGCCACACCATCTCGGCACCCGTGGTGGACGAGGACTTGCGGCAGCAGGCGGGCTACGGGCCGCCGCGTCCCAACAACAACGTTGACCCGGAGGCCTACGGCACAGACCAGCTCCGCACCGTCGCAGCGCACGTGTGTCGTGGGCTGGACGCTGCGCTGGCGGCCACTGCGCAGCCTGACTTGTTGGCTTTTCCCGTGCGGGTTGCCGAGACGTTCTACGGCGGCATCAGTGTCGTCACGCAATCGGAAGACGGCGCTATGGAGCTGATGTGGCTCGCCGCTTTCAAGGATAGAATTGTGGGGAGAGGGCAGGATCTGGCCCGGTCTGTCATGAGCAAAGGATGGAAGGATTTGGCGGACTGGTGAGCTTTTGCTTTTGTAAGAAGATGGCTTTGTTTCGGATCTTGGTCGGCTTGTTTGTATCAACATTATCTCTTTTGTACGGTTAAACGAAGGGCATGCCTAGCATCACTGTAATTTTTCTTGTTTCTTTCTTTCTTTCTACTTCACGTTTACAGCAACATATTCTGGCATCTGAAGACTGGGCTGGCTAGCATTTGCAGAGCGTTGGATCTTATTTTCCTTTTTTTTTCTTTTTTTTTTAAAGATCTCCCCCCGCCCCTCTCTCTTGGCAACATATTTTTATTGCTTCTTCTTCTTCTTATCTGTCTTTCTTTTCTCCAGCCCTTGGACATAATGCATACGTAATGAGAGGATAATAAGACCGGTCAATGGTAATGAAGTCTACTAAGTACTGTGTAAACTTTTCAACGTGGGTCAGCATTCGACTTCATGCACGATCGTCCTCTTTGTGGACCCCCGGTATCTAAGTTCAGCAAGCACTCCACTCCGCTGCAACCGTCAGAACTTTATTGGCCCGATTTTATTCTGTTGCCTGGCTCCTACCGACAGTCTAAACCACTGCATTGGGTATAATCCTTCCTCAACTGCTCGGCAATTATCTGTCGATATCCGCCCCCCCCCCCTGCGGCTCTTCCGGAGCCGGCCGGGTCCGGAGGCTGATGGCACAAGCTTTCATATATGATCACATATAGAACCGCGACAACCACGGAAATCCTGTTACATTTGTCGATAGAAGGGGACGGAGCAATAAAGTAGTCAAGTTATCCAGGAAGGTTGAGCAAAAGAACCAAATCCTTCTGGAATTACAAATCAAAACGTCATTCAGCCATCCATCGTGTCTCGGAGGAAGAAACGGTCGCTCACGGGTGTCAAAGTTGCCGGTAGTAATTCATCGGAGGGGGGAAAAGGTAGGTGGATACATCCTTCTGTCACCGTACCTCCACCAGCTGAGGCAGCTCGTTGAGCATCGAACGATCACAGCGTCTGGTAATTCTGTTGCCTGTTACGGTCCTGCCCTGTGGGGGCTTTCTTCGTGTTGACCTCAGTGGTGGCAACGGTCGGTCAGGGCGTTTAAGAGAGGGAGGAATGCAGTGTATGGAGAGGTGGGGGGGGGGGGGGGGCTCCGAGTCTGGCGGCTTATTTATCGTGTTTCTCAGCACAGGTTAAAGTAGACATCCAGAGGGTCAAAACCAGCCCGGAACCCTTTCACTGTTTTGAACCAGAACCCATCCTTTGTCAGTTACTTTACTTTGTTTGAGAGTCTTCACTTCGTCTACACGACGGTGCTATAACATAGGAGTACCTCGCAGCTTAAAATGCGCGTGAATAATAAACGACATCAATTATTTTTATGCTTTTGCCAAGTACTTGGTCATCCATCTAGGACGGAATGATTCCGGTCGGTCTGTGTGTCGTCCAAGCCTATTTTGGTCGTCCATATTCATGTAAGCTTTGGGGAAATTTCGGCCCCCACCTTAGTCTAAGGAACATGGTGCATCCAGCTACCAAAGTGTTTGTACTCGCAGCGTTACATTCGTATACTCGACCCAATCAAACATGCTGGCCAGATTCTTCTGGTCTTCCTGTGATGTTCCCGTAAGTGCCCGTTTAGGTATCATTTTGCACCCCAGGAATTGATCGCCGCAACAACGCACGTAAGCCCGTAAGCACTCTGAATCATGTCACACCGTCCTCAGTCTTCTAAATTGACACTTTGGCAAGCTTCCGGCTGGCCCCGTCACGGCGTGCGGTAGCTTTGAAGTTCTTTTTCTTCTTCCGGGGGTGTGGGGAGGGGCTATGTGTGATAAGAAGGCACCCTGGATAATTCGTTATTTACTCCTCTCCTCCCCCTCCGACAGTCGTTTCTGGGTGGTTTTGTCCTTCTATCTTTACTTCACTTTGGATTTATACTACTATGTCATCATTATCTTAGTTGGTCTTCTACGGTGTTCAACAAGCACCTAGGCATGTAGTCAGATCCGCATGACCATGGCGAAATAACAACTTACTAGTAAGAACGGCAGACGACTTACAGCAACTGATACGAATGACCATTTCAGCCCCAGAAGACCCCCCTTCCCGTCACAGATCAAGGAGACAATGATCGTTTCGTATTCTCAGAAATTATACGGGAGACAAGACCAGAAAGCTACTTGATCAGAGCTAAATCTGCCTCTTCTCGCAAACCGAAAAAGTTGCACTCTGATATAATGCGCTGAATCTAGTTGCCTGCAGTCGGGTCAATCGGTCCAGCACTAATACGCGTCCATGCTGCTTACAGCAAGATGCATATGCCCGTCAGCACGTGTCTGCAATGACATCCCAGGAGCCGCAGGTGTACGTGAAGCTGACAGCTCACTTTTTGTTGTTGTTGTTCGTATCTTGGCTTATTGTCATTTCTAATTCTCAACCTTCTTGAATTCAGCCCTAGGATCATCAACCTATGAGACCTGTACATATTGATATGACGACAGCCTCTCGTAGTGTCCAATTCAACCCCCAAAGTGTTTCCCTCGCGGCGGTGAATCTCACACTCGACCCACCTAAGACCGATCAGTCGTTGATGTTCTTCTTGGATGAAAAGTTCAAACGTGAAAGGGGTGATTTGGGTGATTAGGGACACGCAATAGACACACACACAATTACGCAAGCTGCGCGCATCCCGCTGGCCGCTCGACCTGTTAGCTAAAGCATGTCGTCACTCACCTTTTACCGTAACAGCCCAAGCAGGAACCTGTGGTGGAGAGTGTCCCTCCCATCCATCGATAGGTATCTGGGTGACTGGTTTGAGCAGGTAGGTAATTGAGTAGGCAGCAGCTAATTTCTTTGTCTCTCTTTGGCGAACAAAAGTCCTTTTTGCGCGTACTCCGTGCCTGCAATGTACTGTGAACACGCCCCCAAGAGACTGCCCTCGTAACTCTCTACGTGTTCGTACTCAACTGGATACCACCCCATCTCTGCAGGCTTGCAGAATGGATCAATAAATCAAGAGATGGGGTTGTAAGCACCCTCGGTCGCTAGCTGATGCTTCATGCTAGCCGCCACTCACGTCTGAGTGTGTATGCCCATGGCAGGCCTCGGGAGGCGAATCATCAAGTTTCCATGTTAGGTAGCCGTTGGGGGCCGGTCAATATCATTGACAGGTTACGGTCTGTTGCTTTGTAAGGAGGATTCGAAAATGAGATGGACTCCGCAACGGTGAGAGGGGGCGAGGAGGTCATCAGTCGTCATTAGTCGCAGCCTAAACACTCCCGAGCAAAGCAGGTGGTGACGGTGTATTCAATTTGGTGGTGCGTCCTACCCAAGAGTTGTGATGATGTGTGGAAGGGTATATGTTCCTCAGACGGGTGACATATCATAATACACCGGAATATGGGTCAGGGCCATTTCGTAAGCGGCATCGTGGCCCCCCCAGTGACTATAGTAGATGCATGATCGCGGCGCAGCATAGTTACTACAATGCACCGTCCTATGTTAGTGGGGTAGCCCATGGAGATCTATGCCATCAACTGTGTCTTCAGTACTTTCGATGCTGATATGGGCAGCGATTGACAAAGGCATATGCCGAGCGTGAGAAATCTCATGGCTTGATGTATCACCAGGAGGGGTTGGATGGTCCAGCATTCCAAGGTGGCCCAAGAAGCTTGTATGAGCAATGTGTACTTCGTCTGCTATCTGCGACCGATTACGATTCAAAATGGGAGTAGTCCGCTTGGTTTGAGTCTGGGGTAGTGATGTGCGCTGTTGGCACACCCTGTTCCAAGAAGAGGCGTGCGGATGGAGTGTATGAATGACGCTGAAATTTGTACATGCTCTGCATATCAGAGAGACATCATGTCCTTCTTTTCTATGGACAGAACGCCCTCCTCACCAGTCAAGAAAAACAGAAACCTGCGATCCTAGACAAATCTCTAGAGACTACAGAGACCCGTCTCGTAGGTGAGTCTGAGGACGGGACTGCCTGTTCACGCCCGAATTCACCGTGTTTCCTAATCTTCACTAGAGAGATGCGCGCACCATACTTGACCTCTAGAGCAGCTTTCCCTCCGGCGGTCTCCATCACCCGATACTTTCAGGGCCTCGCTCTCTCTCATACGCCTACCTGGGCTCTACGAACGTTGTCCAAACCCCACAACAAAACCGTCATATCTTGCCACAGTCCCGCTGCGCGCATTGAAATCAGTGCTGGTGGCGCCGACACACTCGGACGCACTCGGTTGTGGGGCGATTTAACAGCCATACCAGCGGCGCCGACTGGACTGGTCGTCTGATGTTGCAGACAAGCGACGAAACCACCCCCTCCCTCCCAAGAGAGCTGCCTCTGGACGACTGGTCCCGGCACAGGGCTGGAACACTCGACTTTGAGAGAAAGGAATGTCTGTTTGTCTGTGATTTGCCCGATTAGAGATGGCCGATGACGAGTGCGTGGCTCCGGAGGTTGTGTGCTAGTGGATCTGGGAAATGCTGCATCAAGCCTCTCTCCCTTGGCTTTCCTGCAAACCACAAAGAGACTACTTGGTCACCCACCTGCTGGGATAACGGACATGGCCTTTCTGGTCTGAGCCGTGGCTGTGTTCTCCCTCCCAGCAATATGAAATTGATCCACAAAGTGAGAGTTTACCCATGAAATCCGTCATTCTCTCGACCAATCTTTCTCCAAGCTGTCCTTATTCGAGAGGGTCTGGACTAGCATGGCGCGATGTTTCAAAACACATGTCCCAATCAATCCAGTCCACACCTTGCCCAAGACTACAGGCTTGAGACGTCTGGGGATCTCGTCTCAATCCCTAGAACTTCAACACCAAGGCCACCAAAAGAGAGATGATCTCCCTCAGGTTGAGTATGTGCTGCATGATGTCCCGCGGACCGGTGGGCCCGGCGTGGAATCTGGTCCGGGGGGATCTTTCATGCGTCTCGGGGTAGAATAAGCCACACAAACAAACGCCAGTGGACGACCACTCACACGTCAAGGTTGACTCGTCAGTCCATCACGCGAGCCCCATGGGTTGTCCATGTACGTTGTGTGGCCCGAAAATAGAATAGCACGATCGCCACCTCGATCTCAAGCCGTTGTGCCAAAGTGCCACGGCAGGGCCAGGATATCCCTTGCCAGTCCAAGAGGCGACGCATAAAGAATGGTAGAATTGAGGAAAAGGTACCGCCCTGTTGAGGTGGTTGATGAGGCATCTGATTTGCCAGTTGTGTTGGTGGATGGCGAGTTTCTGAGGGTGGGAGGGCGTTTCAGATAAACCTGAGGGGGTTTAAAAAGAGGAAAGAGAGAGGACGCAAAGAGGCGCGGACAGCATGATGAGACCCCTATTCATCCCTCGTCTCAACAGGGTAGGTTCTGGGGTCGAGAGGAGAGTCGATTGGGTTGAGTAAAGTTCAGAAGGAAAGGAAGAAAAAAAAAAGTCAAAAGGGGAGGACAACCCTTTCCTCGATCTTTAGATCTGGATGAATGGAAGGATTAATTATTTGCTGAAAGAAACGATTGAATGGATGGGTGAATCTGGCCCCTTTCTTTTTCTTTCCTCCTCTTTCGTTTTCATATATTATTTCATTTATTTTTAGTCTGTCTTCTTGCTCTCCTGAACCTTGGACGGAGAAGCGGGGAGAACAGAACTATTACTACCACTCTTTTACGAATAGCCTCACGTGGGAAATTATTTCCATCTCCTCATTTTCGACGCTCGAGATTGGATATTCCAACTTTGACCTATCGATTGGGCCGCGAAGGGGGTCAAAAGGCGGGTCGGGTTCGAGTCGATTGGGCCTGGACACAACAGTGCACGCAGTAGCTTGTGGCTTCTTACAGGGCTGGTGCCCACCTGCAGGCCAATCTCGTTCCCCGTCCAGCAGCGGACGCACTACCGACGCTACCGACAGTACCGCAGTAAATATTTACCGCGGCACTACGCTGGAGTTACACACAACGCTATAGGCTCCGCTATAGTACGTACAGGCTCTAGTGGTACACACTACCACTGCACAGAACGGTACACGCTATAGAGGATTACCCCCCCAACCACAACCCCCCAGCCCCTGCTACTGCCACGCACCTAGCCAGGGACCAAACCAGCAACGGCGGCCCAGTCATGGAGCGCGAGGCGTTGCCTGGTGGGGATGTTGTAAATGGTGGTGGTTGTGTTTACGAGGCGAACGGCTGCACGGGCCAGTCGCTCTCGCCAGAAGTCCCATCAACACCACCCAACAAAGCACCACCTGTACCGGCTTTGGGCATTGCCCTGATCTCCGGCCGACCACATTCAATTTCCGCCGCCTCTGCTACCTCGGACGAAGCCTCCGACATCTTCTCCAGCTACGACTCGAGGAGATCCACCGTCAGCAGCCTTTATTCCGACGCGACCTGCAATCATAGTCAACAACACTTGCAGTTGCAACAAAAGCAGCAGCAGCAGCAGCCAGAACAACTACAACCACAGCTCAGACCACCGCCAAACCACCACCAGCAGGTTGGCGCAGACGCGGCATACTCGTTCTCGCCCTCGACCTCTCCCTCTCCCTCTCGTTGCTCCTCCTCCTCCTACAAGGCCGGTGGATCCTATCCCGATAGAGATTCCCCGCAGCAGAACAGCAGCCACGTCCACCAAAATCACCAGAGCATTCCCCTGCCCCGAAGCCGCGGCAACGCCAAACAGCTTCATCAGGCACGTCTACAGCGACAGCGCGCCGCCTCTGCAGCAAGCACCGCCGCTAGCACCACCGGGAGCACACAGGGCGACGACGAGGACGTCAACACCAACAATTCTCCCCTCACCCGTCGCAAGAGGGGCGCATCCACACGCAAGTACCAGGTCGCCAACCCACAGGCCGCCCTCGCAGCCACCGAGCCGCCGCATGAGCAGCTCTTGACCAAGATGGCGTTTGCTGATCAGCAGCGCTGGATTACCGTCCAGCAAAAGACCTTTACCAAATGGCTCAACACCAAGATCGAGGCCAGGGGGCTGGAAGTGGTTGACCTGGTCAAGGACCTGAGCGATGGTGTAGGTCTTTCTACCATCCTTCTTCTTTTTCTCTTCCTTTTGTGTCTCCTGCAACTTTATATAATCAAGCCAAATTCCCCAAGACAAGAAGAAGATAATTGACCTTTTGCTATTCTACAGGTCATGCTTATCCATCTGCTTGAGTGCCTGTCTCAAGAGTCCCTCGGCCGATATGCCGCCAAGCCCAGGCTGCGAGTGCAGCGATTTGAGAACGTTAACCTGGGTCTGGACTTTGTCAAGTCGAGGGGAATCCAGATGACAAACATTGGCGCCGAGGATGTCGTCGACGGCAACAGAAAGATTATCCTCGGCCTGATATGGACCCTCATTTTGAGATTCACCATCAGCGACATCAACGAGGCCGGCATGTCGGCGAAGGAGGGCCTTCTGTTGTGGTGCCAGCGCAAGACGGCATGCTACGACGAGTGTGATGTGCGGGACTTTAGCGGGAGCTGGAACGATGGTCTCGCCTTCTGCGCCCTCCTGGACATCCACCGGCCCGACCTGATCGACTATGATGAGCTCGACAAGTCCGACCACAGGGGCAACATGCAGCTCGCCTTCGACCTGGCGCACAAGGAGATTGGCATCCCCAAACTGCTGGACGTCGAGGACGTGTGTGACGTGGCCAAGCCCGACGAGAGGAGTTTGATGACCTACATCGCCTATTGGTTCCACGCCTTCTCGCAGATGGAGAAGGTCGAGAACGCAGGGCGCCGGGTAGAAAAGTTTGTTAACAACATGCAGGGCGCCTGGGAGATGCAGAGTGCCTACGAGAGGCGCATGAGAGCACTGCTCGCCGCCATCAGCGGGCAGGTTGAGGGCTGGCAGACGGCCAAGTTTGAGGGCACCTACGCAGACGCCAAGGCCCAGGCTACGGAGTTCTCGGGCTACAAGAGAGGCAAAAAGAGGGACTGGGTCGCCGAGAAGAGCGAGCTGGCGACACTGCTCGGTAACATCAAGACAAAGCTCGGGACGTACAGGCTGAGGCCCTATGAACCACCGGCTGAACTGAGCCTGGAGAACCTGGATAGGGAGTGGGCAAAGCTCTCTAGTGCAGAGATGGCCCGGGGACAGCTGATAAATGAGACCATCAGGGAGTAAGTCTGACATCTCCGCGCTCGTGACTGATGAACAAGACTGAGGAGGCCTAAAATCACTAACCAACCACCGCCTGGCAGCATCAAAAACGCCCTCCGCAAGTCCTTTGCCGAAAAGGCAAACGATTTCGCCATGGCCCTCAACACCATGCAGCTGGCCATATCAGGGCTGGAAGGCGATGTCGAGGACCAGCTTCATCACGTCCGCAAGCTGAGCGACAACCTGCCGCCGATGGATGCCTACCTCGTCAAGATTGCTGAGGTCGACGCCAAGTGCCAGGAGGCCAACATCGAGGAGAATGACTTCACGACCTACACCTACGACGAGCTGTGCTACGAGCTGTCGCTGGTGCAGTCCTCCATATCCAAGAAGCTCTCCTTCCTCGACAACCAGATGGTGGCGCGCAGCATGACCAACCTCACGCCTATTCAGCTTGAGGAGTTCGAATCTGTCTTCCGCTACTTCGACCGCGACGATTCCAACAACCTGCAGGAGATTGAGTTCAGCGCGGCGCTTGCCTCCCTCGGCCTCGTCTACTCCGAGGACGAGATGCACGACTATTTTGTCGACGCCTCGGGTGGCCACGACCGCGTCTCTTTTGAACAGTTCATTCGCTTCATGGTCGACGTCACCGAGGACCAGAACACGGCCGAGCAGGTTTTCCAGTCCTTCCGCGAGGTCGCCGACGGCAAGCCCTACGTCACCGAGATGGACCTCCGTCACTCACTTGTGCCGGATGAGGTCATCGACAAGCTGGTCGACATCATCCCCGTGCACACGGGGCCTGACATGCAGTCGGACCGTGGCCAGCCACAGTACGACTACATCGCCTTCATGGACCGGCTGATCACCAACGGCCGCGTGGGGCCCACCTCCACGGACACGGCGTCGGGGCGTTCGAGCCCGACTAAAGCACCGCTGAGCGACGTGACGAACGGTTCGGGCAGCCCGCGCGCTGACGGGGGAAAGATCAATGGGGTGCACTGAGTGGCGTGACACTCATAACGCCGGTCATTGATTCAGCCAGCCATTCGGACGTGAGGGACAAGCGTGGTGGTGGTGGTCGTCGTCTTTGGCCAGCACCTACCCTCCCACCGCGTTCACCATCAACCCATAACAAGAAGCCTAGATCGCTCACGTCGCATACCAACACACAACATATTTTGCACCGCCTAGCTTACATTAGCGCCAGACCGGATGGGTCGCAGCCATGCGATTTGATTCAAAAAATACTACATAAATATACGCCTGCTTTGAGGATGGCAATACCCTCCATCTGCCTCAGGCAGCATGGCATCCGCACCACACCTTTTTTGGTGATGACTTAAACTCGAGAAGAAGAGTAAGGGGAGACGGACCGAGAAGAACAAATACCAAAATTATCTTGTCATGGTCTAGAAGACATGGCTGGAACGCATGCTATTGGGCACCAGACAGGCCTGAACCACGTTTGTTCTGCCCCTGCGAGAGAGAAAGAGGATGGGAACGAACTCCTCTCAGCCAAATTTTCGAGAGGGAAACGAGGGGAACAAAGGAAGGGTTACTGGCACCATTGGGAATCGATATCCAAATAGGCGTTTTACTCTTCATGAGAGAATGGGACAATCCAATAAATACCAATTGAATGCACAAAAGAGAAGGTGAAAAGAAAAAAGGAAGAAAAAAAACTAAACGAACACAAGAACACGCTGCGCAGATTCTCACCCTGCAAAATTTGTCTACCTGTTGTTCGTCTCCGAATGCCTTGAATAGTGTTTCTGCGTATTTCTGGATTTGTTTTCTGTGCTGAGCTTGTACAGTCTAAATTCAAAGTTTGAATGCAGTGCAAAATGATTGCCCGTATCCATATCCTATCCCGTCGAGGTTCCCAAACCCCAGATCTCCGATCCAATGCACCAATGCTATTGTGAAAAGATAAGCACGATAATGTAACAAGCAAATGAGAAAAATGACAAATAGCAGAGTGAACAGACGCCTTTATCATCATCACCCAGAATCAAAAGAACCAAAGAAGAACAGAGAATAACACCAGTCAGCCCAGCCCGTCTATGAATCTATTCCCAAAAACCCACACCATTTTCAATAGAATAGGAAGGCTGTCAGCTTGCTCATCTCAACCAAGCCATCAACTCCTCTTCCCCACTCCTCCCGTTACAGACAGAGCCTCACTCCTTGAAGGCATCCATCTCCTTGAGAGCGCCCGCTAGCCGCCTGTAGTCTCGCAGCAGCTCCAGCACCTCCGCGATGCGCAGGTCAGCAGGGTTCTGCATCTCCATAAAGCGCTTGATGGGCGGATTGATCTTGGGCGTCTCCTTGGGTGGGAGATTGGCCGCCAGCTCGGGGAAGGCCTGTTTTAGGTTCACCGTCAGCTTTTGTTTATTTTTCTTTCTTCTCGAATGTTTCATAATTCACGCTTATATCATCTCACGTGGGTTCGTTCAAGTTGAACTAAGTGTTGTAGCGGAGGTGTGGGGGTGTGTGTATGTGTGCCAAGGGTCAGTCTTACTGTAGCCAAATCACCACCCTCCGCCCCCGACGACCCAGACTTGACCGATCCCGATATAGTTGTGGCCTGCGGCGTAACAGGTTGGCTTGGCGTCCGCGCAAATGGCCGGAATGACCCGATTCCCATACCCACACCACTTGCGAATTTGGCCATGGGATTCAGCGAGTTGCTGAGATTCCGCATGCCCTCTGTCAGCGGGTTGGGTGTCGTGACACCACCGCCAGACGTCCTGTTTTCCCTACCGAGGGCGCCATCATCCCCGCCGAAAAGACCAGACAGCCTCTTAGTGCCGCTCTCGCCGCTGCGCGAGCTGTCGGCAGAGTGATCGCGGGCGGCAGACGACTTAGTCCGGCCCGAGATGAGGTTGAGCACCTTGTCTTCCCTAGGACGCGGGCGTCGCGCACCAGACTCAGTGAGGTTGGCGCTGTTGTCCTCTTGGTTCTGTGAGCTGGTGACCGAGGCGTCATCTTCTAGCGGTGGAGTTCCGATCAGTTTGCGGGCGTCTTCGAGCGTCTTGGGCACTACGACCTCGGCGTCTGCGTTGGCCGGCTCGCGGAGCCTCCCCATCAGCATCCTGTAGCTGTCGCCTAAGCTGTTGCTGATGTTCTTCAAGCCCTGGTCGGCCGTGTTGCGGACGGCATCGCTGGCCGCGCCCAGAGCCTGTGCGGGTGTATTCACGAGGTCGCTGAAGCGGCGATTGCGTTCCTGTGCGACCTTGAGTCTGTTGGCTGGGGAGGGTGAGGGTTTTCGCACCGTGCCAGCGGGGTTAGCGTCGCTCGCTGCTGTCGTGCTCGTCGCGGCTGACAGTGTTGGGGAATATGCAGGAGGGAAAGTCTCAGCCCTGGGCGGGCTGGACGATCTAGGCGGCCCAGAGGGTGCCTCGTCTGAGCGCAACGTCGATAGATCCACCGTCTCGAGGAAGCTGATGGCGGCCTCCAGGTTTGTCATGCAGTATGCGGCTTCTCCCACGAGCTTCGGCTCCCACCTGAACCTCTCTATGAACCTCAAGTCGCTTATAACATTGAGATTCGCGGGAGGCAGGGTAATGAGCGTATAGATGAGCATGGGCATAATCTCGTCGGCTGAGGACGAGGGGTGGAAATGTGAGAGCGTATCCACAATACTCTTGTGCGCAGTCTTGAGGTGGTTCAACTTCCCCAGCGGATATCGACTCTCGTTCATGGCGATCAGCTCCTGTCTCGCCCCGTCCAGCCACTTGCGAACCTCCTCGGCCCTCTCCGCCTGTGCCTCTGGTGGCTCGGAGGACTCAGTCAACTGCACTCCCAAGTCGGTCAGGCCGATCCCGACGACCGCCAGGGCTGCCGTCTTGGAACGCAGCTTGTCGTCCTGAGCTTCGTCCTGGGTGGTCCGGTGCCGGTAGATCTTGGCGTAGATCCCCTCACACAAGCGTCTCTCGACAGCCTCTTCCAGGGTACCACGCTGCTGTTCTATAGCCTTTCTCTTTCTCTTGCGCTCCGTCATCTCGTCTGCAGTGATCATCTGTTGCTCTGGTGCGTCCGCCTTGGGAGTGCCAGCCTTTTGCCGATCCTTGCCGATGGAGGCCGCCTTGGCCCTCAGCAAGCTCGCAGTCGATGTCCTCGACGAGGCGGAAGGTGCGGGGGATGTCTCGCGGCGGTGTTTCGATATCAGTGCGGAGATGTGTGTGTTTATGTGTTGGGCAGCTGTGTAGTAAAAATCCTGGAACAGCTGCGAGATGTTGTCGATGGTCGGAGGGGCTGGTCGACTCCTTGTGGACAACGACTCGATAAAGTTGTCCGTCAGGCCGATCAGTTCGATGGGCAGGTCGTCGAGATCGACGGAGCCTCTCGGCTGGGGCTCGACGGGCGTCTCATCGCCTTGTTTGTTCTCGAACGCGTCGGCGCTCTCTGGCTCTTCGGCAATCTTCTGCGGGCCCGTCTCCTTGTTGGATGTAACTAGCTTCGGCAGGGCACCGTTCTGCATTGTGGCAGCCCTCTTTGGGCGAGGAGAGGCGAGGGGGTCATTGCTTTCGATCTTGGTAAAGGACTTTGTTGTCCTCAGGGGATTCGGCCTCCGACTCGGCGAGGCCATGGGGGATGGCCCTCTCCAGGTAACGGTGTAACTGGAAGGCATTGCTGCTTGTCAACGCCACTGCTCTGGGGCTAGAACTTGCTGCGTGCAATTAAATCGAAACCAGGGTCGTGTCTTGTAGATCGAAGGGGAGGATAACAAGGTGGCTTGGAACCTACAGGATGTCGGGACGTGCTCTCCAAGCAGATCTGGTCCGTGACGGGATGACGATGTTTATAAGATACCACCTCTCTCTCTCTCTCTCTCTCTTCTCCTTCTTTCTCTCTTTTGCAGCTGGCGTGTTTTGTCTGTGAGTATCAGACAATAAGCGGTCTTCCTTGAAACCGAGTCCTAGTAGGGCCGAGTTGAGTGGCCGGCAAACAGGAGACGAGAAACAGGTGGTCGACGAGGTGAGCCAGACGGTCCCGGCCAGGCCATGCCACCACCGGCCAAACCAACGTCCACACTCTCTCGAAACAGTAGTGCTGCGCCGTCAGACTTCGCTTCCACACGACAGGGCAAACAGGTGGCCTTGTCCCATCGATGATTGTCTGACGGAAAGTAATGGCCGTGTCGTGCAGCCCACTGCGGACACGTGGGTGCGAGGTCATGCGAAAGAAAAGACCACCTTAAGAAGGCCAAGAACCCCTCTCCAAGAAAAGAAAGAAAAAAAGGTACTAAGCTGTGGTGTAGTGTTGCAAGTCGCTGCTGAGGTGAGGTGTGTGTTGGGGTTAAGGTAAACGCAGGCCCCCGTCTCCGCCAGTGCCGTAGTGCTTTAGTTAGTGCTGCTGCTGTGTACCAGTACTCGCAATGATGATATGTAGCTTGGCGTGCTCTGGAGAAGGGGGTACGTATCAATACCCCACCCACCAGCAGCGCCAGCAAGTTCGTTTCTCCACACAGTCCAGACAGGCCCTCGTCTCCAACGATCTCTCTTGTTTCACTGCTGCCGCCGCCCGTCTTCATGCACATGCTCAAAGTCCATCACCACCATGGCCAGATGATCCTGGCTAAATGCGCAGTTCATGTACAAAGGTGACCACGTGGATGGCTGTACGATATATAACTCTACTTGCACCAATACGCTTTCAACGATTGATTAAATGATACCTGCGAGCGTTTCCGCAGCTAGAATCAGTAAACATGCGTGCACGGCACCGGCAGCCCCTGACGCCGTATAGTTATTCAACTGTGCAATGGGCAGTCCCAAGTTCAGGGACCTGGCAAGTCCAAAACACCACTGACAAGAGTAAGGAATAACATGTCGTGAACGTTGCCTTGTCAGTTGATAATGCAATGAGTCATGAACTACCAATCCAGTCGAACCTACGAGTTGCGACTTTCCAAGAGGAGGCGGGCAGCTAGGCAGCTGTCATGTAAGGAAGGCGTGGCACAGCACCCAGACATGGAGACCAAATCAGCCATCAAACAGGCTGCTTCACAGGGCAAATTTCTCACAGAAGACAAGAGCCCCTCCAGGAGTTGCGACTACTGACATCGCATGCTCGAAAAATTTGTACAGGAAGAACAGGAACAGAGAAAGGCCGAGGAAGGGCACACGGCAGAGGAGCTACGAAGCGCAAATATTAGTAGATTCACAAAAGAGCGCGTTCCGCTCCGACAGCACATGGGCCTCCCGAAGACGTCTGGACAGCTTCCACTCCCACCTCCAGCGTATGTAGCCAGATTCTTCATCTTGAACGCCTGTCTCTCGCTCAGGCCTTGTGTGAACTGCCGGCTTGCAGCGAGTCTAGTGAGCCCGAATCCTACCGAGTGGCTCTTAGCCGGGCTATGTTAATACGCAACTGGAACCGAGGAAGATTGGGCAGGGTCGGTATATCCTCTCCGTAACAATAAGCAGATTGCTATTGATGCTCATAATTTTGATTATATTCAACTGTTATCATGCTCAACAGTTCGAAAGACTGCCGATTTTACCAATCTCGCCTTTGTCAAGAGCATCAATTATCTCATTACTAGAAGAATTCAATTCCTGACACTTACTTGAACTCTATGAAAAGCATCGAAGTACCTAATACTTATATATAAAAAACAATCCTGGCGCTCAGCGACTCCTTTTCTTGTGGAATGCTATGCAGAAACCCCTTATCCGCCGACAAAATGGCATCAAGTTCAAGGATATAGAGAATCTCACACAAAATATCGTAGACCCGCTCTGCAAGGCCGGCCTCCTCGACCTCGTACATAGCCCAGAAGGCGCCAAAAGTGACGCTGACCAAGTTCCTGCGGCTAACGCAGCAGCTCGCACCTAACGAGAGTATTTGACAACGAGACACTGCTGGGACACCTCCCATGTACTTGAAGGATTCGATCCTATGCACGACCTGCAACCATAATGGCATTATTGCTTGGTCAACCTGCAGGTTTAGAGGCTGGAGGCCCGTTATCATGAAGCAAGCATGGCGTATGAAGGGTTGAGAAGGGGGTCTTGAAGTCTGCATATTCTAGATAGCGATGTATTTTCAGATCTAGTTCATGAATCAGAGAACTCTCCGCCTTTTGTTTGCTTTCCCTCGCCCACATGTTCAGATCACTGCTCTACACCAGTGTGTCTCCCTACGGGTTTTCTCACCCCATAGAGACAGTAATAGATACACAAGAGCGTCTACACGAGGAAGAAAAGAAGACCCTTATTACGCATTCGCAGGTGAGCGCAAGCACTACCCCATGCTTCCCATCCTCTAGCGAGGCCAAATCGTAGACACGGCGAATGAGCAGCAGCCATGGCAAGATTAGGTATGAACAAGTCCCTGTTAGGGTGCATAGGTGAGGAAGCGATGATGACGGTTTGCTTATCTTCTTTGTTTCTTTGCGAGGAGGCCTCCATGCCGCGACCTCCTTCAGCCGTCATTGTGCAGGACCGTACAGGCTGATGGTGTAGGATTAACGGGCCTCGAAGCGCTACAACTTTTACGCTGAAAACACTTATTCAAATTGGTAATCATGATGTTCCCTTCTTTTTCATGCTTCCGTCATCTAATATGATATAATACTAATGTTTATGCACGTGCTGCTGAGCGATCCTTGATCATATGTAAGGAGAAACGTATGAGCTGAGCACGTGGAAGTGGCTGAATGAGTATTGAGATTGAATCTATCTGATACAAAAGGAAGATCTTCTAAGTAACTAAACCAGGCTCTGAGATGGTTTATGAGGGAACCAAAACAGAGAATTAGGGTTAAATATGCTCCATTTTTCACATACCCTCCATCTGACTGATCAGATGTGCTAGAAAAATGGGTTTTTTATGGGGTTTCTGCAGATGCGTTTAAGCTTATATGAGCGCATTTTACAGTTGCCTTGCCTCCTTCCAGTCCTCTTTCTTTTTCAATCAGCTCTTTTTCCATCTGTTTTCAAGGTTTTTGAAAGCCTCCGCGCATCAATATGCTTCTTCTAATTACTCCAGATTTCTCGTCAGGCGAGTCTAACGTTTCTGTTCCTCTCAGCGAGCTTAGTATAGCTGTTTCCGATAACAGCAACTCTGCTAAGAGCGAGATCTATATAGCCTCTTCTAATCCTTCTTCCAATGTAGAAACTGATGAGGATCTCTTGGATGCAAACTCCAGCTTCTCTACTAGTATGTCTGAGTTGCATAATAGTCTCTTAATAGCTATAGAGAAGAGCGCAAGCTTTATTCAGCTTATCTTGATTCCAACTGCTGGTTAGCATCCTCTTTCTAATATAAGTATAGAAAGAGCTGTCTGGAAATTAGTATAAGCTGAACTGATTATTCTTGTTTCCAGGAATAGCAATCTGGCTTGCCTGCTTCAAGTTCTCAAGCTCCAGTCGAGTTGTTTGCTGCTTGTGCTGATATCCTGATTTTGCATTCTTCAGTTGATAATGCCTCCGATTCAGTTGGTATTGATCTTTCTAAGCGCTCTGGTGCTGGTTCTACAGGGATTTCTAGCTCATTTATTGATAATGATAACAATGATAATGAAGACAGCTCTGTGCTTCTTCAGAAGGTATTCAAGACTGTAGATTCGTACTGCTTTTTCTTTCAATGTTTATCTAGCTAATCTTTTTTCAGGCTTTCAATAGCCTTTCAAGTTCTGAGCTAGTTGTAACAAGGCCTGTTACCGAGCAGAGTATAGCTTGTTTGAGATCCCAGAATGCATTGATGCAGAAGCTTCAGCAGAAGCGCCTCAATGTGGCTGCTGGAGATGCTGCTAAGTTGAGAACTCCTCGGTTGCAAGCCAAAAAGACTTTTCCAGTAGCTATCCCTTCTAGTACTTCCGCTGCAGATTCCTCAAAGAGCTAAAATAATGCTTTCTGGGATGCTGTTTGCAATGTTTCATGCATTAGCTATATCAAGAATCTAGCTGCAAGCAGCTCTAATGATTCCTATTACAACTAGAAAAACTCATCTGCTGCTTGCTATGCTTAGTATTCAAAGGATTACAAGTATATTCCGATCTCTTTCTACCTCATGCTTTTTGTAGATAAGCTTTATATAGCCAAGTATATGCTTGCTTCTGCTAAGGAGATGAATGCTTCTACGCTCTTGAAGAAAAGAATGCGTGCTAGAGTAGAAAAGGAAAACTCTACTCTTAACCTTGCTCCTCTGAGAATCCGATCCAAGCATGCTGTATAAGCTTAGAAAGCTGCTCTTAAGCATTTTGAAGCAGGCAAATTCTCAAAGATTAACAAGCTGCAGAAGCAGATTGAGATGCTTACGAAAAAGCATAATATACTTCTTGCTAAGCAGGAGGCTGATTGTAAGGAAGCAGTTTCACGCTCTGCTAAAGAGAGAAAGTATAATGAGCACTGCAGCAATCCGAAGATTCCTAAGTACACAAAGGGTTTATGCTAACAAGAGCGGTATCAAAGTATCAAGTTCTTAAATACGGAACTATATAAGTCTTAATAAGCGATGCAAGTATTCACTGCTTTTAGAGCTACTCAGTATATGAGACTGAATACTTAGATTGATAACTGAAGAACTATCTGAAGAAAATCTATCTAATAGTAGGAAATGTAAACCTTCATATACTTGGTT